TATTACTATAAGGATCCGAGAATATACTACGACTAGCTATAGCCCCTTCTACCTTGTCTACGGAATTCACCCGCGACTACCTAGTAACGACTTGTCTAGAGATACTCTGCCCTATACGGAATAGGCTAATAAGCTACAAAATCTTAATAATACACGAACGAAAGCTAACGAATTACTCCTGGCGCGTACTATTAAGATAAATCGTATCTGTAATAGCCTTATCACGAAAACTAGCTTTAAGGTTAACGACTAGGTACTTATTCGTAACAAATCGCCGCAAAAGTACGAAAGCAAGTAGTTTAGACCTTTTAGAGTCTTGCAATCCTATCTACTTAGTACTTATACGCTAGCGGAGCCGAACGGCCGCGTGCTCCGTAACCTTGTTAACGGATCTCGGCTTATTAAAGCAAATATAACGGACCCTAAATCCTTATAGGCGTCCCTAGCTATATAGAGCGCCCTTCGGTAGAAGGGTTTGCGGCTAAAGAAGCTAGAAGAGCTCTAGAGAGTCCTTGCTCGGGACGACTCTCCGTCTACTTACCAAGATCTATCTATATTTACTCGCGAGGAATAGGAAGCTTTTAGGGTAGATCAGGCCGTAGGTACTAGCCTAAAGTAGGTAGGAGAGAGCGCAATTACGGAGAACGTGCTCGATCGTTGCTAAAGGAGAATTACCGTGAGTAATAAGAAGAAGGGCAAGAAGACGAGGGACTAGCAAGAACTTCCGTCTTCTTCTTCTTTAGAAGCTTCTAGCAACAAGAGCGAGCAGGATAGTACGATAGAAGACGTTCCTTATACTATAATTAGTAGGCCTCGGGACGCTAATACTCACGAAAGGATACTATTCGACGGGCTATTAGCTATTGTAATACCCTAGTAGAGAAGGCTTCTCTACCTATAATTAGAAGAAGGGAAGTTATTACTTATACAGATTAAATTTAACAAAGATCTAATAAAGAAATCTAACTACGAAGCCTGAAAACCACCGATTTCCTTTCCTCCTTACTAGCTTTTAGTTTATACGTAACCAAAAGCTTAATTTCCCTTGCCGAAGACCCCGAAATAGGATATACACTCCTAGAGAATTTTATTTCTCCTTTATAGCCTTCGTAAAGGATAAAAAAGGGTTCTTTTTAACCGCGGGCTCCTCCTTAGACTCCTTATCCTCCGTGTTAGAATCCTTGATAGCTCCTTAAGCAACGAGAGCCTGCTTTAGGATCTTCTAGTCGTATTCTAGACGGTCCTTAGTCCCCGAAAGGGCTCGGTAGGCCTCGATAGCGGCTACCGGATCCTCCTCTAGGTTCTAAATATCCGGGTCGTCGAGGGGGGAGCTATACTACTTATTTTTAAAAGGAGGTAGAAGCTCCTTCTCGGCCGTATCCTTACCCTTCTTGCTACTCTTAGGAGTAGCGATAGGACCCTTCTTAGTAGCGGTATCTCCCTTAGGAGTACCCTTCTAGGTAGTATCCCTCTTCGAAGTGCTCTTCTAGGCGGTATCCTTCTTAGGAGTACCCTTTAGCTTCTTTTAGGTAGGGGTAGGCGAATCCTCGTCCTCCTTACGTAGGCGCTTAGGAGTAGGCGAAGTAGCGCTTCTAGCCCGCTTCTAGAAATCTTTGTTAATAAAAGCTAACTTAAGCAGGGAAAGATATTCACTTACGGCGGTAGGAGTCCTACGGACGAGGGAATAGCTAGGATTCTAGGCTGCTAGGATTACCTTTACCTAGGGAGCTAGCCCTTCTTGATCGCCGCCTAGCCGTAGCAAGCAGGTATTACTTCCGGAATTGAACGAGCAATTTCTATAGGAACCCTAGAAGTAAGGATCTCCTCTAACTACTAAAACCCGATAGGAGGTAAAAGGACCCTTTAGATTCCCGTAGTTCGCATAATTAGCCCCTAAGGGGGCGGTAGTCCTAGCTTGTTAGACGTAAGCTACGCGACGTTAAACGCTAGTCTTGATAGCCTTAGCCTCGCCCTCTTGCTAGTCTATATAACGGACGCGCTTAGCCGCTAGGATCTTTTTCTTAATAGGAGTAGAGAAAAACTTTAGAATAGGGTCGCTAAACTAATTAAGACTATCTAGAGCTACGGAAGTTAGTATTTATAATAGAAAGGGAGAGAATAGGTCTTACCTTCGTTTATATAGCGCTTCTGTTTAGTATTCGGGTTAAATAGGGCAGGGCTACCTAACTTATCTTCGGAAGACTCCTCCCGGACTAGAGCCTTTTCTTTTCCTTTACTAATAGGCCGAAAGGGACTAGTAGTGTCCTTGTCTTTCCTCTTGTTAGCCCTAATAACTTCTTCTTCTTCTTCGGAAGAACCTCCTCTACCGTCTCCTCCTATAAAGAAGCTAGAAAGGAACTTCCGCCTTATTAACTGCTTACCCTTTCTTTCGTCGCCGCTAGCCCGGAATTACTTGCGGATATTACCCTTTAAGTCGTTAGAAAGGAAGGGTCCGTCGGTTCCTGGGCCTCTAAGGAAAGGGGCCTGCCGGAAGGGAAAGCCCGAAACTAGGGCGTTTAGGGCCCGGAAGGATATTTTAGTAGTCGGCAGGATTAGGTTAGAGATATTAGGAGCTTCCTTTTCGCTGCTAGAGGCTACGAAAGAAGACTCCTTGTCGTCGTTGCTTTAGGGGACGAAAAGCGCGCCGTCGGAGCCTTCTATAGAGGAACTCCTCGGCGGATTATCGACCGCCCTATAAGAGCGAAGGCGTACTATTATTCGCGTTAATCCGGTTCCTTTTACTTTATTTCCGATCTAGAAGCTAGCTTACCTATACTAAAAGTAATCAAGAGTGATCGAAGGTAATTAGAAGTAGGAAAATTTACGTATACACGCGAATACGAAGAGTATATAGGAAGGAGAGTTATATTAGAGAGGGTAGAAGAAGAAGCGCGTATTTATGTTGACGAATTCTTTATTTATTGATTTCCTTTGAATAATACCTTTCTAGAGGAAAGAGCCACTTTCGGTTCCTTCTAAATTCGTCCTCGGAAATCTACCTATAGATTTCGACTTTCCTTTGTTTATAGTTATAGGTTCAAACCCCGTATATCTCCTTTATTCCATTTTTGCCCTTCTTTAGTTATATATATACCCTTTTATGCCTGTATATAATAATCTCGGGTCGAGATCAGATTTAGTGGGGGAGGATAAGATCCTAGGAGCATTTTCTGCCTTAGGCTCCCTTTTAGTAGGCCTGACCTACTGACCCCTTCCGGCTACTTTCGGTCACGTGAGGCCCCATTCTATCTCTGATCACGTGAGGCCCCGTCCGGCCGCGTATGTGTATATAGTCTCTCCTTTACCATACTTAGAAGGGCATGCCCCTATCTACCCTTAGGATCACACTACTCTTATTCGAATTCCTTATCTTACCTATATAATCTAGCTTTACTTGAACTAGCTACTTAATCGTCTTAAAGCTATCCCCTAGAATAACACTATAGAGATACGATAGACTAATAGATAATTATTAGTAGCGAAAGCTAATATAAGATAATAGAAGCGCGAGATATTAGGTATACTTAATAAAGTTCGCTATCTTATAATTTATATCTATATAAGTCTATAACGCTAGGAAATATTCCTCTAGCTTTAGGTCTAAGAGCCTAAGCTAGTACTTATTCAAGATATAAGAACTCGATAGAACTTAACATTTTTGATACTTCGACGTACAAGACGGCTACGAAGCTATTTTAGACTATTCTATAAGTAGTATAATTATAAAGAGATATTACTTAATAATAAAGAATAGCGTCAAATCGACTATCTCCTCTATATTACACAGCTATTTTTCTTCTATACTACATTACTATCAAAGATAAAGGATATGTTGGATTTTAGGTAGTGATCATAAAATCCGATTGCACACAAAAGGATATGTGTGTCTGAAGCAGGTGAAGAGAGACTATCATGAGAGAAATAGAGGTCGGCTTATTAGATCAAAAAAGGAGTATGATCAGGTATGCCAAAGAAATCTACTCATGAGTTAAAAGAGATGTCAAACTTGTTTATTTTAGATAGGAAAGCAGGCATAATTTATAACACAAGGTACATAGTAAATATCACATGAAGAAATCAAGAACATCCGAGGTTATCTTGGAGTGTTGAGTAGTCTCCGGCCAATATAGGCAGTTCAATGCGAGATCGTTGAGGATCAATATAAATCAATGTGGTGGACATGAAGATGTTCTTCCGGGGAAAAGATGGTGGCGGCTTAGTCATCCGTGGGAAGATTAGTCATCTGCGGGAAGACCCACATAAGTTGACAGGATATCACTATATATCTAGTTTTTAAGCTCTATAATACACTCTTTGAGTATCTTGAGCAGTTAATTAACTAGCTAAAGAAGAAGCGTATACCATAGAAATAGCAGATGCTCCAATCACTTAAAGCTAGCCGATCAAAGCTTGATAAATACTACTCGCAAATAGATAGTGTTAAAGGACATATCTTTGCAATTAGTACTATGCTTACACCAGATAACAAGTTCCAGTTCTTCCAGACAGATAACTAGGAGCCAAAGTAGCGCAATGCATACCGCAAATCATTCCAGTCAGCATTACTTCTATACCAGGAGCGTCTTGCTAGAGATCAAGCCTTCTCTATACCACAGACACCATCAAAGTCTATATACTAGCTTAATCAGATACTAAGCAAGAATAAGGCTATAACAAAACCTACTAGAGATAAGGTTGCAAATATCCGAGTCTATGGAGGTAGAAATGGTAGAGATCTAGAAAAACTTCAGCTGCATGGCAAAGGGCCTGTGCTTCAACTTTGCATTCCTACCTACTGCCATTCTCTATTTGAGAAGTAGTTCTAGGTATTCCAACCCATGCCAGATAAGATGATTTTGACCGGGTTCAAGTAGTGGATGGCATGAAGGCGACGCAAAAACTGCATGCTGAAATATAGAACCTCTAAATCGTATGATTCTCTACTATGATAAGGCCACCGTGCTATCCATATAGACAGTCTATCCATGATGTGCCCCAAATCAGAATATACAGCGCACACAAGATGTCAAAACCGTGCCCGAACATTCAAAGTCCGTATTATACTGGGGATCCTTCTCACAAACAATCGAGTCCACCCCGGGACAAGTCATCATGCCGACTGTAGCCCCATCAGTGGTACCCACATACACACAGCCTTCAATGCCATGGCTAGTGAAAGGCCCGATCGTGGTGTCTGGGTAAATGAAGTCAACTCCAGGTGCCGAGTCCGAGTCAACCTCGATGTCAGCGGACGCGTCGCAGACGTCCGTAACGCTGTTTGTGTACTCGTCTACAACCCACCATTGGAAGATGCCTTCGCCATTGACGTCCTCTTGGAAGACCATGAATGCTGCGATTCGTGTTGCGGACGGCTCGGATGTTGACGTCGTCGTTGTTATTGGGGCAGTTGTGGAGGCTGAGCTTGCAGACGATCCGGTAGCGAGTAGACCAGGCACAGCCACATCATAAGACGTTCCAGTTGAAGATGGGTAGATGACAGCGGAAGTTCCATCAATCTCCGTGGTCACGGCTTCGGTAACAGATAGAACAGAGTAGGCTCCTCCGCCCACGATTATCTCTCCACCAGAGACTGCGTAGGATGAACTGCCGACCGAGACAAACTCGGGGTTTGTTACAATGACCGCCGAGGCAACGGCAGGAAAATAGGCGTCATCACCTTCGTCGTCGGTGTCCGGATTCAAGCTTACCGTCAAGCAGGCGATGCCCGTGGTCGTGGTCGTGGCTGTCACATCGCAGCCGCTTACGATGCTTGAACTTGTAGTGGTGCAGCTCTCCGTGGCACAGGATACCCAATAGTCGGTCACGGTCTTGGTTTGACACTCGCATCCAATGTACGTGTTGCAAATTGTCGTGGATGTGCATTCGATTGAGGTTGTTGTGGTGCATGATGACGTGCTTGAAGAGGTCGAGTCACTCGTGCGGTATGTTCCGCAGGACTTGGTGCAGCTTGGCGAGGCTGGACCGGAAGTGTATGTCGTTGTGGGTTTGCCTTTGTCTGGAGGACAGTCGATCGAGAATATGTCGAAGAGCTTGAAACATGGCAGGTCTGGGATCTCGGGCAACTCGGGGAGCCGTGGAATCGGGAAAGGAGTTGGTCCAGGCAGGGGTATTGGAGACCAGTAGAAGCCACCAATATTGATCCACACTGGCAAGAGAGTTGTAGTTGTCGTCGAAGAAGATGAGCCTGATGATGTAGAAGCCCGCGTGCTGAGCGAGGTGGTGATGGTAGTAGTTGTTGGCAAGGTCGCCCACTCTGTGAATTGAGCCTCGGAGAAGGTTTGGGTCACTCCGTTAGATGTATATATTGTCGTCGGAAGCGAGTAGTACACAAGTGAAGCATTAGCCGATACGCCCCCAGCGCCTGTTGTGGGGTCGAAGGTGATGCTTTGTGTGGTTCCTCCTCCGCTGATCACCACGGGCCCCGGTGTAAGACTCGAGTCTATACTGAAGGCCGAGCTATATACACCTGACGGAATGGTAACAGGGAAGAACCCAATTTCGGAAGGAGTCACTAATCATGTATGAGTCGAGCTGGCCTACCACGGACACTGTGATATTGGGTCGACTTACCAGGTGATGGAGTCACTACAGAGATGACAGTTCCCCCGAGATTGATCGATGTAGGAATGGGGCTGAAATTGACGGGAGTGGGCGCGGGTACTGGCGACGGGGGAAGCACCATAATGCATGGAGGGGAGCACTGGAGAATGGGGCTGGGTTCAACCCAAACCAAGTCACCGATGTATACAATGACGGTATCTCCATCGATTCCAGATGAAACGCCGAGATCACCACCATCCTCGGCAAGAACAAGCCAAGCACTGATTTCGGTGGAATAGCCACTGGAAAATGAGAGACAAAAGTTAGAAAGCACTTGACAATTAGATGTAGGAAAGCTTGCTTTTGGTTATCGTCACTCTGCAAGGTGGGTGGAATGCCTCCCATGGGGCTCACGACCTCCGCAGCGCCGATCGTGAAAATGTTATACAGCCAGAACCCTTGCGTGAAACTGGTCTCCACAAGTCTTTCCTGACACGACTCGTCATTTAGACAGGTTTGCTCAAAGGCGTTGAAGAAACTGTAAAACCCTGCAGTGTATACCAGGATATCCGATGAATCGAGCACGCGGAAAGCCCACGCGTCTTCACAGTTGGAACCGGAGACACAACTCCGAGAAATCTGGGTCAGAGTCCCAAAAGCCTACATCAAAGGGCTGTGATGCATCTGGGTTTGGTTGGAAATAGGGTGTCTCGGTCTGAACATGGGTAATGAAGATGTCCTCTGCGCCCGACAGGGTGAGCTGATACAGCACGCTGTGCTCCACAGAGGTGCCGTAAAACCAAGTTGGTCCTGTCATCAGTGCTTAGATATCATCCGAAGAGAAAGATACATCTATGAATATCATACCTTGTGATTCGACGAGGACACCACGACCAGTGAAAATATTGAGCTGTGACGCAGTTGTCGTGTTGGCGCTTCCTACCGGCTCGTCCAAATCGTGGTCTGCCGTCCAGACCCAAAGATTCTCAAAGTAGCCCGATGATTTTTCAGTGAGATGGAGGAGCATGCTTGCCGCAATGCAATCGATGTTGATGTCTGAACCCTTTGGACAGTTTCCCATCTGGAGGTTGGACCCTGCCGCTCCTCCCACGCGGAAGTGGGAGTCCCACATGGCAGCTAGAGGTAGAGAGAAATATTAGATTCCGGTCGACTTTGATGGTCGAGATTGACTGACCGCTGCCCTGTGTGCTTTCGTGCACATTCCATTCCATAAGGATGCATCCCGCGGTAGCACCCTTTACAGTGAACAGCATATCGGAGATTTGAATTACTCCAGAGTCTCCAACCTTACCGACTCTGCATAGACGTGAGTACTCCCAATAAAACGAAGAGATCTGAATGTGTAGATGACATACTGAACCATGACCTGCGGATTTGAAGCATCCTCGAAATATGATCCTGTCCCCATAATCTAAAGATCCCATAATGAGTAACAATTCTGGATTTGAAGAGACAACGGCAAATACGTACTTGAGACCATCCCTCGCCAACGATGATCGAGCCAACTGGAACTTTGACTGTCGACTCGACCTGATAAATTCCAGCAGGGAAGAAAACAGGCTTGCCAACCGAGCTGGAAAGAAGGGTATTGATTGCACCAGTCTGATCTCCAGTCCCGTCATTTGAGATGCCATTTGAAGTGGCCACGACAAAGTCGCTGCTGAAATATGTCTCATACTGAGGTCTTGACTGCGAAAAATATTGGCCGGAACTGTCGAGGAGACTAGCGGGCTTGTTTGGGGTGGGACTCAAAAACCCAGTGTGGTCCTGGCCATCACCACTCAAGGAATCGTAGAGACGCCCCATGTTCCAAGAAGTGAAGTAAAGAGCATCAGTAGATCCAGCGACAATTATCTCGCCTCCCGAAACGAGCACAACATCCGCAGAGTTCTCGACCAGCAGATTGTCGAGAATGATGTTGGGGTATGGCCCTCCATTGCGCAGAGTAATCGGATACGGCACGCCGTTGAAATGAGAATCTAGAACGCTGATGGAGCCAGTGCCCTGGGAATCAATACCACCAATGCTGGTACAATCTATTGCGACCCAACAAGAGTAGACATAGATGTTTTGCCAGGTGAAGCCCCAGTCCCAGATCATGGAAATGGCCGTCAAACAAGATGTGAACTGCAGATTTCGGGCAGTATACTGCTGGTTTCCCGCACGGAACCCGATATTGCCTCCAAAGAAAGTCAAGTCGCTGAGGAAGCCACCTGATCCATTTTCCATGAAGATACCCACCATGGTCGTTGTGTTTGTTGCGGTAGAGACACTCATTTGGAAGTCTAGGTTCTGCAGGGATGTAGCCTGCGCCACTTGCCAATGTAGACCGGTGGCATTATATTCCTGGTCTCCATCATAATTGGTAAAGGCCATGGAGGTCATGTCGAAGATGAAGTTGCGGATTTGACGGAAGAACTGGTTCTGATTAATGTACCACTCTGCACCGTTTCCGCCTGGAATATAGGGGTCGGTGTCGATAAGAGCAATGCCTGTGAAATTGGCACTTCCCTTAATGGTTGGTCTGTCCGTCGCATCTCCTACAAACTGCGTGTAGTAATACCTGTACAGTTCGTGTGAGCGGCGATCGTGGGCAGTCTTGGAAAACAGATACGTACTGAATAATTGGAGTGCTGATGAGGTAGGTTCCTGGCTGTTGCCAATTTCCAGATTAGCGATATGACTGAATCTTATAGGAAGAAAGAAGACCATGAGAACTTACTGGGAAGAAAACAAGGGCACCATAGACTGAAGTCGAGCCGCAAGACTGACCACACCTTTCAGTCGAATTAGACGAGCTGGAATACGAAACCGCACGGTTAATCGCTTCAGTGTCGTCCGTCACACCATCTCCCATGGCGCCAAAGTCCTGAACATTACGGTAGAACTGATATCCATCTCCAGCGAGCGGCATCTGCATGAAGTCAGCTAAGTTTCGGAACACTCTGCTTGTATACAATCCTACCTCGCCATGGGTTATACCGTCCATCCAGAATGTACTTGTTGCGCGCTTAGAAGGGTGTTGGGTTGAATTCTCAACCTTGACCACATTTTCCATTTGCTTGTCGGTCAGAATTGGTCCGTTCATGGTCCCTGGAGATTTGACCAGTTACGACCATATCTGAAACTCGGTGGAACTGCATCATACCAGCATCAGGAGCCACTCCGTGAGTGTTTCCTTGATTGTTGACCATGTACGCCGGAGGGGCCTTGAATATTCCATGATAAGCAAACTTCTGAGATCTCAGATGAAAACCTAACCAACCTGTGGAGGGCCAATTGGCAGCGCGGGGGAACTGTAGCCAGAAGGCAGTGGCGGTAGAACTAGATGATCTGCTGCTGCGACCGCAGCAGCAGCAGCAGCAGCAGCAGCCAGAATGCTCACCAACCTCATCGTTCTGGATCAATGGTAGACGAAAGAAACAAGTTATCGGAACAAGAAGAGGAAATGACGGTCAAAGGAGGGCATGCACCCTGGGGAACGGGGTCACGCTAAACTTGGGAGAGGTCTGGAATCCAAAGTTCTCTGCTTTTTGACCCTACTCAGCTGCCTGAGGCATATCTCGCCTAGAAACTGTGTATCAAAGAATTTTCTTTTTCATGCAATGCTACTTCGGTAAAAATAGTGGAAGGTGTGATCACAAAAGAATTATCCGAAGACACTGTTGTTCAAGGACTCATGTCCGTGCCCCCACGCTAGCAGCTCTGCCTAGTAGTTCGTTTACAACGCCAATTCAGCTCTTGAACCCATGAACGGAGGAAACGACCCAATTTGGAACCCCTGGCATACGCGGGTACCTGCAGGAACCCGGGATAATGAACAATGGTTACATTGAGGGGTTCGGATAATCGCAAAAAGTTGCTCTTTGTTCAAAAGAGACTAAACCCCTCGGGATGCTCGGCATTTTTAGATTGCTTGCCATGCTAAGCTTTTGGGCCCGGCTGTTGCGAGCCTATCGGCTTCTTAAGCGTTTACGATGATAAAGCACTACAAAGTATCAGCTGCTTATGGGTGTGCATGCTCAATTTCGCTTATGGCCTTAGTTCTGCTCAGCCTCGACCGAGCGTTCCGTGATCTTTGCAGCATGGTGCATCATGATCCTCCATTCGTATTGCTGACCGGGGCATGCCATGCACCCCGATCATTTTCTGGGACAATGCCCTTTACTTGTCAAGTTTTCTAATACTCCTGGATGAAGAATCGACTTACTTCACACCCTCCATCCGCATCATCACTATGGCGAGCGTGAAGCGTAACAGCTCGCTCAAGCGACTGCTATTATCACTTTTTGTCACCTTTCTCTTTGCTTCTCTTTCCTTGAGCGCCAAATTACCCCACCATGTCAGTAATGGCTACAGTCAAGGCCATGGCCATTCCCATCACCACAAGCACACTTCCAAGCACAAAAGTGATGCCCTGAATTACAGTCTGCAAGAGCGAGCCACAACCACATATGCCGCAGCCGTTCAAAAGGGAAGAGGCCTCATATGCCTTATGGAGTCCACGATCGCCAAAGCAGCAACTCTCAACCTAGCAGGAAATATCCAGTCAACGTGGCTGGCATCGGATTGGCTTGTAATGCAAGGATGGAGACCAATGAATCTGGGAACCTTCACATACGAAGACTTGACTATCGAATTACCTGCTTATGGTAATAAGTTGGATGCATTCTTCTCGTCGATGGGGATTGCCTTTGACGGCTCTAGTGCTCAGTATTTAATGAACACAGTTCAAGGAGCATATTACGACAGTGACTATAATGAATTCCCATGCGTGGTGAGTCAATATTACACTCTGACTGATTCCGCCCTAAAAAAAGCATTATTGATTGAAGCCATCAATGATGACAATGATCAGGCCTCCGAGGGGATATTTGGCAACATGATAGATATCAATTCCGGCACCATCGTCGCCGATCTGAACCGGAGCCCATTGAACATGAATTACCCGGCAGCTGTGATAAACACTTTCTGCCCTATACGACAGTGGTCTGACGCCGTATATATTCAATGGCTTGCTGCCGATGCCGTGGAATCCACGCCATTGAATCGGATTGAATTTAGACATACTAATGATAAAGTTAATATAACATTATATGCTGGTATCACCAACGCTGCGACACAGCAGTTCGTCATCCAGGCGCTTCAGAACAAGGGCACAGTGACTGAAATCCCAACGTGGGATGCGAACAATCAGCTCACGCTGACACGTGCAGATGATGGGGACTTCTTTGCTGCTATCCTGGGTAGCCCCAACGGGGCGGGCTGTGCATACCTGTTGGCGCAGCACAAGGGACAATTTGGAATCAAGCAGTTGACATCAGTTAGTATTTGGGTGAGCGGGAGTACACCCTTCACTCTTACGTCGCCAATCGGTACACTGGGACAGAATCTGAACCTAGTCTTCACGATGGAAACTGTGGTAGATACGATTGATGTGTGATCGATCAAGCACGGCCAGGAGAGGCTGCTGTAATGAGCGAGTAAATAAGCGAAGCAAGAAGAAAGATCAAGAGATGGGAATACTTCATTTTGGCTGAGCGACCATACGAGGGGTGCTAGAAATAGGTAGGGTAGAGGTGTTAAATAGGAATGGTTAGAAATGATTCTATCCCTTGAGCTCTCGCTCTTCCCACTCCTTTTGTAATCTTGTCTCCACTTCCTCTACCTCTCGCGGATCCAAGATGCTTCGCCACGCAAAATGCCATAATGATAGATTGATGCCCCCAGGAAGATTGAGATTTAGAGGGGCTAACCCAATCGCTTGGACTCTCTTGTGGCACCATAGGGCAAACCCTAGCCGGCGATAGGAGTCGAACTTAACTGTGCGCAAGGGCGAGGCTCTCCATTCTGCCAGCAACTGTATTTGTCGCAGGCCGAATGTAGCGTAGTCAATTTCGTACAATTGAGTTATTGGGTGTGGATCAGGCCTTCGCCGCGTTGGCCACCATTGTTCGACTGGGTGCCGGAGCCATGGCAGTCGCCGAGGTTTGCTTGCACTGCTGCTGTCATAGGAGTCATAAGGGATGACGAGCTTTGTTGCTCGTGTATAGTCGAGATACTCCGTAACGGTCTGGATTTCTTCTGCCTCGTACTGTAGGTCCCACTTGACGAATAGGTCGCGCGCCTTCATACCTTGCAAACGCACCACGTCTTCCGCGGGCCAGCCGAGCCGAGACTGACTAGCGGCGGTACAAAGATCATAGAATGATTGAATTCTCCACAAGGCACGGGAGACACGCTGCTCCTCTTCCCAGGTTGGTGAGCCGTAATTGCTGACGGGGGCTTTGACACCTTCGAATCTTTGCCTCCACGGTTGAGTCGACTTGGGATGTGTTGAATACCGAACCTCGGGATCAGCTGCATTTTCCGGTCGAAGAGCATTAAATATTTCCAAATAGTGCTCTAGACACGCTACAGTCAAATGACTGATTTGTGCGTGTATAGATAGAACCCGGCGGATTGTCGAGACAGGCGCGTTATCAGGCAACCCGTGCGGAAGGGGTCGGCTTGTCGAAAGGGGTTCGCCTATTCGTGGGAGGCGTAACTGTCTGATCGTATCATGAATGAAGCCAGCGACAAAGGCATCTAGATTTGGATATGGGAGAGTGCAGGAATCAATCATGGCCATGAGTGAAATTGTTTCCCAACTTTGATCACACGTGTTGTCTTTGGTGAACAGGGCGCGGGTAAGCTGAAGGCCATCGTGGTCGAACACACGGGATGCCGCGGGAGATGCGAGAAGAAGGTTGTAAAGGGATGTGGGGTCGTCGATACGGGAAAGAATGTCCAGGAGGATCTCGAAGGGCAGTACCTCCATCTCGATATATATCCAATGATTTACGGGGTTCAAGAGAAGGAAAGAACCCAACAAACCAGAGGGCCGTAGCGGAAGTCATAGCCACCTAGGCCACACGGCCCCGCTAGCTATTACTCTCCGCTATTCCTAAGCTTTGATCGGATTACATCTCGATCTGAATGGTGAAACTCAATCTAGAGGTCATAACTTCCTTGAAAAATTATCTTGTGTCCTAGCTACTGATACACTAATAATGGAACCTGAGTGTACCTTTTCGCGGTAGTCAGGCTCAGTCTGTATTATGATAAATATCATTACCTACAATGCACTGCGATAACTTTAACCTTGTTTATTCGTAAGGCCCGAACGTCACATTCGCGTCAACTTCTCAACTAACTTCTGGTATCTTATACCTCCTTACACGAACGTTCTCTCGGAGCTTTTACAAACAGCAATATGTATAGTGGTGCAAGTTCCTTCCTTGTCGGCCTTGCTAGTACTAAGGTTATTACTAAGGCAAAGCCCGATCTTCAGTTACCACTCAAAACATGGATAATCGACGAAAAGCTTAAAGAGATCTCCTTTTTATGATACAGCAGGACATCGACTATAGTTATAAGCCTGGATTTGCTGCTGCAAAGTTCCTCTACTACCTAAAGGACGACCCAGCTAAGGAGCTGGCATTTATGCGAATCTATCGTCAGATCCCAACTTCTGGCACTGAGTGGTTAGCCTCTAGTGTCCGAGCCGCTCAGGCAGTCCCGCACATAAATATTAAGGAGTTAACGGCCTTCAAATCTCTATTGGAACAAGTATGTCCTGTCATTCCTCAGCTTTTAGGCTACCAAGAAGACTTGCAGGGAAATGATAGTATCGTTCCTGGAGTTTTCGCTACCTCGATTGTCTAGGAGAAAGTTCCAGGCGTTTCGTTGTCGGAGGAACACTTTTAGACTCTTAATCTAAAACAGCGCGATGCTATTCGCAAATAGTTCCGCCAGGTCTACGAGTAAGTCTATCGCGTGCTATCAACTATAGTATCTAAACGTTAACTAGTTAACCAGACAGCTTTCGGAGTGTGGCTTCCAGCCTTGTATAGCTACTGCCTCGAAGCTTATCTATAACGAGTCAACTGGAAAGATGTATGTGATATAGTCTGTCTAAGATCGAGCTATTTCTAAATTATGACATCTGCCACGACTGCAAAGCTGCGTTTAGTAAATATCAGTTGTTGATGGGATACAACCTACCCTAGATTGTGCGGGCCAGATTTAGGACCAATCCAGGTTACCCTTCACTTCGTGGTAAGCGTCGATGACTACAGGGAGTTTAGAAGTGTCTGTGAAACGAGCATTATTTGTTCGCTATACAGATTGCGACGTATGTACTTTAATGGAATTACTGTAGCTATCTCGAATGGAAAATAAATTCGATTCGAATTTGACCAGGATAAAAAGATAGGCCACTAGACACCGGATTGCCTACATTTGTAACTGCCACAACAGATCCATACTCTATCAATACCCAAGTAGTGAAAGAGGAGAGTTTGTCTTGGGTGGAGCTACCTTGGAAAATTGGGTAGCTAGTCCAGGTAGCCTGTCTACTGCACCGGATCAGAACGTCTTTCTATGCATATCCTTTTGACTTGGCACCAGCTTGGCCACATTGGCAACGACTGCCTCCAGGATTTCGTTGTATTGAAAGCTGTAGACTTGAATTACAGCTGGAGCCAGCGACCTATGAGGAATTGCTTCAGCAAACCTCACGGCCAGTTCATGAAGCCTCTTTGTCGAATCCGGGCTAGGACACTCCGCCTCAAAGAAGAAACGGAGGTATGATTCTATAGTCGATGTGTCGGGATTGAGAAATTCATACTCGTTGTCAATTCGGCCGGGACGAGTCAGAGCGGGATCAAGGGCTGGTTTGATGTTCGTAGTAACGATGAGCACATGATCGGTATGGGTACCGATCCCGTCCAGAGCGTTCAGGGCCGCTGCCATAGATATTCCCACCTGATTTCTACAATGTGGTATTCCAAACAGTCTACAAAACTATGGCCACAAAATCTCGGAATCATTGCAAATTCCCAGTTTGCCAAGCAACTTCGACGAACTGGAAGAAATGCAAAAATTCCAGCAAGCGGATCTCTTCCGCAGGCGCGAACTCCACTATCTCTATGTTAAGATGACGGCAGACATGAATGTTGAGCATTACGATGCCTTGACGTACGATTTCAGTACACTGAAGCGGCGGCTGTTTCACCATGCCAGTGAACCTTGGGAGGGTGACAATATAACCTTGAAAACCAATTTGGTTACTCTAACAAGGAAATGGTGAGAGTTTAGCAATTCCGTTTGCAGATGACGAATTGACTGAATGTATGCGACTAGCATGCGCACAATCAGAAGCATATGAACAACTGCAGGCTTGCCAGGATACGATTGGAGTTGGATATGAGGGTTGGGTGCCTATCGAGCAATACAATAAGGCAAAAGCGTACGAGAGAAATTTGAAAGCGGACACGCTCGGTGCAGCTAAAACAGAGGGGGAGAGAATAAGAATTCAAGAGAATTGGATTTTTGATGACTTTTGCGAGGAAGACTACGTGTAAGTTGAGGGCAAGCCCAGCTTGACCTTCGCGGAAAGGATACGACGACAACCATTGCTTCGAGATGTTGAACGGTAGGGTGGGTCGGGAATGGAGGCAGCGACCTTGGTTTAAACAACTAGAATTCGCAAACCAAATCAGCCCAACTCATATGTTAAGCTGTAGGGACAAGTCAGTTATGGCTTCTACTACCTAATCAGGCATGGCACGATGATCACCAGTAGTCTGGCTGCACTTCATGACCACTCGTTGAATGTGGCTTCCGCCTATCCACAGTGAATCCCTTTCCAACCATAATGACCATTAAAATGGGCCGTGGTGAATGAATGTTGCCATGAATATATATGAAGCTTTGTATGTTCTGGCCCGTTGTTCCAACTTGTCTCTACTGCTTGTCGCATGTCATGCCTTGATTGAGGTCATAACTTTGGAGAGGACATACACGACAGCTTTTCTTCTGAGGGTTATGGTGAGAGAGAAGACTTAAGAACATGCTTCCAGGCGGAGTAATTTCAGCTGCTATGGGAGACGTGAGAGGTCGACAAAAACTTCAAGGCGCGCTTTTTTATGCGAGAAGAGTGGGAGTTAGAGAGTCACACGTGTTATTGATAAGCTATCAGCAGTCGTGGGGTATCTCTCAACTTTTCTGCGTTAACCATGAGCTAGCCATTGTATAACCATGATTGACCATGGGCACACGATCCAGCACAGTGCTCTAGCTCAAACAGGGTATTGATGGCCCAAGGCGACATTTCCATTCAGCCTTGCCGTTGATTTGGCCAATCCTGGGCTAGGATTCGATGATGTATGCAGATGCCAAGAGACCACAGTTTCAGCCAGACCACGGCGACCCAATAACGCTGTATCTGAGCCCAGATCCGAGAGGGTCAGTGCGGTGGTCGCGCGACGGAGGGCGATTCTCACCTGGTCTCACCCAGCTTTTCACCTTGTCTATTGCGAACTCACCCTGCCTCACCCCGGTCGCGCGACCTTAAAGCGGCGCTCAGCCACTTCTCACCCGGGCGGCAGCCACCCGACTATCTGCCGCAGATAAGCCACACGCTGGCCAGTTAGTACGGTGGGTGACCACATGCGAATCCTGGCTGTTGTATGTTTTTGTTTTTGTTTTTCCATGTTCTTTTTCTTTTCTTTTTGATGGTATCATCTCACCGACCCGAGTTTTGTAGGTATTTGGTCGCGGCCACCACCATCTGGTCCGGCATGAGCTACGTCTTCTCTAACAACGCAGTCAAAGTCTTGACCAAAGAGGAGATTCAGAAGCGTATCGCTCAGGCGGAATCGAAGCGTAAGCGTTAAGTTTATCAGCTGATTTCCCTCGCATCGTGTCAGCCGTGTACACCACAAACTTTGCATTTAGGCGCTTTGGCTTTTTTTGTGTAGCTCGTTTCTCTTGCATTCTCTTCAGTTTTACTGAATCACATTCCATAATTTCAATGTTGAAAATTACTCAACCTGAATCAAGCCCCCAAGTAAATAAAGGGCGTCCATGAAAGAAAATCCAAGCACAGTTAGCTTAATGGGCTGTGCAGCATGAGATCTTCCAGGGTATAAGAATATATCTTAGATATCTCCCATTTGCGACATTTCTCCCGAAGGAGACGGACCCCCTCTTGGAGAACATTTGCTGGAACGGTTGTGCAGAGGTCTCCAACTCCGTCAACGAAGGCTCGCATAGTGTCCGCCGAGCGAATAAAATGCTGCGCGAGCTCGTCATCAAAGGGCCGATCAAGGTGCATGAAGCTTGGTGCCCGAGGCTGAGAAGTTGAATAGGTAGATGTTTCACTATCCGACCATGGCGAAACTTCATCCATTTCATCGGCTATGGGGTCAGCGCCGGTCCAGTCAGGGGGATTTCCCATCGTGGTGGCATTGCTGTCAATAGCCCCGTTCCTGGCGACCGATCCGGGATTCGGGTTCGTGCCGCCCTCGAGGTTAGCCGAGGATATCTCGGGGCCAGACGCTGCCGCGGAAGAGTAGGTGGCGTACGCCCAGAGGACCAACGTTGCTAGAAATGCCGCGAATGGTTGGAGAATGGCGTCGGAGGAATAACGTCGGATGTGCCAATAAATGGCGCCCGCGTGCAACACGGCCAGGCGACATTTGTACTTGTCACTGGTGAACCAGCAACGCACCACCAACTCATACTCACTCGGCCAGGTCTGGGGATCACCCGTGCCACTGGCACCATGATTGCGGCGGTATTCTGCCAGGGTTCTAAGATGGGATACGGGGGTGAGTAGGATGAGGCGCGCTAGGTGCAGGACCAGGAATAGCGGGCTTTCTATGCCTCCTGTCTTGGACGAAACGCTGAGGGCTTCCCAATGCAGCACGTCGAGGCAGTCACAGGCACTGTTTCTCCATGCTGAGATCTGCGGAATGGAGGCTGGATAAGGTACTATGGATGTGGCTTTGCCAACGCTGCTGGGAGGCTTCCGTGCTGCAGTCGGAGTCCACTGTGAGAGTTTGTTGGTGTAAAAGCGCTGAACTTGCCAATTCCACTCAAATAGAGAATGTATGATGATTATTCGTCCAAAGTTGGAGACTGATGGTCGGATATAACTCCGTACGTGAAGCTCTTCAAGTGCGTCGCGAACCGTTTGAGTGTCTAACAAAATTCATCAGTACTGTTCGTGTGCCTGTCATCGTCTCCCACCTGAGGTCTTCATCCACGATCTCGGGTCCGGAGACAGATGAGATTGCAATTGCAATAAATATGAATACTGGAGAAACCGTGACGACCAACCTTGCCGCTTGGCATGTAAATATGTCCATTCATCAAATTTGTCCGTCTGCCATAATGCTTCCTCGCAAGGTAGTTCAAGCTGAAGATCGTCAAGCTGAAACCGTGCATGAAAGTCGGATGTATACGCCAGAATGCAGTCTAGCATCTACAAGACAATAAAAACACATTAGTTAGGGCGAACAAGTGAAGCTAGATGCAAAGGACGTGCAGGCACAAGGCGTGTCAGAGTAGGCGCTGCAGCGGAAAGGGCCCAGAAATTAACGAACCCAGACGAAAAGCCCCGTCCTCAAGTATTCCTCACGTTCGCGCCAAGCCCTCCAGTTCACCCCAGATAGTGGCCCATCATGTGGGAGTGCAGGTTGATTCCTGTGCTTGAGAAGGGCCAGACGGAAGCATGAACCAGACAAAAGGTCCCTCTCCTTGTATCCCCGTTCAACGAGTGCCGTTTTTGAGGTTTGACACAACCCAACAATGTTTAGAGCCTTGGTCTGAACGTATTCCAACGATTCATCTAACCCGCCGTCGCTGTGAATATTTGTCAGATGGGTGTAGAGAAAGGCATGGAGCAATTCCCCATGACCCCGTGCTGATTTGGGAGGAGCATATATGGATCCGATGGCTGCAAGGGCGATCAGAAGCGGCCAGTCTATCTCATGGCGATCTAGCTTCTGCGAGTCAAGAAATGGATAGTCTGGATGAAAATGACACAGATAGAGATAAATCTGCCAATTTAGCAGACGTAGGGGTGGGAATGGTTGCGGTGTAGATTGCAACAACTTGGAGAGTGTACGGCTGCTTCTGGCTTCTTCGTAGTATTTCAGAGAGGTCTCGTACTGGTGGTCAGTCATGTACGTTTTTGCACTCGTTGCGTCGAGGCGGCACGCGAGCTCACTCTCGCGACTCGCCAGCTGCTTTGGCGATTTGGAACTGATAGACGCCGCAGTCCTTCTCAACTGTGACTCTGACCGTAAGCGGTGGCGCATTATTCTTTTCGTTTTCCCGTCGTATCGCGTGTTTCGGGCCCCAAGACCGACGGCGTAGCCGACGTAGCGCGGGTCAGACTTGAGCTCAGCTATAGTATCTTCTCCGGTGCCAGTGCTACAAGGTGACAACGTGCTTTCCATGTGAGATGAGCGTGAGACCGAACAGTTAGTATGATCTGGATACATATTAACTTCTATGGCACTGCCGGATGGAATTGGGTTTAGAAAGATTTGGTCGGTCGCTGATGAGAGTATCTCGTTTAGAGGTTCGTCAGCTGCGGTCCGTTGCGGAACCGTCGAGAAGGTGGATATGGGGCCTTCCAGCTCGAAGGCAAGCGATTCGTCCATCATGTTGAAGGGAAGCCAGTTCGGATATACTTGTGAGAGACTGCCCATGGGTCCATAATTGTGGCCTATGGAGGATACAGCGCTGTCCGCCATGCCAAGGTCGACAATTCTGAGGCTACCAGCGTCCTGGTCTTCGCGGGGCCAGTGACCCTCAGAAGAGCTTCCAGGTACCACCTGCGACAGCCATGGACTGACTTGGGGTTGCACCTGGTCATACTCAACTGCCGGCGACTTGGAGCTCAGGCTCGATGGCGGTGCAATCGCCACGTCCTGAATCTCGGTCGCCCCTCGCTGCTGGTCACCAGCATTGGCCACCTGCGTATACTGTGTCTCACGGCGCTTACGTAGACGATGCTCGCACATGAGGTTCTTCTTTACACACCGTTGACATGGTGATTCTCCTGAGCACCGCGTGCGGGCTTTTGCGCACTCCAAGCAGGCGTGGGTGCGCCTCGGGCTATTCAGGACAGCTGGCGCAGCATTGGGCGTAACATGACCTGCCTCGTGGCGAAGAAGTGCGTCTCTGGAGAGAGCAAGATAACAGGGTCAGAGGGGGAGACGTTGGAATCAAAAAAGTAGCGACGCGGACTAGGAGATATACTTGCCTTCGAGAGAATTGCCTGTGGCATATGCGGCACGCATGCGCGTTCGCGGCTTTCGAATGCGTTAGCTGATGCCGCCGGAGATGCTCTGACCTTGAAAAGCTGCGCCCGCATATTGGGCAGAGCCGAAGCGTACTGGTGGCAGCACCGCCTGGAGGGCTGCTGTCCTCGTTCGCGACCTGATTATTGTCCATGCTGATGGGCATGATAACGAACCCGCCTAGACCCGCTGGGCTGGGTTGAGCTACTTTATACAAGAATTTCATTTTGAGTTATGTTATTTGGTTTAACTTTACTTTATGCAGGAAGGGAATATTGCAGAACGGACGCCATCTTCCCCGCGCTGGAGTTCACGATGAACCCCACACTCGGAAGCAGACCCAGGCATAGCCTTTAAGCGAGCGAATCACGACGGATGGCCAATATACTGTAGGTGGTTGAGGCGCCCAATGATCATCGATTCGATGGAGGCCTATTGAAATTGTGCAGTGGCGTTCCATAAGTTTGCAACTCCCAGGAAGGTTCAACCCCCTCTCATCAGCTATACTTTAAAAGGCAAGTTGAATAAAACTGCCGGGAATATCTAGAAAGAGTGTTCAAAAGATATTCAGAAAGAGCTGATAAAAATGTAAAGTCGAAGCATATTTAGATGGTCTTTTCGCTTGGTCTCTTGTTTCAGACTTTTGAACTGCCCCTGTACCAGGTACGGTAGTAGCTGGCGGGTCCCCCTGTCACAAGAGCAAACCGATACAGCATAGACTAGTAAACTAGTAGGCATATTGATAAATAAGATCAAACAAAACTACGATTAGACGAATAGGATGATTGATTCGAACACAATAGAAGATGCTTCGGGGAGAACGAGGGAAGAAATCTTCCTAACCCGAAACCCAAGTTGTCGCTCTCCGTCGTGAGTGGTCCCCCAACAGCTACGTCTTCGGCATCCTTGTAATGGAGCCCACAGAGAGTTATCAGAAGCTGTGCGGGGTTTAGCCAGATGCACACTCTCCTACCTCTGAAGAACTCTAGGGCGTGGAAGGCTGTATGCTCTTTTAGTAACTGAATTCAAAAGCAAAGGCGCCGCTAGGATCCGCCTTGGGAATTGTGATATTCAGACTGCTGTTGGTAAATAAATAGGTGATAAGGCCTTGATCGACCGCCCAATCTACCTCCGTATATACAATGAAGTAATAGGTATGCGTTACGGTCAGAGGCAAAACCCAGAGCCTCCATGTTGTTAACGACAATGTTCCAAGGGCCACTTGCAGCACGAGTACCTTCATTGCGCTCGAACTGAGAGATTTGCCACAGGATACCCGCGGGCGCCTCTTGGTCAAGAGCACCATACTCATTGATCATGAACGGTGGGTGAGTCAATGCCTGTGTCCTTCAGGATGCCTTGCATGCTGCTGATGGAGGTTGCAAAGTCACCGTCATCGTAGAGGAAAAACATCGAGATCGCATCTGGCACGCTGTTGTTCGCCGCGATAAATGAGGCCCATTCGGTAAACCAATCTAATACATCGCCAGCGAATTCGGGGAGACGGCCATACGATGGACCAATAATATGGGCGTTGGGAAAGCTATTCCTGTTAAAGATCTAACGATGCGAGTGCATCGTAATTATAAAGACTTAATTTTGAGCAGGCTCAAAGAACGAGGTACGGTATCGGGATTGTATGGCAGGAGGGCCAATTGGATATGTGCCGGAATCAGCAGAAAGATTTGATTGATTGAAAAAGAAACAATCTGACTGTAATGGAGCAGGTTGAGCTGACCCATGTTTGGTTAGACTATCGCCTGTTCAACTGTCCTTGCCCAATGCTTTCCTCTTAGGGCCGCTACTCCGAATTGGGCAATGCAGGCTGCTTTGAAACAGCCGCATGAAATAACAGATTTTGCCCCCGGCAATCTCTCGCCGTTAATCTCTCTGATAGCTTCTTTACGCTTATCTCTGTTCGCCCTTGCGAAATAAGACCCTGAGCTCCTCTGGATGCGCACAGGAAGGACATTATGGCCCTTGCCCGAGTAGGGAAATTAGTCCAGGGAAACTATAGGATCCCGAGATATGGAGGGTCGAGAGGTATCACGTGTATTTGACTTAGTAAGAATTATTCGTGTTTGAATTTGATGGGAAGTGGCCGACTACAAAAGAAAGCAGGAAACCTGGAATCAATCTTCATGGAACTATCTCAGAGAACTATTTAAGAAGAAAGAAGAGAGAGGATGGTAGCAAGGACTATATAGTCCTACATACAGCTATCAAACACACTTAGCCTAGCGATTCCCTACAAGGAAAAACCCATGGATCGAGGTTCCCAGTAGAATCTCCATCAGAAAGGAACAAAATCCGTTATATTCTAAAGGCCGACTGTCCGGATAGTCTGTAAATCCATCCTGCATAAGCCACTAAAATAGCCGCAAGACTGGCAAGATACGCAAGCAGCAATTTATAGGAAGAAGTTCAGTACTGAGCGATCACGGCAGGAGTATCTAATTCGATAGACTGGAACGTATACTACGATTAACGCAAAGCGCCTTGTACAACTATTGGTGCGATTGGCTCAGGAGTCCATGGTGGTTCGCTCTCCCAACGGTGCCAAATCTTTGATCCACTCCTCAGATCAAGAGATACCCAACTGAAAATGGTCAGCGTGGCAGTTCAAATATAGATGCAGGCTAAGAGCAACATACTGGGTGTCACCCTTGGGGTTATAACAGTAAAAACGCCAAAGTGGGTCATCTGATTCATCGGCATACCCAAGAAGGAGGCGTGTGGTAAAAGTCACTGTACCAGTGTCTTCTTGTGATTCTGGTCCTCTCCAAACATCAGCCCCACAAAGTCGGCAGTTAGTCGAATTTCCAGTCGTGTACACCAAGTCCAAGAGATTCAGGTGAGGACATGTGACGATAGGGTCGGCTAGGCTGGGCTGATCCCCAGAAGATACTGGCAGATGAAGGGAGTGCCAAACATACAAAGCGATCCAGCCCGTGCTACAAATAGATATTGCCACAGAAATCTGCACCTGTCCATTGTGATTTGAGTGAAATGGGCAGACATGATTTTCGGGTCTCCATCCGTCAGAATGAATCCCAAAACAGCCATAATTGGTCAGAGGGGGCGTAGGGGAGGACAGGAGAAGAACCCGCACATGGTTTCGATCTCGACGAGTAAAATGAAGACATGGGCACAGTTTTATGACCCCATCGTAGCGCGTACAACGTCTCTTCAGAGGCAAGACGGCGAGCGCATCTGGCGCAAACATCCCTCGAGGCTTGAGCAGAAAACATCGGCGCAATATGCCCAACGGGAATTCTCAAGCTGCACAAGGTGTTTAAGTCGTAGCTTATCATCGCTGTTGACAAATGAGAGAGGAAGATGATGTACAGTCGGCTGTGGCTGAAGTACTGCTTTATCTTTGACAATCCCCTTATATTTCGTAAAGAGAGTTTTGCAGGTGAGAGCGAAACAAACTTGATCGACCAGGCCAAGATTTTCGAATATTTCGGCAAAGATGCTCTCATCAAACGAGCAAATGTCACATCTACGCTCACGCCCAGGCTTCTGAGGAGCGAAAGTGCCTGTGAGGGTTATTTTGCTGCTGAAGTTCCAGAGCCTTTGGTTTTCTCTCTGAACGTCGTTCTTCGTTTTGGCCTCGAGGTTTGCGTCCCCGATGCTCGTCACTGAGACATCATCTTCCAATCTGTCTCCAAGAAGTCGGCTAGGGTATCGGGTCAACTCTTTGATCAAATCTCGCAAGCGCATCATGGTTCCTATAGATAGGTAACTATCCACAATGCAGGAAATGTAAAGTCTGCTAGGTAGCCAACCGAAGGGGCTCGGCGATCAATAAATGGTTTCGCTAAGCAGTCTCAAATTTGTGTGACGTTGGAATTCGTACTCGACTTCGACAAATATAGTTCAGAACAACCAGGGCTCCCACATTCTAGTCAACTAGGCGTCTTTGCAAATGGCGGGTTGGTAAATACCATACCTGGATAATTAAGGAACCCTTGAGGTCATCACGCTCTAACTAGAATATAAATTGTGGATCCGCGCATTATGGCTCATCCAAGCCCCAGTGCAGTTGATAGTTGCGACATAGTACCACCTGACTCTTCTCGGCGGCAGTAGTCAGTGCTTTCTGAAATCGGAATTTACGAAGGCCACTCGCTAATAGGCGGGCGGCGGGAGGATTTTCATGTAGTTATGTAGTCCCTTAGCTTAGCACGTCCCCGTGCCTCGGGGGTATAGCGGCCGATTAAGGACACCAGCTCAAACCCTATTTTCCAAGGCAGAAAGTCCGGCAGAATTGTCAACTTAACTAAGCTTGGTCTAATCCCTGATTTCCCTCACGAGGGAAGACAAAGAAAATCGCCCTCCAATTGGTTAAGGGGACGGGCTTGGAGAAAGTAAAGATCCGGGTATAATCATGAATTCCGATTAGCTAGCATAGCTCATCTGGCTCAGGAGAACTTTGAAGAACTGATCCATCGAGCGCTAGTCACCTTTGTCACCGGGGACAGACATATTGGCGGGATAGGTAAAGTCGAAGTCGTATAGGTCGGCAAAAAGTACCTAGAAGTCTGCACCATACTTGCGTACGTTTCGATATTCGGACCTAACTAATATCGCCCATAGAACTCAGCTTCGCCAAAGATCCAGCCTCTAGACGACTCTAGCAAACGCGAGCCTCCAGCTTGATTGTTCCAGACAGCCATATCTGTGTAGAAATAGTCTGGAATCTAACCAGGGGCATCAGGAACACTATACAAGATAACGGAAGCCCGATAAACGGCGTTTCTAGTATTGTCGCCGAGGTAAATGTTGGCTAATCCGGTCACGGTCCTTGATCTTTCTTCGCAAGGGGAGAGGCAACGACCGTTACAGCCAGCAGGGCAAGAAAAGGGTCGAGCATGTTGGCTGGAGCTTCAGAGTTGATATGGAAAACGTCAAGATTACAGACGCCTTGCTTTCCACAACAACCGGGGTCTTAGAGTCAAAATCCAGGGGATCTTTGGTCTGAGCGATGGATGATAATGAGCATCTACGCAATTACGAAGGAGGATACGGCTCTGTTGACCCATAGCCGCGTCCTCGTCCCTGTTAACACCCCCATCGTCGTCAATGGATTTCCAATTCCATATCCCAGGGCTTTGTGCCGCTCGACACTGTGTTCCTAAACTTCGTCAGCCCCCACGGTCAATTTCCGCGTGGTTTGCCAGTGGCTCTTCTCTACGCGCATGTTACGCTACGCCGCCCTCAACCCAACAACCCTGTTGTACCCTTTGCTACTGCAGTTAATGCCCCCATAGGGGTTCCCGCTGCACCCTCTAGCGTAATCGCCGTTTTCGTTAGTTTCGACCACCTACACAGATTGTCAACGCATTAGCCCTGTATCAACATAGAAAAGCTCCCTATAGGCTTGAGCAGGTCGAAACCTCGCTCTGCTGTAGATTTGCTGGCGGTGGCCTGAAACTATAAGCCATCTTTAGCAAGACGTCTCTGTTCTTTAGCAGCACCCTCTGCCTTCTTTGCTACCATTAACTGATCTACATCATGAGTAGATCCATAAGATAGCTCGTTATTGACACTTCGAAATTACTGCTTCTTGTTAAGCCCACTTCCGAAAGGAAGAAGATCAAATAATGTAGTAGTATTAAACGAGGTTTCTAAAGCATGGGGAAGCAAAGCATGAGGGCAGCTGAGAGGAGAGGTCTGAATAAACGTTGAATGTCTGCGGCAGCAGGCTTCAGGCATCCACACATGTAATTTCTAGCAGGAGTGATATCAAGCACGTAGCAAAGATAGGTCGAATAAGGTAGAAATCTAAAGAGTATAATCCGATTATATTCGTATTTCTGAGAAACTCGAGAATAAGCTGTACTCCATAACCTTCGAATACATGGACAGGTTTCTTGTTCCTTGTAGTACGACCGTCACAACTAGTAGCCTCTGTAAAATAATCAAGCTATTCAGTTTCTGATTTAATTAGAGATCTAGCTATTCGGGGACATTATAATAAGCTTCTTTCGTGGTAGATATTCACTACTGTCGAACTAGCTGTCTACACAAGTTTCGTTACGTTTCGATATACAAAGAGGATCTGTCTACTAGACCACTGTAATATATTCGAATGTAGTGATAGATCCGCCTAGTATAGCCTCACGAGTTTAAGGGAAGAAAAATTTGAACCAACAACCGTTCTAAATCGACCTTACTATTAATCAAGGGAATGAACATCCTGGACTGAAATTTGCTTTAGTTCCTTAGTCATTTAGGAGGCCGGCCTATACCTAACCAAGATACTCGAGATGAGCCTGGAAACGATATAGCAATGTAATCCTTAATGTATTCGGTCTCCTTTCGCACTAGTCAGCTTCTGTAGTCTCTTCGATGGCAGATTTGATAGATCAAGTGGGGGTTGGCATGGTGAGTGCGTGTATTAGTGTCCTGGGAAACGGCGATTACTGGATGGTGCACACCCCTCGCAAAGCGGGGAGGGTGTGGGTACCACCCCAAATTCCGGTGCCACTGCCGCCATGTCACTATACCGGAAATACGTTTGGTTGCAAGGCCGTTACCATGTGGATAGTGGCCATCAAACTCCGGTTGAAGATTATTGGGTAATAGCTGCATCATGCCAGCGCTGGAGTCGAGATGGCTGGAAGAAAGGCGGTAATCCGAGTGGATGCCACCGTTTCGTTGCTGCACTGCCCAAGGTCGGGAATTCTCCGGTGGCGTTTCGATAGCCAGTGCGCTGTGAAATTGGGACTGTGGTGAGACAAGTTGACAACATCCTTGTGCTCCTCCCGGAATCGCGTGGGGGTTTCCATACTACGAGCCACCTTAGTTAAAAGCAACCCACTTGTGCCAGACTTGACCACATTGAAGGCCTCATTGCGTTTATAATTCTATTCCGCTGAAGTTACGAAACCAGCAAAGATTCAAGCCAGAGATCTCAGAAAGCTAGCCGTGGCAAACATGCGAGAAATTCGCTTCAATACAGACGCCGTGCAAGTCCATCTTATTGTGGACGACGATGGAGTCGTCCGGCTCAAGGATCTTCTGCAGAACGGAGCTACTCCCACCAAGCCGCTTTCTCAGCTCTCCATCGATCTTTATCTTCCCCTCGTTGAGGTCAGGATCACCGGTGAGGGGAATGAGATGATCAAGACCTCAAAGTCCCTGATTGGCAGTAAAATATCACGTCGACTCAAGTATCAGTCGCACCAGGAATCCGAGGGCGCTGGCCAGAAGGCCCTCGATGTGGTAGTTTGCGACCCTATCACGAACCTCGAAGTTACCGTCCGCCTTTCGGCCTTCGTCGGCTTACCGGTTATCCGAACGGTTGCGACGGTTGTCAACCGATCCGGCTCAGATGTGATCGTGTCTCAAATATCGTCTGCAGTCATCGGCGGCCTGACTGCTAGAGCCGAGTCATGGGAGCAAGACTACGAAGTTCTCTTTGCCAACAACTCATGGTTTAGAGAGGCCCAGTGGACGACCCGAACTCTAGCCAGTGTCGGCATCGGAGGGAGTGGGGTGATGAAGTTGAACGAAGGTCACCACGGTACGCTTGCTCAGTTTTCTCTGTCCAACACGGGATCGTTCTCCACCGGTAGCTTCCTCCCCATGGGACTTTTGTCGAGAAAGGATTCTGCTTCCCCGGAGACCTGGCTCTGGCAGATTGAAACCAATGGCTCATGGAGGTGGGAGATTGGTGACTACCATGACAGCATATACCTCGCAGCTTCTGGTCCTACCGCGCGGAATCATAACTGGAGAACAAAGCTTGCGTCCGGAGAATCCTTCACCTCGGTTCCTGTCTCTGTTTGCCACGTTCTAGATGGTATCCAATCAGCCTTTGCAGCTCTAACCAGCTACCGACGCAAGATCCGTAGGACCCACGAGGACAATCAGAAGCTTCATGTCATCTTCAATGATTACATGAACTGTCTCATGGGCGACCCAACGGAAGAAAAAGTCCTGGCTCTACTGGAACCAGTCTCGAAGTTGGGCGTTGAATACTTTGTCATCGATGCCGGCTGGTATGCAGACGACTCCAACTGGTGGGACGACGTTGGAGAGTGGGAACCATCTAAGAAACGCTTTCCTTCGGGCTTCAAGGCGCTATTGGACGCTATCCGGGCCAAAGGAATCGTTCCTGGTGTCTGGGTAGAGCCCGAAGTTATCGGTGTTCGGAACAAGCTCGCCAGAGAATTGCCGGAAGAGTGCTTCTTCCACGAGTGTGGAGCCCGAGTCGAAGAGAAGGGTCGGTATCAGTTGGATTACCGCCACCCTGTGGTTAGAGAACGGATGCACGAAGTAATCCGGAAGTTGGTTATAGACTACGGCGTGGGCTATTTCAAGTTCGACTACAACATCGAAGTCACCCAAGGAACAGATATAGACGCATTCAGTACGGGCGCGGGCCAGCTAAGTCACAACCGGGCGTATATCCTCTGGGTAAACGAGCTGTACGATCGCTATCCTGATCTCATCATCGAGAGCTGTTCTAGCGGCGCACAGCGCATGGATTATGCCATGCTGGCCACACACTCGCTACAGTCTACCAGTGACCAAGAGGATCCGGTACTCTACTCCGCCATCTCCGCTGCCATCCCGACAGCCGTGACGCCGGAGCAAAGTGGTATCTGGTCGTATCCCCAGCCCGAGTACGATGACGAACTCAATGCCTTGACGCTTGTAAACAGCATGCTCGGAAGGATGTACCTCAGCGGTAACATACCGGGACTCAACGAACATCAGCTGGAGCTGATCGCTGAGTCGATTCGGGTGTACAAATCTTTCCGCGATGAACTCCCGCGGGCTCAAGCGTTTTGGCCCTTGGGTTTTCCTGGATGGGACGATGAATGGCTTTCGCTCGGCATGGTTTCGGAGGATGGTTCCTCCAGGTACCTGGCAGTTTGGCGTCGCCGCGGGCCTCAGACCTATAGATTACCCATTTTAGACTTGAAGGGGAGGTCCGCCTCGGCGGTGCTTCTGTTCCCTCGCAGTGGCTCTGTGGACACTAAGTGGTGCTCAGATGATGGTGTTTTGGACGTGACGCTTCCGAAGACCATGTGTGCACGACTCTTCCGCATCACAGAGGCGTGAAGGCATCCCTATCAAGATACCCAAGGTAGGGGGTGAACGACTTAACGCGTTGACTAATTTGATGTCAATACTAACGTCGATATCAATCTAGAAATAGAGTAAGCTAGCGCTCTAACCGGCGGGCTGAATCCCGGCGCTCTGACCAGCTTACGCCATTATTAGTACCGATCGAACATTTGAGGCAGCTTGTATGAAAGTTAGTTAACTAGTTAACTAGTTACTTGTGGCAAATTGACTAAGCTGACCAACCTAAATTTCCTACCATGCGAGCTGAACTGGCGCGATAGATCGAGAATCTACAGGCATCCTTCCAACAACGAAATGGGATATGAAAATTATCATTTTGATGGTAAATACAATAATACAATCAGAAAACTTGCTGCAAGAACGGAAGGTTGGCCCCGTATTTATCGAGCATCTTGTTGATGGGGTATTACACTCTTTGCTCAACGGTCATGAAACTGAGCGTTTTTCGAATGTTTCTTCAACCAGAGATACCTGTTCGATGCGTCTCTAGCATTTACCGCAACATTATCGAAATACGATATTCGTCAGACTTCTTGCACACGATTCTCCCTGTTGCTGTCATACGCATCCACATGGTACTTCTTGAACTTCCTGGTGGCGAGTCTGGCTTCAAACATGAGATCGAGTTCCTCGTAGCTTCGGCCCTTCGTTTCGGGCAGGCGGAAGAAAGCCCAAACCAGTGTGAGAAATCCAAACCCGAACCAGAAGAAACCAGTTTTTCCTTTTTTAGAACAGATATCAGTAAGAGCAATACATGTTTTATTTAGGGAAAACGCCGAGTGTAATACGGTATATAACACACCTTTCCAATCCCACGCCTCGGGATTCATCATGTAGGGCTGGATGACGTTGGCGACGATTTGTCCGAGATAGTAGGTGTTTCGGGCAAGCACAATAGTCTTGGATCGCAGACGGGTAGATGACATCTCGGCGGGGATGGCCCAGCCAACTGGTCCAACCGTAAGGGAGAATGTCAACAGCCAGATAATGCAGAGCGCCGACTGAACCCATTTGACAGATTGATTGATCGTGTCAATAGCCAGGCCGCCGATGATGAACAACCAAAGGCACATGCCGCCCATGCCAGTCAGATAAAGCGTTCGACGGCCGAAACGCTTCATCAGGAACCACGAAGCAATGGTACCGACGAAAGCGATACCAGTACCTCCGAGGTTCAATTTGTAAGAGTCGTTGGAGCTCAGACCGGCTTGCTGGAAGAAGTATGTAGCGGAGTAGGCGAATTGGGCGCCGCAGGTGATCTGGCCGAGGAAGGCGACGCAAGCAATCTCCGTTCGCCGTAGGTCCGTAGACTTGAAGCAGTCCAAGTATGATGTGCCAGCGGAGATGTCACGCTCGAGGTCGTTGGTGTGAATCATCAGCGCTACCAGGGATCTCGCTTGGGGCTTTTCATGATCCGCCATCAAACGGAGCACACTCTTTTCGGCCTCGGCGTACTTTCCCTGTCGGACGAGGTACCACGGAGACTCGGGCATAAAGAAAGCTGCGACGGCTAGGAGAGGGATCCACAGCCATTGCAGGGCGAATGGGATACGCCACGCCCAGTCGTCTCGCCGGTTGATAAAGCTCTGGAGAACGCCAGCCCCGATAAACTGACCAGTTGCAAAGCACATATTTGTGTATGCCGTGAGGTATCCTCTGAGAGGGGCAGGGGGCAGACCTCGGATGCGTACGCGGGACCAATCGTGGCAAAGATACCCCAAGGGATACTAGAAAAGTTTCGAGATCAGCCTGATATCCACCTTACCACGCCGGGTTACAACCCAATTCCAGCGATACTGGAGGGCTTGGCCTACCCGCATAAGATCTGTCCCACGGCCTGGAGCCGGACCGAGAAGCCAAAGAAAGAGACGAAAACAAACGCGGCCATCAGTGTCAAGCCACTGATGAAAGCCGGTCGGTAACCAAAACGCGCAATCACGAAGCCGTTGACCAGAGCGCCAATGATGGCACCGGCCTGTGGCCCACTTCCCATGGCACTCTGCCACGCTGCGGGGATTTGATACAGACCAGTGCTCTCATCGACGGTGCCAAACTCGCGGGCATAGCTAGGATATGCGTACAGCGACCCGATGAGGATTGTGTCGTAGCCCTCCATGATGATGGACATGGAGATGGTGAACGCCCACATGACTGCCCATGGGTACGACTTGAGAGCTTGGCGTACGGTCAGGGAGTGTTCGTGGGCATTGGCGGCCTGGGCTTCTGCGAGTGTCCCCTCCCAGACACCTCTCGTGCCGAGAGTGATGTCGGCATTAGATTTGCCGTAGTCGGAGTCGATCTTCTCCTCGTGTTCCACGTGAAGCTTTTCCGTTTGGTCTTCCATCGTGAACACCAGATGAGATGTGGATCGATTATTGATGTTCCCGGTCGTAAGAGAGGCGGTTTGAAGAGGGATAGGATGATGGATGATGCGTGTTGGAGAATGAGATCGACAGCCTTATTTATTAAACATGCCTGCCCTCGTATCCATGAGATGAGGACCAAGCCATGTCCGTGCAAGTATACCCCAGACCCCGGATTCAGCGATGTGGAGGCCGGATTTTGGATGTGGGGGGAGATGGCAGACGACAGGCACTACACCATCTCACCGTCTCATGAGACTGGTAGCTCCGGACAGGACCTGGCCCTACCGAGTCTCCGGTGGGGGTGGTGTAGCTAGCAGTAAGGGGGCTTCTGAAGTTTCTGATGCCAAATCCGCAAGAGTTATGCAAGTGCTTCGTTTAAGTCTCAAGTTCACATCACCAGCTATGTATGGCATGACATCACGTGCTTCAGCATCTGCAGTCTGCCCTGCCACAATTTTGCAGTTAAATCCATATAGCAGTGGAATACTAATCCTAAAGGATTCTCTACTAGAATTGTGGATCTTCTCTAGCCCGAGGTTTTAGTACTACATCGTTTTGGGTCTTCAATCCGCGAAATAGCAGAAACTGTGTTCTCTAAACACCGACCACTCAGGAAGGGCGTAGAAAAACTACAAGCGTAGTCGGAGTAGGTCACATGTCTGTAGGTAAGCTCGTACAAGGTACTGTACAGACACGGCTAGTCAATCCCACAAGCATAACAGTAAAAAGATCGACTCCCCGCACTCCTCCCTCCTCTATAAAAGGGTTTACTATCCCCTGCATCCCCATCTATCTTACATCTCACCATCTTCCACCTCAACCACTGCCTAGGTATGTATCCCTTTACCCCTTACCCCTTCCCTCCCCTTCCCCCCCCCCCTCCTGATGTTCAATGTTCCATATTCCATAACACTCATTCTCGTGGAAACCCACATGAAGAAACAAACATTCAACCTTGCGACCGGGATCCACCGGTTTGAGCATCGCAAAAACAAAATTAAGCAGATTCGGATCGGGTCCACTCCACTCCACTCCATAAACTCAATTTCATTTTCATCCTCCCATACATAACATATTCCGCATGATCCACAGTACGATTGTGTTGTGTTGTGGGATGTTTGCTGATGATTTAGTTGGTTTAGGTATACCGTGTGAGGATTTCATCTTCGATGGGTAGGTAGGCTGGACTTATGGATGGGAACGGGTTAGTTCGGAATAGTGGTAAGAAGGGATCAAGGTATTGGGACCGGGATAGGAGAGGAGAGGAGATATATAGGTTGTGAATATAGCGAAAAAGGTTCATTATCGGATTAAATCTAGCAACATAGGTATGGAAACTGCTATGATTATCCTATTACCATTTCCAATCATCTCATATCATCGCATCGCATCACATCACATCACAAATCATAAGCCAGTCGCAGAGAGCAAAGCACGCTCAATACATTCCCAGGGGCGTGGCGGCACAATACACCCATCTCCGTCCACGGAGAGACATCTCAAATCTTAATCACAGTTCCCAAGTTCAGATTCAAGTTCAGACTTTCACTCCCGCTGCACAGCAGTCGCCTTCTCAGGATCACTCTCATACCCGCGATCAGCCGCGACAACAGCCAAATCGGCATCATGTTCCGCATCAAAGTTCCGACCCAGACGCTCAGGACCAGCGAGCGTCAACAGAATCGTATACGCAAAGACGCACCCCATGAAAATGCAAATGACCTTGCCGTAATCGTAGCGGTGGGGCGCCGCCTTGGTCGGCGGCAGCGGGAAGCGCTCGCCGATAGTCGACTCGATGGTCGAACTCGCCGAGGAGACCAGGTTACCCAGCTGGTAGGCGGTACCGACGACAAAGGTGCGGATGGAACCGGGCGAGAGTTCCATGAGGTGAATGGGGATTACGCCCCAGGCGCCTTGTACCATGAACTGCTCGAAGAAGGCGGCGGCCATGACGGTTTCGTTTTTGACGAAGGTGTAGGGGTAGAGGAGGGCGCCGCCGACGATGCAGATGATGATTATGGAGAAGCGGCGGCCGAAGATTTGACTGGCCCAGCCGCAGAGGGTGCCGCCGGTGAGGGCGCCGAGGTTGGCGACGACTTGGGTGATTGTGACGCCGTTCTTGGAGAGTTTGAATTGGTTGCTGAGCATGGTGGGGTAGAGATCTTGGGAGCCGTGGGACTGGAAAGGAGGGAGGACGGTGTTAGATAAACGTATATAGACGTATACGATAGAGACTCCGTTCGTAGCGGTTAGGAGTACTTACCATGAAGTTGAAACCGGCCATCAACAGAACAAGGTAGACCAGCAGCAGCCAGTGCCGCTTGAGCGCAACCTTACCCTCTGAGACAAAGGATGCCGCAACACCACCACGCATCTCGGCACGCGCCTCCTGACGACGACGGAACGTCTCCGTCTCCGGGAGACACAGACGGAACGCAATGATCAAGATGGGAGGGCACGCGGCGAACCAGTACAGTGGGCGCCAGCCGTGGGAGGTAGTATCGACCAGACCACGCGCGAACGCGGTCGCGAGCAGATACCCAAACGCATAACCCTGCTGCAGCAGACCAGAGACGATACCGCGAGCCTCGGGAGGGCAGTCCTCGAGGGCAGTCGCGGCAGCGTTACCGTACAGACCGCCCATGGCGATACCGAAGAGGGCACGGCAGGCCAGGAACTGCTTGTACGTCTGGCAGAAACCACAGCCCAGCTCGATCACGACGAAAAGCAGCTGGTTGACGACGAAGGGCCATTTCCGGCCGTAGCGATCCGAGGCAATACCGAAGGTGATGGCACCGACGGATCGGAGCATCAGCACTAGGGTGATACCCCAGGTGATGTCTGTGATAGATACGTCAAAGGTCTCGGCGAGCTGAGTGGTGGTCAAGGAGACGGTGAAGAAGTCAAAGGCATCCCAGGACCAGCCACAGAAGGCGACCTATAGAGGTGATTAGTCTACTGATTATTTTTTTTCCCGCTTTTCATGTTTGTAGATGCTTGGAATCAAGCGCTCTATAGAGACGCACCAGGAAGAACATCCATTGTTGTCGGTTCAACAGAGTCAGGGCCTTGAACGGATTCGGGGCCGGGTTCATCGGCGGCACCAGCGATGGGATGCGCGTCGCGATGTATTGACCGACACTCATATCCTCCTCCACATCGGGCGAGGACTGCGCGTGCGCAGGATGGTCGTGTGTTTCACCCATGGCTGCGCCAAGCACCGGAGGGGGCTGGCTACTCGGCGAGTAAATTTGAGAGCCGAGGAAAAAGAAGGTTTGCAGAAATTGAGCCGAACGCAGTTTTGGGGGGGGGGTTTCAAAGGCCGATACCCAGAAGGGAGACCCTGCGAGGCGTCTGGACGTTGGACGTTGGCAGAGAAGGATGGAGGAAAGGGATGAGACCAGAAGGGACTGGGGAGGATGGAGCTGACTCTAAATACTACCCCACGACACGCCAAACAGGAAAGACAAGCAAACAAAAATCCCACTATTTCCAGCGTGACTTCCAGGTCGCATGGCCCGCGTCTGTTTACGAGCATCCGAAGAACCGTACTCCGTACCCACAACCAACCAGTTCCAACGGTGGAACACTCCAACCCCGCTCCGGGATCAAAAGGGATGCGGTCCAGTCACATCCTTCGTGCGGACGGGCAGAACTTCTCCAGACTCATGATTTGCCTCCGCCGCCGATCAATGCACTTTCTGGGGAAGTCAGTGGAGCATGGTCCTCCCCCCACGGAAGGAAGAAGCTGCGTTAGGTCGGCGCCATCATAACTCGACTTTTCTTGATTTTCCAGCCATTACCAGTCTTCATCTTTGTGCAGCTCCACGTCCCCATCCACTCTTCGTCCAAGTCTGGCACGACATCAAGCGTTTCGGACCCAATCCGCGAGCCAAGACAACACGGGGCCACCATGACGAATGAGAGGAGCGGCTTCGTTCGATGAGCATGCGCATCCCCGGTATCGTATCTCCATCGCGAGAGTTCACTAAGAGAGTCAATTTGCCTCGTGGCCAACACGATGCAGATTGGCTCTCGTCGCCGGGACCATGTCAGACGCGTAGGATCCCGGATCCGGTGTGATGAGAAGCGGCCCTGTGCACACGTCTGCGATGATGCCGAGTCGTTCGGATGCACTTGGCATGCCGTAGGGAGTGTCTCCCGCAGCGCCTCCGCACTCCTCGTCTCCTTCAGGACTAGTCCCCGGGGTTCCTCACCACAATCCTCAATCCACACGGCCGTATAAGCAGATCAATAGTGAAGAGAGTCTGACCCGGATGAAATCGGGAGTGATAGCTCATCACGCATTTCACATCAAAGGCTGGAATGAGGGCGTGTGAAAGAGACTGTGGAGGGAAAGTCAAGGGCTGGAATGACTGCGTGTGAAAGAGAGTTTGGAGGGGAAAGTTAAGGCCGGACAACCTCCGAGGGACTCGAGAATAACGGGGACGTGGTGGGCGTGGGGTGGGGGTGGTTGAGAGGACAAGCTCTTGCCCAGCGATGCTTGGGAAACCCCCCTGGGGCCCCCGCGACCCACTCTCCATTTCCGGGGACGGCCACGGCACGGGTAGTGCTCAGGCACTGACCGACCCTCGCAGCTTAGCCTTTTTCGCTCCGAGACTCGGCGGGCCGGGGGCGAAGCTTGGCGAGTTTGGGGTGTGCGGGTTATCGCCCTGTGCTCTGCCGTATATTCCATGCCCCGTACTCGCAAATCACCGGGGTACATAGCCACACGCTACCATTCCAGTAATTTCACAGTAGTCTATTCCATCCCAATAATTCCCGATAACTTTATCCCTCATCCACCCGCACATCAAATACATACCCCGGATTGGCTAGACCCACCGATGCCCCCAGGCCAGCATCAATCGCACATACGCCATACCGAAACATCAATGTAGCAACCCCCATCACCCCCCAAAACCTACGACAGCCCCCGAGCAAGCAGCCCTGAGTTCACTCCTATTGGCCAATTGCACCTTCTCGACCCTAAAAATCGCTATCAAACCTTCAGCCAGATTCCAACAGCCCGATACCGCTTTAATCGCGATTAATCCAATTGGATGTCTTCGCCGCATTAATTTACGTTTTACTCTAGTTCCTGTCCAGTACGTCCTCTTCGTAACTTATTTCGATATGGTTCTCCACTGTGCGAGCTAGTTAGAGCTCTGTCTCTGCTCTGGAACGGATAGACAGGACTGTAGGGAGCTATGGCAGGGCCTAGACTCAGCGTGATGAGTGCTAGGCGTGAGTATTGGAGGTGTGGAGTCTTGGACTGGGGGGAACGGGGAATTCCGGGGTAGGCAAGGGTTGGTTGGGATGTGTCTTTTTATGCCTCATAGATATTGATCGTGTTGGGTGGTTGATTAGTCGCCGATGACACCCCACGGAGGCGGGTTGAAGTATTGGATATGGTAGTGATGTTGCTCGAGCCTCGCTTCGTTTAAATCGTTGAGACATGGGGAGAGATTTTTGTGGAATTTGGAAGGTTTTGCTATTGCTATAGTTACCCGAATAGAAAATTGTTGCTTGGGATAGCGAGTCGTCTAGAGAGACCCTTCACTTTTGGGAGGGCACTGCTATGGAAAGAAGGTGACAGTCATCGATTACGTTTGAGGCGATACTGAAAGGTCAATGAAGTGAGGACACAGTCTGATTTTACCCTTCATTTCACTTCAAGTCCATGATCCCCCTAAACTGCATTTTGTTGTTTTTTCGTATTGATTAGAGAAAGTGTCATCGGTGAGCTGCAGCTTACCCTTGTGATTCTTTCATATCATGCAAAAGCTGACCTTGACGCACCTTCATCCCTTCCAAGAAGCTCCTCTCCGCGCCTGAAATTCAGCTTCAGGCAATGATTCATATTCTTCTCGATACGCATGCTGCGCGTCGAGTGTGGCGATGACGCGATTGTAGCTCGGAGTGTACTTTGGATTCCCGAATGAATAACAACTTTTTCAAGTGAAATCGTAACTACTGCGAGCTAGTGCATATTTGCAGGCGTAGCGTAGGGCAGCTTCAAAAGTCCATTCTTCGAATAATTCCAGCCTTGTTGTCTGCGTATTGCGTACGTCGATCGATATCGTTAGAATTCTCATGAAAGTGAATTTGTAAGCGTCATAGGACAAGGCCAAGGAACAACTTAATTAGCTTGGTTAATAGTGTGAGAAAGCAATGGCTCATATCAAAAATATTTCCGATGTTGTGGGTTTCAACTTTAACCGGGTTGATAGTGGGTACTGGCGGAGAAAAGTGATCCATTTAGCCGGCCTGACGATCAGACTGTAAAAGAAATAAATGGTCAAGTGAAAGACCGAGTCAAGGAAAACCAAAGAACAACTCAAAAACTGCCCGTATCGAATTCGGCCAAAACAGCTATCAAGTCTGGTGCAGATAAAGTTCAGAATGCCACAAAAGAGGCAGTTGAGCACAAATCGGGTTCGAGTGCTTTAACCAGCTTTGCATTGTCGAGGGGTCCGAAGAAGGCGGTAACTTTCGACGAGAAGAAGGAAAGTGTTTAGCTACAAAATTCAATCCAGACTGTTTTCAACTGTAATCTAGGTGACGGTAAACCTGCCACCTCGGGGAGTGATCGGCTCCCCAGAGCACAGGCCTCAATCTGACTTTCATCTCTCGTGAGAATTTCAGTCTCTACGCTGCACCATTTATTCCTTCAAAATGCAGGTTTCGTTGCGCTGTCGGTTCTATTAAGCTTAGCAAATTTGGGGCTCGCTTGATCCTAGAACCGTTATACACTACCGCTATCAGGCAAATATCCTTGCGTGCCCCACGAGAAGCCTTTACTGCGTCGATACGCTGTGCTAGGCAAAGGTAGACATAAACTCTGTCCGAATGTTACCTGTGCCTTTTTGCCCACCCACACCAACGAAACGGTTTTGGTGGGCAGAAGGCATAGATACAAGAAGTCCGTACGCGATATATATTAATCTCAAATTCCTGTGAACGCTTCCTTCAGTCTACCTACAAGCTTGACCAGTCTTTAATTGGCTACACCAGAGGGTCGATAGTCGAGAAGCTGTGCCGATTACATATTTGATCATATTACGAGTTGTGTTGACTATAGATCCGAACCTTATCGCGTTTTCTTACCTTCTGCCTTATAATGCGATGGCCGAAAGAGGTACTGAGGCCTGAAATATAAGCAGCCTAAGGGTCCCTTTCCTTGCGGTTTCTTTCCTACATCTAGTCTAGACTAACCTCAATTTCTCCTACTTTAACTCTCTGCTGATTAAAATGCCTCGCTTTTACTGAATTAACCCTAAATCATCAAAAGTTCTGGTAGCTAACACCGAGTCCCCCGTAAAGGTGCTTTTTAATTAGTTCTAAATCCCGGTCTATTATTAAAATAAGCGTGCTGAACGTGCTGAACGTAGGGACGTTAGCCAAACTCCAGTATGCCTGACATATACCTTTGAGTGATTTCCTTCAATTCCACCGTTATAAGAGTGGCTCCAGTCCCCAGAAGCAGGGTTCTTGTTCCTGGGGGCTTCATAATGAGCTTCCAGGAGCCCAGGCCGTGTTCCTGAGGACGGTGTCTGTCCTCCTGGAGCCTGGCTGTCTTGTTTCCAGATTTCCACCAACTCCTGTGAATGAACATCATTTGTGATTGCCTAGATGACCCATACTGTAGACCAGGCGTTGCTCTCCTGGTTGATCGATTGATTGATTTATTCAGAGTCTGTCCCAGTCGCCTTTGTGGCAGCTATAAAACGTACAGTTATCCCACCCATGCCAGGCTTTATAAAAGTCATCGCACAACCCGCATGCAAATATTTCTCGTACCCGTTAGCGCTCTTCAGACTTCCAAGTGAAGTTACTGATCTTGCGGAACATGTCGACCTCTTGAAGTTCGGCGGTACGTGTTTCCCGGGCTACAACAATGTTACGATTCGTGATGGGCACGTCCAGAAAATATACCTTGTTTCTCGCTCTTATCTATTACTCTGCCACTTTTCCTGGAACGAGGTATACGACTTCGACATTCCGACCCAAAATGGGGCATCATTCAAGCACGTTCAATATGGAGATTTGCTCAAGGAAACGTTTCGCAAATACGAGCCGAGCAGAAGTTTGGATGTTTTGTTCCAGCACGGTGCTTCACTGTGTGATGTGCCGTGTGGGATTAACAAGCTGCTCGAGGAAACTGTTCGCAAATATGCGTATCAAACTGCAGTTTGATCGCAACCACCCTTGTATCGGGTACAAACAAGGGTTGTTCAAGGGTTGGGCCACTACAGGTGTTGGGAAAACTGCATCGCACTAATCGGGTAACGTATGGAAAGTAGAGGCTAGAGAGAAATCTCACATCTTCCAGCATGCACGCATTGTTCCAACAAAGATGGTGGCCTTTAGTCCCCAAATCTGCCATGCATTAAGGCTGACTTGCAGGTGGACGGTTCGTGTCTAACAAGTTGCAACCAATCATTCTTTACGCTCTTCACCGATCTCCCGATAACCCCGGTTCTCTACACACCATCAGCAATGGCTTCGTACATGAAAAAAAAATTGTTGTTGGTCAATCTGGTGATGCACTGACTTTTCGCCTGGGTGTCGATTTTGTGAGAGTGTTGTAAGGTAGAAATCGCACTTGTCTCCTGGACGCTGAGCACAATTTTTGCAGAAATTAGTGAAGATAAATACCCCGGCTGCTCCCCGCTGCCCTCATGTTCTTTTTGCTCTTCATTAAGTCTCACCTCCATTTTTAAATCTTTCTGCACTCAGATGTTCAAGTTCCCCCGATTCCTTCTTCAAGCAGCTGGAAAATATGGCCATAGAAAGCCTCATCAAGGAATCTGTGATTTCTACATTCATAGACCAATATAGGCAAAATGAGTACGCAGATCTGGCGAAGAGAGCTGCAGATTCATGCGAACGGGCCCTTTCGGAGAAGGACATACCCCATCAAACCAGGAGCCGCGCGAAGAATCCCGAAAGCCTCCGCAAGAAGCTCGAGCAACGCGAGCGCAAGAACGGTCCATACAAAACTCTAAAGCATATCCATAACGACATCGTCGATCTTGCCGGGGCTCGCATTATTCTCGAGAGGTGGGAAGATCGTGATCTTGTCAAAGGCATTATATACGAAATTTTCGAGGTTCAGAAGGAGGAATATAAGAAAGAAGAAAGTGGATACGAAGCAGTGCATTATCGGGTGTACATGAAGCAAGGCGGGTACCTGCGTGGTCCCCATATGACGGAAATGAGGCCGCTGGTTGAAATCCAGGTTCATTTCTTGTACATGGCGCAATGGGCCAATGATGAACATGATACTCGGTATAAGACACCCGTAGACCCTACTCGAGCGTTGAACAACAATCTCGATATCCGTCTTCAGGTGCTCCATCTTCAAGAAAAACTTGCTCGGCAAACCAGGGAAGAGAAGACAAGACAAGATGCAAAGCACAAGCAAAAGTTCACCAATGCCAAACACGTCGGCCGTCATCTAGAGAAGTGGATTCTCAAGCATGCTGCGGACTGGGCAAAAGATGAAGCCAAAACGACAGGATCTGCCACAGCTTTGACAAAATTTTTGGATGCTCGGGAATGGAGAACTCCCGAGTCTCTAAATCAGTTGCTCCAAGAACACTTTGGTGATGGCGCGCTGGATGAATACTCGAGTATCGCAAAGAAATATGCCGGCATCGAATTGAACCTCATTATTTATCTCATCGACCGCACAGTCCTGAAACGCGAAAAGAATAACGCGCATGCTTTCCAAGTCCCCAACAGCCATGAAGAACATGCCTACAAGATCCAGGTGATTCTGAGCACCTTCATCTGGATGAATCGTCTCTTTCTGCCGACCCTTGAATGGCAGCGTTTGTTCACGCGTTTTGAAGACCAAAAGACCCTTCGACAGGGCATCCTTTGGCTTGGAAACGGGGCCCGGCAAAACTTCATCGGAGAAGGAGACTCGTTGACAAACGATGAGATTGGTAAACTGAACAGACTGTGGGATTGGTTTAGCAGAAATCCCGACCGACCAATCATGTTGGCTTTCACGATGTCGAATCAAGGGGTAGTTAGAGATATCCCACGAGAAAAGGATGAGCTGGAAAATGCCCTTGGGCCACTGGGTCGGGCCCTGGGTCGCGCTTCAGTGTGAGTTTGAGGTTGACAACCAGGGAATGAAGGACGGAAGATAAGCTTCCTAAAGTTTGTGTTGCTGAGCGAGAGTGATATCATTGCGGTGTTTTCAACCCCTAAAAAGTTATGTTACTCCTGTTATCTGGTCTCGTCGTTAATTTTCAGTTTTTGCTTCGAAATATATGCTCATTAATACGCTAGAAATTTTCATGGCTATCTTCGTATTCCAATTAATGGAAATTAAGATGCACAAAGATACACGGAAGGATTGGTAAGTCTCAGGGACACTAAGTTAAGGAGGTCCGTTCATCACACATATCCCCTATTTTTAACCCCCATCACATGACAGCTTGCTTGTCGACCTGTCGATTTCAGGCGGGCGGGTGAGTCATGTGAGTTACCTCACGCGTGGCTCAACACGGTCATTGTGTGTCCAGGAAAAAGCAAAAAAAAGCAAAATCGACAGGTCAATGGAAATGAGTAACACTTGAAATCATTGAGATCTATCGTCACCCTGTCAGATGTTAGTCGCCTGCAAGACTGGAGGCTGGAGCGATAATTGGCAGCCGAGTATTTCTTGTTCGAGTATAAGAGAGGATGAGGCTCAGGCAAGCAAAGTTCTCAAATTGGAATTGCCACGACGCGTTTATTAATGAGACTGATACAAGCGCATTCTGGCAAAAAAACAGGCGCGTAACTTTGGCTGGGTAGCCTGTCACTCAGTCGTACTTCTGTCAATGAAATAAAAGGCGGCATTTCTCTTCTCTCGGGCAGCAGATTTTTTGAATTCCCTAGAAATTGTCAGACTTCTGTACTGACAGTACCTTGGGTGCAGGCTTCCGGCGAGTAGCAATGTGTTTCTCCAATTGGTTGAGCATGGTGAAACAGGTACGAGGTCTCAAACAGTCCTCGGGAGAGACGGCAAAAGCAATGCAAGTCGGTTCACATATGACAGGGGCTCAGAATTCCAGCGTAGTCGCAGAATTTTACGCGACTCGAGCAGAAGTTGGTATTGATTCCCTAGTGACATCATCAATGGAGGTTCGCTGACTTGTTATTGGACTAGAGCTTAATCCAGTTCTTGAATACCTCCGGTTCGAAGCCATTTTGAAAGGTTCACCCCCTCGTGATATATCCGAAGCCAGAATAAGGAGAATGTGGGAGATACTCGCACTCGCTGAGGATAATGGGTGGATCGGCTCCTTAAAATCCGAACGAGCCGTTGACTTCTGGATCTGGTGTGGGCTGAAGCCGGAACGATGGGCCTTCGTTCCGGATCAAGGCTTATGGGAAGAGTTCTCAGAGGAATGCGGGCTGTATAAATATAAAGGTCAGTGTGATTGCAGAAAAGAGAAAAAGGAAACGGGGAAGGTATCGGTTGGTTTTGATCTCGGGCTCATCAGCATCTGGGTCTTTTCAGAATGCCGATTGGATAGTTACCCATGCACAGAGCTAACTGGACCTAGACTACCCCAATGCAAGAATGCAAGAGTTGTCTGATCTGTCCATGTGGACGCCTCCAAAATTTGGGGTCAGCAGAATGCTTGAATAGTTATTCGAACGCCACTGGAAGCTTAAAGCTTATTGTCAAGTGAGTGTCAACTGAAAGCACTTCTTAACCGGGAAGGTTGCTAATCATAACCGTAATGATGTTTCTACGGAGAAGCCTTTGAAGAGAAATCCTTGCGATACACTTATACAATGGCATATTATCCAAGGATAATATACGAGTTGAGGGGTAGGCAGAAAGCTTGAATGAAAGTGGTTTAAGGGAGGATATGAGAGATAGCATCGAGAAGAGAGGGCCATGACCCCTTGCTGTCCCATGCGGGTGGGCGCTGAATCGTGCAGAACTCAGGGCCTCGGTCCTTTATAGGTTCATGCAGACAGCTAAGCGCGTCGCCCGCTGGAATTGTAATTTTTCCTAATATTTTTTGTTTCCCGAAAAGCTAACATTGGGGTTTGGCCCAAAGGTCTGTGTAGTTCATTTTTTTTTCTTCGTCAACCCTTTCTACACATTCATTGTCGAAACTTGTTCTATAGAGTTCACCTATATAATAGACAGAAAACATCCTGTATATTCAATTTTCATTAGCCTCACGATTGAAGAGAGATCAAACAACGAAAGAATCGCCGCGTTATATGCTACTTTTCTTATTTTTCCAGTTGAATATTACACGACGCATAATTTGTGTAAACTCAATAGTCCATTCAGCTAGCTGGGAAATTCTCAGAAATTAAAACCCATATTTTGCTCTATCGGACAACAAATGCAGGAAATATTGCTCCTGCTGAGGGACCGCGCGGGCAATAACTTCGAATAACATAATGGCCTTAGTGGCCCTGACTGTCATTCTCCACGAGAGGAAAGGCTCTATCCTATCATTTTCATGGAAGATTTCGTATTAAAGAAGCATATTTATAGAATTATCAGGTTGTGAAACTCGTCTCTAGTTCAGGATCCCGGTAGCGTGCAAGTAGGTTAGCTAAAGATTCTCGATAGGGCCGCGAATACCACGACGCTCGTCCCTAGGATTCTCAACCTGGTTACTCTATAGTAAACAGCATATATATAGCATATATCGCCTTTCTCAAGTTCAAAGTAGGCCACGGTGGCAGTGGTTGTGGGTCGATAGTTTCCAGATCGGTTAGTCTCTCTAGGTTCGTAGTCTTCAGCGCGCAGAGATCTACCGTGAGGTTTCCATGGGACTCCACGGACTCTTCGTACGCCTAGAGTGATATTACTTAGGCAGTTGTAACATATAAATTACATTTTATTCGGCCTTCAATTTGACGCGGCCAGCTCAAAAACTGATTTGCGCCAGGACCTTAATGGTAGGGCCCGAAAAGAGAGATCAAGTGTGTATTGGTCAAGCCAATACCGGTAATGACTCAATACACACAGAGTAACTAGTTAACTTTTTCCTGGACCTACCGCTATGGCTTTAGCGCAATTAAGACATAGAGAATATAGTTACTTCTATTTACTGAGTCATTTCTCGTTTATCTAATAGTTATAGGGTGGAAGAGATTTCGAGCTCAGTATCACCCTTAGATCACGCTTCTTATTATGCCTGATGCGTAGTATTATGGAATCGAATACTCGGATGCTTTAATTTTGGCAAGGCTTATGTATGTATATTTATGGAACAAAGAACAAAATACTCTTTCTCCGGGCCGTCAATAGAAATGTATAAACCCGAAATCTCCGTGCAATTATGAATTTCAATGTCCTTATACTTGTGGCGGGTTAGAGCCGCCTCTTACTGTGTGGTCCGCTCGACGTCGGACATTGTCGTCGATTTAGAGCCCTTTAGATGTGACGGCCATCTAGCGATGGATGGCTATAGTAGCACTTGGCGACAACATAGAGGTGGTCGAATACCAACAGAATCAGGCAGGACCGATGGACCGCGGGTCGGTCCATGTAGTGGAGCTAATAGGCATCTTCCACACGATCAGCACAGTGTTCAAGATAGCTCACCAGGGGTCAAGAACGGAAAACAGACAAACTATGCAACAGTAGGTCGGCTTTGCATGCAACCTAGAGCACATTGAATAGATCAGGGCAGCGTATCATGCCGGACATACAGAATCTCCTGTCTCCGGGTATCCACCTATCCTGCTGCTCCGACAAGCATACGGAAAAAAAAATAGTGGGCCGAATCACATCACGTGCGAGTTTGATTACTAATATTCTGGTAAAAAAGGACGCATAAAATGGCGGCAAGTATCCATTTTCGGCGCCATATTTACCGTTACCTAGCGTTGGGGTGTAATTAAAGTTGTAAATCATTATTATAACATATACGTCAACCCTTTAAATAATTATGGTCATGCCAGGACACAAAAAGAAAGGAAATCCCGACTCGAAATATCCCATCAACCCTACTCATTCTCACCTCTCCTCAAGCTTCTCAACCAAACAAGCAGTCCCATATGCACAAATCTGCGAACAAGACCCAAAAGTAGCAATATCGAACCTTAGCGCAATAATCGCATTCCCACCCCGACTCATACACTCTCCGACCAACCGCTCCATAGCCTCCTCACGAGATGTATACATGAGATTTGTAAAAATGCGAATCTCGCCCCCGACTGCTGTACGGAGGCCACCGCCAATATCTGCGCCCCAGTTGCGCGCTCGTACGGTGATGCCGTAGACTGTGCCGAGGATTTTGGTGACTTTGTAACCTGGCAGGTCGTTCATGGTTGATGTGATGACGCCGTGGGTGTCAGTGAAGCAGGAGGGGACGTCTTTGTCGTCTTTTTTGGAGGAGCCTGCCATGTTGTTGGAAGTAGGTCTGGTAATAGTTGTCGCAAAGAATTGTATATTGTGGGAGTGTGTCTCGTGTTGGTAGCTTGATTTGTGTTAGTTAGGTTCAGGTTTGTAATATGTAAGGTAAGGAATAGCTTACACTTGGTTCAATTAGTGGTTGCCTCGAGTGTGTGAAGTTATGAGTATCTTAGAAAGAGAAGAGAGGAATGAGGCGGTTTTGCGCTCTCTATAAATGGTGATCTGTGATCCTCGTATTATGCCGTCATACCCGCCGATGCGGCATTTTCGAGGTTTGTGGTTGCTGGGCAGTAGCCCAATGAAGTAATCTCGTATTCGGGCGAGCTAATGTGGACATCGCAAGAACGTTCTTCACGGTGGAAGAGATCTTATGCACGTATTCTACTCTATTTGTCGTCTCATCATGTGATACTTCCTTTCTGAAAAGAGTCCGAGGTTGTTGGAATAGCGTGGCACTATACATGGTATTGATTGCCAGGAGTTGTCAAGATACTACCAGGCTAGCGGGGGAAATCGAGAATAAGTATGGAAGGAAGAATACTATATACATTGGCTGAGGCTTGCAAAACTTGGCACTCCTCTGGCTTCTTGAAATATTCCAAGACCTCGTCTGGTGTTCCTTCTTCCTGCACGTTCCGCGGGGAAGGTTAAGGCTATGAGTCAAGTGTGGGGCGATCCGCTGCAGTTAAAACTTCGGGTTCTTGTATGCATTTACAGTATGGAGTACAGTATGCAGTACATTTGATACCAAAACGTCGACTTTTATCAATAGATACTAGCATCCTCCATACTTAATCGAGAAAACTCTCCGCTGTGGCTCATCCGCGCCACACCTTGGTAGTTTTCAGAGTCAAATGAGGCTTGAGACGAGGCTGTGCAGTCGATCCACGAGGCCCCTGGACCGAGCCAAAGCTGGGATGTGAGGCGGTGCTCGATTCCCCTCCCCAGCCCCGCTACGACCATGCTGAGTTAAATTGCGCCGTGTCGCTCCTGCCATTCGCGTCGCTTACTTTCGTTTCGTCTTCTCAACCTCCTCACCCTCCCTCACACTTCTTCTCATCTCATCCTTTCCTTCTATAATCACATCTACACTCATCATGTCGCATTACGGCGGTCCTCCTCCCAACAACCAGTACGGTGGTGGTGACTACTATGGCCAGCAGCAACAACAGGGCCAGGGTTACTATCCACCTCAGCATGGCCAGGGTGGTCCCCCGCCTCAGGGCTACTATCCTCCTGAGGTGAGTTGATCATCTTGACAGCGCATACATACTATCTGCAATGCAATGAGTTGCGCAGCTTGATAGCCATCCGCTTTCGTACCTTCCATAAACAGATCCAGCGCTAACAGACATCTCTCATCAGCAACAGCAGCAGCAGCAGTACGGCCAGCCCCAATACGGCGGCCAGCCCCCCGCTCAATACGGCCAACCCCAGCAAGGCTATGCTCCCCCACCATACGAGCAGCATCAACAGGGCCCGTACCCCGGCGGTGGTCCTTACGGACACAACCAGCAAATACCTCCCCAGGATCGCGGTCACTCGCCCTACCCTCCTCCTCAGCATCAACAGGCCGGCGCAAGTGCTGCATACTACGGCGCCGACGCGCCTCAGCACCAGCAGGGGTACGCGCCTGGCCCGGGAGTCCCGGAAGGTGAGAGGGGTCTTGGATCCACGCTTATTGGTGGCGCTGCGGGTGGATTTGCGGGCCACAAGATGGGCGGTGGGTTCTTGGGGACTGCGGGTGGTGCGGTTTTGGGTGCGGTGGGAATGAATATGGCCACTCATGAGGTGTAAGTTGACTGGTTACAGTACCTGGTTTTATGAGGCTTGTTCGTTTAAATTTGATGCTGACAATTACTTTCTGCTACAGCAAGAAGCACAAGAAGGAAAAGAAGGAGAAGAAACATAAGAAGGATAAGCACCACCACAGACGCCGCTCGAGCTCCAGTTCTAGCTCCAGCTCGTCCAGCTCTTCGAGTAATTAGGCTTGGCAGCGGTGCCCCGTTTCCGTTGCTAGGATCAGTCTTCCGCTGCGTTTTTCTTTTTCTTGCTTGGTTCACCATTGAGCCTGGGAGAACGGTTGAAGATGGTGGGTGCTGGGCTGCACGAGCTCGGCGCTGCCTGGTCGAGATGATAACTGAGGATTCATGATTACCTGTGATGCTTGACTTGACTGGTCTGATGATGGCGACTTGTGATATTCTTACCCCCCTTTCCTGAGTGCAACGGTCCTCCGTTATGCTGCTTGAGGGATGACTCTGGTCGCTTTCATTGCGTCTGTTGTGCTATGCGTTTATGAACCAATCCCTATTCATGTCAATGCTTCTCTCCTCTCAACTGAGGCCCGCAGAGTAGTATGTAGTGGTCTTATATAGGTGAGATGCGGGTTCGAGCTCAATAGGATTTTGCAAAGCTTGGTGGTGGAATAAGGTAGATATGAATGTTGGATGCCTGCACCGCCCTGGTTGATTGAATCTCCATGACAAAATAAGAAATGCAAAAAACATACAACAGCCAGGATTCGCATGTGGTCACCCACCATACTACTAACTGGCCGGCGTGTGGCTTAAGTACGGCTGAGCGGACGGGAAGCCCTGTTCTCCACACCCTATGGTCGTATGTGCTAGATTGACCATCAAACTAAACTATATGCTATGAATGTTTCGAAAGATACTCTTCTTCCGTCTAGTCACGCCAACCATGGCGATTATACGGCGTGACAGAGACTTCGATCTCGAAGGAGGATTTCTTCATGAATTCTTGGGGTATATGGAATATAGTACAGTAAGCGCTACAAAGAGGTCTTGACAGTTCCAACGATCTATCATGATGATACAGCACTAGACCTTTGGCTCCTCGCTGGAAGTATCCAATGTCTCCGGCTGAGTCTCGGGCTTGCTCTCAGTCCTGGCCTTGCCTTTCGTATCAGCCTCACCAAAGATATGGTCCAAATCTGCCTCGGTGTCAACCTCAAAGGCCAGTTGAGGCATTGTCTTGGGGGTGTCCCAGATGAAGAACCACTTATTCGTCGTGACGCTGTACTGCATCCGCGGAACGAGGGACGAGATTCGCCTCCATAGACGACGCATGAAACGGTCGGTGATTTCGTGTGGCCGGCCATTCGCAAAGTCACGGAAAGTATGACCTTTCTGAGGGCCTCTGGTCAGAAAGTCCAGTAAAGGGTCGTTATCCTCATCCTCGCTATGGGATGTGATAACTTCGACTGGCTTTCGCCGCCGTGGAGCCCAGTCCACGGTTCCTTGAATCAATCCGTCTAGAATTCGGAGCTCTGAGTCTGGTAGTGGTGGTAGAAGAGATTCCAGCATATTACCGTACCACCTTTTTCGGATGTTGACTCGACGGACTTGGGGCACGGGTTTACCCCAGCTGTTCGTCTCGGGAATTGGTGGGTTCAGGTTCTTCAACACAGGACGAATCCGTGATGAAGACAAGACACCATTGTGCATTTGAGATTTGGCAAGACTCATAATAGTCTCTGGTGGTTCCCAGCCATCTTCGAACTGGATGGGTTGAGCAATGAGTTCTTTCACGGCCTTGGTGTCCCTGGGGACTTGGGGCTTCATCAACTCGGCCAGTAAATCATGTCGTCGTTTTCCTATACGGCCATATGACATGAACAGCACTCTTTCGAGTGGTCGCTGATAACCCTGGTTCGCCCTTTGAAGCACAGAGAGACCATGTTTGGCCGACCGAGCTAGATCGGGGTCAGAGCGGTGGGATTTTTGAGATCGGCGATAGCGACGCACGACATGTTCACGCATGTAATCCCGAGCAATGGGATCAGGGAGATACGTGCATTCTCGCAGAGTAGCCCGAAATAGCGACCGCCATAATGTAGGATCTGGGGTCTGGAGTGGCCGAGATAATCGTGCAGACGCCATAGTAAGAAGTGGACGAGACCCCCAAACCACCCCAAAACGGCGAAAACGCGAAAACCTTGGCGGCAGAGCGTGTCACGGGACGGACGCGCCTCTTTCCACTCTTTCCACACTCCAAACCCCGCGACTTGCCCTCGCCTTGCATTGCGCCTCGGATCCCGATCTCAGATCTTATTCGGACACATTCCTCTTTAATCCAGATCCTTTCTGGTCCTTCCGTTTATGGTTCTTGTGATCGCTTGTTGCCGCTGTCCCTACTGAAGGGGTGGTAGCCACGCGCCTCCTTTTGCTCGCGTCTTCCCGCCATCCGGTAACGATCTCCACCTCCCTAATATTTCCTACTCTGGCCGCCATTTTTTAGCTGGCTGTCTGCTGACTGTGCTAAAAGGGCTCCTGCAGCATGTCCTACTCACAGAGGAGCACAGGATCAGCAAACGGTTTGGCCTATAATATTCTCAACAATTCACAATCCCTCTCGTCCACCCCTCGAGCAACTCCGCCGCCGCCGAAAGGATTGCAAATGTCCTCGTTTGGGGTCTCCAACGGCGCCTCTCGTGGCAGCTTTAACGGCAGTTATGATGGTGGAAATGATTACGGGTCTATGATGACCTACCAGGAGGAGTTTAAGCCGCAGATCTATCGTGTTCGTCATGTCGCTGCTAAAGCGGTGGTCTTGAAATACTAATGAGATATCTTGTCCATGCAGGCGGTATACTCGAATGTCTCCGTCTACGAGATGGAGGTCAATGGGGTCGCGGTCATGAAACGTCGATCCGACTCCTGGTTGAATGCAACTCAAATTCTGAAAGTGGCTGGAGTGGTGAAGGCTCGACGCACGAAGACCCTAGAGAAGGAAATCGCTGCCGGCGAGCATGAGAAGGTTCAAGGTGGTTACGGAAAGTACCAAGGTACCTGGGTAAACTACCAGCGAGGTGTTGATCTGTGCCGCGAGTACCATGTGGAGGAAATGCTGCGACCATTACTGGAATATGATATGAGCCCCGGCGGCTCGGGCGCTCCTTCCCAGAGTACCCTTGATACCCCTACGAAAGAGCAGGCCATGGCAGCCCAGCGCAAGCGTCTCTACAGTGGTGCAGAAAACCGCAGCATGTCGCAGCCCCAGCAAGGAACTTTTTTCCAAAATATTTCCCGCACGGCCGCGACTGCCGTCAATGCTATTAGCAAAGCCCGCTTCGACTCGCCCAGTGGAAACAGCCGACGATCAAGTGTCATTCGCAAGCCATCACAGCAGATGAGCAGCCAAGAATCTCAAATGGCGTTCAGCAGCCAGCAGAGCATGTACAACATGTCTGACAGTGGGTTCAGCAGTCTCCAAAATCGCTTCCAGCCACATGACGACCACGAAGAATTCGTGGAACCTCCGCGCAAACGTGTTCGCTCTTCATCGCACCATGGCCCACCAATTGGGTTGCACAGAGAGCCATCTAACTTATCCATGCATGAACCTACACCTACCGAACCTAATGAATCTTTTTATCAAGACCTTGATCTTCCACCGCCGCCAATGGATGATGGACACAAGCGGGGTGCCGAGGCTATACCACCTGCTTCCGATCCCGAGGGCTTCCAAAAGCAGAAGCTGATTATGACCCTGTTCCTTGACAAACGAATCAAGGACTTTTCCAACCACCCTGCTCTCATGCAGTTGACCGGTGAAGATCTTGAGCTTCCTCTTGACGAATACCGAAACAATGCCCTTCATTGGGCTGCGATGCTGGCGCGAATGCCGCTAGTCCACGCTCTCGTAGGGAGAGGTGCGAGCATCACCCGAGTCAACGCCGCAGGCGAGACTGCTTTACAAAAGGCGGTTGGGACCCGCAACAATCTCGACTATCGAAGCTTTCCCCGTCTACTCCGGGTGCTTGCGCCGATTATCGATATGGTTGACTACAGTGGGCGGACTATTCTGCACCACATCGCGATGATGGCAGCCACCGGTGGAGGTGGGCATGTCTCTGCAAAGCATTACCTTGAATCCCTTTTGAGTTCATCGTCCGTCATGGCGGGATTTCCTCTAGTGCCAATGGTGATCAGATGCAGAATGGGTCACAAGGGAGTGAGGTTATCTCCCTGGGCCGATTCATCTCAGAGATCGTTAACTTGCGTGATGAGCAAGGGGATACTGCTCTGAACCTTGCTGGGCGGGCACGATCAGTGCTTGTGCCTCAGCTACTAGAAGTGGGCGCAGATCCTCACATTCCAAATCACACTGGACTTCGGCCTGCTGATTATGGAGTCGGTGTTGATATGGTGGATGGCAATGGCCAATCACAGCAAGCCGGTGGTCGAAATGACACTTTCATTGACCAGCTTGCAAAGTCCAAGAAGGAGATTCTCAATGGTAAGAACCTATTCATCACTCAATCACCTTTGATCATTCGATACTAACTTCGCCCTAGCCGCATTGTCGCAAATTAATACGATTGTCGAAGAGGCTCTCGGTGGTATTGACCGAGACCTTGCGTCCAGCATCACTCAGAAGCAAGAAAAGTTTGACCACTGGCACTCCAAAATTCGTGAGGCGGCCAAAGCCCGCCAGATTGAACAGAAGCAGCTGGATGCGTTGAAGCAAAAGTCTTCAGAGCGACTTGAGATTGATCGGCGTATCAAGAACCTGGAGCGGTCTTCCGAGGGCTTGCTCGGCACTTTGAAAAATACGCCAGGAATCGACTTCTCTCGGATTGCCGTTATTGGTGATGCCGATAAAACCTCTGGTGTGGATCCTGTCACATTTGAAGCCGTGTTCGGGGAGACATTTGATCCCTCTGCTGGGTTCTCTGCCCAGCAAGTTGCTTTCCTGGCTACGCTTCCTTCACCGGATACGCTGAAACATCGCATCCGATACTACCAAGAGCTGAATACTGGCATCACAGCTGAAGTCGACGCTCTGAAGGCTAAGAATGCGGTTCTCGGGCAGAACTATCGTCGCATGGTGATGGCATGCACGGGCTGGTCTGCTGAGCAAGTGGATGAGGCTGCCGAGGGCTTGACACAATGTGTCAAAGAGTTGAATGATAACCCTGTCCCCGAGGACGAGGCTATCGAGATTCTCATGCGGGACCGTGGACAGGACTGGTAGTTGTCTAATTGTTATGATTATACTCTGAGCGTTCGGGCGTCTTTGTGGAACGGCGTTGTTTGTTGCATTATTCTACGATTCGAATACCCGGGTGGCCTACCTCAATGTCAATTTCGCATGTCTTGTATCTATTGTCTTAATACATCATGCACTCTTGTTCGACTTGAATGCTCGTTATATATGGTTAGCGTGGGGGTAACAGCCTAAATGCGCTGAGTAGATTAGCCGGTGCGTGGGACTGGTAGTTGGCCAAGCCAGCTTAGTCTTTTGCCAACACCAAGATGACTGTTACTCCAATTCCCCGCATTGAGCTCCATTCCTGAGGGCCATGGGAATTGAAAGCCGGTAAAAGTCCGGGTGAACGGGCTGGCCATTATTCATAAAAGGAGGTCGACCTGTCCCCTTTCCGCTCGGACAATAGAACCCCTCTTTAATCTCACCAGACCTGTTGGACCTCGGAACCATGGCCACTGGAATTCTTTGCGTGAAGGACAACACTGTCGTCGACGGCAATGGTCAGCAAGTGGTTCTGCGCGGAGCAGCGATTGGAGGATGGATGAAGTATGCCAGATCCCCTTTCAGTTGCTGGATGAGCTATAATACTGAACGATCCTAGCATGGAGAACTTCATCACCGGATTCCCTGGTCAGGAATCACAGCACCGAGCGGCCATGCGCCGAGTCCTTGGCACCCAGAAATACGAGTTTTTCTTCGACAAGTGGCTGGAGAACTTCTTCACTGATGCGGACGCAAAGTTCTTTTCAAGTCTGGGTCTCAATTGTCTCCGGATTCCGTTTAATTATCGCCACTTTGAAGATGATATGGCGCCGCGGGTCCTCAAGCCCGCTGGTTTCAAGCATCTTGATCGGGTGATTGATTTGGTCGGTTTATTCCATACTCGCTTACACCTTCAATTATTGGGACTGATCCTGGGGTATATGTAGTGCGCTGCACGCGGTATTTACACCATCTTGGATATGCATGCCGTCCCCGGTGGTCAGAATCCAGATTGGCATTCGGACAATCCCACGAGCTATGCAGCGTTCTGGGACTACAAGGATCATCAGGATCGGACGGTGTGGCTCTGGCAGCAGATTGCGGCTCGGTATAAGGATAATCCTTGGGTCGCTGGGTATAACCCTCTCAACGAGCCATGTGATCCTGAGCATGTGCGACTTCCCGCGTTCTATGAGCGAATTGAAAAGGAAATTCGTTCAGTTGATCCTCATCATATACTCTGGTTGGATGGGAATACCTTTGCCATTGAGTGGAAGGGGTTCGATAAGGTGCTGCCGAATTGTGTTTACGCCATGCATGATTACTCGGTAGGTTTGCAAGACCCGGAGCGCTAGAGAGAGGTTCCAAATCCCAACTGATGATTGTTTAGACAATGGGCTTCCCCACTGGTGATTCCTACAAGGGTACTCCAGAACAAAAGGAATCTCTCGAACGACAGTACCTCCGCAAAGCGGAATTCATGGTCCAAAATGACACTGCCATCTGGAATGGCGAATTCGGTCCCGTCTACGCAGACCCAGCTCTTGATGCTGACGCAGAAACCATTAATCAAGACCGATACAACCTGCTCGGTGAGCAGCTACGGATCTACGATAAGTACAACATTAGCTGGTCAATCTGGCTCTACAAGGATATCGGCCTGCAGGGCATGCTCTATACCAACCCACAGAGTAAATGGAACAAAACCATTCAGCCACTCCTTGAAAAGAAGCGCATGTTCTGGCTGGACAAATGGGGGCGGCGACCTGCTTCGGAACCAGAAGCTGCACTGCGACCTTTGCTGGACTGGATTGATCGTGTTAGCCCGACGGCCAAGTTGACGTACCCAACCTCCTGGAATACGGAGTTGCATGTGATGCGCAGTGTTTTCTACACTTTCCTGGCGGCGTCTTTTGTGGATGAGTTTGCTGCACTGTTCCAGGGATCCATGAGAAGGAGCTTGAGGAGCTTGCGAGGAGCTTCCATTTTGATGAATGTGTGCAGCGTGAAGGGTTGAATCAGATTCTGAAGGATCATGCCCGAGCATCAAAGTGAGATAGATGAGCTTAGTGGAAATCATAGATTGGTCTTGTCTATATAAATGGGTCTTTGTAGTGATGGTGTAATTACAAAATTGGCCAACTGATTACGAAATATTGAAATTTCACTTTTTTTTCTCGTTTCAATTACATTTCAAGGGGCTGGTAGTTGCTGAGTAATCAAGGGCGGTAAAATATTGCAGCCAATAGGAGCCAACATGTCATCGTTCTGCTGAATATCCTGAATACGTTGTCGCTCATGGCAACAGGTATTGGAATATATATCTTTGATATGTTTAGGATGCTCCTATCCCTTCGTAGCTACACGCCTAAGCGCTTGGAAATGGCTAATCAGTCTTCCGGAAAGTCTTCCTACACCGAGCTCGAGCTTTAGAGGTGTTTTGAAATCATACAGGGCGATAAAAAGGTAATACTTGATCCACGAGCATATTCTGTACTCCCCTAATTTCGGCTAGGTGCCTTAAGCAAAATGCCTCGGGTGCTTGAAGATTCGCGCCAAAAACACGACGCGTCAGAGCGAGCATATTAATAAATACACGAAAGCACAGGCTCTAATAGATCCCGAGACTACCACGGGCAAGAAACAGAGACTGCTAAGTTTCTCTGCTTCTCGGCCATCTCGAAGTATTAATCAGTTAATAGCCTAGGTCTGCTTTACCGGAGCTAGGCCCTTCAACCTCTTCGAACAGCAAGAGATACGCGACCTTATCTATGCATTAAGCCTAACGTACTAAATCCCTTCCCGCCACCGAATCGCCGATAATCTCCTAGATAAAGCATATACTAGACTACGGGAGGAGGTACTGAAGGAACTACGGAGAACCGAGTTCTTGAATATAACAGTAGATAAGATAACCAATATCCGATCCTAGCGGGTAATTGTGATAACTATAACAACGCTAATAAAGTCATAGTTTATCCACCTAAAAGACATAGAAGATAAGATACTTAATACTCCTGCTATTAGTAGCTAGATCTTAAACAGGCTCCAATATCTTCTATTACAGCTAGATAAAATAGCTGACTAGAAGAGAATTAATTCTATCTCGATGGACATATATTCTATCATGAAGTCGGTCTAGGAGAAGCTTAATGTAAAGATATAGTCTACTTGCAGGGTAGAAAGCCTGTCAACTAGGTAGGAGAGCAAAGCACTAAGTCAGATTGTAACAGAGACTGTTTCTTAGAGGGCCCCTTTACCCCGTTTACCGCTGGGCCTTATATACAGTAAGCCCCTCTTTCGAAGGAGGGGTAGACATGCAGGGAAGCGGATGACTATCCTCCGTAGGAGCAGCGGGGAAAGGGTGATGGTAGATCACCGAACCAATATATTCATGGTTGGTGATCCTTGGAGGCCTGAAGCCTAAGGCCTCAACATAGGAATAGCCTCATAGTGCAAAATATCATAACACTTAAGCAAACACTAGAACTCAGACACTACTTTATGATTCCCTGTGACTCTCACGGACTACAGTTGATTATAAAGGATATCGTTGACCTAAAGAGCTTAAAGGTTCCACGAGTAGGGGAGATATTCAAGTCGGCTCTTGAAATAGTTATCTTCTTCTACTACTCGCTACTCGAGTACGCAAGTATATAAGCAAAGCAGATTAAGAAGTAGGACTATAGGAAGGCTTTAATTGCGTCGGTCGTTACTAGATAGGGAACGCAATATAATATACTATCCTCGCTTCACGACTGCTAAGAAGCTATCTATAAGTAGACACTTATTACTCCTGCTACCTCGACTGCTAGAGGAAGGGAGATTATCCGCATAGCTAACTCTTATTTATTCTAGTAGCAACTAAAGGAGTTAATTAAAATCCTTAAGCCTCTATATATTACCCAAAAAGAGTCCGAAGCTCGGAACTCGTCGATTATAGAGGTAACGCAGCGGTGGCTAGATCTCTATAAAAGTCTACGAACGTTAGCCTCCCAAATATCGCTTAAGGATGACTTCTTGTCCTATTTGGATAGCACAGGCTAGAAAAGTCGGATTCTGCGTCAATTAGAGCCTATCCACTAGGTAGCTTATCATCTTGACCCCGCCAGAGTCCCTAGGAAGGTTGATTAGAGCTCTCGAAATTATATCGAAGGTGTCCTGCGGCCTCTACAGAATAACGACAAAAGCTCTTCCGCTTAGTACGAATTTCTGTCATTCAGGCAGAGAACGGGCGCTTTTTATAATGCCTCCTGTTGGAAGGCCCAGAGCCCATCTCTCTTTTGGCTTAAGGCAGTACGTTATACTATCCACGATCAAAACCAAGACCTTACTTACGATATTCTTATACAGGAGGACTTTGCTCCGCTTCTTGCACCCTTTGCTCGTCGTCTTTGCAATACTGTAGCGAATTCGGCGGCAGCGGAGAGAGTCTTTTCACAGATGAACCTTCAGCATACAAAAGTCCGAAATAGACTCGAGCCTCACCGCGTTGAGAAATTGCTCTTCGTGCAGATAAATAAACGACAATTCCGGGCGGAACGGCCTCCCGAAGTCGCGCAAGAATCACTACTTCAAGAAGAGGATGACGAGATAGAGAGGGTTTTGCAGCGAAACCAAGTGCTAAACGATCTATCAGAGGGATCAGACCAACATCAAGACCAACATCAAGAGCAACATCAAGAGCAACCGCCAGAGCAACCGCCAGAGCAACCACTAGAGCAACCACTAGAGCAACCACCAGAGCAACCATCAGAGCAACCATCAGAGCAACCATCAGAGCAACCATCAGAGCAACCACCAGAGCAACCACCAGAGCAACCACCAGAGCAACCACCAGAGCAATCACCAGAGCAATCACCAGAGCAACCACCAGAGCAATCACCAACATCTGTCCTAGTTTCAGCATGGAATTCAGCATTGACTTCAGCTTCAGCATCAACGAATCCTGCCCTCATTTCTGCGTTGAATTCGAGGCTTAACTCATTGTTGGAAGCCAACTTCGGAGTCTCCCCTTAGTCCTTCAACGAAACCCACAACAGATTTAGGTTCAGCTCATCTTATACGGACGAGGTCGAAGCGTGTCTCTGAACGGTCTCAAGGAGCTCCAGGTGATTCCGAGCGGCCAACCCGGCGGCGGCGGGGATAGATAGCACCTGATGTCGATGTCCCTACTCCATCGCTTCCCGTTCGAAGCTTTTGATTGGTAGAATAGAAGATAATCATTACCGTTTTGGGACTAGCTCAATTTCAAGATTTCAAGGCCCATTTCAAATTACATTTCAAGCAGCCAAATTTCAGAAATTTCGAAATTTTGAAATTTCATTTTGCCATCCCTAGAACAAACATTGTCCGCAAACAGGACAAACATGATCCTCAACCTCATTTCTGACAGAATATCGTTTCAACAGGCCGTAGAATACCATGGATCAACCGATTTGCAGTAATCAAGAAATTCTTGCACATTCGCACCATTCTGAAGGTAGCAGTAATCCTCAGCTGCGCCATAGCAATAGCACATACTTGCGCCATTACCTATTTCTGCGCAGATTTCAGCAGTTCTAGAAAAGTCGCCAGCTTTAGTTCCCTGGGGGTTCTTGCACCGTAAGGCAGGGTCACTGCAGGCAGAGACAGCAGCAGCAAACATAACTGAGCTAGGTAGAAGCTTCATGATCGAGATAGTGAAGAGGATAGCTGGTTGCTTTGGAAGGAGAATATTATAATGTTAATCTGCGGTGTGGCCTGTGTTGGGCTCCGTAGGTTGCTTCACGGGACAGGTGGCCGACTTTATAGTTTATCCTTCTCATAAAAGAGCAATAAAATCTATACTAGCAAAGTATGGATAGGTACAATAAGACGGAATACTACGGAGTACGAGCCGGGGCTTATAGTCCAAAAGAAGGTGTAAGGAATACAGATGTGGCTTGATCGAACAAGGATGATAGGGCAGGCCACCGTGATATAAACCTTAAGGCGCACGGCGGCCCTAGATTAGTATGTTTGACTCTTACATTCTTCGATTGAGTCTGGATAGGAGCGGAAGTTCGAAACAATGGGAACAGAATTTGCAGTACCACACAGACCCCCCTTCCGGAGCCCGAACGCCACGGGATCTATATGCGGTTATTCCGCGATGGCGTTTCTCAAGACGATAACTTAATTGTCAAGATACTTACTGCTAAGAACAGGCTAATTCAGCGTTGTCATAATCTCCCTTATATTTTGTAGGGTCAATCGTGTCAATTCTGAATACCCGCGCCACCCCGTGTTTTAACTGCCAATACTACCTCTAGGCCAAGGAACGCTCTAAACAGCGATATCCGTGATAGTTCTTCGATTAACACCTTCTGAATGGTTCCCTCAGTCTAGTATGTACGGATATTTCATGATTTGCTACTTACGTTTAAACTTAAATTGCAAAACGTTAAATATAACCTTATGCAATCCAGTATTAGTGACGTCAACTGCTACCGTAATATATTCTGTCTTAACCTTAAGCTACCTTACAGGAAACCGGTGACAATATCATAATGGATGTAGTTAAGCAATGATCATTATGACGTTACAGTCAACTCTCGCTTATAGCACGCCCGGAAATAGCACACATCCGGTTATAGCACAGAATTTTCGTGGATGGACCCACTTTTCCACTTTTTACCATATAAAAAGACCACTTATGGCACACTCAGTTATTGCACACATTTGTTCCTCACATATCTACTTAGTCATTCAGAATCGACCAATCACAATGCAGAATTCAGTTGCCCTTTCGGCGAAGATGCCCCCTACCAGGCGTGCTAAGAAGGGCATATCTGACGCCCAGAAACAGGCTCTACGCGTCTATGCATCCGAAAGGCAACCAACACCTTCCCAGAGAGCCTGTGTCGAATGGTTTCGGTCTCAATTTGGTCGCCTTATTGATCGGGCCACCGTCTCGAGGATCCTATCCTCTAAATACCAGCATCTTGATACTGGTCCAGCTGGTCTGAATATGCGTACATCATCATCGCATTGGCCTATATTGGACGAGAAGCTTTTCGAATGGCAGCAACGACATCAGGATGCTGGCTTTCCGATGACAGGACCACTACTACGGCTTAAAGCTATCGAATATTGGAGGAAAATACCGGAATATGCTGAGCTTCCAGTGCCTGTCTTCTCTGATGGTTGGCTTACCCGGTTTAAAACACGTCATTCTCTCCGATATCATTCCTTCTATGGCGAATCTGCGTCGGTTCCAGCCTCGATACACGATGAAATGAAACCTATCCAAGCGATCTGCGACCAATATCAGCCTTAGGATATCTATAATATGGATGAAACTGGGCTTTACTGGCGTCGTATGCCAAACGGTGGTCTATCAACTAATAGTCATGCCGGTCAGAAGAAGGATAAGACCCGAATCTCTATCGCAGTGGCTACGAATGCTACTGGTTCAGACCGACTACCTCTATGGTTAATTGGGACAGCAAAGACACCGCGCGCCCTTCGGGGAGTGAATATGCGAGTAATCGGGTATGTCTGGCGCTGGAATAAGAAGGCGTGGATACGCAGTGGAATTATAGGAGAGTAGTTCCGCTCGTTTTATAGGCATATTAGCAAGCAAAGACGAGTCCTGCTTTTGCTTCATAATTTCTCGGCGCATCTCTGCGCACTTGAAGATGCACCACCACCGCCTAATATTAGAGTGCTATTTTTCCCGTCAAATGCGACGTCGGTCTATCAACCGCTAGACCAGGGAATCATCCAGAACCTAAAGCATCATTATCGGAAGAAGTGGATGCTTTAGATGATTAATATGCTTGATCGGAATATTGATCCGAGAGAGAGAATAAGCCTTAATTATACCTTGCGTTGGATCACCCAGGCATGGCGTAATAATGTGCTTGACCAAACTATACAGAACTGCTTCATTAAGAGTACTGTCACTGGTCGTGCTGATCAGAAAGAAGAGTCGCTAGAAGCTCTTCAATTGGATGATCTATATCAGACCTTAACCGAGAGGCTTACTAAAGACGCTCAGGAAGTTATGTCTTTAGATGATTTCCTAGATCCGTCGGACGAAAACTACGCCGATGAGCCTGATTTATCTAATATAATCCTCGGTTTATCAAGCGGTGGTGACGATGATAGCCAGGATAGCGAAGATATATTTGGGCCGCCACCAGATCTACCATCTAGCGCTACGGTTATCAACAGCATGCAGGATGCGCTTCTGTGGGCTCAGCACCAAGAGAGCGCTACTGAGGAGAATATTCGTCAGATAGAAGGCTTAATAGGTCTATTTACTAGGCTACAGGTGGATGGGAGGAAACAGAAGACACTTAAAGAGATGGGCTTTACGAAGTAGTAGGGGTCAGATAGTGACTTTTAGACAGTTCTATAAAGCAATGTGGTGCTTTTTGGCCTAGCTGGTAACCCCTTTTTTTTGAGCAACATGGGTTCGAAACCAGCTGTTCTCAGTTTCTAGATAGTTAATTTGAGTGACAGGGATATTAGTCATCAGACCACTTCTTGCACCATTCACTTATAGCACATATTTTCTGTTGGATGGCAGGGCGTGCTATAAGCGAGAGTTGACTGTATGATCCAAAAAATACAGAGTCTGTCAGGGTGCAGGTCCGGTAACAGGTATATTAGGAGTTAACGTAATAGACAGTCTACGGTCAGGCTATACACAGGTACATAGACAAGACGTAGCTCGAATAGCTATCAACAGGGCAAGAATTCGAGATGAGGTGTAAACAGAGTGGGTCACGTGCAGAGGACGGCCAGGCACCGCAGCCACGCACCGTGATAGAGTCGAAGATATGAGTCCGTAATGATCTTAGTAGTATCTGCGAAGTCTAGACACCAGCGACTTATTCACCAACATTCTCATCAAGCCCTTACAATACTAGGAAAAAATGCAATCCACCATAGCTGCAGCATATTTTAATGATGCCTTTTTGTCCGTGGAATTAAACGGCTATTCCAGAAATGAACTGGATAAGGAATGGCTTGTCCTAGATAGGTAGGGCAAAAAAAAAGAAAATTATCTCTAGTGAATGTATAAACAGTTTGTCCTTGATTATAACGATAGACGTCCCGATAGGTAATTGATCCCCTACACTAGCGGCAACGTTGGGTTAGGTTTTGTTACCCTAATTAAAAATGGTAAGCACCTACAAATTATTCAGGAATAACTTCTGACTAACCACTCAAGATGAGGGGTTTTGCTTGATTAATTCCAGTGACAATGAGTCAGTGTTACAAGGCGAGTAAGATAACTGGCGAACAGGCATATCCGATTGCCAAGACGACGATCGACTTGATTCCCTTACTAATCACTCGCTCTCTACGAGAGCTGCTGTGCCCTGAAACGAACGAAGTGAGAAGCATTACAGTCCTATTTGCTTGAAAGTCAAAACCAATGCATATTGACAGGATATTGATGAGGGCTCTAAACGTAGGAGCCCAGAAAGGCCAGACCTAAACCCTTTGCCAACATGCAGATTCTCTCAAGCGCGCACGGTAAAATGCGTTGCGTCCTTAGCAGAATATGAGCCGTTTCTTGCAATAATTGGCACTCATCTTTGTATCTCCTGCTGAAAATTCCGTTAAATGAGGCTTGGAATCGGTATCGCATTACTTCTCGTAGAAGCCAAGTGCCTCAGACACCCGTGTATCTATTAACCCTCTCCTCATATAATTGAAAGTGCTCTTATATGCTAAGCTTACCCAGACATGAAATTCATTGCCAATGTCAAAGGCCGTTCAATGGATTGTCGATCTAGGTAATTAATCACTGTTATAAATAGGGTATACTTGTCTCGAGAATCTACTTGAGCTTACGGCATCGCAAAATGCCAATATCGAACCTACTCAGCAAAAATCATGATAAGAATATTCGAGAACAGTCTACCCAGCTCCACAAAGGACACTTACAAAATTGGACCGCAGAGTCTTAGGATGATATAAGTTCTATGAAGACATTCGAATCCACCACATATAGGGTCAATAAAACGGCCTACGCAAAAATACCCAGGGACAAAGCCCAGACAGAAATGAAATACAACATCGCCGTTATTGCGGCAAATTGGGTTCTATTAGCCGGATATCTCGTTATACCAAATACTTTTACTTCGTTGCAAAAATCTAGTCAAGTCGAGAAGACCCTTAGCAGCAATAAGGCTGGTTAAGCAGTTTTAAGCACTATACAAAACCCTCCTCTACTCGCTATTGCCTTTCTGTTCTTTGTGGGTGTAATCACAGGTATTCTACAGTTACTACAAGTTCGCAAATTACAAAGAACTTACACATGGCTTATTAATAAATTGTTCACGTGAGTGGTCTGGAAATTCAACTTAATGAAACGTCCCACGCTTACAATAGGAAGGCCAGCAATACTAAACGCAGCAGCGGGGCTACTCATTACACTTATCAACATATATACATCCCGGGGTAGTCAATGGTCTGTAATGTCAATTATTACAACTGTTACTACTAGCTTGATATTCTGTACTTTCTTGGCCTTGCTAGTATTTTTCAAGTTCTTCAAACTAAGGAAGATGATTCAGGATGACGAAAGACATTTGGCACAGGAAAATGCTATCTTGTAGAGAGAAACGGAAGATTCCGGACATTCCAGATTTACTGTATCAAGCCATTCCCTTTGCGTTATTCATTCTCTATCGTAGGTATAAATAGTCTAAAGTATTTCATCGTTCAGAAGGATATATGACCAGGATTGCAAGGACCTTAACGGATTACGAGGACTTTTTCGCTGAGATGATGGAACAAGTACGGTGGTGGTCAGCTGCAATCGCGAACTTTGTGGTATGACGGGCGTTCGTCAAATTCATTCAACGTACAGTTGATTTGAGTAGGAGATTTTAATATCTTATGCGGGATGTTGGACACCCTTAAGCGGGGTGGGGAGGACCGTAGCTGGATCGGCCCGCGGTTAGAGGACATAAACATTGTATGTCTATGATCACCAGTCCCATAAAATTGTTCCGGTATGAAGAAAGTCTTTACCGTTAAAGTAGGCCTACTCGAAAATGACTGGTTCGAAAAAATGGGTCATTTACTACGGCAACTCAAAGGATGACACAGACAATACCGATCGTTGATATTAATATGACTCAAGTAAAGGCAATAGGAGCCAGTGCTAGAATAAAATATATGTTTGAGATGTATACGAAACGGTTTTGTCACAGTTGCTCAACTCTTTGAGGCTGACGAGGACGAGTCAATCGATTTACCTGGCGTTCAATTTGATGCGGGACAAGTCTGTTTTTGCGAAAGCACGACGGTGAAGTATATGGGCAAGATCATGGAGTATCTTTTGCAAGTTTCAACCGATGGTAAGGAAAATAACATCGTTATAAATGTGTAATAAACCTCGAAGCCTCCTCTTTTTTGCGCGGGTATGCTGTGTTCTACCCATTCACTTTTCCATAAACTTGCTCAAAACCGATGATACACTTGTAAACCACCAAGATCAAGCAAGCCTCGAACCTATAAATACCTCGTCCTGTCCACCTGGTATTTTCTAGCTAAAGATCGTTGCAGGTCCTTTCAGCGAAAGCAGTCCGGTATGCTTTGTGCACGGGTCCTATTCCAAGGAACTTCCCTACCCCCCCTGGACAGGTACGTCTGGTGATTTTCCCGTACGGTACCATTGGAATGACAGCATAGCAAAGCCTGAGGTATATTTCGCAAATCAGACGGACAACGAGACAGGTACAGTAAACTCCCGTTTTCGGCACGCCCAGGTTAGGCACACATTTTCATTCGGCACCAAAATCTGTTAGATGGACCCACCTTTTTGGGTTTTCTCATATATAAGAACGTCATCTGGCACACTTTTATCTGGCACATAAATTTCCTTTCAAATCCTGCTTAGTCATATAAATAGACCAATCAGAATACAAGATTCTGCCTCTTCGGTGCGCCATGCCTGCCAAGCTACCTCATCCCAAAACAACCCAACAAAGGCATATCTAACGCTCAGAAAAAAGCACTATGTATCTATTCATTGGGGCCATACCCTAAATCTACTTAGAGAATATCTGGTTAGTGGTTTCGTCTCAATTTGGGACGTGATATCAACCATGCGACTATCTCGATAGGTGTCGATAGTAGTGAGCAGGAGAGTAAGGATGACCAGGACAAATATATATATATATTCGGTCCGCCACATTTTGATGGGAGGAAACAGGAAGTTGGATGACTACTCTAGACCAAAAGCAGACTAGTGTTCACTATATTAGGATTAGTGCAGTACTAGCGGCACACTTTCATTAGGCACACCGAAATTCTGTGGCACGGAGGCCCGTGCCGAAAACGGGAGTTTACTGTAACTTTAATTATATAGGGACTCCACGGCTTCTGATGGTGTTCACCATCCGGACCCTCCGGACTAGAACAGTAGGAGGGCGGGCGTTCGGACGAGATTTGTATGCAATTCCCGACTGATGCTCACTGAATTAGGCAATATGCATGACATATATTTCGCACTATTGTATGCCTGAGTGATGTCAGTGAGGTCCCAATGTAACGTTTCGAATGCAGTATTTCATAGTTCATTCAGAAGTGATCGGAAGTCAAGCGGAAGTCAGAAGAACGTGATTTCAAAGCAATTTGAATCAAGGCCTTTGTAGACTTGCCTAGATGCATTATTTTCTTGTTTTTTATCCTTGATATAAGTATCATCGGTGAATATTACTTGTTTTTTGTTTTGTCAAAAACATCATGAACCCGTGTCGCCTGACATGTTCGCGTCATGAATTTTTGATAGTATAATGGTTTGCCAGAATTGCATAGCTGATATGCATGTTCCAACAATAGTTACTGAAAAGCTTTAGGATTCCTATATAACGACTTGATATGATTCCCTACTCTTTTCTTCTTGCTTCTAAAGCCTAAGCCATCTTTTACCTACATCACTAAAAGACTTGAGGGGTAAGGCAACAATGTTACCAGCACTCTCTGTCTTGCTATGGCCCTTTTCCCTGTCGTTGCAGTCTACGGTATTTTCAACAAGCCACAACTATCCAGTTCAAGAAAAGCCTCTCATAGGGTTACCACAAGATGTCACAGCGCCAGTTCTGCGAACATTGAGTGTTTTTTCTGAATATTCTGCTGCAGCAACTTGTATAAATAACTTCAATGCGACTGCAGGCGCAAAAGTCACTTGTGACCCGGGAAAATGTCCAATTATTGAATTCTCTGATACAGAAATTATAGGCTCCTTCCAAGGGTAACTCTCAGCTTCATGGAAAATGATGGAAATATCAGTCAGTGACTAAGATTCTGTGCAGAATAAACCCTGGCAATACAACGGGCTTCATTGCAATCGACAGAACTCATCAACGTATTATTCTTTCCTTCCGCGGAAGTGAATACTCCGGAAACTTCAAAACCGACGGCAACTACACCCAAATTGCCGTACCTGAAATTTGCCCGGACTGTTTAATGCATGGAGGGTTCCTTAGTGCTTGGAACAGTGCTTCGAGTTTCATAATGCCGACATTGGATTGCGCCGTGAAGGTTTTCCCCCACTTCACTGTTGCTTTCACTGGGCATAGTCTTGGGGGTGCACTGTCCACAGTTGGTGCAACGTACCTGAGAAAAGCAAACCGGACGATTGATCTTGTGAGGAATAATTTAGTCCAAGCCAGAGGAAACAATAAAAGTGCTAACTGATTATAAATAGTTTACATTTGGCAGTCCTCAAATTGGAAACTATAGTGTTGCAGAGGTTATTACCAACACAACAATGGGTTTGAACTATCGAGTAACTCATTCAGACGATCCAGTCCCCAGAGTTTTGGCAACTTCCAAACGTGTCAAAAAAAATGGCAATACAGCCAATCCTCCCCTGAATACTGGATCACTTCAAATAATACCGTGAAACCTACACCTGCTGACGTCGAAGTTATCGAGGGCATTGACAACAAGACAGGGAACCTTGGACAGACCGGCTGTGATATCACAGCGCACAATTGGTATATCGGAAACATGACGGGCTGTTCTCGGGATGGTGCCAGCAAAGGTTCTGGGAAGGGTTGGTGTGACCTCTGATGACTTGATCCAGCGCCTTGCCAGATCTAAGCGTTCAGCTTTGGTTTTTGTCACTCAACTCTTTGCATTTCGTCTTTACTTTTCGCCCTCTTTACTCTGAAACGAAGTAACGTAGTGAAAGGGTTTACTACCCTGCGCGACCTCCCCGCGGAGCTTTGCTCTGCTCCCACTATCAAACTCGGCGCGCACCTCGACGCTGGTTCGCCCGCTTTCCTGCCAAGAATTGCTCTCATTTGTCTTCTCCTCTGCCTTCTTCGGCTTCTTGCGTACTATTTGTACTTGTTACTTCTTCTCCAGGCCAGGGGATCCTGGTCTCTTACAGTGAGAGGTTTTCTGACGTCCCAGTCTCTGATATAATTGCCTTCTTGTCGTTCCTAGATCCATTTTTGCAACGTATCTCGCATCCAGGACCGCGAGAACAGTACTATTGCCTGTCTCCTGCCGCGGAAATTCCCATATTTGCTTGCTAAGTTCTCGTAGCACGATACTGAGGAGACTTAAGTCTTTTAATTGTTTTTAACTTTACCCTTATATTTCTATACCTATGCTCGTCCAATCAGCCTTGACACCGCCCGATGCTGCGCGGCGGCTTGGTTATGCATAGGAGTTTCATATACTTCTTGATTGGTAGGACACATTACATCATAGAGACGGCGAGCAACAAATAAAACAACAAGCCATTAAAGCACGAAACACTAGGACGGTCAAAGGAATAAAGACCGTGAAATCGCAAAAACATTTAACTAGCAACAATAACAAGGAAATAGGGAAGTAGGACAGGTTGATGGCTTCCTCATTCGTGGAAGAATACGAGAAGTATTCGCGTTAAGGCGACAACGATATCGGCTCTGTCATTCCTGGTAAATGCAATTAGCAGTCTTAAAACAGGTAATATGGCCTTTATTACCGACCATTTCCTACAGAGACTTCAAATAGACATAGCTTTAACAGCTCTCAGTATACCATGCAGGCTCCGCTGTGCAGGAACTTGCAAACTCTTCCTGGTTGTTGCCATTGACAAGGTAGCAATAATCCTCACCAGCCCCCCAGCAATAGCACATACTTGCGCCATTGCCTACTTCAGCGCAGATCTCGACAGTTTTAGAATAGTCGCCCGCTTTGCTTCCCTCGGGATTCTTGCACCGCAAGGCAGGATCGCTGCAGGCAGAGACAGCCGCAGTAAACATAATCAAACTAGGTAGAAGCTTCATGATGGAGATAGAGAAGACGATAGTTAATTGCTTTGGAACGGAAAGTTTTTAATTTCTACCAGCCGTGTAGCTTATGTCGGACTCCGTAAGTTGCTTTACGGGGCAGAGGGTCGACTTTATAATTTTATTCCTCCCTTGAAAGAGAAATATAGCCAATACTGGCTAGGCATAGACAGACCCAAGGATAAGGCGGAGCACTGCAGAGTGCTCGCCGGGGCTCACAGAACCAAAGAAGCGGTGGGGAATACAGTATAGATGAGGCCTACAGGGTATCCCGGACGGGCCGACAGGGTACCGCTCAATCTGCATCCAGTCGTTGGCGTCATTTCAGGTTTAACAAAACTTTATTTTCTTCTTGGAGTATCCTATTACTGTAAGGTTTAGATCATAGAACTGACGTCGCCTGATCATAGGGCCGAATATCTTTTTAATTCATATTTGACGCGTTACTTTCGTTTGCGGAAAAAGTTTTAAGATTTAACTCGGACTTACACCAGAACCACTCGACGGCTTACCAATAATCATCATGTCTTGGTTAGTGATGGTGTAATTACAAAATTGGCCAACCCATTACGAAATATTGAAATTTCACCTTTTTTGTTCGTTTCAATTACATTTCAATATTTCTTGGCATTGATGAGTCATCATTCACTTGTCTCTTGACCAAGATCAGGTTTGATTGCCCACCGTCCCGACTCAAACAAGCTAGTTTGTCTTGATTGGTCAGCTGATCATGTCCTTACCTATTTCAGACTAGCGCCATTTCAAGATTTCAAGGCCCATTTCAAATTACATTTCAAGCAGCCAAATTTCAGTAATTTCGAAATTTTGAAATTTCATTTTGCCTACCCTACCTAGTCTTTGAATGTGTGCAAACACGACAAATCCAACGGAGGGGTCTTTAGATGTGCGTGGTAATAAAGCCAGCAAATAACAGACTTTAGATGTGTATTGTTATCGCCACGCCATCTCCGCTATCCACACACTATCGATAAGCAGAAAAATCGAAAAGACCGCGGGGTTTCGCACTTCACCAATTGAGGCTTCGTGGAGTCAAGCGACGCAGTTCGGCCCTCTGGTACGAAAGACTCGACACATTCAGTCGACATGGCCGAATCCATCTACCCTCCCACGCTCAATGGCGTTTTCGATGCCCCCCTCAACGCCCGATATGACCCCGTTCGCTTGACCTCCGACCACATTGTTCCCATTTTCGAGCTACCCCTCGCACGCAAACTCCTCGGCCACGATGCTTCTGATAGCGAAGCTCTTGCGAAGATCTCCAAGTCCGAGATTTCCTATACCTCCTTCGTTGCCGACCAGGCCCGCGCTGCCCTTCAAACCCCGCGCGATGACTTGACATCGGAGCAAATGCAATCGCAGCTCCTGCACATTGGTCTCGCAGCGCTGTTCAGTTTCCTACAGTCAAACGTTACCGGGCCACCCCTACACTTTAACTCGGCAGATGTGGTTTTTACTCCTTCTCTGCGAAGCGATATTGCTACGCTTCGAGCTGTGCGGGCCAAGATCATCCGTGATCTTTCTGTTGATGGAGAAGCGGCTTACAAACTCACACCCAACCCTGAACTCTTCTCGATCGCCAAGGCTCTGCTCGTTGACGCGAGTAATGAGGGCGCAGTTCCGGCAAAGACGGCGCGCGTGCGTGTCAATTTCCTCCATCAGAAGATGCTCTCCGAAGTTACGAGTACCTTGCAGGACGAAATTTACAAGGATTTGGATGGGTTGGCCAAGGCAGACCTCGATACTGAAGAGAGAAGTCACTTTTTGCTAGAACGGGCTATTATCAACACACATCATGGATTCGATGGAAAAGCCCGTGCGGATCTAGATCAGGCATCCCAGATCCGAAACTTCGAGTTTGCATTGACCGGAAAGCTGGGAAAGCGGACGAAGTTCCAAGATCGCGATATCAGTCAGCTTGTAGTTTTGGCTAAAAGTGCTGACGAAACGCCCAAGTCGACGGACCCGTCCGGTCCTAAGAACCTGGACCTTAATGACGATACACTCCTAGAAGCCATTTCATTTGCGGATAAGAAGTTAACGACGGTGTCGGACGAGCTTCCCGCGGGCCTGCAGTCTATTGATCCTAATGATCAACCCATTCTCAACCCCGTGGACTCGGCCATCTTGCTGGCTATGGCGTCTGCTATCACCAACACTTCCCCGGAGAACGGTTTGACCCGAGAGGAGACTCAACCTTATGCCGCCCGTGTTTTGGAGGGCGGCAGCTCGAACTGGCAGATCTATACAGAAGCACTGCTCGTCCGCAGTCGCGTGGAAGGGTTCCGCTCGCGTACCGTAGAGAGATCTGTTCTGCAGATGCAGGCACTTGTTGACCAAGTCATTGCGGATACCGCCACAGATGACTCCGCAGCTCAGCAGCCCTCTTCTGACCCTACCACATTCCTGCCACGGCCGGAGAAATCCGAGTCGGCCCCTGCTGCCGATCGATTGGAATACATTTGGTTGATGAACTTCTCCACCCGGTGGAGCCTGGAGGCCGAATTGGCCAAGCGCTGGGTCGAGCTGGGTGGTCTCCGTACTGCTCTTGAAATCTACGAGCGCTTGCAGATGTGGGCTGAAGCGGCGCTTTGCTATGCAGCTACCGAGCGCGAAGCCAAAGCTCGATCTGTGGTTCGCCGGCAGCTGTACGAGGCTAAGGGTCCTAACGAAGATGATGAGAATGAGCTGTTTGAAGGCCCGGAGCGATCTACATTGCCGGCAGATGCGCCCCGACTCTTCTGTATTCTCGGAGATATTGAGAAGGACGAGAAGTTGTACGAGCGTGCCTGGGATATCTCAGGACAACGATATGCTCGGGCCCAGCGCTCTCTCGCTCGACACTACTTGGGTCTCACGCCGCCTGAACTGGAGAAAGCTGAGGCTGCCTACCGTAGGGGTCTGCACGTCAACCGCCTGAACGAGAGTTCCTGGTTTGCTCTGGGATGCGTGCAACTCGAGCTTCAGCGGTTTGAGGATGCCATGGAGTCTTTCACCCGTACCGTGCAATTAGATGATACCGATGCGGAGGGATGGAGTAACTTGGCCGTTGCCACGCTACGCTCAAAAGACCCCGAGCCGTCCCAGGATGAAGAAATCGATGAAAGCACGGGCGAGAAGATAGTCAAGGAGGTTGATCCACACAAGCGCAAGCGAGACGCCCTGGCGGCCCTCCTACGCGCTGCTCAACTTAAGCACACTGAAGTCCGTATTTGGGACAATGTGCTTACGGTAGCAGCCTCCATTCCACCACCAGCAACTCCCTTCCGCGACGTGGTCACCGCCCAGAAGCGAGTTATTGAGCTCGTCGGCGAGAAGAAGGGCGAAAAGTGCATTGATCTTCCTATTCTTAGCGTGCTCGTGGACTTCCTCGTCACGGCCTTCGAGTACGAATCCCTCCGCATCCAGACCGACGATGGCCCGGTCGTCCGCACCGGCACCATCCCAGGCCAAATCATTTCCCTGGTGGACAACAACGTCGTCCCTCTCATTACCCACTCATCTGCTCTGTGGCTCCTCGTCGCTCGCGTGGAGATGTTCCGCAATCGCCCCAGCCGTGCGCTAGATGCCCATGAGAAGGCATGGCGCGCTACCATCGCTGCCTCTGCGCAGGGTGCGTTCCAGATGGGGGATGAGAAGCCTTGGATGGCCGTTGTCCGGGCTACGGAGAAGCTGGTGCGCGATGGATATGCGCGGTACGGACCCATGGACCACGAAGAGCAGAAGGCCGAGGGCGACGCTGAGGCGGATATGGTCATGCGCGACTGGCGGTTCAAGGCCCGGAGTGCTGTTCGTGGAATTATGGGTAAGGGTAAGGAGTTCTGGGAGGATTCGGAGGGTTGGGAGCTGCTTAAGGAGTTGCAGACTGAGGTCACTGGAAACTAGTATATACATCCTTGTATAGCTTTGATGAATATAAAATTTATGTTTGTGATCTCCTGAAGACAGTAGGGAGTATCTTGCAGCTGCAGTTGCTCATTTTGGGGGGCATAACATGGCACCAGCACATCTCTCTAATAATGAAGAAAACCCCAAACTATCAGGATAGGAATCGAAATTGCTAATCGGAATATCTGGAAGCGAGAACCAGCAGGAATACGCGGGTTCTCAGATCCACCCCGAGACACTCCTTGCTTGTCATTGAATAACGTCAGACGCGACGCTGACGCTGCCAAATTCCGGGTATCCGAGGAGTCATTTCTAGGAGCTGCATTCAATTCCAACGAGGATCCAGAGTCAAGCGTGGAAACGTTTGGCGAGCTAAGGAGGATTCGATACCCAGTTATCCAGATAACGACAATCACTATGGTTTCAGTGGCATATGAGAGTATTTGTCTTGTCAGCGGTGGATTTGAAGAAGTAGCACCAGGAACCAAAAGCAGGAACAGAATATTGGGCATCACCACTTGGACAAGAATCTGGATCCCCTTGGAAGTGATCGGTGCAAACTCGGCAAGGTCTTGGGATGCTCGCCTTATCCTCTGTTGTCTGCGCAGAAGGATAATAATCAACTTCGTGAAAAGGTGAGCCGAGGCGCTCAAAGCCAACAGGCGAGATATTTGGTACACATGTTGAAGAAGATCTCCAACGATATTGATCTTTAGTAACGTATCGGAAACTTGGAGCGTCACTGGGCGTAGGACATCGTAGAGTAGCCAGGTGATGAATGCTTGCTCGATGTACCAAGCAAAAGAGGTGGTCCTGAGGACGACACGGGAAATCACATAGACAAAACAGCGCCAGTGCCCACACGTCCACTGAGAGGCACGTATATTGGATGAGAATATTCGTTCTAGCCTCGGAGCGTACTTCGGAGGCAAGGCGGACACGGTAAAGTCGATAACGGGGTCGGTCGCTTTGGGCCAGAGCTGCTGGATACGATCGCAGAGATTGTCTTTTTGAGCAGATGGCGGGGAATCGTGTCCATCCTCCTTTTCTCCTTCGGTTTCATTTGTGCTGCCTTCATTATTGGCATGATCACTCGAGAGAATGTCTGGTGAGGCCAGTGGTTTCACTAGCAGCATAGTCCGACCAGGCCAGCCTCTGCGGACGATGAACCCATCAGGTGAAGAGTCTCTAGAGAACCATAGTAATTCAACCAGCACAGATTCCGCGACTAAGAAGGTCACGAAGATATGCAACCACCGACAAGTTGTCGACGCTAACAGCACAGCATACAGCGGAAGCGTTCCCCCGACGAGGAGAAGCCGCCTCGCAAATTGCGGCCAAACCCTGTTAAGGTCTGATGATCTCGATGGAAATTCAAGATGAGAAAGAAACTTCAGGCTACTCTGTATATCCGCAATGTTCAAGAGTCGCAGGTGAATCAAGTAAATGACGAGGCTTAAGACGATTCGTGGAGATCGGAATGGGGAGAAGAATAGTATACTAAACTTGACATCTTCCAAAAAAGTTTGCCGTCCGGTGGGTTTGATGATGATGCTGATGGTGGCAATAAGCAGAGAAAAACTGGCAAGTAGATGTGGTGTGCCGTGGATGGAGAAGCTCATGGCCTGCGAAGTGGACGAGTATGCTCTCTTCGTTTATTGACTAGGAGCAGAAAAGCGCTGGAAGAACCTGGTAAGACGCAGATGTGATCAGGGGTGACAACTCACGAGACCTCAAACTGATGTATCCTATACGATATTACTGTACTGTCAGGTAACTTACTAGATAATTACAAAAATTACATTCTACCTAAACACGCTTCGACCAAACCCAACACTTACCTTTTACGAGCGAATAGAAGACCCAACTGCTATATCAGAGCCGTAGACGCGCTTTAACGCGTAGTTATTGCACAAATTTCCTATTTGAGAGTTTTTTTTTACATAAGTAAGTAACGGCATGAGTAACTGAGGCGTCCATGGCTTATCCATGATGTTACTGTAATACGGAATAGTTACCATACTTCTGGTTTGATTTATTTTCTATTTCATCTTCGGAAGATTTGAGGCTCCGAGACGGACTCAATTCCACACCGACGGGTTTTTCAGTCCCAAATTGGCTATGACCTCCTGCCTGCATCTCTTTCGCGTCCATTATCCGGGCATGAAATCCCTGAAGCACCGGAGGCGGCACAATGAAGCAAGCATCTTTGTTTCTCATTTATCTTCCATTTTCCGCTTCAACATACCACAAAAGCTCTCGAAGAGCACACTATCCGTCCCTTGAATCCAACGTACCAAAACTTGCACCTCTTTTGATTCCAGCTCCTTCCATTGGAGTAGCTTCAGTTGGACTCGAACGCCCAGCGCAACTTCCTGTGGGATAACATCTAAATGTCCCATCCCTGCTTGTTTCGCAAACTTCATTTTCCTTCGAGCTTGTCTAGACCACACATTTTCAGACGCGAATCCCACTCCTGCACTGGTACTCTTATCCCAGTTCCAGTACCAAGACAGTGAACCGAGGTTAGACTTCATTGTGCTGATAGCAGAATCGATGTTCGTCTCAGTGGGAAGTGTGAAGCTGTAATCAGCCGGGAAAGGGAGCAAATGTTTCGGGAACCCTGGAATATTCCGCGCCACGGACTGAAATCCATTAGCACGAGTCCATATATGTAGGATGGGTGTAGGTAACTCTTACCATCGCAGGTCGCCGATCCCCCCACGACCAAGCCACAGCCCACCGCTTCGTTTTGTTACCTTGTACAAACTCGGTGACGGCGTAGTTATTATTATTATGCTCAGTCAACCGTTCGACTAACGTGGTAACGCTACTCAGTTTCCCGAGCATGGATGTGTACCATTGAATCCGGTCTCGCAGTTGCAAGCTCTCGTTAATCATGCGAATCACGAACTCGACTTCACCGCCGGGAGCGATCATTTCCACTGCTGCGCCGGTGCAAGCGGAAAATGGGACGTGTGATTTTGTCTCTGCGGAGTTTAACATCTCTTCTTGTGATGCGTAGAACGGGGGGTTGCACATGGTGAAGTCGAGGCTGGGTTGGCGGTGTTAGTGTTGAGCTATCTTAGGAAGTCTGAAGGTGCTTACGTTTTGTGGTCGAGCTTTTCAAGGGGGAATAAGGGACCTTCTGGGTCAGTCCTGATGATTTGTATGCGTGACTGAAGTTCGTTCAGGGCGACGTTCTCTCGCGCGGTTCGCGCGTTTTGCTCATCGACATCTGAGAGCAGTTAGATTGGTCGTGACGAGACTGGTGGAAGACATACCGGTAGCGACAAATTTCCATCGAGGACGAGTCATACAACCCAGCAGGGGGTAAATGCTACAGCATCCTGTTCCGCTGCACGTTCGTTAGTCTCCGGATTTGCAGGGCTTGCTTTGGTGGTGACATACACATCAAGTCCGACGACTTCTCGGTCTGCGTCATACGTGTCGTGGACTGATCCAGTTGTTGAGTCAAGAAGGTCTTGCACCCATATAATGTAATTCAGTCTATGCCGTGAGATATAAGAATTCTGAACTTTGTCTGAGGTGAAGTATCCACAAACCTGTTTGGAACCTGTAGTGTGAGTCAGCCTCAGCCCGGTAAGTTGAAGCTTGACTACAAAGACGCTTACTGGGGGGCACAACCGATCAGAGGGAATCTCGACTTTGAGCCCGAAGTCATGCTGTAACAGGCTGATCGTCAATTGTCTACACTCGTTAGCGTGTCGCGGTCAGGGTGGAGGCTGTTCGCGTCCAAACTCACCTGACGGCAGCTTCATCGTGAAAGTCCAACTGTCCGTTGAATCGCAGGCTGCATATCCGTCAGATTCAAATTCCTATTTGTGCCAGCGGCTGAAATCCACGTACTGTTTGGCAAAGTCTCGCGACTGCAACGCGAGAGCTGCAAAGTCGATGTCACTTTTGTAGAGATTTCGAGCAGGCTCCATGGCTCCCGTTCAAGGAAGTGAGATCACCAGTAGGAAACACAAGAGGCTACCTGTTAATTTCGATTCGACAAGAAGTCGTCCACGGAGTAGTGAATGCAGAAGGGCAGTTGTATGTCGTCTCGGCGGAGATCCGAGAAGACTTGGCTGTTGATGCCTGAGGCAGAAATGCAAACTATTGTTGAACGTCATCGCCAGAACCACCATCCACAAAAGATTGAATGTAGGAGAAATTTTTACGCGTAAATTTTTCCCCAAGAAGCTTTATTTATGTTTTTTGTTACTCAAAAAAAGATGATATCCCGCTCATAGATCAAAAATTAATCGATTGCTCATCTTAGTCTGATCTGTCCTGTCAGGGTCTACATTCGAAACGGCGCCAAAATCCTGAGAGGGTAACAATCTTGCAAGACGTAAGTCTGTTTGCCCATTGTAATCGATAGCTTCCAATGAAGTGAGTTAGCATGCTTGATATTGTACGTGACAAAATCAGGATGAATTTCTGGCGGTGATATCTGGTGCAAACGTCCCCGGACAAATAAACCGCCAGGGGTAAGCCTGAGGTGAAAGATGCTCCCGATGTCAACTTCTTGGCACTTCGAATGTGGAGACAACATAATTGGTTCATTCAGGCTTCGAAATGCTTTCGCCAACTGAAGGTCCTGGACGAAGTAATGGTCGGAAGCTTGCGGGCCAGAGCTAGAATTTGCGCAGAAAGTCACCTGGGAGTGAAGTGACAAGCTGACCCAGTTGACTCTGATGTCGTCTAGCTCACATTTGAGCCTTGTGCTAGTCCGATCTACCTCAGGGAGGATAGTGATCACGAACTGAAAAGGCGCCGGGTCATTAAGTTGTATACCACGTGGACTTGAAACTTGAACGATGCAAGCTCCTTTGGGATTATTCTTCAGACCAAGCAATCCCTGTGCTTTCTTTCTAAGTGCGTTTTTGCTCTCTCTAGTATTGGAAGACAATAGCTCGCTCTGCAAAGCCCTTCCAACCCTGTATTGCCGTATCAGGTCACATCGACTCTGGATTTGAGGGACAGGGTGATCGATTATAATGAGACGTGTGGCATGAACTGAATGCTTGGTACCTCTAGAGATATAACTCATCTCGACATCAAGGCAGTATTCCACAAAGGCTTCGTAGCAGGTACCAAGTCCGTCATAACGGGAACGATATGAACCAGGCAAAGGATGATTCCTAGCGCACTCCGCATTCAAGGATACAAAGCTTTCTTCCCTGAGATGGCTATCTGCAACCGACGAATCGGGGCACATGGGAATAGTAATTTGAAAGTCCCAAGAAGTATATTGGGTAACATTTTTTGATTTTGGTAGGTGTAACGGTCCCCGAAAAAGGATTTGAGGCTTAGGAGTCCACAGGTGCCACAGACTTCTGAACTTTTGACTGCCTTTCAAGACGCTGCTTTCTCTGTAAAATTTTGTTTTCAATCGCCCTACGAGACTCAATCTGACGCAAGCATCAGGCGAGACAATTGGTGCTGAGCGAGTGACGTGACCGATCACAGTATCACCGGCAGTATAGTGCCAACCTGGTGGGGCAGCAAGCTCAACTTGGAGATCTTTAGGATCGCACCCAAGAGAAAGCGGCATCTTGCGATTTTCCACTGAGAAAACAAGAAATCGAGGATTTGAAACTGAGAAATGATGCTCTCGGTTTCGACTACAGAAATACATTAACCATTCCATTCTCTAGGGGGATCAAGTTGATCTAGTATGTATGACTCCCATAGTCGGCCGATCTGCCGATCGGCCGACCGGGGACCTATTTATTTGTAGAGCGAAGGGCGGGCTTTTTCGTTAAAAAAAAGGCACAGGTCTTTCAGATTGCAATTAAAAAATTCACCACATGGCGACAGCTGACAAGGATCTCGAAAGAAGGCTCGAGATGCCTGATCTCTTCTTAGAGTCGGATCTAAGCAGAGGTATCGTGGCTTGGGATGGTCAAAATGATCTACAAAATCCCAGGTAAGACCAAACGCGAGGGAAAGAATGCATACCATGCCAGTAGTATCTGGAACCCTCGTTGAGTTTTGAATAGGAACTTCTCATCCGCAAAGAAATGGACTACTATGATTTTACTCAGTGGTATGATAGTGCTTAGGTTTGTCATAAATCGCAAGTCTACCTACGTCAACTCAAAGACTAATCTCTTTGAACAGCTTCCTCACATCGACAATTGTGACTCCGGCAGCTTCAACCATTACGGATGAATTTCATGTTAATTCAAACATACTTTCATCCATGATCACTACCATATTTGTGTTTGCTTATCTGGTCAGTCGAGACAAATCAATAGCGAAATATGTCATCTTGTTTCTGACAGCATTCAATACTCTCAGTTCGGGCCCTTAGTCCTATCTCCTCTAAGCGAACTATACGGACGGCGAATAATTCTAAACTCTGCCCATGCCCTCTTCACACTTTCCCATATTGGCTGCGCTCTTGCTCCTGATGTCGGGGCATTCCTTACCTTCCGCATATTGTCAGGATTTGGTGGCTCAGTAAGTCTGTCAGTGGGAGGAGGCATTGTCGCAGACCTTTTCGCTATTGAACAGCGTGGCGTCGCGAATGCCCTAGTCGCGACGGGATCGGTCTTTGGGCCCGTGTTAGGACCACTTTTTGGCGGCATCATAACACAAAACATTGGCTGGAGATGGATATTCTGGGTACTCCTGGTTTCATGTGCAGTGATGGCGACCTTAATGGCGATTTTCGCACCAGAAACGAATGCATCTGTCATCATTCGTCGCAAGACATTGAAGATGAGAGAGCAACTGGGTATACAAGATTTACAGAGCGGTTATGACTCCGAGAAAGACTTGATCAGCTTCAGACGGCCTTGGGGCTCCCTAACCTGCGCAGTCTCTCGCCCCTGGAAGATGTTCTTCCGTTCACCATTGCTTCTGGTTCTCTGCTTGATCGTTGGTCTGGTGTCAGCTCTTCTTTACACCCTTTTGACTACTACCTCCTCCATCTTCCAAGACGACTATTCTTGGTCATTGGAAGCCGCAGGGCTTGCCTACCTCGGCCTGGGGTTCGGTAGTTTAGTCGGTCTCATTCTATTCGCCAAAACTTCCGATATCATTGTCTCGCGCTTGACCAAGGCAAACAACAATACCTTCGAGCCGGAGATGCGCATCGTGACAGCATTTGTACCCGCGCTTCTTATCCCAGTGAGCTTTTTCTGGTATGGCTGGTCGACTTACGTGCATGCACATTGGATCGTTCCTTTAATCGGGCTCGCACCTTTTGGCTTTGCCCAAGTAGGATTGACCGCAAGCGCTCAGGCATATCTGATTGATGCGGCTGGACCCTATGCAGCGTCTGCAGTTGCCTGCGTTACTTCGGTCAGGTGTCTGTTTGGAGCTTTCGTGCCTTTGGTTGCACCAAGTCTTTACGAAACACTCGGTTTGGGCTGGGGCAACTCATTGCTTGGATTTATTAGCTTGATCATGCTTGCCCTGACCACGATTGTCTATCGATTTGGGGAAAGTTTGAGACTGCGGCATCCTTTGTCTATAGAATAAAGCCATCAATATCTTGTAGACCCTTGCTTTTCCAGAGTGAGAGACTCGGAATGTGTTTCAGTCCTACCGTAGGGAATGTTTTCCGACATGGATCTCAATTTTAGGGTGCTCTCTACCTTCAAGGGTTTGAAATTTTGCTCTATGGATTAACTTTTGTATTCAAGTAGGTAAATTTGAAGCACTGTCGTAGTAGTCAGTGCCTGCTGAAGCCCAACAGAACTCTCAAAACGCCTTATTTGTCACAATTGAGATGATACATCGAGATAAACCATGAGCCGTATATAGAGACAATACTGAATAATTTCCAACGACCTTTCTTAATCAACAAAGCAAAGCATATCTGCTGGACCCTCTCTTCGCTCCCTGGATTCTACTTTTTGAACTGCCCCTCTATTTGACTCTCAGTGGGCCATTTCACACGACGAGTATCTGAGGCCTCGAAAATTCACGAAATATGGAGTTTTGCATGCAGATTTTCCAATAGTGACACAATGTTCAGAATATATGCGATCGCATCCTCTACTAAGTTCGCAGTGGACCTGAAGAAGTGAAGATGACTAACCAATATCGTGTCTGGCGAAGCCGCAGGTTCCGCTCGAAGGTGTCTTTGCCGAATTCGAAACCCCGCCAGCCGCGAGCCTAATCCAACCACCGAGACTTCTCTCCCACAACTTGAAAGGGTACGAGTGGTATGGAATCGAATGATCGGTTAAAGTTCTCCGTTTCCCGAGGTCGTCCAACCTGTGAGCCTTGTCGGCAACGTAAAGTCCGTTGCAGCAGAGGCATACCGTGCTCGCAATGCTCCCGTCTGCAGCTTTCTTGCATCTATGAAACACGAAAACGACGTGCGCCACTCAGGCCAGGGCCAGGGCCCCAGCCTATATCACAGGAATCCGTTACACCTGTATTACCTGTATCGCCAGTCCAAGGGACGCCATCCAACCAAGATGTTCTCGACAGATTAAACAGCATCGAGGTGCTTCTTTCTGATATCCGCAGATCGCTACCTTCAAGCCAATCGATAACAAGCGCAGTTGAACAGAGCCAGTCTCCTCTAGCGCCTGTTCTCGTACCGCCCACTCAGTCTTCTGAAGAGCCAGTGGACCATCAAGTTAGAGGCAATTATGTTGATAACTCCGTTTTTATGGGCCTATTATTGGACGTAAGAAATTTTTCTTCTTTGCCTGACTGGCGCTAACCGTACCAGGGTACTTCACAACAAGCTTCCATGAGCACCCACTCAACAAGTAGTGTCGCAAACACCCGGACCGCGCGTCCACCCACAAATTATGGCATAGTCGTCACCGACGTCTTTGGACCCCCAGTGGATAACCTTGAAATCGCATCAGAAACATATTCGAATTTATGGGAGATCTACATGCAAAATTTCGACCCACTGGTCAAGATCTTGCACATACCCACGATCCAGCCAGTCCTAGCAAAGGCCTCTACCAACATTGATAAAGCAGACGACACGACAATGGCGTTACTTTGTGCTGTTTGTTTTGCAGCAGTCTCCACTATCACAAAGGCCCAAGTAGTGCAACGATTTATCCATGGGAAGTCAATTATCCTCCGTCATTTCATGCAAGAGATGGACAGCAGGTTCATGAAAGCACAATTGATACTACGTCCCAACACCCTAACTCTTACGGCTCTTGTCATCTATCTGGTATGTTCGATTCTTTTTTCCTTAGATGCTTTGTTTAGGCCTGACGAAACCAGACGGCGTTGAAGACACATGATGCTACCCGAACGGTTTGGATTCTCACGGGCCTCGCCAAACGCATCGCTGAATCGCTTGGCATCCATGAAGATGGTGCTCGTCTTCAGTTAAGTCCATTTGATACTGAGATGAGGCGACGCCTTTGGTGGCATTTGACTGCGCTTGAGGCTTCTGCTCCAGAGAACCATGGTTTCAACGCAACATTTACACCACATAACCACGAATTTCCATTGCCAAACAACATAAATGACGAGGAAATCAGCCCCCAAATGGTGGAGCATGCGACAAAGAATGAAGGGTGGACTGAAACATACTTTTCTATTTTGAATCTGGACCTATCTCGGCGGTTGAGATCTGCGGTGGCGACCAACAGTACCAGTGACTTTAGTGTGCGAGTGAGCCTGATTGAAGAAACTGAACACATAATGAGTCAGCAATTATCACGATTCGCGGATATGAACCGGCCAATATGTCGTGCTGCCGATGCCTTGCTTCGCATATCAGTTCTGAAGGCACAGTTTATCTCTACACTACAAAAATGGCTTTCAGAGGGCGTCGTGGGTGGCTGTCAATACAGTCTACTCCCGCAGTCAATTTTTGCAACCGCTATCAAATTGCTCGAGGATGGATACCTCCTCCAATCCGGCAATCTCTTCCCAAATTTCGCATGGTTTTTTCAACAACACCCTCAATTATACGCATTATTTCTTGTTCTGCGCACACTACACGTCTCTCCTGGAAGAGCAGAAGCGGATAAGGCCTGGTTTGCGGTGGAAAATTATTTCACTTGCCTTGCCGATTTTGAAGAGGCTGCCGAGATGAAGGGTAGGACGAGCTGTGTTTGGACAGCCTTGAATCTTTTGCGAGACAAGGCCAGAGAGTCCCGTACCAAAATCGGTTATTCGGAGCAGGTTCTGTTTCCAGCCGCATCCTCTTCCTCAGGTACTGACATTGAATCCGCGAAGTCAGTATCGAAAAATCCCGATCTTGCCCCTTCTTTCTCAACATTCGAGTCCAGCATGCATTTACCGTTCGCTCGAGTAAGCCAGCCTGGTCTGGATCATTTGGCTTTCGACGATGGTCTTGCATGGCAGGACTTTACTGATTGGTTCAATATGGATGTTAGTAATTTCTGATTGTACAAAGTTGTCAGTTTTTCCGAGGTTGGAACGAAGTTGATCACGTCATATAGTAATTTAATACCGAACCACCCTTGATTATAATCCGTATAGAAATAGTTCTGTTTGTAGTTCTGTAATAGTCTTCGCAAAATTTCGATACGAATTCTGGAACCAAATCAGTTACCACCTGTTAAGAAAGATCTACTTGCAGGGTAGAAGGCCTGTTGATCAGGTAAGGTCGAAAAGCACCAAGTCAAATTCGTGGCAAGACTGTTTCTGTTTCTTGAGGAATTCGAAACCCACTCCTCACAGTACCAATTTATATACAGTCTTCTTCACACAAACAGAAATACAATGAGGGTCAACAAGAGGATGGGACGCCTGAGCTGAGAGGCTGGGTAACCAGTTAACGTGGCCTGCATACGGGGTTGCCCTTCAGCTATGTCAACGGAATGTGTGCCGACTGACCGCTGAAGGGTCGCCGCCTTGGCGGGGTCCTTGGGACTTCTGGGGCCTAGGGCACTAATCTGTGAATAGCCTCATGGCAGAATATCATAACACCACCTTAGTAGCCAGCCTAGAATAGGAAGAGGCGCGGGAACATATATTAGTAGATAATAACGGAAGTTAGTTCTAGAAAAATGAAAGAAAAAGGACTGCTTCCTTTCTAGAAGTTCCTCCTCAAAAATCGACTGAAAATTTGAGCATAACATTATATCTTATTTCTGCACCATCAGGAGATGATTAATCTCTACAGAAAAAAAGTCAAGTGAACCATCTGTTGGGACCTTCAAAAGTAGTCTATCAGTACCGACCTAATTAAAAGCACCTTCTAATATTTTGACGCAATTGCTGGCTATCTCCATGCTCTAACGCAAGGGAACTAACTCATCGGCGACGAAGGCATTGTAACTCACGACCAAGTTACTACAGCACAGATACAAAAGGGAGAACAGAACGATCGAAACCAAGCCTGTTCCCCTAGGACATGGATATTTTGAACAAACGGGATATAACTTTTTCTTTAGAAAATATGCCGACGCGGGTGATGAGTATTTTTACGACTAAACACTAGGTGAACAATGATAACGTAATTCCCACCCAAGCGAGCCACCCACCCGAGTGGGCCACCAGGAACACTTGTATTTAGAATTATACGCGGCATAGCTGCTAGCTATTGGCCAGCTTGGACAGTATACGAATAAACCAATCAACACATTAATACAGGCTAGATGATACTCCAACCCCTGGGAGTCTGGAGTCTCATCCTGATGACGGCGCCGGAGAGGCAGGTCTTGAACTCCCACTCTCTTCGCCGATGTTCTTCTCAAGAGCGAGCTGATCAGACTCAAAGGTTCCCGAAGGCTGTGCGGTCTCGGCTCGAGACTTCAAATGGGTCCTTTTTTCATATTGACAAAGATTGGCTGGGTACTGGCTAGGCTTTGCGAACCTTGTTGGCTCATCGTGAGCGTTTGTGACAGTTGCAAAATTGTGAGGCTTTTCAAGTGCCTGGGGCTTCTTTTCCTCACCAATATGTGTATCACAATCAATGTTGTCTGGTTCATTCGTCATGGGATTTAAATCCTCAGTAGCTTTGTTCTCCGATTGCCCCTTTTCATCCATTTTCCTGCTCTTAGGCTCAGTATTTTCAGCTAGGGTTGGTTCTTGGTTCGGCGATGAGTCCGGGGCACCTGATGGTGCATCATTTAGCCGGCCTCGGCAGCTGTTCGAAGTCTTTCCAAGCAGCTTCTTGCAATTGTCTTCTTCTCCAGCCTTCGGCCTTTCCGCGTCTTCAAAGCTGTTGAATTCACGGCGTAGCTTCATGTCGTGAAGCTCCCTTTCTAAATCGCGATTCCTTTGTCGCAACTTAAGAATATCTGCCCTCTGCATCCACCCATCGCTTGGCGGACCTTCATCCGCAGAAATTGACTGCGAAAATTTGTCGATTATTGTTTGAGAAAAGGGAAGATTTTTGCAGATCTTTTGTGCTAGACGGGCATTTTCGCCAATGAGCTCTGCATTCTCGAAGACTAATTTAGCCAGAGCATTTTGCACCATGAGACCCTCCCAGTGGGTTGCCACACAAACGTCGTCGTCAGGCGCGGTCTGGAATTGGGAAGCTATAGATCTTAGTCTCTTGAGAAGCTCTTGACAAGAGATTTTGTCCGTAGTAAGTAAATACTGTGAGAGGCAAGACTCATAGAGCTGAACAAGGTCTCCTTGAACAAGTCCGGACAGCTTGTCCAACTCCTCGAACGAGAGACGGGGATCTTCCACGCGACAAATAATCTCTTTGAGTAACATCGCCTGAGTGCGGTAATCTAGAAGCTCCTTGGATGCCTCCAGTGCCCACTGTAAGTTCTCACTAGGTGAAAATTTGGGATCTGGAACCGGCCATCCTGGGTTCTCAATCGCCAGAGGTATGTAGCTCGGCAAGGAATTTCTTTCGAGGGCTAGTCCCGGGAATCGCAGGAATTGGATTTCCCACCGTTCAGAAAATAGTATATTCGGATTTCCTTGACCATTGAAATGTTCTTTTGCCAATAGCCATTGCAGATAGGGACGAGACTTTGCCAGATGTGGGCTGTGAGCTTTGATATCGGCAGCACATTGGTTGGCTTGTTGTACGCAGCGCGCCAAATTCAAGTTGCGGTCTTGTGGTAGCATGGAGGATGATTGGCCATTGTTGAGGGTGTACAACATCGCCACTAGAATGGTCAGAATGGCCAACTCGGTGGATTCATCATATTCATCGATGGACCAATCTTTCAAAAGCCGTTCTAAGCAGTGGATTATCTGAGACTTTCTGCTCTCTTTCTCTTTCTTCTGATCGAAGAGCCGTTCCAACGTCCCCCTAAAGCCGAAAAATCTGAACATAGCGAGCAAAAGATCGCTCAGCTCCCAAATACGGCCATCCATGAGAAGGTCGTTATAGAGTAGAGGCCAACAGCGCGTGCTAACGGCTGAGAATCTATCAGTCTCAGCCTGGCTCTCGATTTCACTTCCAATGAGGAGCTGATTGCATATGATTTGGACCTAAATCATTAACCATCAGCCTTGTCAGTGGGAGAATTGCCGATTTCTCGAGGTATGTAGCAGTACCTCCGTTGAATCAAATGGTATCACAATACCGTGTGTGGAGTCAGCCTCATGTCTAGAAGCGACCCGTTTGTCCATGTATTCAAAAAATGTGTAGATCTGTAAGCGGTTCAAATCTTCCACTGAAAAGCCCGTACAGAACAGCTTTGATTTCAGCCTTAACACGTCAGAGTGTAGCTGATAAAGATTCGGACCGTGTTGATCGCCCCCGATTGGAAGGCATTTCATCTTCTTGCCATCATCCCACCGCCAATTCATGCTCGAACCTGACCATTCTTGGTAAGACCCTTGCTCAAGGAGCAAGTCGGAATATTGAAGGGCAACCAGAGGTAGATCCAAGTGATGCTCGAGGTTTGCCATAAAATACTTGATTGCCTCATTGAAGTACCCCCATCGTTTCAAGCGCGACACTTCTTCGAGGTGACTTTCAATGTCATCTGCAACATCAAGCGAGAAATGTATAGTGTTGTCATTTGGATTCTCATGAGTAAACGTGATGTTATTGAAGGGAAGAGCCACGTTTACATGACCAGGTTTACCAGAATCAGAATCAGAATCCGATGAAGAAGACGACGAAGAATGTGAATAGAATTGGGCCCTCCCACTAACCATCTCCCTTGGCTTCTTGTCCGGCGAAGTGCTATTAGGAGGTCGACGTACCCCGTCCAATGTCGGGGATCTTTGGACCAGAGGCATTCGGGAGGGATGTTCGTGCACCCATGCAGCCCCTGAGAATTTGTCCAGGCGACTGCTGGGAGGGGGTTTTTCTATATCAAGCTTTTTTGAGCGTTTGGGCACGTTTCGAGTTGACATACTGGGACGCAGACAAACACAGCGTTTAAGAGAAGAGCTTCATGGTCAGCTTCGGAACGATGTGGTGTATTTGTGTGGAATTCTTAAACTCCATTACAGCTTCTGGGCAGGCAGGAGAGTCGTGGGGCTGCCAACGGGTCGTGAAAAGCCAACCATGCACATTTTGGGGGCGCTAAGCAAATAGCAGTGACAGCCTTGCAGGTTGCCCCTCATCCTTGACCAACCAACAGACAGCCCGAACCGCCTCAATTTGGCCATGCAGGGATATTGCGCGTGGTCTCTACCCGCAGTGAGGCTGTGAGAGCGAGGGTCGCGCTGTCCAGCAACCAATCACTATTCATTGTATTGCGACGCCTACTTTGTGGGCGAGCGTGGAGAGTTATTTGGGCGATTCATCCTCCTATGATTATTTCAGACCCTCAAGCCTCTCCTGGACGCTGGAAGTTCTCTATCTTCGACTATTCTTTGTTGCTACCCGACTCAACAGGTAGCTTGCCATGTCCGACATCCCACTTCAATCCACCCGTCGGCCCACGGCTCGATTCGCTCGCCGGTATGGCTCGACTTTCAGCTCCTTCGACCATCTGGCCAATGTGAGTTTATGCTCACAGAAACTGCGCCGGGTCGAAATTGACTGTCGATTTCGGCTTTCGAAAACGAAGTGGGGCGTGTTGGGCCCTGCTGAGAACCAGGCCGGCATTTTATACATGGATTTCAGTTTCTCACAATCAAAGCACTGCCGGTTATCCAGTGCATCTGTGTGGGTGAGCCTTGAAGATCCTGCTGGTGTCAAAGATACAATTAAATCCGACGCAATGCCTACACTGCTCGTATCAACAGTCGAGATTCCGGCCTACAAAGGCAGATCGAGATCCGGATTGGCACCGAAATCTCATGAAACAGAACGGTCAATGACCATGCGCCATGAGAATGAAGAATACCAGGCCTTGCGCTCCATGTGCCTTCCCCGATTGACCCACGACTTTGGCCCCCGGCAGCTAACAGGAGAGCCTACCAAAGTGACAACTAAAAGGACCAGGCATCTAACCCCCGAGGTCAAGGTGCTTGGGAACGGGGGCGGAGGTTTAGGTTGGGACGACGAACAAAGCATTGAGCAAAATAGTCGATGGACTTTTACTGGAAGCATTCTTCAAGGCTCAAAGCTTAGAAAGAATCCCGCAGATATTGTGTATCGCACGCTCAAATGGGAGCTCTCCGAGGATGAATTCCAACCCCAGACTACCCACTGCAACACCATCCAGACAGCCTTCACACTTGAACATAACGAGAAACCATTCATCATTCGAATTGAAATCCAGGGGAAGCTTGAAAGCAAGCATGACCGCATGAAAGACCATGTGAAGCGACTATTGAAATTTCCAAGTGATCTCAGCAAGGGCCAAGGAGTCTCGCTGACGATGGTCAATCCACGACGGGAGAAAGCCACAAGAAGACTGGATGCTATTGTACAAGGCATACCCTTTGACATGGAACGTCTCAATTTGGAAGCTGTTCCGCCACAACTACCTACAATGCTCCCAATATCTTTCCAGGACACGACTCCCTTTTCGCGAGACGACAGTGCGACCACGTCCACGGCTGTGGAAGAGAACAATACTGGCCTCTCTGCAACCGACCATATGGCGAACGCGAGATTTCCCAACACCCGAGTATCGGAGCGGATCTCATCCTTCCCCCAAGCAGAAGAAACTACAGCAGGGGAGGCTACAATAAATGAAAAACCGCTGAAGACTGGAAACTGCGTTACGTCATATTCAGCGCGGAACAGGTCTGATCATTCATCCTTTCGAAATCCATCTGAACAAAGGCATACAAGATACAAGGAAACTACATTCAAATTGCAGAACGAGAATCACAAAAATATGGCAGAGAGATCCCAAGTCGAAGAGATGCCCGCGTCAGAGACAATATTAGAGCCGGTTGAAGATAAGCTTTCACGTGAGGACTTGAACGACCTTGTATCACAGCTGGCCCAATTTCCTTTTCTGCTCCGGATTTTTTTGTGGGTTATCTCTATGATGAGTTACACCCAAAATAAGACGCCGAGAAAGATCCTTAGAAATGAATGATTCGGATATCTATCACCACCCAAGTTCATCAAACACACAAACGACTTCCCTAAATGCTAGAGAGCCACGATCCTCGCGGCTTAAACGGGGGATAGACGCACGTGCTTCCTAGACGACTGCTTAATATTTAATTACATTATTGTCAAAATCTTATAGTAGACTTCTGTTATTTATAATATAAATAGAGGCTCTAGTATTATAGTACTAGGTATTACTTTACTTAGTAGAGATTCTAATTATACTTATAGCTATCCTATTATCTTCTCAAAAGAGGTTATTATCTTCTTAAAAGAGGTTATTAGCATCCTTCTTCGGTATAAAGGCTAAAAAGGTATCTTACTTTCTAGCTAGATCTAATTAGCTAGGATTATTAATATCTAGCTAATCAAATTTATCTAATTAGTATCTTCTAATAGCTTTTTTATATAAATACTTAAATGGAGATAAAGATTTATATTAGAATTAGAAGATCTTCTTAATTATCTAGTCTAGTAACTAATCCTTTCGTCTAACTAGCGGATTAATATATAGGGACTTGTCGGCATATGTGGCCTGTGGGTCCAGATTGCTAATTTGAATTCTTCCTGCTTACTAAGCAATCTTCCTGGTTTTACCGCGGAGAAACCCCTATCGGGTTCTAGCTCAGCGGGACCTAAAAAAGTTCAACGGGACCCAAAAATTTTCTGACTAATCTTAGGTCCCGATAAGGTGCCGGATCTCACCGGGACCCAAAATATTTTGGGTCCCGATGAGTTATTATGCTTACTTTTATATATTTTATGCAGGGTTTAACTAAAGTTGAACCTTCTCCTTACTAAAATATACTATATCTCTATACAACTCAATACAACTCTGTATACTATATTATATGATAATTATAAAGGCTCTTTGAATTAATTATTTATAAACTTATAAAAGAAATAGCCTTGCTATTAATAAATTACCAGGTTTGAAAGAAAAATATAGATTTTGTAGGGTTCTAAGTAAAAAGTGTTAATAAAGAAATAAGAGATATATCTTTAACACAAACACAACACTACCACCTTCTTCTTCTTCCCTTACTACCTACTTTGTTTACTAAAGGTTAGAATATCTGTTTACTCTACTCCCTAACGCGTTTCTCTATATATTTTGTATATACTAAATACTTCTAGCTTATTAATATGTCGAATCTTGGACTCTTCCCTAGCCTAGGTCTAACCCGGGCCGAATTTAACAACACTACCGTCTTAAACGCTACTAACCCTGACCCTCTCCTAGGATATACGTATAGTATATCGCCTAGAGGTATATGCTGTTAATATGCTAACTATATATAGGGCCTATTCCTGATAATAATCCTAGCTAGAAGCTAGCTATATATACGGTAGCTCTAGCTATAGGCGCTCGCTATTATAATATCAAAGTAGTAGATATCGCGGTAATCCTGCCTCTAAATCCGGCTAAGGTTCTTAATAAAGAGAACACAGGAGTATACGTAGTATCTAAATATACTAAGGGTATAGTTATCGTATACTAACACTAAGAGGAATAGCTATAATATTATCGTTAACCCTCCGTCCTAAATATACGGTCTAGTCTTCTCGGAGGGACCTACTCTACGTCGATATATCCGTAATGAATATTCCGGAGCTAGCAAGTATCTATTCGTTAGATATATTAAATATATACTAACAATATAACTACGATATAGTCGTTAACCCTAACCGCCGAGTAAAGACCTAGTTAGAGATTATTACGGGCTAAAACGCTATTAAGCGTTGGGTCCTATAGGGTAGCTAGCAGGATACTAGCTACCTCTATAAGCCTAGACGCAGCCCTAACAATAGATAGATTAGATACTAGGCCTCTGCTCTAGAGCGAATTACGTAAGTACTCTAGGTACTCTACGTTTTATATAAGATTAATATACTTATTATATATAACTCTTATATATTTAACGTATACTAATAATCTATATAGAGCTACTAATACACAGTTTGCCGTATAATACGGTACTCGTTTCTACTACTAGCAGGCCCTAGCAACCCCGAGTTCTAGTTATCGTAGCCGCCGGGTAAGTCTATATTATATATATAGAAATAATATATTAAGTATATACTAATAGTATATAGTATAGACCTAGCGTCTCTAGGAATCCTATTCCCTTCGCGGGTTTTAGCCCTACTACTAGTAATAGAGGTAATAGTAATAGAGGAGGTAGCCTACCTGCTCCCTATATACTAGACCCGGATAAGGATAGGGATAAAGAGGAGGACGAGCAGGAAGATAATAAGGACGATAATAAGGAGGAGGAGAATAAGGATAAGGAGGAGGTAGAGATAGAGGACTTATCCTCTAATACTTTTAAGTCCCTTTAGTTAGGCGTAGGTCTCCTTATATAAATTTTCTATTATTTATCTATATAGAATATATATAAACTAGATACTAAAAGTAGATTTAATATATATTAAACTTATACTAAAAGTAAATTCAAGATATTCTTAACTTATACTAAAGATTTACCTAACTCTATACTCCGTAATAATTCTTCCTTCTTCCTTCGAAGGGCTAAGATCCTTTACTTTCTCTTAAGTTCCGTAACTTCTTACTATAGCCGTGCCTCTTCATTATCGAATCCCTAAGTATAACCTAACTACTAGGATATACTATCCTACGGCCCTATTCTAGACGATCTATTAAAAACTAAACTACCCTAAGGGGTAGATAGCGATATAGATATAGATTAACTATATACTAAGCTTACGTTAGTTATCTCCGAAGCAGGTATAGAAGCCGTATCTGAAATATCTAGAAGCTCTGGTAGTTATATTGTCGGGTTAAGGATATTATAGGGATTAACTAGGTTCTAAGGCAGGTGCGAATTACTAATACGACGATTAGCAGATTTTTTATAGCGCTTATCTAGTATAAAGTTAGTATATATTAAATATATATTAATTATATATATAAACCCTTTTTGCGAATTTGTTTAGCAATACGATACACGGGGTTCTAAGATCGCTAAGTCAGGAAAAGACCTTGCTCTTCTATAAGTTTGTTCTTTTAGATTATCTCTTATATATATCTTTTGTATCTATTATTCATAGATTAGTGATATACTTTATATATAATAAAGAGGATTAAATACCGTAGGATTGCTATTAATAAAGCTTACTTTCGGCCTACTACCTCGTTATCGTGGAAATAACTACTTTCACTAATTCTAGTATAGTATAGAGTATTAATCCACTATTTAATAGGAATCTTAGATACCTCTAGGGTTATTCTAGTAAGAATCTAATTAACCTTTTTGTTCTAAAACTATTTTTCGGTCTCTAGCTACTTTTCTATAACTTCATCCATAATTCGAATAACTTCTACCTTTAAATTTACATTCTAGATTATATTAATAGACGCAGTAGCTTTATAACTAGGAAACTTCTTAAGAAAGGCTCGCTTCACGTACGTTTAGTATAGGATTAGTATATATTAAAGATATTCTAACTATATCCAACGAGGGTCTAGGCTAACAAGGTAATCTCTAAGCCCTAGACGGAGAAAGAATATTAGTATAGTTTAGATATATATTAAGTATATATTAAGTATATAAGTAGCCTACTAGGTACTTACTTTTTATATATATTAATAGTAACTATCCGAATTCCCTTGCAAGAATCATCTCTTCTAAGCTAATATACCTATCTAACCGGCTTTCGTCTAATATCCCCAAGAATCTTGAAGATTTTCTCAAAAAGTACTCGGTAAGTATTTCGAGTTTTAAGGTTCATAAAGGCATAGATATAGGTATTCAATCCTAGTATTAGTATATAGTTAGTATATATTTAGCATATTTAGAGCACCGGACAAAACCTTACTTTTTACCCGTTTATTCTACCCCGAGATTAAGAAAACCTTAGTTTATCCCTAAACTATCTTAAAAGCGAGATCTATTTCAAGATATCGTACACTCTAGAAAAGCTTAGCTTATTCGTATATATAGCATATAATCAGATATTATTCCCGGTTCTTGTTAAAGAAATAGACTTCACGAATCTATTAATTATCGATATTTTTTATCAGATCGAACTAGTATTCACGCTATATCCTAGCAAGACTTATCCCTTCTAGATAGTATAGTAGTCTCTACTTATAAATTAAAGTAGTTACTCTATCCTTAATATATAAGCTCTTATAGATATATCGAAGCGTAGAATCACTATATTAACGTAAGATCTTCGCAAAAAGAGGCGAAACTATTAATTTACGTATAGTTAATCCTAGGATATCCTACGTACTAATTATATCTATAATTTCCTAACTAATATTATATAGTAGCTTTATAGGTAGTAGTAGGGTATATAAATAAGATCCTCGATAAACAAGAAGGAAAAAAGGAAAACGATCCTATAAGCAGGGGATATAAAGGTTAAACTTAATAGAGCAAGTACTCTATATTAGTTAACTAACACTATCTATATAGATTAAGTCTAGGATAGAGTAAGTATATATTTAGTATATAAAACATATATATATACTATAGTAGCGACGCCTAGCTAAACGATACTATGATCCTGACGGCCACGTGTGGCCTGATTACATCATCCGTACGGCCCAGGTACCCAGAATTCTGCCGGTATCTACCGGATTATACTCATTTAGACCTATTTCCTTACGAATATAACAAAACATGCTCTACCAAGATCACATATAGTAGCAAACCCTTAAAAACGGGCGACCTTCTACGGCCGCCCGGGGGAGATCGCTCTCGAATAGAGACGAGAGGCCTCCCTAGAAGATCTAAACTCACGATCAACGGAGAGGATCGCGTAGTAGAAGGATCGCTAGATAGGCCTTATTGCGAGCGAAAGCGTCAGGAGAGAAGGCTTCGAACAACATTATAGTGACCTTAAACCCTCACCGTAGTGTAGGCTTTCCCTTCCCGAGGCGCGTAACGTAGCAAAAAGGGGCTTAAGCGACCTAATTACGCACGATTCCTCCGGTAGGGCATCCTTCTGCTCGTACACGGCTAGAGTTAGGGCCGTAAGCGAGCTAAAGTAAAACTACGAGAGTATTAGAAAGGAACGCTTTAACTAGAACGCTTCGAGCAGAAGAAATCAGCGAGAAACCTCCTTTTACCCTCTAATTAAACAGTCAATCGTTATAGAACACTTCCTATACGCACTAACCGATAAGCAGGCCGCCTAGGCCTATAAACCGTAGGACCCGAACGCCTAAGGTCCTAACTAGCCGGACCCGAATCCTCACGCCCAGGATCTACCGGATCCTCTAACAACGGTAGCGTTGCTTCTACTACCGTACGAGATAGGCTAATAGTATCTCTACCTATAGCGGACCGCACCGGATCGAGATACTACCGCGCGCCTTATTAGAGAAACCGTCTACTTTATATAGCTCGTAGAAGCGAATACGAGAGCTATAGCTACGTAGCCTACGCTGACGGCTACCCCGGCTAGAAACGATCGTGCGGAAGCAGATAAGAAATAGGCTCTTCTTAAGACAATCCCTAAGATTAGAGATTACATAGGGAAGATTCAAGGAGACGCCGCGCGCAAGTATCTCTACGATTGCGAGCGTTACTTCTAGCAAGTAGCCGAATTCTCGGCTTCGGCTCTAGTCGATCGAGAGAAGATCATATACGCTAGCGGTGTACTAATAGAGAAAGCTCTAAGGAGCTAGCGTAGCTACGAGCGCTAGATCGTAGAAGGATACGAAACTACTATTTCGACCTAGCAGGGCTATAAGGACTAGATTAATCGTGAGTTTTCGGAATACCTTAGTGCTACAAAGAGGTAGAATCGGTTTAAAACGCTCCGACAGGGAGAAAGGCAGCCGTTTATAGAGTACGCTACTCGGCTCTAACAGGCCGCGATTAAATACGAACAGATTATTCCGGACCCGATCTTTATTAAATTCTTACGAGATAGCGCCTAAATATACCTATAGCGTCGGTAGGTAGAGGAGCGAAATCCCCCGACTAATCTCCGCGATATTATAGAGCGCTTTAAGAGTTACGAAGAGGGAGCTACTCTCGCGAGCTTCTACTCGAGATAAGCTCCGAATAATAGTAATACGATAGATTTGTCCGCGATGCTAGCTAAACTAATATATTAGGAGAGAAGGAAATGCTTTAACTACAATAAGATTAGGTATATTAGGAGGAACTATCCGAAACTAAGGAGGGAACGAGGTAATCGGAAGTAATTAGAGGAATCGGGAAACTAGAGGGCCTAGCTGATATCGAAGTAATCGCTAGCTACCTCCGAAAAGCTTTATAAGTTGCGGAGATTCTACCTAAGGACCGACTAGACCTAAAAGATAACGAACCTACGCTAAAGCACGCCTTATTACTCACGGTTAGTAAGGCCTTACTATTTTATAGCGCTATCTTAGGCCTACTACGGATAAACGTGACTATTCGCGCCCTATTAGATTATAGAGCATTATACACGTTTATATCCTCTACCGTTACTAAACGACTAGATAGGCTAGTAGTACAACGCTATAGTAAGCCCCTCGCTATTAGGATACCCGACGGGAACGAACTATACACAAATATATCTATTCGGGTCCCTATAACCCTTGCCTCTTAGCGTAGATACGTAGAAGTATAGATTCTAGAGCTTCCGGGATACGAGTTTATCCTCGGCCGCGATTTTCTCCGGTCCTAAAACCCTCGGATTAATTAGGTTATATTAGTTATAAGGCTACGAGATCGCTTTAAAACGTACCGAATCGAACTATTACCCGGGAGTAACGAGCAGGCTTTAGCCGAAAGGAAGCTTAACCTTCTAAGCGCGAGGTAAGCTACTAGGGTAATACGGAAGAGAAATACCGAGGGAATACTCTTTATACTATAATAGGCCGAGAAAGGAAGCGAATACGCGCTACCTAGATACGAGGACGAGATAATCGGATAGATTTTAAAGCGTTTCCTAGAGGTATTTAGGGATTTACTACCGGAGACGCTTCTACCTAAACGAACTACCTCTTATAAGATTAATACGGGCGACGCTGCTCTAGTTAATATTAATTCGTACCCGATATCGGACGAGAAGCTCCGCGAATAGATATAGTAGGTTGAGATACTCTTATAGAAGGGCTTAATTCGACCGTCCGCTAGCGGATAGGGCTTCCCGGTTATCTTCGTGAAGAAGGCTAATAGGACGTGGCGAATGTGTATCGACTATAGGGCTCTGAACTAGCTTACGGCTAAGAACAGATATCCCCTACTACAGATCTACGAGCTATTAGACCGTATCGGCTAAGCAAAGGTCTTGACGAAGATTAACCTTACTTCTAGCTACTAGCAGATCTGTATAGAAAAGAAGTCGATTAAGAAGACTACTTTTAATACGATTTAGGGTAAATACGAATAGCTAGCAATGCCTTTTAGACTCTATAACGCGCCTGTAATCTTCCAGACGGTTATAAATAAGGTCTTACGGCTATTTTTAGGGACTTTCGTCGTCGTCTACCTTGATAATATCCTTATTTACTCTGATTCGATAGAAGACTACTACGACTACCTAGAGAAGGTGCTCTCTACGCTCTAGAATAGCTGTCAAGAATGTGGACTCTCTTTTATTACGGTGACTCGGGATTGGTCGAATCCCTACCGCCTTTTTTGTATGTACTTTGCTAGTATTTGCGGGTATTTCGCAGACACCGGTCAAGTCACCGGAGTACTCGGCTACCCCGCCTGGGGACAGCTCAACCTGCCCCTATTTTTCCTCTTTTGCTTGTTTTCCTTTTGGTCTAATCAATCGATCGAATTCATCTGATTCCGTTGGCTGTTTTCCTCCCTACTAGGTATACAATCTCATACTAGATTTCTCCGCTTTGATAGTTATGAGCCCGATCGCAAGATTGGGCTAATCTACGCTTCCTTCGCTTGCTACTAAAGCCATTGAAATCTTCAATTCGAATAACCCCTTGGGTATACTATAGTTATTCGTCGGCCGCACCGCTTGACCCGGATTTAACCCATCAATTGTTCGAACTACCTCTGAATTGTACTACAAATATGGGAGAAAACGAGAAAAAGCTATCGTCAACTGGGTCAGGATGGGACCTAAAACTCCGTCACCAAGACTAGTGGAGAATTTGGCTGGGGCACATCAAATCTGCAGCTAAGGGCGCTGAAATATGGGAATACGTCAATCCCGATCTCTCCAACGATCAAATCAAGCCTATCCTATTAGCTACGAATCCTCCAGATCACCAAACAGTTCGCGAATCGGCCTCTCATTGGCTGGAACTATCGAAAGATGAGAGAGATTACCTGAATCAGCTAAAATCTGACTATAAGGAAGAGATGAAAAGGGCAAAAGAGATAAAAGGAAAGCTCTATACGCTCGCACAGCTGATTATACAGCGAATTGATCGGACGGAAGATTATCTGATTCTTGGCCTAGAATCTCCGCGTGACCAGTTGCTAAAGCTAAAGGGCAAATTCGGCACTGGCGAAGAAGATCGTTGGCTACGCCTAAGAGAAACGTGGAGGTTAATGTGCACCAATCCGAAGGGCAACATTGATCAAGAAAAATAGCTCTCTACCTGGATATCGTTGTATCATGAGTTAAAAGAAGGCGGAGTACCGGACGTTTGCTTCTCGGATACGCTGCGGAAGAAGGATCGAGCACCGATTTGGGACTTTCTGACCACAATTAAGGATGAAGAGCCCTTCTTTTACGACCTCTGGAAGAATAAACTGTCCGATTCCGAGTTTGAAGTTACTTTCGAAGAAACAATTGAGGCGTACCGAAAGCATCGACCTGAAACAAAAGCAATCTAAAGCTCGGTAGATCGAGTCTCCTTCAACGCAACTTTGAATGGAAAATCAGCTAATCAGATTGATCAGGGCCAATCTTCTAACCAATCTGCTAGCTAATTGGTTCTATACTCGCATAATCAGACCAAAACGTGTATTATATGCGAGAAATCAGGCCATAATTGGAGGAATTGCGGCCGAATCACTAAAAGATGGCGGTTTCTAATGAAGCAAAAGGTAATTGATTAGATTAAAGAGCGAATCAAGAAGCTTCCTGAAGATCAGCAGGAAGAGTTGCTAAGAAAGCTTCAGAAAAGAGCCTCGGAACTGGAAAAAGTATTAACTGCTTATCTCTCTATTATTAATGATCTTGATGTTCCTACCGAATCTATCTCCTTCTATGCTGCTGCGGTTCCTAATGCAGTGGCAAACGCAGCAGTTGCGTATCCTCTCAAGCATTGTTGGCTTCTTGATTCTGGGACCAATGTGAACGTGTGCAATGATCGCTCGAGGTTCTTGACCTTCAGGCCAGCCACAAGGGAGATCAGCCTTGGAATGGGAACAGCAATTGCCACTAGGGTAGGCAAAGCTAGAGTTCGGCTGACTGATGCAAGAGGCAAGTCGACATGGGGGATATTACCAGAGACCTGGTACTCGTCCGAATTTACTACTAATTTGGTATCCTTATCCGACATCGCAAGCAGGGGCTTCCATTTCAACAGTGCTATTCCAGGAGTAGTTAAAGAAGGAAAAACTGTTGCCATTTGTATTCAGTTTATGCACCTTTACCTTCTTGAGGCAAAAGGGGTAGATAGCCCTCAAAGGGTTGCCTATGCAACGGGTCTTTCATCTAAACCTGCAACCGCCGAAACCTGGCACCGCCGATTGGGCCACATTGCCGATCGTCGAATCGAGCGGCTCGCCGAAATGGTTGACGGCATTGAATTGAAGCCGATTAATAGAGAAACTCCTTAGTCAAACCCTGAACAATGTGCTACATGTCAGAAGGCAAAAGCGCAGCGGCAGATTTCGCGGCGCCTAGCGGAAAGATCTCGTGTCTATGGTAAATTTGGCCGTATTCACTGCGATCTTATGCAATTGGACCCTGGGTTTAATGGCTATCAGTGGATTACCTATCTCTATCTCGAGGGTATCCGGTTTTATTTGACTGAAACGCATGCCAAGAAAAATGGATGCGTAAAGGCGATTATTAGTGCAATTGCACTATGCAGGAACTAATTTGGCATTGATGTTAGGGTCTTCAAGAGCGATCGAGAACCAACCCTTGGAGATTCGTTCATGAGATGGATCGAGGAGGAAGGGATTGTATGGGAAACTAGCGTAGTGGGTATACCCGAACAGAACGGCTTCATCGAGAGAGCTGGTGGTGTTATTATCAAAGTCGCCCGCGGGTTACTACTTGACTCAAACCTGCCGAAAACACTATGGCCTTTGGCCGTAAAAGCAGCAGGATATATCATCAACCGGACACTAACTATGCTACAAGACGGTCGTACTGTGATCCTATGGGTGGAGGCTATGTCAGCTAAGGCACAAGGCCCTATTCGTCCTAACCTCTCTAATCTTCGTATCTTTGGCTGCGGAGCATGGGTTCGAACCCAGGGCCTAGCTAAGAAGGATAAGATGGCTCCAAGGGCTTAATTGGGCTATCTGGTTGGCTACGTGGCTAGTAATATTTGGAAAATCTGGTTTCCTGCTACGGGTGCAGTTCGTGATGAGAGAGATGTAATCTTCGATGAGGCCATTAGATTTGATAGTAATCAAGAGGATTCATCTCAATTAGCTACAATCCCTGCCATAGACCCCTGGGGAATTGGGATGGGAGGCCAGATTGAGACGGAAAGCTCGGATGAAGAAGAAATGCCCGTTCGCGACGACGAACCAGAACTCAACATTTCAAAGCCGCTCTCTATACTTCGAATTAAAGATACACTTCTCCCGACACCTTCGCCTACTCCTTCACGCGATATTCCGCCTGTTTCAAGCCGAGAAACTATAGGAGAGGTCCCCGGGGCGTTCCCGGAAGGGAGATATGATGGCCGTGTTACTCAAGAGCGTACTGCTCCCGTTCCAGCTGAGGGGGTGGGTATTCGCCAGGAGAATTTCGAACCTGGAGATCAGCTGCAAAGCGAGCTACATGAGATGATTTCATCCGATTTGCCAGAGGGCTATCGAGAGAGAGGTACAATTGCACCAAGGGATATCACAGCAGACCTCTCGGAAGGTAATATTCTAACGGGCAAGCGTACCCGGAAGAGAAGCCAGCACCACGCAGCTATGAATGTAGTGATTCATGGGGGGCAAGATGAGGATAACCACGAAGGCATTTTGCTAGCGTTTCACGCAGCAATGAACTTCTCAAGCTCCCAAGATCGACCTATGCGTGACGACCTCCCTCCACCGCCGCAGACCTAGAAGGAGATGCTCCACCATCCGCATTGCGAAGGTTTTACCAAAGCAGCCGAATTGGAGGTCAACACCTTGAGACAAAAGGGAGCTTTCGTCGAAACCGACAGGCCAACGGACCAATCATTGCAAATCTTGCCATTGAAATAGGTCTTCACATACAAATTTGATAGCAATAGGCTATTGGTCAAGCACAAAGCCCGAATATGTGTGAGAGGCGACCTCCAGAAGGTTATATTAGATGAAAAATATTCGGCTACTCTTGCAATCCGAACTACGCGATTCGTATTCGCATTAGCTGCTCAATTCGACTTGGAAACTACTTAATGGGATGCGGTCAACGCATTTCTGAACAGCCCGTTGCCTGACGAATTGTATGTGGAACTGCCTCCTGGGCTATTCCCTAAAAGCAAGGGCTTAAGGTGCTGGAAGCTGCTTAGAGCTCTATATAGGCTTCGCAAATCGCCACGATTATGGCAGCAGGAAGCCTCCAGGGTGCTTATTTCGATTAGTTTCAAAGTTGTTCAGGAAGATCTCTGCCTTTTCGTCAGAGAAGGGCTTATTATCATCTTTTATGTTGATGATTTAATCCTATTCAATCACATCAGCCAGAGGGAAGAAGCCGAGGATGTACGGAAAAGGCTTAATAAGGCATAGGAACTTCGCGAAATGGGCGAAGCATAGTGGTTTCTGGGCATCCGCATTCTCCGTAATAGGGAGAAAGGTGCGATTTGGCTGTGCCAAGATGCCTACATCAATGCAATGGCGCACAAGTTCCATCTTACCGAAGTGCGAAAGCTCGAAGTTCCTCCAGTTTCCATAGCAGATTTGCGCCCTTTTGATGGTAATGCTTCGGATGAAAACCGCTTGGAGTATTCCTCTAAAGTAGGCTCTGCGCAGTATGCAACTACGATTACCAGGCCTGACGTGGCTAAGGCAACTTCGCATTTAGGCCAATTTCTGTCAAATCCTTCTCCCGATCATCTGCATGCAATTGGACTGATTATTGCATACTTGTACTAAACACGGTACAGAGCTATCTGCTACCATCGCAACACTAGCAATTTGCCTAGTGTTGAATTCTGTAGCGATACCTTATACGGTGATAATCACGATCGGAAAAGTTCAGGTGCCTATTTGTGCAAACTGTTTGGGGGCCTAGTTGACTGGAAGGCCGCCAAGCAGAGAACGATTACCACTAGCACAACCGAAGCCGAATTGCTCGCTATTTCTGAAGCAGGCAAATCGATGTGTATGTGGATTCGGATCTTCAACCAAATCATGTTCGATCTAGGTCACCCTGTCGCAATTCAGTGTGACAATCAGCAGACTATACAGCTTTTAACTAAGGAAGCGCCTTATCTTCGAACAAAGTTGCGACATATTGATATTCATCAGCATTGGCTCCGCCAAGAAGTGCAAGCAGGAAGAATACCGGTCAAATAGGTTCCAACCGATGAGATGGCAGCTGATGGGCTCACCAAGCTTCTTCCTCGTCAAAAATTTGCCAGATTTATCAGGCAATTAGGCATGGAGGATATCGCGCACATGCTGAATGAGTAATTGAGCTCATCCAGCGAAACTCCTAAACTCCTAAAGGAATTTCGCTGAGGGGGTGTGTCAAGAATGTGGACTCTCTTTTATTACGGTGACTCGGGATTGGTCGAATCCCTACCGCCTTTTTTGTATGTACTTTGCTAGTATTTGCGGGTATTTCGCAGACACCGGTCAAGTCACCGGAGTACTCGGCTACCCCGCCTGGGGACAGCTCAACCTGCCCCTATTTTTCCTCTTTTGCTTGTTTTCCTTTTGGTCTAATCAATCGATCGAATTCATCTGATTCCGTTGGCTGTTTTCCTCCCCACTAGGCATACAATCTCATACTAGATTTCTCCGCTTTGACAATAGCTAATTAATCGCGTAACCAAGTAAATACGTTATTACGGCGAGGGAGTTAGAGTTTTATAGCTATATCGTAGGTTCTAGTCGTATTCGGCTACTACTAGCAAAGGTAGACGTGATCCGTACATAGCCGAAACCTTAAAACGTACACGAACTACGTTAATTTGTCGGCCTTACTACGTACTACCGTAGATTTATTAAGGGATTCGCCTAAATCTACGTCCCTTTACACGAATTATTTAAAGAAACTAACAAGGAACTTCGACGAGATAAGTTCTACCCTCTTCGGTAGACGATAGCGTGCGAGAGTACCTTTAGTACTCTTAAATAGAAGCTTATAAACGCTCTAGTTATAGTATAACCGGACCTATCGAAACCGTTTGTGATTAAGATAGACGCGTTAGAATAGGCGATTAGGATAGTCCTACTTCAGATAGGAGTAGACGGAAAGTTGTATCTAATCGTATACGACGGCCGGAAGCTTTTAGGGGCTAAGCTAAACTACCCTGTTTAGGAGAAGGAGCTTCTAGCGATTAAGGAGGCCCTACGTCTATAGGATCGCTATATTAAGAACGGCACGTAGACGACGATCGTCACTAATCACGCGAGTCTATAGTACCTAATATCTACTAAGACCTATAGTAAGCGTTTAGCTTGCTAGGTAGCTGAATTTCAGGAATATAACTTGCGTATCTAGTATCGGAAGGGATCGGACGTAGTAGTCCCTGATACGTTAAGCCGTAGGCCCGATTTCGTAGAGGATAGGCCTGCTAATATATCGAAATCCCGACTAATATAGAACTTTTCTCTAGCTATCGCCTAAGTAATTAGCTATACGGTTATAAAAGTTCCCGAAGATAAGTAGTTATCCGTAATCCGCTAGTTCTTAGAGACTTAGGAACTACTAGTGGATCCCTCTGTGGTAGCAGCTATTAAGCGATTTGTACTAAAGCTAAGCTTACGGGATAACGAGGGTAGCCTAGGAGACTAAAAGCTTATCTTCGTCTACGAAGACGGGCTCTACGCCCCGTATTTAGAGCCGATCTTCTGTAGAGACTTCTTGAACTGCCTATATAAGGAATTTAGTTATCTTGGCTATCCCGGCCTAATAGGTATACTCCGTCCGCGAGCGTAGTGGCCCTAACTACGGTATAATATTGAAGATCTAGCACGTTCGTGCCCGAATTACTAAATTTCGCAGGGTTCGCGTACGAATCTAGAGAGGGAACCAGCCTAATATATAGTTATAGCCGGTATCCGCCCTTTCTAGCGATAGAGAATTGACCTAATCGGACTATTACTAAAGACGCCGAATAGTAATAAGTAGATAGTTACTATAATTAACTATGCTACCGGCTGGCCGGTCGCGAAAGCCCTCTAGGAAGCAACCGAGGAAGAATTAGGTCAATTCTTGCACGATTAGATCTTCGTAAATTATAGAGCCCTAATAGAACTACTCTTAGATAACGGCCCGAACCTTCTATCTAGGGCTATCCGGTTCTATCTATAGCTTATAAGGACGAAGCACTGTATAATAACACTATATCACCCGCGAACGAACGGGAAAGTTGAGAATTTGAATAGACTACTAGGCCGAATGCTCACGAAATACCTTATAGGGAAACCGACTAGGGCGTAGGATCTCTATCTTACGTAAGCGATAGTCGCTACGAGGTTCTATAAGTATACTATAATAGGCTATAGCCTGTTTTACCTTGTGTATAGAATCTAACTATACCTCCTAGGAGACGAATTGTCTACGAAAGTATTGCCCTTCTGCGAGAGAACCGAAGAGCTCTAGAATATAGCGGATGCTCGGACGAAAGCAAATAAGCTTTTACTCGCGAGAGCGATTCGAACGAAGCGTATCCGTGATAGTGCGGTCACGAAAACGAGCTTTAAAAAGGGCGATTAGGTATTAGTTCGAAACGAAAGTAGGAAGAAGTTCGAGAGTAAGTAGTTCGGGCCCTATAGAGTCCTATCTTCCTATCTACTCGGAATATATACTCTCGAGGAGCCGTCTAGCCGCGTACTTAGGAATCTTATTAACAGATCCCGGCTATTAGAAGCAAATATAGCTAATCTAACAAAGCTATAGGCGTCTTCGGCCGTAAAAGCTGCCCTCTAGAGGATAGGCCTACGCCTACGAAGACCGGAAGAAGTACGGAAGGTACTCGAGGATAAGACTAGTATCCCCGATTACTCGGAATTATCTACGTTTACTCGAGAAGAATAGGCCGACTTTAGGCATAATAGTACGCGCCACGAGCTAGTAGGGGAGGAAGCGATCGCTAACTATGTTATCGCTAAGAGAATCGTAAGAAATCGGGCTAAGCGAAGGCGAAAGGATATAGCCGTAGAGAGAGGCACAGGGGATTCGGCAGCAAGCCTATCCGAAAGCTCTTAGGAAGACTCTAATTAGGGTAATCAGAGTATAGCTGAAGAAGACGTTCCTTAGCAAGGTACGAAAGAGCCGCAGGACGCTAACGCCTACGAAAGTACACTATTTAACAGGCTACTAGCTATTGTAGTCCCCTTAGGAAGGTCTACGACTACGAAGAAGTCTACGAATTAATCTACTAGGAAGAAGATAGTCACAAAAGGTTATATTTCTATAGCCTATAGACTAGATAAGTAAGGACAGGAAAATGTATCTGTTAGGGCCTCTTAGGCTAAAATAAACAAATAAGGACGGGCGATAGATACTCTATTAGGGCCTTTTAGCTACTACTAGGGAAGAACGGACCTTATCTACTAGTATATACCGTAGAAAGGGTTATCGGAGTCCTCCTCCTCCACTTCCTCTTCCGACTTATCCGGAAGCTTACTATTATCACGAGTATATACGTATAGCGACTAGTAGTTAGCTATAACGCGAGTAGCAGTCTCCGGCAGGACGCTAAGGGCCTTACGGATAATATCCTAATTAGTCTTCTTCTTGCCGAAACGCTTATTATCTAGAGGAGAAGCGTACTACTCGTTAGAATAGCGGCCGATAGGAGCGTCGACTAAGGGGAATTCGACCTTATCCGGTCCGACAGCCTCCTCTTCCTTCTCCTCCTTCTCTTCCTCTCCTTTAACTACGATAGCCTCCTGCGTCTTGGCCTTCTTAGCTAATCGGGCGAGGGTATTAACTATAGGGGAGCTAGAGGGAGCGCTAGGAGCCTAACGTTTGCCCGAACGGGGGGTATTAGCCTCGGTTAGCTTACGGAGGAACGGATAGTTAGGATTCTGCTCGGCAAGCTCCGAACGGATCTACTCGGGCAATAGGTCGGCCTTAGAACCTACGTTAACAACTAGGGTTAGCAAAAGCGGGTAGAAGGATTAGGATTGAAGGATACTTATAGAAGGAACAGCCTTTACCGCCTACGTTAAAGGAGTAGTTAGCGTAAGCGCCCGAAAACTATAGCTCTCTATCTAAGACGAGGACGCGATAGATTATAAATAGACCGAAGCCCTTGCCGTAGGATATATACGCGTAGCTATCGGGAGTAATAGAACCGACCTGCTAGACCTAAGCAGCCCGAAGCTAGCCTATACCCTTGCAATCCTTAGCCTTGTTACTACGCTAGTCTACGTCTGTGATAGGAAGTAAAGATACTAGTCGACGGTCCCGTTCGGTTATAAAACGGTCTATTAGGGGGTTACTATAAGGGTCTAGGTTAACCTTTGCAGTCACGGCAGGGCTACTAAGAGAGGTTTAGGCTAGGTATTAAGTATTCTAGTCTATAGTAGGCGAAAGAGGGACGAAAAGCTCGTTATCGGGGTCTGCTATAGTTAGCGTTAGTATACCTACTTTATTAAATCTCGACCGATTTTATCGAAAACAACGCGCTAGGAAACTTACTTATAGGCGGAAGGATAGAATCAGAGGTTCTAGGGTATAACAGGGAGCTTTTGCGCCTAGAAGGGGATGAAAATGCGCTATAGGCTGATAGAACAGGCCGATAGGGAGAGGTTAGAGATAGCGAAGGGGGGAAGTGAGAAGTAGTAGGTAGAAGGGGGGATTTTATACCCGCTGCGACTAGGCTCTGAGGAAACTGCCGTTTTAGGCTTTATTAAAGCTATTCGGAAAATCCTACCTTAGGCTTTCAGCCCTGTAGGTTATAGGTTCGAACCCTACTACAAGCAATCAGCTACACTCTTTTCTTATTCTTTCTTTATGTTTCCGCTTATAGATACGTGCGTACGGCTCCTCTGCGACGTGTGCCTAACAGGTGGCTATATTCGCAAGCTATCAGGCCCTTTAGGGTAAGCGAAAAGCTCGTGGGCGAGCTTCCGTCTAGTAGGGGAGGATGTGATCCTAACGGCTACGTGTAGCCTGATTATATCATCCGTACGGCCCGGGCACCCAGAATTCTGCCGGTATCTACCGGATTACACTCATTTAGACCTATTTCCTTACGAATATAACAAAACATGCTCTACCAAGATCACAATACTCCATAAAATAGCAATTCTAAGTTCCGTAAGTAGAGCCTCGTAAGCTATCTTTATTATAAAGAAGCTTTAAAAACGTAGGGTCTATCCTTATAGTACTTCGTGATACGTTCTAACAGTAGTACTAACGCTAGGATCCGACCTACGCATTCGGATATCTAATAAAGGTGAACTACTTATAGTTAACATATATTTAGTATATCATTAAAATATAGACTTACTCCGTCTCGGGACTATACTTATAGCTTTTGACCTTAATATATCTACTTACTAGGTCTATATTTATATAGCCCTTCTATAGCCTATATTTCGAGAAATCCGAAGTAAAATCTATATTTAGCGTAAGCTTAATAGAGGTTAGAGATAGAGAAGGATATATCTTACTCTCTAGTTCGCTCTTAGATTTCCTAGGCAATAGTATAATATACAGGCTTTATAGCAAGAGACTAAAGTTTATAGAAAAGTGTTAGTTTAACACGATTATATCTTTCTAACAGGGTAATAATATCAGGATAGGCTTAGTAGTAATATTAAATCCCTATATATTAAAAGGATCGATACTATAATCTTAATTCTTTATCTTTAGAGTCTTTTTAGAGAAGTTTTGTATAGACTTTCTTTGCCGATTTAAGATATTTAGTCGAGAATTAAACCTAGGATAATTAGTTATAGGATATATACTAGAGATATATTAGAGATATACTAAAAATATTTAGAACGTACCGATAATATTAGTTATAAAGTAACTTAGTTAATACTAGGAGTAGTGTCTTTAATAGTTTAAAGTAGATTTTTAGCGGCGTAAATAATATATAGAATACCAGTCTTATCTATATCGGGATACTCTAGAAGAAGAAGGTACTCCTAGACTTTATAGGCGATCACAGTATCTCTAGAGCTACCGCTTACTTTAGTCCCGTCTGTTTCTATACCTATTTAGCTTAGTTGCGTTAGAGCTCTAGAATCTAAGGAGCTAATATTTTCCTTATCATTCTTATCAAGATCGATATTAGACGATTTATATATATCGAAGCAATCTTGGAACACTAAAGCTTTAGAGACCGATCTTTATTACTAATATTAAATATAAGTTTCGTATATATTATAACAAATAAAAGGATCACTCACAGATAGAAGATTATAAAGAATTCGATTAATCTCTAATACAGCACTAGTAGTAGATCGCATAGAGATAACCTCAGGACTAGTATCCTCGAATAGTAGTAGTACGAACCAAGACGCTAACATCTTGTAGATTTCGAAACCTTGTAATAACCTTGAAAAGGGGTAAATAAAGGTCTCTAAAAATTTTTTGGCATTAAAAAATATTATGTAATATAGAGGTTTGGGTCCCGGTAAGATCCAGCACCTTAGCGGGACCCAAAATTAGTCAGAACTTTTTGGGTCCCGTTGAACTTTTTTAGGTCCCGCTGAGCTAGGTGCCCAACCCCTATCTTGTTTACCCCCCTCTGATCTATCAATTTGATCTTCAACGATCTCGTCAACATTGCCTATCTAGGCTGGAGAAAGCACAGCACTCCAAAATGACCTCGGATGTTCTTGATTTCTCCATGTGATATTTGCTATGTACCCCATGTTATAAATACTGCCTTATTTACTATCTAAATTGAACAAGTTTGACATCTCTTTTATCTCAGGAAGAATTACCGGGCATAGTAGACCATCTGAATCAACCTTCCACTGCTTGATTCTTCTGTCTGATCAGCCGATCGTGTTCTATCTTGATTCGTCTCTCTTCCATAATCGTGGCGCTAAGATTAGTGCGCACGAACGATTTCTTTTCTACGGTTTAATGCACCAGACGCATCGCTTTTGCCAACACCTTCTAGGCTAGAGAATACTCAATACTCCAAAATGACCTCGGATGTTTTTGATTTCTTTATGTGATATTTACCGTGTACCTTATGTTATAAATTCTGCCTTATTCCCTATCTAAATTAAGCAAGTTTAACATCTATTTTATCACGGGTAGAATTACCAGGTATAGTAGACCATCCGAATTAAACTTCCACTGCTTAATTCTTCTGTCTAATCAGCCGATTGTGTTCTATCCTAAATCAATAGTGGTGAATCAATAGTAGACGAACGATGTTGGCGTTCAGGGGTTATATGATGTATATTATATAAGCTCTGTAGTGGCCGGAGGGAAATCCTGTAGTGGTTCTAGGTTGACCCCTTTGATCACGCTCTGAGTAATCAGTGATAGATCAGTAAGCAACCAATCACAGCTACTGAGCTATCACGAAGCACTCCCTAAGCGCTTATTAGACCTTATTGATAATCACGTGATAGGACTACGTAGCTCGGTGAGTCTGAAGCCAGACTGGAATTTAGTTAGTGAGCCTGACTCTGAGCGCCTTCATAAAAGCAGCGGTGGCTAAGATAGGAAAGCCCTACTTGGCAGAGGAAATGTGGTAGGTATAGTGCCCTATTTCTCACCCAGGCGGCACCTACCCGACTATTACCCGTATAAGCCACACGCCGGCTAGTTCGTAGTATTTCTGGGTAACTATATACGAATCCTCGCTGTTATATGTTTTTCTTTTTCTTCTTTTGCATTCTTCTTTCACCCGTGATCTGAACGATGGATCTTATACTTAACATATCCACGCCTTTATCCACCATGTTGTCGCGCGCCATTTCCCAAGCCTTTTACAGAAGAGCCGTAAGGCCAAGGATACCAGCAGCACCCACGATACCCATGACAAAGCCCCTAGTAGCGGCGGGTGCGCCACCAGTAGAAGTAGAAGTAGAAGTTTCAGGGGTCGTCGATTTAGTGGCAGTAGACCCGGATGCAGTAGTGCTAATAGTCGACGACGACGACGATGATGATGTGATGGATGAACCGGTGGTTTGAGTCGCTGAGCCAGCTGTGGCTGTGAATGTAGAGGTAGCGACGGAAGGCCACTTGATTGTGGCCATCTCAGAGGCGAATACCGCTTCATCGCTGGTCAGGATGTACTTCACATCACTGGGCAAACTGGAATACCATCCCGGCATAATACCCGATTTCTCTGCATTCATCTCGGAATTAGCAAACACAGGGTTGTTCACCAGTTCCTCCTCCCAAGTAGTCGGTATGGCGGTTTCGAGGACTGATTTTACCCAGCTCGGATAAGTGGGCTCGAGAGCTGCCACTTCAGATTGCACAATAGACATGGCCTCTTCCTTGGGAGATGCGGTTTTTGTTACAACCAGTAGTCCCAGTTACGGACACGAGAGAGGTTATCGTTTTCACAACGGGTGTATCCAGGTCTGTTGCATCGGCGGGAACAGCCAAGGCTATCGCCGAGAAAAAGAGAGCCAAGGGCGGGAAATACATCTTGGAGCTACTCAGATGACTTGCGTTGGTATGCTTGACTCCAAAGACGATCGTTGCAGTGGTTCCACGAAAAGTCAGCAAATGAGGCTCCCATTTCAAGGGGTAAACCCTCCTTTATGTAACCATCGGTAGTCCGGAACGCCTGACAAGAATGAATTAACTAGTACGCAGTGGGAACGGAGGCTCATAAATAGATTGACCAATGGATCTATAATCTACGCAACGCCTCTTTCCCCCAAGGGTCCGTGAGCATTGCGGACAGGCTAAGCATTGTCGCTTAGACAGCTCAGGAATTTCTGGCCCAATCGGAAGCAGTGCGTAAGTGTTGGTTCGCTTCGGGGTGGAGGCTCAGCCGTGGTGCTAGCGTCTCTTAATAACCAGAACTCGACAATAACCGAAGAACTGAGTGTACAACTGCTGGCACTAAGTTTTGAGACGTGGTGTATAAATGCCTAGGCATGCTAGGTACTGAATAAAAATTCCCTGTCACTCTAGCATGCCAATCATTTAGAAGTATGCCTCTCACACGATACTAGTAGGTCTCAATGCGATTCGTTCCTCGGTATTAGCGATAGTGTAACACTAGAGTAATATCAGAACATTTTCCCAACGACCGTCCTCATCTCACACCCTGAAAAAGCGTTTAACCAACTCGAACCGCATTATCCACGACGAAGCTGCCAAGTCAGTGTTGGCTTCCAACTTTCCCAAATCAGTCTAAGGAATCCTTGCTCACATTCACTCTCCTCAAGGGCCTTTTCATCTGATGTAATCAAGATCGTCTTTGCAACACTAGGCGTTCCATTTGCATCCATTACAAACAGCATCCAATATCCAGGGATAACAATACCTGGATCCTTGGGGATGGCGACCGACCACTTTCGGAGGAATGTGTTGCGTTTAAGAACCAGAGGAACACGGCGTTGATCAGTGTTGACAGTGTGGGTTGCACTGCCGAGGCGGACCAGGGATGCAGACCGAATATCACCGTTGGCAGAGAAGAAGACATTCTTACCAACCAGGATAGAGCGTGGTAGTCGCTCTGTGATTTCGGGACGAGGCCGAAGCTCACCATTCTCGGTAAGAAGATATGGCGGCGTGAAGATCTGGCCATCATAGTGATTGGCAGAGCAGTTGCCGCAAAGTCCCCCGCCGCCAGTGAGGACCCGACCGTCAGGGAGCAGAAGTGATACAGTATGGTAGACGCGAACGATGTTATTCTCGGTTAACTCGGTGAATGTGTTGGTTTCCGGATCGTACAGCTCTGGAGCAAACTGCACGTTTTCCTCATTGAAAGCAACGCCAAAAGTCTGCCCTCCCGCAATGAAGACCTTTCCGTCCGGGAGAACGACAGACGTATGGAAGACACGCTCCCTATGCATGGTTCCAACCTCTCCGGCAGGTTTCACGTCCGGGGCAGCGCCCGGCTCGCCGAGGGTAATGATGTGCGCGTGGTTCGTGGCCCAGGACTTGTCATAGTCCTCTGAGCCCCCGACGGTAAGGATTTTGCCCGCCACAGCATCAAACATAACGGCGTTTCCAGACATGGAGTCATCATCATTCAACCGGTTTCCAGCCCCCTTGACACTGCCATCCCCACTCATGAAGTACCAATTCATTTGCTTGCTAGGGCCGGCTTGGAAGACGCTTTGCTTTTTCCAGCCGAAGAGCCAGCCGTGGTTATCAGCCCTCCATGGTCCCTCCATATCTTGCGTCAGCATGGACTTGACTTTAGCACCGGGGAGGAGGGTCCAGTTCCTGGAGAGAGGGTCGTAGACCTCTCCATCCTTTGGAAAGTTTGATCCTCCAGCCCAAGAGCCACCGATGACAAAAACGCGCCCATCGGAGAGAGTTGCAGATGCCTGATATCCACGTCGAAGCTCCATTTCTGGGCCTTGCACCCACTCGTCGTTGGCCTGATCGTAAAGACTAGTCTGGGATGCGTCGTTGCCTCCGGTCACAATGATCATGCCAGTACCATCGATGGAAATACCAGGGCAGAACATGTCATGCTGGGTATTGGAAACGATGCGTTTGGACACCTCATCTCTCAAAGGGTTCCACTGAGTCATCACTGTTTTGCCCCCTGGAGTGGAATGGAATTGGTCATCGTCCCACGATGACCACAGCAGAATGTTGCCGGAGGCCTCTTGAGCACCAGACACGGGCACGATCGGAAAATTGAGGGTTGGACCCCAGACACCAAGTTTCGGGTCTTGGGGTATAGTGTATTGCGTCGCGTAAATGTTAAGTTCGGATATCCCGATCCAAGATGACTCTGTGGCCTCGGAGCTAGTGTTGAGCTTCACATAGCGGGCAGTAATGGGCTCAAAAGCAGCCAATCGCGGTCTGTTCGTTGTAGGCCACATTCCGTATGCGACTGGACCCTTCCAGTCTGCATTGTTGGTGCTGACATAGATTTCGTGTTGGGTAATTAATCCTTGGGTTCCTGTGTCAATTGGAGGCAAAACAACAAGGGCGCTGACGGTGTAGTGCCTTTTCAGGTCGACGATGGTGCTATGTCCCTTTGGATCGGGGTTGCTTCGCCACGAACTGGTATTAGCGCCGTCGATGATATTCTCGCATGGGTATTGGCTTTTAGAGCTGCTGCATGTCAAGCTCCAATCTGTGCGAGCAATCCGAATACCCTGATATGGAGGCGATTCGTCGTAGAATGATGGTACCCACGAGGGCTCGTCAAGAGGGCCATAACCAGAGACGCGCTCTCCGTACATCGCCTCCTGCATGAATGTGCTCACAGCATTGACACCTTCAAGAGAGACCGCAAGCAGAAGTTTAACCCATTGTAACTTCATGTTGATGGTTGAGTGAACTCAAGAAACAAGAGGAAAGAGGCAACCCCGTTGGTCTAAGAGTACAAAGAAGCCTGATGAACAAGGCGGGAAATCCCTATATAATATAAGTGGGAAAATCAGAGCCTGCTTGACAGCAGCAGTGCTTGGAGTCCACAATACCGTGTCTTAGGTGAACAACACACAATTATGTATGCAGTATGGCATTCGGCACCCTGTGAAGCAGCAGTTCTAGGGGCTAAAATAGCTGCAAATACGGATGGAAGCTTGGAACAAACAGTCTTATCGAGACAGGATCGGCTTCCAATGAAGACGAAAATAAGCGAACTTACCTTTTGCAACCCATTTTCCAGTTTCTCTGATGAGTAGCTTGATTTATATTTTGTTGATTGGTTGAAGGCTTGCGGGGTTTCCGTCTCTCAACACGACAGGTCTATATGATCCTTGGGATAGACAAAAGACATTACGCAATAGACTACAGTAGACCTTTGCCAGGTGTAACCCACTATCTGTCAATTGCATAATGAGATCTGCGTTGCATATTCTGTGAGACACTGGGGAAATTCTGACCGGCTGATCTGGTATCCAGTATTCGAGGCCGAAGATTTTTCAGCTAGCCAAACGGTGGGGCAAGTACATTCCTTGCTTTTTTGTGTAACCGGTGGCAGATAATGCTGGATCGCACAATAGGGACGATACGCGTACACACTACTGTTGAGGGTACTAATTAATGTGATTTATTGAAGAACTCTCAACGAGACTGGGATCTAGAACAGCTACTAGTCCAATACGGTAGTATTGGCATGTTGCAGCACCTAGGGTAGGTGAACAACGCTGGCATTTTTGAACCATGAACAGGCAAGACGATCAAGAAATTAGAGGATGTAGCTTCTCATCAAACAGCTACACGTTCATTGATCCCGATTTAAGTTGGGGAGGGTATGCGTGGCAAAACGGTGGCAGGGAGACAATTTCGAAGACGCTGTCGGCCCCGTCTCAGGTCGACGGCGATAATGGACAAACAGAATTGCAATTTTCGCCTGAAATCTCGCCAATGATGTCTGTTCAATTATACTTTCTTTTTCTTGTTTTGTCTTCAATCCCGCAGAAGACAGTGCAACGCGAGCCGATCTATGCATGCCCCTGCATGCGGGCCGTAATGCGGGCACCCAGCAGCATAGCGATGATCAATTCCTGCGCATCCGAAGTATTGAAGCGATGAGGTGACGAATGATATCGATGCATGATGGGATAAAGCTGCCGGGGTAAGCCCATCACAAAGACTTCCGTTGTTCTAAGCGCCCGCGGGCAGTGGGAATACGCATGGACTTCAGGACTGGGCCGTCCCGTCCCGTCCCGCAAGCCCGCCCACGCCTTCTCTCCTACGATAATTGCATGGACGCTCGAGCAATTGTTAAATTCACAAACAGCCCCCACCATAACTGTCTGCCTTAAATCGATCTCTCAAACATTTTCAATCTTGCCTCCTGTGGCTAGATAGCGACGAAGTCGCACTTGAAAACCATGAATTGGGTTGCTAGAAAGGCCAACATCCAGGGCGATATCTGGTAAGGTCCAGGATCAGGCAAACGCATATAACACGCTCATGTGCTCATCCATCTTCTCAGGCCCGGCCTACCGAAGAGATGTCAGACCTTCCTATTCTTCAAGATTAGAAAGGGAGATGAATTCAAGACGCGCCTCAGGTCTTTTGTGGAGGTGGGCGGAATAACGACTGCGCAGGACGCGCTTGATATGAAGAAGAAGATCCTCGAGGCAAAACCGCAAGCTATCCAGCATTGCCGACCAGCCAAAATTCAGTCATTGGCAGGGGTCAACATTGCCTTTACTTCAACCGGATTAGGAGCAGTAGGATAAGACCAAATCTCCTGAAGGTCACGGAATATTTGCTAACTGACTCCATCAGATCGGAAAGTTTGTCTTCGATGAGGCAGGTGTTAAAAAAGACAGAGCGCTTTCCAAAGTTTTTAGAAACAATCAGCTGCGTGGTGGCCTATTTGGAAAGGGCATGTTTTCCGATCTGGTTGGCGAGGGTTGGGATGACCCACAAGAACTACGAAAGGAATATCATCCATCGGGTGAAAGGAACCAGCGGCAAATTGATGGAGTCTTTCTAGTTACAGCGAGTCGTGAAGACGACCTCGCTCGTAAGGTTAACAGTATCAAGGAGCACTTCCTCAAGGAGCCAGGCTATGGAGAGGTCGATACCTACCGTGTCAGCAATGATCCAGTTCTCGAATTTCCGCTTATCAGACAAGGTCGTACTCGTCCAGACAAGGGCAAGGAGCAGTAAGTATACCACATCTCATAATTAGTCGGAAATACGCTTATAACTTGTAGCTTTGGTTTCGAGGATGGAATCAGCCAACCGCTCCTAGAAGGCTTAGACGACGTCAATATCAAGGACAAGGATCCCAAGCCGGTGAAGTCGGGGTCAGTATTTTACCAGCCTATCTCCATTGCCTCATTTAACTAATTTGGGATGTTCTGGATGTTAGAATGATCTTCGCAAAACACGACGGTGATGATATGGGGCAACCAGACTGGGCGGAGGACGGTAGTTTCCTTGTTTTCCGAGACCTACAGCAGCTTGTCCCTGAGTTTGAAAAGTAAGTTGACCTGTACCTTTGTTCTATGACAATATGTACTCACGGGGTCAAACTTAAGATGGTTAGAGGACAATAAGCACAAAGCGCCGTTTGCTGAGTCCTCTAATAATCCGAAAGAGAAACTTGCTGCATACCTAATGGGTAGATGGAGGAACGGTATGTGTTACCCATGCCTCGGATTGTATACCTATTTTAATAATGAACATTTAAGGAACCCCTGTCGATGAAAATCCTCACGATGACACGGACCCCAGCCTCTTCAGATCCAACAACTTCGATTTTCAACCTGTCAACAAGCACGATAAATGTCCTTTTGCGGCCCATATCCGCAAGATGCGACCCCGCGGAGACCTAGATCATGACCATGCAGTTATCATCCGTCGTGGCATTCCCTATGGAGGAGAAGTGAGTCCCGAGGAGAAGGCTGTGCAGAAATCCGATGATGAGAATGAGCGTGGTCTCCTGTTTGTTTGTTATCAGAGTGATATCCGCAACGGTTTCAACTTCTTAACCACCCGCTGGGCGAGTAACCACTACTTCCCCGATCGGAAGTCGAATTTTATCGATGATCACGGCCCTGGTATTGATGCTATCGTGGGTCAGAAACTTGATCATCACCCGCCTCGCTCTATTGGCCTGCCTGATGGTAAGGACCCTACTGAGGCTCGTCTAGATCTCGATCGCTGGGTTATTCACAAAGGTGGTGAATATTTCTTCTCGCCGTCAATTAATGCCCTGAAGGGGTATCTGACATCTGCCTCTGATTATCCACCAGCCTTTACAACTCCGTGAGGATATCACTATAACACTTCATATTTCGGGTAGTGGAACAAAAATTGAAAAAGAAAATTATGATGATGATAGATTTCTTTCGCTGATGTAGCTGGCTTGAGATACATGCTACTATACATGAGTGCTGTCAGGTCTCCCTTCAGCCAGTAAGTAGCCGCTAGCCAACTGGACGACTTCATGACGAGGCTTTCAAAAAGAGTTTCTGGTTCGTTATTAATTGGAAAAGCGTAAGTCTTTTCAAATCCACGAAAAGATATCGCTATTAATGAGGTAGCTCCCGTTACCGATCATTAATGATGCCAATTCGCCTTCTTGGTTCCTCGTTCTATGGCTGTATCCCAACTTCCTGCATGAAGGATACCGCCTGACAGATACCAGTGCGGTGCTGGATCTACTGTATTTACTTGTTGAATAGCGGATAATTAGTAGCCTACATTCTGCACAGCGCTAGGGAAGTAGGTCAAAGAGAAAAGGATACTCCTGGGTTATAGAAAGAGCCAGGGGTAACGTTCGTCTGAAACTTTTACTAGTTAACAATGTCTCCTTATTGTTGTTTCCTTCGGTTACACAAATTTCAGGTCGATCAATCAATAGCCTGCCCTGCAGGCCCACGAAATCGACAATTAGTTGGCTGTTACCCACCTGAGAGCTGACGGCTGGCCGAGTAGCGCTCCCGAAGGCAGCACATATTGAGGGCGAACTACCTTAGTCAAAGGAATTCATCATCACTAGAGACATCCCCGCTAGTAACTAGTATATGACGGCACCTTGCATTGTTGTGCAACATTCAGCTAAGTGTAACCTGGTTGCATATGGAGTCCTGGAACATTGGATCAGAGTTTGAAACATTGCACTTTGGGGAAGTGGCCACTATCAAGATGGGATTGGACTTTAATGATGCTATGATCTATAGCATGATGTAATGAGTCTGCATTCTGCTATCTCCATCTCTTCGTTACTTGGTTCGACGATACACAACTATGACGGATAAATTATTATCCAAGGATCGTTAGGCCTAGGCCTTCCTTTTTCTTATTGTGATCCTCACATCAAGATGCATGCAGCCAGCTGCCGATCATTGAGAACCTGCATACTACGTACATTCCAAGAATGCAGCAAAATCGAGGTCTCCTTTCGACCCACTTAGTTGTTAGAAGTGGACTATATTACGGGGTTAGTTTTGCTTGAAAACACCCGTCCTATCAGTCCATTCTGTAACCTTCTTTCTGCTTTCTTCAGCAACTCAGCTATGAGGGTTCAGTATCTTGTTCATGCCCTGTGTCTTCTCAAGACAATTGAGGCACAGAGTCCGAAAGACGAATTTGATGCAATATGCGCCTCCGAACCCTCCCAAGACAGAGAATTCAAGACCCTGGACAATGGGTACAAATTCCAGTATATCTGCAAGCAAACCGGAGCCTCTGCCAACTCGATCGAACCTACTTTAACTGCGGAAACAATTGATGAGTGTGCCGCATTTTGCGCCTTTCGGGACGATTGCAAAGGAAGCACATGGATTCACACCTTCCAATCATGTCAGCTTTTCACCAGTGCGGACGATCTTCAATCCCGCCGCATAGGAGTCTTTCTGCGCCGTGACTCGCCAATTCGAGGCTCAGAAACTCCTGTCAACCCAAAAGCCCAATTTGAAGCTGTCTGTGATAATCTAGATGGAGAATTCACAACCCTCGACAACGGAGAGAAGTTCAAATATGTGTGCAGACAGGCTGGTGTTGCTGCCAACTTGATCGAGCCTGTCTTGGAGGCCGAGACTATCGACGAGTGTGCTGCTCTATGCGCCGCTAATGAAAAGTGCAAAGGAAGCACTTGGATCCACACATTTGGGTCCTGCCAGCTGTACACGAATGGGGATGAATATCAACCCCGACGCACTGCCGTGTTCCTACGTCGTGAGATCACAGGCAATGATTGTACCCACGTGGAGTCCGAGCTTAAAGACTGCGAGGCATCGGAGGCAAAGCTCAAGGAGTCGGAGCTTCAGCTACAAGATGAAATTCAATCGTGTCTCGACTACAAAGACCAGCTCGAGGCCACACAGACAGATCTTGAGGAGAAAGTTGGAAAATGCAAAGACTGCGAGACGGAGAAAGCTGATCTTCAACGACAGCTGGTGAAGGCACAAAAATGCGAAGTCGAAAATGAATATATTACCGATTTGACTCAGCAATTACAGCAATGCCACCAAGACACTGCCTCCAGTGCCCAGCAGTTGCAGCAGTGTAATAGCAATGCCGCAACTGGCGCTCAACAGTTACAGCAATGTAGGAGTGACGCTGTGAGCAACACTCAGCAGTTGCAGAAATGCAAGACTGATGGTGTGATCAGCAGTCAACAGTTGCAGCAGTGCCAGGATGATGCTACAAAAAGTTCTCAGCAGTTGCAGCAGTGCCAAAATGATCTACAACGATGCAGAACTGATGCTGCGACTAGCACCCAGCTTCCCCAAATAAAGGACTGCAAATATGGTGGCTCTGACCAGATCATCAATATTGGGAACCGGTCTTTCAAGCAGAAGTGTCCCGTCTCTTTGGCCAAGAACCGGATGCCTTTGAGCAGGGTGGTGCAACCAGGCCTCACGAAGTCGGAGTGTCTCCTGATCTGCGCCCTTGATTCCACATGCGTGAGCGTTTATTATGTGGGTGGTACTGCCACAGTTGGTGAATGCCAACTTCAAAATAGAAACATTGAATCTATGCTGGGCAGGAGTGGCCCGAGTTACGGAGATCGTGACTGGGCTTTTGTCCCTGTGTGAGTCTCCGAGCTTTATGCTACGGGCCGAAGCAGAGTTCGCCAGACAGCGTCGATTCAAAATCAATTACCTGAGTTGACATGACATTCTTTCTCAGGTAAAAAGTTGCTGCTGATTTACAGAGGCGCCGACTATCTTTTCGGCAGGGCTGGTCGGATGTGCTGGTCGAATTTCTCAAATATTACTAGTTTGTTCCTTTTGGGGTTTGAAGTTTCGTTTTTGTCTCTTCGTAAAGATCCATGTGAATGTGACTTGTTGGCCAAGTACGTCAGGGTTCTGATTCCTCTTTGTCTCTGCTTGGATCATGACTCCACCAGTATTTTACCCAATAAATCTACGTCACCCCAAATTTGAGTGCCATCCAATAAATTGAGGCTAGGCTATCTCATTTCAAACTTGTCGCTAATAGTGGAAAGTATTTGCCGTGAGGCACTCTCCTCCTTTTAGCCCCTGACTGGCGCTTAAGCTGTGAAGATCGACGGATCTCGATAATTGCTTCTGTATTCGCCGTACTGAACTCACCAGAGCGCCTGGCCTGACTGACTGAGAAGCTATAGAAACCAGGTCGGCTGGTGACAAATCCACCAATCATACGTGGTATAGCAACCTTTAACACACCCTTCAGTCATACGGAACCAAATTCTTATATTATCTGATATTATCTTACGAGTCATGCTGGATATTCACATAGTACCTAGCTCTTCCATTTTGTCGCAATTTTCAAGTAGGAAACCCTGATACAAGCAAACAAAGAAGGCCTCTATCTTGCTCAGTTTATTTTGGCCGAATTTTACATAAAACAATATCAAAATGTAACAGAAAATCAATGCCTAAACCCATACTTCATGAGTCAATAGCTCATAATTTACCAATATGACGGGAACTGACTCAAAGATATAGTGATGTTGTAGCGTATGCAAATCAATCGGCCGTGGATCACATTATCACTATTCAGGAAACATAGGAGAATTTCTCTAGGTTCTACACTCATCATACAGTGTGGTAGATGACGTCTAATCAAGTAACCTCCTGGAACGTACTTTTGAGAAAGGCAGGCTCAGCTATGCAAATGAGGCCGAATCAGGGTCATGACCATGAAAACCTTATCGGCTATTCGTGGGCCTGCCTATCGAGGATTGCTCCAGCGTCGCACGTTCACGTCATGATCGGCGTCTTTTCTGGAGAAACTTCTGCAAACTTCAGATCGAGAGATGCCCTACTAGCAATAAGAATGGTGTGAGTTAGCGTAGTCATGGGTGTCGCACATATTACTACTTCTTATGCTCGTTAGATCCGATGATTAGCTATTCGCCTTGTTTCGCATACTTCCTAGTTCTCTGAACTGGTTTGCGCCGTTCTCTAATAGCATTTAATCCATTTGCGCTAAGAATGTCTTGCCAGTATATGAGTGCCTCCCTCTTTTGACCTCTAATTAATATTGAAAATGCCTCATGAGCAGGTCAGATGCACTCACTTTTCCTTGTATTTTGCGCTGCTAATCGCAAACGGGCATATTTGTTGGGCAGTGACGATGCATACACGATAGTGGCTGCAGCATGCGTGGCTTTTATACTTAGATAATATAGATGCCTATATTATGTGTAACTACAGGAGGAAGTGGAGGGAAAGGATGAGGGAGAGGTTGACTAACTAGCTGCCACATTTAGAGGCAGGCAGACTGCCCACGAATGTGAATTCATAATTATCCTATCGCTAATTGGTGTTTACCTGGGTTGACCGTCGATGTGCAGATAAGGTGTGGGGCAGCAAACTCCGTATGCATCTCACAGGTTGCACAACATTGCTTCCGCATCATCCTTGCCTTACGTGAGGTGATGTGTCTTTTCAGCTGGTATTTCGTCTGCAACATATGTTACACTGTCGAGAATGTTGTCAATACCACCCCGCTCCAAGACTCATCGACTCTTGTACTTGGAGCTAACATTCGATCACACGAAACCTGACAGGTAGCGGAAATTATCACATGTCACTGAGGATATGTTTGCGCAGCTATAAAGCTCCCTACCACCCAGCCGCATCTGTCACCTCGCTCTAAGCATTATTCTCTATTTACAAACAGCTTAGATAATCCATTACTTTTCACAGGATGCCACCACCTAACAAGAAGAACATTCAAGGGGATATCTGGTCTGTCAATTTCATTTAACCCCAACCTAGTACGGACGATACTCGGAATTCTTACTGCCCTATCTAGGCCCCGCCTTCCTAAAAAAGCGGAAACATTCTATTTTTTTCGAATCACAAAACCTGAAGTGTTCAAAACACATTTATCTCAACTGGCTCCCTTGCTCACCACGGCTGAGGATGCTCAGCGAATGAGAGAAGACATTTACAGGAAGAAGGAAGCCGGCACTCTGAAAGGTCTTATTAAGCTATCCGCTATCAACGTTGCATTTTCATCTAAGGGGTTGGCTAAGGTAAATATTTCTGTGCTATTCGTTTTATGATACATTCAAATTTAACTTTACATAGCTTGGAGCTGAGGGCTTTGCCGATGACCTTTTTAACAATGGCCAATGGCAAGATATGACCCACCCAGGCACTGGCGAAGATCCTAAGAAGCATCAAGGTCTCGATGACCAACAGGATTGGTACCATCAGTTTAAGCCAAGAAATGGCTCTGTTGATGGTGTCTTCATTGTGGCTGGTGACTCCGACCAGACTGTGAAGAAAACGATTGAGAGCCTGATTGAGAAGATTTTTAATGTTGGTGTTGCTGGGCAAAGCCTTCAGAGAATCTTCTCGCAAAGTGGCAATGTTCTACCTGATGACAGAGAACAGTCAGTTTGACTACTACCACTGGACCGCCTTTGAACTTGATTAACATTGTTTCCACAGTTTCGGATGGGTTGATGGTATTTCCCAACCCGTGGTTATTGGCTTGGACGACCTGACCAAGGCCAAGTCACCTAATGGCTTGAAACCAATCCCAGCTGGGTAAGAAAAATTCCTATCGTTACAATACACCATAGGTTACGTTGATCATCTGACGAGCCAATCTCTAGTACTATTCTTGTTGGATGTGACGAGGACAAGACCAAGTACCCAGGATGGGCTAAGGAAGGTAGCTTTATGGTTTACCGCGTTTACGAGCAGAGGACTCCAGAATTTGTCATGTAAGTAGATGATTCCTTTCCGTTACAGAGGTTTAAAATAACGTTCTATTCTAGGTGGTGTGGCGCGAATACCCCATCTGTGCAAACGGAGGGTTTTTCAGAGACCGCAAAGAAGGAACTCCGCCTCTTCTCGTCGCGCGTTATGGGGCGATGGCCTGATGGTGAGTCAAAGAACTAACCGCCTTAAGTGAGAAATATAGAACAGACCTAATCTCATCGTAACAGGAGCTCCTTTGGAACTCTACCCTGATAGCGATCCTAGCCACATCCTGAGCGCTGATCCTCATGAGAACTACGAACTGCTAAAGAAAGAATGGGGCGACGACTTTGATAGGAAGTACAAGGAACAGGAGGCGACGAATCATACTGATAACTTCAACTACAATGCCGATGACCAAACGCGCTGTCCCTTTGCGTCGCACATTCGCAAGTGCGGGCCTCGAGATGATCACCCCTTCTATACGAAACATCTTATGCTCCGCAGAGGCATTCCGTACGGCCCGCTGACCACCAACAATGAAAAGGCTGGTGGTGTGTCGCAGACTGAGCGCGGTTTATTGTTCGTTTCGTACCAGAGCAACATTAAAAATGGATTTCACACCGTGCAGAAAGGTGTGTCCCCCCTTTTCCATACAAGCAATTTGACACTAACACCAATTGCCAGAATGGGCAAACACTGCTGAGGGCCCCGACGACAAAACAGACCAATGTGGAGGTAAAGCACCTCAGGGAATTGACCCAATCATTGGCCAGGTTGCTCCTCATTGTCGTCATGATGAAGACCCTGTCATCTACAATGCCCCCGTCCCTGCTGTGAACCTGCCGGACCCTCGAGTTCCTCCACCAGAGATTAACGAACGGACTGTCCCTATCCAAAGATGGGTAATTCCTCATGGAGGCGAGTACTTCTTCACCCCTTCAATTTCGGGTATTCAAGACCATCTGTGTAAGGCCTAGAAGGAATCGTCGACTATATGAACCAGCCTTGTGCTATATGTAGCCCCCAGCCAATTTACATTATTTTCGGGTCCGTCCACTTTTGCTTTGAAATTACACAGGATTTTTGGAAAAGATCGTAGGGCTTACTATATATAAGAAAGCGAAGACATCAATGGAATTACATTAGCTAAACCCCAGCGCTAGGAAACATTCGAAGTTTCTTGAGTTCAATAGTAATCCGCAGCAATTTTCGCCTAAATCAGCCTATCTTAACCCTGAATTAGCTGGAATCCACCATTCTCATATTCGCGTAAGTGTCTAGTGACAGTGCGACGTCTGGCGTCTACCCGTGCATACTCAGGAAGATAATGCGTAATTTTCTGCTGAGGTGTTGGAGGGCGAGACCTGTTGTCTTCTGTATATAGATCGAGGACCCAGTCATCAAAAAAACTCCGCCTTGTACCCACTTCAAGTGTGGCAAAAAAGAAATTAAAGCGTCCCCGGGAAGGCTCGAACTTCCAACCTCCTGATTAACAGTCAGACGCGCTAGCCGATTGCGCCACGGAGACGGTTGATGGGTGGCAGTGTGTAAAGTCGTGAAGAGGATCAGTAGCAGGAAAATGAAGGACGATGATGGTGATCAGCAGCAAGAAGTTATTCGTAGGGCGAAGATGATTTCGTGGGGGAATTTGTCGATTTCTGCAATAAATTTGAGCTGCACGTGTATTTCCTATTTGGGCAGGTGGTAGGGCGAGAGGCCTGATACACAAGGCACCAGCATGAACGTGGTAGTGGTTGTAGGGGCTGTCGAGTTCTGGGGCCTTGTCAACTGCCATAATCTGGGGGATCGGGAGATCTCCGAGACGGTGCTCAGAAGGCGGACAAGTTTACCCAAAGATATTCAGACCCTGCCCCACAGGGGGAAGGGAAGATTTCGAATGTGGTTCCCCGTGAATTATTATGCAGTCCACGTTTGGATATCAGTAAAAGCCCCCTGGCGCTAAACTAGAAATATACTAGCGCCCTCGGAAATCAAGGCAAGTCCCCGCCAGTTTGCCAAGACCAGATTCTACGGAATGCTGTACATACCTCCACGCCTCCGTTGGCCCCGAATACATTTATTTCGGGAAGAAGACAGCAAAGACACAAGATGGTCTTCAAGATATCAACAAATCCCCAACGCCACCTTTCCTATTCGGGAAACCAGTGAACAGATCGTCGAGATGACAGGCAAAGGGTTCGAGTCGTGACAGAATGGAACTAACTACGCAAGAACGATTTGTTTGGCCAGCGCAACTGCCTCCTTCACATTCTCACGGAAGCGATTCGCACGATGAGCTTCCAAAGTGACGATCTAGATGAACCCACTGCCCCGATCGGTTAGCATTTGATCGCCACACCAGTAGACGTTTCTGCGTGCTCGACTCTAATCATTTCGTAGTGCAACCAGATTAACTCAGGATCTCTCCAAAAAATTCCCTTTTCCATCATCCCCACCTCGAAGCAGTTACTTGTCAGAAGCACAGGCTGCACTCTGGGATTAACCGGGTCATGGAATAGCGTAGGCAGCTCCTCTGGCGTCTCTGCCAGCTCCCTCAGTGCAGCCATAGCGCGCTCCTACTCAAGATTTCTTGCTGATCTGTTCATGGTCGTGAGTGGGCGTGAGTCGCGTTGACGAGAAGAGCGCGGCGTTGTGACATTGGGACCGGAGAGTCCGCGGCAGCCTGCACGAAGGTGACGACGGCGGGCACGACGACCTGGATGATGTCGACGCGGCCGAGATGGCAGTGTGCTTGATTGACCGTCTCCCAACATGGGGGGATGTAGCTAAACGTGGCGAGGGCGGCAAGCTGGACGACCATTTGGAAGACGCTCTTAGGGGACAACTTCTGGGCCCGCAAAAAGGCTGCGCCGTAGCCACCGGAGAGCATGTTTACGTGCTCAGAGCCTGCCATGCTTGCCATGCTTGCCGTGTACTCGCCTTGGACTTTGATCATGCGAGTGTCAAGTGCCGTGTCTGTCTTGAGAGGCATGTAAACAGGGATGAGGCCGTCGTGCGCGGCATGGCGCGAGCGTGAAGCGTGGGTGGCTGTAAATTGATCACCCATGAGCTCATCTAAAGTCAGAGCATCCAGCATTGTGTGTTCGCCAACAATACCGGAAATACCCTTGCTGCAGATCACGAACTGAATTGACTTGTCTTGCCAACGGTTTGCCGCATCGTTTTTACCTCCATAGTGGAACTGGCTTACGGGCTCGGTTGCAGTCAGAGGTGGCGCTTCATCCAAAGCGACTATTAAAGCCAAGGTTTCGATAGTGGCGATGCTAACAGCATTGTCGCGATCGAGCTCCTGGAGCGTCTGCCTTGCCTCGGTCCACGAGTCTCTGTTGTCAGGCGTGAAGATCGCGTGAAGATCGCCACATTTGAGCGGTCCAGATCTCGACTCAAAATGGAGAGGAAAGCTCCTAGGAAAATATTCGATGCCAATGGGGACATATTCGAAGGCAAAGCTGATTCTTGGAACTGGTACTTTGCGGACAACACCCTCACCCAGTTGTATAACTTGGGAGACCGCCGGGATCATGTGTGCTTTGCAAAAGCATACTGTCATGCAAACCCCTGGCTGAGGGTTCTGGAGATTGGTGCTCGTAACGGTGGCGCCACTGCAACCGTTTTGTACAGTCTTTCTTCTCACAGTGAACGACTGTACAGCTTGTATTCGTATACTGATGTTTCTGCGGGTTTCTTCGCCGAAGCTAGGGATCGGTTTTCCAATTATTCCAACGTCAAGTATCCAGTCTTGGTTATCACGAAGGATCCCGCCAACCAAAGCTTTGAGCCCAACTCCTACGGCATAATAATCGTAACAAGTGTCCTCCATGCGATCCCAAAGCTCAGTGAAACGCTTGCCAATGTGAAAAAACTTCTTCGGCCTGATGGCCGTCTATTCCTCAATGAGTTGTGCTCCACTTTTAGGTGGTTGAACTATACAATAGGTACTCTTGCTGGATAGTAGTTCGATGAAGAAGATGGCCGTGCCTCGGAGCCATATGTATCACCCAGGAGATGGGCACAAGAGCTGATAGCAGTGGGATTCCGCAAACCTACGGTTGTTTATGATGATGAGGCTCCATACCAGGCCAATGCCCTCATTATCGCCTCTCCCAGGCTTGTCGAGGACAACAACCCTTCGAAGGCCATATCGCTGTTGTGCAGTGATTCCTGCAAATTCCCACTTGTCGATGAGATAGAGAGCAAGCTGAGAGAGGCGGGCTGCTCCGTCGAGCGATCCACGGTGAAAGAGCTGCCAAAACCAGGGCAGGACATTGTCTCCATTCTGACATTACATGAACCTTTTCTTGAGAAAATATCTGAGACGAGTTTCCGGGAACTTGTGCATTATGTGCGAAAAGAGATGAAACTAAGCATATCTGACTGGGTCGTTGCCATGATGTCGATCAAAGGTTAAAATTACCACTTTAGTTATCCAGCGCTTTGATCACACATCACAAAATGATTTATTGAAAATTTACTACTCTAGGGCCTGAGACTACGGAGTACAAGTACAGCGATACATAAACTACAGTTGCTATGTGGGTCAAGGCGCGAATGCATTCCGCGAATAGAAATGATGACAGATATCGTTCATGCGAAACCAGGAATACGATTGAGGATACAACTATGGACGCAATTTCTTATTGGCAATGTGAATCATCAACTATAGCAGAGAGTAAGAACACATTTCAAGGTGCACAGCCTCTAACTACTCGGTCGGCAAAATATGGGGACAATTTAATTGAATTCGCTTGAGCCTCACGCCAAGTGGGGCCCATGAGTCGTTAACAAGTCACAGGGATATCTGAACGCTGATAGGCCACTAAAAGAGGGGGCCAAGGACAAGAGAAAAAAAAGTGAGACATTATTGAACGGGTATTACATCGACGGCCATTAACTAGTTCTTGCCCATGTTCTCGTGAGTCATTGCGACTGCTTGCGGGGGCTGGACCTGCCCAGGCGCTGTGACCACAGGGTTCTGCGGCAAAAACACCTGCACTTGGCCATCGTGTGGCCGAATGGCTACTTTCTGCCCACAGTTTGTGCAGAAGTGGTGGCTATCGTGGCACATTTCCATGCAGTAGGGGAGGAAGGCGCAGATAATGCCGCCGAAGAGACAACAGCCCACAGCTGCCATTCTGCAGGAAGTTAGTTTCGAAAGGATCTCGAGATTTATATCAGTTTGTTATGGACTCGAACTTACCCTGTGGCACTGGTGCTTTCTTTCTGGACTCGTGTCATGACCTGGTGGTGGCAGAAGGGGCAGTTGACCAGGCGCGGCTCTTCACCGAGTTGGTTCAGGTCGGCTGTTCTCTGGGCAATCAGGCCTTGGCCTGGCTGGGCAGCTGGGGTCTGTGTGGCAGATTGCCATGCGGTCTTTTCAAGCGGAGGAGAGGTCGGGGCAGTGGAAGCAACGGCTGGTACTGATGCTGGCATGACTTCCTTGTCGTGTCTATAGAGAGGAGTCAGCAGATATCATCAATATCACGTTTGGAGGCATACTGTTCATAACTCGGAGGCGAAGCTTCGGTGGTGATCTCCGGTGCCGATTCGCCTGCGGGATGGGTGGTGCTGGTGTTGATGTTGTTCGCAGTTGTCTCTGTGGGTGTCGCAAGGCTAAAATTGCGAGAGGTCTCAGTAGCATCAGCTACCGGGCTGACCGTGGTTGAGTCTTTGTTGTGCTCCATGATGGGAATTGGACGCGTGAGTAGGCGCGGAAGGTTGATTGTTTGGGGAAGAAAGGAAATAACAAGGTTGACGAGGGGGAGGCTCTCTTCTAAAAGTCAAACAAATTGCATGGCGATCAAAGGAATTAACATTCGGCCCCAACCCCAGTCCCAATCTGGAAGCTAAGCCCGTTGATCGAGTCAAAACACGGGCGCATGGCCCCCTGCGGGCTTCGGGGCCGCCCAAAGAGCCTCCCATCGAGTGCTAGCGAATAAGCGAGGCGACAACACGAGAATTTTATACGATGACGAGTTCTCCTTGAGTGGCTGAGCCGCAAGCTATCTGGTCAAGGTTCAAGGCAGTTCTCGTCTCGCATTGCCCTTTGGATCTAAAATTTACCTCCAGTTATTCCCATCACCCTATGGGATTTTGGCTTTTGGGCACACGTAGACTCACCATGTACCCGTCCAAATATCTACCTACGTCGAGTGTCATCTTCTGGACCACTGTGAGATATTAAGTACAAGTCTGCGAAGTACCTCGAACCCATTTGAACGTCCAGTAGCGAAGGTCCGTTCACTCGATGGGTACAACTAAGGTTGGTGTACATCTCAATATCTAAATATATCTCTCGGTCGGCCACGACACTCCTCCTAGCTATGAGTTAGTTTATAAACGATCGCGAATACGGCAGCTCGGTTACAGTGATAAAAAGTATCGAGGAAATATCGAGAATAAATAACAAATGAAAAAAAAAAGACCAGTGAAGGTATTTGTGGGAGGAAAATGTTGATTTGGGGTGGATTTTGGCAGGAAAAAAAAGATAGCAAACCCTGGTTTCGATCCAGGTACCTTCGGGTTATGAGCCCGACGCGCTTCCTATGCGCCAGCTTGCTAGACGATGGAAAATTGAAACACTATTTTGTAAGAAGAGCCAAAAGACTATTTGCCACATTATTGATGTGTCCAGCACCTCCTCAGGTAACAATTTTCTCTCCAAATCTAGGTATACAATATGCAACTTGCAAAAGGACAAGCACAATCCAAGAAATGTAATTATCAGAGAAGCAAAAATCTAAATATGTACCTCGAAGACACGCTGAATCCAAATCATTATGTCGTGAAACCCGCCCCAGTGCCCACTCTATTTAGACTATCGCTCACAGTCCAATCCCGTTCTCCTGTTGAAGAGAAAGATTCTCCGAGACAAAACTCAAGCATCGAGCCGAGTTACTCTTGAAGATAGTTTCGGTCGTCCCTGTCGATCGGCTGCTCAGGTAGAAGCAGCTTTTCTTTTTAGGCGCTCTGTGCGTTCCTGTCGCCATCCTGCGCCCCATCGCATCTCAACCGCTAGCAAGGGAAACATGAGCAGCGTGATACCAGCCAGCAGCAAGAAAGCCCACTGTGCTGTTAAAGCGTCGATCATGGGCTGAATAGCAGCGACACCAGCTGCACCAACCAAGCACCGCATTAGATTGTTGACTGCCGTCGCACTGGCACTAGCTCCAGGGTATAGATCGATGACAAGAGCGCTGTTGATAGTGAAGATGGCAGTGGCACAATAAGCAATAATATACTGTAGAATAACGGGAACCGCCAGATGAGTTCGAAGGGATGCTCCATACATGGCCGTGCACACAATGAAGAGGACGGTGATCCACCAGGTGTTGCGCATGCGCGCGTATTCGATTGGGAAGTCAGGATGAGACTTGGATGTGATGCGTGTATTGAGAGGAAGGTTGTGTTTAGCGCAGTATTCACGCTCAGTCCACTTGTGATTGAAGTCCATCAGGTAGCCGATAGCGTACGATCCAGACATGCAGCCAAAGCCTAGAAGAGATCGTCAGACGAGCTTTGAAGTGATGTATCAAAGAGTTACTTACCATTACCCAAGAATGTAAGACCAACCTCCAGTGTATTAAGACCGTAGTTAGATTCGAACAGATCCGATGTCGACGAGGTCACCATCGACCACACCGTATACACGATCGCACCAAAGAACAATGTAATAAAGACGTCCTTCTCACCCAAGAAGCCGAGAGGGGCTACCACAGTCTTGACCGTAATTTTTTTCTTTTCTGCCGATGGTACGGCGCCTTTCTTAGCATGCTCCTGGCCAGTGATACAATAAATCCAGGGTTTGTAAATTCCATGAAGAGGGACGGTGCCATTTCCGGCGACGGTACGCAAGGTTTCGGGGAGGAAGAAGAGAATCGAGAATAGACTGAATCCAGATAGAATAGTAAGGAACCAAAATATGGACCTATAGCCCAAATACTCAGATAGAATGCCTCCGAAGACGGGACCAATTCCTTGACCAAGCATCCGGACTTGAGAGATGTTAGTATTATGGATCTGGTTCTGCTGACTATTCGTGGATGACTTACCTCCGCCGAAGACACCAACCAAGCTTCCTCTCTCAGCTGATGTGGTAATGTCTCCGATTACGCCAGCACCTACACTGGTTAGTCAACACATTAGAAGGGAAGGGAAAAGAGACAGTACCGATTGAGATAGTTGCTGCGCTACCGGCTGCTTGCAAAGCGCGGAAAGCCATGAGCTCTCCATAGTTGTTTGAGACTCCAAGCGCAATGTTCGAAATGATGTAAACGACAAAAGTTCCGATAAAGATCACACGGCGGCCAATGACGTCGGAAAAAGAGCCCCAGAAGCTAGGTGCTAGGCCCTGAACGATCATATAAACCGTGACGGTCAGGGTAGTAAGAGAGATAGAGACATTCAACTCCTGCTCATTAGAGGGTATGAATCAGTTCAATGGACGCTGTTGTTTCTGGGAATGGAGTAACTAATCACCTTCGAAATAAGTCCAAGGGCGGGGAAATAGATATTAGAAGATAGAGGGGAAAAGATGGCGGCGAGGGAAACAATGTAGACCATCTGCAATTTGCGAGACCGACTGAAAACATGGTACGGTGGTGGTGAGGGGATTTGGCTCTCAAGGTTGATCGAATCTGAAGATGGAGTTGCGAGCTGTTTCTCATCCTGAACCGAAAGGCTAGGGCTAGAGGCAACAGAGCTTTCTGTGACCTGGGGCTCTTTCAGAGTACCTGAGAATTTGATTTGTGACATTTTGAAGAAAAGATTGATAAAAACAAGACTATGGCAGCATGACTCGGAAGAATAATGATCAATATAGACAGATAAAAGTAGAGTTTCTGCTCCGTTGGTTTGAAGGATGTATCTGGCTTGTGTCTCAAGATTGGAATGGAATGGGCCCTTTTGTACTCAGACGTCAGTCCTGAGTCCCCCTGGTAGCAGAAGTCCGAAAATATCAGACAAGCCTATGTATCTGAGAAGAATCAAGGCCATGTACTCCACTGTGGATTTTGCCCAGGAGACCACCCTCCCTCATCCCCTTGGCAATTAGTAGATGGTGGCAAGGATCGGACGAAGACGGTAATGCCGGACGCTGCGGTATATGACAGATAGATGCTGATCAGCGGGTTCAAATTCTAGACTGAATGCTTCTAGTTTACTTGTACGTATGCTCCACAAAGGACCCTGGTGATTTGAAACTAGTTGCTTCAAAACGTGCCACACCTCTATTCCCCAATAGCCCACAACAACCAGCGGCCTTTTCTTGGATACAAATACAAAGAATCTAAATATTCGTTTCAGCACGGTGTCTTGGAAAGCGCCATAATCTCAACTGACAAGCTTCGTGGCTGAAATGCCATTACCCGCAGTGAATTCTTTCTAGGGTCATCGCCGCGTGTCCTATGTATCGACTACGAGAAGATCTGCATAGCATGTGCGCCACACACTTGTGAATTATTGAAGAATTTGTTACGAGAGAGATATTATTCTCCGACAATTCACATCCTGATCTCGCCGTACTCTTGCTCTATTTGTCCCGTTGTCATGCAGGTCTCGAATCCGCACGATAACAGCGTGGTAGAGGCAGAAAGCCAATCGTGAAGGACTATGCCGGTCTTGGCAAGACCAGCATCTTGCACATGGTGGGAGAAATTCCACCGGATAGGCTTGATGCTTTTCACCTGTGACGATTTAGAGACGTCAAGTAAATGCCAAGAATGGTCCTCCAACGGCATACCGTGTTTCAGGGGGAACAAAGACAAAAGAAATCGTCCGTTCCACAAGCTATCTACTGATTGCTTAGCTTACGTAGACCTTCTCCTATTATGGATTTGTTATTTGTTGTTATTGCTTTTGAAGAGCATCTATATAGGGGATGTGTTACTGCCCTTGCTGCTTAGGCACTGATCACCATGATGTTGGGTCCAGAAAAAGACCCTAAGGATTCAGGGCCTCGAGATAGTCCAATGATGATGCACCCAAGGCCAGATAAGCGTACGAGGCTGTTTCCGCCCGCTAACACAACCAATGCATCTGCAATTCATTGAATCCAGACATCGTTGGTGGAGTGCCAAGGGTCAGGAATGCGCCTCTCGACCTAAGACTAGGTTCACGCTAGCCGGCTATGATCGACAACCGAACGGCCCCTATCTCGCCGGTGGGCAATGGTACCAATCCTCTCCCGTCGATCAGCCCCACTGACCTCACTTTCCTCTTCCCCCTTGGCACTACTGCACCGGACAGGGGGGTGCTGTACAAATCCAAGTCCCAATTGTGCTTATATCGTTGCTGGATGCTGCATAATGTTCCAAAGTTTATCAGGCAAGCTCCCCTCCAACCATTGGCGGCTCTCACCAAGGGTCATGGAACGATGTACGAAGCTGCTTGGAAATCCCTGTGGAGCAGCTAAGAGCTGTTCCTTGTCTGCCGGATGATCGCCCGCCGGAAAACCTCGGCTGATGCCATTTGTTGATACCAAACATCTCGTCGGAGGATTTCTGTTTTGCTACCTCGGGCAGGCGTCGCTACCGTTGAGGGTATATTCCCAAAGGCTGGTAGGGCTCTTATCTTGGCTGACAAGCCGCCTATGCAGCCATTTTCAGGCATCCGATTTTTCAGTCCTAGCCAAGACGTCCCCGATACTTGCGCCCAGCCTCTTTCTCCGCCGGTGCCCGATCTTTGTGGTCGCGACCCTCCGCCGAGAGGATCCCGAGTCGGGTAGCCGACTGCAACCCCCTCATGCCCTCATGCATGGTGAATGATGCCAGCGCCACTCTATTGGCCTATAGATATCATCAGCTTGATTAATACCCGATATCTCCACCCGGGATCACCGTTAATCGTGATTTTCCTGAATGCATTGGTTGGCGTAGGGTTACACCATGACCTTGAAGACGAGATAGCGCTTGGAGATCTCCTTCGGCCGGCAGATTGACAACATACTCAAGATTATAAATCGCCGAGCCAGGTGGTATTGACTTCATCAGATGTTAGAAAGGGAAAAGAACCCGTGCTGGGTTCTCCAAAAATCTCCACCCGCTACTCCGGTCTCCGAGATCTACGGTGGCGGCCCCGGCATGAATCTAGTAAGTCATCCTCTCATGAATGGACTCCTGCCCACGTTGTTTATTCAAGGTAAACAATTGAGTCCAATGACACAAAAAATGCATGACATCCTGTTTCAACTCCCGCAAAACGTTCCTTCGTGCCGAACTTGCCCTTCCTATCCCATTCATCGACAACTAACTCACTTCCTCGTCCTTGATGGGATTCTTCAAGGTCGGCTGCAGAAAGCCAATTCGTCATCGAAGCTAGAAAATGTTCTGCGTATTGGCGAGACACTAGTAGGGATACATACATAGTAGTTAGTCGACTTGCTTCACGGCCTGCTTAGCGTCCCTCACGAGAGACTCCTTGGCATAATATGCTTTCCTCCCCGAGAGATATCTCCGCTATCTGAAGTCAGATACTGAACGGGGGAAGAATTGGTAGAGGCGACAGAAGACGCCCATCTTTGACAAGTTCCCAAACCTACCCATTGCGGGGATAGTTACTAAATAATACAGAATCTAAACCAGGAGTCTTCAACAGTAGTCCAACCGAATATGACATATACTCTCATTTGCAGGCTTGCCTAGAATCCAGAAGAAAGCCTGGTCGATCGATGCTTTCTGTTTCAATAAAACGCACTAGCCATGTTCTTCACAGATCTAGCACAGCCCCCTTTGAGCTGAAACCCACTACCCGTGATGGCCTTGGGACATATACTGCTCAACCCCTTAAGAATCATCACGGCAGTTCTCTATGCACGGAGTATGGAGATTGAGAAAACCAAAACGGTCGGAGAAGATACAAATGTGAAATGATGATGCATGAGTTCCCAGAATCTCCCATAACATGAAGAACATCCTCGATGTCGCCAATGTCCATAGTGGCAACCCACAAAGCTGTGCTATGCATACCACTCGAGGCTTTCCTCAATTCTATGACGCCAAGCAAGACGGCAGACTGGGCAGAGCAGAATGAGCGCTGCTGACTTCTTGACTGAAGGAAGGTTAACTATCTACAAGTTTCAGAGCTAGTTATCAAGAGCCCACCTTGGCATCTAAAGACTCATTCTTACTCCAGAGCTGGACTACTCCGCTCAACAGGTGGATTTATCCATGTGAACAATTCCACTCATACGAGACCTAAGAGAAAGGGGCCCTTTGGATCTTCTGGGTCTGCTGGATGCTACTGGATGCCCTACGAATCTCTCGGAACCCCCCTGATCATCCTCCATGACGATCACTAGTGGGCCGGGCCGATGGTGTGATCATTGGAATGTTTTCCAAATGGGAGACACCACAGATGACCCTGGAGACGTCACCACTAGAGAAACATGCGAGTATTGGCCTGGAAGAGCTCCCAGGAGTCTCCTGATGATCCTTAACGATAGAATTTTGACAGGATAGCTGGGGAATGCTGGGGAATTTCATGACGCTACTAGTATGGAGAAGTGGCGATCACTCCTGGCTACCTCCCCCTTGATCAAAATTGACAACTTGCCAAGTGATTTTTATTAGGCTCGAACTCACGCACGACGATCACATCTCGTCCGCTGTTGGATAGCGGAGCTATGGTTCTTCGTTTCTTGGCATCTGCTTGCATGGCGGACCTTTGGCTGGGCAGCTGGTTGCCTATTCTGGATGATGGTTATCTATCCGCCGCTAATGTAGGACCGAGAAAGATGCTAATGCGGTACTAATGCGGTACTAATCCGGCAGAAGTGACAATATGCCCATGGTCAGTGCCATTATCAACTGGATATTGACAATGCCTCTAATTGAAGAACAGGTGATCTCGGTGTCCTCGGATGAATACCCGCGACGCGCACGACATCTGCACTGCAGTGGAACCGCCCGAGGCCGGTTTAGGGAACCTTGGCAAAATATAAGATGGCGTGGAAGAGTATCCAATACACATGCAATAAGGTTGACTTATTTCGCGTTTTTCAAAAGTCCACATTTGCGGAGTGCACGATGAACAATTGCCACACTGCACGAGGCATAAAGGGGTCTTTGACGCAAAGGAATAGTCGGTGAACAAATGCCAGAAGGCAACAGGATCAGAATTCATGTACTTGTATGCAGCTTCGTCGGAGAACCCTTGCAGCCTCAAACGTTCTGACTGGTAGGTTTGGCAGAGAGCAACACACTCTTTCGACGCCATTAGGCGTCTAACCAGCAGTTTCCAGGCAGCCACAGAGAGAACATGAACTTCGAGGTTCCTGCAGCTAGTCAGATTGATTGCCATTAACCTCAAGATATCGAATCACTATGTCTTTTGGGTGACTAAAGCCGTGGATATCCTGAGTGGTTTCACGATTCGATGGAGGCTCTGTCTTGAATACAAGATGAGCAGTTCCTATTTGATCCGGCATATTCGAGGCACATGCACAAGAACAATCGCCATACAGGTAATCTGTACCTAGCCAGATTTGAAATCCTCTGTACGACCTCCCCGCAAGAAGCACCGTTGGGAATGACCTCTAGCATTGACGGTGCACTCCACCGGAATGCATATTCCGCCTTCCCCCTCACGTTTTGAAAATTCTGGCAACAAATAGAAAGCTCTCGCTGGCCGATAGACTAATCTCGTTAGGCCCATAATAATACCATAGTATAGCTGGTCTATCTATAAAAAGGGTACGGCGCCCGCTGTTTGATGTTGTAGCATAGCCAATCTCACCATAGCCATCAGTTTGTTGCTTGGTGAATTCACTTAACAAAATGTCCCATCTACAATACTACAACTATGAGGGTGTCGGCGAGCAGAATAAGGAAAACTACTGGTACAGCCAAGCTGTCCGAATTGGTGATCGTATCGAATGCGCAGGTCAAGGTGCGCTTGTTCTTTGTTTCTCTTATTCTATACAAAGCCAAGGGACTGACATGTTCTAATGACAGGTGGCTGGGATCCTAAGACCGGAGAGATCCACCAAGAAATCAATGCTGAGATTGACCAGGCCTTTGAGAACGTCGAGCTCAACCTGAAGAACGCCGGCGGCAAGGGCTGGGAGCAGGTGTTCCGGGTCAACTCATACCACATCCCGTTGGATAACGAGGCACTTGGGGCCATGGTGCGCAACTTCAAGAAGTGGATGCCGGGACATCAGCCTATCTGGACCTGTGTTGGAGTGCCGAAACTCGGCCAGGACGCTATGCGAGTGGAGATCGAGGTGGTGGCTCATGTTCCTTAAGAGCCCTGGGTGGATGGAGGGTTATGCTGCAGGTCTCCGAGATCCCGAGGAGAAGAGCTGCCAAGGCAGCATTGTATGGGTCATAGCTGCATTTGCATGAAGCGCAGGTAGACGAAGAGGCAAGAACGATATCTCATGGCGAGATGCTTGTCTCAGAAGCGACCTCTTGTGGCCTTCCCGCCTCTTCCACCACGCCCACCACGCCCACCACGTCCACCACGCCCACCGCGACCACCGCGGCTACTGCGCCCCCGAGAACTTTGCATAGAATGTAAATCTTCCTTGCTCAGATTTAATGTACCTCCGGAGAATTTGCCGATAGAAGATCCTCCAATGCCACGCTCTCTTCGCTTGTTGTCTGTCTTGGCGATCTTGGAGGGTTTCTCAAGAATGATGCCATTCTCCTTCGCCTCCCGTCGTCGCTTCTCATCCCTTGAAATAGCTTTCGCTTTGATACCTTGTCGGAAGGCATCGGGCATGTTCTTCTGTTTGTAGAGCGATTCCTTGGCTCCGAGGTCTTGCATGCGTAGATCCAAAGCCTTCAGTCGGTTCTTGCCGGTCGGCGCGAGTTCTGAGGCTGAGTCGAGGAGATGCGATTCTCGAAGTAGTCGTTGCAAATCAAGGTCGTGTTTCAGATTTTGGGCATCATTGGCGTCGTCATCCGAGTCATCCTTCTTCGTTGCCTTGGTAGTCTTCTTCTTCTCATCCGCGGAAGATGGGGGTTTCGCACTCTGTCATATCGATAATTAGCTTGTGGATCGGATGATTAAAAGTTGTGACAATATACCATGAATGCCTTGCGCGCTTTCTTGTCCATCAAGTCCTTTGCTCCGAGACTGGCATCCTTGTGTTCAACAACCTCCACCACGTGTTCTTCGTCGCTCTCCCCAGAGAGCCCATCCCAATCAGAGTCTGGCTCCGAAATATCGTCGTCATCTTCAAAGTTGTCCTCGTCACCAGAGTCTGATTCCTCAGCATCGCGCTTGGAAGGTACGTCGTCTTCGATTGGTTCGAATTGCGCCTCGAAATATTTGCGGAAAATGTCCTGGGCGTCGCTCGCAGGTGGAGGGCTTGTCTCTTTGGTTTTGGTAGACCGAGAGACAATGGCAGTCTCTCTCTTCCGTTTTCCGGTCATGATGTATGTGAATTAAGAAAAAGACGAGCAGAAACTTGTTGGTCAGTTGGCGACGCTCCCCGAAGTTTTTTTGGGGACCAAGCTTCAGGTCACGTGCGATAACGATAGAGGGGCTTCGATATCGGAGGTGCGGCGGAGGACCTTTGGTGTCATTCTTTCCCTCGAAGACTTGCAACTTGCTGGGGAAAATGACCCAATTCCGGCCCTGCATTGACCTCCACTCGGGGCAGGTCAAGCAGATTGTGGGCGGCACTCTCAGCAATGTCGCCGAAGACCTGAAGACTAACTACGTCTCAAAGCTCCCCGCCAGTCACTATGCGGAGCTGTACCGGAAGCGCAACTTGCGCGGCGGGCACGTGGTGAAGCTTGGACCAGGAAATGAAGAGGCAGCATTAGAGGCGATTCAGGCTTGGCCTAATGGGTTGCAAGTGGCTGGAGGAATCACGGATAAGAACGCGCAATACTGGATTGATCATGGTGCCGAGAAGGTGAGTGCTCTGGCCCAAGCTTTGGGCTCTTCCATTTGGCTCTGTCGTCGGACAGAAATTCGAGGACTCTTTGTTAGGAGGGCCGAATTATGTTTCGGCATTGTTTTCATTATCTTGATCAATGACGCTAATCAATGGAATGTGAAACAACAGGTGATCATCACTTCATTCCTATTCCCCTCGGGCAAGTTCTCGCTTGAGCGTCTTGAGTTGGTACTTGCAGCTCTTGGTGGCGATAAGTCGAAGCTGGTCTTGGATTTGAGCTGCCGGAGAAAGGACAATACCTGGTTCGTGGCAATGGACCGATGGCAGACCATCACAGAGATGGAAATCAACCAAGGTACGATGACCAAGTCCATCCGACAGACATTTCAAACTAACTCTCTACAGAATCCATCGCCCTTCTGGAGCCCTACTGTTCCGAATTCTTGATTCATGCTGCTGATGTGGAGGGTCTGCAGCAAGGCGTCGACGAGGAATTGGTATCCAAACTGGCTGAATGGTGTACCATCCCCATCACCTACGCTGGTGGTGCCCGAAGCCTGCAGGATCTGGAGAAAGTTCATGTCAGCAGCAAGGGAAAGGTGGACTTAACTATTGGAAGTGCTTTGGATATTTTTGGCGGCTCCGGAGTGACATTTGATGAGTGTGTCGAGTGGAACAAGAGTCATTGATGATGAGACCAAACTAAAATAGACGACCCTGGCGAAGGGAATGATGAATATGAATTTATTTTATACATCAATAAAGTGATCAGTATCTGGTTCATGTTGTTTTAATCTAGTAGACACCTTACATGACAGCATGTCGTATTATCAGATGGACCGCTGGGACATGTCAAGGGTCCCTCCCAGTTACAACAAGCACTCTCCCCCTCATATGGCCTAGTGGTCTCCCGCAAGGGATTGACCTATGGGTGTGCTCTGAAAAGGGCAAACATGTGATAGGAATAGGTACGGCCTCCAGTGTTGAGTATAACTCCACGGATGGTCGGGCACATTCCTAGGCGGGGAGAGTGGGCGGGTGGGCATGCGAGGTGGTGGCAGCACCTCCTCGCGGTAAAGATCCTTCTTATATTCTTTTTTGGTATAAACCTTTTTATAAAGCCTTTAGATTCTAGTGTATTAATTTTATTCTTTGACAGGGCCTTTTTAATAGTGTTGTGAGGACGTAGAGGGGATATCGTATATTGAGTGTGGCATGGAGTTACTCGAGGCGATGTACTTCGGCATCGTGGGATTGCGACAGAGCATCGGGGTGAAGTACATAGAGAATGAGAAAATTGGGGGTTCGATTCATGGAAGAGGAGATTTTTATTTCGGATTATGTGACGTCTGGTATATAGTCAACCAATAGTAACTCCATCATATTTCTCAAGAGGGTTCGGTCTGAGTTATTGCGTTTTCAAGAGCAAGCCTTGCGTGCAGAGCATATACACATTTCCCATGACTGGCTGAACCAGCTATTCTTTGTCATCAATAGATATACGTCAAGTATTTTGTTACTATTTGTGGGAAGGGTTGGGTCAAATGGACCTCGAACTAGACAAAACTTCTCGATTTCTTGATGTGATGCCACGGCAAGGAACTCATTTACAGGCACTGGGAATACCACGCATTGACGAGAGTGCAAGTATATCCGGTTGCACACACAGTAGGACCTGTCCATCCAGAGCCTCCACACTGGCCCCAATGCGCCGCTACACCGGTGGAAGTCGAGGTGCTTGAAGTAGAAGTCGTCGTCGTGCTGGTCTTGGTCGCCGACGCAGTCGTGGTAGACGACGAACCACTACCCGAAAAGCCAAACCATTCCATGTCCTGCGCTCCATGGATGGGGACTGTATGACCTACGCCTGTGGCATAGATACCCTGAAGATTAGGGCCCCAGTTGGTGGTCTGGTAGTTGGCATCCGGGGTGTTGGCGAGGGTCGACTGGGGAGAGTCATAGTTATATCCGAAGACGCCGGCCCACTGCTTACAAGTCTCGTAGTAGTTCTGTGGGTAAAGAGTCGTGTCGGCGCTGCCGTGGTAGATTTGCATTCGGGGTCGTGAACCAGAGTACCCGGAGTACATGCCTTCGGCGATGCCGCCCCAGACGGCGGGAGTGCTGATGACATCGCCTAGGGCACAGCTGCTGTTCCACGCATCGACTTGGTTGCTGGAAGAGTAGAAACAACCCGCACCAACGCCGGAGTAGACTGTCGCCGCAGCGAAGAGCTCAGGGTAAGTGGCTGCCATGACGTTCTGCGTTGATACCAGTCAGCCGGGATATTGTGGAGCGACACATCAAGAAGACAATGAGCAATTACCGTCATCATGGCTCCAGAACTGGATCCCGTCACGAATACTTTGCTGGTATTCGCATTGTATTGACTGATAGTCCAGGTCACCATGTTGGCGATCGAGTTGCTGTCACCGCCGCCATTATGGGTCAGAGCAGACTGAGAGCTGACATCCCAGCAGGTTCCACTATAAGGGCTTTGAGGGTAGATGACAATGAAGCCATACTCCTCTGCCAGCTGTGCATAGGGAGATCCGGTGTAGTATGCTTGGGCGGTTCCAGTGCCTGGATCATTCGTTGTTAATGCATCGCCCAAACATAAGAGCGATCCAGGAAGGAATATCTCCACTTGCAGTAATGAATTGCGACGATAATTCCGGGGTTGGTAGCCAACTTATTTGGAACATAGATGTACATCAAAGTGCCAGAGGGATTGCTTCCGAAGCTGGTCACTTGTTGAAGGGAGCCAGCGGTGACTCGCTTGCTGACATCCTTGCCCAGTGTTCTGGCAGAGGACAATGTCAGATAAAGGAACAAGGTAGCAAGAAAAGAGAAAGATATATTCTTCATGATGGTCAGAAATTTTTATGAGTCGCTGTTGCTGCACTAAATCCAAGGAGCATTGGGCCATCAACAGAGGGACATTCTTAGCTCTTTATCATCTTAAACTTGCTGAGTGTATCCTGCCTCTAAAATTTCCCTAACATCAAATAGATCCTTGATTATTCCGCGACATTCGAACTATCTTCGCATTTTGGCTGAATGCTTGGGTTGCTTAGCATCCTCGGACGAATGGAAGCGAAATGGTTGCATTTTCTCACTCGTATCTCATCCGCAAGTGTTCCCAGGCTAAATTAAGGTAGCTGAAACCGCCAGGGGGCAGATTTCCCCCGCATTGGCAACATATGTAGACCGTAATCTGCACGATCCGGAGATCGCACACCGTGACGAAACCCCACAATTTATCCATCATAGCTGTTTTGAGATGGTTGAGATCCGCGAGTCGGTCTGTTCGGGCCGTGCTCCTTTCCTAATGTGGATAGGTGTCTAAAGTTAACCTAGATAGTTCCACAAATAATGTTTATTTAGGCAATCTGGAGAGAGAAACTCGTATGCAGCCGACTTCTCTTCGTGTTTGCGCTAATGATGACAGGCATGGAATCAGTCAGCTTTGTCGGCGGAGCGGAGCTTTGGAGACAGTCGTTGGCGAAAACGATAAGGATGGAGCCGAATCAGAACAGAAGAAGCTTCTGGCGTGACCAGCAATTCGTGATTTAGCAGTCATCAAGCCACATTTAGGTTCACATCAACGCCTGGCTATTCAACGTCGAACTGCTTTCATGCCCCCAGATTCACTTACAGGCTCAATATTTTACGACCGACTGCTGAGAGGTACAAAGCACGATTAAGGAAAACCCATTTCCTGCACTTTATAGTAATAGCAGAATACATACTGGATACTATTTTCTGGAAATCCTGGACTTTCATCACGTTCAAGGTTTGGTTCGACAAACCAGATAGATGCATGGATAAATTTGGCAATAGCTCCAAGTCTGGATGACCACGAAACATATCGTAAATTATTGTATACATTTTCAAGATGCCCCAGGAAACAAACTGAGCATGTTTGTCATAAACCTCTTCTAAGACTCAGCTTCGTTTACCCCCACTACTGGCCTCCACTCGTTAGGTAATACTAGTCTAGCCGCAGTGTAGTGATGAAGGAACTGGAGGGGTTTAGCATCCATGAGGAGATGAGCGCTAACGTCACAATAACAAAAGCGCCTCTTTCTGATGGACGAACCCAGTTTTAGCTAATATTAAGGCACATAATTACTGAGTTGAATTAGAATGTTTGTTTGGACGAGCCTAGAAAAGATTTCGAATCGAGCGAACGGCAATCGATGCCTTATCTGGGCCGATAGTAGCTCCAAGGCTCTGGCTCGTCCGTGGGCAAAGCGCTTTACCATATCTCTAACAAAGCGGCAGCCCTTAGTATCAGTCAATTGATGTGTGAGGCTAGTTCAGTGAACTGACCTTCGTTTAATCGAGTTGTGTAACAGTAGCAAGGATATGCATCTCTCCCCTCGTCAGTATCGTCTGTACGATGCATAAACTGTTATTATAAGAATTTCCCGTAGGTATTAGAACGAAATTCTCAAATTCTCTCTATTAAAAGTCCCGACCAGAAAATATTATAAAGAATTCTCGTAGACCGTTTGGATGCCTTTCAAGAAAGACTTGTAGCCCCAAGTCGCAGCGCCTTGAGGGAAAGATACAATCATGCATAGAGTCTGACCCTTGGACCCCGTTATTATGCAATTTGCGTCTCTCGATTGCGGTAGATTACATCTTTGGCCTGCATTGATGCTGTGAATGGATTGTAAAGAGAGAAAGAGAGGCTAAAACGCCTAGTATATATGGTACAGCAATCCTGTGGGCCATGACATGACTAACCGGTCGGTCTCGAAAATGAGGAAAGCACGGGGAATTTGGCAGTCCTAGTGTATAGAGTGCCGTGCGTGTGCAGCTTAAAGCATTTTGAGAGCGATGTCTTTTGCCTGACTAATGTTCTAATTAGACATACCGAGTTTCTGGAAGATTGTGGGGTCGGGGGAATACCCATGTTTTTCGGGAAATTATCGAAGTGTGGGGAAATGACTGTGATGCATTTCCCCGACTATCAAATTAGAGTGGAGCCAATTAAGCCCGGTCTGGCATTGATGTGACAGGGGCTTTCTTTCGAAACATCGAAGTTGCCCGGTTACACCGTAACTTGACTCCCTTTGAGCTTGGACTGCCCATCGACCCATCATTCTGCACATATCTTGTTGAGTTTCGTGTCCCCTGGCGCTGTGCGTTGGTATTGGGCAATTACGCCACGAGGGAAAGCAATACTAAGCTTTCTAAATCTCCTAGGCTTCTGTATGGATGTGGTTCCACTTGACCCCGCAAAGATGGATTGCTCAAGGGGAAATGAGGGTTATATGCATGTTTGCGGGGAAATTGTGACATGCTGCTGGAGTGACTAGGACGGTGAAATATCGGGGCCTCCAAATCCAGTATATAAGTAGCTATGGTGAGCCCTCGACTCATGCACCTTCAATCGTCTTGTGGACCTCATCCTCTTGCTTTAGTCCCGAAACTATAGTCATGCGGTTCGAAACTGCGACTATTGCGGCCATCGCTGCTGCGTGTGTACCGCTGGTCAGCGCTGCCCCGCCAGTTGAAGCTGGCCAAGTTGTGAAGCGGCACGGCTCCAAGCCCAGCAGCTACAGCTTCTCTTCCATGACCTCGACGCGTTATGCGACTCCTCTGCCAACATCGTCGCCAGTGACGACGTACATGCCTGCAGCCTCCATGAAGGCCATCATGCCATCGGGGGTCAAGACCACCACGTGGAACAAGAATGAAGCGAGTGCCTCCGACTGGGACAATCCCTATGGCCAAGCGGAATGGAATCGTCGCTGGGCTACGTTTATGCCGAATGTTTCCATTTCAACTTTCAGCATCTCGACTACCGTTCAGGCTACTCCAGTACCGTCTTCCTCTCTCGTCATGCCCCCACCAGCCGGTTTCAGTTACAGTGATGCACCAAATGCAAAGGATTATACCTTTCCCAAGGACTTCATTGTTGGCGTGGCTTCCTCGGCTGGTCAGATTGAAGGCGCTATCCAGGATGAGGGCCGCACACCTAGTGTCCTGGATTACTTCAACTTCAATGCGGACCAGTCGCCGGACTATATCACCGACTGGAACTACTATCTCTACAAGCAGGACATTGCCCGCATTGCTGCTATGGGAATCCCATACTACTCTTTCTCTATCTCGTGGACTCGAATTCTCCCCTTTGCTGGTGCTGGTACCCCTGTCAACAAGGAGGGTATTGACCACTACAACGACCTCATCAACACCTGCCTCGAATACGGTGTGAAGCCCATGGTTACTATCGTGCATGCTGACGAGCCGTACGAGTTCGTGATGGAAGGTGGAAATGTAACGACGTCCTATCTCTCCCTTAATTCCGGGGCTGCGAATGGTACATTTGTCGACTCTTTTGTCTACTACTCCAGGATCTTGTTCGCCGAGTTCGGCGACCGCGTGCCTATCTGGATTACTATCAACGAGCCCTACTATGAATCTGGCAATCTCCAGGGCATGTACAATTTCCTGGAGGCACACACCCAGGTGTATGATTTGTACAAGTCAATGGGCGGCAAGGGAATGATGTCGTACAAGAATGCCGACAACTTCGGTGTTCCTCTGGATCCTAACAGCCAGGAAGATATTGCTGCTACCAATCGGTACCAGGACTATCTTCTGGGTATCATGTCCAACCCGACCTGGTTGGGCAAGGACGTTCCTGAGAGCGTGACGTCGACCTGCACCAATGAGTCTCGCCCCCTTTCTCCCGAGACTCTGGCTCGATACAAGGGCAAGTCCGACTTCTTCGCGGTCGACCCCTACACAGCAACCTTTGTTTTCCCACCAGATGACGGAGTCGAAGCCTGTGCCAAGGACCCCAGCCATTCCCTGTGGCCGAACTGCGTGAACACCACATCTGTTAGCTCTAACGGATGGGAAATTGGTTTCTACTCCAACTCCTACCCCTATATGACCCCGAAGTATTTCCGTGCTTTCATGAACTATATTTGGGAGACATACCAGCCGAAAGCCATCATGGTTTCTGAATTTGGTTTCCCTGTCTTCGCCGAAGCCGAGGCCGACCTGGCGTCGCAACTGAACGACCTGCCCCGCTCCTTGTACTATGAAGCATTCCTCACTGAGATCCTGAACTGTATTCACGAGGATGGCATTAACATCATTGGTGCTGTCGGGTGGAGTATGCTTGATAACTGGGAGTTTGGATCATTTGCTCAGCACTTTGGCATGCAAGTTGTCAATCAAACTACCCAGGAGCGGTACTTCAAGCGCTCTTTCTTTGACTTCATTGACTTCTTCCACTCACACGGCCTCTAAATATAGGGGCCTCTGGTGGTCGGATTGGGTGTGGTTTATCTTTATACTTCCAGAACATCTTATTGTACTTCTCTCATCTAGATTACGGCATAACTGTGGTTTGAGGTTATAACCTTCCAATGCACTGTTGGTCTCACTCTATATTCTCTCTTTCTCCGTCATGTTTAAAGAGCACAAAGTCATAGATACACTCAATTTGTCCTCCTTGTATGGAATGAAGATGCATTCCTTGGCAAGGATGCAGCGAAGGTAAGCTAGAACGTCAATTACAGGAAAATTCTCAAAACTCTTGTTCAGACTGTAGATGCTCCCCCTCTTCGATGCTAGCCTGCGCGATGTGACAAAATTGATGTATTAAGAGAGGGGCACAGTCAGGACTGCTAAAATAATATCCCCACTTCGTATAGAAGTAGATCAGAAGCCCGAGACTTTTCCCGGTTCCCGATTCTTTCCCTTTAGGAAGTAAGCAGTTCACTGAGTTCAGAAACAGGACAACCATCATTTCTTCAGGGCCATCTGCAAGACCAACGTAGCGGGGCGAATCTGCAAGGCATTCCCCGGGGAATTCCCCTCCGGTACTCCGGGAAGTTGTTCACAATCGGTCGTCGATCCCCCGCACTCTGCACGATGCACCTCAAACTCCGGCGGGGGCGAGGGGGAGCAATCGGTATGAACGAATGCAAAGAATCGTCAAATTATTCCATCCACATGAAGGGGGAATCTCCGTTACATGAGCGGCATTGGGCAGTCACCCGAGCGATCCCATGTCGACTTGCGGGGAAGACGACCATCGTGTATGATGATAATCGTATTGTTCGATGGGAAGTTTTAGAGGTATTTAATTTTCTCCCTCCCTGATTTTTTGGAGGTTTGGTTTTTCGCGAATGTCCTATTCTCTTATTAAGTGAAAATCTACCGTTTCAAATATGCTTCTAAAGAAAACTTTGGTCGTTGCTGGCTTAGCTTTGGCACAGAGAAGCCTTGCTTCCTTGCAAATTGTGTGCCAATTCTTGATTAGTGAATATGATAGCCGAACAAAATTTGCTAATATGGTCAGGTCCCTGGCGGGTCGTGGACAGCATCTGGTACAAACCAACACGTCCAGGCTCATGGCGGAGGTATGGATATGGACCAAAGTATCCGTTGTGTCAGCTGTATCTTCGAGCTCACATCTCTTCCTCTAGGCATAATCGAAATTGATTCCGTCTACTACTGGATTGGCGAGAACAAGTTGAACGGAAGTTCCTTCCAATCCGTCAATTGTTATTCCAGCACCAACTTGGTAGAATGGACTTTTGTCGGAGAGCTGCTCTCCCTTGAGAGCAGTGGAGACCTTGGCCCGAATCGAATCGTCGAGCGTCCCAAGGTCATTTACAACGAGGCCACATCCACGTATGTGATGTGGATGCACATTGACAACAGCAGTTACGGGGAAGCAAAGACTGGCGTTGCAACAGGTTCCAGTGTTTGTGGCAAGTATAACTATTTGTAAGACCAGCAAAAAGTTATCCGTTGCCCAGCAACAAATCTCGAGCTGACTTGGTTGCCTCTAGAGGTTCATTTCAGCCCTTGGGCTTCCAGTCACGCGATATGGGTCTTTTCAAAGATGATGATGGGTCGGCATATCTTTTATCAGAGGATGTGAGTATATTGATTAGTCCTCAGTGTCTTCCATGATTTGCCGTAGAGCAATTGTACAGTTCTAACAGCTCTTACCAGCGCCCGAACGGTCTGAGAATTGACCGGTTGACTGATGACTACACTAACGTTACTTCCAATACTTACCTGTGGAGTGAGCATATTGAAGCTCCAGCTATTTACAAGCAAGATGGCGTGTATTTCATGTTTGGGTCTCAGTTAACAGGTCAGTGCTTGATACTTCCACCATCTTAACCCCCAGCTGAGCTGACCATGACTCCGTTATAGGATGGGGTATGTTTGTCTATTTGCAGATGAGCCATTCTGGATTCTGTATGGGACTAAAAAATTCTTGCAGCTACAAATGACAACAAGTACAGCGCTGCCACAAGTCTGAGTGGCCCTTGGAGTTCTTGGGCAAATTTTGCTCCCACAGGCACGAACACCTACAATTCCCAGACTGCATTCATCTTGGGAGTAGGACCAAATGTGATGTATGTCCTACGACAGAGAAAAATCTATGAGAACTGGTTCGTTTCTTGTTTGATTTCTTGACTGACCTCATCAGGTACATGGGCGACCGATGGCTCTCCAGCAACCTCATGGCATCAACTTACATATGGCTTCCATTGACCCTGTCCGGGACGAGCGCCAACCTTGTACGTCTCCTCTCTCTCTCTTCTCTTCATATCAGCTGAGCTCAAAGAATCCCTGTTAACTGTCTCAACACTTATAGACAAATGAAGATAGTTGGGTCATCTCCCAGCAGGAGGCCTGGACAACCTCGCCGACACAAACCGCCCCCGAAGCCGAATCCTCCTCTAACACCTTATCCAACGGCGCCGTTACTCTCTCTTGCAGTGGCTGTTCAGGTAGCAAGTCCGTAGGATACATCGGAGGTTCCAGCGATGGCGCCCTCCAGTTCAATGGTATCACTAGCAATGCTACCACCAAGACCACCGTCCAGGTGAGATACGAGAATGGGGATTCAACCCAGCGATACGCTACCGTGACGGTGAATGGGAACTCGCAGATTCTGTCTTTCATTCCTTCGACAAATGGGATTACACCATTCTCGTCTACACTGAATGTTGAGCTGAACGCGGGGGCTGCGAATGTTATTACTATCAGCGGGTATGAGGGGGGATGGGGTAAGTGATGTTAAACACTTTTGGTAGTAAGATAGTATGAGTCGAATTGGAGAGCTAATTGAATTGTTTCTTCCAGGTCCGGATGTCGATCGCTTGTTGGTTCCAGAGCTCTAGTTGGGCAATGGAGACGTAGTTGTGGTTTCCCTGCGCGGTGTTCACCGTCTACCATCTATCGTGGGCATGGGAATGATGAGAGTGCATATGGATACTACTTGGGTATATTTTATGCATCCACACATTGACAGAAAGGGTTCCATGCTATATATACACTCTATTCTATCGTAAGTGTAAAATGATTCAAAGCGGCCGGCCCAAATGCCTCGTGGTGCCTGTTCCGAAAACGGCTTAGGGCCACGACGAGCTCCGCCCGCCAACCTCCGTATCTTCGATCACTTGCTCCCCCGTCATCAGCTCTGCTCTCCCTCGGCCTTTTCTTGCGACTCAAGACCTCTCAATCGTGCTGAAGCACTTTATTATCCCCAGCACTATCCAAAAACCTATCAGATCGCATACCCTCCCCCCCCCCTGCCGACGCCAAAATGAAGCCCGTTGTGTCGGCGTTGAACGCATGGTCTTGGTAATGCTCCCCCCCCTCCTCCCATTCCAGAAGAGGGACTTTGTCCTTGGATATTCACAGCTTCTAACAACCTTTCTAAACGATAGTGTCGTTATTTCCATCTTCGCAATCGTCATTCTGTCCGTCCTCGGCTCGTTATACGGCGTACGTTCACTAGCCCCCCGTTCAGCCTGGCCCCGTCTTGCGCCTAGCCATCGACTACTACTCGGTTTCCCTACAATGAAATGCTGACACCTCTGCTTCCTCTCCAGAGCAATAACCACTCTTTTACCGGCTCGGAAGGAGATCCCGAAGATGGCCCTGCAGTTGCTGCCTCCATCTATGCGGCTGTGATTGTCTATGCGGTACGTCATCTGGCATCCGAACACTGCCCTGAGTTCAAGATAATACCGCCGAGGAGAACTATTGCTAATCTTCTTCTTTACCGTCAATAGGGATTCTTCGTTTTCTGTGGCTTCCAAGCTTACCTCCACATGCGAGACAACCGAGGCGGTGCTATATCACTTCGTTAAAACCAGAGCTCAAACGAAACCCAATCACTACAACTACAACTCTTACAATAACACATCTTATCTCTCGGTGTCGGATCGGTCTTTTTATCATTTTCATCCATTGGGGGGTTAGCTTTCGGTCTGTCTTTAGGGAATCATGGGTGACCAGGGTCCGAGAGGGCGGGGAAGGATTTGAAACGGATCAGCGGTTTCCAATCATCCAGGCGCTTTTGATTACTCGCTGTCCTCCGCTCGTGTGGCCATCGGAGTCCGTCGGTATGCGAGGATAAGGCTGCGGTTTGCTCTCTTCTTAGGGAAGACATTTGCTGGGCAGGTCTCCCGGTCTTCTCGTTGGTGGAGTATGCACTTGCGGACAGCCGTTTCTGCGCGATATGTACATAGCGGCTCGGAATTGTTATCTTTACCAGATCTTATCTTTTGATTTTAGCAGGAATACTTTTGCTATGTGTCGCAATCAAGTATAGACATTTCATCATTGTTCATCATTATGTCACAGGAAACCACTTTTGGAGCGTGCTCCCCTAACGCCTGGTATATGCAAAATCGACCGATATAACCTTCTACCCTAGAACAGAACACCTTGGTCTATTCTTCATCCTCGTACGGGTCCAACATCTTTGACATGTAAGGGCCATCCAGGGTGTATCCCAAGCGAGCGTAATAGCTACGCACTCCGACACCTGAAATGACACTAATCTTGGTGCTGCCGTGCTCCTCACGGGCGATGCGCTCAGCCTCTTCCATGAGCAATGTTCCGAAGCCACGGTGTTGGAACTTGCGAGCATCGCGCCCGTGAAGCGGCACGGCAGAACCATAGACGTGCAGCTCGCGAACGATACTAGTCTGCTGACCGGTAAACTCGGGGCGGAAGGTGTGAGTGTCGCTGCACTTGCGCAGACGAAGCAGGCCGATGAGAATGTCTTGCTTGGGATCTTCATAGGCCAAGAAGGTCTCCCAGCCGCCGTTGGCAGTGTAGTCGCGACGAATGAGCTCCACCTGCGATGGGCGGATCTTGTTCTTGACCTCGTTGATGCCGACCTCTCGTGTCCGAACGTCACGGCATGTCGTTCCAAAGTCCTTCATTCGAGCTAGAGCCAACTCGCGCAGGTTGCCGTTTTCGACACCGGAAGTGACCAGGGGCATGGGGATATCACGCTGAACACGGTAGATTCGAGTCCATGGGGGGACCAACGCCAGGATACGAGCAACGAGATCAATCAAGGCATTAGGAGTGTAGTTCTTGTACCGACCAGTCCGCCACAGCTCGTAGAGACCGGTTCCACGGATGACGAGAGTAGGGTAGATCTTGAGGCCGTCTGTGCGGAAGTCAGGGTTCTCGAAATATTCCTGGAACTGGAACAGGTCGCGCTCCATGCCAACGTTGGGCAGATCGGGCATCATGTGGCTGACAACCTTGAAACCGGCCTCCTTGGCGAGCTTGAAGGTCTCAGCAACCGCTGCAACGGTGTGGCCACGATTCGTGTCCCGCGCAACATCCTCGTACAGACTCTGCACACCGATCTCCAGTCGGGTGCAACCGTAGCGAAGCATGCTGCTCAAATGAGTGTCCAGACAGTAATCTGGACGGGTCTCGATCGTGATACCGACACATTTGGTATTACTCATTTCACCAGCCAGCACGGCCTCGTCCACGTTGTCCGTTTGGTATCCGCTAAGAGCATTGTGAAGTTGAGAGATGAAGGTGTCGCGATAATCCTCCGGCAATGACATGAATGTTCCACCCATGATAATGTATTCCACTTTGTCCACACTGTGGCCCAGAGACTTGATCTGATCCACTCGTCCTCTGGCCTGCTCGAACGGATCGTACCGAGCGCGGATCGCACGCATCGACGTCGGCTCGTATCCGGTATAGGATTGTGTAGAGTACTCGAAATCGGAATCGGGACCACCGGGGCAGTAAACGCAAATGTTGCCGGTGTACGCGATATGAGGGCATCGGTGAGGCTTGCACATCACAGCGACAACTGCGATACCAGAGGAAGTTCCTATGTGGCGGGATTAGTTTCGAGGCCTAGCCAGGTTCGAGGAGAATCGACTTACGGATGGGCTTCGCGATCAACTTCGGGAGGATATATTTCTTATAATGTTCCGGCACAGCAGCAATGATAGCCGTCAGTGGCGGTTGAGTTGCGAGCGAGTGCTTCTTCGCAATCATGCCCCGCAGCTTGTTGAGGTTGATGTCTTTCCGCGGCGCTGAGATGTCTTTCTGCGACTCATACTCTTGGATGAGCGCATTCGCAATATCGGAGCATGCTCGCATGTATCGCTCGTTCTCTGGAATCAGCTTGTTGTTCTTCTTGGCCGTCTTCTTGTTGACCGGCGTGGTCATGGTCATGGTGGCCATGGTGCAGGAGTGTCTGTCACCGCGCAGCGGCGACTGGGTTGCCTCGAGGCAGAAGACAGGAGAATATACGCGACTGTAGAAGCGATCGAGCTAGAAGCCGGCGAAGCAGTGGTGGTGGGGTTGTTGAAGCGATTAGATCGAAAAAAAGTTAGTGGCCGAGGCAGCGATCCGAACTCAACTCGGGTCCGCTTAAGTAAAGATTTGTCCCGAACGAAAACTCCCGGGCGCGCATCCCGAATCCTTTGCTCCCATCTCTTCCCCGAGTCAACCTCTTTCCTCTCCAATCTTCTCCTCTCCCCTCTCCCCTCCACCCCCTTTTCAATTGCCTTCTTGCCAGTCATGCAGGCCTTCCGCCGTAACACCTTTTCGGCCGTTCGCAATGTCGCTGGTCAGCAGCGCCGGAGCTACCTTAAGGCCACCTCTGCCTATGCCGACACTGTGAACAACCTGCGGATCAACAAGGATACCAAGGTGCTCTTCCAGGGCTTCACTGGCAAGCAGGGAACGTGAGTATCAATGATCCGTGTCATACCTGATTCCATGCGCCGGGCGCTGACGGGCGAGTTCTTGAACAGTTTCCACGCCGAGCAGGCCATCGCCTACGGTATTTCTCCCCTCGTCGCGATCGCAAAAAGACCTTTCGAACTCATACATAACAGGCACCAATGTCGTCGGTGGTACCAACCCCAAGAAGGCCGGCACCACTCACCTCGACCGCCCCGTCTTCGCTGGCGTTGCGGAGGCCAGGAAGGAGACCGGTGCTACTGCTTCCGCTATCTTCGTCCCGTATGATACCCGCTGTTTTACCCCGGACGGTCACAGAACGCAACTAACTGATCACAATCAGCCCTCCTCTTGCTGCTGCCGGTATTGAGGAGGCCATCGCTGCTGAGATGCCCCTTGTCGTTTGGTGAGTGTTTCTGGGCCCCCGAGCTCCTAGGAAGCTCCCCTTTGAAAGTACACTTTTTTTGAGCCCGAGCTAACCGGCCTGTTTGCACCACAGCATTACTGAGGGTATCCCCCAGCACGGTACGAAACGAGTCCATTGCCTCCGAGTGGAACCCGATCTAATATATACTCCATAGACATGGTCCGCATCACCGACATGCTCAAGACCCAGAACAAGACCCGCCTGGTCGGCCCGAACTGCCCCGGCATCATCGCTCCCGTAAGTGTCGATCCTCGCCGACAGCTTCACGTCACATTCTCATAAATTTCGCTTCTTTAGGGACAATGCAAGATCGGTATCATGCCCGGTTTCATCCACAAGCGCGGCCGTGTCGGTATCGTCTCTCGTTCCGGTACCCTGACCTACGAGGCAGTCAACCAGACCACCCAGGCCGGTCTTGGTCAGTCTCTCGTCGTCGGTATCGGCGGTGACCCCTTCTCCGGCACCAACTTCATCGACTGCCTGAAGATCTTCCTCGAGGACCCCGAGACCGACGGTATCATCATGATCGGTGAGATCGGTGGTTCTGCTGAGGAGGACGCCGCCGAGTTCTTCAAGGCCAACAACATCCACAACAAGCCCGCCGTTTCCTTCATTGCTGGTATCAGCGCTCCCCCCGGCCGCCGCATGGGTCACGCCGGTGCCATCGTCAGCGGTGGTAAGGGTGGTGCCGACTCCAAGATTGCTGCTCTCCAGGATGCTGGTGTCATCGTCGAGCGCAGCCCTGCCTCTCTGGGCAAGGCCCTGCTTGCCGAGTTCGTCAAGCGTGATCTCGTCTAAATTCCCTGTCTGAAGCTCTGCTTTTGACGTTTTGTGCTCTCTTGGTGTCCTGGTTCTTTGTTGCAAGACTGGGGGTTCGGAGGTATATTCACCATCTGTCCAAATGGTCATCTGCGGTTCATATTATTAAGCCGCGTCTGTATTCTTTTTTTCTCCTTTGTGTTAGAGACCCTTAAGTAATTAGTTTCGTGTAACTTTTACTTTATTGATTGTGCATATGGTAGATGTGCCTCTATAGGTGGTTTGGCCCATTTTACTGCGACGACTTGCGGACTTGCCATGCTTGAATGGCGACAAGCAAGTCCTCGTACCCATGGTCGCTGTAAAAACTTCAATTGCCTGAACGGAAAACGCATAATGAGTTCCTCATTCCATCATCCCATTTGACCTGAGGTTAGCAGTGACTAAAACTTAGTTTCTTCTTGTCTGCAGTTTACCTACGGATATAAGGGAAAAACACTATCCCTTGTCATGGATCTTGACTCTACAGTGAGTTTGAAACGGGCCGAGGAAGTTGAAATGATTGTGAAGTATGAGATGAAGTATAGATATAACATCTGGCTGTTCTTGAATCGGCATGTTGCTCAGTGCCACTAGCACGGAGAAACCCCTTTCCGATTTTATGTCCAGATTGATAATCATGATTTAGAGCAGTTCAAGTCTTCTTGATATCCTTCAGAGCCCTCACCACCTCTTCCGTCCCAATTACATCGGCAAACTCGCCATCAAGACTGGCAACAGAGACTTGATGAACTGTCTCTGCGTCAAAATCACCCTTACTAAATGTTGCTGTTGCATCAGAAACGAGAAAAATGCGCCCCTTTTCAACACGCACTTCATTCTCACGAGAACCATCGGGCCTAAATCGGACAGGTCCATCGTCCAACAAGCGATCAACAACGCCCAAGTTCGCGGCCATGCGAACTGTCGTTGAGACACAGTGATCCGTAGTCAGACCAGCACAAATGATCTGCCTGATGGCCCTTTCTCGCAAATATGACTCCAGATTGGTACCAATGAATGAAGAGTTGACGTTCTTCCAAAAGACAGGCTCCGACCCATCCGCTACTGGGACCGCAAACTCCAGCGGTCGTATCCCACCCGCTGGATGTGAAGCGTGAAGAGGGGACGAAGACGAGTCAGACGAGTGAAAAACGTGAATCACCTCAAGAGGCGTCGACGACGAAGCTTGTGCATCTCGAAAAGTGGAGAGAAGCGATTGGAGATTGGCTTCATAGTGAGGATTGGAGCGTGAGGCGCCCCAGTGGGAAACGGTCTGTGGGTGGGTAAAGGCCGATTGGTTGTCGATGAGAATTAGAGCTGTGGGCAGATTCAGGTCGATTTGTGGTGCCATTTTTCGAGAGGGTTATTTGAGGACGATTTTCCTGATTGATTGAGGAGGTGTGAATTAGAACGGGTTCTCCATTTTTATGGCGCTTGATTCGATCCGTGAGTCACCTTGCTCACTAATTGTCGGACTCCTCAAGCCAATAGAAGCTTCAAGCTTCTCGTATACCATTTACAACCCATCTTTATATGACAGAATACTGGGAGTCCAATGATCAAGAGATCAATAACGCAAGTTCAGGCGATGCGAGTTTGATGACCCTGTGCTTCTAGTATACGACAAGTTGGTTTCTCCCCTGCCAAGACACAATTATTTACCCTTCTTAGCTCGCCTTCAGCTGAGCGCTTAAATGTCGAGACTCGGAACTGTTATGCCGGAACTAGTGTTTCAAGATGGGAATAATGTCGATCATTAAGGTTGGATCACTTGTGGGAGGGGAAAATATTCACAAATTGCGTGTTGTTCCTACACCAATTGATCAGACCTGGGAGCTACTTCACTTCTGTTAGGTTCACCCCTCGGACATCTTCAAATCTCATGGTCTGAGATGATAGAATAGAGACTACTTGAATGAAGAGCTCCAAAGTCCCTAGTTATGTCGCATAAAAAAATCCTGAAACCGGCGCTAACAATTTAATGGTTCAGCCAATGCAAATCCATAGCGCCCGTGATGATTTTCTTAAAAAAGCGCTTGAACAGCGCTTGACCAGCGCTTGACCAGCGCTTGACGGCAGGCTTCAATTCTATTTCCAGGCACAACTTTTCCTAGATACGAAGAAGACAGGTACTTAAAAAGCAGCTTTGTGTGATGGATTCTTATTCTTTTTCACCATCTCAACGGTCAAATTTTCAATATCCCCAAGCACTGATCAAAGTACCACAAACCAAACCCTACCGAGGTACACAACATGGGCCTCCATCTGTCTCAACTATGCCGAAAGCCTGCTGAAAGGGGCCGAGAAGTGAAGAAAGCGGCTTCAAATCCGGATTTTACGCAAGAGAAAGTGTTCGCTGTGCTGAACGATTACCTGGGGCCCGAAAGCCCATTGCCACTCGATCTGGCTGTAGAGTATCTATTGAAGCTCTTGCCTATAGATGCCCCTGATTCCGAGGAGATTTGCAGATTTGGAGAAGACTGCTTTGAGCTTGCTGAGATGGCTTCATATAAGACTTCCACACATTCACGATTGGCCCAATTGCTCGAGGCCCTCGGTCTTTCGAGTCACTTCACATTCCTGACCCAAGAGGTAAGAAGTTAAGAAGTTTTTGAGCCCACCTTTGAACACCGCTGACAAGACTCGAATTTTTCAGAATGGTAGAGTGTGGCGTTTCAATCTGCTCAAACATTCAATGGAAGACTTCTGCGCGGGTAATTCACTAAACTCCGATTCAAGACTTGCTTCAACAACGCTGACCAAAGGTATCAGGTCCTGACAGCGAAAACCCCGAAAGATACGTCAACTACAATTCATTCCTGGCTCACTTATATGAACATCGCATCTTTCCGACTGATCCTACATATGCTCTGTGGGCTATGCGTGCCGCCTTTGAAGACGACAGAAGCCATGAAGCGAAGGAAGTGCGCAGCTCTTGGGTTCTGGGAGCATCGCAGTGGATTCTATGGAATGGACAGAGTATATTTAATCTCATACTAGAGCCAGCTCTCTATGATGTCACATATGAGACTTGGCCGGATCGGGGGGCTTGGGATGCTGGTGCTCTCTACCGTGGCGCTACTGGTCTGTCTCTTGAAAGGTGGCAGTTTTGGAAGCGGCGGTTCGGGGAGGTCTGCCAGGACTGTGAGGTTACTGATGAGTGCAAGGGGGTATCTGCTAGAGCCATGGCGATGATGGATTTATTTGAAAAGCATATGATGTTTTAGACGAGGACTATAGGGATTCCTGATCTTTGAGCAGGCGTGCCAGGCGTTGGATGTTGTTATTCTTGTTGCTCATACACACTTAGTTCCAGATAGAAGAAAGATGCACGTGCATTTGGGTTGGTATTGCAAGATAGCTCCAGTAATACTGGAATTTAGGGATTTGTTGTGCCAGCATCAGTGTTGATACGCAAGTTTCTCCTGCTCCTCCTTATTAGCTGCCACTATCGGATCTCCCAAATATCCTACGCTACTCCCATCATCTTTCACGTTCGAAGTCACGACCTGTCCATAATTGCTAGGCGCAGCACGATTGCACGGTACGCCCGAACTGTCAACCAAATTTGTACACTGGTACACCTCATCTTGCAATGTCGTGTCAGACATGGGCAACCCCAAAGTATGGTTAACCGATTGAATCTCGATATCTTCAAACTTGATACCTGGGCAAGGGTGCACGTCTGAACAGTAGAGCGAGGCAGCGATGTTATACCGCGAGGTGCCTTTGATGTTGGACCATGTGATATCCTCGATTGCCATCTTCGACGTGTTGCAGTTCTGCCCATTCTCTGTGTAGATACACTGAGATATCTGAATAGGCAAGGCGACATTCGTCAGTTCGAAGTTGCGGAACACCACATTCTTGATAAGCCCACTGCCACCTCCACCTCCATCGCCATTCGAGCTGTTATCTTCGGGAACTCCCTGCCATGTTTTGATAAACGCTGCTTCCATGCAATTGTAGCATTTCACATCTTCGAATGTGATATTCTCCACATAGTCAGGCATTGTGGGATATTGTCCAACAGACCCGATTGCCATGCCAAAGCCCCAGTGACAGGTAACATTTCTGACAACAAGATTTGTGGTGTTTCCCTTCACAGCAATGCAATCATCGGTATTTGTGACAACGGCATTCTCAACAAGTAACATGTCGCTATTCCAAGAGTCGTACCCGTCGGTGTTCACGGTACCCCACTCATCGTCGCTGGTGGCATTGACGAAAAAGTTCGTAATAGAGACATTCTTGCTTTGCCAGACGAACGTTGCCCAGAATTGGGGTTGAATAATGGTCAATCCATCCACCAGCAGGTTTGTCGAATTGTAGAATGTGATACTAATCGGTCGACCGGGTTGGTTGCTTTGATTACGGTTTTGCGTGTACCAGGCTTGACCCTGGCCGTTATACCAGCCACCCTCTTCGCCTCGAAAAGTGACATTCGTACCACCGAACAGCCACGCGGTAGATTGATTTTGGAAGACCACAGAGTAGGAGTGGGAAAGCCAATATGGAATGTCTGTCGAGAAGCGGAGCTCGCCCCGTAGAGACACGTCACAGTTCACCAAGTTGGTCGTGTTCATGACAGAATTGACATTGAATGTATGGTTCGCCGCGAAAATGACCCTGCCATCGGTGCCGCAGAGCTCGAAGGCCTTTTGAATTGAAGGCGCATCGTCGACTGGCTGACCATCGTGTTTGAGTGATTCCGGGTATAGTGTGCAAGTCTTGTCTTTGTTGACAACATAGCCTGCTGCCAAACTGGCCAATGTCAATGGTAGCCACAAACGCATTACGGAGAGGATAGTGGCTCCTTCGCTGTAGGGTCCAGCTTTCGGTGGCTGCAATGCACTAAAGACAGGGGACACTTGGATCAAGGTCTAAGGGGTGCCGTTTTTATACCTGTAGCATGTATCGAAGGTCTCCTGTGCCTTGACGTCGGATTTACCCCTTTGATTGCTTTGTCAACTGCATCAACAGACACAAAGGTTACGTTTTTCCCCACATCCTGTTATTCCATGCAGCGCGACCGGAATCAGGTGATAAGGCATCCAATCATCATATTTCCTCAGAGTGAGAGATCTTGGCTTGGCCCACGCGGTCTTAGCGCCAAGGCAGGGGGCGCATAAAACTGCGAGGGGTCTGGAGGTACATGTTCCCCCGGGATGCAGACTTAGCCATCATCTGGTAGTCGTTCTCATCCCGTGAGCTTCCAGTAATCGTTTTGGGATCATCACCAGACATCACATCGGAGGACAATCTATTCCAAATCATTTGGAAATGCCATACCAAGATGGTGCCACCTGAGCGGACTTTTGGACTCCGTGCCTAATATTGCAAGCGAAACGCAACACATGCACAATAATACTAGGTACCGGAAGAATGAGTTTCAAATTATTTTGACGTGTCAAATCATTACCTAATTCAGGACCTGTAACTAGCCATGTGCTAGCAAGAAGTGTGCAAAAGGGAATAAGATGGAGATGGAATGCATATCTTAAACATTTTGCTGCCTGAGGTGTCGAGCTCAGAGATAAGCAGCCTCGAGGTAGTTACCGTTTTCCTGGAAGTCAATAAATTACCTTCGGAGGCTGGGTGTCGTAGGCAGGGCTAAGTTAACTAACTAAGTTAAATGGGCTTATTATTAGTCATATGCCAGTCCAGCCCAGAATGGTCTAGTTTAGCTTCTACAGTATGCCCTCCCTTCCAATGCAGAGTGGGTTCATCTCAGCACTTTAATCTCTAAGCTTTCTGCGAGTTTCCTATAGCCACCAAATCTAATGGCATATTCTATGCTGCTGGATTGTCCTTCAACAATTTGCAGCTATACTAGTTTCCAGGCCCCAGTAATGCAGATGATGACAGAGCCTCTCTATTGGAAATCACCAAGGATCTTCACTCTCTGGCGGAGAAGTTGAAGCCGCCCATTAACCAACTCCCCGTATCACTCGAAGAAAGGGAGCTTATCAATCTTGGCCATAGATGCAAACGATCAGAGTAAAAAGAAAGGAGGTCTACACAGATGGCTTGAGAAGCTCATATATGGTAATCGATGAGCAAAAATCACTATGGTGTGTCTGAATTATGGTTGAGGGCTTCGTGTGTGAAAGTTGGTTTGCATGGCGATCTGTCCCCTGAAGCAATATTCCTGCATGAGTTGTAAGATCTATTTATTACAGTCTATCAATAAATCTAGGTAATCGAAAATAGCCCTCTTGAGACCCTTCGGGCGGTGACATCCTTATTCGATGGGTCTAGCGATGTTTCTTCGCGTTGGGATGCGGGAATCGTCGAGTCCTGCTGCGCAGCATTTCTGCTCGTTGCTCCAGAGTCATGTTAACCTGGTCACCTATCGGGATAAGGCACTTCGCCAGGTGGTTATAGTCTTTGCGTAACAGGTACACAGTAATGAAGATGTAGTCGATGTTTCGGAAGATCAAAGCCCTTTCCTCTGCATAGCGGTCTTTGCCCTTGACAAATGCTACAGGGTGATCTCTCCAGTGGCGACGAGGGTTCAAGTGGTGAGAAGTGTGGTACCCATCGTTAAAGGAGTATCGGTTGCTCTGAATCTATGTAAGCACGAAAAATCAACAAGAGACGATGGCAAAGCTTACCGGAACATCAATTAGAGTAATACTCGAGCGGTAGTCCGAGTCGGGGTCAATGGGGTCAACGAAAGCGTGCTGGCCCCAATTTCCTACCATGAGGCCACATCTCATGACTGTGAGTGGTAGAATGAGCACGAAAAGTGTCGCGCGAGCATTGACGTAGTTGTAGAGAAGGTAGATGGCTGCGTAGTTGCCAAGCTCCCAGAATGCAGCCCTGCAAGCATATTTGACCTGGCCCTTCCTCCAAAAGTAGAGAGGAAGTTCCATCCAAATGAAGAAGATGAATCGCCCAACGTAACAAGCAAAGTCAAAACCACTGTCACGGTCGTAGAACATGGTTGTGCTCAGATCCTCCTCGCCATTGCCCTCAACATGATGGTGCTTGATATGGTGGTAGTAATAAGAATTCCACGTGTGTCCTAGCATTGGGTCTAACACGTAGGGGAAGAGCGTGTCAAAAATCCAATATTGTGGAGCCAGGACACCGTTCATATGAATGTGTTGGTGTTTCATCAAGGTGAATGCTCCACAGTACCATAATTGCATGACCCAATGCAGAATGCCATGTACCCAGGAAAAGCGATAATATAAGAAGATGCCACTGGGAACAATAGTAGTGAAATATAGCAAGAGATGTGTCAACATGACAACATCGGTGGGAACGCGTACGACTCTCTGGGCCCATTTTTGATAGGGCTGCAAGACATAGCGCTGAAGAGCCGCAGGCAGCTTAGCCCGAAGCACAGGGGTATCCCAAAACTGGAAGATAGTAGGATCAAAATCAGGATGCGATGCATCATTCATGTCCTGAAGTTTTTGGATGACATCTTCATCACTAGGTTTTGGTTGTGATGATGACGATTTTGTCTCCCCTTGTTTGTTGTCAGTGGGGTAACCTATCAGTAAGCGACCTTGGAGGCACTTACCATTTGATCCTGGTTTATCAACGAGTGTGTCGAGGACCAGATGATCTGCGATGGTAAGCTCAGGATCCACGTATGTAGCGGGATCCATGCTGGGCGACTGAAACGATGGGATCTTAGCATTATTATTTGGATCGCAACTGCAGGGTTGGCACACACTCACGACGATAAGCGGAAGCTTCGGAAACGCGCTATTCCATTGAAGTCACTCGGAATTTTTGACAGAGTGATGTAGATCGGAGAGAAGAAAGATAACTAATTAATGGGCTGAGCAATTCAACTTCCGACTTGTACTCTCCTCGAGGACAACGCGTGGCCAGGGGTGGGAAGAGTTTTCCCGTGCTCAGTGTGGGTCCGAATAAGCTAACACTTTAACAATCCGAGTGAGCTTGCGGGGGCTTGACTGTGTATATCAATTCAATTTAGGTCATATTTAATACAAATCGCTAACATAGAGACAATAATCAAAAATTAAAAAGCTATATGGTCGCTAGGTCTTGTCTCTGTCTATAACACGGTAAATCGCCTGCATTAAGGGGTTCCTTGGGAGCTACTCCGCGGTCGGAATGGGAGCTCGACGGAAATGTCGTCCCCCTGAACATCCCTAGGCTGCCACAATAAACAAAATCCACAGTCAGATGTTTACAAGACATCTAATCAAGCATTGTTTTGCGTTTATTCGGTTTTTTGAGTATTGGAAAGGGATCTTCTAATTTCTACAATACAAGCACCAATGGAAGGTCCCAAACACCGCTGATTTTCTACGAATCATAGGTTCTTCATGCAAAATACTGTAATGCTTTCTGCGATTGCACATCCCTGCCTTAAAACATGACCTCACAATACGTACGTACTGTACTTTACGAGCAGGGGCCTTCTCACTAAGCCGAATATAGTAACCAGCTCACCAATCGACATGGTTTGCTCTATTGGCCTGATCTGTAAAGCTCTCGTTCTGCACGTTGACCGATAGAATAATCAGTGCACGATCAATACACAGGCCGCAAGCTGATGTTGGCGAGGATAGCCTTAGATCATCTATCTTTATTCGATACCATATCAAAAATTGAAACGCATAGACTCTATATTGAGTCACATAGAGAGCTGGTCGAGGAACGAGGACGGCTGCATGGAAATATTTCAACATGGATTTAATCGCTTTTAAGCTTATATGCTAGTTCGCTTATATGCTGTGCAAAAATGCACACACTTCTACATGTATGTGAACTATAACCACAAGAGACGAGAGTTGTGTCTACATAAAATAACTCGCACGTGAAGCCAAAATTAGCAAGTCACTTGATGGCAATCTCTCTCAACTTTCAAATGCCAACCTGAATGCCTCGCTTTGTTTCTGATATAGTTTTCGGCGGGAGTTCGAGTTTGGAAGTAAGACGGAGCGGCTCTGTCCTGGTAGAACCTACTCTATTTGAAATATATGTTCGGTAAATGACCTAGTGCTACAAGGCTCGTTATAGTATGAATGATCCTAAATTAGTTCTCCCGTTACTCAATCTGTATATTGAAATTCACAGGCTTATGCATGGTAGCCAGGATGCCCTAGGTAATACTCTGAGTCAAGCGCAGAAAAAATACCATCAGCCTTGCAAGTCTTGTCGATACATTGCTCCACGATAATTCAATATCTCTGGCTGTTGAAATCTGAGATCATGATGACTACGACAAGAGCAGAACCAGCCGCTGGTATTCCAAGCATGCTATTACACTGCTAGGGGTGACATCAAGGTAGACAGACGACCCGTTATCTCCTCAGGTATCCGCCTACATAAACCGCTTAGCGTCTTAGGCATCGGACCACGGTCTGATCAATCGACTTATCGGTACTTTTCCCTGTTTACCAGTCACCGCCACCTCGAGTTCGTGTTTGGATGAGCTCATTTCGGGACTCGGCACGGGTGCGGAGATAAACGCCGGTCTTAAAGCGACATCCATTATTTGCCGAGCGCGGGGCCCCCACGATTTAGGTACATCGTAGTCTGATTAATTCTCCCCATGCACGTTTGTCCTGTCATAAGGAAACGGTGAATATTGCACCCATATTCTTGGCCCCATGTTTTCCCCCTCACTGAATCTGCGGGCATGAAGTTCTTCATTCTTTCCAATTCTTCGCGATGACACCCATCTCGCGCATATTGTCCCGTGCGGTCAATAAACCATATCGAACGAAAGATCTCAGCGATGAAATACCACCTACTCTTGACGAAAATGGATATGTCTGCTTTGGTCCGGGGGACATCGAGAATCCTCGGAATTGGTCGATGCGCCGCCGAGCTGGTGTGACAATGGCGGCGGTGCTTTTGGTTGTCAATGCCACATTCGCTTCAAGTTCGCCGAGTGGATGTTTCCCATCCATCTCAAAGCATTTCGGTGTCTCCACTGAAGTTGCAGGGCTGACAATAACCCTGTTCCTGCTAGGGTATTGTGCTGGGCCCTTGATCTTTGCCCCGCTGAGTGAGTTTTACGGTCGCCGATGGATCTTCTATATTACCTTTTTGCTCTACCTCGCCTTCAACTTTTTGTGTGCATTCCCGCCGAATTTTGCAAGCTTGCTGGTCGGAAGATTCTTGACAGGAACATTTGTGTCGGCTCCCTTGAGCAACTGCCCTGGTGTTCTGGCTGATGTATGGAATCCGCTCGAGCGTGCCAACGCTATGGCTGGGTTCTCTGCCATGGTCTGGATCGGGCCTGCACTGGGGCCTGTGGTCGCAGGTTTCCTGGAGTTGAAAGAGGATTGGCGATGGAGCTTCTATGTGCTTCTCTGGCTAGGCGCAGCATCGGCCGTCATAATGTTGACAATTCCCGAGACTTACGCACCAATCATTCTGTACGACAAGGCTCGACGGATTCGCAACGCACAGATGCCCGGGTATGAGAATGTGAAGGCACCGGTTGAGGACAGTGACCGGACGCTTGTGGGCATCTATAAGGTCGCTCTCACTCGGCCGTGGATCATTCTGTTCGACCCGATCTCATTGCTGTGCGCGATTTACATGGCGTTCGTCTATACCCTGTTGTACATGTTGTTCACCATATACCCCATTGTGTTTCAAGAAAAACGAGGCTGGAACTCTGGTGTTGGAGAGCTGCCGTTACTGGGCACCGTTGTTGGTGCTGTATTCGGAGGTGCCGTTGTTTTAGCAGACACTCGGATGCGCCAGAAGCGCATCAACAACGGCACAACGACAATGGAGGATGCGATACCGGAAGACCGCCTACCGCTGGCGATGGGTGGAGGTGTTGCCTTCGCCGTGACCATGTTCTGGTTTGCATGGTCGGCTGAATTCAAGTTAGTGGGCCCCAGGTCCGGAACGAACTATGGCTACAGCAAGCTGACCTTAATATAGCTCTGTCCACTGGATTGTACCCACCCTTGCAGGAGTTTTCCTGTCGAGTGCCCTGTTGCTCATCTTCGTCGGGTTCCTGAACTACCTCGTGGATGTTTATCAGATGTATGCTGCATCTGCCATTGCTGCGAATACAATCGCTCGTTCTGCTTGCGGAGCGGCAGCCCCTCTTTTCACATCTCAGATGTTCACGGCGTTAGGCGTGGGAGGGGGAGGCAGCTTGATCGCGGGCGTTGCTACCCTATTAGCCGCTATCCCTTTTCTCTTCTATAAGTATGGGAAACACATCAGATTGCGGAGCAAATTTGCCCCGACTAGCAACAAAGAACAGCCATTGGAAGAAAACAAGGACGAAGAGCGTGGCCTAGGGAACGGGCTTGTCAGCAGTGTCTCAGCGACGCAGTAGAACAGCGGTATTCGAGTCATAGAGCAGGATGTGAACATTACCAGATGTTTGAAGAAAGAACATAACAAATGAAATCAAAGAGCCTTTCAAGCTAGAGTCATATGAACTGTTTTAGATTAGAAATTAGAACCCGTCAACCACCCCGTTCATCTTGGCAATCCAATCTTCGAGAAGATACACATATATATTACTGGCTAAAGAATCTCGCAGAACTGATATCATCCCGCGGTACTCGTGGCCGCCTGCATGGCCCACGCACTATCAAAAGGATTATTACTTGGAGGTGGGTATCAAATAGGGGATATTAAAGGCATGGGAAATATAGACATGGAAGTTTATACTATGTAGTATGAGAAATCATATTGAAAAAATGTCTCACATCCCCTCAGTCCACCGCAGAGTGTCCGCCTCCTTCCATGCCGAATGTGGGGGAGATCTGCGTCAACATCACACATGAGTGGCGCGAGTCACGGTGATCATGATCAGCACCTTCCAAATTGCCACTACTAGCTGCATAAATAGGATCGATCCTGTCGCTTATGTCTCACAATCGAGTCCTGATATTAGGTCTTTCAGGTTACTATTCCCCACATCACACCTGGTTTGCGTGGGGGAACAAAGTCGCATGCAAGATCCAACACCTGCTGCTCAAGACTCCAGATTGAAAAGGGGACGATACTACGCTGAGCTGGTGAGATTTATATAAGACTATTGCTCTAGGCAAACATATAAAGCAGATCTCCTAACCTCGACCGACTGCAAACATTTCGTCATCCACAAACCACTCGAAACTGCAACCATGAAGTTTCTAGCCAGTCTCGCAGTCCTGACCACGGCGGTCATGGCCAACCCTGTCACAAGAGATACTAACCAATTCCACTTGAAGACCGCTGGCGCTACAAACGCACTTCACAACGATCTCTATGTCTACGCTTATCACACCGGCGCGGGACTCAATGATGCTGTGCTAGACAAGGACGACACCAACGCCGCCCCGTTCTACCTCAATGGCACCTCAGCCTTGGCTACTCTGGGGACTGAATTTCCTTGGGGTATGAGTGCTAACGGTGACACAAATTATGCCTGTAAGTGTATCCGATCGATGGTCTCGTGTCAAGTTTGTGAAACTTGTTGGCTAATGATGAGGTTCATACTCGTAGCGTGGGAGCCAATTGAGATCAACGCTGGTGAGGGATCTAGTGGATTCTCCATCGACAACGGCAACTTTGTGTGGTCTGAAGCTGACGGCTTTGGTGGTTGGCTCGGTGAGCAATGACCGGATCAGTCATCTTGATGTCTGTGAATAGCATCGATAAACTGACAAGTACTCTCAACACAGTGTGTGACTGGTCCCACAACGCACCTCAGCTGTTCTACTTGAACCGCTACTATCAGCCGACAATTCCTTCCAGCTGCAGCACGGCACAGCTCAATGCCATCTACATCAACTAGATTGGCTGCACCAACGAGACTGAACTCCTGGAAGGGGGATCTGATGAGTTGGTCACAGATGTCTAATATTGGCCCGCTTAGAGGATAGTTAATGAACATGATATCTTGACACTTTTCATACATCGTCAAAGGAAGCAGGTATCTTTATGAAGCTGCAACCGGAGTCGGAGTAGTCCCGTAGTAACGACGATCCATGCCTGCCTGCAAGCGAGCTTCCTCGTTGAACGGTCCCTGAATGCTCCCCCGGAAATGTTTTGAAACGTTGTCACGGAAGACTTGTACCGGGTCTGTGCCCTCCTGGGCACATATCCAGGTCAACCATCGATGGCCCGTTGTAACGTGCGTGATCTCATCGTTATGAATAACCTCCAACGCCTCAACGCTCTCATGATCTCCAGCGTTGCGGAACTTTTGAATCGTCATGGGATTGACATCAAGGCCTCGAGCTTCGTGAACCAAGGCGATGATACTAATTCTAGATCTGAGATCGTGTGCCGTTTCCGTTGCAGACTGCCAGAGACCGTGGTGTACAGGCAACTCGCCAAAATGAGATCCCATTTCCTCGATCCTGGTACGTAGGAGAGAAAAGTGCTTGGCCTCGTCGCTTGCGACCTTCAGCCAGTCATGGAAATATGCCCGGGGTAGCTCTTGGGGAGACTCTTCGGTTGTCTTGAATGTCGAAAATCGAACGCAAATGTCGATTGCTAGATCGATGGCCCATAGCTCGATGTTGGCTAGTGCATGGAGCATTGCGATTCTGCTTTTTAGAGACCCGCCCTTCCCAGTTTTAGGCATGGCGCCTGGCTTCACTTCAACCATATTCTCACGCGGGGGTTGGTCTGGGGCGGTCACTGTACCCCTTCCAATGTCCATAGGTGAGGAAGTTCCTTCTCTGGATGTGAAAATGTTGTACAGGTGAGTGGTCAGTTCAATCTTGTGCTCTGGATTAGCAGTGCTCAAAATATGAACAGCCCAATCACACAATGTCGCGTCGTTACTAAGATAGCGCGCCATGCCAGGATCTTCTTGCTTAGGTGCAGGTGCAGGCTTGTCAGAGGGTCGCGGGTGCTTTAGCTTCACTTTCTCGCTGACAGGTTCGACCTTACCCAGGCCGACGGAAACACCGTCTTCGACTGGAAAATCTATCGTCACAGATCCATCGCGCACGTCGACAGGAAATGTGCAGGCTTTGATGCCCACACTCGACTCTCCCGTTTCGACGTTGAAATCATATGCGTGCCAGGGACAGGATACGACGTATGCTGAATCTTCAATGTCGACCTGTGAGTCGGCCATGGGACCGCCAGCGTGGGGGCACTCGGCCTCCATAGCGTAGTATGACCATCCTTGGGTCTCATTGGATTTTGAGCCAGACGGGTCGATAGAGGGTAAGCGAAATAAGACCAGTCGCTTCCCAGTGGATAGGTGGATCACATATCGTGTCCGAGTAAACTCTGACAGGGAGCCACAGTTGATAAGCATATTGGGTCTCTGTGGCACGGGATAGATCATAGACGAGCTGTTTGAATTCGAAAGTTGCCGCTCGATGCCTCTATCGGACAATTTTTGAAGATCACGTGTTGATAAGCAGGTGCCTCGTCCCGCCAGAGGGCCAAAGCGCAAAATCGAGTTTGCCGATCCGTGGTTGATGAGGAAGAGACTGAAACGGAGATCAAAGGCCAGGTTAAATCTGAAGTAAGATTAAAAATTACCTCCGATCGTATAAAACGTCGCTTATGGTCAACTGGAGTCCTTCCAAGTTTGCATCTAAGGTTGCACTGTTTCAAGTCTTGATTTGAGAGTCATTAGGCAACTTGTTCAATTTCCGCCAAAGATATGTATCCCGTTTTGTGGATCAAGCAGGTACGGTGAACAAACATAATGCTAGCATGTTGCCTGCATGGCTGTTGCAGTTGCTCGCCCTCTTCCATATCTACAGAGAACATTCAATACATATTGTTGGAATACCGATGTGGTCAGCCTGTCTTTCCGGAAGCACCAAGGACCAGGATGATAGCAGGTTCGGTGCCTGTGCAGATTAAAGTTGTCAATCCATGGATCCACTGGTTGCAGAGGCAAAGACTTGGCCCGTTTAGGTATATGGACAAATTCAGCTTATAGCGGTGGTGCTTGGAATCGGAATGGAAGGTGCTTAATTCCGGTAAGTAATCACTAGTTATTCTCAGCTTAGCTGACGCAGAAAAATATATACTAGTTAACTATCGGCCAGCCAATGTGATTAGAACTCCCGTGTTTGATGTATGTAGAGTCACGTGTTGGTCACGACTCCCTATTTAGGGAGGTCTGTGCAAGAAACATGGATGTCTTACATGATACAACTAACGCGCTTGACCAGGACTTGCAATTGATCCATGAGGATAATCAGCCGCAGCCCCTCGAAAGTGGATGTATCCATCGTGGACCATTAAGGATGGTTCCACGAACATGGATCAACGTCCATTACAGTAATAGCATAATGACCTGCGATGATCGGAGGAGCGCCGAATGTTGAACCTGGACGCCGAAAACAAAAAGCTTAGCCCGCTAGGTACTTTCAAACTTCGCTCGGTAGGAGGCCTGATTATGCAGCCCGAGCCTCCTGAAGTAAGTTACATACAGTATATATTTGACACTACATATGATGTTCCTCTTCTCCAACTCTCCAGCCTCGGGCCAAGCGAATGGCTAGCCGAGGGTTAGTAAAGAGCCTTTCAGCTGGGCGGCACCCCTTTCTAAGTCCAGCGGACTAGCGGAGCCGTGGGTTTGCGGGGAAACCGAGGGCGGAACTTCCCCGAAGATCTCATGTTCGCATTGAGTTTTGACTCTCCTGAGGCGCTCAACGATGTATATCGATGCGAATAATAACGACCAGACGCATCAGCGAATAGACAGAAGCACGAGAGACTATCTCCCGTGCTGAGCTAACGCATGCATGGGACTGACATGGCCGGCTGGCAGATGGACGCCTGGTCGATCTTCTCCCAGAACGAGCCGAGATCGGGCCCTAAGCGTATACAAGTGGATCTACCAAAGGAGAGGTAGCAATACAGTCAAGTTCTGGAGCTACTAACTAACGGCCGAGAGTGACTCAAAAAGTTTACTTATTATTATTATTATAAATTTTTTTCGTTTTTCGCGCTGGTCACTCTTGGCTTCGCTGACTTTTTTTTTTCCCTGATCCTCGTTTCTGTTCGTTGGTGACTCGTGCATATATAATAATCGGGGTGGCCCCAGATCCTCGGACTTAGCGTCGTAGTAGCCCATCCCTGCAGTCCGCGCTGATCTGCATTTCGCTCCTTGCGAGTCCGCAGGCCCGAATTATAATAATAATCCATCCCCTCCTTGTCAGAGTCTTGACATCCCCCCCCCCCCCGGCCCCGCCCCAAAAGTGCCTTACAAAGGTGACTATTGCATTGCATACACCATGGGCTTCCTCAGTGAGTTCCCTCCGATCGCAGAGATCCCCTGCGCTTGTCTGTTCCATGGCACGCGCAATGCTGTCCGTTGTTAGGCTTGCATTGATCACGACTGACTTTTCTCGTGTGCCCTATCGCAGATTTGAACTCGGAGAAGCAGGTCGTCGATGCTCCTCAAGAGTACGATCAAGACCTGCCGCCGCTCACCAACACCACCGAGCGCAAGTTGATGGCCAAGATTGACTGGCACATCTTGCCAGGCTTGTGTGTCTTGTATCTTCTTGCCTTTTTGGACCGGTATGGATCATGCGCTCTTCATCCCATGTTTTGCGACGCGACGCGCTGACCTTTGAACTTTCGTCGCACAGTGTGAACATCGGTAATGCCGCTATTCTTGGCCTGAAGACTGAGCTGGACTTGGTTACCGGAACGAAATATAACACCGCATTGACGATTTTCTTCGTGCCGTACATCCTTCTCGAAATTCCGTCTAACATTCTGCTCAAGAAGTTCAAGCCCCATGTTTGGTGTACGTTTGTCGGACCCTAGTGCAATTGACACAGATAACGGACAGGCCATTGACTTAACTTTGATGTAGTGTCGATTTGCATGTTTGGCTTTGGTTTGGTGCTGATCTGCCAGGGTCTGGTTTCGACCTGGGGTGGATTGATGACAACTCGATTCTTCTTGGGAGTGTTCGAGACCGGCATGTTCCCAGGCTGTGAGTTTTCAGATCTCTGGAACATTGTTTGCACTGCGCAGAGGTACTGACCTAGATTGAACAGGCTTCTACCTGCTGGGCATGTGGTATAAGCGAAGTGAAGCCCAGAAGCGTTTCAGCTTCTTCTTCAGCTCCACTTCCCTTGCAGGCGCTTTCGGTGGTCTGCTGGCATACGGTCTGGGACATATGAATGGTGTTCGTGGCTATATGGGCTGGCGCTGGGTGTTTATCATCGAGGGCCTGATCACCTGCGTGTTTGCAATCGTCTGGTTCTTCGTGCTGCCCGACTTCCCTGAGGATGTCAAGTGGCTGACTGATGAGGAGCGCGAGTATGTGCGCGTGAAGCTGGCCAAGGACGTCGGCAAGTCCGCTCACCACGTCAAGACGGGTTGGCCTGAGATCTGGGCTGTTCTCAAGGATTGTAGGTGCAATTTTGGCCGTTTGGTATTGCGCGAGATACTGACCGTTGGGATACAGACAAGGTTATCATTGGAGGCTTTATGTACTTTGGTCTCATCGTCCCCGCATACAGTTGGTGGTCCTTGATGAAATTCCGATGACTTGTTTATGAGGATCTGACTTTATCGACACAGGCTATGCTTTATTTGCACCCTCGATCATCCAAAGCTATGGATTTTCCGGTAAGCGCATGGTGTTCCTTTGTCAATCAATATCTACCTCTGCTAACCCTCGTCTGTTCCAGCGGTGAAAACGCAGTTGTACTCTATCCCACCTTGGGCAGCGTCATTCGCATTCTCCCTGGTTATCGCATGGTTCTCCGATCGCATGAATTTCCGCTTTGCATTCACCATCATTCCGATTTGTTGCGCGATTGCCGGTTTCGCCATGCTGTTCAACATCCACGGCGTGGCGCACCGCTCAGTCGAGTACGGCGCACTGTTCCTGGTCACTTGCGGTACCTACGGTGCTATGCCAGTCGTGGTCTGTTGGTTTGCGATGAACCTTGGTGGTCACCACCGACGCAGTGTGGGCTCGGCCTGGCAGATTGGGTTCGGTAACATTGGTGGTATCATTGCGACTTACTCTTTCCTGGCCAAGGATGCGCCGCTCTACAAGCCAGGATTCAGCATCTGCATCTCTTTCTGCTGTCTGTCTATCCTGGCATGCATTCTTTATGCGATCGCACTGGTGTATGAGAACCGGAAGCGTCAGAACACGCCCGTGGAGACACAGCCGCCTTCGTCGGAGGAAGACGAGTACCTCGGTGACTTGGCCCCGACCTTCCGGTACCAGCTCTAGTCGATGTCATTGATTCGGGACAGATGCTGGTCCACGGCCTTCCCACGGTCGATGCGAACCTTCCCGATTCTGTGGCAAGACTGGGGCATTATTGCCTTTCTCTGATATATGAGCTACGAAGCTTCAATCAAGAATGCCTTGAACATACATAATATAAATAAGCCTTACCTACATAATAAACTGTGATTTTTTGTCCCCATTGTCCTGAAATAATGCAATATATTTTCATGATTCCACAGGCTGTGCCTTTCTTGCTAGTTCCATGACCATCCACGATGGAAACCCTATTTCCACTTTATTTCCCCAAATCGTTCTGTGTGATGCAATGGGTCACGTGGTCAACCATAGGAATGCGCCAAATTCGGCTAGCGGCTCGCTTAGCTGAGTAAGCTGCCCACTACACAAATGCCTCGCGGGATCGCCTTACTTTTGTCTTTCTTCAACCATCTCTCCTCATCCTCGCAGAATTGTGAGTCTCCTGCCCCTCTCCAAAAAAATGTCCTTCGGCCTGGAGAACCAGTTACTAACCTCGCCACCCTCACCAGACCATCTACGAAGATGAGAGCTAAGTGGAGAAAGAAGCGCGTCCGTCGTCTCAAGCGCAAGCGCAGAAAGATGCGCGCCAGATCGTGAGTCCTTCCCCGCAGCCGACACTGAGCTTGCTTGGAGCTTGCTTTGGTGGCATTGTGCAATTGGCGATGGAAATTTTGATACTAACGGCCTCGCCAGGAAATAAACTACTCGCCCCCTCCATCTCAGCTCCTCAGGTCGAGGCTCATGTTTGAACGCTGAACACGACAATTGATGAATCGATATCACGACTTCCTCGTTTTTTTATCGTTACACGCCTTTCACCCAACAAGCTGCCTGCTCGGATATGATCTCCGTCCTATCCTGTTGAAGAGATCACCGTTTGCCCGATGGAATCCGCCGTTCAAACAATTTCCGTCTTCCCACACTATCAACTCATCGGATTCGTTTTAACGTCGGTCGAACGCATGCCGGACATGGTTTTTCAAGTGGCCCCCGCTTGGATGTTTTGCTTGGAGAGGCTCCCTCTGTTTGGTCGAGGGTTGGAGGACTAGTTATCACCTACTGGTCTCGTGAGCTCGGCACTGGGGTTCTGGTCAAGATCCTGCTCATTTGTTTCCACATACGGCACTTGGAACTTGTTCCAAGGGTCGGGAGCTATGGAGAGGTTTTTACCGAGAGTTTAAAAAATTACTGAACGATCGGTTCAATAGCCATAATAGCCATGAATCGATGATCTGAAAAGTACTTGTTTCCCTGTCAACTCGAATAGCTTTCCTGTAAACATGCATAGCTTCGTAGCTTAATTCTTGTCATTTCCGATTTCCTGTGCCAATTTCGATTTGTGCGGATATCTTCTCACCGCCTTCCACATCTAGACCTCTAGGAGATTTTTCTGCCACCGACTTGGACATTTATTTCATCGAGATTCAACGGCCGATCATTCGAGCTGCACCACGGAGATTTCCGAGTAGTTCTGCCCTGAAGTCCTCGGTCGCAATGCCATCAGACAAAATTGACAAAAAGCGCAAGCGCGCATCCGATCGCCATGAGCGGCCGACCAAACAACCTGCTCTGCAGACGCTGCCGACACTCGCAGCTAGTGTTGTCGAGGACAAGAGCGAGCTGGCGCCGGTAATTGGTAGGTGAAAATACTTGCGAGAGTGATTCCCTTCAATTGCTAATCTTTTTCCTGTACGGCAGCTACTACACCCGGCGTCCTCAACTCAAAAGGCCTCAGCTTCAACCCATACATCAAGACCCGCCAGGATGGCGGGCGGAATGCTACTCGAAACCCTGGCATTGTTTCTACTGAGATGCTGCTGCAGTCATCTGAACACCAGAAGATGGACTTTGTTGGTCGGGAGGGAACTGGTGAAGATGCGGACTCCCAGTTGAAGCACTACGTCGCTGTCGTCGACCCGGAGCGCAAGACATGGCAAATTATCGAAGCACGACGAGTCACTGTTCGCGGCGCTGTCCGGAGCAGGAAGCCTGAGGAGGATGAGGAGGAGTCTGATGAGGAGATGGTATGCGTCTATAATTCGGTGTATAAAGTGGTCAGATGGTATATACTAACGGGACTATAGAACACCATGCGCGCCCAACGCACCAACCTTACCAACACCTTCGGTACCAAGCAATCCCGCAAGGCGGTTCAGTCCATGGCCGAGAATGCCCAGCTCTCCAGCGCCCCTGCCGGCACTCTCAACGAGGCCGGCGCTGCCCTCATTTCCTCACTCCCCGCAAATGTGGCATCCGGATTGGCCAAAGCCACCAACGTTCAGGCCGAGGTGCAAGCAGCCAAGCCCTTGCCTACACCCGATCTCAACGCCGCTCACCCCTCGGATGTTTACTCGATCGAGACCCTGGTTCCTGGTGGTCACTCTACTCTCCGTCAATTGACCGGCATCGACGAATGGAAGGAGCAAGTCGAGGCTGGGCTCGGCGTTGTCACTGGTTCCCGATATGTCTCCAATCGTGTCGTCGCCGTTGCACAGTCCGGAAACCCCACGCAAATCCAAGTCCTCCGCTTCATTCAGCTATTGCTCGAGTTTACCCGTTCTCTCAAGGGCATGGGCCGTGACAAGGGCGCTGGCCCGGGTAGCAAGAAGCTCCCTCCTCGCGACGATCTCCGCAAGATCCTCTCCAGCACATCTGGCGCATCCAAACCCGGCAAGGACGAGGAAGATTCTAACATAGCACTCCTGCCCGACTCCGTCGTTGATGCCGTGCGCCGCCGCTTCGCTCCTCAGGGTGGTTTCCTCTCCAAACACGACCTAACCCTCCTCCACACCACCATCTGCGCTCTCACCTTCCACATCCCCCCGCAGCCCGCCAAGGACGGCGGTTCCAGCTCTCTGGGCGGCAACTCGCCGAACGAGCTGGCTACCGACCCCCTCAGATCTGCGTGATGATCTGCGTCTTGACTCGAACACTATCCAGCAATACTTCCGCGAGTTGGGTTGCCGGATCGACAAGCCCCGTGAGTCGGAGTTCAGCAAGTGGAATATCAAGGGCGGAAAGGCTGAGGCTGCTGCGCGTCGTATTGCTCGTCTACGCGTTCCTCTTGAGTTCCCTAAGGTTAGCCGTGGCGGTCGCAAGTAGATGTCTTGGGTTGGGGGTGTTTGATTTGTTCGTTGCAGCGGTTCGCCTCGACTTGTAAGTCGGTGGCTAAAATTCTCATGTCGTTGTGTGGTATATCCGGCGTTTTTACTTCTAAATGTGTCATATTTTTCAAAATATTTTCATATAAATGACACTTGTTGCATCTTGCAGTCGGATTTTTAGTTCAGCCTTCGCGTCTGGCCCTTTGTCCAAGCCTACGGGATTCTCCAAAACTCGCCTGGTCTTGTATCTCGATAGTTTCACATGTTATCACAAACCCGTCATTGCTTGTGAGGTTTGTACTAAACTTAAAAGTACTGAATGGTACAGGATAATCTCGAACAAACATATCATCCGTTGAATTGGCTCGCGATGCAAATTACCCTAGTCTGAAAACACATTATCCCAACATATGACTATCTAGACAAACGGATCCTCATCCACACCCACCCGACTCGCTCAACGACCTGGTGACCATGTCTCATACGATCCGCCTCAAGCTGCCGTGCAAACTTGCTCTTCGCCCGAATATCCACGAATCGATTGCATAGCATTACTCAAAAATCAAGTACTAGAATCAATACCTATAGCTCAGTCAATGCCTCTCCCTCAATATATCACATAGAACCAACTCCATATATCCCACCATCCAACCCCCAATCATCCTATATACTCACCCAAAAACTCCCCAATAGCCACCAACGCCCTCTCCATCACCTCAGGATCAACAGTAACATGCACCCTCACATACCCCCGAAAATCCGCCTCCCCTGCACCACGAGTCCCAAAGCAAAGACTCCCCGGCGCTAACAAAACCCCCTTCGCGACCTTAACAGCCCTACAAAACTCAACATCATCAACCGGCACCCCCATTCTATCAAAAAACCTCACAAACCCCGTCCCGCCACCCTGCGGCTTAACCCAGCTACACAATCCCGCGTGTCTACTCACAAAGCTATCCAGCAACGCGATATTCCTCCCTGCAATATCCAAATGCTTGGAGCGAATCTGCGGGCGACATCTATCACTCAGCGCCTCTGCCGCGATGGCAGAGTCAATGGAACTCAGTGCCATGATCGTGTATAAACCACGATCAAAGCATTGAGAGAGAATGGCTGCGTTTTTGGTCGCGAGCCAGCCGATCCGGGTCCCTGATAGACCCCACGCTTTGCTCATGGAGCTTGTGACGACGATTTTATCTGACGCGGTTGACAGGTCGATGAATGAGGGTGGTATCTGTGTCTGGTGGGTATTATCGTGGAAGAGCGGGCGGAAGATTTCGTCTACCAGGAGCGTGAGACCGTGTTGACGGGCTAAAGCCACGATTTCGGATTGCGTTTTGAGCGGGAGGATAGTTCCAAGTGGATTATTGGGGTTATTCAAGATGATCATTTTAGTCGTTGGTTTGATCGCGTCTTTTAGGGCTTGGATATCGGGCTGTGCTTGGTTCTGCAGATCGAGCGTCCAGTAGGAGACTTCTACCCCCGGGACGGATTTGGGGAGGGAGATGAGCTGCGTGTAGCAGGGGTACATGGCGATGACGTGATCTCCGGCACTTAATAGGTTCTGGAAGACTAGAGCGTTGGCACCGGTTGTGCCGTGCGTTGGGAAGATGTGCTCTGCGGTGATGGTTTCATCGTATAAGGCGGCGATTTGCTTGCGGAGTGGTTCGCTGCCTGCGAATGGGCCGAGGTTTAGTTTGAGGGTCTGGAAGGAGAGGTTGGCGGTGGTTGTTTGCTTGTCGGTGGAGAGATCGATTAGATCTTGGATTGAGAGGCCTGGGGTTGCGCTGCCGGCTAGTGGGAGCGTGATATTGTCTTTGTTGGACTTGATCCACTGGGATTGTGTTAGCTGTGTAGATTACTTAGGAGTCGTAGGGTTCTGATCGATGTACCTTTGGGAGCGCAAAGGGGGCGAGTTCAGTCATTTTGCAGAGAGGTCTGTGATCCCACAGAGTAGGGGAAGAGTATCTCTTGTTTTTATAGACTCGTTTTGGTGATTCTTCATGACTCATATTCCAATGTCCATGTCGAGTCAACTGCGGGACTGGTCGATTCCCCGCAGCTCGTGTTTGGGATCCTCATTCAGTCAACATGAATACACCCAATCTCATAGAACACAATTATTCATGCCTTCGCTCCAGCCGACAGACACAAGACAAGAGTCTAACATGCCTACAGTCCTACAAAGAAGAAATGAAGTATGCATCCCCAAGAACCCATTTATATTGCCAAGGCTTATCACTGCCATACCAATCACGACACGCAATCTGTGTACATAACCACAAAATTATCCCTAACAATAAGGGCATAAAATGCACATCAACAGCAGTTCTGTCCCTATGCATAGACTCGAAGATGCCAACACAGTATCAATCAAGTCAAACACAAGGAACAAAGACATGACATGCCAAGACAAGACAAGACTTTAAAGAAGGTGGTCAAGGGAGAACCAAAAAAGAAAAAAAACTGAAATATGCCGGAAGATGCAAACCATCCCCTGCGTTTATGTTATGTTATGTTATGATATTATCAAAAGAGTGGACAGGCAACCACAACAAGTCGATCGCCCCAAACCCGAAAAGAGTACTCAAAAAGCAGAGCTTAAGCGGCAACGCCGACGGGGGTAGAGGCGATCGCAGAGTGCGCGTTGCTGCCCAGGGGGTAGCAGTCTTCATGGCCGGGAAAGCAGCCTTCTCGGCGGTCTCGGCGCTCAATTCGCGAGCAATAGAAGACTCGAGAGGCTCGGAAGCATCCAAGCCAAGCTGGGTGTTCTCCCAGATGGGCTCGTTAGCAGCCTCGGCTCCTTCGACGCCGACGCCGACGAAGCCGCCGATGGCCTGCCAGTCGCTGGCGCGCTTAATGCCCAGGTCGTTCCAGACGGCCTGCACGGCCTGGACGAGGTGGTCACGGAGCGGCTTGACGTGGCCAGGGGTAGGAGTAATACGCAGACGCTCCTCGCCGCGGGGAACGGTGGGGTAGTTGATGGCCTGCACGTAGATGCCGTGTTCCTCGAGGAGCTTGTCCGAAGCGCGCTTAGCCAGCTCGGCATCGCCAACCAGGAGGGGCACGATGTGCGAGGGGTTGGGGATGACGGGAATATCCAGCTCCTTCAGAGCAGACTTGACAGCACGGGTGTGCAGCTGCTGAAGGACGCGGTCACGGGGGTGCTGCGCCTGGTACTGAATGGCAGTGTCGGCGCCGGCCATGGTCGCAGGGGGTAGAGAAGTGGTGAAAATGAAACCAGGTGCCAGAGAGCGGATAGTGTCCACCATGTTGGCGGAAGCGGCAATGTAGCCACCAACGCAGCCATACGCCTTGCCCAGGGTACCAGTGATGATATCAATACGGTCCATGACGGTGCCCTTGGTGCTCTTCGGGTTGGCCGTGTCCTGCGAGGCATAGGCATCGTAGTCGAGGTGCTCGGCGACACCAGCACCGTGGGGACCGTACATGCCGACGGCGTGGACTTCGTCCAAGAAAGTGATGGCACCGTACTTATCAGCCAGATCACAGATGGCTTCAATGGGGGCGATGGATCCACACATGCTATAAACAGACTCGAATGCGATAATCTTGGGAACATGAAGAGGGAGGGAGGCCAGCTTAGCTTCCAGGTCTTGCAGGTCATTATGCTTGAAGACCATCTTCTTCGCACCGGAGTGACGAATACCCTGGATCATAGAAGCATGGTTCAGACTGTCCGACAGAATCACACAGTCGGGCATCTTGCTTCCCAGAGTCGCGAGAGTAGCATCGTTAGCAACGAAGCACGAACTAAAGACCAATGCGGCCTCCTTTCCGTGCAACGTGGCCAGAGTATCCTCCAGCGCGACGGCGTGCTTGTTGTGGCCGGAAATGTTACGAGTACCACCAGCCCCGGCACCATAGGTGTCAAGAGTGCGGTGCATCGATTCCAGGACCTGCGGGTTGCGACCCATGCCGAGGTAGTCATTGGAGCACCAGACGGTCACACGCTCCTCGGCCGAGGCCGTGTGGGCACGGGGGAACTCCTTGGCCAGACGGTTGATGTTGTTGAAGTAGCGGTACGACTTGTCCTTGTGCTTCTTCTCCAGTTCACCATTGTAGAAAGCATCGTAGTCGAAGCGGGAAGTGATCGGAGCAGCCGGGCGAGGGCCGCGGACCGCGGCTTCGGTGGCGGGAGTGGGACGAAGAGTGTTGGCAATGTTGGGATGAACTACAGCAAAGCCCCGTCAGTATACGCTGGATTATGGTTATTTCCAATTGCCGATCTTGTGTTACCTTGCTCGTTCTTCTCATAGGTGCCGGGGGCAAGGCTGGCGGGATGACCCCCGGTCGTGTGCAACGCACGCTTGCCGGTAGGAGGGCGCAAAGGCTTCACGGCGGCAATGCCAGCGGCGCTGGAGGTGAAACGTTTGGTGCTGCTCATACGGGCAGACTGCACAGCCAGAGCCTTGCTCATGACAGGGCAGCGGCGAGCCAGGACCTGGAGGTTGGACATGGTACCTCCCCCGGTGCTGGGACGAGTAGCGGTCGAGAGAGTGCGCAGGGTGGTGGGAGCGGTGCGCTTGAGGAAGGGGCACATAGCCCGGGACTGCTGAAGCATTGCCTCCATGGTGATGAAAATTGGGACCCCAGCAAGACGATTGTGATTGTCGGGGAGGTGTAGAGTGAGAGTGAGAAGAATTGAAGATGTTCCACGATAAATGGGGAGTACGGGGGGTGCCGGTGAAAATCGATTTGGGGCGGGGAGCCCTGGCTGACTCATCCTGAGCTGACAACGAACGGCCTCTGATTGGCGGGCACGGGCCGCGGCCGGGCGATTTGGCCCAATCGGGACATGTGAGAGGCGTGGTATGGATTAGTCATTGCCCTCGCGGTGAAATCGGCCCAAAGTCGGTTATTTCACTTGTACAGGCCTGGAAAGACTTCTCGAAGCGTCTGTACCGGGAAATGAAGATTCTCGTGGCTGAACTCTGTCTCCGCTGTAGACGGAGAAAATTGCAACATTCGAGAGACTGGCTGCATGAACTAACTTCCCGATTGGGTATGACTATCTTGTAATACCATATAACTTGGGTACATCCAATAGTTCTCAATGGACTATCCAGTAGAATACTCTCGAGATCTATTTACAGTACAGAGTAGATAGTCAGTGGACGCCAGTCTCCGCGCAAATCCCGGGGAGCCTCCAACCAAGCCCATGAGTCCACGAGTCCTGACACATGCGGCCACTCGGAAATCTCGGCCCGCCACCTCCCAAATACGACTTTCTGCCTTGGAGCCTTGAACCATCCCAAGAAAATCGCCGAATTTTGACTTTTCGCTATCGTTTCCCCCTGTTTACGGTCGTTTAACCCCATTCGAGAGAATTGAGACAGAGACACGATCTCTGGCTTGACTGGAGTCCTTCCAGAAGTACTGTCGTTAGTACGTAGTCTTACTCAAGTGCGACTGTATATGAATCCAAGAGATGACATCATTCCCCAGTTGCCATCAGATCGCTTACTGTGGCGCTGAAGATGCTTCCTGTCGGAGGCTCCGACGAATCGTGAATGGTCTGAGATAATACGGAGACGATTTTCTTTCAAGAGAGTATGATGTGTCTACTAGCTCTTGACAAAGTTCTAAATAAAGAAGTCATATCCACATCTGCCTTTACGGCGGTAGACTACTGCTTCTAGATATGGTCCAAGTCATACCATTATCCTACCAACACCTATACACCAAAGCAAGCGACCTACAAACACACCCTCATGCCAAAAAGAAACAAATTTCCAAAGGTAGACGCAAAAAGAAAGAATCAAGTTTTTCAAATCTATCACCAGTCATCTTTTCAATTCCCCCACCACCTTACCCACTCCCAATCACCCCAATGCATACAGCAGAACCCGGCACGGGATGTTCCAAAATTACTCGCGTAAAGGACATGTGTCACAAACGCCAATCGTTTCTCTCTCTGCCCGTCTGTTCATCTTCATCTCTTCCAAGGAGGTCTCCCAACGCGGGGGGCAGATAGATCAAAGTGTAAAGAGTTTAGGTCGATCAAGTAGTCGTATGGTAATACATAACAGAAGGGAGGGAAAGAACAAAAAGAAAAACAAGAATAAGAATAAATGGGGGAAAAACACATGCGCGGGAAAGTTTACCACACAAGCACCATGGAAGAAGAAGAAAAATCATCACAACGCCGTGGCCCATTTGCAGTATTGCAGTATTTGAAACAAGTTATCCCGAATTTTTTCAAGTGAGTCCGCCATCGCCGTCAATTAACCGAAGCCGTTCTTTCATGGTCTTTGCGCGTTTGGATGAGCCTGCTTTGCCCCCGCCACGACCACGACCGCGCTTCGCTGGGGTGACGGATATATCGGCGGGTGGAGTGTCCAAGTCTCCCGACATCGGGGTCGCAGTGCCCGACGGCTTGGCGCTGGCATCGTCAAAGTTGCCCTCGCCTGTGACAAGAGAGTTAGTCGACCATGTCAAGTAAAACGAGATCAAATGTGGGCGAGTTGCTTACCTTCATGATACATATCATCCATCGTGAGCTCACGCTTCCGCTTCTGCGTGGCCTTCTTAGCACCCTTGGCTGCACCAAAGGCTTCACCACGCTCCAGCGCCTCCTTCTCCTTCTGCTCAATGAGCTCCGCCTCATCATCGTCTGCAAGCCACATGGCGATATCCTTGGTGCGGTTCTCACGGGCACGAGTGTTGAAGTCGACACCACCAGCAGCACCACCAGAAATAACCACACGCTGCACCTCCTCTTTCTGCAGGGCGCGCTTGCGAATCCGTTCTTCGATGGTACCGCGAGTGATAAGACGGTAGACAGTGACCTGGCGAGTCTGACCGAGACGATGAGCTCTGTCCATGGCCTGGGAATCGATAGTAGGGTTCCAATCAGAATCGTAGAAGATAACCGTATCGGCAGCTGTCAAGTTGATACCAAGACCACCGGCACGGGTAGACAGTAGGAATACGAAGATTTCGGGGTTGGACTGGAAGTCGGCGACAGTATCGCGACGATCCTCCAGCTTCGTGCTTCCATCCAGCCGGCAGTACTTGTAGTTTCTGTAGGTCAGGTACTCTTCCATCAAGTCGATCATGCGTGTCATCTGGAAGTACAGCAGGACACGATGGTCACCAGCCTTGAGCTCCCGTAATAGCTCATCCAGTTTGGCCAGCTTGCCCGAGTCCGTAACGAAGCGCCGCATGGACGGAACCTCGATGTGAGTGTAGCGAGCCTTGAGCGACAGTGGACCTGGGAGCATTGGCGCCTTTGAGTAGGGAGTAGGATCCAACTTGTGTGTCAAGATTTGCTCCTCAACCTGCCGGGTAGAGGTGCCGTACAATGCCGACCGAACAATTGGGTTGAAAAGAGTACGTTGGGTTTCACGGCCGGCCTCTTGACCCGAGCAGGAGAGTGTAATGGGAGGCGCCGAGGCAGCAGGGGATGCGCAGGGTTCAATCAGGTTGAGGCCTTGATCCTCGAACGCCGAACGCGAAACATTCATCAAATTGCGCATCCGGCCCTCAAGGGTAATCTCATGTAGCGCCTGGCGATTGTTCCTGTCCACAATGTTCAACATGGACTGAGCCCATACCGACTTGCCAACAGACTCATTTTCCTTGTCATCATAGACGACATTCAGACGAGAAAGTCTGTTAGGTGATTCGCGGCGTCGAGTCGCGCGCTCGAAAACACCAAGACGGGAATATTCACTAGCTTCTCCAGCAGATGTATCGACAAATCGCAGGAATGAAAAGGCCCCGTTCTCACGAGAGCTTTCATGAACGTTTTCAGCGTTCCAAATGTTCATCAAGTTAGACAGATACTTTCCTCGGAACCCAGCACGAGCATTGCCGGGACCCGGTACATCCAAACGAGCCTCAGAGCTGCACAGTAATCGAGGAACCGGGTACTCAATCCGGTTCCTGGTGGAGTATCGGAGGTCGACAAAGTATCCTTCACGCACAAAGGAAGCACACTCCGCAAAGGCTCCCACGGAGAAGGGTGATCGGGTCTCGGCGCGTTCAAACAGATCGGGATGGTTGCAGACCTTACGGAACTGCATAACCAAGTTCATGAGGGTCGTGCTATCAGTGTCGTCACCAACGGCCGCCTTCTCAATGAGGTCGATGATGCTAACACGGTTCCGCAGGTTGGCATACAGAGCACGCTGGCGGTAGGTGAGGTCACAGAAGATGTCCTTCTCCATCTTGTCGCCCAGCTCTTGTTGCACATGCTTCTTGACACGACGAAGCATGAATGGCTTCAAGATCATATGCAGACGCTTGAGCTGATCCTCGTTCAGTTTGGTGTTACTCTGAGCATGAGACTCGATATCCTTTGAGAACCATTCACTGAACTCGTCATGGGAATCGAACAAAGTGGGCATAATGAAATGCAGCAACGCCCAAAGCTCTTGCATGTTGTTTTGAATGGGCGTGCCGGTCAGCAAGAGACGATTACGGCAGGAAAAGCCCAGCAAATTCTTCCAACGCGAACTTTGAGAGGACTTGATAGCTTGAGCTTCGTCCAGAATCATGTACTGCCACTTCACTTTCTGGAAATACTGGGCATCAAGGACGACCAGCTGATAAGAGGTGACCAGGACATGGAACTCAGAGTCGCGAGTGTAGGTGATATGCTTGCGGTCCCAGAACTTGCGAAGAATCTTACGATCCTTAGCATTGCCCCAATACGGCAAGACCTTGATGTTCGGAACGAATCTGGCAATTTCCTGCTGCCAATTATGCAGGGTCGATGCGGGCGCGATGACCAGGAAAGGTCCCCAAATGTTGTGGAACTCGGCCAGATAGGCCATGACGGAGATCGATTGAATGGTCTTTCCGAGACCCATCTCGTCTGCAAGGATACCGTTGATACCCTGTTCGTACAGGTTGACAAGCCAGTTCAATCCCTTCAGCTGATACTCCTTGAGTTTGGCAGTCAACATAGTCGGTTGGGAAATTTCAATGTCACCCAAACTGGTTGGGTTCTGGAAGTTCATCTCCCCTTCATCGAAGGCTGCCATCTGATCTTCACCACCTTGTTGGTTAAAGGCACGAGCACGGTCCTGAGCCTGCTGCACAGCGTTCTGAGCATTAGCCATGGCAGCTTGCTGCAAAACAGTCTCGTCTTCGGCATCAAAGTCCAGATCCTCAAAGTTGGTGACCTTGGCATTGGGGTTGGCAACGCTGTCGGGAAGGTTAACCGTGTGTGCCGCCTTGCCAGGCTGGATAGTCTTGTTGCTACCAGCAACGGTTCCGTCACCACTTGCTTCAGCCTCAGCAGTCTTGATCTTGCGACCAATGAAGTGAGAGTACAGCTCAGTCTGGGAGATAAGGAAGTTCAGCTTGCGCTTCTGTCGGTTGGCTTCACGTTCGGCCTCAGCCTTCTTAGCCGACTCGAGCTCCTGCTTCTCTGCCAAACGGCGCAAATCACGCTCCTCACGCTCATTGCGCTTCCAGAAGGACATCATCTCACGCATGGTACGCTTGGCACGAGCCTGGGTGTCCTTGGTGCTTTTATTCGTCCGCTCTTGCCACTTCCGTGACTGCTTGCTCGCCAGCTGGGCGGTCTTGCGCAGATTTTCTTGACGGGTAGAGAGCGACGTGGTCTTGATGCGGTAAACTTTGGGAATGTCCTTGCGGGCAATGTCACGCCAAATTTGCTCGTAGATCTGGTTGTAGCCCTTGCTGTCATAGTGCAAATGAAGCATCGGAGTACCCTCCTTGGATCTGACGTCTTTCTTCGCATCGCGAGGAGTGAGGTAGATGGATTCGTCGTCCAATCCGGCCAAGTAGGCATTCTCTGCAGCGTCCTTCTCAGCCTGCTTCTGCTCCTTGGATTTCTTGGGCCGAGTAACGGGACCACCACGTCCAGACCGGCGACGCGAGGGTGAACCCCGACCAATATGGAATGAGCTCGTGGTGCCGCCCTCCAGGTTGGGTGCCAAGGGAGTGACCTCCCCAAGCTCGTCCTGGCCATTCCCACCCTCGAGGGCCCGCTTGGTCGACCGAATCTTCTTCTGAGCACGCTCCGCCTCGCGCAGGAACTTGGCCTTCTCTGCGGAGTCCTGAGCCTTGTCGGCCTTGCGTTCCGCCTCCAGCTTCTTCTGCATCTCCAAGCGCACAGTGTTCTCGCGGCGGCGTTTCCGTTGCATGTCCTTCTTGCGCTCCTTTTCGTCCTGGATCTCTTTCTGCTGGACTTCGGCGATGACGGAACTTTCGTTATTGATCCGGAACCGCTCTGTGCCTAAAATAGCGTGCTTCTCAAATGACCGGGCCAATTCATTGAGTGCATACTTGCGACGACGCTGAACCAGAGTTAGTATTTTTGCAAACCTGTGAATCAAGGCACGGGTTGGACTTTACCTTGCGAGCTACTTGCTCAGCCCGATAGCTATCCATCAATCGCTTGCGACCCTTCTCTAGGTAGAGTTTCTGATCTTCCTCGAAGCCAGGACCCTCAAGGTCACTCTTCTCGCCATTGTCAATGTCGACCATGGCCCGGTTGACTTGCTCGACATCAACGCCAGGGGGCAAGGACTTCTTCTGGGGCGGGTGTGCCGCCAGCTCTGGCGCTGGCTTGGATAACCCATTAGGAGTGAAGATACCCTTTGGTGGCTCCGCGTGGGGTTTTTCGGTGGCTGGCCCCTTGTCCGATTTATGGTAGAATGTGCCTGGAACTGGGCCAGTTTCGGATGGACGGCTCTCTGACTTTTCTTGGATCTGGGGGGTGGGCGTGGTAGCGGAGGGTGGAGGAGTCGATTTCCTTGCCGGCTGTTCTTCGGTGGGCCCAGAGAGGATGCTCGCAAAGGACATGGGATCAGCTGCACGCGCAGGCTTCTATGTTCGGACAAAACACGGTTAGTAGTTGTCTTTGGTGGTTGATTTTGCAACCAAGGGTGATGGGTTGGAGACATACCGACTCCCGAGGAGGAGATGCTGGCTTTGGTGTCGAGGATCCGTATGCAACGCCATTGCCTCTCACGCGATATGGTGATTCTGACTCACGAGTGGGAGACTGCGAATGGCTATCCGGACGACTCGAAGGATGCCCATGCGGTGTTGAGGGCCCATACGGCGAAGTGCCGTTGCCAGACATCACGGAGCTCGAGAAGGGACGCGGAATTGGCAGCCCTGGATTCGCACTTGCCGAAGGACCAGGGTATTGGGATGAAGTCTCTGTGTGCGACGAGTGTGGAGGTGGAGCGGTCCCATTCAAGGGCGGTGGCAGGGTGGAAGGTAACGGCGGCGACGCGTGCGAAAAGCGCGGACTCCGCGGAACGGAGGATGGACCGAAGGCCGGAGGTGTCTGGGGCGGGTGCTGGGGGAATTGTTGTTGCGGCTGCTGTCCCTGGGGCTGGTCATTGTTGGGGAAGAAAGGCCGGTTCTTGGTCGGGGAGTCGTAGGCAGCGAACCGGTGCTGCTGAGTCGGGGACTGGGCGTTGTATGGCGGAGCGCCCGTCATGATGGCCGCGTCCCCGGCGCTGGACAAGCGCAGCAAGGACTAATGGATGGAGGGAGGAGATGAAACGAGATGAATTGGGCGAGGAGGGAGTCAGACACCGACGGTGTTGCCCATGAGACAGGTGTCAAGGGGGGGGGGGGTTCTTTCTCGCAGAGATCTGGCACGGAACGCGACGTCAACGTCAGCCGAGTAGGGTTGGCGATAGGAAAGAAACACCGAAGGCGTAGAGGCAGAATGGGAGGATGAAGTTGGGAAACTAAGGAGATGGAAGGGGGGAGGATGATACCCAGTTGGGATGATGAATTCGTTTGGTGGAGGGAAGATGCAGGAAGGATCTTTGTGGCCGCGGCGACCCAAGCAGAGAATGCGCGGCTGGGGGTAGGCTAGGCGAGGATGCAGGGGAGGTGAGCCGGACCGACGGTGATGTCTGGGGTGGATTGTAGTGGGATAGCGTGGATGAAGGTGAAGAGGAGGGAGGGTTGCGGAAGATGAGGAGGATGAAAGCAGAGTTGGCACGAAGTGGGAGGAAGTGGGAGGAGAAGGCGGGCAACCAGCTGGAAGCGTGACGAGCTGAAAGAGAAAGGGGGATTCCCTTCGACGTGAAATGCGTCTTTCGTCCGATGGTTGTTTCTACGGTCCATCCACCTCGGGAGGGTCTTCGGACTGCGTGGATTCAAGAGGTGATCTATTCTCGAGAAACTCTCACTAGATTATCTTGACTGAAATGGACTCTGAATCCTGCGCGAAGCCTCCGATGTGCTGAGGTGGCTAACTGGGTTTGGGTGCCGCCGTGCGAGGCGTGTCCAGACAAACGGGCGTGGAGAGGACGAGGGGAGTTGGGACGTGATCGGGTATAGCAGGACCAAACGAGCATAGATGATACGATAGTCGTATCTCAATTGACGTTATATAACATCTCTCGATCTAGTTTCTGTTCTCCTGTTCTCCTCTCTTCGTCCTCCTCTCGTCCGACCCTCCGGCTGAAGTTCCTGTCCATCCGAAAGCTTTTCATCGCGGCCGATCCCGTCTGATCCCTTTCCACGAAAGGACCCGAGTATGCGATTCGGATGGCTATCCCTCCTCTAGGTCCGAGATGGATGGGGTTTTTTCCCCCTATGTGCATGTGAGTAAACTATTCATGTTGCCAAGTTTCCCTTCAAACCAGACTCTGCGTGAATTAGCGCCACCAGCTCCGTCTAGCGACCTGGTCATCTGTGTCCGTATCCATGGCCATTAAAGTCGGCGATTGCGGGCCGCCAAGGCCGATCCATGCGCTGCACGTCCTTCGACTGGACACCCTCACCAAACCCCACTCAACATGGAATCGTAGCAGCCCAGGCCATGACTATATTCAACCTTCTGTATCTGCTGAACTTTTGAGCTGCTATCCCTGATTTGACGGCTTGGTACTCGAGAATCCCCAGAACTATCGAGTCGTCGGTGTAAACTGGCGATGATCACCGGAGAGAGCATAGCCGCATAGCCGCATAGCCGCATAGCCACACAGCCACATAGGCATCCTGGTATCAATTCGTCTAGAGTTTACCGACTTCCGACTATATTCTTATGACTGCTAAAGAACCATTCAATCAGACAAGAAAAGCCGATCTCTTCCTAGTGATTACAGACGCTTGGCGAGGGTTTGGTGGCACTTGTCTGGGAGCATCTGCGATGACATCTTAAAACTGCTGGACGGTGCCTTTCATGGACACAACATTTTAATTCCAGGATTTTTGGCTACGATACCTTGGATTACACCAAGTACTAAGGAAGAAGCCATGAAACGACAGTACTATTCATCCCATAGTAGCCGTTGCCTGGGACCGATAGTCACCCTCGTTCATTTTGAGAAACAATGACCAGGCATAAATTGACTGATCAAGGACTGGATCTGTTTGGCGTCTCTCCCTCCGACTAAGGACGACCCTCAGCAAGACCCATTACCTTTCGATGGGCTTTCTCTGCAAGATTCCTTGTTTGACAGGTCTTCTCATGATCCTTGCCCAGAACCCTCTCTTGTCGCTCGAGAGTTTCCTGAAAGATTATATCTGCCTCGCCATACCGACGCTGATGATAGAGTGACTTACCAAGCCACTGCATATTGTCCAAAGTCTCTTCGTGATCGGGGCCAAGCACATCCTGCAGCCTCAGCATAATTTGGCCAAAGATAGTCTCGGCCTCTTTATAGCGACGCTGACGATAAACAGATTGGCCAAGAAAGAATGGCGTGTCCAAGTTTAGGGGATCCCCAGAATCTAGTATTTTCTTTCCCCTCTGAACAGCTTGGCGAAATAGAGTCTCTGCCTCGCTGAACAGATACTGGTGATAGAGTGCTTTACCAATCCACGCCAGAAGAATCGGTGTCTCTTCGTGATCGGGACCAAACTCTTTCTCGATCTCCGAATGAGCTCGTCGATAGAGAGACTCTGTTTCGTTGTACCGACGCTGAAAATAGAGACATCTACCAAGCAAGCTCAGAGCCTCTACCATCGGGAGACTCTTTGGGCCTCGCGCTTTCTCCGTCTTTTGCAAAACTTGCCGAGCTACGGCCTCTCCGTCGTCGTACCGCTGCTGACGATAAAGACACTGACCAATCCAGTACAAAGATCCGAGTGTGTTTAGATGATATTGTCCAAGCACTTTCTCTTGCATTGCATGAATTTGGCGAAACATGGTCTCTGCTTCTTGGAACTGATCGTTCTCACAAAGGGTGCGAGCCATTTCAAATTGCTCCTTGAGTTTTGCAGGGCTGGGATTCGCGGTCTGAGCTTGGCCTTGAGTCGCCCCTGGTACACTAGTCTCCGAAGAGGACCTCGTTCACTTTTTCTCTGCCACAGTTACCGGTTTTTGGGTGGCTTCTATCGCATCTTGTGGTATCGAAGAAGGGGGAGTGATAACAGCAGTCCTCTCCTCATCCGAAGAATACCGTGTGTTCCATGACGCAAAGTCCTCAGTCGACTCTGCAACGGAAGGGGATTGAGAAAATTGGGGCTTGTTTTTCTGTCGTTCCGTAAACGCAGAGGATGAACCGGCTACCAGCGAATTTATCCATATGTCCGACAAAGCTGATACCGCCGTTATCCGATCCTTAGGATCAGGATGCATAAGCGAAATCACAAAGTCAATGCCTTCGCGGCTCACATTGGCATCGGTAAGTAGATTGATTGGAAACTGCTCCGGACGTTTATAGCCCGCGAGCGATCCGAGATTGGCAAATGTAGGTCTCTTTGTAAGGATTTCAAAAATGATCTCTCCTAGAGCCCAGATATCTGTGGCATATGCAGTATCTCGCTTGACGAATCCCCAGACCTCAGGGGCAAAGTATCTCGGGGTACCCTTTATCGTTGTTGATTGTCCGCGGCCTTCCTCGATGCGTTTGGTGATACCGAAGTCTGCGAGCTTGATCCACCTCTCGTGTGGAGAATGTGATTTGATGAGGATGTTCTAGAAATATCCTTAGTGATATGTACTTGTTATCTCTATGTAGAAAGAGTAAACTTACTTGCGGTTTTAGATCTCGATGCGCAAAACTGTTTTGATGCATCATACCGAGACCATCTAGAATCTGGTATGCAATATCCTTCGCCTCGGTCTCTGGAAGGGGAGGGGTTTGATGAAGATAGGTAAACAGATCGCCGATTTCGAGATATTCCATTGCTATGAAGAGCTGGCTAGGTCCCTCGTACCAACCAAAGGACTTGACAAAGCATCGTTTGTACTGCGCAAATTAGTATATCTCATTGTAAGAGAAGTTCTCAATGGACACCAACACGAGCATGCGAGAACTTGGCAATAGCCTCCAGCTCACGATTATAATCAATCTTGCCGAGCCGCGAGTCCAGATCAATCTGCTTGACTGCACGCACAGCAGCAGGACCCGTCCGCGACCCCCGAGTACATGTCTCTAGCCAGACGGTACCGAACCCCCCACCACCGATCTTCCTTTGTCGGCGCCAGTGCTCCGTTCGGGTTACGAGACGTTGCCGGGAATTCGGGTCGGATTCTTGAAAGGTGTGAACTGTACAGTCTGGGAGGAAATTAGCGCCGAGCTTTGAATCAAGAATCAAGTCTGAGACTCGCGCCATTTCACCCGTGTGGTGAACAATTCACACGTTGGTCTGGCGAGTGTCCCGCGGCTGAAAACAAGCCCCCTCAGCATGTCACCTGATACGATCAGAGCCGCCATCATGTGCTGTCCACAGAATCCTACCATCTTACGTTCATGGACAGCGGCGCCAATAACTTTTTACCCAACTTTGGTCCCCAGGGTGGAGGTTTGAAACCGGCTGCCGCAACCTCATTGAGGAGGCTCGGAATCAGGCACCAAAATTCCTGCCCAGGTCTTATATACAACCCAACAAGTCCAGGACACAGACTGAGCTGCAATTAAGAGCAGGTATGCGTGATGTATGCCGTGTGATGGAGACGGGGCATAGGTTTGGAAGCTCTTAGGTGTTGAAGATAGTTAACTATGAGGCTATGAGGAAGCTTATAGTCATAACTTTATGCTTTGGGCCGGGACATTCCGTACCACGTTATGACCGCCAATCCTGACAAAGCTTGTTGAGGCCTTGAAGCCTGAGGCTTCTACTGTTGTACAGCTTCTTCGTGCTACGCTGATCATATTACAGGACATTTATTTCTTAAATCGGGGCCTGTTCTGTGAAGAATAAGCTCGTCAAGCGATCATATGATAAAGACAGGTTTGTCATTGTGCCCAGAGCATCGAAACATACAACACAGGGGCAGGTCAGCTTTCTAGATGAAGAGCGGTGCCATGCTGATAGAGAAGTATCACTATACCATGATAGTAACACACAAGATGGAAGTATAAGTCAAGCCTCTTGAGTAGGTTCTTTTGTTAATTTTCTTCTGGTTAGAAAAGAGCGTGGGTTCGGATGACAGCGTATGCAAGTATCGAGGGGCAGGGATTGGTCTTATATCCACCAGTACTGGAGCCGAAAGAATCATTCTTCTTAAGAACATGTTTATTTGAAACAGATTCATCATCAAGTCCCATCAACTGATTAATGGCTTTCGGTGGTTGATTAGTGGAAACGTGCAAAAGGACGAAAATGACGGTGTATGGATTCAAGTACATATTGTGCAGACATGATTCCCCCAAGGTGCACGGTCCCTGAGACAAGTCTTAAAGTTGCTATTCAAACTTTGAGTCAGTCTACAGTAGCGACTGTTATTGCCTTCCATGTTTGGAAACATATACTGTACTCTTTCATACCCTAATCACAAAGCGCTAGACCAAAAAAGATCTGGTTGTAATTATCGATTTTGTATTTACGAGGTAATAATACTTGCTCCTGTACAATACCTATATGAAAGATACAAGGGTCTAGAATCAGAGGCCTGGATTGACTAGAAGTCTAGAAGGTTCCGTGCAAACTGAGCAAACTAGTATTTGGCAAGTTCTCTCCTCCGTCTCTCGGTTGCTTCACTGCAGGAGGCCTGGCGCGTCCCTGGGTGTCCCATTTCGGGTCAAGTTGATAGGCAAGGCTGGATAGTGAGATTTGATTATACCACTTATCACCATGTGGCAGCGACTGGTCTTATTGGGCATCGGAGATCCGGTCTAACCCCTTACAGATTTTGCCCCTCACCTAAAGATTCCCATGATGATCGATGCTTATCAACCCCAAATGGTCGACCCATAGGACAAGAATTGGCAATGTGGCTCCACACGAGCTCTGTGTGCGGCGGCAAGTGTGAGTGGAGTGTATAGCTGACTATTTCCTGGTGTGTGAGTTACTTTCAACCTGAACTTACATTATCAACGCACTAACGACTGTAGTTCCTGCCTTTGGTTGCTTGTACCGGACCATATCAATCAGGTGGCAATAGTGGTCAGGGTAATAGTGGTACTGGTGGTTGATTCGATCCTGCATACTCTGCATACCTTGGGCTTTCATTTCGGGCAGCTAAGAGTTCCTTCGTCAGCAAAAGTGACGAGTTTCGCTGGAAGTTACTGTCCAATTGCTTGATTGTTTTAGTACTGTCCGAATGTTGGAACTATGCATTGTGAATAAGTACGAATTTGGCCAGCCATCTCCCGCTACACAATAACCCGGGCTCCATTCCGGTCTTCCCCTTGTGACTTTTGATCCTTGCATTTTTTTCCCTTGATATTCCCCAGCCAAGAAGAGAAGCTCCATATTTCCTGCTGTGGAAGACGACAGCTCTCGCACCAACAACCCAATGCGCGCGTAGGAAACCCTGCCTTCTTTCTCTCTCTCTGTGAACCTGGTCGTAACCCTTTTGGGTCTAATATCTGAACCAAGTCGACAAGGAGGTGTTGCAGCACTCGGAGGGTATTTTCAGCGACCCCTTCTGGCCTGCGGTTACGATGCGCGCCAACAAGCGCAAGAATGCCATGGGTAACAGGAAGGAACCATGTAAGTATTTCTGCATCTTCCGGATGATCCCGCGCATTTCTTGAAATTGCGGATCCGTATCTGCTGGTAATGTCCTCGGCCTTCTTCCATTTTTTGGAGAACTCGGAGTAGCCCATGCAGAGTAACTCGCCATCCTTACCGTCTTCCCTGACAGTCATGATCTCGCCTATGGCTCTCTGGTGGCCTTTGAATAGTATGAAGAGGGGGACGTCAGGCTCCGGGTGCGCCCAGCGCTCCCAGAACTGCGCGTTTTCCGCTTCCGGGTGCCAGCCCGTGTTCAGGACGTCTGTAATACTGTCCAGTACCCCGATGAACTTCTTGGTGCGGCTGGGCTGCTTCTCCTCGGTGGTGAATGCAGTGAACTGTGCTTGTCGCCGTAGTATATTCGTCCACGCAAGATACTGGCCGACCAAGAAGGCAGTATAGACAAACATTGCATCTTGGTACACTTCTGACAGTCTAGCGAAAGAGAGGACGTTTCTGTCCGGGTGCGTTCTGTCAAGCATATTGAACAGCCGGGACTGGAGATCTTGGGCAGCTAGCAGAAGCGGTTCACGGTATTTGCGAAGGAGGCTTTCAGCCTCACGGATGGCTTTGCGTTCATCAGTTCTATACGTGAACCACGCACCCAGTCCAGCCACACCTATTGACGTGACTAAGGAGATTATAGAGACAACTATGGCGGCGACGTTGAGCATTGCTATGCTTGGATGAAGTTGAAGAGAGGTAAAATAGCGAGTTCATGTCAACACATGCAGTGACACCCTTTAATTCAAGAGGTTCGAGTTTTAATCTGGTCGGACGTCAAGACTTTGCACTTAGGCACACCCTAAGTGAAGTCAGTTGATCAACCCAACAAAGAGTTGCTTGACATTGAATGCCCTTTTCCGCTTGCGGATATTCGATCTGTCGACAATATGGCGTGGTGCATATAGAGTCTATTTTGCCCAAATCCCCACAACGGGGGGTTCTAGACCTCTAGGTAATATTTCTTGTCCGTAAACCGCACTTCATGCTTTCTAGTTCTAAGCACCTTGACTGTCAATTAAATACTCGCCGGAGTTCAGCGGCAGGAAGTGAGTCAAGTGACAGCTTGCCAATCCCTTGACGTCTACTCCGGCTCTTTTTCTAGCTTAGTTTTTCATCTGATACTCTGTAACCATGGGTTTTATAGCCTTAAGCCATGCATGTTGCTATTCCAAAGTCAACCCAGTGTAGAGTAGAGGATCTTTATGTTACAGTTCAAGAAACCATTAAAGAGAGGCGTGATAAAAGCAGTTACGGAATGTACTGTATTATTTGGACAATGATCTTCTCGCTGCCAAGAATCGATGTATTTCGCGTTTTTGCAGCGGATGAGGTTTTGAGGAACATGGGAGGAGCCAGAGCAACCAACTGTGGAGACAGCGATTTTCTGTCTGTAACAAGACATGGATATACAGCTTACTCATGTTTACTCGTTTTGTGTTATTACTATTAAAACGGAAAACCAAGCAATAAATACGGATCTATCCATTTCGGGATTAGCTAATCATGTGACTAGGTGTTGAAACAATGTTTCTGTTTCGCGACATGGAAGGCAATAACGGCCGGCACTGTAATAGTTGGCTAAGATACACTTTCATATCCGTTACTCTCCTTAGGTTAATCAATTATATGGCCTGATTTCCGGGGAGCTCCATCTGCGGATAAGCTGGCCGATGGTGACGTCCTCCACTCCCATCACCACTCGATGCCAATCCCCAATGCTCCCCCCAATTCCAGGTGTTCCAGCGCTATAGTGCCCTGTAGCTTCGTCGACATGACGAGTCAGTCCCTGACGTATGATGATCTGACCATGATTTCAAAATCAATGTCTTGCCTTTCTCGGAGAAAACTCCTTACGGTCGGCGCATGGCGATGTCTTTAGTTTCGGCCGAAATCGCTCCCAATGCGACCGGGATGTGAGATGATAGAGATATTCGAGTCGAATGCTTTCTCAAGCGACGGATCATGACATAAATCTGACTCGAGTTATGACCCGGTCGCTTCTTCTACATTGGGCATAGGTATATGACCGTATGACGAGTAGGGTCTTGTTGTGTCACGGAAGCGGAAGGCAGCTTCGATCGTGAGATGTGATCTTCTACCGGCCACCACCCATAGATCAGGAACCATTGGATAAACCGGAGAGATCGGTGGATATGAATGGACCAAGCAGTGGCTAGCTGGCCGTCAACGAGCCATCATCTCACTCCGAGCAGACACTCTCCGAGGCGAATCCCGCCAAGCCGGGTTGCTTGCTTGTTGCCATCATCGACATCGCCGCATGTGGCACCACCTCCAACGCGGTCTTTGTACATTTTCCCCTTCATAATTGAGAGATTCCTTCTCGATTGTCCCTCCGGTTCATTTTATCTGCTCTTCCTCCACATTTTTCCCCACTCTCCACCCTCCCCATCTCCATACCACAACACAACACACCTCATCCTCACCCACCACCATGGCTCCTCAAATTCCTGAGAAGCAATGGGCGCAAGTCGTCGAAAAGAAAGGCGGTCCACCCATCTACAAGCAAATCCCCGTCCCCAAGCCTGGCCCCGATGAAGTTCTGGTGAAGATCAAGTACTCCGGCGTCTGCCATACCGATCTCCACGCTATGAAAGGCGACTGGCCTCTTCCCGTCAAGATGCCTCTGGTCGGCGGCCACGAAGGTGCCGGTATCATCGTTGCCAAGGGTGAACTGGCCGAGGGCGTCGAGATCGGTGACCATGCCGGTATCAAGTGGTTGAACGGATCATGCCTGGCCTGCGAGTACTGCAAGACCGCGGATGAACCGCTTTGCGCTACACCCCAGCTCTCGGGTTACACCGTCGACGGCACATTCCAGCAGTACGCGATTGGTAAAGCTGCCCACGTTACGATCCTGCCGAAGGATATAGCTCTGGATGGGATCGCGCCGATTCTCTGCGCTGGACTTACGGTGTACAAGGGACTGAAGGAGTCCAATGCTCGTCCTGGTCAGACTGTTGCGATTGTTGGTGCTGGTGGTGGTCTTGGTGTTATGGCCCTGCAATATGCGAAGGCGATGGGATTGCGCGTTGTTGCTATCGATGGTGGCGATGAGAAACGTGATTTGTGCAAGAAGCTTGGCTCGGAGGTAATTCACACCCCATTTTATTTTTATTTTTTTTCGTAGATCGAACTGACATTATTAGGCCTACATCGACTTCACCAAGTCCAAGGACTTCATCTCCGATGTCAAGGCTGCCACACCTGATGGCCTGGGTGCACACGCTGTGCTCCTGCTTGCCGTCTCCGAGAAGCCCTTTCAGCAGGCCGTTGAATACGCTCGTCCCCGGGGTACAATCGTCGCTATCGGTATGCCTGCCAACGCATTCCTGAAGGCACCCGTCTTCGAGACTGTTGTCAAGATGATTTCCATCAAGGGCAGCTACGTTGGTAACCGCCAGGATGCTGCCGAGGCGGTCGATTTCTATGCTCGTGGCTTGATCAAGGCACCATTCAAGACTGTTCCTCTTGAGGATCTCCCCAAGGTGTTCGAGCTGATGGGTAAGTTACCAACTGAGATTTTTGCCAACTGAGATTTTTGCCAACTGAGATTTTTGCCAACTGAGATTTTTGCCTTCCAAGTTACTAATACGTTTGTCACAGATCAAGGGAAGATTGCTGGCCGTTACGTTCTTCAGGTGCCAGAGTAGATGGAACAACCGATGATGGTGCCCTAACAACATATCAATGAGCATGTTTTAGTGAAGAGCACATTTATTCATCAACCTGCGAGCAAGAGCTGGTGTTACGCAAAGACACTTCGCTTCAGCCTAGCGATATCGATATCTAATGAGAAACGAAACTTGAATCAAAAATTCCATTCCAAACATATCTAAAACACTAAAATACTCTGTGCATATACCCAAAAGCCTTAGTAACTACTGCACTAACTCTTCTCCGAGTCTGCTGCAACAGCTTCCGCCTCCAACTGCTTCCCTTCATCCTCCGGCGAAACAGTAGTCTGCGGGCCCTTGAACGTTTTCCTCGCATGAACATAGTAATAGAACACAGCTCCCAACCATAGAGCACCATTGATAACAACAGTATAGTTCATATTCCCAGCTGTAATAATCCTCAATGTCAGCAAATACCCATCTTCCTCCACTACTCAATCAGAAAAAAAGTCACTTACCAGACGGACTCGGCCCCCCATTAGGAATCATGCACAACACAATCGCAAAAAACATATAAATAACAGCCGTCCACGCAATCGGCTTACTCAGATACTTGCCCGTATAAAACTCTCCCGGCACAAATTTGTCCTGGCCCCAGAGTAGACGGGCCAGGATAGGCGTTAGCCATGCGAGGTCGTTTCCGGCCACGGCGAGAGAGAACAGTGCATTTGCGGCGGCGTTGTCAATCAGTGAGAGGAGGCCGATAATTGCAGAGGCGCCGATTACACCGCACACCATGCGGACGGGTTGGTAGCGGGTTAGGCTGCTTTGACTGACTTTGCGGAAGAAGGAGGAGAAGGGGGAGGGCGCCGTCGCGGGAGAAGGCCCAGCTTTGGCGGGATGCTGCGAGGACCTGGAAGGATCTGTTAGAGGGGGAAATTGATCATTGGGTAAGATATACACTCACGATACTCAATCCCATAAAGTATTGAACGGTCATGACTACCGCCATAAAGCCGAGGGCACCGTTCTTACCCAGCGCATCATAGTAAATCTGTCCTGGATATTAGCCTCCACCTAATCAAAGACAAAACCATCCACGTCGGGTCAACATACCTGAGCCATCGGCTGCCCAAAATCCGAATTCAAAATCCCCTCAATATCCTGGCTCATCCCAGCCGCAATAACAGCCATAGACAAGAACCCCAAAATCCCACACATCCCCGTCGAAGTAATAATCCCCAAGGGAACCGCCCGCGCCGCATGAGTAGCCTCCTCACTCATATGCACGCACGAATCAAACGCACCAATCGTCCAAATAGGCGACAACCACGCCATGATAAACGCCCAGCCGGTCGGCCAAGTCGTAAAGTTCTCGACATCACCGAAGACGTAGGAACCCGAGTTAACTGGGGGAGCATTTTTGGCTTTGCCCACTGGCAAGGCGATGGCTGTTGCTACGACGAGGCCGATGTTGAGGAAGATGCAGAGGGATTGGATTCGCGGCATAATTCGTCCGCCAAATGTGGCGATGAGGCCGTGGGAGACGACGGTTGCGACGTAGGTGCCGTAGATGATGGGTCGTGTTGCGGTCCAGTTGCCGTCGCGGGCGATGGAGACCATTGAGAGGAGCATGTTGGCGAAGCCGTCTGGATGGGAAATGGTCAATGGAGTTTTTGGGAAATGGAATGATAGCGAGTGATCTACAACGTACAGTCAATTGAGCAGATACCTCCAATGAGACCGATGGTATTGCTGTATCCGACAACGAAGCTCAGTGGGTTCTTCCACTTTTCGGCGGCGAAGTAGTGGGTCCAGAAGTATAGACCGCCAGCAGTGGGCATGGCGGATGCCATATCAGCCTGTCGGTAGATAGTGATCAGTCGGTAGTTCTTGTAGTGGATGTAGGTTACATTGGGTGTGCTTGAGCTTACCATAGCCAGACTGACAATAAAGATGAAGAAACTGGCACACAGCCATCCTAGGAGTTATTGTCAATGATACTAGTATGTAATGTCTGGATGGAATCGTTCCATACCCTAAAGACATGTTAGCTTTTCCGTCCCAATCAATGGTTCAATCCAGGGATAGAATTACCCAAACCATGCCCACTGGTCCAGCTGGCATCGAAAATGACAAGGTTGATGCAATCGACGGCAAAAGACCCATGATACTAAAAGCAACCGCGAAGATCTGGACGGTGGAATAGTGCCGCCGCAGTTCCTGCTTGTAGCCCAGGGTCGCTATCCATAGTCAGTCTATCTGGTTTGGAAACCCTGTACCCTTCTCATACTATGGGTTAGAACATGACAGGACGTCACTTACCCAGCAGCTCCGTATCCCCGACCTCTGCGGGGGTGTCATGGTCAATTGCATGTGCCGATTTCGCATCGCGCGAGAGCGATGGTTTCACCTCGTCCGCCATCGCGATTAAGATCAAGTTATATACAGCGAGATGATTTGATCAAGATGACAAGATCCAGATGAGATAGATAGAATGGCACTCAGACAACGTCAAAGGGATTGAAAACAAAATGGTAACCTTCGAGGTCGTGTTACACGCAAGGGGTGAGCCAGAAAAAGAAAATAATAGCAAAAGGCTACTATAATTCAAAGCTGCATACAAGGCCGCCAGCCGAAAAGTAAAACGATCACATTCCACGATGGGCGATCCCACGTCCTTTAAAAAAGAATCAAACACGAGAATATCTCAAGACTATCTTTCCAGAAAAGCATAGACCCTCGCGCAAAAACCTGCGTCTGCTCAGCCCGCGCTCATCATCAACACCCCCTCCCTCCGGTGTAGCCGATAACCCTATTACCTAGGCTGTACGATGGTTGGAGCAGGTGAATAGGATAGTCCGTACGGAGTACAGATACACAAGCGAAGCGGGGACGCGAGGGAGAGAGCGGGCGAGTAGGGTTTGAGTGGCTGGAGGAAACGTCGCAATATGAGGGTAATCATGCCTGGATTGAGTTTGGCGTCGTTGGTGTCATGGCCAGATTCATGCGATACCCGCCTGGACGGTTCTGTCGTGTTTGAGATAACAGTCCGTGGCGCGTGTTCCGGTTGGTAGATAAGCTGCTTGGTCGTGCTTTGAAGTAAGTTTTATCTCACGATTAGAATTATTGGCTCGTGTTTGTTTATTGTTTTTTCTCTCTTTTCTAACCTAAATAGGAAATTTCTTGGAAATGCGTATCCTGTTAATTCTGGCGAGGCTTTGCTTATCTGTTCGCTTTGGATAGGTGGAGCTTACCCCAGGAAACTCGGAGCTTTTAACTTCATTCAAGTGGGGTTGTCAAGTGGGTGCGGGCTACAGTGCGCTGTACTTTAACTTTCCAGGGCTAGTCCAGCAGTTGACGCAATTAGAGCGCAGTGATTGCGTTAACGCCGGTGAGATAGTACTATGTGTATGTACAATTTTGCATAAGATACTCGTATAGGCTGTGGTATCGCTCCTTTTCTCTCGTAATAGTCATCGTCAATATGATTTAAGCATCTACTATAGGAGCAACGCCAGCCCATAAGCATCCGACGCTTAGAGAGGGGACCAAGACTAGGCAGACATGTTCATCCACAAGAAAACAACACCCTATCGGACTGTTATTATTGTTATTCCAGATGAAGACGAGTTCTATTCTAACCTAGGACTATCTATTTGGGGTTATGGTTGCGATGACGGCAAAGTCATGTCATGGCGATAGATTGTCACGATCATTGCAGATTCGAACATCAGCCAGCCATCCAATGCTCCAAGGATGATTGAGCCCTTGATCAAATTTTATTCAGAAGAGCTAACCCCTACTTGAACTTTAATTCAAGAAGCACATTGTGACGACTTGCTGACCCTAATCAGTATTAGTTGGTATTAAAGTGTACAAACCAAGCCTATTCCGGAAAACCACTCTCAGGAGCCGCCTACTTTTGTAGTATGCTTAGAGTCATTTCTCTTCCTCCTCTTCCTCCTGACCTTCTTATCTTTCTTCTTATGCCGAAAATCTGACCAAAGATCAGTCTACTATTTCAAATATCCCGCAAATTTTCTAGTCAACCTGTTCGAAGAACAGCCACATGACAAAGCCAAATACTATTGCCAGAATGTGGAAAATCACGCAATTACTGCCTAGGAATCTACCTTTCAATACGACAGCCACTATGGCATGTCATCTGTCACAATAGCCGAAAAGCCCTTGCCTCGGGATTACACACGAAGGCGACGAGACTATGAACGACGTCTCTGATCCCATCAGTCTAGGTAGAAATATCCTGAGACACATCAAAACCACACCCAATCTTGACATTGGAATCATAACTGTTCCTATAAACGGTCTCAAGACAACCCTTTTCATCACTCAAGGTGAAGCATACAGCTACGAAATAGCGCACGTAGGATTCAATCTAGCCCTAACTTTCCACCACCTTGTCAATGATATAGACCGACTCGCGACGATTCTACACTTTCACGGCACCACTAAAGACACTTTTCTCGAAAATAGAATCCTGAAGCTCCTCTCTGACATGATCTACGGTTCCAACAAGATCGAAAACGCAGGCGCAGATCTCAAACACAAACGTCCACTCTGCTTGAAGGTATTCCGGGGCGATGATACCTTCGAAAACGACCTCCAAAAAAGCGACAAATACTACACGCGTATCCAGAAGCAGCGTCTAGACGCCAATCTTCCTTCGTGTCATATAGATATCTTGCGCAGTCATCGTGAGATAGTTCAACATGCCAAAGCAGCAGTTTATATAATTAATAAGCTCTGCATCGACGGCGAGAATCCCACAGAGAATATCATTCTCGAGACCTATCGTATAGTCACGTATAAGGTCGGCGCCGAAAGTGCATCTTGGTCAGAGTATAGCGGTGTATATCGCACAGACGACGTGAGCGCGGGTTTCCACACGTTCGCCAGTCCCGAGAAAATTCCCGGTAAAATGAAGGATATGATTCACCAATATGATTCAGAGATCGGTGATGTGGTCAAGACGGGGATTATAGACCCTAGCATGCTTGCGGCCAAATACTCGCATATCTTTGTCAACATTCACCCCTTCTTAGATGGGAATGCCCGTATGTCTCGTTTGATTTTGAACTCTATCCTGCTGAAGCTCGGGATTCCCAATATCTCTCTCGGCAAGACGGAGAGTGCTTGTCGTCTCTATAAGGAAGTTGCGTCGTCTGCGTCGCAGATGGAGGATATTTATAATGGTCGTGAAGAGGAAGAGAAACCGGTGGCTTATAAAGAGTTGGCGAGCTTCATTTTGAAGTGTTCTGCGTATCAGATGGGCAAGGCTTTAAAGGCTGCTATTTAGTGAGCCTGAGCATACCAGAAAATAAATCCAGTTGGCACTTGACATAGGAAAGTCCTCTTTGCGCATAGTGAACGTTAGAAGTCTATCTAGAGGGAGGTCTGTAAAAGAAGAGTTGGAGAAGCAGTCCAGAAACACTTGGAAAGACGTTCTGAAAGAGAGATCAAAAGATGTCCTGACCGTATTTTGAAAAGGTTTCTTTATCTCGACGAAGAGACTGCAGGAATCACAGCGCACCTGCATGACCTAGAGTACTTTGGCCAGTATTCAAATCTCAAGTCTAAACGAAATGTAACGGACCGATCAACCACAGCCACCAGGGCCAGGACAAATCCAGTCCAGCCATCAACAAGAGAAGCTACACTCGAAGAAAAACCAAGAATTCTTAATACGACAATGCAAACCCAAGCACAAACAGACAGGCTAAATATACATTCATATTGTAGGCACACAGACGAGCCAATGCAACGGGGAAAAGGAGAAATGGACGAGCCTATCTGTGTATCCGCCCACTTATCCCAAGGTATCAAAACCGACCAAACCAAACCAAAATAGAAAGAAAAAAGTTCTCAAGCATTAGACCGCACCGGGTCCCTTGTGATTCGACTGGTCAAGCAGTAGTTTCGGCTTGATATAGTCTTCGTCGAGTTGTCGGAACCAGGCGGCGTGGTCGCCTGAGGCACCGCCCTGCCAGAGGTCTCGTAGGGCTTCGCGTGCGCTAAGGCCTGGTGGTTGTCTGGCGGGTGAGACGCTGGCCGATACGGCGTTGGGTGATGGCGTATGCGTGCCTGGTGAGGGGTGGGAAGATGCGCGGCGGAGGCGCGATGCACTGCTCGCAGCGGGTGGGAGGTCGTCGTCTGAGAGGCCATCCAGATCGAGGTCGAACTCGTCAGGGTGGGCGACTTTGACGGCATTCTTGCCTGCAGGCGGGAGACCAAATTCGTCGTCACTGCCGCCGCTGCTGATGCTTCTACTGCTTGGTCCAGGACCGCCATTCAGGAGGGTTGCCGCCGATGAGTGATCACGTCGGGATTGGGCGTCCCTGGGGGTGTAGGCTGCCGAGTACATCCGGGTATGACCCTGAGGGGGGCTAGGGCGACGGGTGCTACCGGTCGAGTAGCTATCTGCTCGATCGACACCGGCGCGAGTTGGTTGGTTAACTCCATCGAGAGGGATATCAGTGCGTCGGGGCGTGTACCCCAGAGCAGTATCGGAGCGTTTATAGTAGGTACCACCATGAGTGACTTCGATGTCAAACTCGTCATCTGAGTCAATCTCCTCGACGACTCCGGTTCGAATACCCAGAATCTCCAACATGCGTGCCGTCGTGCCTCCAAAGATGATCACAGTCAACACGACAACGACAAGAACTGTGGCCCGTAGAGTGGGCGCGTTAACGCCAGAAAGACCCGCTGCTAGCGCAACGCCGACAGCACCACGCAGACCAGCCCAGAAAAGCATCGCTTGATATGCGAATGGCAATTCGTCCGCAACTTCTATCCCCCGACGACGAGCTCGGTAGCGAATGAACCAATTGATGGCCTTTGAAAGAGGGAACACAGCAAGGTACCGGGCAAGGCAAATGCCAAAGACCGACACCAGGATGAACAGCGGGTTGAAATGCAGGTTCGACTCGACGAACAGGTCCAGTCCAAGGTAGATGAAGATAAAATTCTCCGACAACTGCGCCATCACCTGGAACAGGTACTTCGTCGTTAACTGGGTGCGGCGAGACATGTTATAGTAGGCGTAATGCTTCAATGTGATACCACAGAACAAGAGGGATACGATGCCTGTATGAAGATAGGTTAGCCCTGAAGTGACATAGCATTGGAGCCGAATGCAACCCATCAGTCAAATACTCACCAGAAAAATGAACGCCATTAGAGAAGAAGTAGCTGGCGTAAGCAATCAAGACAATCAAACAACTCTCAATCTTGGGCATCCGCCGGACTAAAGTATACTTGAGTCCCAGTGCAGTAGCGATACCAACAACAATACCAACCAACATGCTACCAAAGAAGACAAGCAAGAAGAACCCAGCAGCTTCAAACAGATTCAAAAATGTCAAAGAGCCAGCCTCACTCTCCGCATACTTCTGCGCAGTCTCGAAAAGGACAATAGCAATAGCATCGTTCAAAAGCGCCTCACCAAAAATGACCGTGTACAGCTTCGGCTCGACCTTGTAAAGATTGAAGATGGCGAGAATGGTAACAGGATCCGTAGCGGATAATGTCGCACCGACGGAGATTGCTTCGACAAAGGAAATGTTGAGCCCGTCCAGCGGGATCCGTGTCCAGAGGTACAATACCAGGCCGAGGACGATGGCCGAAATAAAAGTGCCGGCGAACGCAAAGGTAAGAATTGTACCGATATGCCGGAAGAAATTGGCTTGATGAAGCTCGTATCCGGAAGCGAGGATGATGGGAGGGAGGAGGAGGTTAAAGAAGAATTGGTAGTCGAAGGCGACGCTGTCCTGGAGGTTGGATTTGGACGATAGACGGATGATGAGCCCGACAAACATCCCTGTCAACTGGTCAGCAACACTGGTCGGGCGATTCCTGTAGTCCATTTGCCACGCGGTGAAAGAGAATTCCGTATCATTTTCTAAGTTGACGTACCCGCGAAAATTGATAGTACTGTTTCGTGGACAGCTTGGATCTTCCTCTGCTGGAGGATGTAACTTGTGAACAAGGCGAACATCAGGAGCATAATCATGATAAACAGCGCCCAGGAGCTGGTAATCTCCTTGGAGCCTGCCTCGGGGGAATCTAAAATCCCAAACACATTGTCAGATCATTATACTCCATGTGCAAAAGTTATCGGCATCAATCGAGGGAGAGGGGCTCGGAAGCTTGTGCACGCGTACCATCGGGATCTGTATCTTCCGCCGCTCGCCCTGCGATAATAATCAAAGGTTAGCTCCATATCCAGGAGATCAAAGGCAAGCGAAAGAACCGAAGCTGTTGGGGGTCACATACGAAGCAGAGCGTGGAGGGCTTCGCCCATCACTTGAGTGGCCATTGCGACTCGATCACGAACCTGTGAGGGTCCGGCGCGGATGACACCTGGCAGTTAGAACTCCCGCGCGGCGAGTCAGACAGGGCAAGAACAGGCGCGCATACTCCGCAGGCCAGGAGGAGCAGGATATGGGAAGAAGTAAGCAGTGGCGCGATCAGAAACAAGTAGGCCTTCGGGTTTAAAGTGGCCGGGCCTGGAGTTCTGAGTTAAGTTGCATCCGCCGAGCGGAGGGACTGATCGGGGGGAGCGGTATGGTATATGAAGTACTGTATTACATACACGGACGAGTGATGTGCTTGAAGACTTGGTTGTTCCTGCATGTAAGAATGTTTCGGTATTGTAAGGTGCCCGTTTTACCGAAAATCTGACACGTGGGCCTCTTTGGAGTGCCGCGCAATTGCCAAGAAACAGGCTGGCAGAGGACAACAAATTAGGGGGAACATCTTCTATCCAAAGAGCTATCATTATTAAGTCTACAAGTGCGTTGTATTCAATATCTTGATACAGAGCTATATGGTGTCATATCTTGATACAGAGCTATATGGTGTCATATCTTGTCATATCACAACCCTTACATTCGGACGATGTGATCATCGTCCAGGGCTGACCCACTTCCCTTCTACTAACTACATCATCGGCATGCCCTTACAGGACTGTAATGACCCTAGGGATGATCCCGAAGACTGAGCGGCATCCAGGTGACAAGGTTGAGCGATGAGATCTTCAGCTTTAATGCGAGCCCTCAGCCAACCTCTTCGTAAGCCACGCCGCAACCAATGCAGCGCATCCACCAAAGCGAAGCACCCATCCCACACTATCATCCCACGGCTCGCCGCGCGGCTTCTGAGCAGCCTTGAAGATAGCACTGCAGATCAGACTAGAAAATATCTGCGGGAATGAAACGGCCACATTATGTAGACCTAGCACAATGCCCGCCTGTGCAAGATTCTCTTCCTCGCTAATGGGAGTTGGCTTTTGATCACCATTCCCCAAATCATGGTCCTCAGCATCGTCACGATCCCCGTCTTCATGCTCATCCTCGCCAGATATAGGTGCATAAGACCCGGAGGCGGTAGTATGTGCCCTCCCGGGCTCCGTCGCAGAGCCGACGCCTCCTGTTTCGCGACGATGTGAGCGCCGTGTGACATCGGCACGAGCTACCTCGGCGGAGATCAGGGCAAAAGGTGCCCACAAGGTCAATGCCCAGGAGATACCGACAAAGCCAATGACCACCGACCCAGCGGGATAAGATGAAATGAAAAATGTACTGAACATGCATACTGCAAATAGCACATGCGAGAGGAGCCATGTGCGGCGGAGTGTCAACCCGGGAATCTGCAACCGGGAAAGCCAAGTCGGTTTCTCTTCAACAACCTTATGCGGTGTTCCATCGAGAAGCGGCTCATAAGATTGTCCAGCGTCACATCCATCCTCTTCCTCAGGATAAACAAGCCGATCATGATGGACCGTAGTCTCGGAGACTTGGCCGGACGTGGGGATCACAAAGAGCGGGAGAACAATATTAGCCACGAAAGAGATAACGGCATAGGCAAGAAGTGCCGATGTACCAATTCGAGTGGCATCCTCCCAGGTCCGATCGATCTGATCCTCGGACATATTTGGGTGATCCGCAAAGATCGGGTTCACATAAAGCTGCCCAACATAAGTAGTCGCGTAGTACAAGAATGGGAACCATCCAGCCCACGCAGCGAGCTGTACCTCGCAGACCCGCGCAATCTGTGGCGGTAAGTTTTTAATAGACTTGAAAACTTGACGGAAGAACGAGACAAGACCGAGACCATCCGAAGGAGGCGGTCCATCCAGTCTGGGATCTCGCTCTTGGATGTAGAGACAGCTGGCGAGTAGTGTGACGGTGAGGGATATAGAAGCCAAAGCACAGAGAACTTGGAATTGAGTCTTTCCCAGGAAAGGCAGGATCTTGGGTAGATCGAGATATCCAAAGATGAAGCCGCAGATATTCCCGACGCCAGTCACTCGACTAGCCCACGCATTGGCGACTTCCTGCTGGTGGGCGGGACAATTATCGACAATGAATGCTCGAATTGCGGCTTGGACTGCAAAACGTAGTTTTAGCTCGGTCAACCGTTAGCTCGTAGTTGCTGGACCTACCAGTGTTGATTGCAAAATCAAGACAATACATCAATATCGTTGCAACAACGATATTAGTTATCTTGGCTCCGTGGGACTTTCGATCGACGCCAAATATCGACAGAAACCCGCCCATAATCTCCTGCACCCAAGATAGGGCAAGTAAAGAGATGATCAGTGCCACCGCACCGCCAACCATAAATGGTTTCCTCTTGCCCCATGGATGCCGGCAATTGTCGCTTCGAATACCGATGTACGGTTGTACCAGGGTACCAGTCACAGGTCCGGCAATCCACACAAATGCGAGAAGGGCCTTGCTCATGCCAAGAGAGAGCAGATATGGCTATAAAGTAATCAGTAAACTGGTCGGTCAAGTCCCTTATCCGCAAAGAACAAGAGAATTCAATGATCCAATGGAAAGACAAGAACGTACCGATCCATTAGACAACTCCACAGACCAAACAACCTGCAACCTATCCCATAACCACAGTCAGACTCCTTTGAAACACCATCTCACAATACCAAAGACAACCCGGACAAATCACAGCACAGGATAAGACTCACCCTCCAATCGAAATAGTCAACAAAAACAAATACCATCCACTCTTGGACGAATCATCCAAATTCTTCCCCTCAACATGACCCTCCACAAACTCGGCTTCAGAGTCATTTCCCCGCCGCGACTCCATCAGAGGCGAATTTTCGTGGACAGTCGCTCCAGGCGACTGTGCCTGTACCATGGGGCGACTACCTAACCTAACCGTTTGGCGATGGCCGATAAGAAAGTTGACCCACTGTGATACCCCACGGACGGTTTACGGAGAGCGGAGATACGGCATGCGAGCTATTAGGAGGCGTGGAGAGGGCGTAGATAGAATGGTGAAGGTATCTGGGGGCAGAGGTAGGTACGTTGGGGTCTTGGTTCGGTGTTAACGGGACATTGGTGGTCAATTGCACGGTGAGGTATCGAGGATTGGGGGCGGATGCTGGTGGGCAGAAGGTGTCGCGTAGTCGGATAGTTGGGTAGTCGAGTTGTATGATGAAGTATCCAGGTCGGGCTACCTGGTTTCTGAATCGAATAGAGTATTGAGGTATTTGTATAGGTACCCGTGAAGTCCTCGGGGAAAGAAGATGTTTATCTGTGATCGAATCTCAGCTTCGCGGTAGGGGTGAAGACGTCAGTGCACGTGATTTTCAGATGTCTTGGCTGGGGCCGAATGTGAAATATCGTGAAGATGTTACCTATTTATAGATAAATATTAATCAATGAGTTTGTCTTCCTATACAGTGAACATGGTAACGGCTAATCAGAAACAGAAGCCGGTAATGATATCTCTTGATGCCCATTTTTGTATTCAAGTCAATTCGTTAAAAGTCTATAGTATAAACCAGCCGCAACGAGGACACTGATCGACAACCACAAGATAATCACAATCACACACAATACGGACAAGAATAAAGAATTCCCACTTTCACTAGAAGATACCCGATATTCCAGAAAAGCCATACTTAAAATCTTCCCTTAGATCCTCCAGAAGTCGTTGAGAAAAGTCACACGCCCACAAGTTGCCCGTGCCCGTACCCGCCAGGCCAGGGTCTAATGTTCTGTGCCGAGGGTGTCAGGCCAAAAAGCGCAAGACGATAATACAAGAGCAGTAACTTCCAAAACCATATCACAGCGCAGCCAGCTGTAAGTCCCAAGATGGACAAATAACAGAGTAGCAACAAAAAAAATTCAACAAGCATGCCATGCAGACGGGATGGGTAGATGGAGATGGGTCCAACAACATCACCAGCCACACATCCCAGAGTGAACAAGAAATGATGGGATGGAATATCCCTAGTGGAGTAGTCACGGTGTCAAAAAGGAATGAAAACGAGGAATTAAACACCAGAGTCAAGACGCCTATATGCGTCCACAGACCCGATCGACGAAGTTACACCAAGGATGCTCAAGCCTTTTAGCAGTTCACATTTGCTGCTGGAGAAGCTGCGGAGCTATCATCTGATGCGAGGCAGGGACCATAGTGGGAATCCCCGATGCCATGCTCATGGATGTCGGCATCGAGGTCATCGTAGGCATCTGGACCATGGTATGCGGGGCATGGTGTGCAGGCGGCGACGAGTCCTCACCCGCAGACTCAAAGTCGTTGCCATCATTCTCCAGGTCATCCTCGTTGGTAATAGGTGCTTGGCCATCTTGTTGGGCCTCATGGATGCGACGGTGCCTAGAAGCGACATGAGTATGAGCTCATCGGGGGAATCACGCAGGGTTAGCTTACTGTGCAAGGTTGTCGGAACGCGAGAAGGCTTTGCTGCAGTATGGACAGGGGTAAGGTCGCTCTTGCGTGTGGGTACGCACATGCCTAAGCGCCCAGGTTAGTCGGCGGCTATCGAAACCATCACACCGGGTCATTGTGCAGATGTCAGCCCCACCGGAGACGGCAGGGTACGCAAAAATAGAAATGAGGCTTACCTCTTGAGGTGCTCTAATCTCTTGAAGAGTCGTCCACAGGACGGGATTGGGCAAGAGTGAGACTTCTGAGGATACGGTCCAAGCTCCATCATGGTCGCACTTCGGGCGCGACGTGCAGGACCAGGGCCCGCACGGTCCGACCGACTAGTGCTGTTCTGAGCCGTTGTTTCAATAGCTGCACTAGTGGGGAGCGCCGCCAGATCATCTGGGGAATTGCTAATTGGCACCGCATGCTGATTAACGGTCTCCTCCAGGTGCTGAAGCGGGGTCCCATGACGTGAGATTTCCTGCAACAGGTCCTTCTGAGGAAGCATGGCGCTTGGATAGGTCCGAGGTAGATCATGACCGGACTCCTCACCCTCTGCAACTGGCGCCACCGAGCTAGATACGGAGCGCCGAAGATCGCTCGGGCGGTGCGCCGCGTAAGGCGGAGGTTGGGAGGAGGGGGCAACCTGAGACCCATTAGCAGCTCCCGGGTTGCCATTAGCGGGACCCGGGGTGACAGAGGGTCGCCGTCTCCGCTGCTTGTAAGTTGGAGAGCCTTCGATGACAGAATAGGCATTGGATGAGAAGGACCGAGAAGCACTAGGGTAGTGACCACCAGCAAAGTTGGATGGCGGAAGCTGCATCATGGGATTATATGGCGCCGCGTTGGAGAGATCCGGAATCGCAGTGTACAGACCCGTATCCTCGTTGGCGATGTACGCAGGCTCAGCGCCTAGTCCGACCGAATGTTGCGGTGGGGTCACCGGTTCAAAGGATAGACCGCGGTTGCTGTAATCCTCGTACTGAGACGAAACGAAAGACGGGGCGGGCGAGTACTCGTAGAAGGTAGGCATGGAGGAATGGCGCTGGTGGATGCGGGCGAGGGGCATTCCATTGCGGTCGTACTGAATGGCGCCGTAGTCCTGCTCGCGCTTAATGATGCTCTGGACTAGATTGTTCGAAATCGGCATCTGGGGATTGCCGTACATCGTCGGATTGCCATGGTCGTCCTGAAGGAGCGGGATCGCTGGGGGAGCCATCTGGGGAGGAGGCATTGCGTCAACGGTCCGAACCACGGGGGAGGTGGGCTGGCCATATGTCGTACTTGCGTGGGCGGGGGCAGCAAACGAGGATGTGTTCGCTTGTTGCACCTTGGTCAACTGCTCATACAAGGACTGGGACGAGTCGAATTCAAACGACAAGGCCGGCTCGCTGACGGCGACCGTGGTGGCCTCCTGGTTCATCTTCTCGCGCTTGAGGTCTCGCTCGAGCGCGTCCAGGAACAATCGGTCGTGGGGCACGCTGTACCAGTAAAACACCTTCTGCTTCTTCTGGGTACGGATGCAGTTGTTCTTGTACAGGAAATCCAAGAATGCGCTCTTGGGCTCCTCAAGGGTCGCATCGGTCCCAGCCTTGAGATTTCGCAGATCGGAGAAGATGCCCTCCTCGAATTTCTTGGAGTTCTTGACAGGGCGGCCGAAGGCTTGGAACCGGAAGGCGAGGCAGCGCACGATATCGGTTCCCGAGATGTGGAAGAGGTTGCTCCTAGAACGAGGACGTGTGTTAGCGGTCGGCCTCGCGCGTGGGTTCGGTGTCGTCGGCACTGGGCACTAACCAGAGAACGCAAGACACATAGTCTCCGGTGGGCAGGAGGAAGCGGCGAATCAATTGGTCGGGCTGCCAATCGACAGGGGCCGAGAGGAGGAAGTATTTCACTGAGGTGCTAGTCAGCAGGACAGGCCATGCAATGCAGATCCCGAGTCCAACCACGTACGATTGTCCACTTGCTGCAGGGCGACTTGTGCATCGTGGGGGAGGCTTTGTTGGGCTTCCGTTGATAGCATGAACGTCTCTGGCTTCTGGGGAGGTGCCATCGGGGCACCTGGATGAGGATACATGGTCCACGCGCTCTGCAAGAAACCATCAGCGCCGACCGGGAAGGAGCAGCTATAGATAAAGGTGGCCGCGAACAAAGAAGAACGCCAGCAAGGGGTGGACTAGACCGCAATGCTGACGACTTTTATTCTCTGTTTGAGACTGTGTCCGAATGTGAAAGACTCACCGTTGGAGATGATTCGGCAAGGCGGGTCTGATCAACGAGGCGCAATGGGGTCGGATCAACGTCGCGAGGCGATCACCAGATAAACGGGGCGCGATTGCGTTGCTGTAATTTGGGATATCGAGTGGATGTGTATATATAGGTTGACAAAGACCTTTTCACACGACCGACGGCAATAAAGGTGCATACATACGTGATTACCGGGTCGAAGTGGTGGGATTAGAGGAGCCGGCCTCTTGTGTTTTTTGGGGAGGGAGACTTGTCGGGACGACAAAGAGAAAGACAACAATAAAGAGAGATGACAGAGAATGAACTGGACCAGCCGGTACCGAACTCTGTGGGAATTCCTCGCACAGCGGAAGAAAAGAAACGAAGGTGAAGAGTGGAAAGTGAATGCTGAGAGGGTAAGAGGGTGGGAGGGTGAGAGAGATGATCGACTGAAGGATTGGGGGGAGGAGAAGAAGAGAAGAAGAAGGGGGGAAAGATACACAACGTCAGTGGCCAGTGACGACGGAGTACGTTGGTACAAGTACTGAGTACTGAGGAGGGAGCCACCAGTCTTCTTCTAATAATAATAATAATAATAATAATAATAATAATAAAAATAGAAAAAATCCGAATAAAATCATAATCATAATCATAATCATAATATATCGACCGCATCAGACTGAACAGACGACTGTCTGGCGCCAGAAATCCAGGTGGGTGACGAGTTATGACAGGTATGGTATGGAGGTGAGGCTGTCAATTAGCCTACTGAATTATATTGAGTCTTGGTAAAATTCCAATATTACCCCGTATGGTACGGTCCGCCATACCTCCGTTACACATGACCCACTCGTCCCTGGTGGCCAGGGCCCATTCGGATTTCCGATTTGTGAGTTGTGCTTTGCGGTCTGGTCAACAACAACTCCAGTCTCCTTGTCGCCCTCCTCGAGGTCGAGTCTTTGGGCCTTTGTTGAACAAAAAAAAAAGAGACAAACAATGCGAAGCTATTTTTGCAGACCCCCTCCTCCTTTTTCCTCTTGTCTGCTTCCTGGTTTCCCCCCGTCCAACTGACCACTAGTCGTGCCTTGCAGAAATCGACCGATCGGCACTTCAACGGTGATTCGACACATCCCTCGTCCGCTGGGTGACTGGACTGCAGAATGTCTGTGCATCCTGTACTCCGTACTCCATCCATTGTCCAAGGCCAAGGGATCATTTGAGAGGTCCTTCGTGACAGGGGATCGAGGCTGGGCGACAGCCAACGAGAACCCACCAGTGGACCTTCCCATTGGGCCATGCCAAGCCCTGCGAGCGAGGTCAAACTGGCGCTGGGACCTGACTGGAGAATCTGAAGCACCCGCCCTCGGGTTGTTTCAGAGTCAGTGGGCGCTTACATGCAGCCACTGAAACGAATCCTCACAGACTTTCCTCCCTGGTCCGTCCCACTCCACTCCTCCAGTGCTCAACACGCTAGCCCTACTGGCCCCTTATCCACGACTGGGTCTTTGTCCCGACATGCTTTCCAGGTCTCCAGTGGACGCTCCCCGTTTCTGATATATCTCCGATACCTTGAGCCTGTGGACAGACGGCTGTGGCTGGAACTGATCGCTCTCCGGGTCTCCCGACCGTTGCATTTGGTTGTGCGCAACGCACGATACATCAAAACGAACAAGTCCAAAATAGAGGTTGAGATCGGCCGGAACGAATCATGCATGTCAAAGGAGCAATGACATGACATGGCATGAGCCCTGACTGCCATGTCAACTAGCTCCCTTCTCTTTAGTGTGGTCTACGCATTCCCCCTGCCTCACAACTCTCGACTTAGCACCACTACAACCCATGCTCTATACTGCAATGCGGTTAATACTCCGTACTGTAGCAACTCCCGTAGCCTAGACGGAGTGGCGGGCCCCGAGATTCCCCCGTTGAGGAAACTGTGCCTGACTCCGCGACCTTGCTGTCTGGAGTGCATGCATTAGGGCTCCGGGTCAATTTCCAGCACTCTTCTGACTTGTCCGATTCCCTCTGTCCATTTCGCCACGGGCTTAACCATGGATACTACTCCCGGGTACCTGATCCACGTTTAGGTCATATATAAAAATCAACACATTCCCGACCAGGACAGGTATACGGAACTCGTCCCAGTCCTCGCTCAAAGGTCCGGCTACCTCCCGCAGGCGTGACTCGCGAGGCTGAAAACCAAGTTCAAATCAAAAGCTTGGCACCGCCCCTGGACACGCGGAATAGCCCGTTCAAAGGACCAACTACAATGCACATAGGCAAAAGAAAAAAAAAGCACATGGCGACCCCATCCAAGCTACTGTATCGGAGAAAATTTTTGCGGGTAGGGCCCAGCGTAACCAGACTTTAGGTATCACCTATCGTCATCGTCGATATGCAACTAGTTAACAAACTAAGAAACTATCCGAAAACAACCCAAAAAAGAGTCCTACGCCCAACAGCCCCAACAATGAGTCTCGCGGGACTTTTCTTTTTCTTCCAGCTTTTTTTAGTATCTTACTGTAAAATCTCCATCCCACATCGCAGATCTTGATGCCGTGAAACCCGCTGTTTAAAGTTGCCGGTTGTAACATCGTGTCTTACCCTCGAACATGCGGGCAAGATCCAGTCGACCGCTGTCGAGAGTGTGAAGGAAGGACAAGCGAAAGTCTAGTCCAAAGGAATGTCTTACTATTAGCTCATCAACATCATCGATTGGCGAACTAGTTAATAAAAAGCATGCTATTACCCGATCAAGCAAGAGTCAACGGGAAGGCTGGAAAGAGCGGGGGGCATGCTAGCCTGATGGACGACCGAGTGTATTTACAGTACTACTTGCTATAGTGCTAGACAACCTACCGACAACGTAGTCCATACAACTGCAGGCAGCATGTGCTGGCTGGACGATAGACTCTTGGTGGAGGTTTCAGCTTCTGCGAGCATTCTGGCTTTTTTCCCCTGGACTAGACCCGACTGACTCTCGAGCGGGTGGACCGCACAGGTCACATGGTGAGGCGTGTCCGTTTGATCGTCCAGCTTGAAACGATCTAGAAGGTGTAGCATTCTAGCCTCGTTGGTGGCCGTGGAGCTTTGATTTTCTCCGTATCAAAATTCCGTGGCTGAGAATCTAACAAAGATGATGCAGCATGCCGCATGAGGAAAGTGAAGATGACGGCATACGTAGTACTCTAGATGTATGCCATTTCCATGGCCGAGTCCGTCAAACTCAACTATCCCCTGTTGCTTCTCTGAATGCAATGCGTGGGAACTCCCTTCCCTGTTGAGAGACGATCTTCGGCTATCGTATACATATTCAGACTCTCTGCAGAACGGATGTCTGTACTACTTCTTGGAAGTCGGGTTTGCAAGCGAAAGTCTGATATGCAAGCCGCGGCTCTATGGAGTCCAAACTTTCGCTGGCCGACGGGTTCCGACTGAGAAAGGGGGATGATCGCCCATCTTCGCTTAACAAGCTCACAAACCCTCCAGAGTCTATTCAACTTTCGCAAAAGTTGAACTTTCTGCAAAATCAACTACGATGTCCAGATGCCGACAGCCAGCGTGGTTGGAACTGTGTCCAGGAACGACATCCAGTTGGTGCCGACCCGCCGACTGGGGCTAGCGGATGCGAGCCCGTTCTAAGCCCTATTCTGGAAAACCTCCGTCCGGCTCGTGCATTTCTCCTGTAGCGAAAAACCATGTTGCTTCTTACCGAATGTCCCACCATGTTCTTGCCCCTCTTTCACGAATGCAATGAGGTCAACGGTGCCGACAATCGAATTCGTACTCCGTATCCTTGACCCGAAAAACACGAGTCATGCGCGCGACCCCGTTCGTGGGAATGGAATGGCATCAAGGTTCCATCCCGCGTGTTTTTTATGGAGGTGCCTTTGTTTCAGGAACAGTCCCCAATGCAACAACAAGCCTAGTGCATACAGTAGTTACTCTATAGTATCCACAGTCAACCAAAGTCAAAATTCTTTCCTGGGGAGCCTCAATTGAGAGTCTTCTTTTCGAGTGTGGCCCACTCTTGCAACGCCCGGTGACCTCGTCGGTTCGTTCTTCTGTTTATCAATGTAATTTTTCAATCTATCGGAGTCAAATGTGGATATAGGAGTCGAGAGAGTGGGTGGATGCCTGAGAAACATAGCCAGTAGAGGAGAATTATTCAAAGAATTTGAAGCAGGGTCATGCGTATCCCAGACGGAGGAGTTCGTTCGGCATTTCAATTAGACGGACTATTGCATGTATGTACAAGCCCAGAGGCAAAAATAGGTACAGAGTAGTAGATGTTAGCTAAACCGAGGAGTCAAAGCTTTTCCTCCTCTTCTCAAGCATGGCTTCTTTCATGAAGGGACTCCGTTCTCGGATCTGCTTTCCATAAACGACAAACAGGATGGGCGCGAATGATAGCGCTAGAGAGATAAACGCAAGTACTGTACTCGCCCACTGAAACCCGAGTGTGTTGTACATGCTCATCGCGGCCAGGGGCAAAAACGCTGAGAAGGTGTTCTCGCCCGTGACGATGATCCCGACGGCGCTCGCGGCATACTTGGCATAGGCATCCACGACGTAGTCGGAGATCCCAGTCACAACGATCACACTACCTGCTCCCACCATGGCGAGACCGACTGCCGGTGCGATCCATGGGAAGTTGGGATACGAGGTCCACGCATAGGTGAACATGCCTCCAGATATTCCGAGCACGCCACCCACGATAGCCAGGTAGAGTCGTGCCTCAGGGATAGGAGTGCCAGGGACCTCCGTGTTCCGCGCAGCAGAGTCGAAGTAGATCTTACCGGAGAACAAGGTCCCTACCCAGCCTAGGATTTCGCCGACGACGATGGCGGCTTGAATATAGCCAGCCTGGGAGGGGGTCCAGTCATACAGGCCGACGAAGACCTGCTCGACGGACTGTGTGAAAAGATACAAGGTTCCTACCGTGAAGGCAGACCACATGAATGAGACAAAGACGACTGACTCGGTGAAGAACAGGAGGAGAGGTCGTGTTGCGCTGCGAGCCACGATCCTCATCATCGATGTCCCCTCGCTGTCGATTTCATGCTGCGTATATGCCAGCTTGCCTTCCTTCCGCAATACCTTCGCTCGTTGTCCCAGAATGGCAATACCACGACACTCTTTGAAGAGGAAGAAATATAACGGGAAGAAGGCACCGAGCCAGATCAGCTGGAGATAGCTGATCCACCTCCACGAGAGGAACTCATAGATTGGTGCACCGATGACGGGTCCAATGCTAGCTCCGACCAGGTATGTCACGATATAGAGACTGACGGGGATATTGCGTGCCTTCTCAGTGTCCCAGACGTTTCCAATGACCGTGGCAGAGGTATTCGCCAGGATAGAGACACACCCGCCAGCGAAAAATCGAGTCACGATCAATGTGGCAAAATTCTGTGCCAGTCCTTGCGGAATCACAAAGCAGAAGAAGGCTACATAAGCCAACAAGAACACCCATCTCACACCAAACTCCTCCATGAGAGGCAAAATGAGGAGGGAGAAGCAGCCGCCGCCCACGGCCCAGGATGTTACTGGCCAGTACGAGTGAGGGAAGTTGGCGTCGGAGATGCCAAACTCCTCATTGATTGTGGCATGTGCCACTGTGATAATAGTGCCGTTCATCATGGTAATGAACGTGGCAAATGCCGCTAGCAGCGTCAATGTCCATTTTTGGCGGAGCGGCCAGTTGTATGGGTTATCTGGATCGTTTAGTCCGTTCCAGGACACGATCTCTATGTTACTGCCCGGATCATTGTGGTCTAAAGATGAGGATCAGTCAGTCTGCAAATATCGGACTTAACAGATTTAAGTTGATTTTGAGCCATACCTATGGCTTGATCATCGTGGCCGGAGACATCGCCACGTGCGAAGACCATGTCTCTCCGTTTAGACTGTCGCAGAGACTCCTGGAGATCCCCACGACAGTCACCTCACAATCAGATAACTCGACGTTTCCTGGACTGCCACAACTTTGGCGGTATGGAGAGTTCCAGTAGATGACTTCACGTCTCCGGTTTTGTGGGGACCAATGATCTCACATAGATCAAAGTTTAGCAGCAGGTCACCACGAGGTCTTCTAGTATTCCATTCCCAGACCAGACTGTGCACGAGAACCAACTTATATATACAAGCACGAGAAGTGAAAAAAAAATTTTCCCGTCATCATCTTGTCGCAAGAACCGTGACCCCCATCGGCAGTATGAATTTGCGGTTCTAGAATCCACATCCGCCTCGCCTCTCCAGATAGTGACTGTTTTGGGACTAGCGCGGCTGGGCCCTGGAAGAAATCGCAACGCAACAGGTCTGGTTCGCCGGTGGCACGGTCGCTAGTCGATCATCTATATTATTCTTAGAAGAATTGATTTGCTAAAAGTTTCCCTGCTGCACCCCGCAACTCCGCATTTTGCGGTCTTTGAACGTGGTTCGAGATTATCTTGTCCAATGCTTGATGCGCATCATGCAGCCTCAGCATGCATGCCGGGTGGTACGAAAGGTGTGTTGGTCATGTTTTTTGATTCTCAGCCTAGCGGTCGGGGTAAACAGACATTTTTAGAGCTATGTACTTGTTTTTGTAGTAATTTAGTCTATTCTTCCAAGGGTCTGGTCGTTTCGGCAATATTTCCGGATGGCGGCAAGTGCCGAACCCTTAGGTTTTATATATCCAGACAGGTTACCGAGATCGCTTCATTTCCGACGCGACTAATAGCCTAATGGAATGATAGGTAAATGTCAGTTGCGATAGCTAATGGATGGAATAGATAAATCAAAGGCCATAAAGCTGTGATGGCCGGAAAGTTGATATTCATTTAATGAGATAAAACCCTCCAATAGGTCATTTCATCTTATCTGATGCAAAACTAGCTGGGAGAACCTCAAATTTCTTGAGCATATTCGAATGGGCCATCGCATGTATTAAAGTATTCAACGCGCTAACGCCGAGTTGAACCATCGACTTCTCGTTCCCCATACACTCCATCCATGATGCTCAAGTGACCCTCCAAAATGCCCAGGTACCTCATCTCAAGCACTACCCGGTCTACTTCCAACATAAAAAACCACTTTTCACTCCACCCACGGCCTTAAAGATGTTCAAAAAGACTGAAAATAGATTTAACTAAGCTTAAGGATAACAGTGGTGTAATAACATTATCAAAAATCTACAAAAAGTTTGTTTGACCCGCCCTCGAAGGGACGCTCCCACCCGCCCACCCTCGCCCCTCTAGACGTACTTGCTCATCGCCAGATGCTCCAATACGCACCGGTTCACGATTTTTGCATAACCGTCATAGACCGTTTCCAATTACGGCAGCAGCCACTGTGCGGACGAACCACTGGACCACTGGAGGTTGGGTACCTGGAAAGAGGGAACTCCCAAATAAAACATGTCTCGCGGTAGTTTTTGAGGGGATTTTATTTGCTTTGGAGCTTTCTTTTTGCTTTGGAGCATTTCACCGGACATAGCATATGAGATATTGTTGTAGCAACCCGATCAGGATCAATGATAGGCGTAGTGAGCTAATCATCAATACCAAAATCATAACGCCATTTCTAGCGCATGGCTCTCAGAATCGAAGTGACTGGGAGAGGTTCACCAAGAAGTTTCTCCCAAATCTTGGCCGAATCAAGTAATGGGAGGTTCGATTCATATGGGCCAGTGCGCTCTGATAGTCTTTCTCCATCTATGCTTCGATGCATCATGTGACCAATTGGTTAACTATGAAGCCTGAGGCACTATGCCAAGTGCTTCCTCACGCGCCTGACTCAGACCAAACAGTCCCGCTCTTCCCAATCTACTCCGACCTGCCTAAGTTGGACAGCTACCAGCTTACTTGTCTTTGCGCATGAGCCTCTTCGAAGCAAAGCAACAATATTCAAGGGCACAAGAAAATCGCGGTCATTGGATTTAGTCAACTACGTACGTGCATGTTCCACCAACTCTAACACAACCTTCCAGAAATCAGAGGCATAACCTACTATCAAGCCTTATATTTGCTCATCGTGGCTATTCACTAACTTCACTTAGTCCCAGATCTTCAGTATTGTCAGTATGTCGGTTGAAAGCTTGACTGTGGCCTCTTCATCAACATGGCTGCCATCAGTCAGAGTTTCACTTTTTTCATATGGCCATGCCAACGGACCAATTGTGCAACAACATAGCCAAGCGCGCTGTCACAAAAATTTGTCTTATAATATTCGTCACTTGCCAAACCCGCCGCGTCATCTCCGAGCTAATGCAACCGGTCTGTCCCGGCGGCTTCAGAAGGAGTTTTTGCAAAATGATAGCGTCGAGGCATTCTTGATAAAGGTCCAAAGTGAACTTCTAGATGCAGTCAAGACAGAACGTGACCAACTTTTGTGCTCAAGTGAGCAAACTGCACAACAATCTAAAGAGGTTCACGAGAACTCCGATAGAAATGCCCATGCCAGTGAAGAGGCCACTCTGGAAGACCCGGACATCGATGTTGTTGTGACAATATGTTGCGAAGAAGGCCGTCACCGGAGCGTTGCGTTTGTCGAGGAACTCGCCCGAAGACTGACTTTGTTCAAACACGAGGATGACCTGTCTCGGTGCTGGAAGCTATATGTCAATGTTACACATCGTGATATTGGAGATCTCAAAGATTTGGAGCAATCGACTGGTCAGCAGAGGCGCCCAAACAAGGCTCAAGCCAAATCTCGACAAAGGGAACGACGTGCCAAAGGGGATCGGTATGGACTGCATATTGAGGGGGATGATGGCGACTGCTCGTCATAAATTGTTTGATTATTATATCAATCCCTCGGTCAGCGGAGATAATCTCGGAATTAGCACTCCTGTGAAAGCTCCCTGGAGCGATGTCTAAGACTGCTATGATCCCCCCAGCCATGCTGTAGGTATACTCTGCCCTACGGCGATCCATGTTTGATACGCCTGTCTCGCTTCGGCTGAAAAGACGATACTTTGAAACTAGTATGGGCAAGCGCCTCTGGAACCACATATATCTACGGGGGACTCTCTGCAGTTTATGATCATTGAAATAGAGAAGTGGCGGAGATTAGAGGCGGTATCTCCGGACCAGGGGCCTTATACAAGATACTCGTATTTAATTACTATAAGAAGCTCTATATAGTTTTGAAAAGATCCAAGCGATACTTGAATACTTTGCCAGTGGTTGAATTCAATCTGTCCTCGGATCTCAGTCTTGACGCGCTTCCATAGAATTGATGCAGGCCAAGATAACTCACAACATGTCTCTGGCTCTTGAAGATCGGCTCAGCCTGGCAGTGATGGACGAGGAGCTAGCTGAGGTGAATCGCTCACTTACACGGAAGTTACTTTTCTGACACGCTGGACACTCCGCAGTTCTTAAAGACAAACCCGCTGCCCCAAATAGATACAGCCGACCCCGCCAAGGTCATTGCAGGTCTGAGGATATACATGAAAAGCCAATACAAACCGCCGAGCCCCGAAAGCAATGTCATTGAGCGCGACGTGTACTTTTCCAACCGTGACGGGATCCAATTACGCGCTCATGTCTTTGCACCTGCGGAGGTTCCTGCAAACCAAATGTCTCTGGTTGTCTACTTCCACGGCGGAGGATGGACTATTGGGTCTCCTGAAGATACAGCAACGCCCTGCCGAAGGATGGTTGAATTGCTCGGCGTCACTTGTATTGCACCTGCCTACCGACAAGGGCCTGAAGATCCGTTTCCAGCCGGAATAAATGATGCGTGGGATGGATTGAAGTGGATTGCAGCAAACGCCGAAGCCGAGCTGGGCGTACCTTTGTCAAGTGGTTTCATCATTGGCGGCTCTTCTGCAGGAGGGAACATGTCGGCAGTCCTTGCTCATCTTGCACGCGATGAAAGCTTATCTCCAAGAGTCACTGGGGTCTTTCTCTTGGCCCCAATGATTTTACCGCCTGGGACCAATGTGATGTTGCCGGATAGATACAAAGATATGTACGTCTCTTGCACTCAAGAGGCATGTAAGTACGACCCGGTTCTCTCACCGGCTCTCGAAAAGATCTTCCACGACTCTGCAAAGGGTGACGAGCAGTCACCGATGTTCGTGCCGTATATTTGGCCAACGGGGCACCGAGGACTTCCAAGGACTTATTTTCAAGTTTGTGGAATGGATATTCTTCGCGACGAGGATCTCATTTACGAGCAGTCCTTGGCAGAAAATGCCGTGGAGACGAAGTTGGATCTCTATCCTGGCATGCCTCATATTTTCTGGGGTACTTTCCCAATGCTCAAGCAGAGTAAAAAGGCTGCTTCGGATTTCATCGACGGGATCAAATGGCTCCTTGATGGATACACCAAGAGTTAGAGGTCTGTTATGCCTGGGATCAGCATCTAAATCGAAACTTGAGGCAAAAAATGTTGGGGATCCAAAGCTCTACGTCGATTTATTGCGAGAAGCTTATTGCAGCAACTGAAGAAGCACTGGATATTGCCCATATGAATGGCGATGAAAAGAGCATTGATCAGGATAGCTATAGGCGAGGAGCTATCAGTGTAAGAGGCAGCGGTTTATCGCAAGGCCTAAATTAGTGACTAATCTTCATTGGTTGGTGGCACAAAATAGTCTTTATATCATAGGTTTGCCACTTTTGGTATGATGTCCCGGCGAACCTCCCCGCACTTCCACTAAATTTAAGCCGACGACTCTCCCGCTGTGTAAAAGGATCATTCGAGAAACTCTTCATCACCCATATCTTTCATACTAATAGTAATCCTCTGATCATGGTTTCAACTATTGACAACAACCCTCTGGTTCCGGACTCGATGCAGACTCGAAAGTCGCTAGGCGACAATGGACAAGCAGCTAGTCAGGCTCACAGGCTCAACGATCTGCAGATGATAGTTGACAGAAATGTCGCACCGTGTGTTGAATAACCTCTTCATTTTTACCTCACTCGCGCCGCTTCTCACATTTATTCACAGCTCTCCTCAAGCAATGTGTGCCGAACTTGCCCATGACCACGCGCTGGAGGACCTCCATAAGATTACTGAACACACCTCTGACCCGAGTGACCCAGTGAGGGGTATGTGAGAAAGAATTTTCTTTTTATTCGCTTATTGGACTAATTAGTTGCATAGACAAAGATCCGTTTTTCACAGTAAACTACGCCGACCATGCCACTCAGTCTGAGCCTCGTAAACCCGATGAGTAGTATTGTGGAATCTTTTTGACCTCAACTTCTCTCAGTTGGGCAAGTAATAATCCTAGGGCATTTCTTTCGAAGTATCTTGTAAAAATTAATGCTGAAGTCAATGTGATGATACGCAAAATGAACTGATATGATTTACTACGCCTGTGAGGTTGACCTTCTAGGCGAAGCCGAGTATACTGGTGATGTCATAGTGATGATCCTCCCCTAACTTTATTTGACATGCTGAATCGACACTGCAAATCTCAAACAGTATCATCAAAACTAAGGGCTTATTTTCTTCGCGTACCGATACATCACCGCACTTCTTAATGGGCCATCTTGGCGGCTTGGCTAAATGAAAGTAGTAATTCGCGACTACGACTTTCGTTTCCAATTTGTCCAATTCAATATGATACACTTGCATGCTCATTCTATCTATCGTATTATACCTGCAAACATGGTATTGCTAGGCACTTGTAGCTTCAGTTGAGTCGTATGCCTTCTTCCCCCGATACCAAGTCTGGCACACCTTTGCCTCAAGAAGCTTCTCGGGAGTCCAATGCGCATCGACTATCAAAAAATCGGCATACAGGCCCTCTCGCAAACTTCCAGTCCAGGATTCCGCAAAGCGTGCATATGCTGCTCCAGCAGTTGCAGCAGTCGCAGCTTCAGCCAAAGTTATGCCGAAGTGAGCGTTAACAGTCGCTGTCGATTCAGGCTCAAGTGCCGATCGCCTAGTAGTCGCATTGTAGAGGTTGGGGAAAGGCAGATTACGCGCAGTTGGCGCGTCAGTTCCAATTGCAATAGGTGCACCCCCGTCCATGAACTCTTTGTATGCAAAGGCGCGCTTGCATCGATCGGGTCCGACAAGACTGGGCCATGCTTTGAATAGTGCTGGGTCAGAATGGACGGGTTGGACCGAGGCTGTGATTCCTAGTTCACCAAGACGCTTCGCGTCCTCGGAAGTCGTCATTTCTAAATGTTCGATTCTGTGCCTCCGACCGGGGGTTCCGACTTGTGAGAGAACGTCAATAGATTGGCGAACGGCGCGATCGCCAATAGCATGAATTGCACACTGTAGTCCAGCTGAATCGGCTCGCTGGACAACTTCACGCAGCTGATGCTCAGGCCAAATGGGCTCAACTGGATCAGATTTTCCGGTGTACGGCTGAAGCAGAGCAGCAGTGCATCCATCAACAACTCCGTCGCAAATGAGCTTGATTCCAGCGATACAGAAATCCGGCTCCGTGTACTGCTTTCGCAACTCAACTGCGCGATCGACGTAGGTGAAGTTGACTTTCTGATCATCGGTATATGGTACAAGCCAATGGGCAGCAATATGGAACGGAATATGCTTATCGCGGCGATACTCGTTCAGAATCTCCCAGGTGGCTTCATCCATGGCCATATCCACAACGCCGGTATAGCCAGCGGCAGTGTAGGCGTGAATAGCTTTGTCCAATGCAGCAAGCTTGTCTTCTTTGGAGTAGAGTTTCTCCACATAGGGCCAGGCCATGTTTAGTGCAGCAGACTCATCTAGAAGACCGGAAGGTCTTCCGTTCTCATCACGATGAATACAGCCACCCGGAAGATCGGGGGCGGTATAGGCCCCCATTCCTTCCAGAGCAGCCGAGTTGCACCACATGGAGTGCAGATCGAAGGAATCAATGAAAATAGGCCGCGGGTCAAGATCATCAAGCATGCTTGCTAGCGCAACGCCTTTCGTCGATAATTGAATCCATCCTCGGCAAAATATTTGCGGCACGGACGGGTTAGCCTCAGCGTAGGCTTTGATTGTTGCGCGGATCTGTTCGAGAGATGTGCATTCGATGAGGTCGACCTTTTGCAAAGAATGGCCGAAATGCAAGATGTGTACGTGGGCATCAATGAAGCCAGGGACCACAACGCGGTTGTCCAGATCGACAATATTGGCGTCCGCAGGGATCTGGGCATCGTCTAGCGAGCCAACGTAAGAGATGCGATCATTATTGATAATCATGCCCTCGGCAAACTCATTGGCACCCTTGGTCGAGGGTGAGGAGGGCACAAGAATGCGACCATTTCGGAAGACGGAAGTCATGATTAAGTGATCGCGAGAAGTTAATTTTGATCGCAATGGAAATATCCTTCGATGGCAGAAGCTATTTAACGAAAGGCGCGGGGTAATCGGGATCTGTTCTAGATACCCTGTATCTCTAGGACTTTCCTTTCGTAGGTCCAGAAGGCTGATGGTCCGTCGAGAAGGTGCACTTTGATACGTGAAGTGGAGAAATGCCGCTCTTGCATTGTGGGATGCGGGTGCTCAGGCGGAGGGATTAGATCGGCGACGGTCGGACTTGCGCCGCGGCAATTGCTAGTGCTGTAGCAGTGGACGGATCTCGGGTCGACTGGCTAAAAGCAGCTAGTCGATGTTGTATTTTCCTTATCCGCGCAATTTGACGCAATTGGTCAGTTTGTGATGGGGTCTCTGGGAGGAGTGGATACCCTTGTAGAAGATGAAGACGAAGATGGGACGAGTTGACAAGAAGATAATAAGAAGATGATTCTATATATGAAACTAACAAGCGCCTTCGAGGCGAGATTGATTGGATGATACTTTTAGTCAAGGACCTTTGTTATCTTTGAAGATTACTTGCTTATCTTTGTATGTATCTCAACATATCATGGTTGCTCGTTTGCCGACCCTGGTAGGAAGCAGATCTGGACGGTCCGTGGGCCCTCAGATCTTAAATCGATCCCTCCTCGAGAACGAACGTCAGACTCCTTTAGCAGTCATCATTAGTTCATCTTTATGATAACTTAGTACGGCATCTCGTAGCCGACGGTGGGTTAGATATGCCACTTAAACCCAATCCCCGCCACCGCCCGGGCTATTATGAAGATATTTCCCCGCATCAACACCTGGGGAGACGATACGGGCTTCATTCAACCTCTTCATCTTATTGGCCATGCCCCAACCTTCCCCTTTTGAGAAAGGCTCCATACAACTGGGCGGCCGATGCCTGCGTTGTGAATGGCTACGGGATATCAGCCTTCATACCTCATGACGATAAGGCAAGCAAGAGTGCAGGCTTGATCCTCACGACCGAGCAGAACGAAAATGATAAAAGGTCCCCGTCCTCCGTGAACATTGCAAATTCTCCGCCCTTCATCGCAAGGTCTAAAGCAGACCTTCCGCTACCCCTGAAAGCCGACCTGTATATTCCACAAGTATGTCAGCGGGCAATTATGACATCGACCCGGCTTGGCCTCCAGGCACCGTGGGACTTGAAGGTAAGAAACGATCTATTTGTTTTCCCCCGAAGACTCTGCCCAGGTGGACTTGTCACTGACAAAGCTTTTTGATAGACATCTCTCCTTCAACTGAAGGAGCGGAAGTAATCTTCGAGCCAAAGCCATCCAGCGACCCAAATGATCCGTTGGTCAGTATTTCGACTTCTGTCATTTCTCTCGACGAGCTCTGACTTTTTTGCCTCTTAGAATTGGCCGCAATGGAGAAAATACGTGAATTTTGCGTTCGTTTCTTACTATGTCATGATGGTGCTTGCGCTGTGAGTCTTTCCTTCTCCTTTGCCTTGCCGGTATTAATGGTTTTGATTGAATACTGAACGTTACCAGCATTGACGTCGCGACTGTCACATGGGGACCAGTGAATGCCGAACTGGGCTTTAGCTTCGTTTTGCTCAACGACAGTTACGCCGCCGGTTGTGGAGCGCTGTGCATTGGAGCCGTGATACTTGTCCCTTTCGCTCTTAAGTTCGGACGACGACCCATATACGTTTTCAGCACGGCCGTCCAATGTGGCATCAGTATTTGGTCTGCCCGGATGCAAACCGTGGCAGACCTAATGCTGGTCAACGTATTGAGTTGCATCGTCGGCGCTCTGGCAGAAGTCCTTGTCCAAATGACAGTGGCGGATATGTTCTTCGTGCACGAAAGAGGCCTCATGAACACGTTGTACTATTGGGTGACGACTGTGGGTGTCACCCTGGCCCCGCTGGCTGGTGGGTATATCACTCTTGGCCAGGGCTGGCGTTGGGTGTGGTGGTGGATGGCCATTTTGTTTGGAGTTGGATTGGTTGCCTTTGTTTTCTTCTATGAAGAGACGATGTTCTGTGTGCCATCCATCGATGGGGTCCCCGTTGCTGATAAGATGGGACCGGAGCCAACCTCTGAGAAGCAGGGGTTCGAGGCATCTGACTCAAAGCGAGATGAACAAGGCCTGGTTCCGCACACCACACAAGTTGAACCCGTCCAGATTGATTACTCGATTCCAAAGAAGCCCTACTTGAAGAAGTTGGCATTATGGACCAATTCTCCCATGTCTTTCATCGAGTTATTGAAGCACAGCTATCAGCCGTTCTTGATCATGTTCAGTATTCCAGCGGTCTTCTTCATGGCCCTAGAATACGGAATCATGACTGCTTGCACAACAGTGCCAGTCACAACTCTCTCATCAGTCATGACTCTCCCGCCGTACAATTTCGGCGCGGCCCAAATTGGCTTGATGGGGCTTCCCCCGTTTATCGGCGCTAGCCTGGCAACTATCATATGTGGCCCATTGAGTGACTCCATTGCGCTTCGACTGGCGAAGAGAAATGGCGGCGTGTTTGAGCCCGAAATGCGTCTCTGGCTGTGCCTAATATTCCTGCCACTCGTTCCAGCAGGCCTCTTCATGTTTGGAATTGGTCTGAATAATGGCTCTCATTGGCTTCTTCCAGCATTTGGATTGGGTATTAATGCGTTTGGCGTGGTTCCTGCCAGCAGTGCTGCGCTCACATACCTCACCGATGCATACACAGATGTAAGTCTTATGCCAGTTAAAAGAAGCGACTCATTTCTAATCATTTATTCTAGATCATCGCCGACTCTATTGTTGGGCTCACCTTCATCCGTAACTTGATCTCTACAATCTTTGTCTTTGCTCTGGCACCGTGGGTCGACCGGGTTGGATTGACATGGTTCTATGTGACCTTTGGCTTGATCACCACATTCATCATGCTCGGGAACATTATATTCATCTATTTTGGAAAGTCATTCAGAGTTCGTAGTGCAAGGAAATATCGCTATTTCAGTGCGCACTGAATCGGAGCAGCATGAAAGGTTGATCAAGAATCATTCAGATAATTTAGCTCATAACTGTAGCCTTTTGATAGCACGCACTCTTAATAACTAATTAGTTGAATCAACTAAGCAGGGGAATTACAATTCAATACACAAAGAAAGTGTCCAAGTATCAACATAATTTAGGACTCTGAGCCTGGTTGACAACAATGGCGCAGTCGAAGTAGATGTGTGCATCAGAACGGGATTTGACTGCACACTAAAACCCGTAAAAAGCAAGCCACAAATTCTGTTCAGTCCACGAGATCTCGGCAAGATGAACCAACCAAAAGATCAGCTTGATTGAAGGTTGCAATTTGAATTGCCGAGGTGAGGTGTATGATAGCGAATGAAATGTTGGAATCTATCGGATGCGGGGAATGTTGATAGGAGAGTACTTTGGATCCGATATTCCGCACTATAAAGTCAGTAAGCTGTTCCCCATCTCTGCCTGCATTCCAGAGTCATTGAATAGCTCAGATTTTGAAAGTTTTTAAATTCCCTGTTCTGTGATTTCTTGCAAAAATGCCAATTCACAAGATCGCTGTTATTCAGCTAAGCCCGAAGGTAAGCTCGGAATGCTCATGAGGCTCTAATCATCCCTACAACACGTGTTGACGTGATCACTACCAGACTCCTAATGAGATTGAGTCCAATCATCGGCGGGCTGTATCATTTATTAGGGATGCAGCCAGCGCTGGGGCACACTTAGCGGTCCTTCCAGAATACCATCTGGCCGATTTTGCCCCCGGTCACGATCCTGAAATTCGCAAGCAATGTGCCAACTGGGAAAGTTATCTGGATGCATATTGCGCTTTAGCCAAAGAGTGCAATATTTGCATCGTCCCTGGATCCCTTGGGGAATTGCACTCTGACGGCACGATCGTCAATGCGGCATACTTTATCGATAATACCGGTGCTATCAGGGGCAGATACGAGAAAAAGAATCTCTGGCACCCCGAGAGACCCTTTGTCAAGGGCTCGGGAAATGACAGTCGTCATGTTGCCTTTGACACGCCGCTCGGAAAAGTTGGCTTACTGATCTGTTGGGACTTGGCGTTCCCGGAAGCGTTCCGAGAGCTGATTATGCAGGGCGCGAAGATGATTATCGTGCCAGCATTCTGGAGATATACCGATGCGGGGGACGTTGGCATCAAGCGCAATCCTAAATCGGAGGGGGATTTTGTCGATGCCGCTGTTGTTAGTCGGGCTTTTGAAAATACTTGTGCGGTGGTGTTTTGCAATGTTGGTGGTCCGGCAGAGGCGGGGTTTGCTGGACTCTCTCAGGTTGCATTGCCGTTTCTCGGTCGGGTTGAAAGGTTTGAAAATAGTGACGAAGGCATGAAGATTGTTGAGATTGATATGGATGTTCTGGAAGAGGCTGAAGGGGAATACAAAGTGCGGCAGGATCTTGCTACACCGGATTGGCATTACGGTTATCGCCAATGACAGTGCCTAGCAACCTGCCTATGGGATGACATATTAGGACATAGAATTTGTTGTGCTGGTCCTCCGCAAGGAATAATGCCTGGAACCTACCATCATCATGATTCAACTGCTCTCTAAGGAAGCCACATAGTATGTCCACGTAATCCAACATGGCTGAAGCTGAAAAGCGGAAAGCATTCTCGAATGATTGCATAAAGCTTGACATGCCAAGATATCGACTGTAGATTTCTTACATAAAAGAAATAACACCGGCAAGGCATCTTTTCCGACAGCATGAAGCAAAAACTGCCAAGCCGCTGTCTAAATCGGTCGGTCGCTGATGGGGCGACGCAAGCAAAGTACAGAGCAGCCAGTAGAAGCAAAGGCCCTATTGTTATCAGCAAATCACCTTGGATCAAGATTCGTGGGGCCATCGCCCCCGAAGTTGACAAACTAAATAATTTGTAAAGGCAGCAGCGAAAATTTGGGAGATTGTAGATCATTACCCCGACCCGTGATGTCATGCAGAATCAGCAGGATCCCAAGTCCAATGAAACTGTAATCGTGGAAAAAGGTATGCGTAACACTCCAAGGCAGAGAGGACAAAAGTAGGTGCAAGATGGCGAGAGTGTGGCGACACACAGGGCGCGATTTTCCGTTGCCAGTCTTTTGGAGATCGGATTTCCTAGTAAAACCCGTGCCCGAATTGTCGCGGCCGAACAAAACAATGGACCGCAAGATATCAAGCCCAGACCGAGATATTTTCGACCCGTTGAGAGGAAACTCTGGATCAGGGCGGTCTTGGCCGTGGAGAGTTTCAGCCTCTTCCAAACGGCAAGTGTGTTGGACAACAGCTGGAGCCTGCACCGCCATGAGTCCATGACGCAAAGAAAAGGGACCGATTCATGCCGAAGAGCAATTGGCTGGGACTCACGGTGCCTTTCCTGTTTCAGCGCTAGGCCTTGGGGGGTTTCTCTTGGGGGCGGGTGGATTGCGATTGGATGCCAAGCAGAGTTCACAAACCATAGCTTGAGAAAAAAAAAATATAACCCCATCGGGCTGAGCTTGGGGGTCCACATGGGTGACCCTGGTGAGGACAAAAGGATGAAGATCAGACATGTCGGATGAGCCTCCAAGGGTGTGTTCAGTGGTGCGGTTTATTTTAGGCGACAACTGGGGGTTGTAAACTTGGTCCAGGCTAAGGCTGCCGAGGGGGGCGGATTTAAGCCTCGTTAGTCGCTGCCCTATATACCTCCCGCTTGCTGCTTCTCATAATTTCTACCCTTGACACCTTCCCTGCTCATCCCACAAGGTTTCTCTACCAGAAGCTCATCAGATACAATCCTACCCTTACCACCATCGATCTCTGAACAAAAATCATCACCATGCAGTACAAGGCCCTTGCCACTCTGCTCTTCGCCACTGCAGCTCTCGCTGTCCCGGCTTCTGATACCACCATCAGCCCCGACGACTTGCTGGATGATATCACCATGCCCATCATGACCGAAACCATCCCCAGCGGTATCCTGTCCGTCATTGAGACCGCCATCCCCAGCACCTGGTACCAGGCCCTCGAGACCGACTCCGCCTTCCAGTCTTCCGTGCTCAACGACATCCTCCACAGCACCTATCCAGCTTGGTACAACAGTCTGCCCAACAGCGTCAAGTCATGGGCCACCGCCGAGGGTGAGGCCGAGTTCTCGGCTCTCTCCAGCTACTTCAGCGGCATGCCCACTGTTACTCCCACTTCGGGCTCCGGCTCCGCCGGTAGCAGCTCTCACGCCTCGTCCACTCCTCTCTCCACCGGCCACAGCTCGACTTCCGCCTCTACTCGCCTGACTTTGACCTCCACTGCCACCCAGACCAAGACGGCCTCCGGCAGTGGCTCTTCTTCAAGCTCTGCTTCCGGTTCTGGAACTTCTACCTCTACTGGGGGTGCCCCAGCTGCTACTGGTGGCCTTGCTATCAGCCTGGCTGGCGCGGCTGGTGTCCTAGGTCTTGCCTTTGCTCTGTAAGATGTACTCTGAGGGATGCACAAAAGGCGCTCGGTTAGAGGCATTGTGGACGTGCTTTGGGGGCTCTTTTCTCAAATCCATAAATGATTTTACTGCTGTTCATGACGAATGCTTTCTGATGGCAACACAATAACTCCTACGTAATCACGATCTTTCTCACTGAGAATCAAAAACATCTCAATCTTTAATCCAACAATATTATTGCCCTGCTCGGGAAGCTTTATGCCAGCTCCCTGACTTGGAAGAAATCCTTGCGGTGTAGCCACCTCCCGCTATTCTTGCGTCCATTTGGAGTAGAAAATTATGCTAACAAGATATAACACCATATTGATGCCGACAGTCTTTATTCATGCTATGATACTGACCCGGGTAATGTTCTTATCAATGATGTGTTTCTAAATTCAGGATTTCTGTTTAATGCGGAGGCTCGATGAGTGGATGCGATAACCACAGGAGGAATAAAGATCAAATGCACAGGGCGATGGCCATATTGGACTGCAAAGTAGCTTGCAGACATGATTCTTAACTGGGTTGATCGAAGAAGCTCCCTTGGCATACGGTAACTGCCGTATAGTTATACCGAAGACCTAAGACGGCTGTGCTGAATCATTCCTATCCGGGATTAGCGATTTCACGATACTCATGTATACAAACACAACAGCCACTGACAAAGGTGATCCTCGTTGGCGGACCAGCGGAAGGATTTATTCAGGTCAGTGGCAGTGGCTGAAGTACGAGTATGTTATGGAGATTCCCTCGTCTTCGATAGTTCCGTTGAAGGCTTCGTTAGAGAAACGGCCTGTTGGGCAACATCAGCAAACCTATTCACGATTCCAGAGGCAGCGCTGAAATATAAGATAAACCCGTCACATTTTGAGATATTGTATTATCGAGCCATGCTATCAATTCAGTGGAAATCCCGTCGCAGATGGCATTCTGTAGTATATCAACGGGTGATAACCTGAAGGGGCTTCGTCTTTGATTCTGAGGATACGGATAGCCAGCGTACACTTCCTTGAGGTATTTCGGCCCCACAAACCGACATCAGCTATCACCCCCTGCATCGTGAATCTGCCGAAGATTTGAGCCGGTGATATTTGGCACTTTGGTCGACATAAGCCCCGGTCTGTTTAAAATCACGCTATGCAGGGGTCAACAGACGGTTGCCTGTTTGGCAGAAACAGTTGATATGCGTGGAAATTGCTGGTCAGGAAATCCCACCAATAGCAGCCCCAACTTATCACAGTGAGAAGGCAACTTGACACGTTCCCAGTGCCTTTTGTGTCTTATTCCACGGCCATGGCCATCAGGAGACCCTCCTGGTACCCCGCACCCCGCAATGCCCCTAGTAAAAGAGACGCGTCTATATCCGAATCTCTATATCCGGATGTTTGTGTCCGCATTCTAAGAGATAAAAAGCATATTATACATTAGTTGAAGCCATTTGCCTTCGATTTGAACTTCACTCACTTCGAGGATTGTCGAGAAAGAGCAATCACCGGCGAGAGCCTTCTGGTTAAGCAAGATTCGTCCAACAATATCAGTTGCGAGAGATTCAACATGGGAGATTCTGGATCTGCACCCATGACCTCCAACGACGGTGATATTCCGGGCTCTGTGCCTGTCCTCATCGTCGGTGGAGGTCCTGTCGGTCTCTTGCAAGCACTGTTATTGTCGCGACTTAATGGTGAGATTTCCCTCCTCCGGAAATTGTTAACCATCGTTTCGGTTCAAAGATATCCATTGCAATAGTACGTGCTAATTCTTTTTGCAGTCCGCTCGCTGATTGTCGAACGCTATCCCGAGCGCCTGGGAGCACCCAAAGCGCATGCAATTAACCCGCGATCTTTGGAGATCCTACGACAATATGGCCTCGGCGAGAAGCGGATTCGTAGTCTTGGTACGGCTCGTGCCGATGGACACTGGGTCAACTTTGTGACCAGCCTGTCTGGCGAAGCGGTTGGCAGACTTCCTTATGAACGTATGGATGTGGCCGTGCTAGATGACACCCCAGAAGTATTTCACCCTGCAGAAAGCACACCTCTACAACAGTCGCGTCTAACGCGGAAAACCAGATGATACACAACATCTCGCAACCGGTCTTGGAAGAGGAGCTCACGAAATTGATTGAGCAAGATCCCAATATTGCCCTCAAGAAAGGCTACAGTATTCATTCTGTGCTCCAGGTACCCTCTACTCCTGCGATTCTTCCTCAACTTTCCCTATTGAATATTTTGATACATATTGATACTTTCTACAGGGTGAGGACGAGGTTACCGCAACTATCAAACAGACTCGAGGTGAAAATCTCTATAAGGTCACTGCTCGGCATCTTATAGCCTGTGACGGGCGTAAGAGCAGAGTACGCGAACTTCTTGAAATTCCTTCAGAGGGCGAGGGCTCGGACCAAACAATGATGACCATCCACTTCAGCGCCAACTTACGACCTGTCGTCGGCGACCGCGTTGGTATGCTGTACTGGATAATGGACCCAATTGCGGCAGGCTTCATTATTGGCTATGATCTAGGCGAGACACAAGTACATATCAGCGAGGTCGATACAGCCGAGTACCCTGTGGAATCATGGACGGAAGAGATGTGTCGGGCCAAAGTTCGTGCGGCCATTGGCCAGGATGTTTCGTTCGATATCTTGAGTTTTAGGCCGTGGGTATTCCGGCGACAGATTGCGAAAACCTTTCAGAAGGGCAATATACTCCTGTGAGTACCGTCATTTTTCACGCTCTCTCTTGAGATTCACCGTCAATTGCTAATGAATTCTACAATACAGCGCTGGAGATGCAGCTCACTCGTTTCCCCCACTGGTGGCTTGGGGCTGAATTGTGGCATTGCAGATGTGCACAATCTTGCCTACAAGATTGCCATGATTCACCACAAGGTGGCAGGCGCATCTATCCTCTCGACATACACACCTGAGCGTCGAAGTATAGCAGACAATTACTCCAAGCAAAGCGTCAAAAATGGAGACAAGATCTTCAAGTTGGTCAAGAGCTTAAACATGGCAGGTGTCACAGATATTGAAGAAGCTCGCAAGAACCTCCATGAGGCTTTGAAGGATCCTCGGCAGCGGGAGAAAGTTGATGAGGGAATTGAGGAACAGAGGGAACACTTTGACAATGTGAGTCGATTGGATCTTGCTATCGATCTAGAGATCACTAGAAGCTGACGAGCGCTATCACTGCCATTTAGCTCGAGCATCACATTGGATATGTGTATGGATCAGATAAGCCCCCTACTCACGCCTCGTATTACCACCCCAAATTCATTGCAGGAGCTCGGTTACCCCATGCCTGGATTTCATTCACACCCTCAGCTCGAATTCAGGCATCCACCATGCGCCTAGAGCCGATAGACGTCTCCTACGTCAAGGAGCTCAGTGCAGCTCAGATCAGCCAATGTCAGTGGAGTACACTGGATTTGTGCAACCCAGATTCTTTTACGTTGATCTTGGGCGAACAAGACAATCAAGGACATACCCGATTCTCCAAGGTCGAGAAGCACTTTGAAGACAAAGATATCCCTCTTAACGTGTGGCGTCTTGGCCAAGATCTCAGCGTGGTGAGACAGTCGTGGTTCGCTTCAGAGATCCGCCGTGGAGGGCTTTTAATTCGACCCGATCAACACATTCTTATGAGGATTACTTCTCTTAAAAGCAGTGAAGAAATTATCTCGGTGTTGGATAGCCATTTAAAAGTATAGAAGAATAGACACAGATCACTCAACTCATTCGGGACGCCAATAACTTGATCGCACTTTTTCAATTTTTCAAGCACGACAGCAACCGCAAGCATTACTTTCAGAACCAATCGATCTTTTGGTCACATATGACATGCTGGGGATATTTTCGGATAGACACTCAAATGAGCGCTTTGCGTCGGTCACTCGCCGCTGTAGCGATATAATCCCTAAAAGCCCCCACTTTTTTCTTCAAAACCCCCACACAGAAATTCTAGACTCAACAAAATGAGTGGAGAAATCCAATGCTAAAGGTGCCAAGGCAAACTAATGGACGGCCGGCGCAACTTAGCTCTTACTCAGAAACAAGACTGGTTGGTCTAATCCCTATTTTGTGGATCAGTTGTGAAGAGTCGGCACAGTCCCTTAGCACGCCATCGGTGGCATCAATGGCCTTATGTAAAAGCCGGCAGACCGAAAGAGTAAGTGTAGAAATATAGATACTAGGAAGGTCCGCCCTGTGCTGCATCTTTTCTGTGTAGACAACAGACGAACGGAAGGGATTGTTCACAGTAAGCGAGATGGCCGACTCAAGCGCAAAATCACCGTCCGACGAGGAGGTTTCGACTTTCCCTGAGAAAAGGGTTTGGCATCGCAGCACACTTTTCAATGCCTTCATCATCGGAGGCGTTGGATTCCTGGCTCCTGGGCTGTGGAATGCAATGAACTCCCTTGGAGCAGGCGGTGCTGAATCACCGTACCTGATCAACGCGGCCAATGCCTTAGTTTTCGGACTGAGTATGTCTCTGACTTCAGTCGAGTCGTGTGGGAATTTTGTCACTGATGATATCTTCTGGTTGCTAGTGGGCTTTTTGTGCGTCTTTGGTGGTCCAATTGCCAACCGTATTGGAATGAACCGGACCCTGCTGTTGGGTGCAGCTGGCTATCCGATATACTCGTAAGTTGGCCTGAAGACACTACAGGAGATCAATAATCTAACGCAAGATCAAGGGCTGCACTGTATACGAACAATCGTTATGTGAGTGCCAAGTTTTGCAGCAAATTTTGAAATTACTAACAATTTGAAGGGCAATGAATGGTTTGTGTTGCTGGGAGCAGTGGCCTGTGGATTATCGTGAGTTCGAAATACAGACTTGTGATTGACTGAAGCAGCTAACCAAATCAGGGCCGGTTTATTCTGGGCCTCCGAGGGTGCGGTGGCACTTGGGTATCCTGAGCCAGCAAAGCGAGGCCAATATATGAAGTGAGTGACCTGACATCCTGAACATACTGATCTCTTGGGGATGAGACATCATGCTCATCAATCAATAGTATCTGGCTTTGGTTTCGGACGGGCGGGCCTTTACTCGGAAGTGCTATTGTCCTTGGATTGAACCAGTAAGTCGGTTCCTAAGAAGGGAAGGGTTTCCGCTCACTGTGATATAGCTCTTCCGCTGCCAAGAAAAAGGGCAAAGTCGGATCCGGTACGTTACACTTTCTTTAATCTGAGGACTTGTTGCTAAAAGAACTTCACAGAGACCTATCTCATTTTTGTCGCATTGCAATGTCTGGCGGTCCCACTAGCATACTTCCTCACACGCCCGGAGAAGGTCCAGCGTAGTGACGGAAGCAAAGTCAAGGTTATTGCACAGGATTCTTGGAAAGCAGAATTTGTTGAGCTTTGGCGAGTTTCTGCTCGTAAGGAGGTACGTTTTCGCCTGAATCTATGATGTGAAAGCTAAGCTCATATAAACGAATCTCCAGATTCTGTTATTACTGCCCGTGTTCTGGGCGGCTTACTTCAATCAGTATAATGGGAGTAAGTCCAGTGGATGCCTTTCATATGGTAAACTTGGTCTGATTGAAATTTCTAGACTTTGAGACGTATTATTTCGGAGTTCGCGCCCGAGCTTTGATTGGACTTGTTGGTAGGTTTTAAATTCATGCATCAAGTTGCCAATTCAGAGTGCGGAAACTAACGTCTTATTTTTCAGCTTATCTCGCTGCTCTTCTTTCGTCATGGCTTGTCAGTCGCTTCCTGGACTATAAAGGTCTAAGCGTGAAACTTCGCATCACATACAGGTGAGTCCTCACATATTGACGAGCTCTCGGATATAGACTAATATCTGAATATCCAGCTTCTTCTACGTCATTGCTCTCCATATCCTTGCCTGGGTCTATGGCTGGGTAGTTCAGGAGCAGTATACGGCCAACCCTCCGTCCTACGACTGGTCTGACAAAGGCTTTGCTAAAGGAATGTTTGTTATCATTCTCTGGCGTAAGAACCCTTTTTTCTCTCCTTGATATTGACCTACTTGCTTATTGTGTCGTTCTAGAATTCTCTCAGCAAGCTCTGCAAAACTGGCTCTATTATCTTCTTTCAACTATGACCGACAACATTTCTGAACTTTGTATGTTTCAAGATATGCGAATGCGTAGCTCTGTTTTATACTTTGCTAACCAATAATAATAGCTCGTTTATCAGGTGTCCTGCGTGGCCAAGAAAGTTTCGCCCAGGCAGTTTCATATGGCCTCAACACTCGGGAGTGGTATGGTGGTCGAGTTCCTCTGGCGGTAAACACAATTCTGCTTGGTGAGTGACAGGAACATTCTATTCTTCGGCAAGGAGGTACTAATGCATTTTTCGACAAGGCCTTGCCGTACTGCCTACGTGGCTTGTTGTGAGGAATCATACACCTGTCGAGCATGTCAAGAGTGAGGACACTTGGAATTCAACTCAAGATGAGGAGCAACCACTCCCTCAGAAAAGTGACAAGGAGATTGCCAAGGCCAGTTTAGTGGTCGATGCAAATGAGGTCACCAAGTAAGGCATCAAAGCTGAAGTGCGGCACTCGCGGGGACAAATATGACCTATGCTCAGGGTGGACCTTGTTAAAAATAATACGGGCTGAATAGGTTGATAGCGAGCTTGACTTAGCTTGAAGCCGAATAAAGTCAAAGAAGAGAAGATGCAATGTCAAGGTCTATAAAGCTAATCAAACATATATTGTGATCAGGAAAGTTGTACAATCACTGCCTCCGTATCCCAAACATTGACAGAGATGTGTCCGTTCATGTTCTTATCCTTGTTGATAACCAACTTCTCCTCCTCGTATCCCGCAACCTTACGACCAAGACCCTTACTAAGCTTCCAGCTCCACTGCTCACCATTCCAAGTCACGTTTTGCTGTGGACCACCAAGGTCAAATCCGAGAGCAGCAGCACCATGCTCAGACTGCATGCGCTGAACAACGGCCGACTTCACATCTTTGCCAATGTCAATCTGAGCAACGTATCTTGGACGAACGGCCGGGCCATACTCCCATTGGCGCATGTTTATTATCGCAATGCGCGACAACTTGTCGGTCTTCTGATCAAACATTGCATAAGCGCTGAGGAAGTCATTCTTCAGGTCGATCTCTTTAATCTTTCCAAGTTTATCATTGCCAATGAAGTCAGCAATGAACGGCGCCGCCGGGAAGATGCCCTGGACAGCGCGTGTCTTCGCATGGGCGCTCGTATCATCAGGCAGCCACCAAGCGTGTGTAGCATCTGGACCATGCGTATTGCAGACTCGCTGAATGCCGTGCCACATAGCAGCCAGATGGAAATCCACTGCCCAGATGGCCGCGCCAAAGCCGCCTGCGAATTCGACTGCAGTATTTCCGATGGCGGATCCAGCTTCTGAAATGACAAGAGGCACAGACTTGTCGATGCCATTTAAAGATTTAACAGCCGCGGCATAGGGAGCAAGTTTATTAGTGATAGCTTTGTGGTTCATCAAAGTGTCTAAATTTAATGTAAGTTAGCGCGATATTCCGCTTCACTGGTGATGAGGCACTCACCTTTCAGGTCTGCGGCAGTGTATTCGTGGCCACCGTCATTTGCGCCAATCACCTGGTAGTAGTGTTCAGCGGCATACTTGATTTCTTTCTGCTGTGTAGACGTTCCCTTAAAGAGGGGCTTTAGTAGATCCATGCTTCGGGCCAGTTAGCTTGATTGAGATAATGGTGTAGGTCTTGAGGAACTTACAGTGTGAACTTGCTAGGTGAGTCCGCCTTGCTTGCCACTTCGGCCGCAATCTCTCCCGTCTGGAAGATCCGAGCCTCATCTCCTTGCAATTTGAAATCCTTGACGACTTGCTCTTGAATCTTTTGTGATCGCTGAATATATCCATCAACACCATATGCTTTGTACCAGTTTGGCTCATTGCCGAGGGCAATCGCCGCCACTCTCTCCTTGTTCGCTCCTTTGTTGGTGGCGGCGCCCCATGCCTGCTGCAGGAAAGCCATCGAAGCTTCAAGCTTCATCTCATCTCCCATAGGAGCTTGAAGAGTCCAGTGTGAATCCTCGAAGCGTTTCAAAGCATCGAAATAGTCTGGCCCGACGGTATAATCGTCCAGGCTGTTGCAAAATTTCTTGCTCGAATGGCAATCGGCAGCGACTTTGGTTTGCTCAGGCTTGAAAGTGATATGATCACCGCTTGTGCCACCCACACGAATGACCAGCGGCTTGCTCATACGGGATTGAATAGAGTGCACCACGTTGACGGAGAAATCATTATCGTAATGGGGAAGTAGTCCAGACTCGAACCCAAAGCCAAAGAAATCAGCTGGTACAGCGACAGCCCCAGTCGATGCAGGAATAGGAATCGTGACGTCTGTACATCCTACGCAGGTCGAGGGCACGGGCTTAGCAAAAGTGGCTCCCATTGTGAGGAAAGTGCCAGCCAGCAAGGGAAGCATTGCGGAGTATTTGGTGTTTTGATCTATGAGGGACCGTACACATCACGGAAGAATACAAAGAGTCTTATATGCCGATGGCTGATCCTTTGGCCCCGACCCCAAGGGTCTGAGCCTTGTTTCTATGAAAAGATCCTTTGCGGCTCGGTTCCACGAAACTCTCTAGCGCTCTATGGGAGCCTTCAACGTCTAAATACTGTCCAATCCAGTCAAGATGTCCAAATCTTGCTTCGAAGCTAAAGTCAACAGACGCTGTTGGATACAGAGGTCGTCGGGCTGGACTTGATATGTATCTTCAAATGTCACTTGATAATGGAGGATATTACATGCACTTCGATTTAGTCATTCCAACCCACAGATATTTTCACTGCCCGGCCCCTGGACCCTGTATCCTGGGGCCAAGCCTTGCTGGATTCATTGTATGCAGGGACTGCTCTAAATTTTGGAGCTTTGTTGGTAAGAAATGATTAAACGGGGGCTACAATGAAGGTTTCAGATAACAAAAGGATCCCTCTATAACAAAGGGCTACAGGCACTCGCGGTAGCCAAGCTTTTACCCTGTCTGCCGCCCCAGTGTCGAGAGGCTCTATAATTCGCTGTAGTGGATTATCCAGGGTCCAAATGTGGTGTACAGGGGTTTACCAGGCACATAGCCTCGTCAATCGAGCCAATAGAGGTATCAGCATAGGATTTGCCTGATAATCCATTCAGCGAGAGTTCGAGAAAATACGATGAGATCTATTTTTGACTCGGCCCGACGAACGTGTGGGGGCGGCCAATGGAGGGGCCAAAGAGCGTAACACGAGCAAACAAAGACCTTACCCCAGTGAACACAACAGATTTCTCGCTTGTATGTTGGCTGTATGGCTCGTTATTTAAATAACTTAAGTTCAAGAGTTCCCGCCCTCGTAAAAAGGGAACCTCTTTTTAGCCATATGGGTGTTGGAATGCCTATCAATGGAACTACGAATTCTGAGAGACTACCCTCATCAAGAATGTATCTCTAAATGTTTAGGAGAATCTAGCTAGCATCTTGTGTCCTAATTCGTTGAAATCACTGAACATGGTTTAATCTGTTGTGGATTCTAGGCGTCCAGTGCCCCAGCTTAGAAGCCATGTGCACTCTCTCGCTATGTTCACAGCTTAACCAGCTGGGCGTGGAATACAACATATGCCCGTATTAGGTTCTGGCGGCATGAAAACAAACAAGATTTTTTCGTAGAGTCTGGACACTCATCAAATTTTGTCTCAGAGTGATTATATTGGGAAATAGCAGATATAAATATATTGCAAATAACACAAGGCTGTTCGGTATCTCCTTTCTCAGTTTCGGCCCCGGCCCCAAAACGACGACACTCAGCTCGGCGACCTTGGAGATGTTCCTGTTCAATAGTTGTGGTTTAAATCACACCAGTGAACATTTCCCTCGTAATCAATGCATTTTCATGCTCAGCCTCGATTTAGAATATGTACGGGTCATCAGGCCTGGCACTAATTTGATCAAGGCCGAATCATGTTAGTCCTATTCACTGATGTAAACAAATTATTGCTCGAGTACAAAATTTCCTTTGGCCCAAAGCATTGTATGAGAAAGGACATGTAGATTCTGTCTAATTTCCGAGGTCTGGGATCTCTCAAGTAGTGAAAAGGAAGCTGCCTTTGATCATAACGTGTATATTCGTCGAGTACCCCCGTCCATCCTTTCTCATACCGAGGCTAGAGTCCTTTCCAGAAATCCTCGATTAGTCCAGCAACCTCAGGAACCCTTTCCCTTACAACTCCATGTCCAACCTGCGGTACCACAGCAATATTCCGCATGCCAACATTCTCAAGCTTTTCCACACTACACACATCATCAAGCTCTCCCAAAACACTCAGATTCGGAATTCCACTTTTTGCCGCTTTAGCAAATTCAGGATCTTTATCGAAAACCCCGCCATCCCTAAAGACAGCTACCACACTTGCAGCGTGACCTTCATGCTCCTTCATTTCCCACTCGCGGACTGCCTCGGCAACCACTTCGCCCCTCGCAACCCTCTCCTTCCAATTCGCAGGAACCACTAACTGTCCTCCCTCTAGGAACTCGAGAACCCAGGCTCGCGCGCGCTCCTCCAATCCCTCACCACCGCGAATGTAACTATTCTGCTCCTCACTAAAGTCGCTCGTGTGCAGTAGACCCGCAGGCGCGACAAGAACCATAGACGCGACACGCTCGGGATGCGAGACTGCAAAGGTTGCTGTCGTTGCTCCGCCAAACGAATACCCAATAAAATGGGCATCTTTCCACCCAAGATGTACCATCAGAGCTTCCAAGAGTGCATGGAAGAGTGCGGGTTCGTGTGGGATGACCGGTGTGTCTGTTAACCCGTGGCCCCACTGGTCAACGAGGACACATTGGGCGTGTGGGAAACGAGAAGATAGTGCGCTTGCTAATGGTTGTAGCCCGATCGCGCAGGTCTGAATCCCGTGAACGAAGAGAACGCGTGAAATTGTGTTGGAGGTGTCGGGGGTTGCTGGAGATGAGGCTGGTAGCTCGTAATAGGCAGCTCTACCGTGCGGTGTTTGCAAATATGACGCTTGTGGTAGCAGCTGGCCGAAGGTTGCAACAAAATCGGCCTGGGATGGTGCTCGAATAGGTTGGAGCGCAGCGCTGGGCTTGGTTCCAGGACGAGGCAGCACGATCATAGTGCTGGACATTTCAGAGACCAAAGTGAGATCGCGGATGTTTTGAATATATCCACTAAGAGGGGTATGATCTAACCAGCAAATCAGCATTAAATTCCATGGATTTCGAAGGTACCATCCTACCAAGATACTATAATTTGTTGGGCTGGATGCAAGTTTGTACTCGATCAAGATAAAAACAAACTCCAGGTATTTAAGTGTCTTCTATAGGGACTCGTCAGCGTTGACACCAGGTTGATATCTGGAGTTAACTAGATAACAGACAACATTGGTAAGCAAGGCTGTCAGACGCTAAACTACTTTCGGCTTAGGGCTATTGGTCTGGGATCGAGCATAAATAGGCGAGAGCATTCACTGGTATTCTATCTGGTCTGATTTGCCAGGAACTCGATTTCTATAGTTATGGTGCATTCTCTAGTGCCTCATGCACTAATTCATGAGGCATAATGGACCTTGAGCGTGAATCAAGGTTGCTTGGTCATTCTATGCTAATGTCTAATTGACATCGATTGCTTGAGGTGCATCCAGCCTAACGAGCATCTACATGTAAAACCTGGCCCGTAAACGTGTCATTCACGCTTGAGTTTTACAGATTCCGTCTCTTCCTTTCTATGTCACAGAGTTAGGTCGCACTTCAGTATCGCCCTGTGATTTTATGTGCTGTAGTTACCGTCTAGCCGGCCTCTTGCAACTAAGCTGCCTAGAGCGTCCCACTGTCTTCAATAATCGGGCTCGCCGGAGTGACCGCGAATATCTTCTGAAATGACAAACGATACAACCCTTCAATTTCTCTCGTGTTGCCAGAAGCTATGAGGTTCCCTGATCGGCCGGTCCCCACTGGCACCCTCGGCCAAGCCGGATGTCCGTTGGGCTCCGCAGTCTTCAAAGGCCGTTGAATGGACTCAACCTCGGGACTGCGATCGGGGAGTATAAACGGGAATCCCGTATCTAAATGGCAGCCTAGTGACAATTGTTGGTAGGCACGGGGATTCGAGCCCTGCGATGCATCACGAATGGTTTGTGGTTCCCATTCACGGCGCCATTTCCCCACTTTTCCTCGTCTTTTCCCCAGCGCCTTCGGGTTTATCGTTGCATCCAATCGCTCGACCGCCGATCTCGCCGAGTGGATGAGCAAATGAGTCGCTTTGTTGCTCCACTGACTATCAATTTGGCCTTGGCTTTCACTGATTCATAAAGGCGCGAGATCCCAGAGTTGAAAGAAACGTTCCTCGTGGTTCCTAGTCTCGCTCTCGGTCTTCCCCGCTAGTTAGCCACGATGGGCCTCACGACTTGGCTTGCAGCCGTCTCGCTGGTCGGCACAGCTGCAGCACAATACTTCCCACCTGCTCCCGAAGGATTGACAGTGGTAGACTCGAAACATGAGAAAGGAGTGAAGATCTCCTACAAGCAGGTAGGCTTTTCATTTTTTCCTTGAGCGATCTGCGATATCCCAATACTGGGTCACATGAACTAGTACTAAATTCCGATCACAGCCGGGGATCTGCGAAACCACACCGGGCGTCAAGTCGTACTCTGGTTACGTGCACTTGCCCCCAGGAACCCTGAACGATGTGGGCGTATCTCAAAAGTATCCCATCAACACATTTTTCTGGTTCTTCGAAGCCCGGCATGACCCGAAGAACGCCCCTCTATCCATCTGGATGAACGGCGGGCCCGGCAGTTCGTCCATGATCGGTCTCATGCAAGAGAACGGCCCGTGTGTTGTGAATGCAGATAGTAACTCGACCGAGCTGAACCCCTGGTCCTGGAACAACTACGTCAACATGCTGTACATTGATCAGCCCAATCAGGTCGGATTTAGCTACGATGTAGCGACCAATGGCACCTTCGATCAGATCGCCCAAGCGTGGAATGTTTCCAACTGGAAGCACGGCGTGCCAGAGCAGAACAATACCTTTTACGTCGGCACGACCACCAGCGGGAAGCCCTCGGCGGCTGCTAATGGTACGGAGAATGCTGCACGGTCATTGTGGCATTTTGCGCAGACTTGGTTCTCCGAGTTCCCTGAATACAAGCCTAACGATGATCGCGTGAGCATCTGGACGGAGTCATATGGCGGTCGCTACGGGCCGTCATTCACTGCGTTCTTCCAAGAGCAAAACGAGAAGATTAAGAATGACACGCTCACTGCTGCGGGCGAGTCACACTACATTCATCTCGACACACTGGGTATCATCAACGGTTGTGTTGATCTCCTCGTCCAAGCTCCTTCATACCCCAAAATGGCCTACAACAACACCTATGATCTACAGACAATCAACAAAACCGTCTACACAGAAGCCATGCACGCCTGGAGCCGACCAGGCGGCTGCAAAGATCAAATCAAGCACTGCCGGGCCCTCGCCGCTGAAGGAGACCCCCAGATGCACGGCAACAACGAGACAGTGAACAAAGTCTGCCAGAAAGCCGGCGATTTCTGCAGCAACAACGTCGAGGGCGCATACATCAACTACGCAGATCGAGGCTACTACGATATCACACACAAGAATCCAGACCCGTTCCCGCCAAACTACTTCCTGGGCTTCCTGAACCAGCACTGGGTACAGGGCGCACTTGGCGTACCCATCAACTTCACCGAGTCCATCGACAGCGTCTACCAAGGCTTCCAGTCCACAGGCGACTATGCCCGCGCCGACGTCCGCGGATACCTCGACGACATAGCCTACGTGCTAGACTCGGGTATTAAAGTAGCCCTTGTCTACGGAGACCGTGACTACGCCTGCGACTGGATCGGCGGCGAAGACGTCAGTCTACGCATCCAGCATGCTGAAGCTGATGCCTTCCGAGCAGCAGGGTACGCGCCCCTACGTACGAATGCCTCATACGTGGGCGGCCAGGTTCGGCAGCATGGCAACTTCTCGTTCACGCGTGTGTATGAAGCGGGCCATGAAGTACCGGCTTATCAGCCGCAGACGGCGTATGAGATTTTCCACCGGGCTTTGTTTAATCGTGATCTTGCGACGGGCAAGATTGATACTGCGCGGGATGGGTCGTACTCGACCAAGGGACCGGCTTCGACGTGGCAGTTTAAGAATCAGGTGCCTGAGAGTCCTGAGCCGGTGTGTTATATTTTGGCGTTGGAGTCGACGTGTACGGATGATCAGATTGCCAGTGTGGTGAATGGGACGGCGGTGATTAAGGATTATGTTGTTGTGGGGTGATGGTGGCGGATGTGTTGTGTACGTACAGCCCTGACAGTGCATATCTGTGTATCCCCCTATACATGATCCTTGAAATATAATTCATTGGAATTTTCTGTCATCTCTCTTATGCTTTCCTTGAAATATTTGCCCTCCAAGTAGTATACTATCTCCATCTCAAAATGGCAAACACGTGCCTCACTTAGATTGGCGAATCGAGGCTTGTACACGCCTTCCTAATCGGGAGATCCAGACTCCTCCAGGACGCCTTTAAATACTTCCTCCCTCACCCGCCCTCTCTTCTTCTTCTTTCTCCTTTCCTCTCCCAGGTCTCTCTTCGCCGTTCAAGACACACCCAAGGCACCACCATTATCTCGGGTTCAGTCCCTCTTGTGTCGGGTGGAGATGCCTCGAGTGAGCTTTGTTGGCTTCAGATTTATGAGGTAAACCCTGATGGTTCTCTTTCTGCACCGATGATGAAGAAGATGCTTGGACCAATATATCCCAGAGGCACTACTTACCGCTTGCTCTTTGGACTTCGTCGGCCTGGTGGTTGGGTTCGGCGTTGATCCCACTGGGTGGGTGTGCGTAAGGGCCAATGACGGGGTTTCCTGGATTCGATTACTTCCAACTGAGAGTGCCTTAATCATTTACACTGCTTTGCTTCTGTCTTGAATTGTCCTTCCTCGCTTCCCCTCTTCTTGCTATCTTTGTTGGGTTTCTGGTTTGTCTGTTGCTGTCATTCATGGTCCTAGAGGTCTCGAGTATCCTGAGAGACCAATGACAAGGCCGACTTCCCTAGCTCTACTCCTGCTATTATTCCTGATTCTTGTCCAGTCCTTCTGTCCACTTGTCTCAGTTCCCGTTATTTTACTTCTACCTTGTGGTGTCTAGTGTACTCTGATCCGGTGTTGATTATTTTGTGACTTGTGATTCTTGAGTTTCATCAAATATAATTCAATCTATTTATATACCTCCGCTCATTTCCCGTGCCTATCTCTTTAAGCTTAATTCAACCACACACCCTGGGCCCTAGTCTTTCTGTAGACACTATCAAAAGTCGTCAAATTAAGTTGCGGGTCTTGTATCGATCTGCTGGGACCCAACCAAAAATGCCACTGACATAATGCCTGACTAACCATGTGGGGCCGGGGCCATCGATGATGTTATGGATCGTGAAGGTCACGCCGATGAGGATACATCAAAGACGCATTAATATGGTTAAGCATAGAGCAAAAATCATTACTTTCGAGCAGAAATTCAGTCTAGAACATCATACGACGATCAAATGACCGGGCAAAAGGCGGAAGTGCCTGAGGAGACCATCGAAGCTTCTCGAAGCTTCGGTCCCGCGACGTCACACGTCATTCACTGGAGACCCGCTCGAGCAACTGTCGATAATCCACTTGCAGTCATCAAGTTTTCAGCTCATCCCCGCAATTTCCTCCTCTATCGAACATTCTCACTGCACATGCTGATTCCTCAGTTGATTTCAGGCTGCTCAGCACTCAGCGTTGAAGGAACGGAACTTTCTCTATTTGTCTCCCACAGTAGAGCCGCTTGATTCCCGCGGAAGCTTCCTCTTCATTCGAGAAGCACCCAGTACATTCTCTCCTCCATCGAGGGATCCGACCACCCTGTTCCCACCCCGAGGATCCTCGCTCTCTTAAGCGCGTCTTACCCTCTACGCCCGCGCTGACTTGATTCGCCTCTCGATACACAAACTCAATTCAACCCCGCACAACCATGGTGGCCGAAACAAAGCTCTATGATGCCCTGAGCATCAAGCCTGATGCCTCCCAGGACGAGATCAAGAAGGCCTATCGCAAGGCTGCCTTGAAACATCACCCAGACAAGAACAAAGATGACCCCAAATCAGCCGAGAAGTTCAAAGGTATGTCTGCACACCGACTCTTACCAATTCAGGTTACCTCGCTATCCTGCATTATTTACAAGTCGCCAATACTAACCCCTCCCTAACAGAGGTCTCCCAAGCCTACGAAGTCCTATCTGACCCGGAAAAGCGCAAAGTTTACGATCAATTTGGCCTTGAATACCTACTCCGCGGCGGTCCCGCCCCGTCGCCCGGCGGTGGTGCTGGTGGCCCCGGTGCTGGTGCTGGTGGCATGCCAGGAGGATTCAATTTTGGCGGCACGCCTAGCGGCGGCGGCACTCGCACATTCCACTTCTCAACTGGTACTGGCGGTGGCACCCACGGCTTCAGATTCAGCAATGCAGACGACATCTTCCGAGAATTCACAAAGGCTGGCGGCGGAGGTGGTGGTGGACTCGATGATGACATCTTTTCCATGCTTGGTGGCATGGGAGGCGGCGGTGGTGGTAGCTTCCGCAGTCGTCCAGGCGCAGGAACAAGCTTTCCGTCTTCCAAGGCGAACCGTGCCCCTTCGCCAGAGCCGACTATCATCGAGAAGGACCTGCCGCTGACGCTAGATGAGGTTTTTAAGGGAACGACCAAGACTGTGATTGCCAAGAGCAAGTCGTTTGATGCTAGTGGGAAGCGCACTGTTAAGGATGTGCCGCTGGAAGCTGTCATCAAGCCTGGCATGCGGCCCGGTACCAAGATCAAGTACCGAAATATTGGAGATGGAGAAGAAGGTGGCCGACAGGATATGCACCTGATTGTGAAATACGTAAGTGAAACCCTCCGACCCCACCATTCTGTCCATGAGCATCTGCTAACAACTCTTACAGCTTGACCACCCAGACTTCAAGGTTGAGCGTGACAACCTTGTTACAACCGTCGACCTCAGCCTCAAGGAAGCTCTGACCGGCTGGGAGCGCATCGTCCGTACCATCGACGGCAAATCCATCCGCGTCACAAAGCCTGGTCCCACACAGCCCGGCCATGAGGAACACTACCCAGGCTGGGGCATGCCGAGTTACAAGAAGCCCAATGAACGGGGTGACCTCGTCGTTCGCGTAAAGGTCACATTCCCCAAGACTCTAAGCGCCGAGACAAAAAAGGCCCTTAAGGATCTTCTCCCTTGAACCTGTTACGTATTGATTAGCATTGGGTCTCGGCGTTGGTGTGAGCGTTCTTTTTCAATCCATAGGGTGGTAATATAATGACAACGGTGACATACCTGTTTCCTAATTTTCTTGTGCATTGTAGCGGATTATTCTATTCATTTGCCTTGTCTATTTTGTGAGAGTTGAGCCTTTGCTAGTCAGCTACTCGAGCCCTTGGGTAGAGTTAGTGTGCTGGCACATATGTACATAGGCGAAGCTAAACCCGATCGGGGAATGCGGAGAAGCATCCTCAACTCGGAGAAATCAACATAACGGTCCTTATCTCCACGTCTATTCTTGCCAGATCCCCTCCTCTTCCCGAATCAAGGGACAACCTCCATCATGAAGCGCAGGGTTACCTACGTCCAGCGTCCCGAAACCCCCTTCGAGCCACACCAGGCCTCCCTAAGCTCCTCCGCCGTATCGATCCGCGACCTGGACGCCGCGCGCGAGGACCGCATTACCTTCGGCCTGGAGGATCTCCCCGCGGAGGTAAGAGAGACCTTCTACCGAATCTGAAGATCAATTTGCATGATGAGCTAACTGTTTCCTGTGCCCGTGCAGCTTCGCGCAGTCCTCGAGCAGTCTCATGAGCTCCGCGTCCGATGGGCGACCGAGCGCTCTTTCGATGCTATTGCGCCCTTTGCGAGCAGGATCTCGCCTGGTTTGCATGTGCATTATACTCCGCTAGCAGCTGAGCAGTCATCGTAAGTGGGCATTTTGGGATCTCATTGCTTGCGCTCTGGTCATCTCTAATTGGGGTCTCGTAGGGAGGCGCTATGCTCGCTGCTGCGCACGGTATTCGGGAATCGCGAGGACGGACAGGCTGTGGTAGATTGCACAACACCAGAGGTAAATTGGAACTCGTACCTGGACAAACATGATGGGAATTCCTGTTATAAGGCATCGTTATGGGGAATTGAGTCGCCTAACTCGCATGCTCTGTACAGGACTCCTTCATCACACCCCCACTCCTATCCACCAGATTCGCGGCCTCGGCCTCCCTCCAATACTATACGCAGCTTCCAAGTCTACAGTCGCTGGTCGCGTTTATCCGACGTACGGTGTGTCCTCAGTGTCAGGTTGGCGGCACTGAGTGTCATGATCGTACCGATTCGCTACTGACGGCCGATACGGTCGATGTTGACTACGATAGTATCTCGCACGCATTGACTATCTCCGGTGTCTGGGCTAGTTCGCCCAGTAGTGGATGGACTGAGGAAATTTCTAAACCTTCTTCCAAATCAGATCAAGTCGAGTTTGGTCTTCTGGGTGCAGAGCAGGGCATTGAGCCCGAGGAGCTCAAGATGGGAGGGTTGCTAGCCGTGGTGGGGGAAGACAAGAAGATGAGTATGTTCTCAACATCATCTCTTACATGCATTATACAAGTCCCAGATACAATCATTCTGACCAAGTCCAGAACCAACAATGTTCTCCTTCCCATCTCGACACCATCCTCTCCCCACCGACGCCACTTACTCCATCTCCTTCAACAAACCAACCGGCCTCCACCCAACAATGTCCATCACCCTACAACGCCCCTCTCTCGAACGCCCACCGGCCCCCGAAGACGCAACCTGCGCCCTCCACACATACCTCACGCTTCCATCCTCCGTCTTCGGAGACCAGTACCAACTCGGCACGACAGACCCTCTCTTCCTCCAATCACATAACCTAGCTGCGCTCCACGCGCACGCCGGCGAGATGGACCTCGAAGCACCAGACTGGGCTGTACAGCGCTTGGGCTCAACATGGCTCTTCGAGCTAGCCACGCCAAACACACATGACTTTGACAAGACATCGAATTGGACCGCGACTATCCCGCTCCACCTGCGATACCTTCCTCCCTCGGAAACGGGGTATAGAACTGCGGAGGTACCGTGGCCCGTTGTTTTCTGGGCGTGTACAGCTGATGATGGAACGAAGATGGGTGTAAATCCCTTTGACCGTACGAATCTGGGCTGGGATGGGCTGTTTGGTCCGAAGACGATGTTTTATCAGCTTCATCCTCAGTCTGGTCGGCTTGTAGAGGGCATTGAGGTTCCTGTTCTGAAGCTGAAGGAGGGCGAGGGTCTGTTCCGGGCGCAGAATATTGAGTTGGGGACGTCGGTGGTTATCTTGCTTGGGTTCTTGTGGGTGCTTTGGCGGCTAGTTCAGGTTGCGTTGTCACGGTCTGGGCAGGACCGAGAGCAGCGACATGAGAAGAAGGAATGAGAATGAGGCTGAGACTGAGAGTGCAAGGCATATTGCAGGGTGTATAGTTGGTATTGTGTTTCCATTGGCGTTGCGGGTATCTCAGTATTATTCTCGTTGCATGCATAGTTACGACATGGCGTTTTGGGCCTCTCATCCACCATCCTTCCATAGACAGTGAGAATCAACCAGTGACCTCCGGTCCAGTCCACTTCCATCCTATCCACAGACTCACGATGATTCAATCTTGACCAGGCTTCCTTAAATTCCCATCTCCGGCAGCGGCCACGGCACATCCGTCATAAGAAACTGGTCAAGATCAAAGTTCTGCAAGCTGGGCATATCAATCATCAAATCTCCCAACCACGAAAGTTCCGCATCAGACACAGGACCCAGCACATCCTGCGCCCGAGCCTGCGTCTGAACCTGAGTCTGCACAGTTGCTTGCACATCTTCATCCCTCCCCAACCCAAGCTCATCGGACCGCGCATCCCCTTTAGACTGCTGCACCTCCGACACAGGAACCGGCACCGATACTGGCGGCACCGCAGCAGCCGCATTAGCCCTCAACACCTCCCCCCAAAGCCCTCGTATCATCCTCCTTCCTCCTCTGATGCAACGCAATAAGCAAGTACGCCGTCGAATACGCCTCCCGCATAACAGCCGTATCATACGCCGCCAAAACCTCCCTCAGCGTAGCCATCGCATCCGGCAACAGCGCCAGCGCTGCCCGATTGTCAATCGCCAACAACGTACAAACAACCTGGAACGGCACGTTCGCCACCTGGTGCCACGCACAGGTAGCAGCTACCATGGCGCGGGCTGCGCGGAGACCTCGACTCGCTAGCGCGAGGATACGGTCCAGCGCGCGGCCGGGGAGTGGTGCGTGGGCGTTTAGCGCGCGGACGCGCCGGTAGATGCAGAGCATTAGGTTGCATTGGACGAGGATGAGGGAGGGTTCGGTGTAGATTAGGTCTAGGACTGCTGTGAGGGCGGCTTCGAGGTCGGGGAGGTCTTGGGGTGTTGGGCCTGTTGGGTCTAGGCTTTCGGAGAGAGGGAGGAGATGATATAGATCTGTGTGGGTGGCTGGCGTTGGGGGGTGTGGGATGTTGCGCCGTGCAGGACGACGCGGGAGCGGCCTAGATCGAAGGAGATCCAGGTGTTGAGGTGGCGGGCCATGCCGAAGAGGCGGCGGCGGAGGTTGGTGTCGTTGGGTGGTTGTGTGGTGGTGTTGGATCCGTTGGGGACTTGGGAGTCTGAGGTTGCTGCTTGGATGAGGCCCGTTGCTTCGGGGTCTGGAGTTTCGATGTGTAGGCCGGCGGCTTCGACGAGGTGCATCAGTGTACAGCTGGCCATCCATGCGGCGTGTGGTGAGGCTGTCATCCGTAGGTAGGCCGCGCGGAGGACCCAGCCTGTCACTGTGTCGATAGTGGGCGTGTCTGGGCCGAGAATGCTCTTTTCTAGAAGCGCTCGCGCTGCATCCACGATGCATAGTTCTATGGATGACATCTCGCGCCGCGAAAATAAATGTCCAAAGGCTGCGACGCCGAGAAGTACAACATCGTATGTTCGCTCTGCTGGTTCGGCGACAGATATAGAAGACGCTGACCAGCGTTGTGTAATATGTGTAAGAACCGTTTTCCTGTCGAGGAATGCATAGCATGGATGAACTTTTTCAAAGTAAATCCCTGCTAGCCGGCGCATCTCGTCCTCGGATATCATCTTAGTGATAGGGCCGGGCGTTACAGGATACACCGAGGTCTCTGGTGACAGACGCCTCTCACCAACATTCCATGCAAAAAGATGCAATCGCGGCGCACGCGCAGGATCAATCCTAAGCCCAAGCTTGCGCACAAACGCAGCGCCAGAGTTCGCCTCCAGCGAATGGCTCATGCGACGCGCATCTTTCACACGAGGGTACGATCCCGGCGAAGCAGCGCTGCCCGCAGCGCTACTGGCCGGCTTAGCCAGCGGGACTGGTTGAGCCCATCCATCCGAAGGAGGAAGACGCTGTCGCTCGTCTAATCCTGACATAGAGGCCCGGTACATACTCCCGGATCGGGCGCGCTTCTTGCGCGGCAAGTCGCTGAACACGCAGGCGACGCCGGCCTGGGCGCAGGTGCTGCAGGGCTGTTCGCCGGAACATTTGCGTTTGCGGGATTGGCATGATAGACAGGCCGCGCGGGAGCGCTTACGGGGTGTTGACTCGGTCATCGAGGTGGGACCTGAGGACTTAAGAGAGCGTTGGACGTGGAGTCATTCGTGGAGAGTTCAAAAGTACTTGCAGTTGCGGGATGGGGTATTTAGGTTCGGGGCGCCAAGCGCGAGAGGCCAGAGCCCGCATTCGCATTGACTTTGGTGTCTGGGGTAACAATATTTAAACTGCATTTGCAAAGTTTGGAAGAATAATGCCATTCAAATAATCTCCAGTACGTATCTTGGGGTTTGATATTAATGTGACTACAAGCTTGTCTTTACTGTGGAGTCCTTTAATTCTCGTACTTTCTTCCGTCCGGGTAGCCCATCAAACCCTCCAGTTGCTTGAGATCGGGCAGTCCCGCTGGCCCTGGCATGTACTGGAAGTTATCACGGAAAGTGGTCCCGTTCCACCACAGCTCGTTCTTGTGTAACGCATCCATAATGCGCGGTGCATCAATGTAGGTTCGTATCTCGACCATTTGCTTCGTCTGGGGATGCCAGCGAGTTACCCAGACATTGACAATATCGAATGCTTCACCTGTCACTTTGTTAGGTGGAGATCTTGGTTGCTCGTATTTAATAGGTCAATGAGATATAGAATCGAGTATCCATCTTCTCTTCTTAGCAATCTTCTTACCAGAATTCATAATGCCCTTGAAATTGACCTCCTGCACCGACCACCGACTATTGCATCCCCCATGAATTGCTTGCGGGTGAATCTCGAATTTATCGGCATGGTCCATAAACAGCACGCTCACACGACGCAGGGCATTGACGTAAAAGTGTAGGAGATCATGATATCGTCCGGCAATTGGATGGTGGCCGACAACGGTAAAATTGACATCCTTATTGATCAGTGTGAACAACTTGGTCATATCCTTCTCTAGGTCTTTAAACGAGTCCCAAATATGCATCTGCGATACATATTCACAGTCGGTGGAGGGATTCTCAAACTGGAATCCTTCTCGCTCGCGGGGACTTGGATCGTGAATGATCCCATCGCCATTGCAGTTCCCATCAGGGTCGGCTAGGCCTGTTCCGCCACATCTGGGGTCCTCGAGGGGAAGAGGCTGTTGTGAGCTGGCTCTAATGATGCTGCCGAGGGTAGCTGGGACCCAATTGATCGTCAGGGCGGCGGTAAGATATTGCAGGATAATCATCGTGCTAATACCCAGGGAAGGTTATTGAAAGCTGACAGCTTCGATAGCTACTGGATGATGTGTATCGACACTCTCTTCATCGCATCTTTCTTCTTTTATACTACTTGGTGCCTTGCAACCGTTTAATGTGTATATTGACCGGTCAAAATGATCCGCAAACGTTACCAATTTACCTTGCTGGTGACATATACTACCCTGGACAAGGCTCTCTGTCAATCGAGTGACACAAGAGGAAATTCACCGAGAAATCGCGACGTCCTTTGTCCCAGACTGGCCCCGCCGCTTTTGACCAGTCTTAGCGCCACCAAAGCAACTGAGTCCACTCAGGCACCTGGGCAATTTGTCTTTGACTACTACTTGGTAGCGGTGTGCAAATATTCTTGGCAGGGCGTCGTGATAAGCCTGCCCAATTGGCCAATCATATGACAGGCATTTCTGACGGATGAGTCAGCTATCGACAGCCCGCTCAGCCGATGTCGGGCCCGGGCACCTGATTGGCCACGCCGGTGGTCGGTGAGGCCCGAAGCACGTGCCCCCACTGACTCAACGAAAACCTCTTCCTCTTCCTCTTCCTCTTCTCCTCCTCCTCCAGTTCTTCCCACCCACAGCTACACCTCCACATCCAATCTACCTATGTCGTGCTAAACGCATCTCTTCTTTTCTTCTTTTTCTTTGACTGCTACATCTTCAGTCGCGCTTATGTGTTTGGCACCATCTATCTTCACTTCCCAGGTATGTTACTCGCCGGCTCACGATCCCTGGAGTTTATCAATGGCTTTCTATTACAGTGACAACAACCCATGCTAATGCCTTTCTCTCTAGGACTATATCTCGGGTATGCTTCGAATCATTCCAACGGCCTTGCATTGAGGCCCCATTGCATTCTCCGCGATACTAACTATCCCTTGCAGACCATCTTTGGAAAGCCCGTATTAACTGAATCGACCTACCCATCTTCCGTTCAGTCTTCTCATTCCTCAAAACAAAATGTTCATGAATCTGTTCAAGGCCATGCCCGCTCGGGCTCAGGCCTTCGCCACCGTGAAGCCCCAAGCCCGCTTCATGGCTACCGTTCGTCAGCGTGCCGCGCTGGAACCCGCCACCTTCACCATCCGTGACGGTCCCATGTTCACCGGCAAGTCCTTTGGCGCTCGCTCCAACATCTCTGGCGAGGCGGTCTTCACTACCTCCCTGGTCGGGTACCCTGAGTCCCTGACCGACCCCTCCTACCGCGGTCAGATCCTGGTTTTCACTCAGCCCCTGATTGGAAACTACGGTGTGCCCTCCGCCGAGAAGGACCCCAACGGTCTTCTCAAGTACTTCGAGTCCCCCAACCTGCAGGCGGCCGGTGTGGTCGTAGCCGATGTTGCTGAGCAGTACAGCCACTGGACTGCCGTGGAGAGCTTGGGCGAGTGGTGTGCGCGGGAAGGTGTTCCGGCCATCTCTGGAGTTGACACTCGTGCTATCGTCACCTATCTCCGTGAGCAGGGTTCCTCCCTCGCTAAGATCACGGTTGGCGAGGAGTACGATGCCAACGAGGACGAGGCCTTCACCGACCCGGAACAGATTCACTTGGTGCGTCAGGTCAGCACCAAGCAGCCTTTCCACATCAGCGCTGCTGACCCTCACTCGCACGTCGCTGTCCTCGACTGCGGTGTGAAGGAGAACATCCTGCGCAGTCTGGTGAACCGTGGCTCTAGCGTCACTGTTTTCCCCTTCGACTACCCCATCCACAAGGTGGCCCACCACTTTGATGGTGTCTTCATCTCCAACGGCCCCGGTGACCCCACCCACTGCCAGGACACCGTTTTCCACCTGAAGCGTTTGATGGAGACTTCCCAGGTCCCCATCTTCGGTATCTGCCTGGGTCACCAGCTGCTCGCTCTGGCTACCGGTGCTCGCACCATCAAGCTCAAGTACGGTAACCGGGCCCACAACATCCCGGCTCTGGACCTGAGCACTGGTCGCTGCCACATCACCAGCCAGAACCACGGTTACGCCGTTGATGCTTCCACCCTGTCCCCTGAGTGGAAGCCCTACTTCGTGAACCTCAACGACCAGAGCAACGAGGGCATGATCCACAAATCCCGCCCCATCTTCAGCACCCAGTTCCACCCCGAGGCCAAGGGCGGTCCCCTTGACTCGTCCTACCTCTTCGATATCTACCTGGACAGCGTCCAGAAGTACAAGAAGAGCCAGGCCGGTCTTTACCCTCACCGTGACAGCCGCCCCAGCCCCCTGCTGGTGGATCTTCTGGGTAACGAGCGTGTGGGCGTCCAGCCCACCGTTGGCATGCAGAACATTGCTGCCGCTGCCGCTGCCGCCGCCGTGGCATAAATGTTCTTATGTCGGGTGGGAGTTCGGCTTGGTTTAATCGGTTGTGTCTTTGGAAATTTGGTCTTTTCTCGGGGTTCATAGTCTAGTTCTGTTCATACTTCTTATTTCATGTCATATTCAATCTGAAATACAATCATCAAAACATACACACATATCTCTTTTCATTCTTGCCGTATACATGAAAATATTGTTCAAGTAAATTGTGCCTCTCAACGTTCTGTTCTATTCTATTTCGCGACTATAGATACCACATCCTCATCTGCAACCATATGCCCTAATCCTACGCGCTGCGGCACATGTCTCGCGCTCGCACCCCAAACCATGGCATACTTGAAAGTTTCCTTGAGTGTGCGGTGAATCTGGTCGCAAACATCCTCGATGGTCGAATCTCGGCGCACGATGAGAGCCTCGCTGAAATCGGGCTCTTCTCCCTTTCTGCAAGCCAGCAAGTTAGACATTTAAATTTATACGAGACTTGAAAACAGCGAGTGGCTCTTACCGCTTGGTGTACAGGCGCATCAGACGCAGTTCCGTCCAAATCCGTTCAATCACCTCCTGCACTCCGAGATCGAGCTCGCAAGACATGACGGCTGTGTGAGGCTCGCGGGCCAGCTGGTCCAGGAACTCGAGGCTGACGCTGTCGATCTTGTTGTAGACGTACAAGCTGAGTGGAATGTTAGGGAAGAGGACTTTGATGTAGACCGTCACGATGAAGGAAGTAACCTACCAACGAATGTACTTGCGGTGGTCTTTCATGATCACGTCAATGAAGTCATCAATCGTTGCTAGAATAAAAGATGGCTGTCAGTAGATACTTCGGGCAATTCGCAGATTTGGGGGTTGTACCGTTCTCGTCTCGTACCAATACCTCACAGTTGAGCATCTTGTAGTCGCGAAGGACGTTGTAAATGATCTTCTCATCCAAGTTCTTGGGTGGTGTCTGGAAGGTGATCTTCATGCCACCGGCCTTTTTGACCTTGAGGTAGATGTTTCTGTGATATCTATGTAAGTCGGTGGATCAAGTGTATCCAGATTCACGATCACTCACGGTGGTTCCTTGTTCAATCGAATGCCCACAGCATCCAATTCAGCCTCCAGCAGCGCACGCTGCTCGGCACGCTTCGTAGCATCAAGGATCATGAGAATCAAATCACTGGTCTAGATATCCAGTCAACATTTTGCGTCCCATCCACCAGCCAAACACTCAACCATCACATGAGTAAGACATACCTTCGCTGCAGAAATAACCTGACGACCACGACCCTTACCCTCCGAGGCACCCTCGATAATACCGGGCAAATCCAGAATCTGAATCTCAGCACCGCCATACTCCAGGACACCGGGGATAGCAGTCAGCGTGGTGAAGCTGTACGATGCAGCCTCACTCTTGGTTTTCGTGATTTTAGAGAGGAAAGTAGACTTTCCGACGGATGGGAATCCGACCAGGGCTACACGCGCATCTCCGCTCTTGCTCACGTCGAAGCCGGAGCCACCACCGGAGCCGGCACCGCCAGTGGGCTCGAGAAGCTGGGCTCGTAGACGAGCGAGTTTTCTGTGGATTGAAGTTAGCTGGTCATTCTGCGGGAGAATCTCTGGAATTGGGAGATTGTGAACCCTTTCAATAGACCCAAATGATATTCTGCAAGATATTAGTTCTCCAAGTCCGTTTTCCAGGGAATTCAGGAGACCAACCTGTCGCCTTGTTCTCTGCGGGGCATGTTAGCGGGGTGATTGATAACTAGGGATTTTGGGATGAAGCAACTTACTCTGCGTCCGGCGCATCTCATCCTCAATCCTGTAGACAACACAATCAGCATTGTATAATCCATATGCCTGTTTCAAGGGAGTTCGTACTCCTTAATCTTTTCCGTGATGTTCACCATCTTGTCGGTTGATGAGGCTCTACGCCTGAACGACTCTGAAGACCTGTTTTGTTTGTTTTCCTCGCCTTGCCAGGCTTACTAGACAAGAAAGTTACCGTAAACACTGTCTTATCTGCTCTCAAAGCCCCGAATCGTACGAGTCTCGCGAATATCAAAGCCAGCGAGAAAGTTGTTCGCCCGCCAAAAACCTTATGTAAGCCAAAAATAGCGGGTGCTCGATTCCACCAAGCGGGGCAATATTGTTTCACCGCTCCCTTCACCGCCCTTCCGGTTTCACCTTCTTTCCTTCTATCAACCTCATCGCGATCAGCCCGTTGCCATTCACTTTACACACAACAATGGACACAACGACCGAGCCCAGCAATGCTGTCGCCGAACTCGACAATACCAAAGCGCACACGGAGGGAGACGAACAAGCTCTCCAACCGGTGAAAAAGACTAAAAAGATCATCCGGCGCCGCAAGAAGCCCGCTCGCGTGCAAGTCGATCCCTCGACTGTTAAGAGCGAACCTCCGGCTCAAACAGGCGAGCTCTGGAACATTTGGTACAGCAAATGGAGTGGAGGTGACTCACATGATAAACATGGGCTGGATCAACCTGCGCCATCCCGATGCAACGTCGCGGCGGATTCGGGATACACCAAGGCCGATCAAATTCCCGGATCATACTTTTGCCTATACTTTAGTAAGGGTCAGTGTTGGAAGGGTCCGGCTTGCGAGTATTTACATCGCATTCCGACGATTCATGACCTTTTCAATCCCAGTGTGGATGCGTTTGGTCGTGACAAGCACCAGGATTATCGGTAAGCTATCCGCCCAGGTATCTTGGATCGCTATTGTTTGTTCAGATTCTAAATACTATATTTCTAGAGACGATATGAGCGGTGTTGGCGCGTTTACCCGAGGTTCGTATATTCAAACCGGATACCACTTTCTCGCTACCCAGCTATAGCTGATGGTAGACTTGGCGATGGCTCGGTCACTAACTCTATCTCTACTCCAGTTAATCGTACTCTTTACGTCGGACGCATTCACGTTACAGACGACATTGAAGTGAGTTGTTTATCGACTATGTCTTGTTTGAGTCGAAGTCACTAACTCAGGCGCAGGAAGTAGTCGCTCGCCACTTTGCGGAATGGGGGCAAATTGAGCGAATTCGCGTTCTAACGGTAAGTTGGAATACAGCTCCAATTATCTCTTCTTGACCGTCAGCTTACAATTTCAACAGGGAAAGGGTGTGGCTTTCGTTACGTATTCGAACGAAGCTAATGCGCAGTTCGCCGTGAGTATCCCCCAACCGTGCACTAGCTTATCTCAAGTATCCAGCACTGACTCCACCACAGATGCAAGCAATGTCACATCAAAGCCTAGACCATGACGAAATCTTGAACGTAAGATGGGCAACTGTCGACCCGAACCCCCTATCTCAAAAGCGTGAGGCACGAAGATTGGAAGAGCAAGCTGCGGAAGCAGTCCGGAGAGCTCTCCCCGCCGCGTTCGTGGCGGAGATCGAAGGACGCGATCCCGAAGCTAAGAAGAGAAAGAAGATCGAGGGCACATTTGGACTACAAGGTTACGATGTACCGGATGACGTTTGGCATGCACGCACGCGGCAGCTCGAGGATGCACCAGCAACTGGACAGCTTGAGGCACCTGAGCAGCCATTTATGCTCGAGGAGGGAGCAGCGGGCGGCCAAGCCCAGCCAGAGGCAGAGCCGGACGCACAGGGCGGTATTTTCTCGAGTGCTACGTTGGCGGCTCTTCGGGGTATGTCTGGAAGTAATGTGACGACGCAGGCTGCACCGAAGAGCTCTGGTGGGCCGCTGGTAGCTTATGGAAGTGATGACGAGAGTGACTAGACTTCGCAGCTGCAGTTAGTTCGTACTCGGGCCTCTCAACCTGACTAGGACATTTGCGATCTCTTCATGTATAATAGCATCGATACCTCTTGAGTCCAAAAGGAAAGATTTCTTTTTTGATCTACAATAGACACCAGGCCCCTTTCGAGAGACCTATAAGTAGACAGTATGGTCATGTTAAATCTGCTCCCTAGGATTGTAGGAGATAATATATTGATCAGCGTGATTCATCACGGGGTATCATCCCGGGGATTTCGCTAAAAACAGGACTAGCAGACGATGTAGGTGTTGAAAGATGAGAGGGGATTCATAACAAGAGTTGAGGGTAAACAATAACCAAAGAATCAAAACTTCCGCCCAGATGATGTAAATGCAATAATGTTCACCCATATCCATGCAGGTCGTCGCAAGCACCAAACCAACCCCAAAAAAAGCAAATCAGACATGAACAGACATAAACATGAACTCCTCAAACCTCCACATTCTATCCTAAATCATTCATTCGTTCACTTGTCACAAGGACCAAGATCATAATACACACACGAGCCCGTTCGATAATTGTAGATAAACGCATTCGTGTAGCTCTCGTTGCTATCATCGATGCGATTCTCCGAGGCCAAATCACTCAGCAATTCGTAAACTTGGCTTAGGTATTTCCGTTCTGTCAACGGCGCATTCTGGATGACTGTGCGCCAGCTGTCTGGGTCGGAGAGTCTAGTGTCGCGGATGGAGTCGAGGACGTCGTCGCGGGTATCGATTGCGGCCACGGGGCCGTTACGAGCGTTCTCGGCGACTTCGCGAGAGCGTAGGAGAGCTTAATGCTATATGTCAGTAATATGTTTCTTGATGGTAGTTGTTAGAGATCAATAGTCAAGGAAAACATACCTGACTCAACAATATTCCTGCGATTGGTCTTCTTGCTCCGATGTTGAGGAACAAGAATACGCACATCATTCGCTTTCTCATTCGACAAGAGAGCATCTTGCTGGCCAGGTTGACGTGCCTGGCGCGGATCAGAAGTGCCCTCCCGCTGGTGGCGGGCTTGCACTTCTGCTCGAAGCCACGGGACGAGTTCGGAGCTACGAATATCAAACTCCTCTTTGCGGACGAGGTTTCGCACTTTGTAGCCCCGCTCTTTGCTATCTTGCTTGGCGATCACGATCCAGCGGTGATTGTGTTCTCGGTACTTGGCCATTAGCTCTTCGAGTGATGAGGCGTCTACTGCAAGTTCGGCACTGATGCCGTTGGTCCAGAGGTCTTCGATTATTTTGACGCCCATTGTGCGGAGGACAGTTGCATCGAAACTTGCCACGAGGACATCACACTATTTAAATGTGGCATTAGTTGACGACTTCAAATTCGCGGGCCAATTAGAATGGCATGACTTACTCTTCGAGTTGTCCAATACAGCTCAGCCCCAGACTCGATATCCTTCGATGGTGCCCGGGACTTCAGGTATTCGGCCATTGAGGAGCCCAGTCTATCCGAGCTGAGGTTAAACCCAACTGCATGAGCCTGCGGTCTACTTGACAAGACCTTTGGTGCGAATTCCTGGATCAAGCGATCATAACGCCCGCCCGCAGCGAAGACATCACGCCGCTTAGTATCGAAAACACATTGGAACAATATGCTGCCCCGGTAGAACTTGTCATGCAAGCTGCTGAGCGGATTAATGTAGACTTTGCGCTTGACACCAAAGCTCTGCAAGTAGCTCATAAGGACATTTAAGCGAGCAAAGATGGGAGGAATTCGCTCCGCAAATTCAGTGCCTTCCATAATGGTTTGTAGCCTGCGGAGGGTCTCTTTTGGAGAGTCTCTGAAATCGAACCTTGCAAGATCATCCAATGATGTTGACGCGACTCCGATAGACGGGGACCGAAGCTCGCTTCGGATCTTTTGCATAGTCCATTTGCCGACATTCAGCTTACTGATGACGTCCTTGACGAGTGGTATTTGTGAAGGAGTGATGCGGCAGAATTCCATGATGAGCTGCAGGAGATCGGAATGATTGACCAGGAAGCACATTGTGGCGGACCGAAGAGGCGGGAACTCGTCAATGATCTCGTCGAGGACTTTAATCACTTCTGCTTCCTTCAGAGCCAGGTCTAATGTGTTGTAAGAGACGATGTCAAAGTCGACTTCCTGATGTGTGCGAGGTTCACTGCCGTGAGTAGACTCTCTGTAAACAGTTCCAAAGGCAAAAGTCTTCTCTAGGGAAGGATCTTGACGGGGAATCGCTCGTGCATTCGGGACCGTAAGATCAAAAGGTAATTGCAGCAGGTTTCCCGAGGCATCCAGCAAGCGCACGGCACCAGAAGAATAGTGCTGAGACCGTGGGAAGAGCATCTGTCTTGGCGATTCTACGGCACCGTGCCTGCGGAAAATGGAAGTCAGCCGCTTCTTGACGAGTCCCTGGACGAGAAGCTCATTGGCTGCCGGTGTTGTTTGCGAGTCCATATCCCAGGCGATATCCTCGAATTTCTTCAGGGATTGAGAAAATATCGCAGAAAGGATCTTCTTGTAGTCTGGGGAATTTGGATCGGACAGCAAGTGAACAATAGCCCGTCGGAATGTCTCTTCTTCAACTTGGAGAGGAATTCGACCGCTAGAAAGGAGCTCAGAAGCTGTAGGACGCTCAGCCGGGCTGTGGCTCAGCAGTGATTCGATGATCTGCCCCTGTACGACCTTCTCAGACTGTTGGAATGTAGGCGGCAGAGTATGGTACTTTTCTCTGATCGCTCGTAAGGTTTGATCCCGTTCCATACCAGTCGAAAGAGGGTGACACATCTCAAAGAAAATAACACCGAGGGAGAACATCTAGAAAAGATCAGCATGGAATTGGGCAAGGGCTTAGCTATAGTAAGTGATACTCACATCAACTTTCTCGTTGTAGTGCCCCGGTAACCCTGACTTCATCTCTGGTGCAACATAGTACGTTGTTCCTAGACTGCGAGTGAAGTCTCCTTCAAAGTCCGCTGCTGCTGACGAGCGTACAGCAGTCATGAACTGCCCACTAGTGGCAAGACCAAAGTCTCCGATACGGGGGTTATTAGCGACATCGATGAAAATATTGTCGGGCTTCAAATCTCTATGAATAATGCCATGGCTGTGAATGTGGCTCAAGCCATCGAGGATTTGTCGGAACAGGCGCCAAGACCGATCTATGTCATCGTACAAGCCGTTTTTGATCAAATCACGCAGTGTCTGTGTACATAGTCAACATTGAGATACCAATATATGTGCTTTTCTAACTCACGTGTTTCTCGCAATACTCCATTTGAATGTAAAGCGTAGTCATGATAGGTCGACCGTATGAGCCTGACTGTGCGTGGCTCAGTTCACCACTGCGTTCGGTGCCAGTGCCCGTCTCAAAGGTCTCTGGAGTATCACGATGTCCTTGATTCGAAATTGTTCCCTCGTTTTCCTCATCGCTGTCCGAAGCGGCGAATTCGATTTTTGGATACCCGCTGGAGCTGATGAAGTCCAGACCGCCGGTGCTAAATCCACGGTGGTCTTGACTGGCGAACGGATCGCCTTCAGTCGATGAAATCGCTTCCTCTTCGATGTGATTGAAGTCTTCCTCCAGCCATGCAGTATAGTACCGCACAACATATGGATGATTTAGTCGCGAAAGAAGCATGATTTCCGAAAGTGTGTCTTTCAGTGCCGCTGCTGAAGTCTGAGATATCTTCTTGACGGCATAGAAACGGCCATCCAGTTTGTTCCTGGCTTTGACAACTTGCCCAAACCCACCGCGGCCTAAGTGACCAGCCTCATCAAAGTCTTGGTGATATCGTGAGAAGGCTGGCATGGCCCCAAAGGAGTCAAGTCGTGGTCGTCGTTGAAGTGATACTGAGTTGGAAGGCCTATCACGCATGGTCAAAGGCGCATCTACCCGGAAAAACTCCGACGGCAGAAGTTGGAAGGCAGTCGGTCGCTTCCTAGGGTCTGGTCGGAAGAACTCTCGAAGTAGATCTTGCAGCGGAGGGGAAAGGCCTAGCGAGACCATCAACTGATTGGCCGAGGTATATCGCAGAAGGACATCTTTTCCAAAGGCCATCTGTAACAGGATGATGCCAAGGTCCCAGACATCAGTCTTCATAGTCGGAGTGGCACCCTCCTGTGTCAGTTCCGGAGGCAACCAGAGCGGGGACTTGGACGTGGTTAGAGACCGCTTTCCACCAGGTGAATCTGGCAGGGCCTCTTCAACGCTAGCTTCAAGTTTGACCATGGTCCCACCAGAAGTGTTCCTGCATAACATTATTCGACCGCAGTGGATGTTTCCATGGACAAATCCGCTGCGATGGTAGAACTCCAACGCTTCAAGCAGCTGTATCATCCACCCTCGAAGGGTCTCAACAGCGACAGTCCCTACGATATCGAGAAGCTCGGACAGCGAACCCTTGTTCGCAAACTCCAGAAGAGCAAGGATGGTCCATGTATTATCGGGGGAGTCAAGGTGACTTAGTGGACGAATGATCTTGAAGCCGACAAATTCGACTAGGTTCGGGTGTCGAAGTCGTTTCAAGCCTTCCAGACGATCCTCGCTAGATCGCATCTGCTCTCGAAATGTGAATGATTCAGAGCCTTTCTCATTGAGAAGAATCTCTTTGAGAACAAGAAGAGGCACGTGGCACCTGCCCTCGGAAACGACGGGTCTCACGGTGAACGTTTTCTTGCCCAGTTTGCATTGCAGCAAAGTCTTTCCATGCACTGCACGGAACAATAACAGCTGTTCATCGGTGTCGTTGACCGATAAAGGTGGGTCGAATGATATTGCGCCTGGGGTGTTCTCCACGAGATCTTCTACCTCACTCGAATCGACTCCACCAGTCCGACTCTTGCGCCGCAAGATCTGAGCCTTGTTTCGTTGACGGGCCCTGTCTTCAAGCATCAGTTGAAGCGCACGTGCCTCTTCCACGTGTGCGGCCTCTTGTTTCCGCAGTTCTTCTTGCTTTTCAAGCTCTGCGCGGTGGATAGCAGCCGCCTTTTGTTCCATGCGCTCTTCCTCGAGGCTGGGTAGATCTTTGTCCTGTTCTCGAGCTTGCGCAACATCTTCCAATACATCTTGAATAGACACTGCTAGCTCATAGATCATTTCACTGCCGAGAAGGGTCCTCGGTTTCTCCCGAACAATTTTGCGAATCCTAGATCGGGCATTCTCGCGAAGGTCGTCGAGGTTTTCCAGCGACAGATTCGGGACAGTTTTAGGGTAGGTCGCTGGTAGTTCGACAAGAAGCACGAGACAAACGTCTGGATTTGAGGAGGCTCGAAGGTGGAGCTTAAACGTTACGTTGGAGGATTGCTAGAGGATCACAGGTCAGAGAGAGGCTCGAGCGCTCGATGAAGTCAATTATTCCACTCACCTGCCATGCTGAGCGGCGAGTCTCGACCTCTTCATAGTCATCGCCATAGATTGAACGGAGGGCTTCGACCTCGTTCAGGTGGATTTCACGGTAATTGGTTGTTGCTATTACGGGGGACGTCACGGAAGAGGAATCGGAGGCTGAAGATGTTTGCTTTTTCACACGGGGAGCTTTCTTCCTTTGTTTGGGAGACATCGCGGGCACGGGGGCGTGGCGCGAAGTCGCCCTACATCCGGGATTGGAGGTACGACATGGAGAGGTTTCTGGAATCTAGTTGTAGGGTAGAAATTAAGGTCCAAGAGGGAATCACGTTCGGAGACGACGTACGAGGAGGGGTCTTTTTTTGCGGCGAGGGACAAAACAGGCGGTCAGCAAATGCGAAGGGCGTGGCTTATCGGGCTTATCTCCCTATCGATAAGCTCAGAAGCGTAACGGAGTTTGTCTCGTTTGCACTTTTTATACTTCGACTGTATACTTCGAGGATACCCAGGGGAAGAAAAACATTTCGATTGCTTTTGAAGTTCCTCAAGTCTCTTACAAATCACCATATTCAATATCCAAAGAATCTAAAAGTCCATAGCAAACAGCCAAGGTACATAACCACATGCCTAAAAGTGGGTATTTCGGGTCTTCTGGGGCCGTCTGCGTTGTCCTCCAGCTAAACTCGACTCGATTGGCACTGCAGCAATTGTGCCACCATCAATCAATCTCCACTCGGAACTCTTATTTCTTCCCCATCAAGAAGGCCCAGGGCCCATCAAACACCCCCAGAATCACACTCCCAAGCAAGGTGAACATGGGCGCATACTGCCAGTGTCCCCATTGGCCGTGTCCATGCGTCCAGCAAATGGCCCCGTCTCCAAATGCCACGGCGCTAGCACCGATCAACGTCCAGCCCAAGGAGCGAGAGGTGCCCAAGAATGAAGCTGCATAGACGGCAAACCCGATGAAAATGTTGCGAATCCCATACACCGCCATCAGACTGTCTACCAAGACACGGTCCGCCGGTGGAGACGGGAGCTCGAAGATGGCTAGAGCACGATCAGGGTTGAAGATCGCGTTAATGCCGAATCCGATGAAGGGTATAGCCAGGCCAGTGGCAATCATGCGAATGACTGCAGACTGTGAGAGAGACATAATGAAGAAGTAGTGGTAGTAGGGAGAGAGAGAATTGTAATTGGTATATGTAGGTCACGTTGCAGACTGGTGGTCACAAAGAGAAGAAGCAAAGTATGCGAGGAGGTCAGCATGATCTGATCATGCCCTCTCCTCCAGCTTTATATCTCTTTCATCATCAATTCCTTTTCACTTCTGACTCACTAGTTAGCCCCCAAGTCGACTCGATATCTTGATCGTCCTCTTGGCTAGGCTCCCACGAGCATTTGGCTTCCTTCCAAGGATCCTTTTCCTCGTGTTCGGCGTCCGGGCGGGCCGCTTATCGATAAGCGCTGACCTCAGCCTTTTAGCTCCCGCGCGTCGGTAAACAAACCTCCTCCATCCCCATCGGATCTCAGCACCCAACAATGTTGGACTGGATGAAGGGGAATGAGGCTGGGGTTGCAGGTAGGTTTTGCAAATTGGTCGCATTTGAATTTCAGATACTAACAATTATCCTTCGCTTAGACACTTCCAAGGTGCTGGAGCCCCCCGAGACGCCAGCGCCCGTGTTTGCGATGCGCGCCTTCAAGAGCGCCTTGTTTGGCACGCCTGGTGCCGAGGAGGAGGAAAAAGAGAATATGGAAGACAAGGAGTGCACCTTGCAATCGAAGCCGTCGGCTCACCAGCGCAGCAAGAGCAATACCACGAAGCCTATTACTATTGAGAAGGAGCCCGTGAAAACAGACATCAATTCTACGTTCAATCCCTCGGGATCACCAACCAAAAGCATTCTCGTCACGCCCGGAACCATTGCAAACCGTCGCAAAACAGTCTCCTTTGGCGAGGGTGTGGTTGACAATGAAGGAAAACGCGACGGTCAGGCCAGCCGAGCCCCGAAGACACCTCCGAATCCATCAGGAATTACAGCACAATGGATGTCAGGCTCGGCTAATGGCAAGCCACCGAGCAAGCTGACCCAAACACTGCTCGATGCTCGCGAGAACACGTCGAAGAACGCCGAGTCGGCCAAATCCAGCCAAGATAATCCGCCCGAGTCCAAACCGGCTGCGCACGCTCTGCCACAGGATGATCCAGCAGCCATAGAGGATATTACCATCAATTTAGACGAACCACGGTCGGAATCTGGTAAATATTGGAAGACAGAATTTGACAACTATCGTGTACGCACCAATCGCGAAATCAAGAAGCTCATTCACTACCGATCGATCGCCAAATCCTATGCTCGAAAGAAGGACTCCGAGGCGTTGCGCCTGGCAGACAAACTTCGAGAAGAAGAAGAGAAAGTTGCAGACATGGAGCGTCAAGTATCACGACTTGCTGCCGCGATTGTTGGGGAAGGGTCCAAGGCAGACAAGGAGCAATTGATTCAAGACTTGACTAAGCAGACCACTCTGGCGCTGCAGTACAAACAGCAAGTTACTTCATTACGCAACACGCTTGAACAACAAGGTGTCATCCAGGATGGAGTGGTGAAGACCACGGAATCGATCAAGGATGAGCTATCATCACGAAGCTCCTCAGCCTCTTCAGAAGAGCTACGCAAAGCACAGGAGGAGCTAAAACAAGCGAACACCAAGATTGAAGAGCTGACGCGCCAGAATCCGGATCTAAGCAAGCTCCAGAGCCTCGCGCAAAGTTCCGAAAAGAAAGCGCAGGAGCTTGAAAAGGAGAATACTACACTCAAGCAAACCTTGGCGCGTGTCAAACAAGAAATGTCGCGATACGAGGGCCGTCGAAAGGAGAAGGAGACTAGGCTTAAGCAAAGAGAGTCCAAGCTCGAGGCACGTATACAGGAGTATCGCGATCGATTCAAGACGATCACGCAAGAGCACCGTGAGTCAGAAGAGAAGCTGCGGGCCAGCTTCGAGGAGGAGCGTCGCCGCATGCAGAACCAAATCGATCTATTAAAGATCAGAACGTCTGCATCTGACCGTAGCATCCCAACTCTACGACCCCAACAACGACATTCCCTCAGTCCGCGCAAGGCATACGACGGCGTGCATGTGCACGATTTCGCCGCACAGGATCACCCCATACCAGACGAAGACGCCACAGAAGACCTAGACGCACCACCAAGTCCCAGCCCGCGCTCCAAGGCTCGCGAACAGCGCCATCACACCCGCAACGCAACAACGGGCACCATCGATCTCAAACGCACGGCGCGAGATATCGCAGCCGACGACGACGAAGTGACACACTATCTAAACGAAATCCTCCCAAAGCCACACCTCACACGTACCAACCAAACGACAGTACCCCCATCCTCTCCACCAGACATTTCAGCATTGAAAACACTCGACCGTAACCATCAGAAGTACCTCAACACGGGCGAGAAGCAGCGCAGCTACCGCTCTCTCTACCGACGTGATACGACAGATTCCTCCGACCACCGCTACGGAAACCTCACCCACCGTCCGCGCACGCATATCAAGTCCGCTCTAGACTCGATGTCGGCGCTCCCTTCCTCACGCCCTACATATGCCGGGTATACTATCACTGCCGGCGAGCGTGGTCTTCGACGGACCGGTTTGGCTGATATGAGAGGGGATGTATTGTCGCCGGAGCGTGTGGCTGCGGCTAAGTCGAGGTTGAAGCTAAAGCAGGATAGTCGGAAGGTTAAGGCGCTGGGGAAGGAGAATAGTGGTGGGGAATTATTGGGTTGATTTGTTGTTAGCGATACTGTGCAGGTTGGGAGTTGCTTTTGTTCTTTTTTCTACATTGGGATGCGAGAGAGGTGTGATGGTGTTTTTTTTTCCCTCTACTGCTTCTTTTGTTACTTGAAGGGGCGAGTATGGAAGTTCATAGGATCTGAAGTATAGGGCTAAGCTGGAGTCTCATATCTTGGAGGTATTTGCTTGTTTGTTCTTTCGAATTCACACCTTGAACCTAGGAGAATTGCAGCTCTATAAACAATATTTCGTATTGTACTTACAAGATACCTAATCTATGACCATTTCCTGATCTATTACATCTAGCAACAAGGACAAGGCCCCAAGCAATGGACATCCGAGTCTATTGTGAAACCAAAGACCCTCACAAATCCATGACAATCCGTCCTATATCCATCCAAACCAGTTTCTATTAGTATCCATCCCGCCACATCAACCGGGTTGCAATAAACCTTAGACCTTGCCGTCAGAGAACGACACAACAGCCCATTTTCCAGTCCACGCCCACTTCCGTGACTCACTGCCGCCGCCACCAGGAAGCTGGCGGAGCTTCTCATCCTCGCCGGCCGGCAGACCGACGACAACATCCGCCTTGCAAGTGCGGAAGGCCAGGACGCGGATTCCGGACTTCGGACCCATGGGGCCGATGGCGGTTGTGAAGGGGGTTGTAGGGTCCCATTGGGCCTGGGGGGTACAAGTCAGCATTGGAAATTGACGAGAGTAGCAGGATAAATACTGATCAAATACGTACGTCGTTGACGAGCTTGCGGTAGTTCAAGTCACCCTTGAACAGAACAAGCTCACTTTCCTTCAGATCCTCGAACAATTCCGGCGCAACGTGCGGCATACGCCAGTAACAGCCCTGAGTAGTCCAGAACGAGTGCGGACGCACGATCAACTTCCCGTCCTGGTGGAACTCGCTCCACTGCTGGAACAAGAATTGCACGTCTTCAACTTCCTTGGCCGAGAGCGCCGGGTATGTCTTGCCCGTGTCATCGGGCGCAGTATAGAATGCCTGCGGGTCAACCATGGAGTTGAGCAGGTCCGAGAAGTCCCTCGGCGTAACGTCGGACACGAACCAAGGCAGACGCTTCGGGTGTAGTACGACTGTCGTCGCCAGACCCGCTGAGAGCAGGTACCCGGCCAGGATTAGATCGACGAAGAGCTCGAAACCGGAGTTGTCGAGGACGATATCGACGCGGCGATCGCCGTCCTTTTTCTCCACGCGAGCCTTTTGCATCACGTTGAACGCGGCTTCGAGGTCGTTGACGATGATGTTCTTCTGCGATGCCTGGCGCGCCTGCGAGCCCTGCAGTTTCTGGATATCCTCGTAGGTGAGGGAGGTTAGGAGCGAGAGATCAGTGGCATTTCCCCACAGGCAGATCTCGCACATCTCCGTGAATAGCAATTTCTCAGCCTCCTCAATCTGTTCTGCGGACATTCCGTCATGCCCCTTACCGCTCTCGGCCTCGTGAGCCAGTTCACGATACCGCGCGGCGAGTTCTAGCACGGCGGGCCGGGAGGACTTGAAGGTGGACATCTTCTGGCGCGCAAAGACGTCGTAGCCCTTCCAGTGCTTTGATCGGAAGAAGAATGTCTCCATGCGGCGGTCTATTGAATGCCCGCCATATTAGCACCGCTGTATATTCGGGGCGAGAGAGCTGAGGTAGAATAGACATACAGAGGTAGCACTCGGAGTACAACCAGGGTGCATCGTGCCATTTGGGGTTTCCGCGCTGCTTGAGTTCCTCGTTATACGAAGCAATATCGGACTCGCCGTCGTCATCGAGGGGGCTAATAGATATCCAAGATATCAGCGACTTTCTTGGCCAATTTTCTGCAAATACCCAAACCCATGGGGTTCCACTAACCTCAATTGCCGGTCATGCTGCAATTCATACTTCAACGTCCCAAGCTTCTCGATGATGCTCTTTCCCTCCCTGGCTTTCTCCTCGTCGGTGACTGTGTTTACCGTGCGGGCTAGGTCATCAATAGCGCCAGTCTGCAGCGGTCAGCATTAAGCAATCGCCTAGTAGTATAAAGAGGCGTACAATGATGACGGGCCATCGGTCATCCGCCGAGACCGAGGCGAAGCTCGACGGGTCCGAGGTGAGGAATTGAGCTGCTACGAGTCAGTCACATGCTTATCCACCCATGGATAATCAACTCACGCGTCTTTGGATCAAATTCCATCTTGTCTGTGGATTTGACGAAAGTTGGGGAAGCCGACGTTGTCCAGGGAGGAGAATCGCGGGGCAGTGAAAGCGGTGAGCTTGTCGAAGATTAGTCTACTGTAGCTGCGAGTCTGGGCCATTGATATTGCTCTAATAAATGCGGTGATCTAATCATTCCGTGTGATTGGCTAATTAAATCCAACCCAGAAGTATATATTCTATACAATACAATAACAAGGCACAAATATGTCATCAATCCATCAATTCGTCGTGTATCCTAAGTTTAGTACGTGAATTTGAGAACACCAGACTCTATATCGGACAACAGTGAGCCGCCAGAGGGCGTAAGCCAAGTAGAAGTAGGATTCAGATGCTCGTTAGTACAACAGTATATCTCTCTAAGCTCTTTGGAAGACAACGCCCGCTCTGCAAATCATCTGGGTTCATCACATCATCGACAGGATCGAGTTCTGCGCGTAGGCCTGTGTGTAGAAGTTAGCTCAAACCTCTTTTCGAAGAAACAGTGATACTGGAGATATCTGGCTTACCATCGGCTTGATATCAGGGTGGGGCACAGCCTCGAACACTTCATAGTTGAGCTTGTAGTCAGGTCCAATGTTGATATAAGCGCCCTTGTTCTCCGTAGAATCGCAGTACTTGGGCGCCGAGAAGACGGTGATACAGCGGCCGTCGTGCTCAACTTCGTAACCCTCCATACGGACCTCGTGAGACCGGATAATAGCATCGAGGCCGTTGTTCTCACAGAAGCGCTTAGTGATATCCGGACCGAACTGCAGACCGACACCACGCTTGCTGGGTCCACGGCCGGGCTGGGGCTGCGGGTCGGTCCACAGCATCTCCATCATCAAGCCCTGTTGACCGGGCTGCCGTTGGTTGTGACGGTTAAGTTTCCGGATATCGTTCAACGTGATCTTATCGTCTGAGAAGAGACCGCCATGCAGGACAAGATATTTCTCGCCGATAAGAGTGGCCAACGGCAATGCCGAGAAGGACTCGGAGAACACCTTGAAGACGCGCTCGGTATACTTGGCCTTGCACTCGCCCTCGAAGCCGTAGACCTTGTTCATATCATCCGTCTCGTGGTTACCACGGTTGAGGAACAGTCCGTTCGGCCGCAGCCACTTGTACGCGTATAGAAGCAGGGCAATCTCGCAAGACCACGAGCCACGGTCAACAAAGTCGCCGTTGAAGAGATAGGCATGGGAGTCGGATGGGCTACCATTTCGGCGGAAGATCTCCAGCAGGTCAAAGAATTGGCCTATCCATCATTAGTTGTTGATCTTTTCCTGGGCTTGGTTGAATTCCAGGGACATGCATACCGTGAGTATCACCACAGACCGTCAACTTCTTGCCCGCATCAACACCAATTTCCACCATCGTCGGCTCATTGTAGACAATATCCTTCACAGCCTTGACAATCTGGAAGACATACTTGCGGTGAATCTTCTTGCCATCCTTAAACCGTTGAATCATATCATCAATGAACTCCTGTGTCATCTCATTCTCGATGCGCACACCGTCATAGTCATCCTCCACCTTAATAGCATCGATATCCAAGCCCTCGAACGCGGACGGCGGGTCCGAAACTTCAATAGCCTTCTCGAACTCCATACGACGGACCAGTTTCTCGCAATCCGCCAACTTAAGCTTCGCATTTTGGTTGCCCGGTTCACGCTTGACCACGGCCTTGAAGTCCCGAAGCGCTCCCTTATAGTCGAGAATAGCAGTTTTGGCGAGGGCACGCCTCCAGTATGCCTGGGAACAGAGTAAATGTCAATATCGAGCTTAAAACGGGGCAACCCCACTCAACGTGCATGCTAAGGATTGCCTTCGTGCCATGAAACCGGGGCTTCTCGTTCTCAATAGCGACTGACCTTGACATAGTTCGGGTCCAATTCCAAAGCCGCAGTAGCGTCGGCGACGGCGAATCCAAATGCCTCGAGTTTGATCTGAGCCTATTGGTAAGAGACGATAGTCTCCATATCAGCCCCATGTTCACACTTTCCTCAAACTCGCCGCGGCGATTCGCCTCGGGAGAGGCGTAGCCCTTGTCGGAGTCCGACATACCTGAGCCCGGTTGGAGAAGAACGAGGGTTCCTTGTCGTATTTCTCGATAGCCTGGTTGTAGAAATCGACTGCCGTAGGCCAGTCATGCTGGGCAAAGGCCTTGTTGCCCTGCACCTTCAAGGCGTTGGCCTCGTCTTGTGCCGAAGCCATGGGGAGCGGAGAAAGTTATCGAGGGGCACGAGACCGCGACGATCGGAGAAGGTCCTAGAGGGCGCGGGGCGAGGATAACTGCTAAGACGAGGGACTAGTCGAAGCAGAAAGGGGAAAGAAAGGCCCAATTCTTCAAGTGAATGGAAAGAATGTAGAGAAGAAAAAAAACGGGGCGAGAAAGACGGAGGCGAAAAGAAGGGGAGAAAAAGGGCACGGGATTCCTGGTGGTTCCTGACGATGGTCTTTCCGTGGTCTTTTTTCTCCGATCACAACGGGTCTTGGCATCTTTCCAGAACCCTCGATCGCGGACCCCGAGCCCTCCCTCCGCTTCTTCCTTTACCCTCAATACTCTCCCCAACTCGCAACATCCAATGTCGTTCTATACCCCGCCAAACCAGCAACGCTCCTTGCGAGCTTGCATGGTCTGCTCCGTCGTCCAACTGCACAATGTAAGAGCTTATATTGGAAACCCCGCTACCTCCGAGGCTGAGAGGCTGACCACCCGGCGCTGTGCTCCAGAAATTCATGCGCGACGGCTGTCCCAATTGCGAAACCGTTCTCCAGCTCCGTGGAAACAACGATGCCATCCAGGAATGCACCTCCCAGGTCTTTGAGGGTCTGATTTCGGTGCGCGATCCAGCCGCCAGCTGGGTGGCTCGGTGGCAGCGCTTGGACAACTACGTGGCAGGGACATATGCGACCAAAGTGACAGGATCGGTGAGTGCGCTCGTTGCGATTCCTGGCCAAATGTGACATCTGGCTAATCGGTCTGATCGTGCAGCTTCCCGAATACATTATTGGCAGCTTGGAGGACTCTGGCATCAAATACGTCCCGTACGTTTCCTTCTCGCGGAGCCAGCGCTCTACCATCAACTCTCCTGAGTCTAACACTAACCTTTGCGATACCCTAGTCGCGACGGAAGCACAGGCGAAGAAGAATCCTAGGGTGGTCGACCACACCACGCCCTTCCATCTATTCCCACCCTCACCAAAGCACATCACCATGTCTGTTCATCACAGTCTTGATTCACGATACCCTCTACAAAATTCAAGGCAGAGTCTGCCGGTCGGGATGGAAGTACTACAACAAATTTTGCTGGTTAATTGGAGTTATAGGTTGGAAGCATTGCGCTGCTTTTGTCGTCTCATTTCTGTCGAGCATTTGGTTACGGAATACAGAAAGCTGGGAGTTGGACCCCTTACTTGATACGTTTACAACATAAAACAATACGATTACTCAAGATCAAAGACAGTGTGTGTGTGAAGTAAAGTCATTCAATTGACAATGACATGAAGTGTCTATGGATGTACAGTCCCAAATTTTTGGTGGCATGACTCGAAGCAAGGAAAACGAAAACTGTCAAAAGGAAACAGGGAAAAACAAAGTCGCTCATTAAATCCAGGAGAAAGAGGCAAAGAAAAAGACTCAGGCAAATTCCGTTGGTATCAATAGCCCCGGTGCTTCGTCTTTCTTTGCTTTAGTAAAAAAGGGAGAGAAAAATCAAGTGTCAGTCATCTAAAGCAGCTTGATGATCTTCTCGATGCTCTCGAGCAGAATGTCAGCGTGGTGCTTCTGGAAGACCAGCATGGGGCGCAGGCGGACAGCCTGGGCACCGCTGCCACCGATATTCACACCGACGGTCTTGGCCTTGACCAGGAACTCGTCACGCTTGGGGGTGTCCCAGGCAATGAAGGTACCCTGGTTCTTGCCACGCAGGTTCTGGAAGTGCTCGGGGTACTTCTGAGCCAGGCGCTCGATGCCGGCGTACAGGTAGTCACCGGTGATGCGGGTGTTCTCGACGAGGTTAAGGCGCTCGACCTCCTCGATGATACCGCGGAAGATCAGGGCACGGGATGGGTCACCCATCCAGGTGTTGAACTGACGGTAAGGCTTGTTGGGGCGGAGAGCCGGGTTGCCGAAGTAGTATCCAGCGGTCTGGGCCTTCTTGGAGAAGGTGACCATGTCGGGAGGGGTGGACAGGTTCCAGTGGTCGTGGGCCCAGAACTTGCCGGTAGCACCGACACCGGTCTGCACCTCGTCGACGATGAAGAGCACCTTGTTGCGCTTGGTGATGTCACGCAGGCCCTGGAAGAAGGCGGGCGAGGCGTGGTTGTCACCACCCTCGGACTGGATGGGCTCGACCATGACGGCGGCCACGGGGTTGTGGAACTCCTTGATGAGACGCTCGACCTCCTCGAGGCAGCGCTTCTCCTCGGCGGCGTTCTCCTGGACGTGCTCCTCCAGAGGGTACTTCAGCTGGGGGAAGGTAGCCTGGGGCCAGTCAAAGGCGGGGATGTCCAGCTTGTGGATGGGCTTGGAGCGGGTGGTGGACAGGGAACCGAAGAGACGGCCGTGGAAGGCAGACTTGAAGGACAGGATGGAGAGCTGGGGCGAGCCGGGGCCCTTGTTGTTCATGGACGACTCGATCTCCTCAGCAGTGAACTCGACCTCGGGGCCACCACGCTGGAGCTGGCGGTAGTACATGAAGGCGGCCTTGTAGGCAGTCTCGTTGGCATCGGAGCCAGCCATGGCAGTGAAGACCTGGTTCAGGCCCTTGGGGGCAGCCCGAAGGATACCGGTCTTCAGGATGTGGGACCAGTCGGCGGAGGGGAAGTTACCCAGAGCCGGGCGATTGATCAGAGAGGTGATCATCTCGGGGGACTGGGCCACCTCCTTGAGGTGGGGGTTGTTGTACCCAACCGGGATGGAGGCGATCTGAGCGTAGCTGTATATGAATGTTAGTAACTAGAGCTTCTATACATTCAAACATGATCGATTGAGGAATTGACTTACACATCGAGGAGCTTGTTGCCATCGAGATCAGCGATACTACAAGACAGGAACCGGGTTAGCCATCGTTCTTCACTCTATCCAGGGGACAAGGTGGTCGTACTAGTTGCCAACGGAGTTGTTGTAGTCAGCGAGCATGTTCAAAGAGCGAACATCAAAGACCTCATCGAGCTCGGCGGCGGCGGCCTTGTTCTTGGGGCCGGGGATAGCAGTCGAGACGGAGGGAGCAGTAGGCTCGTTGGGGAAGTAGGGCTTCTCGGCCGCACGAAGACGAGCAGTGGTCGAGAGAGCACGAGCAGCGGGCATGCGAGCCGCAGTGCGCAGCTTGGAGCTGGAACGGAGGACGGAGGCCATTGTGAATTATAAAGTGAGATCGCTCACCGACCGAGTTGGAGATAAAATGGAAGAGGGTGAAATGCGGGGAAGAACAGCGACAAGGCTCTTCAGTTGCACAAGCGATTCCCGGACCTGGGTTCAATGGGTCTCGGTGATAGAGCAGGGGGGGGCAGGATAGAAGATTGAGAGAAGAATTCCCAAGGAGTCCTGGGGCAAGGGATTTATATCAGACGAGGGCGACACTGTTCGTTATCGGCCGTGGAGCTCTCGAGAGCTTCGTTCCCCGCGTCAATGCCATTGGATCTCGGCGGCGCGGACCAATCAACGTGCTGGATTGGCCGCGAAACCCCGATGCACCCCGAAAATGGAAGTCGACGAATTAAGAAAGTCTACGCAGCGGTGGATTAATCTTTTGGTAGTCATCTTGCGCAAAACGTGGAGGGGTAAGCTGGTTCCCTCAATAAATATGTGTCAGGTGCTCGATTGGGATCTTTTTCATTAGTCGGCACTCGGGTTCTGCTTGAGATTTACCGGAATGGATTGGTAATTATTCTTTGAATACAGTAGATGTGGTCACGTGGTGCCTTTCATTGCCGAAGGATCATCATCGTTTGGTCATCGACAACTCACGTGAGCCAACCCAGCCTGAGGCGGTCTGGCCGTGGCTCCTTCGGATAAGCCGCCACTATCAGTTTATCACGACGCCGATAAGCCAGCCCCGCGACTATCAAAGCATGGACCCGGCCGAATTCCGACTACTTCATCTACCTCGAAATGCATATTGAATAATTATGTACTAATTACTGGCAAAGGCATGAGATCCTGGAGCCCCAGAATTAAGCTTAGTATCGATCTATCCTATTGTGAAATTTCTCCGGTGGTTTCATCGTTAGAATGGAAGGTCACACATGCCCCCAATGTTCATCTTGACTGGGTGATATATGTCCATGTCTGCAACCCAACTGGCAACTAGTCCCAGTGAGAATCTGCCCCTGCAATATTAAGCGCAACAGTATATATTAGGTATACGTCCTCATTAGATGGCAACACCTATCGATAACGCAAAGCAAATATAAGTCACCTTCGTCTCTGTACCCTCCAAGATAACATATCCAACGGAAAATCATCCCCAATTAAGCCAATGGCAACCGACTCCGTCGGAACGCCCTTCCCAAACCTTCCTCTCTCGTTGCCGAGTCCAAGCCGCCGAGTGGGTCCCCGATGGTATCCGCACACACCACTGGTTCAGTCTCAAGTAGGCACAAATAGAGCCGTCTCTCACACAAGCGGGCTTGTGGTTTAGTGGTATAATACTCCCTTAGCATGGGAGTGGTCCGGGGTTCGATTCCCCGCGAGTCCAGCTCTTTTTGCATTTTATTTTATCTATGCTTCGTGGTGGTGGAATGAGGAATCAAAGCCAACGGCTGTGAAGATGAGGTTTTTGTTTTTGGGCGGGAGTGAACGGCAGAATGTGGGAGACTACAAAGCTGGGTTATAGGTCATTAATTTGCTGTCCTTCAGCAAGAACACGGGTTCCATAACTCAGTTGGTTAGAGTGTGGTGCTAATAACGCCAAAGTCGAGGGTTCGACCCCCTCTGGGACCACTTCTTTTTTTCATTTTCCTTTTCCTTTCGCTTTTCTTTTTGTTCCATTAAGCTCGAACCCTCGATCTTTCTAATTTCCTGTGATTCCGATCGGCTTGCTAATTTCATTCTGGGTTATCTGTCGACCAATTGCTCTGATAGGCATGGTACCATACCTGGCCCTATGGCTGCGCTGCCTACCACCTCTGCCGTGTCTGGCAATGAATCATGCGGCTTGGCCACTTCTACTGGAGGACGTTGAAGCTCGACTCAGCTGAAAGTGTTTCACTAAATCCCACCCGCCGATCTCACCCACAAGGCGAGCCCCTCTGCAAATTAAGCTAGCATTAGAAATTAATTGTAAGGCCCCCTGCATACCATAAGCTGATGCGTGAGACGGGTCTCGCATAATATTCTTCATTCCTACACCGAGACGGTAGAAAAGAGATAGGATTGATTAATGTACATGCAGGAAAAAAAAGAAAAATGAAACTCCAAGTACAAGGTATCATGGGTGTCAAAGCCGTAAGCCAATCATCGTGAAGAACATCGAGTATACAAGACGCTTTTCATCACAACACAATCCTACCCCGGGCAACCTGATGCAACCCCAAAGCCGGGACCCCAGAAATTAAAGCGCAAACCATATATACACGGTTTAAATGTAAATTTACATAGACAAATGGACATTAATAGAAAAGAAGCGAACACGTTAAATCATCGCCGTCCATAGTATGCCTCATCCCTCGTCAACGAACTAGACGACTTCTCACTAGCCGCAGACGAGAACACCAAAGGACCGTTCTTCATCTCAATACTCTCAGGCGAATCAGCACGGTTCTCAGTACCAATATCATACGTATGGCCGATCGTATCATGATGTGCGATTCGAGCCTCAGTCCACGTCTCCATCTCGACTGTGCGCATGATTTCGAAGCGGTCGTTTTCGAAGTCGCCCTTGCGGGAGGTTTGGGTCGCGGGAATGTGGGAGTGTCCGGAGCGGCCAGTTGTGGAAAAGAGTTTTTGGGATCGACTGCGCTGGTTGTAGGAATAGCCGATGTTACGTGTGGAGTTGAGGAGACGGGGGAGGAAGGTTGCGATGAGTGGGCGTAGCGCGGGAGCAGAGGAGCAGATCTAATGGGTTCTTGTTAGTTTCTGATTTTAAATAACTATATGCTGTTAGGATGTTGGCTTCAGGAGTTGGGACGTACCAGACCGAGATTGATCTCTACCGCGGCGGCGATCAGAACCGGCCAGCCGACCCAGGTTGTATCGTAGCCGACAACCATGCTTCGCCAGACGTATACGGTGCGTACGGAGCCGGCAACGTTGACGATGATTCCTAGCCCGAAGATGGAGATAACTGCCAGACGTTGACGGGCAGGCAGCTTGAGACTCCAAATTAGTGGCATAGGCAGGGCCGTGACGAGGAAATCGGTGAAGATGTTGATGACACTGGCAGCGAAGACGAGGCTTCCTCCATTCAGGCATTTGTGTGGATATGTAGGGCTGACATCCCAGTACGCCTTGACGGGTCTGTACATAAAAGTCAGTATGGCTGCTCAATGATCACGGCTTGATATTCGGGTGACTCACGAGCACTGGAAGATACTGATGAATGTGAACATGAGGCAAGACACTCCGACAAAGAGCATAGCTCCAATAAAAGCCCAGTTGAACCACTTAAAATTGCCCTTTCCAGGGCCGAGTAGCCGGCGACAGAACCACAGCAGCGAGATTTTCGTGAGACTCGATGACCAAGAGAACAAGATTTGGAAGACGATGTTGAGTTTCTGCACAGTCGTGAGCCACGTTTCTGGCACATCCCAAACATGGCGATTCCAGCCCCAATTCTCTGAAGCCAGCGACGTCACAGCCACCATGGCAATGGCGAAAGCAAGACCGAATACGATGAGAACGTCGTCAGCGCCGGCACTGCAGGTAATCCGGAATCGAGTGTATAGACGGAGTATGACCACGAAGAATGCCAGGGCAATACAGACGACATTCACAATGAGAACGCCGTGGCCGCGGGTTGGAGGGTCGATGTAGTTTGGCGTGGGCCAGGTCGCCATTACGGCGAGCGGGGGAAGTTGCATGATGTCGAAGGTGCCGTCACCACGTTATAGTTATATGGTGCTTTTATCGAAGAAGCGGGGGGTATCTCGATGGGAATGGGGGTCCGATAGATAAAAGAGTCATGGATCATCAATGGTGCATATACTGCAGAGGTCTTATTTCTGAGTTAAGAAAAGGGACGGCGCAATGTCTCTGCCAAGTCAAGGGGCGAATGTAGATGTTGAGAGACAGGAATGTTAAGGAATGTAGGGTGCAAGACGTTGCGATCTCAAGGGCCCATTTTCCGATCCACAGAAGAGAAGGCCAATAGTAGAAGTGAATGGAGACTTGTAGCATATGAGTAGAGAAGGAAGAAGGGAAATAAAACACGCGTAAGTAGCCACCCACCCCCGCGAGTGATCCGGGGAATCGATAATTATATTGTCTGCTGGGGGAAAATATGTGGTCCACGCGAGCCGAAATGGACAGCAGTGTTCATACTACGGAGTGCCGTGGCAAGCGAAGGGACCTTAGAATCAATTATATTAAGAGTAGCAATGAAGCAAGAGACTAGGACGGGTCGAGACCCACGGACCGTGGGACATGGATTAAACCTCAGGACGGCTAGGGACAGACGTTGATTCGTGGTTTACACTCTTACGGTGGCCAGTGCCGACAATTCAGCGCCCGCGACACTCCATTTTAGCGCACCATAGGTTCTCCCATAAATTCGACGGTGATGAGCCCTGGACCATCGTCGCGAATTAAATCCACTTGCCCACCATCTTTGGATGCGAGTACCCCAAAAGAGTATCAGCACCGAGGACTAGCGGGGACAGGAGGCAACTGGTGGAGCGCGGTAGGCAAAAGCAGAGCCCCATAGTTCAAATCGGACGAGGAATGAGATCCACCGAGGGCGAAACTGATCTGATGTGATGCACTGGACGGACTATGAGAGGCCAATGCCTGTGAAAAGAAAAGATATGAAAAAGGTACCACACGAGGCCCCCCGGCTATTCCTATTCCGTTTGGCTTCTCTGGCTTCGCGAGTTTTTCCTTCAGGGACGGCTCTCTTAACCATGGTTGGCTGATTCGACACGGGGTGTCGGACATTGCGCATGAGGATCCCTGTCGCTGCATATTCTTACACTTTTATTTGTCCGACCCCTGTTCATTATTGTCTGCGTTAGAACTTAGAACAAATAAAACGAGCTAAGAAGAGGTGGCGGAGAGTGGCAACTCTCGAAGAAAATGCTGCGCGGCGGGAGCCGAGGGCAGGTACTTCATGCAGTCAGTGCGGACTATGAAAAAGACTAAAACACGAAAACTCCAATATGCAGGCACGCCACCTTGGTTTTGCATTGGACCAGATTTAAGACGGCACTATAGAATCCCCGAATACCACCTATTCCAACAATCGAGATTTTCCGATCACATTCAAGCACACAGACCCAATGATAGGTAATAATTCTACAGCCTCGTATTCTTGTATGAAGAAACTGTGCGGGGACACTGGGTCTGGTTCTCCACCCGCCTGGTCCATCCGAGGCCTGGCGTCGTGGGTGCTGACAGCCAGCCCACACTTCTAGCCTCTTCGGATTATTTAGTTACCCCTCTCGACCACACAGAAACTCACGCAAGATTATGAAAAGACCAATTCCATGGACATTGAACGCATTGACTGTAATCAAATGGCACAGACCCGGTGGCATGGCTCAGATCCTCGGTAAGTAGAGATAAAATGCAGTCAGCTGTGAATGCAAAAAGCATTAAAAACCTATTACTGTAAATAGTAGTTGCTAGGAACATTCCATAAGCCTGCATGGGTTGAAGCAACTACAGTGTTTAGCCTTTTTAGCCACTGACTCTCTCTATCCGTTTGCTCTTGAGACATCCAACCTCTTCTTTCTTAACCCGTTTGTCTACCGTGTCATGGACTTCTGGTCCACTTTTGGGCTACCAAGCGGAGGAGCCTGTGGAAACAGCGTGGTATTTGTCTACTTCAAGTTCGAATCCACTATTTTATTCGCTAAGTCTTGTCTGTGACTGTATGGAAAAGAGTCTGAACCTCTGGGACTAATGAATGCCTCATAGGTCCCTCTTGAGAGCAGTCGATGAACCTTGGTCGGCTACTAGGTTACGTACGGCCTGTGACCGTATCGACACTGATCTGCAGACCATGGGACTGAGTCGAAACTCATCTGACTCGGCCGGGCCTCATGAAATGCGACCTCGAGTGAGGTTGATCGGCGATCGCAGTTTCATTCGTGACTAGTGTACCTTGCACGAACGAATCGACGATCGGAGGCGGACATCTGGCCGACTCTAGATGACCCACACCGCGATTCGAGAAAGCAAACAGAAAGAATGACTTCGTAGGTAGTAGAGGCATGCATCAGGTCTGGAATAAGAGCCGGATGATCTGCACGCACTATTGACTTTCTCTCTCCACTTATTAGGGCTGAATCAATTCACAAAGCAAGATCTCGATCGATGAATCGAGCTTTGGCTTGAATTCCAGATCGGACAGTATTAACCGCTATTATGGCTTTGATAGGCCTAACAGTCGGGCTTTTGGAAACTTCCAGGTTGCAGGTGTCTAACTTGCACGGCAATCGGCAACCAGGCCGAAATATTGGAATATCTGAGCAGATGGTAGCTATTATCCGGTACACAATACTTTAAACCAATCCCTCTAGGTTGGATTCGCATATTCTAGATATAGGGGTACGGGGTAGATGATTCTCAGCGCCCGGATAGAATTGAACAGGACATTCACTTCAGCGCCGTTTGAGGGTATAAGCGTCGTAGAACCGCAGATTCTGAATACATCCATGCCATTTTTAAACACCAACCTTCAATATTTGAGCAAATTTGAGATATCTGAACAATCAGACAGTCCCATCTAAATAAATTCACTGAATAAAGATGACGCTCAAATTTGGGATGCCGAGGATCCATGGATATGCCATTGCTGGTTGACTTTGGGTTTGCATGTGACTCGATGCGGAAAAATGGAAATCTGCTACGGCCGGCCATTGTTATGCCCAATCATGAATACTTCTCTCTCAATGATTCTTATAGATGGTCATCAATAAGACCAATTTAAACTACTTGTTTCACTCATCCTCATAGAGTTGGTCTTTGAGCGGCGGCTCAGAAGATCGTTGCAACTTTTTGGTGTCGCGTATAGAATAACTACTGCCACAGCACGATGAGTCGGCGACTACTTCATGACAGACTAGTCAGCGCCACTAATCATCCCACACAAGTTGATATTGTTTTCAGACGCGAGACGTGAGTTCAATCTAGAAGAAGGCATGTGGGGGCTTAACGGATACCTGCAGGTGATATGACTCGTATCCCTGGTTCAATCCTGGTCACTGTTTGCGACATACCCGGGGTAGCATCGTTATTGCCGAATGTTAAACCATCACAGTAAAGAAAAAGATATTCTAATGTGCAGCAGGCTCTACACGAACCTGATCGACAGGATTCTGCGACAAGGGCCCGTGTAGTTTCAGCATTATACCCAAGTATTCTCGAGCTCATTCCCAGACATGCTCTATCTATTATAAAAAAAACTCTTGCTATTTCTAGGAGCTGCTTTCATGTCAGCGAAAATAAAACAAATTGGCAAAAAAAAAATGAGAAGAAGCTACAAGACAGGGGATATTCGCTAAAGCCAAACGCCATAAGGCATGGGTGTTTCATGTGATGTTTGCCGTGCAGTAGGTCTACGAGGTTAGTGTAGCCGAATGTACAGTCTGAGCGCACTTTTCACTTTTTGCTTGACCTTAAAAGGAAGTAGACATTTCGTATAGACGCCGAAGCTTCTCAAGAACTGCCGATGTTGCTCGGTATATAGCGAGGATGCAAAAAGTCCTACAATACAGGCTTTATTGAGTGCACGGATAAAAATAACTCTTGTGAGGGGATTATGAAGCTCTTGAATATCTCCAGATTAATGGTGTTGAGAGTAAATCAAGACTGCTGCACCTATACACCGACTTTTGACTTCAGCAACAACAATGCTAGATACAATAGCTATCTCATAGACGGCTTTAGGGATTCTTTAGAGCTGAAGCTGTTAGTTCATGAAAGGAGGAACATTGCATAGTTTAGAATTGCTTAAATTCTAAGAAATTTACGTACCATTTAACTTGGTAGCAGAGTATCCCATTGTTAACTGTTTATTACTAGCCCGATTGCTCAAGACTTTGAAAAACAACAGTAGATCCACGCACCCTAGACTTCCTATGACTAGGCGGATTGTCCCGGCACTAGGAGAGCAGGAATTAACTGAATTGCCCGGATGGTCTAGTGGGTTAGTATCATCTTGTCCGATACGAGTTAAGCGTTATCACTAATACAAAACAGTATGATTCTCGCTTGTAAGGACGCTCTTTCCTCTTATCGCCTAAACTTCAACTAACCACAACAAAAGTGGGATAAAACTCAACTGCGAGAGGCCCCGCGTTCGAATCGCGGTTCGGGCCCTGCAAGTCTTTTTTTGTCATTTTTTCAGACCCATTCTATTATGCTCTGCTGGATATTGATCCACTGGGTACTACTAGAGAACAGAGAAAGGAGAAATAGATGCCCTTGTACTTGGTCTTCTTGGAAGATCTCTCTGAATGGAAGTTCAATATCTTGATGATCCAGGTGTCAGCCACATCCTGATCTATTTCAACAGTGACTGATATGATGATTTAAAAATTTCGGGGTTGTGGAAAGTCATTGTGTCAAGGAAGATTTCTTGGAAGGGAGATTGCCTCTGCCTTCACCGGTTCAGCTTGGATATCGTTGCGTGGAGGTAGGCATTTAGAGCTCGTCGGCTGATTAGACTGTCCCATGAAGCTCAATAGCTCTGGCATCTCACTCAGACGATCGAAGCAAAAATTCTTCCAGCTCTCCAAACGCTCTCTCCAAATCACCATTAACAATGATCTTATCATAAAACCCTCTCGTTTCAGCAAACTCAATCTCCTCCCGAGCCCGGGCCAGCCTTGACAACACATCATCCTCGCTCTCCGTCCCACGACTTCGTAGTCGCGCACCGAGAGCTTCTAGATTAGGCGGTTTAATGAAAACATAGCGCGCATCGATACTAGATCTCTCCCGGATCTGCTGCACCCCATCAATCTCTATATCTAAGACAGGAATCATTCCCTTGCCCATTATTTCGGCGATCGTGATCTTGCTGGTGCCGTATTGATGGCCATTGAAAGTAGTGTATTCCACGAATGTATCTTGAGAGATCAGTGTGGAGAATGTAGCCGGAGTGACGAAATGATAGCTTTTGCCGTCTATCTCGCCAGCGCGTGGGCTTCGGGTAGTATGAGATACGCTTAGTGCGAATGTCTGGGGATACTTGTCGATTAGCTTTTGGGCTAGCGTTCCTTTGCCGACCCCAGAGGGTCCGGATATGATGATCGGTCTGCGATCGAGGGGTGCTGCAGGGGCTGCAGGGTCAGCGGCTGGCTCTTGATAACATGGCCAAGGAAGATCTTGGCGTACTGGGTGTCATCACGATTGATAATTTGCTTTGACCTGGAGCCTTGGTTTGTGAAAGATAGCTTTTGATGTAACGCGAAGTGCGACTTCTCCTGATATCAGTGCTTTGAGATTAGGCAGTGTCATGTATCTCTAGTTAACTATCTGCCTGAGGGGTCGAATGAGTCAAGGGGCGGCGGTCAGCTTGCCGCAGCGCTAATGACATGCCAGCAAACTTCCAAGCTCATCGACGCAAATGTACACCCTTTACATCCTCTGAAACACACTATGAAAGAAAAGCACCAAGGATTGTAGTTCAAGTCGACTTTGGATTGCCATATTAGCGACGCTGGTCTTATTTCTAGGCGTAATATTCCGCCAGGGCTGGTAAATAGACAATTTAGAGGTTTGCGTGCGTGACGTAAATTCATAGCCAATCTATTATCCATTACTATAGCTACGCGTCATAATATAAACGCACATTTTATGCTATTTATGCATTAAACCTCAACAAAAGAGAGAACCCATAACACGACATTCTTCTTAGCCGTTCCACGACGAACGAGAGCAAACACCAAACCAATAGCTATTCGATATCTAATACGGATTAACTTAGTTTTCCTTGCTTTTATCTGGCAATACAGGGCTAGGTGATGTTCACGTGCCTCCACGATCTATATCCTGCAAATATGCGCCCGTGAAACCCATCCCACCCAACCCATGATTGAGCGAACCCGTCCTCCAAAAATGCACATACACAAACTTCTTTTTAATCCTTTGATCTAGGGGTATTTAGATCATTTGAAATACGAAATACGGGGTCCACCCAATTTGCTAGGGACCCACCACTCTCCCGCATGGCATAACTTTGCTTTCCCTCTATACTCAGTTATTGGGGGAGTTATGTCCGTTATGGACAAATTATGCTCCGCTATGCCCGAACCTTATGCAAAATCACCCACCTTATGAAGGGGCCTCTTAGCAATAAACAACGCCCTGGCGCGGAATGACCAGCGAGATGGCGTTAGATGCGTTTCCATGCTAACTGTCGCCCAAGTGTAGGAATTTTTTCTTTCGCCTGTTGAATATGTCTTAAAGATAGCTTTAATTTTGCTGTGTCGCTCTTTTCTTGCATTTTTTTGACTTCCTGTCTCGCGTTGATGTTTCATTTTCGAACGATCGACTTCATTTTATCAGGATAATTCTGCAAAGACTAAGAGCTTCATTACCCAGTCTTGGCTTGTGGTCCTTGATTCGACTATGGCATCCGCCAATCGTGACCTCTCGGAAAAGACCATCGCAGAGTCCGTCGCTTCGGGCCACTCGGGCGAATCCAACATCTCGGACAATAACTCCAAGAAGGAAACAGATGAGCCAGTTGATACCAGGCAGAGATCGTCAGTCGAAGTCGCAGTCGATGCCACTGCTGATACAGGCGACGTCGAAGCGAACGTACAGAGATCCATCACAACAAAGCAATTCCCCGTCACCGACCTAGATCGAGGTATCGTCGGCTGGGACAGCCAAGATGACCCCGAGAATCCCCAGAATTTCGCTATGAGTCGGAAATGGGGTCTGCTGGCGTTGATGAGTGCTATCACCTTCGTGTCACCGCTGGCATCGAGTATGTTCTCGCCGGCTGTGAGTTACGTCGCTATCGATCTGCATGTAACCAATGAGACTGTGCTTTCGTTCAGTGTCAGCATCTTCTTGCTCGGGTATGCTGTAAGTTGCTGCTATGACCTCATCTTCTGTCGTATTACCTGTCATCTCTAGACTTGACTGACCCATGACAATCATACGCGATATAGGTTGGACCACTCGTGCTCGCCCCTCTGAGCGAGATCTACGGCCGTCGGATAGTACTCAGCTGTGCAAATTGGTTCTTCGTGGTGTGGCAGATTGGCTGTGCCTTGGCTCCGAACATCGAGACTCTTATTATCAGCCGCCTGTTCGCTGGCATGGGGGGCGCCGGTTGTCTCACCCTCGGCGCGGGGCTGATTGCCGACCTATTCCCCATTGAGCAACGAGGTATGGCCACGGCCTTGTGGAGTTGTGGTCCCTTGATCGGCCCCGTTGCTGGACCCATTGCTGGAGGTTTCATCGGCGAGACGATCGGCTGGCGCTGGGTCTTTTGGGTGGTCATGATCGCGTCGGGTGTGGTGTCATTTGGCATTGAGATCCTGAACCGTGAGACCTATGCGGCCGTGTTGATTCGCCGCAAGACCGCGCGCCTGTCGAAGGAACTGGGTCGCAGTGATCTTCGCAGCGCCTATGAGCCGAATCTGGAGCGCGTGTCCGTCACCTCTGCTATGAAAGTGGGCTTGAAACGTCCGATTCTTCTGCTCGTCAAATCGCCCATCGTCCTGCTCCTCGCCTTGTATATGGCCGTGGTCTACGGTCTGCTCTACCTGTTCTTCACGACCATCCCAAGTGTCTTTGAAAACCAGTATGGGTTTTCCACCGGTCTGTCCGGACTGGCCTATCTGGGCATCGGACTTGGCTTCATCGCCGGACTGGTCCTGTACGGCATGACCAACGACCGGGTCGTCTTGAAGCTCACCCAACGCAATGGCGGCAAATATGAGCCGGAGATGCGTCTCCCCGCGATGATCATCTTTGCATGCTTCCTGCCCATCAGTTTCTTCTGGTACGGCTGGACAGTCGACAAAGACGTGCATTGGATTGTACCAATCATCGGTATGATGCCGTTTGGCTTGGGGATGATGGGGGTCTATCTCCCAATCTCGACGTACATCATCGACAGTTACCAGAATTATGCCGCGTCGGCCAACGCAAGTCTCACGGCCACTCGATCCCTGGTGGGTGCCGTGCTTCCCTTGGCTGGACCGAAATTGTTCTCGTCTCTCGGTCTCGGCTGGGGCAATTCACTGCTGGGATTCATTGCGCTGGCATTTGTGCCCGTGCCGATCGGGTTTTCAAGATATGGGCAGCGCATTCGGGAGAGATTCCCGGTCAATTTGGATAGTTGAACGAACTGGAGGAGGCAGTCAGATCCGTCAGATCCGTCAGATCCGTCCAGCGTCAGCATCGAAAAGAGGAAGTGCTGACGAGGACCCGACTGGGCCAGCTCCCAGTCCGAAGAAGCCAAAAAGATCGCGCGCAACGGGTCGAGCCGGGCCTGCGGAGCCGACACCCGAAGTCTCGTGACCAATCAGGCCTCCAGCCGTTTTTGGCATTTTCTCACTTGCCCTTTTCGTAGAAGTACGTACTCCAAGAATTAATGTGTCCAGACTATGTATATCCTATGGACTCTCTTCACTTGGGATGAGTCTTTTACAGAGCACAACACATAGAATTGCATTGACCAATTGCTACTTTCTTTCAGCTGAACACTCCCCTGAAATAAAAGGAGGCTTTTCTAAATATAATTCGGCCCCTTTCACGGTTCAGCTACGAATCCCGACCAGCACAAAGGGTCCACATTATTCCACAGCCATCGTGGCTCTGCAGGATATGCTCCACTTGGGATGACAGCGCATCCTACCGTTGAAGCCCATCCACGCCATCCGCCTCGTAAACAGCGCATCTAGACCATCGGGCCCAATGTGAAACAGGCACAGGGGCCGCCCAACTGCATGGCTTGGTTTCGGGTTTTTTGCGTGTGGAGTCTGACTCCCCCCAGACTTCGACTTTTTCTTCCGGTTTTTCGTCCTTCTCTCCTTCGTTTTGTCTCTATTTCCTATCTTTCGTTCTCTCTTTACACTGTTCGACTCTCGCTCTAGTTCTTTCTTTCTTATTCCCTTCTTGTCTATTTGTTGATTGCTCTATTCGCTACTAACTCTCATTGATTATCGAACCGACCAACCCGCACTCCATCCGTTGAATATTGTTTCCTTTCTCTCCATTCACTTCTTTCTCTTTGTTTCACCATGTCCGAAGGCCACGATGCCCCCGTTGTCGATACATCGGCTGCCGTTGCTGGCGACAGCACCGGTGCGGCCCCCGTGGCCGTTGATACTCGCCATCATGCCGACAACCATCATGACCAGGCCCAGCCGCACATTGAGAAGGAGCAGGACTCCGTAGGGCGACTCACGCCTCGGCCAACATTCATGGATCATCTGGTGAACTCCCGGGATGCCCAGTTCCATCTCAATCGTCGTGAATCGAGTGAGCTGGAGCGGTACTTTGTAGGTGGATTGAATTTCCCCACCCAAGAATAGCAGGAAGAATGACCAGCATGAAACGTGGAAGTGGGCTAATATATTTCTCAATGCTATTAGCACGGTCCCCGTGATATGGACAAGCACTCGAAATGGCCCATCTTCATGCGAATGCACGGCAGTGTTACCCCCAAGATGATCCTGCCCCTTTTAATCGTTGGCGTTTGGGCCACTGCCATTACTTGCATTTGCCAATTTGTTTGGAATAGTAAGTGCCTCTTTCTCCATTTGATAGATTATTCATCCGGAAATGTATCGAGATAGATTGGCTAACGAATGCCCGTTTGGGCGAAGCAGTTGGTGTCAACAATATCCTGCTCACCGTGCTGGGTTTCGTGGTGGGTTTGGCATTGTCGTTCCGCAGTTCGACTGCGTACGAGAGGTAAGAAGATTCTCTGTGTCACACTCGACGATTGCATGAGATAGGAGGCTAACGGACCCGACTTGAATACAGATGGGCGGATGGTCGCAAGTCCTGGGCTCAACTCGTCCAGACTTCTCGCAATCTTGCCCGCACAATCTGGGTCAACGCCAGCGAACGTGAGGGCGAGAATGGCAAGGTGGATATTCTTCGTAAGGTGTATGTGAATGCCTTCCCTTGTCGATCTTGCATCTTCCAGGTATACCGAAACAGGATCATTGACTGATCTCAATCCCAGTTCTGCCATGAACCTCATCCTCGCATTCGCCGTTGCCCTTAAGCACAAGCTCCGCTTTGAACCGGACGTCGCATACGAGGACATTGCCGGTCTCGTCGGCCACCTGGACACTTTTGCCCGCGAGGCACACGACCGCAATGTCCTCAACCCCCACCACAAGTCTTTCTGGAAATCGACTGGAGAGTATCTGGGTGTTTCCTTTGCCGAGTCCAACCCCCGGAAGCTGATCAAGCGGTCCAAGAAGCCACTGGGTCACCTTCCCCTCGAGATTCTTAACCACCTGTCTGCATACATTGATTCGATCGTCGCCAACGGTACCCTAACCTCTGGACTGCACCAAAGCCAGGCCAGTAAGTCATCAACAAACCCCCCCAATGAGCTAGCATCATGCTAACAAGTGTGTAGTCACCATGATCTCCACGCTGAACGAGGTCCTCACCGGAACAGAGCGGGTGCTGGAAACCCCTCTGCCCGCAGCATATACCATCGCCATCTCCCAAATCTCGTGGATCTACGTAATGGTCCTCCCCTTCCAACTGTGGAATTCCCTGAAATGGGTTACCATCCCTGCCGCCATGGTCGCTGCATACATCATCATCGGACTCGCCACCATCGGCAGTGAAATCGAGAACCCATTCGGCCAGGACGTTAATGATCTCCCCCTCGACACGTACTGTCGCCAGATCGCCGTGGAGCTAGACATTATCACGGCTACACCACCCCCCAAGGTCGACGACTTCATGACTCGTCCTGAGAACCTTGTTTTCTTCCCACTCAGCGAGAACAGCTATGACGACTGGAAGGCCCGCAGCAAGGAGGATATCCGTGCTGCGCTTCGGGCAAAGGTGACCTCCAGCCCAGGTCTGAGCTCTGCTGTGGACGGGTCTGATGCTTCCACCCTGATAACTCGTATCACCAACCAGACTAAGCAGTCTGTTTGAGATTGTGTGAAACTTCGCCACGTTATGTGGTGAGTTGTAAAATGGGTGTGCAGTGGATAAGGGCATTTTCTGCGAGCGATTGAGCGAAAACCAGATTGATTTGGAATTTGGACCTTTGTCTTCCGCAGCGTGAGAGTTACGGCGTTTTGCTTTTTGCATTAGGGCAGCCTTGCTTCACCAAGAAACCCCGATTGAAAAAAATAATTTCAGATTTTCAGGTTGCATTAGAGACTGATTTTCTTTCGCTTTTGTGAATATTATTGCATTTCCAGAGTTTGGGTTTGGCGCGTGTAAATGGTAAAGTGCTCATGGTAGATACTTCCCCACCACAAGGAGGTAGTCTCGTTGTCTCGAGAGTCAACGGGCATGTTCATGTTTAGTACAAAGCCAGATGTCATGACTGGGCATAGCACTTCCTATATGCTTCAGTATTCTCGCGACAGTCGCTATGGCGTTTAGACGAAGCCTTAAGCCACCAGGCAGGTCTATCATGATTCGCATATAGCCATCGTGCGCCTGCGAATCCGAATCAGACAGGCCTCCGGGTTGCCCCAGCCGCAAAGTAGCGCAGGTATCGCGGCTCTAACCTGCACCAACCCGATGCCCGTAGGACAGGGTCGAAGATAGATAGATAACCCGCCTGGCAAAGACGAGCTCAGACCGGAATATCCGCTCCAAGCAAGAAAAAAAAGGATATGACCCAACAAGATCAAGGCACCCAATCAAGGAACGAACAAATCACTCCCAGATCCAGACACCAACGCGCCTAGATAATTCCCCTTGGCACAGACTCTCCACGCAGCACCCGACCCGCTCCCACTGCCCCCAATCCATGAACTAATCGCAGCAACGACAGCAGCCCCATCGTCGCGGGGAACACGAACCCAGACAGCGCCGTATTTTGTCAGGCCATTTGATTTGGTCCCCTTGGGTTCAACTTTGAGGATATCGATGGGGATCGCGGTTCCTGTTACGCCTAGGAATTGCGAGAGTGCGGAGGAGAGGTATGTGCGGGCGGAGAGGGCGTCGAGGGGTTGGAGGGGTGGTGTGTCTGGTTGGGGGATGCTGGTAGGGGAGGGGAGATTGTTAGATCTGGTAGAGTGGTAGATAGTGTAGAAAAGAAGCTCCTTACAGCTGGAGTTTGAGATAGGTCCAAGGCGGATTGCGCGATGTGAAGTTAATAGTGGTGGGAGTAGAGTCTGGCGCTTTGCGTTTCGGCGCTGACGACGAAGGTGCATTATGTACTGTTTCTTTGTTTTGTACGTCTGCCATCTTGAGGAGTAAGGCTGGTTGATGTAGGACGTGTAGCGGAGAAAGTTGTCGAGCTATCGAGCTGTCGGAGCTGCAGAAAGGCGGAATTTTACGTCACGGGATTCGGAGCTGGAGCTTGAACAGTCAACGACGAGCATTTTCAGAAATTGAAGCCACGCCTACCTTATTTTGTATTTACTTTGAATGGATTTTGCTTTCAGTCGCATCGATTAGTCTTTGCATTGACCGCTGGAGGAATACTTCCTCGCTCTCATCGCCAATGACTAGATCTGCAATGCATAAGGTCTTTTCGCGAGCCTTGGCTCCGCGGATGACTGCGACTGTGGATTTCGGGACTTTGAAGACCTAGAAAGATGCAGATTAGAATTATGCCAGCAAGTTAGAGCTCCATAATTGAAGATCGCTCGAGAGCCAAATACAAGGCTATTCCTCATACCTCTGCAATGACCTGCGAAACGGCCAGGTTGGCAGCTCCGTCGCGGGGAACTGCGGCCACGGAGACGTCAACTCGGGTAGTTCCCACTGCTGTGATGCCTGTTCGCCGAGTAGACGCGTTGGGTTTCACATAGCAGGGGATGTGGAGATTGTACGTTCTTTTGGCAGAGTCTTTGGTATTATTTGCTATCAAGCGCAGAATCGAAGAAGGGCAGCTCATTGTTTTGGGGTGGTTGTGAAGGAGAAGTAGATTGTGGGGAACCAGAAAGAAGATCTACAGTATAAGAAAGACTACCCGATTCTACAAGGTGAGGAAGCAAGCATAAAGATCATATCAATTATGGATAGAGGTGTAAAGACCAAGTATCCTCAAAAAATCAGCAAAAATTAAAGTCCACTGCATATGCTTATCCAGATGGAGGCATGTAGGTTTGACATAGCCAACGATTGGGAGCATACAAAACGAGCATTGGGCAACATGGAAGAACCATAAATGAGCTCGACCAGGCTGCATTTCATTCTACCAATTCAAGCAGCCTCCTTGTCCTTGTCTTTGGCTGCCGAGACACTAAGAACCTCACCAAGATCCTGAACTTCGTCGCTCTGCGACTCGGTCGTCTCACTGACTTTGTACAGCTCGGGACATGCCACACCTTTTCGGCGGAAAATGTATCGTCGGATCCACCATGGAAGGACCTGAGTGAGCTGGAACTTGGCATGAGTACGAGTAGGCACACCAAACACGTAGTCGAGCTCTTCCAGGGATCGCTGCTTTGTTTCCGGCAGGAACAAGAAGATCAAGACGAAGGCAATGAGATTCAGTCCGGCATAGAATCCAAAGGCACCCTGAGGGGTGAACGCTCGCAACATGTATGGGAATGTCAGAGACAGAATTGCTGCCCAGAAGTTGTTTGTTGCAACGGCCCATGCCATGCCGACTTCACGGTGCGAAAGTGGGAAGACCTCGGCTGAATAGGTGAAAGGGACGGGCCCTTCACCGGGAGAATAGAAGGCATCGAAGAGGTAGATGAAGAAGGCAATTGCGCCTAGATGGCCTGTCTTTCCAGGAACCCAGAAGCAGAAGCCTGCGCAGAGCAGTGTCCAACACATGTTCGGGAATGTGAACAGCAGGAGGGCCCGTCGGCCGTAGGTATCAATGGTCCATACAGCTGGCCAAGCAAAGACGAAATTGATGAGCCCGAACCCGAAAGATGCCAGAAGTGCATGAATATTGTCTGCTCCCGCCAATGAGAAGATTGTTGATGAGTAGAAAGCAATGATGTTGACTGTGTAGATTGCAGGTCGTTAGAAACTTGATCAGGCTAAAAATGAATATAAGAATGGTGAACTTACTTCCACACATCTGTTGAGCAATCATCACAATGCCAGATGCCTGAGTTGCACGGCGAAGACGAGGCACGGTAAAAAGCTCAAAGAACCGGACAAAGAAGTTATCCGTCTTTGCAAATCCAGAGGCATCTATCATGTTTTTCTCCTCAACAATGGTAGCATGAATCATGTACAGATCTCGAGCAGCCTGTAATGGACTGTTGCGCAGGCGAAGGAGAGACTCATATGCCTTGCGATGCTTTCCCTTGATGATTAGCCATCGAGGAGACTCAGGGCAGAAGTAAACTCCGAGAAGCAATGGCACAGCAGGGATGAAAGCTGACCCAAGCTGTAGACGCCAGGCAATTGGACCGACATTAGCTACAATAAGATTGGCACATGTGCCTAGGAAGATGCCGAATGCTGTCCAAACTTGCCAACTCATGACCAGCCCACCTCGGATGTTTGTAGGAGCATTTTCGGCAGAATAAACTGGAACTGTAACTTCTTTAAGTCCCATTCCAATTCCGAGAAGGACACGGCATGCAACGAGCTGGCCCCAGTGTTGGGTGAAGGCGGATCCAATAGGCGCAAGCAGACTGAAGATGGCAGCAATGAAGATAGTTCCCTTACGGCCAATGAGGTGGTTGATTGGGTCCGACAGCCAGCCAGCGCTATAGTGTTAAAGAAAATGATTAAAAACTTGCTTCTAGACAAAGGTCAGAGAAAAGGGGTATCTCTTACAGAAGACAGATAGTGATATAGGGCGTGGCGTTCACAAATCCCACAATCCACTGGTTGCGATCGCAGGTAGCCTGATCCTTGCAGTCGGGGAAATTATTTGGGATACCGAACTGAGCATCGAAGGTCAAGTTTGCACCATTTGAACCTGTAAAGACATACAGTCAGCTTAGTGAGCCATAGAAGCTCGTATAAGACATACCAGTCTGATCCCAGCCCTGGATAGCAGCCGCAATCGAGTTGAGAATGATTGTGTAATACAACGCCCAAGGATGATGCCAGCGACGAGTGATCTCCTCACGAAGGACGTGGCGATCTTGCTCGTCAAGCTCGGGGATAGATCCAGCCTCTGCTGGCTTCTGACCCGCGAGAGCTCCCTTCTTCAAGAGAGGAAGGATGTCAGTTAGGTCATGCTCAGAGGCGTAGCTCTCCACATTAGCCATGAGCTCGTCGTGGGAGAGACCCTCTAAGGGATTTTTGATTCTATAGTCAAGGTAAGCTTTATTCGTAAAGGTAGATACTATATTACGAACTCTCCAGTGAGGTTTTCGGTCATTCTGTGTTGTTGTCATATCCGGTTAGTATTGGTTCGAGTCGAATCAGTGATTTCAAGACATACCCTCCGACCACATCACGATGGGTCTGTGAAGCCATGCTGGGCACAGCAGAGTTGAAACACAATTTAGATGTTATTTGTTCCTGAGGAGAAGTGGTAGGGAAGTAGTTAGAAATGCGAAAGAAAAAAGGTTGAAGTTTGGGGAGGATACAGAGAAAGAGAGAAAGGAAAACAGGCGACGAGAAGGAAATAGAGAGAAGATACGACCACCACGAGAGAAAAAAAAGTAGGCACGCGTCGTCGTAAATAGAGAAAGTCCCCGTTGGAGCAAACCTACGGCGTGAGCTGACCAGCGAGGCAGAGCTCGTGTTTGTCAGAGAAATGTACTTTTGGGCCTACTTCTAGTGCGTGCAGCCCGTCACTACGAGTCAAGCCATCTGCAAGGATGAGCAGCTCCTCAGCCCGTCGCTACGTCAAAAATCCCTCGGTCTTATGAGCTCAAATGTGACGAAGCTAACAACGATTGGTCGGGCTAAAGTGAATTCGACTAAAAGTTCATTGTGCATATGAAAAAGAAAACACGGTACGAACCCTAGCGAAGTCCAGTGCGGTGGCTGATCGCCAGATAAGACCAGGCGACGCAGTCAGCATTAGAAAGCGATACCAACGGACAGACTCGACCAGGGTTGCGGTGTACCACACCCCTTTCGACGCATTGTATACCATCAGATGTGTATACAATTCGGTCATCAAAGACTGCCCCGCAATAGGATCATCTGACAAGACTAGCGTGTGGCTTAATTTTTTAGCCATTTTGGAGAGAGCGGGGAAGCCGATGGCGCCTGTGAAAGTCTGTAATGATCCCACATCCCGCGGAGGCCCTTCGCCAATCCCAAGTTGGTAGTTATCGGGCACCAGGGTCCTTCGTCTTGTTGGCTGGGCTGCTGCATGGAGGCTCTTAGCGTCGAGTGCTGGGCCAATACGAGCCCGTCAGCAGGGGCCTGCCCAATGAGAGAGACCGAAGGGTGGAAGTATAAAAGGCGGCCTGGGGGGGGGGGGGGGGGGGAGACGGCTAGGCTGAAGGAAAAGAAATGGCGTCAAGCCTCAAGGTGCCCCCAAGTTGCCCCTCTCGAAAGAGGATGTGACGCCTCGTGAACCTAGATTCTCCCTTGGAGGTATGAACGCTGTTCCAACTCTGGAAGCTCTCGGTAGTTGGTCTTTCCTGTGTAGCGGAGAGTGACATGTCACATGTGATCAAGGGATGCAGTGAGGATATTCCAAGATTGGATGCTCCAGGATTTGGGAAGAACAATGAAAGAGTCAGTTTTCTTGGAAATGTAAACAACTAAACGAGGGGGCCACATGTACCGGGAGTCATAGGATGCGGAAGATAGTATGGAATCTTCTAGGAGACTTGATTAGATAATTGAGACGCATGGATCTACTAGGGTAGACCGACCTCAGTAAGCTTTCTCTCAATCAAAAGCCCCGAAAGGGATAACAATCAAGGAGCAATAGTTAGGAAGCCCACGAAACCACAAACCTTAGGGCAGACCCACCCAAAATAAGCCCGACGGGAGCGTCGACGCCCTTCAAGCCCTGCGATCTCAGAACACGAAACTCTATTTCAGCGTAACACAAGATCTTCAAATGACAACTGCAGTTTTAATGCATAGCCACAGATTGCAAGATTAATCTAAACATTGCATGGAATTTATTGCTCTATGATCTACACTCTAGAAGAGTAGCACACTATCCAAACTAGAGAACCCAGCAGCAACACCACCCTCGTTGACTTCTTTTCCTTTGGTTCTCAGCAACCAGCCACCTTGATCATTATGGTGGACCTTGCCCGTGTTATCCCACAAGATAGTACCATAGACACCAAGCTCGGAGATCACGTTGCCACGAAGGACTTCTCCGTCGTTCCGCAGAGCGACATTCTCCGCATCGGGTGCGGGATTGATGAGCTCCATCAGTACCCATCCCTTCCAATCGCTCTCAGGGATGGAGCGAAGGAAGCCTGGAATTTCGGCTTTATAAATGTTGTTGCCGCCACCTTCACGCTGGGGCTTGAGTACATGCTTCATAGCTGTCTCGGGGTTGAGAGCCAGATCGCGACCCTGTCCATTTGCCGAAAGATCATATTGTGGGGCAAATGTCTCACGAAGTCTTGCAATCACTGCAGGGTTAGTGCCTTTGAGGAAGCTTGACAGATGATCAGGGCCTGTCGGCTCTGCGAGGACTTGTTGGACCTTCTTGCAACCAGCCAGTTGGTTCAGCACGGTGGGGCACTTGATCGCGGCAGAACGTTCCAGATGGACTCGGGCATCCCAGTCCCGACTAGATGTATATTCATCAGGTGAATAGTAAGCTCGGAGATAGACGGTGGTCACTTCGAATGCAGACGATGGAGAGTGAGGAGGGTGGTAGACCAATGGTCGAGAAGGATTGGAGGCGGATACTGATGTTTGATCAACGATCTTGCTGCTGGGAACACGGAAGACAGGGATTTTATGGGATCCCGTCAGCCGCTTAGACAGGGCATGCTGATCGAAGACATTCCGTTCTCCATCCTGAACGATGAAAACAACACATAACGGGAGCTCAGGCGTAGACTTTGAAGGCCCGTAAGCCTTGTGTGCCGTAGCCAACCCTCCTGCCAGGGTTTCAACGGAAGGATTTTCGGGAGGCACACCGGATTGCAGGAGAGGGTGAGGTGGGTAGCTGATGGGAGTGCCCGGGGGTGATGTAAGAAGCTCGGTGTGTAATGATCTTACGAGAGCTGATAGTCCACCAAACGACGAGGAGATAGTGTTAAACTCGACTTGCTTCAAGGCCGGAGCTCGGTTGGGTGTAACATCAGCCATGTAGTCGGAGCGGTAGAGTCCCAATGACAGATTCTGGACATATCCTTCCTTTTTAACCGCCACGTGAGTCTTCCAGAGGTTTGCAACAAAATCATCCACATCAATTAGCCTGTACAAAGAGTATGCTTTCAGCTGATGCACACGCCATTACTGATCAAAATAGTCTGCTTACTCTTCCATAACCTTCCCCAGCCATTCCTCGTTGCAAGTAATCGCCGCATATAGTTCATTGTAGACAGTTTGCAGAGCCTGAGCTTCTTCAAAGCATACTTTCGGGAACGGACTAGGAAAGAGTGTGACTGGAGCGTTTGTTGCTAACACTCGGTTCGAGTCGGCACCTTCGGGAAGGGTGGATGGATTCGGCCGCACTGCGAGGCCATTTTGGATTGCCCAGTCTTTAGTCGTGGTGACCAGGTACTCTTGCTGCGCGGGGGAAAGAGACGGGGGATAATTGGTGTAAATCGAGTCGGCCATGGTCTCTGACTTGGTGCGATAAAGCCCAAGAAAATGGGAAAGAATCGCCGCGCGCTGTTTCCTTCATCGAAGCTCCCCGCACCCTCGTGATTTATCAGCAGAATCACCCCACTCGACCACCTTCACCGCCCTAGACACCGCCTACCATTCTCGCCTCAACGCTCGGCTTCTTCAAGATCCACGGCAGTATCTATACCGTCCTCTATACCGCCTAGCTATACGAAGGCGGCTTTGTGGATTGATGGGCAGAATAGCTCCTTCCTAAATAGAGCCAATATCTTTCTCCACCGCGATTTACCACTCGTCTTCGCGCCGCGTCTTTTCCTGCTTTGTTTTGATTCCTGTACCACCGAGCCCCGCGAGAAACCGCCATCGAAATTCGTTTCCCGTGGACTGCCTTACACATCGAGCTACGTCCTGGGGGCCAATACCCTGGTAAGTTAGACGCCATGCTTCGAACCACTCTGTTGGACACTGCTCTGACCCGTGTGATAATAGGCCCCCCATGAAGACAGCATGGATACCCAAAACTCTGACCCGGTTGACTGGGGAGTTGACCAGGTGGTCAAATTCCTGTGCAATCCACAAGAAGCTCCATGGGCGGACTCTGCCACTTCTTCACGCCCAAACCTCACTGCACTCGGGACTGCACTTCGTGACAACGAGATAAACGGAGAAGCGCTACTTCATGACGTCGATCGGGAGGCCCTTAGGGATGATCTAGGCATCAAAGCTCTGGGTCACCGCAGCAGTGTCTTACGAGCTATTGATTGGCTTCGCGTTCGATCCCCAAAATATCAAACGTCAAAGCTAAACTTGCCTTCCACCAACAAACTCTCAACTGAACACATCTTGTCTTCCGTCAACTCTCCGGTTATCAATGCATCTGTGGAACCACCTAGTCACATACCATCTTTACCTCCTGATATCCCGCCGGCGCCCGTTGCGTCAGATACGACCGGAAATCGCCAAATGGTAAAGCAGAACTTCCCTTCCTTCAACCAACCTCAGTCGACTGGAAAAATATCATCTTCCGTCAACTCCCCACCTACAACGTTCATGGAACCACCCAGTGCCAATTCGTCTGTGCTTCCTGAAATGACGCTGGCGCCCACAGCCGCAGTCATGAAGGTCAAACGCCGGATCGCACCTACGCAGGTGATTGATTCTAACGGACAGAGAGTGGGGGATGGAATTGTTCCGACAGGGCAGGCGTCACTTCACAATCAAGCGACGGATCTCTCACCGCAACCTATCGTTGAAAGCATGGAAAACAGTTCTACAGAGGCTGTTGGTGACGATGGCGGAAGACCGAAGGTCTCACTTTCTGGTGCCAACCTTGTCGGTTCAAGCACCATGGCCTTGGAACTACAGCTTTCTGCGGACAAATCACTTAGACTGAAAAAGGCGGACGATTTCTTCGAACAGTTGCTCGCGAAGCACCCTTCTGGGGGACAGGAAGATGAAATCCTTCCCCTGTATGGTGAATCGGATGCCGAGTACGATGAAGAAACTCTGAAAGAAATTGACGAAGATGAACTGGACTCAATGGCTGGTCTTTCATGGTCTGAGTGTGAAGCTATTGTCTCTGAATTCATTGCCGCGCATGAGAGGGCCTGGAAGGAACACCACCTGCCAAAACACCGGCAATACGCTCAAGTGGTGTGGCAACAGGCTCGAGATGCTCGCACAGGAAAGGCCTACAAGTCTGACGTGTCGAAAAATCTTGCAAGATTTCGTCTACGGTTAAAGTCGCAGAGGGACGCCCTTATCAAGGTCAAGTACCGATCAAAGACCGCTTTCCACGCTGCATGCAGGGTCATGGACACTACCCTCGATCAAATTTGCTTCGAGGAATGGAGGCTGGAAACGATTGAGTTGGAGAAGTGTCCGCCATTTGTTCCCCCACCACCGAGAGTTTTTCGACCTCGGAAACACCGCATGATCGAAGTAGACGAAGAGTCTCTGGGATCCGACACGGAAATTGCATCCGATGACGAGGCTTCTGGCAATGAAGCTTCTGCTGATGAATCGGAATCGGAATCGGAATCGGGAGGTGACATTCCAGCCCGTCCCCAGAGAGAACTGCCATGGTCCGCTCCGAGAACAAAGCCCTTGGTCACCCTGAGATCCGATAGCAGCGAGGAAGACTTTGTTGCCAACAAAAGACGACGATTGATGGGAAGTCAAGACCACACCGATGCCGAGAGACTTATCAGCCTCAGCAAGCTTGGTCCCTTTGCGGAAATTGAAGATGAAGAATCATATCCTCCTTCCGGCACGGATCAATTTTCGCCCTCCGGCGCACTTCTCCTTGACTCATCCCCGCAGGCATTACGCAGGTCTGATATGGCAGACGAAATGTTGATTGAGACACCACCTCTCAACCCGACCTTGCCAGCTTCCTCCCCTCAAGATTTCGAGATGGATGATGATCTGCTGGTGAAGACACCTCCGCTCAACCCGACCAATCTGCCTCAGCCAAATACGACGCTCAAGCTTAGCCTGCTCTCGCCTGAACAGCCCTCGGGGAACAACGGTGACCTTGTCTTACGCCCTCAGCCCTTCAAAACTCCTTCGCGGTCAGTGTCTCTCGAGAAAGACAGCAGTGACATTACCAGCCCCAATATGGATGATATTGACGTATTCGACATGGTGGTTCTCATGAACTCGCGAGATGTTGAAGCGGAAAAGAATCGCATCTGGCTGTTGGCCAAATACCTGACAGGCTTGCCATCAGAGGAGAACAAGTACTTCGGACCTTACATGGAAGAACTTATGGACCCTGTCTACATGGAAGAAGTTACCTTAGCGCTGCAAGCGATGCTCAAAAATCAGTGCCATCTAGCGGGCAGAACTGAGGAACAGAGTCAGCCTGCAATGCGACTGGGCGCCTACTTTGTATCCTGGCATAGCTGCAAGATGCTGACTGCCCGGGGTATGGGTAAAGAGCCGATCCAAGAAGCCCTTGAAGCCCTTGAAGATGACGACGATATGTCCATGTTCCTTGCTTTCTTCCATCGGCTGAAGAAGCTCTACGCGTCGTACAGAGCCTGGCTATCACGACAGCCGTTTCGAAAAAGCGGACACAGCACATATTCCGAGTCTGCGGGTTCTGATAGCAACCCACATAGAAGGAAGAAGAAGAGTCGTTCGAAACCGTTTGGACCACGGCCGCTGAGCACCATGCAGAGAGATGCACAAGCACGACAAGCGAAACAGGACAAAGACCGCGAACGCCTTAGGATGGCACGTGAAAGCAAGGGCCTGAGCAACAGTGATCCAGAAGGACAAGCCGTGACTTTCAAAGAACCAGTCATCTACTTGCACCCTCATCTGGGACGATACGTCAAACCCCATCAATTGACTGGCATTCAATTCATGTGGCGAGAGTTGATTGAAGCAGACAACCAGCAAGGCTGTTTGCTTGCTCATGTCATGGGACTGGGAAAGTCGATGCAGGTGTAAGTTTCTCTCGTTTTTATCTCCCTGATATCATAAACCTTTTTGGGCAAGGCTAACTACTCACCAGGATCTCCCTTTTGGTCACTATTGCTGCCGCTGCTACCTCGGACAATCCCGAAATCAGAGACCAAATCCCACAACGCTTTCATCGCTCACAGACTCTTGTCCTGTGTCCTTCTTCTGTCGTGCAGAATTGGGTAGACGAGTTCGCTATCTGGACACCCATTGACCATGATCTTGGGTCAATTCGGGAGATCACTCCTCGTGGAAGGAATCTCGAAATGGCCGAGAGGCTGAAGACGATCCGGGACTGGAACAGGAAGGGCGGTGTCCTGATTATGAGCTATGAGATGCTTCGTATTCTCATCGCGAACAAGCCGGCCAGACTCAATGAAGAGGAGCATGACCTTGTCAAAAGATGTCTCCTGGAGGGGCCCAACATTATCGTCGCAGACGAAGCTCACAAACTGAGGAGTGGAAAATCCGCCATTTCCCAAGTCGCATCTCGTTTCAAGTCGACGAGTCGCATTGCTATGACTGGCTCCCCGTTGTCAAACCAGCTTTTCGAGTACTACCAAATGGTTGAGTGGGTCGCCCCTGGCTACCTGGAGGATCCGGCTACGTTCAAGAAAAAATTCATGGATCCGATTCAGGCTGGATCTTACATTGATAGCACTCGGGCGGAACAGAGGGAGAGCTTGATAACCTTGCAGCTTCTCAATGGCATCTTGGCCCCTAAGGTCCTCCGAGCTGATACCTCTGTGCTCGCTGCTGATCTGCCACCAAAAACCGAGTTCGTTCTCACAGTACCACTGACTGAAATGCAGAGAAAAGCCTACGATACCTTTGTGGACTGTGCTAAATCCGGCGATTCTGATGCAAACCCGAGGCTTTGGTCATGGCTGGCTGTCATGCAACTGTGTTGCAACCACCCCTTCCCGTTCCGTGAAAAGCTCGCCGATCGATTTAAAAAGCAGGAGGATAATGAAGGGCAGTCCATTCTGTCAGGTTCTATTCAAGATGCCGGGCTTCCAAGCGACCTTGTCTCCAAAATGGAGGAGCTTTTCTCCAAGCACGGGGATCTTCAAGACATCGACCTGTCCAATCGTGCCATCCTGCTTGATAAAATCCTTGATCTGTCAATCCAAGCTCGGGACAAGGTCCTCATCTTCACTCAAAGCATCCCGACCATGAACTACCTTGATCTCATGTTGAGCAGACGTGGACGAAGATATCAACGCATCGATGGCAGCACTCCCGGAGCTGATCGCCAAATCGTAACGAAACGGTTCAATTCTGACAATAGAGAACATATTCTCCTGATCTCGACTCGGGCTGGTGGTGTGGGTCTCAACATGTTCGGTGCTAATCGAGTGGTCATCTTTGATTTCCTCTTCAATCCTATGTGGGAGGAACAGGCCGTCGGACGTGCATATCGTCTTGGACAAAAGAAGCCCGTCTACGTCTATCGCTTCCTTGCCGGTGGTACTTTCGAGGAGCTTATCTACAACAACGCAGTCTTCAAGAGACAACTTGCTGTTCGCGTAGTGGACAAGAAGACGGTTGTGCGTGAAAGCTTGAGGAAGTCCTCAACATATCTTCATTATGTGAAGAATGTGAAAAAGGATGAGCACTATCCTGCTCTTGGACGGGATCCAGATGTCCTTGATGAGATACTCCGAGGAGAATACAGTGAGATCGTTCTGAAGGCGACCTTGTCTCACATTCAAAATGATGAGAATGATCATCTCACTGAGGAGGAGAGCCGCCAGGTGGATCGTTGGCTTGCAGACGAACGAATGAAGCGAGTGGATCCAGCGGCTTATCACGCTGAGATGAAGAGACGGGAGGATGCAGAAAAAGCACGCCAACAAGAGGCAGCTCGCCTAGTAGTCAATCGACAATTTGAGCCGGCACAAGTGCAACAGAGGTCGTTGCAGATGAACCAAGCCGGACAGCAGCAGGAGGATGCAGAACAAGCAGATCACGAAGCTACTAGACAGCGCTTTGAAAAATCGGTACAAGAGTGCAAACCGTCGACGATGACTGAAGCTGGGAGGCAGGATTTCATGATGGAGTCCCTTACTTCTCTGAGCCAAGGCCCGATCCCAATGTCCAAGGTGGGCAAATCGCCCCTGTCTGTCAATAACAGAGGCGCAACGCAGTCTGCTCCTTTCTTGTCGGGCGCCAAGTCTCGCGGGTTTGATGTACGAACGCTGTATCCACCAGATTGGCCTACGTTTGTCGATGACAAAGGCGTAACGCAGTATGCTTCCTGCGAATCTGTTGCCAAGGCTCAAGGTCTGAAAATAGGAGATTGGATGCAGCCCAAGGTCTATCAGCCAAGCTCCTCGTCGTTCCAGCCGGCGGGCTTACCTGCACAACCAGTGTCTCCTTCTGTGTACGTGCCGAGTTCGTCTTCACTCCGACAAGCCGGCTGCGGAGAATCTCAACCAGCCATTGTGGTGCCAGCCGATAACGATGTCATTGTGATTGAAGATGATTCAGCAGATTCGTCGCCTGTCAAGGTCCCCGTGGATCCCTCCCATCCGCTCGCAGCACTTTCTCCTACGGATAATCCTCCCCTTTCGCCGACTCCACTCATGCGAGGCGACGTCACCCAGGAGAACCACAACCAGCCAACATCTGCGGATCTGCACCGGCCCGAGCCTACAACGGCCAAGCAAGATGACAAGCTCCAGGGGTCTGCAAAACACACACCAAGTCCGACCCCGGCCCTGGGCGGCGATGGCTCCGTCGATTTGACCAAGAAGAATGCCGTTGAGAGTGGTTGCGACCAGGTCACTGACCCAGCAGTTACTGACCAAGACAAGTCTTCAAATGTCGACAGTAATGGCATTGTGGATCCCGAGGCAAACCCGTCCCAGGAGGCAGATAACGGCACAGCTCTCGAAAAACCTGCGACAAATCCAATCGGTACCAGTCAAGCTGAACCCATGGACCTTCGTGATGACTCCGCATCTAAGCCGGTGGCTCTCGGTGCCTCTCTTGACGTCGCAGTGGCTATCCCCATCGCCTCCAGCCAATCCGAGGCGATGGACATCAGCGATGGCCCATAAATGATTTGGCAGGATGCTCGTTCTTCGTTCGTGGAACCTGCCAAATTACCCCTTATGTACCTATCTCTTTTCTCTGTTTCATTATTTTGTATGAGTGATACCCCTTATTGCGATTTTGTTTTTATTGTGAGAATCTGCGGTGCTTGAACGTGATCAATAAGGACCAGATCTTGCCTACGCGATGGATCTAGATATCAACAATGACATTATTATTCACGTATTTTGCATTTTCAATGCGTATCGATTTCGAACAGCAGTGACATATCATTTCGTTCTTCCCTCATAACTCATCCACTGCAGTCTTGTTAATCAATAAACAGAAGACAATAAGCGGGGGACATGAGCCACTCCATACACGCGCGAAGTGGAGTCACTTATCTTCCCCGCAAATAAATCCACCAGCTTATCTTCCGCGGACTCTATCTCAGACGCCGCCCAGACTTCCGAGACTCTACGCTCATCCAGTTTCTTACTGTCCATAGCGCCCGCCTATGGCTGCCATATCAAGAGCGCGGACTGGTTGTTGGAATTGTCGTGCGCGACGGGTGAAGTGCGACGGTATTGTTGATCTGGCTTTCGTTGAGTCCTTTGGATACATTCCTGACCAGAGATGCCCAGAAACCCATCCAATCTGCCGTCGGTGCGAGCGCAACAACAGCCCCTGTGGATACGGAATACGTCTAACATGGCATGAGGAGTCAATTGCTCGTGGAGTGTGTCATGGACGAGCAGGGGTCTGGTCAAAGCGAGGCGATACCGACCAAGGACAGACCAAAGGGAAATCGCGACCGGGGTTTAATCCGAGATGCAGATCAACGCGACACACAGAGCCGTTGGAATATTCCAATCAGAGCTGGATATTTCTCAACACGACATTCAACGACTTGGAGATTCATTTTGACGACACATTGGCGCGGAAAGCTAGGTTTCACAGGACACTGTCAGAGTCCGGATCCTTGTCCCCATGCTTGAGCATCTTTCCGAACCGCGGCAGGAGATCAGAATGCGATCCAGCGCTCATGTCATATTTCGAGAATATTATTTGCAGCAGTGCCACGCTTGTCGATAATGCTCATTATAATCCTTATCGATATCTTATACTGCCCATGGCGCTGGAGTCTGAAGGTCTTTACCATGCGACGCTCGCCATTGCCGCCAACACCCTGCGACTTTCTGATTCGAGATATCGGCTGCCCGCGCTTGAACATCATCATCATGCATTAAGTCATCTCAGAGAGTTGCTAGGTCATGATACATGGGGAGAGAAAGAGCTGGATGAGATGCTGGGACTTGTTCTCATGCTCTGTTGGTTCGATGTGATTATTCTATTTTTAACATCTTTTTGGTCGCTATACTGATGAATCTAGATTTCGGATAATAGTCGACCATCATGGGTCACTCATCTCAACGGGTTTCAAGACTTGATCCGTACGCGACAAGAACGACCGGGTCGCTCCCTCCACAGCCAGGAGCTATCGGGTTTCTTCAACCGCTACTTTGCCTTTCATCTCGTCCTTGCTCGTACAGCATTTCGAGTTGAAGGAGCAACGTACAAATTACCAATATCACCGAACTCCTTAGTTGAATCCCCAGATCGCATTGATCCATACATGGGTTTCAGCCAAGCTCTTTTGCTGCTCATCAACCAGGTCACTGAGCTTGCTTGGATGAAAGAGGATGACCAGAATGAGATATCTCCGTCAACAGTTTATCAATTGAAAAGGAACCTTGAAGAAATTCAGCAAAGACTTCCGACCGGACAGATTGACCCGACTACGGAATGCGCTGCGATCGCAGAGGCGAATAGGCTCGGAGCACTTCTCCTCTTGCATGAGACCTGTTCATCGAAACCAGTGTCTGCTAGCAAGTCTGGTCTTCCAGCGTTCAATCCAGAAGAAAAGAGCCGCTTTGTTGGCCAGATATTGAATCTCATTTTGGAAAAGAAGGCCAATATGATGCGCACCGCAGTATTGCCACTGTGGCCCTTGTTTTTGGCAGGCTGCTGTGCTCGCGAAGATGAGGAAAGGGTGACTGTGCTGCGACTATTCGAGGAACTGAATGGTATCCGTCGATTTGGGGTAAGGTCCTCTTGACTTTCACGCTGCAAATGTGACTGACTAACAAATCGTGAAACAGAATATTGCCCCCGCCAAGGAGGTGGTTGAAATGGTATGGCGACAGCGAGATTTATATGCAGAAGATGAGGGAAAGCGCCGGAGAGGCGAAGCTCAACCCAGAAAGGATGCTCTGCAAGGGGCCCGGTTTGCCTGGGAACATGCGATGGTAATGCTGGGAGACTGGAAATTAAGCTTGACGTAATTGTGTGTACAAATAACCTATCACGCCATGGCAAGCTTGGAATCTAAATCATGGTGGTCTTGAGCAAGTCTTAAATACAAGAAATCCAATACTGAAAAGACCCTCTAGCCTAGTGCTGCCACAATAACATAGCTTAACAGTTCTAACCGTGCTTGGCTCCTCACCAGGCACAGGATGCAAAGTTCAGCGAGCCCATCTTGCGAGGAACTCAGTACCGAGATCATAGTCTAGAAGCCTGACTTCTTTCACGAGCCTGTCGTCCTCTCCAACCCGTAAGATCTTTCAATTCTAGCTCAGGGTCCATGTGTGCTAGATTCTTGGCCTCAACCTTCTGCCCAGCGCGCCACTGCCACTTGCTCACAATATCTCGATCCAGCGTTCCCTCAAGCAAGTCTGCCACGTACTTTCCAATGACTGGGAGGAATTTAAATCCATGAGCTGAGCCGCCCGTAGCGAGGAATAGTCCTCTATGGCTCGGATGGGGAGCGACGAGGAAATGTCGGTCAGCTGTGTCAGCGTCCCAGCACAGACGAGTGTAACAGAACGGTCTATCCGCCAGCTCGGGTAAGACCCGTCGTAAGTTACGACGCATCTGGGCTTCAATTTCAAGCGGGAGGCCGTCTTTTGGTGCTTGAACAAAGGTATGTGGGATGGAAGTGGTGATGTTCGAGTTTTTGTCAGTTCGTGTGTTGGTAATGAACTGACTATGAGCCATCTTGAAGATCCCGTCTTCTTGCGGAGGGAAGAAGTAGCCAAGCTCAAGGTTGTCCATGATTGGTAAAGAGGAATAGTGCTTTGTCTCAGCAGGAGTGAGCTGGATATGCGCAACAGCATGGCCCTTGGCAGTCAATTGGCCCTGCATATCTAGTAGAGACGGCGTCCATGCCCCAGCAGCGAGAATCACCAAATCGGCCTCGTGTTTGGTACCGTCCGCAGTGAGAACACCTTTGCATTGATCGGTTGACTCGTCGAATAACAATTGCCGCACATATCCTTCTGTTTCTCCGGAAATATACTGGACACCTTTCTCCTTTGTAGCATTGGCCATTCGCTCCAGAGCCTGGCCAGCAGCTGCCCACCCAGCCGTCGGATTCCAGACGCTGATATTCCATCCATCAAGTTTGCCGGTAACCACAGGGAAGCGAGACCGAATCTTCTCGGGAGTAAGTCGTTCGATGCCTTTCACTCCAAGCTTTTGGCACGTCTCAATAGATCCCTCAACGAAGGGCTTCGACAAATTAGCGGCACTTAGAATCCATCCAGGAATATGATAGAGCCCACTGAACAAGGGCCAAGACCGCCACGCAGCAATGGACTCAATACCGAGTCTGGCGTACAAGGGCTCATTGTAATCGCTGCGAATGACCTTGCTGATATCCGTCGCGGCAGCTTCACACGAGGGCGGGGGATATCGGTCCAAGACACGAATAGAAGTGTAGCCACGCTGTGCGAGATGATATGCGGTCGAAGTGCCGAAGCAGCCGGCTCCGATAATAAGAATTCTTGTGTCTTTGTCCATTGTCGTATCTGAGAGTTTGAGTTGCTCTCTCTTCCTGTTCTTCCTCAGACTATTGGGCCAGCGCCGTCATTATTTATTGCGGGAGTTATTGGCCCACATCTCGCTCTGAGCTTCCCTGCGTACAGATGAGAGAGTTGCGATGGTGTTCGATGCCCTTCTCGAGCAGTGGAAATGATTATTCTTGGAACTCCGCGGTGACTTCGTTCCGACCTTCTGGAGCTTCTTGCGATAGCCCGGATAAGCCATCGGCAATCCTCCGAAGTGGAGCTCGTTCCGACCTTCCAGTCGGAAAGTATTCGGTTCCCCGCATTCAGCCTCGTGACTCTGATAAGCCATGGGGCGTTAGTATTTTCAGAGACATATGCTACTGCTCAGTTATGGCTCATCTAAGAACTCAAAGTGACAACCAAGTGTCATGAAAGCCGTTTAGCCGATACCCTTTTAGTACACGCAATACTACCAAGAAAGATTTTGAAGACCAGTGCAGAAAGAATTTCCATTAGGATCCACGTAAACTAGAAAACCCGATCGAATATAGCTCATACTCTCACTCCTATCGACGCTAAGGTTCACTAATATGTATATCTGAACGCTCGCTTCTCGTGGTCTGTCAAATCCGAAAATGCAGCCGCCTCAGAGGGCTCCGCATCCAATTGTGGACCCTCCTTCTGATCACGGCGGTGGTTCTCCCAACGACAAAGAACTCCGTAGGCAATGATAGAGGCTATGGCCACAACGAGACATCCGAGAAGACCTTCGTATCCCCTCGAATAAGACGGAGCATCATCAGACCGGAATACCTGCGGGCCAATGATGTTTCCCGTGCAATAAGCCAGGAAGAAGATGGCGTTCATGGTCAGTTTCTTGGAGTGACCGCTCGTGTTGGCCATCGGGAGCGAGGTAGACAGGACGTAGGGAGCCCAGTAAGTATAGAAGACGTAGTATGCAGCTAAAAGTCCATGCTGGTTCTCACGTGGTAACTTCCACATGAGAATGGCACATATCATGGGCACCAGGTTAGCAGTGGCAATGATAGCGCACCGAGAATTTTTCACATTGGCAGCGATGAATCCAAGTATGATTTGCCAGACTGTTGCAAGCACGCCCGTTGGAATTCCAAGCACAGTAGTGACCAGTGGCGAATATCCCAGTCCCGTCACGATAATTGCTGAGAAGGTGACCAAACCGCCGTTCGGAATGTTCTGTGCCAACGAGAACAATGCCAGTAACCACGTCTTGGGATCAAGGAGACATTCGCGCACTTGATACCACTTGATGGTTTTGTCTTCCATGCCAGTGTTGTTATCCTTAACACGCTCAAGGCAAACAAACTTCTCGCGATCAGAGAAGTACCAGCATTGCACTGGAGAGTCGGGCAAGAAAAAGTACAAAACGACTGCCCAGAAGAGGGAAAATCCTCCCAGTACCAGAAAAAGGAGCCGCCAAGGGGCCAGAGCCGTGTTCGTCTGGCCAATGCCGTAACTGACAAGACCAGAAAACACAGACGATAGCTGGTTAAACCAGAAGGCGACTCGGAGTGGCTGCTCGCTTGTCTTCCACCACATCACAGTCAAGATACTCGAGATGGGAAACACAGAGGCTTCCAGCATACCCATGAGGAACCGCACGGTCGCCAAACCGGCAAAGTTGTGTGTTGCAGCTGTACAGAGCATCATGACCGCCCATCCTGCTACCATTCCCGCGTAGAGTTTGGCGACTGGAAGCCGTTGAATGAGAAGGGCGGCAGGGTATTCGAACGCGAGGTAGCCGAAATAGAAGATCGAGCCCACCCATGAGTACTGATTGCCCTTCAAATGAGTATCCTTTTTCATCCCATAGATGGCAGCATTGGAAATGATGACTTTATCAATGGCAGCCAGAACTACCGTCACCATGATGAGGGGGATGAGAATCAGATCGATCTTCCATAACACGCGTCGGGCTTCGTGCTTGGAGATGGGCTCGGCTGCGATGGCTGGATCTAACTGGGCGAGGAACAGCGCAGCAACATCTTTGCCACCGTCTCGGCTTCGTGGTTCGATGATATCTCCAGTTTTGTAGCTTTCGTGCTCTGGGGCCAGCTGGGCATCGGGCAAAGTAGCACCTTTGTCGTCCGACATGTCGAGAGACCTCAATGTCAAGAGGAGCGAGTAATCCTTTGGGAAATAGTAATGGACAAGATAGTATAGATAGAGATGGACCAGTTGGTACAATAAACCTGTCTGTGTCTGATCGTCTTATAGAAATTCCGAGATGCGAGCCAGGCCAATCCGACCGTTTGGTTATCGCCAATTTAGGGTTTGCGCCGAGGGAAGGTCAGAACGAGATAAGGCGCCTTCTCCACAATTTCCCCTCATCCATTCGGAGAGCCAGTTGAACTCTCGCTAAACCGGGTATATCGAGACTTGATCCAAAGGGAAGGCTGCTGGCTCTCGTTCCGACCTGCTACATGATACCCACGGAGTCACCATAAAAGGCAGCCTTGGTCCGCGCTTCTTGATGCAGCATCGACCGCATCGAACTTTATTATGTCTCCTCACAAGCTGGATGGTCCGAGTATCAAGATTGCCATCGGTAAGTCTAATGAATGTGGACTTGAAATGCAGACCACATATACAAGGAACCATGCCTCGGACTGCTTCGGTTGTTCTTTGTCTTGTATCCCCTGAACTCGGTGTTCTGCGCGAACAAAAATACACAATGAAATCCATTGACTCTTTTGTCACAACGCTTTTCATCCTTTGTTCTTCGATGCTAACCATCGGGTTTTTCAGATCGCGGTGGCACTTTCACCGACTGCTTAGGTATTGTCGATGGTCAGGAAGAGGAGATTGTTGTCAAGCTGCTCTCCCAAGACCCAGCCAATTATGCAGACGCTCCAATTGAGGGCATTCGCCGTATTCTTGAGCAGGCTACAGGCAAGACATTTCCTCGTGATCAAAAACTCACCACTGGAGACTTCTCCAATGTCAGCATCCGCATGGGAACAACGGTTGCCACGAATGCGCTGCTCGAACGAAAGGGAGAACGTCATGCCCTCTTGATCACTAAGGGCTTCAAAGATGCTCTGGTCATCGGAACTCAATCGCGCCCAAAACTCTTTGCTCTGAACATCCAAAGACCGGATGTGCTATATGAGGACGTTGTTGAAGTTCAAGAACGAGTCACCATTGAGGACTACCAGCAAAATCCTACACCCAACAAGGAAAGCCTTGAGAAGGCTCTGGGGTCTGACCCTTGCTTGAGGCGCGGTGTCAGCGGTGAAGTGGTTCGTATCCTAGAGCCGCTTGATGAGTCTTGCACAAGAAAGAGTCTTGAACAGCTGTATGCAAAGGGCTACCGCTCAATTGCAGTCTGCCTAGTCCATTCATATACCTTCCAAGAGCATGAGCTTTCAATTGAGCGCATTGCGAGTGAGGTCGGATTTACGCAGATATCATTGTCCAGCCAGCTGCTTCCTATGATCAAGATGACCTCTCGAGGTGCCTCTGCTACTGCAGATGCCTACCTGACACCTGTCATTCAACGATATATTGAAGGGTTCCGATCTGGGTTCAAAGATGGACTGCGCTCAGAAAACACACGCTGCGAGTTTATGCAAAGTGATGGCGGCTTGGCTAATTTTGAAAAGTATGTCGATGGAACACGAGGGATACAAGTCTATTCTTTTTTCGCTAACATACAACCACAGATTTACCGGTCTTCGAGCAATCTTGTCAGGCCCTGCTGGTGGTGTTGTGGGATATGCAGGGACATCTTTTGACGAGACGGACCGAAAGCCTGTTATTGGGTGAGCGAGACATTTCGAAATTCCTTCCATTGCAGAGCTGACTAGAATATCCAGTTTTGATATGGGTGGAACCAGCACTGACGTCTCCCGGTATGACGGAAAGCTGGAGCATACCTTCGAGAACACCATATCTGGTGTCACAGTGATGGCGCCTCAGCTAGATATCAACACAGTCGCCGCTGGTGGTGGTAGCATTCTATTTTGGCGCCATGGACTCTTTGTTGTTGGCCCCGAGTCAGCAGGTGCTCATCCTGGACCAGCTTGCTACCGCAAAGGTGGACCACTAACAGTGACGGATGCCAATCTCTTCCTTGGCCGTCTTCTGCCGGAATACTTCCCCAAGATATTTGGCCCCAACGAGAATGAGCCTCTTGATGTTGAGGTAACCCGGCAAAAGTTCACTGAGCTGGCAGATCAGATCAATGCAGAGACCGGCCAGAAAAAGACACCTGAGGAGATTGCGCTCGGCTTCATTCAAGTCGCCAACGAATCTATGGCGAAGCCCATTCGTGCGCTGACAGAGGCTCGTGGATATGACACTTCAGCACATAATCTTGCATGCTTTGGAGGTGCAGGTGGACAGCATGCGTGTGCCATTGCCTCATCTCTATCTATTGGAACGGTTATCATACACAGATATTCGTCTATCTTGTCAGCGTACGGAATGGCTCTTGCGGACGTGGTCCACGAAGCCCAAGAACCAGCCTCCGGTGTTTTAGACTCAGCAGCAATGCAAACCATTACCCAACGTGTAACTGCACTGAGATCTAAAGTGACTACCGCATTGAGCTCCGATGGAATCGATGAGACTCAGATTCAGCACGAAATCTATCTTAACCTACGCTACCAGGGCACTGACAACACTCTTATGGTCCTAGAGCCCGAGAATGGAGATTTCATTGCAGAGTTTGTGAAGGAGCACCAGCGGGAGTTTTCATTCACTTTTCCAGGTCGCAACATATTGGTAGAAGATATTCGTGTCCGCGGAGTTGGAAAGGCCACCTCATTTACTCCGGAGGCTCCCCAAAAGGAACTCAATTCAACCGCAAGCATCCCTGTCGGCTCTGAAAGGCAAGATGACTCTTCATCCGTCTACTTCGCTGGTGTGGGTCAAATGAACACGCCGGTCTTCTTCCTGAACAATCTGCAGCCAGGAACCTTCATCCAAGGTCCAGCGATGATCATCGATAACACCCAAACCATTGTGGTCGAACCAAATGCGACCGCAAAAATCTTGTCTCGACATGTCATTCTGGATGTCAAGTCTTCGAAGAAGCAAATCGACGACGCTACGGTCGTGGATCCAATTAAGCTGTCCATCTTTGGCCATCGTTTCATGTCGGTGGCTGATCAGATGAGCCGCATGTTCCAGAAGACATCTGTGTCAACAAATATCAAGGAGCGGTTGGATTTCTCGTGCGCAGTGTTCTCGCCTGACGGAAAGCTAGTCGCAAACGCACCCAATGTACCAGTGCACTTGGGAAGTGAGTTTCTCCGGAATCTTCGAAACATTGATGTCTGATACTAATCCTGAATCAGGTATGGAGTATGCCGTTCGGTACCAGCACGAGCAATATGGCAGCGACTTGAAGCCTGGAGACCATATTTTGACAAACCATCCTCTTGCTGGAGGCACTCATCTCCCTGATATCACCATTATAACGCCAGTCTGGGACAGTGAAGGCAAAAATATCATCTTCTACGTTGCTTCTCGTGGTCACCATGGTAAGCTTAAGAGCAGAACTCCTTCCACTATTTGACCCTTGCTCACAAGAAGCAGCTGAGATTGGTGGCATTGCTCCTGGGTCTATGCCTTCCAACAGTAAAATGCTATACGAAGAAGGTGCGATGACGATGGGCTTCAAGGTTGTCTCAGAAGGCCGCTTTGACGAAGCCGTGGTTCGCAAATTCCTCTACAATGAGCCCGCCTCATATCCGGGCTGCAGCGGGACACGAACTTACAATGACAACGTCTCTGACTTGAAAGCAGCTATCGCGGCAAATCACAAGGGTGCGCAGCTGCTTGAGGGTCTCGTGGCTGAGAACAGCTTGAAGGTTGTCCACTTCTATATGGATGCAATCAAGCGTAACGCTGAGGTCGCTGTCCGCGAGCTTTTGAAGTCGATTGGCCGCGAGAATCCCGGTCAATCTTTGAAATTCTCCGATTTCATGGATGATGGTACTGAGATTAGACTTGAGATCCGCATTGATGCTGAAACTGGATCAGCCGATTTCGATTTCACCGGAACTGGTCGTGAGACGTTCAACTGTCTCAACGCACCCAAGGCTATTGCTCACTCAGCTATTATATATAGCTTGCGCGCTCTAATTGACGTGGACATTCCCCTTAACCAAGGTTGCCTTGCACCCGTCAATGTGATCATCCCGCCAGGGACACTTCTCAACCCATCCGGGCATGCCGCTGTCTGCGCAGGAAATCCAATCACCTCACAGCGCATTACGGATGTTGTACTAGGGGCCTTTGGGGCCTGTGCTGCCTCTCAAGGTTGCTGTAACATCATCTCCTTCGGCATGGGTGGAGTTGATCCGAAGACAGGCGTTGAGATTCCTGGATTCGGGGTAGGAGAGACTATCTGTGGTGGCTCTGGCGCTGGTGCGTCCTGGCATGGCACTTCAGGCGTTCACGTCCATATGACCAATACACGCATCACCGATGCTGAGGTCTATGAGCTGAGATACCCCGTGATTCTCCGTCAATTCTCGATCCGTGGGGGATCTGGTGGAGTGGGACGCTTCCGTGGCGGCGACGGCGTCATCCGCGAGCTGGAGTTCCGTATGCCGCTTTCTGTTTCGATGCTTAGTGAGCGACGAGTCTACCGGCCGTACGGCTTGGGAGGAGGTGGGTCTGGCCAGGCGGGTCTGAATCTGTATGTCAAGAAAGAGCTGGATGGTACGGAAAGAATGATCAACATTGGTGGTAAGATGGAGCTTGAGGTACAGCCGGGAGAGAGAATTCTCATTCATACGTAAGTTTTCCCCTCAATTTCTGAGCATCGTTCACTGGATGGGAATTCTAATTTGATTTTAAGACCAGGAGGTGGTGGCTGGGGCACCCCGTCGGAGGAGAAAGAGTCAGACTCCACTCGGCATCTTGGAAGTGCCTCAACTTTCCAGGCAAGAGGCAGTGTTTATACTTTCAGCCAAACCGCAGAAGCTGCCTTATGAGAAGATTTCAGATAAAGTTTCGAGCTTTGGTTGAGGTCTCATCATGTTTGCGTATCTAACTTATTGAATGTCTGGTAATTGCTTTTCTAACATCAATGTATGCTACAGAATTACACTTGAATTATCTTAAGCTTCCTTGAAACTTGTCTTTGCTGTCCTGAGTGAACTATCTTTCTTGGTCAAAAGTAGCCGACAACTCGACATGAATTGATGAAACTTCGATGTTTTCGCTTCGGATAATTGTTGCCTAGGCTATAATTGCCGAGAATTTAGTACATCGAATCCATAGCATCTCGTCTCTCGGCGTTTACGTAGCCGAGATGGTGCCATATGTACTATGCTTTGACCCTAGGACATAAAGAGTAATCTTCATCTGGATCTTGAGGGAGACTATACCATTTTTTGTTTAGAGTACCGGCGGCGGCGGGCGCGAAACCCCGCGATTGATGGAAATTCCCCCGCAAGACCAGAACGAGGACAAACTCCGGCGGGATGAGCTCCAGGGCATGCTAATCAACACAATTAACCTTTGCAGCCGCTTAATAGCATCGTCAGTATAAAGCAGGTATTATTTCTGCATTGCATGATGTAGATCAATTTCTTTTTGTTGGGTTACAGGCACTTTCCATCAACAATGAAGTTCACGATTCCCCATCTCCTTACCTTCGCTGGGGCAGCTACCGCAGCGAGTATCTCGGCCAAGTCGCCTGCTCCACTCACAAACATCACCATCTTCTCTCCTCCTTCTGACTATAACATTCCTCGAACACTTTATGCTCGCAATGAACAGCTTCCCAATGGCGATCTCCTTGCGACATGGGAGAACTACTCTCCCGAGCCACCACTAGTGTACTTCCCCATCTACCGTTCCAAGAACCTGGGAAAGACATGGTCGGAGATTTCCAAAGTCCAAGATACGGCGAATGGCCTTGGGTTGCGCTATCAACCATTCTTGTATCACCTGCCCGAGCGCATTGGCTCGTTCAAGGCTGGAACCCTGTTGCTGGCAGGGAATAGTATCCCGACGGATCTATCGACCACCCAGCTCGATCTTTATGCGTCACAGGATGATGGTGTGACGTGGGAATTCTTGAGTCATATCGCCGCTGGTGGAGAGGCTGTGCCTGACAATGGCTTGACTCCCGTGTGGGAGCCTTACTTGCTTGCTCAGTAGGTCGAATTGGCGCTGTTTGTAATGGACACCTAGCTAATATCCAAACAGCAATGGCAAGTTGATCTGCTACTACTCGGACCAGCGCGCCAATACCACCCACGGCCAGAAGCTGGTGCATCAGGTCTCTACTGACCTGAAGAAGTGGGGGCCTGTTGTTGACGATGTGTATGGCGATGTCCGTCCCTGATACACCAGATGTGATACTAACAGCCTTCCAGCGCTTACCCCACGTATACCGACAGACCTGGAATGCCCATTGTTACCAAGGTGAGAAAACACCTCTAATTTGTCTACGCACCTGCATAGAGCTAATAGTCGCAACTTGCAGCTGCCCAATGGTCAATACATTTACATCTACGAATACGGATCCTTCTTCAACACCTCCAGCTACTCCTTCCCACTCTACTACCGTTTGTCCTCGAACCCTGAAGACTTCGCCTCTGTTGAGCATCACAAGCTGGTTGTTTCGAGCGGAACTAAGCCGACCTCCTCCCCATATGTTGTCTGGACTCCCTACGGTGGCAAGAACGGTACCATCATTGCCAGCTCGGGGACACAAAGCACCTTGTTCATCAACCAGGCTCTGGGCCAGGGTGAGTGGACCGAGATCGAGTCACCCGAATCGCACAGCTATACTCGCTCATTGCGGGTGCTTTCCGAGGGCAACGGAAGATACCTGCTGGTCAACGGCGCTGGAGTGCTGGGTGGAACTACTAACAAGGTAACTGTAACTGTGATGGATCTGAAGGAGTCATTGTAGACGAGTTCATACTTTGCTCTGTGTTCTAGCCGAACTTTAAAGACTTTAGTGTCGTTTCTCTACCTTTCTGACTCTAGATGCCTACAATACAAACCGCTTTATATCGATCTATCTTGATAAAGCTCTGGATGCAAAGGGCCCAAAGTTAAGGAACAAAATAGAGTTAGACTGTCTACTCCGCCTCGAGCCATGGGTGGCAAGTCACATGCCATCCCCACAATATCTCAGTGGTGACGCTTTTTTTCTTCTTTTTCACATCTCAATCATTTCATTTCCTCAAAGCAATTCGAATATTGCCTAAGCCTGTCCTAGAATATGGGCGCAGAATGGTCGTCTGCGAAGCCCCGGTCCAAGGCATCGTCGGGGCATACACGGGCAACAGCTTCGCCCTGCAAGCCACGATCGCCAGCTTGCTAGGCTGTGCTCTGTACAGCGCTCTCGAGTTAATCGTCTTAGTCTTTACCATATTCCAAAAGTATCATGGTCTTTACTTTTGGAGTCTGCTGGTGTCGGCCTCGCTCGGGGTCATTCCCGACGCGCTCGGGCTTCTCCTGAAGTATTTCGAGCTCGCGCCCATTTGGATTCCCGTCACATTATCGACTGCCGGATGGGCCATTATGGTGACGGGCCAGTCTCTGGTGCTGTATTCCCGACTTCATTTCGTTCTACTCGACAGAAGAATCCTTCACTTCATACTGGGCATGATCATATTCGACGTGATTCTGCTGCAAATCCCTCAGATCATTGCTTCATACGGTGCAGTCTACGTTTGCGACCGAAATTTTCAAACCTTCTTCAACAAGTGGGAAAAGGTACAATTGACGGTGTTCTTCGTGCAAGAGATCATCATATCGACATTTTTCATCGTGCAAACCACACGGTTGATGCGCCTATATCCAACACAGAGCACTCGCAGGGCGAATATTCTGTACCAATTGCTGGCAATCAACTTCATCATTATCATGATGGATATATCATTATTGGCTTTGGAGTATACGGGATTGTACATTACGCAGACGGTTCTCAAATGCTTCTTCTACACGGTCAAGCTTAAGCTAGAGATTGCGGTGTTATCACGGTTGGCAACGTTTGTGCAGTCACACTAACAGCTGGAATGTTCGGGATTGAGCTAGCATTCCTCCGGTATAGTATCGCGTACAAGCATTTTACGTATGGCCAAAGGAATGCAAAGCAGAGCTAATATTCATACACAAACAATCGATTCAAATCTAATCATACGGAAGAAAGTAAAAGATATGTTACAAGCCGAAATTGGGTAGAATCTACACGAAAGGAAAGTTGGAAAGAGCAGCAGGCCATGAGCAACCCGTAGCGAATAGCCATCAAGCTTAGCCCAGAAGAGTCTCAAAGTCGGCAATCCGAGTAGCAGTGCTTTCGGCCTTCTTTTTGGCTGTCTCACGGAACGCAGCAAGCATGAGTTTGCGTTTCCGCTCTTGGATGTCGAGCACACGCTCTTCAATACTGTTCACCATGACCAAGCGCCACACAGTAGTCTCACGTTTCTGACCAAGACGATAAACACGGTCAACTGCCTGGTCTTCAATGGCAGGTGCCCACCAGCTATCAGCCAGGATGACCTGATTTGCTGCCACGAGGTTGAGACCGACACTGCAGACGCTAAGACTGGCGAGTAGAACAGTACAATCTGGCTCGTGAGTGAAGGCGTTGATGGAATTGTCGCGCTTCACAGATTGCATCTTGCCATCAATGCGCACGAACTTGATACCACGCTGTTCCAGATGGGGCTCGACGAGATCGAGGAAAGAGGTCCATTGGCTGAATAACACCGTCTTGGTGCCAGGTGCTTGGCCCTGTGCTGTGAGAACCTTCATGAGCGCTTCGATCTTGCTACTCGGGTTATTTGGGTCTGCAACACCCGTCTCGGCGTCCTCGCCCATCTCAACTGCGGGAGATACAAGACTGGAATTGTCCTTGATTTCCGCGCGGCAGAGCGGACACTTGTGTTGCCGCTCAATGACTTGCTCAATACAACCGCGGCAGAAGGCATGAGCACAAGCAGTAATAACTGGAAGTTCAAGGTTATCAAGACAAATAGCACAGGACTCCTGGCTCTCAATCTGAATCTGCAACATGTCCTGGAGAGCCTTCATGTTCTCGGGTGTGAGAGGGACAACTTTATGTTTCTCAAGATCTCCCATGAGCTTATCAATGCGGTTTTTGCAAAGAGCCCAGTGGTTACAGACTTGGCGAAGGCGTAGAATGACCTCCAACAGAGTGGAGTAGCTGCCCTCTTTGTCCTTGAGATTGAGAAGAGCACCTTTCGCCTCATTCCTGGGAAGACGTTAACAATACGCACTAGACAAACAGCCAATACAAGAAAGACATACTGGAAAGCGCTGTACTTCTCCAGCTCATGGGGATGGAACTTGACGCGAAGAACCCGTGAGGTCATTTCGGGCAGTCGCAAATTGATAAAGTTCATATCTTTTCTTCGGCGTAGGCAGATGGTTCCCATGAGAGCCTCGAGAAGCAAGCGAGCCTCGGGATCCCCACTTGTAAGTGGGCGAATCAGGACGCTATTGAACACACTCAGGTCTTCCAGGCCACCAGACATCTGCAGGAAGCGGACTTGAGAGTAGAGGTCCTTGAGAGTGTTGATGATTGGCGTTCCGGTCAAAGTCCAGCGAGAATCAGCTCGCAAGGCACTGGCCGCAAGAGAGCCCTTAGAGCGAGGGTTACGAATGGTGTGACCCTCATCTAGAACCACACGGCGCCAGTGAACAGAGAAAATACCCTTCGCAGGCGGTTTCTTTGCATTTGGCTCAAATTCCATCGCGAGAGCACCGTAGCTTGAGATCACCACGTCGTATTCTGCCAGGTTGGCCTTTTCTTTTTTACCGGAACCATGATAGATCAAGACTCGCGGCCGAGTCTCACTATGAGTGTGATCTTGAATTTGATTTCTCCAATTGCTCATAACACCGACTGGGGCAAGAATGAGGGTCGTCTTGCTAGATGCCGATGTCCGAGGAGTAGGGTTCGCCATGATCAAGGATATGATCTGGATGGTTTTGCCAAGGCCCATGTCATCCGCAAGAATGCCACCACTCGCAAGCGGCGGCTCAGTTGCCGTGGAATAGTTGGTTGCGATGTTGGTAAATTTTGCCCCGTCGCGCTTCCACAGTTGAACGATTGCATCGGAACCCGGGGCTGGGAGGGAAGGAGATTCTCGATTGATCATCCACGCAAGGCCTTGTCGCTGGTATGGTAGAAGCTCCGTAGATAGACCTGGAGGGGAGGGAACCATGGGCATCTTTTCCAAATCGGCTTCCTTCTGTCCAAAGGTTTCGACAACTTTGCCAATATCCCGGGGATTGAAATAGCTGCTCTGTTGAAGGAGTTCCTCCAAACTCTCGTTTTCGCCCAGCCCGGTTGCGGATGAAAGGTTTGCATACGTCGGATCCTCATTCTGCTGCCATTGCTGGGCAGCTTTACCGAGAGCCATAGCACGCGCGTTCTTCTCAGCCGCCTTGCGTTCTTGTTCGCGCTCCTTCTCCTGCCGCCGTTGCTCCCGCTCTGCTTCAATGAACTCTTTCACTGGTAGTTTATCCTGCTGCATTCGCTTCTTCAAGTTATCTTTCAAAGCGGGATCATTCGTGCCATAAAGTCTCAGCTGCACGGGGCAGTCGAACGCTCCAATCCTGCCCGTTAGAACACCTTCCACAGAGAGGTCATGAGAATCCTAGAGACAAGTTCGTTAGAAGCGATTATAAGCTTGATAGTTAGGAGTTACGTACCATGTAAGGTGCCAACTTTGCAGCCAGGTTTCGTGGAATGTGTCCAATTTGGGCGCCCATGACATTATCGACACGAATCGCATTGCGATCGTATTGATTTGTGGGCTCTCTTTTCAACACAACATGTTCACCAGGAGTAGCATATCCTCTGTAATAGCGGACTCCCACAATCTTCCCCTCAATTCTTCCTATGGTACAGAGTCAGACACTCTTCGTCCAGAACCAGCTGCTGAGATGGAAGGTTGAGAGGGTTTGAGAGAGGGATTTTACCGTAAAGTGTCGCGCTGGAAACTGAAGATTCATCCGCACCTTGAGTTCCCTGGACGAGATCTTCGGCCTGAGCATCATCCTCATCAGCTCCAGAGACCTGGGTCAGTGGGATGTAATCGGCTCTCTCAAGCGGGATGTAGTCGGCAGTTTCACCAAGTCTTTGACCAGGAGTGGTCACTGGTAGATCAGGTACAGTGGTCCGACTGATCTTAGATGCACGAAAGTCCCCATTATCGTGGCTATTCGTATCCGAGGTGACTGCATCGGACTTTCGTTTTCCAGGATACCGGGGCATGGCGCTGGATCTTACCCCCACAATCAAGAGATTGGGAGTAAGACGGGCACAGAGGGTGGTCAAAGAAGGATGAAGTGTTTTGGGTATCCAGTACAGAGTCAATCAAGTGTTTTCTGTAACGGGACTTGCCTCAAAGCTTCGGACACTTGATATCAAGACAACCGCGAACTATCGCGACTATCGAAATGACCAGGGGACTGGATGACGGCACACGCTATTCCTAAGGAGGAAAGACTGCCAAGTAACACGAACCGCGTTGGACGCGTTGTCACGTGACATTAAACAAACGACAGGCTTGGAGTCGACACCGATAAGTTCTATCGAGGTATTGATGCTCCAATCTCACGATTAAAAGAGATAATTTGAGTTTTCATATTGCACACTCTTTGGAATGGATGATTCGAGTTCGAGGCTATATTCCAAGGTGGTTTCTTCTCTTACCTAGCATGAAGAACACGCTATATATTGCCTCCTACTACCGGAGACATTCAAAAGCATTTCAAAAGCATGGCAGTAAACAACGAGCTTGAGGATGCTTTCAGATACGAAACTGCAAGTCCATCATCTACCCGTGCCTCTCAATTCCATGTGAATTTCCATGGGTATTGCCGGACTCGCATCAAAGACTTTAAGTTGCCCAATATATGTCACGTGATATATTCAATGGACCTGATTTCCTTGGAAGCTGTCCTTCGTATCTCTTTAACAATGCGGCCAATCCAAAGCACTGTTGGAACTACCCCCGAACCAAGTCTAGGGATTTACTTATAGAATTCGTTCATGCCACTCTTGGCAAGCGGTACTCACTGGAATTCCCCACTACGGCTTTCAACCCCATTCCTTAGCGCAGCCCCAGACAGACAAGCTCCCGGATTAGTGGCGTTCGACGAATCCGCATGGCCGATCCCCGCCAAGGTTCTTACAAGGATCTTGTGCAAAGCCACCAAGATGCTCTAGATATCCTACTAGAACAGGGAGTCTACCAGCCAGTTTTTCTCTACCACATTGTGATCTTCAACATTCTGCCTCTCATTGGCTTGGTCATACCGCGCCACGGAGCAACTCGATATGTCCGACCTGCAATCTTCGCCCTCAGCCTGGCGATTGCGGTCGAGGTGCTCAGCCGCCGCCGAGCGATGCTCGGTGGGAATGGGTATATGATTGGCCTGATGACGACGTGGTGGCTCCTATGGAGTGCGGCGCTCTTTGTGTTTTTGGACGTTGAGAAAGACTTTCGACGTATTGAACGAGGAGCTACGGCTGGTGAATCGATGGACGAACAAGCGGGTCGAGATGCTCTGCAGAGTCACTCGCTCAACGGCAAATGCAATACAGCCGATTCCAAACCCGCAGTCGCCTCGCAATCAAACAGACCAGACGTTTATATGACTAGCACCGAGGGCCACGAGCCTGAAACGTTCCACTGGCAGGCCTATCCTCGAAAACTGACACACCGGCTTGAATGGTGTGCGGGAGTTCTCTTCAATCTCAGGGGTCCCGAATGGAATTGGCGTGCTCCGCATCTAGGTCCTCTGCCTCGATCTGTTCACACGCAATTGTGTGCAGGATTTGCAGCCGAAAAGGTTCAGGCGCATGATGACGCTACATACATCACTTCGAAGAACCGTCTTCGAGCGGCCCTGTGGAAGTTCCTCCAAGGATACCTTTTGCTAGACTGTCTCAAAGTCTTCATGATGCGGGATGCATACTTCCGAGGACTTGTGACAAGTGACATGCCGCCTCCATTCCCGTTTTCTTACCTTTCTTCTATTCCGCTCCTCATACGATTCTACCATTGCTTTATCAGCTCTATGGGCGTTTATGTTGCACTGATTTTCGTCACCTCGCTCAATCCCATATGCTTCCTCGGCCTGTCTATGGCTTTCCCTAATGCCGCTCGAAAACTGACAGCTGCACCCCTCGATGCATCTTGGCTTTATGCCGATAGTTTCGGGCCCTTCATCTCCTCTGTCCTTGACCACGGCCTAGCCGGGTGCTGGGGCCGATGGTGGCATCAGCTGTTTCGCTATGGCTTCATGGCGACTGCGCGCTGGATTCTATCACTACTTCCAACTAGGTGGTCGGCCGATTCCCGAGTCAAACGAATCACCCATATTCTGGTTGCTTTCACGATCAGCGGATTCATACATGCGTGTGGCAGCCACACACAGTTCGCAAACACTCATCCCTTATCTGGGCCATTCTTGTTCTTTTCCCTCCAAGCCCTTGCGATCATTCTCGAGAACATCTTCAAGACAGTTATCTTCCTTAGACTACCCCTTACAAACACCCCGCGATGGTTACGCCGGACGGCGAACGCAGTCTTTGTTTTCTGTTGGTTGCTCTATTCAGGGGCCTTCATTGCAGATGACCTTGCTCGAGGTGGATTGTGGCTAATGGAGCCAGTGCCTATTAGTCCGCTCCGTGGTCTGGGGCTTGCATATGATAAAGGGTGGCGGTGCTGGGACAAGCCGTGGTTCCGTTACTGGAGCGATGGGACATACTGGGGGAGTGGGATACGGGTCATCTAAATGGGATAGACTCTGCATATAGACCTATACATGTATCTTGAATTTCGGGTAGATATTCGTATAAATATTCGAATTATATATTCCTTCATGAAAGAAATCCAACCGCTATGTTTTTGAGGTAATGGAGGTTTATCCTTCCATTGCTACATCATCATCGCCCTCCTCATCGTCATCATCATCATCGGTGTCAGGGTCGATGTTCAAAGTGGGCAGCTCGTCATCACTATCATCCACGGGCAATGGCGCTCCTGCGGTGATTTGCGATGTTGCTTGGGTTACTGGCACCTGCGAAGTAGCCGGAACTTGTTTGGGGACCATCGAGGCTTCAACCTTAGTAGGTTGATATGCGGGGACAGAGGTAGCTGCTTCGGTCTTTTCTTCGAAACGAGCTTTCTTGATCTGCACAGGCTTATTTTCCGATGCCGGGGAAGCGTGAGATTCAGCGCTGGTCTCTTCAAAATAAGTCCGCTTGTGCAGCGGTGCCGCGGAAGTCTCGGTCTTCTGGACCTCAACAGGGGTAGCAGCCGGCTCTGTCAGGAAGCTAGCAGGTCTGAAATTCGTGTTGGATTGTACATCAGCCATCTCATCAGCTTCCTCCTCCTCTTCCATCTCGGCATAGGCATCTAGCTCCGGTGCAGTCATCAGAACGGGCATTCTAGGACGAACCAAAGCTTCGACCTCCATTTGATCAGAGTAGCCCCGGACCAAGAACGGAATGAGACTGGACCCAGCTCCACGACCCTTGGCGGCCGGAATCGGATTCAGGACACTAGCAAGCATGGCATCCTTGTTCGAAGTGAGGATGATCGTGCGATCAATTTCCGCGCGAACCGAAGGCACCAAGAGGCCAGCCGGAGTATACGTCAATGCGCTGTGCAACAGCCCCGATGCGGCTCTTTGAAGTTCGGGGAACTGTGGGCCAGCTTTCAATTGCTGCTTCTTCCGAAGCTCGGGGTCCAAGAACGAGTCTGCATTTGCTGTGCCTTGACCACTCTTCGACTTCGACTTGGAATCAGTCTGCGACTTGCCTGCCGCAGCAGCGTCTTCGAACTGCGGAAGCAGGTCATTGCAGCAGACCCGAAGAACGTTCACGGCGGAGGCTACGCTTTGCTTCGTCATCGCAGGCCCAGTCAATTTCAACAGAGATGATAGCAAGTCATAAGAAGCCAAGCGAACGTCTCTGCAGAACTTCTCGTTCTTAAAGACCCAGGTCACTTGCTCCAGGATATTCTGCGAAATTGGAGCCGTGCTAGTCTCCAGCACACCGACTACATGGGCAAGCAGGTCCATACAAGCGATATGAATGCGAGGCAGCTCCGCCCACAACAGCTCCCGCTCATCCCGGCTGATCTGAGGATTGAATTGAACGCCATTCTGGGAAGCTTCGCCATTCGGCGGGATAGTCACGGCGGTAAGCCGAGAAGTCAAGTCGAGAATCGAGCCAAGGGGTATGGCGACGGTGGCAGCTGAAGGCAGGGAAACAATCTCAGAGAGAATACGCAGAAGTATAACCAGCCTGTCGGTTCCGCGATGAATCCCTGTCCAGCTTGGGAATCCAAGGGCATCAGCGCTCGGGTCCGCCAATTCTTTGCTGTAGTTCTGCTTTGTGTGAACCAAGGTCGGATCCACCGACTCCCATTGCTCTGCGATAGCCCGGAATACATGGTCGGCGGCTCGATGTGCAGACAAAATGGTCGACTTGCACTCGTCGGTCCAACTCAGGCCCGACTTGTCTTTCGGCGCACATCTGTAAAGTGAAGCGAACAACTGCTCTGCCACATCCAACACTGGCTCGGGATAGTACACTTGCGAGGATGAGCTAAGAATGTCCCCAAGCAGAGACCAGAGCTGGGTTCCAAAAGGACGGAAAATTGTGGGATGGCGAGGAATCAATTCAAGAATGGCATGAAGGACAATCTCCATGAAAGGCGTGTTGGGTTTCGGCTTCCGGTTTGACCCCGAAGGAGTCTTGACCAACGTCGAGACCAGGTTCAGGGCCGCAGTAACGAAACCTGGCAGATGCGGAGTGGTAATTTCGCGGACCAATGTCGGGTACTGGTATGTTAGGTGGAAAATGCGAGTCAAAGTGATAATACACATCTTTCGAGTGGAGACCGGGTCGGGTTTCTAGAAAATTCAGAGGAATTAGTCAATTGAGCCGACAAAAATCTTATTGCCAGCTGCAGTATGCACGGAGAGAGCTCCCTACCGCCAGAATAGCAATCAGACCGCGAACGATCGGCTCGTAACCCCGCAAGATCTCCCATTGTCCTGCTTCGACAGTGGCCTTGACTAGAACCACGGCAGTCCAGCGTCCCTCAATGGTGCGGTCCTGCAGCAGACTGGCCAGACGAGTTTTCAGTTTGTGAATTTGAACGGCATGGTCGGAGTCCCCCTTGCCCGGTTTTTGGGCTTGTGGCGCCGAGAGGAGCTCGGCACAATCGCTCAGCGAGGCCGCGAGGAATGCAGCAATCGAGGGGAGTTGGTCAACCGGAGTAGTTGTCAAGCGATGCGTGACAGCACGCAAAGTGGTGGAGGCCATAGCGATAAGCACGCAGCAAACACTGGAAAGGGCCTCGGCGACCTCAATTGACACGGGCTCCAGGCTCCAAGCGTGAAGAAGATCGTTGTAGAAGAAGGAAAGGTCTTAAACTAAGTTATCGGTAATTTTTTTTTTTTGGGGATAGGGAACAAGCTCGGGCCACATGAAGCCTCGGTAAATTACGGGAATTACGGTCACGGCGATACGTGACCCTCCCTCCACCCCTGGGCGATCATCTCGGGGCCTGGCGAAGTTGCGCTGGTCGACGCATGCCTCACTGTCCTCCTTCATCTCTCTCCGCGCTTCCTTTGCAACCCTCCGGAAACCATGGCGGTAGGTGTCTTGTATCTCTGACCTTGGCGTTGGCATCGTTTACAGCTGCTGCGCCTGTCAAACGAGGACTGTAAACAGCTAACATGTGCGGGCTAGGGAGGCAACCCTGAGAAGGGACAGCGATACATCGCGTCCTTGGACCAGGCGCGGGCCCAAGGCAAATGGGATGAAGTACCTGAATTGATCCGGAAAGTGACGAAGCACGCACCGCATCGCACTTGTAAGCGCGCGCCACTACCGTGCCGTGTTCCAAGTTGACGCTAACGGATATCCTTGCAACCAAAGGCGTTATTCAGACTGCAACGGCCGAATCTCGAGTTGTAACCTACCTCCAGCAGAAGAAATCCTCCGAGTCGGCGTCGACGCCTAACCTTCCTGAGCTGATCCCCGCGCTCTTGACCACCATTGAGATTAATGACGGAACGCCGGAAGAGATCGTCCAGGCGCAGGTATGCCTAGGATGGATCCATTGGGCATTGAGTGAGCCAGCGCTGGCTGCAGGACGCTTACCGAAGGACTTTGCGACAACCGTGGATGAAATGGCCGCCGGAGGGCAGACGCGCTCTGCATGGACGGAAGTCTGCCTGGTCAAGGGATGCTATATCAAGGGTACATTATAAACACAGTACGGATGCTGCGAAGACATTTTCACTGATAATTTACAGGGGCTGCGCAAGCTACGGTTGCTGGAATAGATGAAACACTGGAGACTTTTGCTTCCTTGATACCCTGGCTAAGCAGCGGGAAATTGAGCTCGAATAACGCTCAATTCCTAAGCTGGACCGAGACTTTACTATGCAAAGGTGCTATACTGGCCAGCGAGGAGGCACGTAACAGTTCCCCATACTCCGACCCCAGACATGTGGAGATTGCGCTTCGGCTGTTCCGACTTTGGGCAGCTCTCCCCGCAGTGAAGCAAGGGTTGACTGCTCCCAAGCCTTCCCACCTTGACGTATCCACCTCGCTCTCCCGAACCTCTATTTGGAAGGCGTATTATGGATTCCTCACGACTGTGCTACAGGGTGGATTGGTCTACACTGCTCCTAATGATGGTCCGGAACGCCCCCAACTAGCCAGTGAACTCCGTCGCATAGAATCGATTTGTGAGAACAATCTTCTTCGAGAGGTCAAATTCCCAACTGCCAGTTCCGATAACTTCGAGGTTGAAGAATGGGTGGAACGAGTCATCGGTAACTGGGAAGTTCTCTGTGGACCCCATTGGCAGGATCAAGATCTGGGCGAAGGCGGACAAAACACTGTGGGGCGCAATGTTTTGGATGTAAGTGCAATCAAATTGATACATCAGAGTCATCACACTGACAGAATCACGAATTCCAGATCCTCTATCGTGCGGCAACCAAAACATACCATTCCCACCTGATTTTGCGGCGTCTGTTTCATGTTCATTCCGCCTTGGCGGACTTTGACCTTGCCTTTCAGGCTCTCGATTCCTATATCGAGATCGTCACTGGTGCCAAGGAGAGGGCTGAGAAGGGTGCTGAGTATGGCGAGCTAGAGAAGGCTGAAATCTTCTTACAGACTCTCTCCGAAGGTGTCACTTTGTTGAGCTGCCTCGGTTCCTTCGACGAGGCCGAAAAGGCCAAGAATTTGACCGAATTGATTAGAACCCATCTGGACAAGCAGGGGGCAAGCATACCAGATGGGAAAGCCAATGGCAAACTACTGCTTACCCAAGGCCCGGGCTCTACCACATCCCCTGAGATCTCCCCCGCTGTTCTGGCCACTGCTTACAGGGCAGTTGGGGTTGGTCTCGCGAATTGGGCAAGCTTTACCCCTCAAAATGAAGCACGAGATGAGATCCGTGGGGATGCTGTGGATTACCTGCTGAAGAGTGCATCCCCTTCGCTGGGCAAACAAATGAGCTACTCAACTCTGTACACCTTGTCTCTTGTTCTCGCAGAAAATCGTGACCTAGACACTGCGATTGAGTATGTCAAATCTGCATTGACTTCTCATGGTTGCTCTGATATGTCCGAGGACCTTTCAAGAGAACGAGACCTCGTCCCCATGTGGCACTTGCTTGCTCTGCTGCTCAGTGCGAAGAATGAGTTTGATATCGCCGAACGTTCTTGCGAAGCAGCATTCGAGCAGTTCCCTCCGGAGGTATTTGGCAAGAGCCACATTGACAAACGAGCCGAGCGACGTTCATCAAGGTATTCGTCGCACTCTAAGGAACGGGAATCCAGCTCCAAGCGATCTCTCGTGAGTCGATTGCATGGCCGAGAGAAGGAGCGCATCCTCCAAACTCGCATCACACAACTTGCTTTCGTTGAAGTGATCGAGGGCCCCGAGGCTGCCGTCAACCAGAGTGGGCAATTGCTGAGCCTTTTCGCCACACTATTCAGTGACCTCAATCTCGACAGCGAAGGCACTAAACCTAAGACCGAACACTTGGTACCACCCAAGAGCTCCGCTGGCACAGCTCGGAGCTTCCGTGGCAGCATATTTAGCCGTAGTCGAACCTCTCACCTACCAGACCGTCGAACCAACTACTCTACGGGTTCTATTCCAGCTGTGCCGCCCCTTCCAAATGGCAACACCGGTGGAGCCGAAGCACCGGCTATTCAGATTACGGATGAAGACCGAGGGGGCCATCAAAGCCCTTCGTCTCTCGGAAGGTCTGACTCCAAGAGACTGAAGAAGCGCAGCAGCAGCTTCCATAAACACGAGAGACCCCGAATTGAGGAGCCTCCACTGCCAAATGGGACAGAGTCTCCTGAAACAGTGGGAATTGCGGTTTCTGAAAACCCATCCCCCAAGGCGACATTTCATGCCGCAAGTGGCAGACAGCCATTGCAGCCGATCGCACATAATATCCATCATAGACAACAACCAGCCCCGGCTGGTCATGAACACAACCCACCAATGCAAGACACTCGACTTCCACCCCCGCACCGCTTTGATTCTCCCACGCTTGCCACGACAAAGTTCTCATACGCCCAGTCTCAGAAGCATGCTCTTGGGTTGCTTGTCAAGATCTGGCTAATTATCGCTGGTCTATACCGCCGAGCATCCTTATTTGACGACGCTCGGGAGGCATGCCAAGAGGCCTGGAAGCAGACCTCGCGTGTGGAAACACTGACGGCATCTTTCGAGTCATCGGCTCGAGCTTTTAGCAAGCGTGGTTGGGATAATACTAAGAGCTCCGAAGAGCTGTGGGCTGATGTCTATGCTGAGCAAGGCCTGTTGGCACTGAGCCAGTCAAACCCTCATCAGGCCATGAAGCACTTCGAAGATGCCCTTCTCCGATGCCCCGATCATCCGACAGCAACGATTGCGCTGGCCAACTTGCTTTTGGATGTCTGGGACCAGAAGCTGCCGTTGGAGCCCTCGAATGCTGACGTTGATCTCAACGTATCACGACTGTCACTCTTGTCTAACCTCCCTAAGCCGAAGGTGGCAAATGCTATCTCAATCGATGAGTTGAAGGGACCTGATGCTGAGACTCTACCCACGGCTGAGGCATCCTCGTCGCCGCATGATGTTGATCCAAAGCACCTGCACCGCTTGGCAGCCCGAGATCGCGCTTACGGTCTGCTCTCGTCGCTGACCAAGCTTGGCAGCTCGTGGGACAACTCGGAGGCCTGGTATGCCTTGTCACGGGCATATGAAGCGGGTGATCAGATCGACAAGCTTAAGGATGTTCTGTGGTGGTGTATTGAGCTTGAGGACCGCCGGCCCATTCGGCATTGGTCTAACATTGGATCTGGGTTGTATGTTCTTTGAAAACAAAATCTAAGGGCAGAAAATGGAGGTTGATTTTAACATCTTCTTGTATTTATTTTGACTGATCATAATTGTGCTCGCCCCCCTTATTCCTTCATCTTCCCTCGCTTGAGATACCATTTTCACCACTTGCGGTTCGAGGGTTACTAGAATTTAAGTATATGGAAATGGAAAATTTTGAAGTTTCTGAACTAAACGTTCTCACGAGACCACTAGTGGCACAACTTTATGTACATCTTTCGAAGCAACCTGACTGGGGCAGTTCGAGATTGGAATTAAAAGGCAAGGGAAAAAAAACCAAAACAAGTCAAAGTGCATAAGTTGGATTCATTTTGCTAGCAAAAGCCAACTGCTTTACCGCGGGGCAGCGACAGGAGTCCAGGCGGAGTACTTAGGCCGGGTGCTGTAAAAGGGTTAGATACGACAAGCGAAGGATAAACTCATGAGTGTGGTGTACATACGTGGAGTAGGTCTTGAAGGCAGCACGGCTGAAGGTAGGGTTGGGGCGGTGCTCGGGAATCTCCCAGGTACGCTGGCCGGGCTGGAGGATCTTGTCGCCAGTGGGGGGAGTATCAACCATGTAGGAGATCCAGGCGTGCCTATAGTTCAAATATCAACATCCAAACTGATCCCCATTCGTTTCCCGAGAGCACCCGCGGGAGACACTTACCAGCCAGGCTCAATCTGGTCGGGCTGGAACTCGGGCCAGTTGACCTTGTAGTCGACCCATCGTGTCCGGACTGTAAACAAAAGGCGCTTAGTATCGGTGTTTTGCCGTCGCATTCATCCTGCTGTAAGGATTGTCTTACGCGGCAGCTCCTCTTCCATGTTCTCGTAGTACTTGTTGCCGAAGCGATCAACTCCGATCAGGGTTCCGACCTTGGTATCACCTATAATCGCACCGGGTCAGTCTACCGCACAGGGTCAATTGGATAGAGGCACAACATACCGATGTTCTAGAGGGGGAAAACAGAGAAAAGCATTAGGTTAGTCACTAGCATCCTCAATTTACCCCATCTCCTGTATCCGCGGCGAGAATCGTACCTGCATCTGGTGGCCAAAGTCCTGTAAAAAGGTGTTAGTAACCCGGCTCATCGCAGTCAAAATTGAGCGTCTGGCAAACCTTGAAGCCAATTCGGCGCAGATTGCGCAGTGTCCTCAGAACGGTCGACATCTTTGCGGTGCAATGGGCAAGGATGAGGTCAGGGCAGAGCGTGTGGAAGGTGAGGTCTGAAGTCGGTGTGTTTGCAATGTTTGCAATCGACTCTTGTCACTCCCGATTCAGAAATTCTTCTGGAAGCGCATCTACGCAGCTTACCATGTTCGGGCGCATTGGAGGCCAGTCGCTGCGCTGCGCGGCTCGTCGCCCAATTGCGCGCAGAAAAGTGTGCGATCGGCGGTTCTCTGCGCAGACTGGTGCGAATACCACTGCTGCGTCTGCTCCTTCGCCGCTCGGGGCCATCACAGTTGAGCTAGATCGCATAGCACCCCGATTCGAGATCCCGGCTTCCCAGATTACGATTCTAGATTCACCGGCCAATTTCTATTCGACCTTGAAGGTATATCTTCTGCTATGAGTATTCATGTCTTGCCTCCCAAGTGAAAACTGACTCGCGACTTCGCAGAACAAAATCCGGAACGCGAAGCGGCGCATTTACCTTTCCACATTGTACATCGGCAAGACCGAATTCGAGCTTATTGAGACGATATCCCAGGCCTTGCGCGATAACCCAGATCTCAAAGTATCTATACTCACCGATGCTCTGCGAGGCACCCGAGAAGCCCCCAATCCGTCCTGCGCGTCGCTGCTTTGTTCCCTGGTGTCAGCTTACGGACCGGAGCGGGTAGAGATTCGGATGTTCCATACTCCCAACTTGACCGGTCTGAGGAAGAAATGGATCCCTAAGCGTATCAATGAGGGCTGGGGCTTGCAACATATGAAACTGTACGGCGTTGACGATGAGATCATCATCTCGGGGTAAGTGCCTTTGAAAGTATGCTTGAAGAGGGTTGGAGCTGATGACTGGTTCAGTGCAAACCTCTCTGAGGACTACTTCACAAATCGACTGGACCGATATCACGTCTTCGATTCCAAGGCGTTGACGGATTACTATGCGCGCATCCACCATGTGGTCTGCAGCTTGAGTTTCCAGGTCTTGCCTGATTCTTATAATCACTCAGGCTACCTTCTGGACTGGCCTACCTCTAACGGCGCTCCCTCACCATTAGATAGCCCTCAGGATTTCATTGCATATGCTTCAAATGTGCTCAGTCCACTCATCCAAGCGTCCGACAACAAGCCCGCTCTATCCCCTTCATCTACAAGCCAAACTTTCGTATACCCCGTGGCCCAATTTACGCCCCTGTTGAAACCTGACACATCCACCGAATTTCCCGCGGTCACAAGCATCTTGCGCCTCTTATCTGAAGCACCTGCTTTTGCAGGGGCTCGCTGGCTCTTCACCGCCGGCTACTTCAACATCCATCCTGTTTTGTCCTCCCTCTTGATTTCTAGCACATCCACTGCTTCTGAGAAGCCTTCCACAACGCAAGGGACAGTTCTGACCGCTTCTCCATGGGCCAATGGATTCTATGGCTCCCCGGGCATCTCTGGCATGCTCCCTGCTGCATACACCCACCTTTCGGCACGCTTCCTCGACCGTGTTGCCGCCGCCCAAGCCACCAATTCAATTCAGCTCAAGGAGTGGCGCCGCGGCACTGTCAACACGCCGGGTGGATGGACATACCATGCCAAGGGTCTCTGGGTCACTCTTCCACGCGAAGAACACCCAAGTCTTACCTTTGTTGGTAGCAGTAACTACACAAAGCGAAGCTACAGTCTGGACCTTGAAGTCGGCGCTCTTGTTGTCACGAATGACCAAGACTTGAAGCAAAAGCTCGGCAAAGAGACTCAATGGCTTCAGGAGCACTCAAAACAGGTTTCAAGAGAGGACTTAATGCGTAGTGAGAGGCGTGTTAGCTGGAATGTGCGTCTCGCCATGTGGATTGTCGAGAAGGTTGGAGGAGCTCTGTGATACCTACTAAGTAATTTTTGTCCATTTAAACTTCCGCCCGAGGGTTGACCCAGCTTATACCATAGCATTTTGATCATATTGTCATACTGGCCTCCGTATCCTGAAGATTATCATAAAGGTATCCTTCCTCTCAGCGTCCCGTTTTACAACTTTTCTGGTCTCGAAGATGGGTTAAATAGAAATCAATGTGGTTTTGATTATCAGTCTGAATACTGCACATCTTGGTCTACATTAACTTACTAAATGTCTCCTGTTATAGATACTCAACAAACCTGTTTTTCTCCCATGTGGTATTGGTCTTCATTTAGTCTTAGCTACTTCAACGCTGTCAAGACAAGCCCCCATCGAAAAGCAGGACATTTTTCAATATGATATCGTGGATTCCTAGGATGAATAGACCTTAGATGCCTTCATCGACAGCCCTGTTAGTCGTTAGTTGTTAGTAAAGTCCAATTATTTCCGAATATCTTCAAGATCGAAGCGCATATTCCAATGCGGAACCATGAATCCAGTCCGAAAGACAACGATCGAGGCAATCCGCCGAACACCTTGACCATATGCAGCAAGAACAAGAATTGCAACTACCGTGCCAATGGGAGTCCCCAACAAAGCTGAAATTCAGCCGATGAGTGATTGGAGACAAAAGCTCTGTTTTCCAGAGGTGGCCATGAAAGACCATTGCGATCAGTGAAAAGCTGGGTTAGACAAAACTCTTGGGTTTCTTTATCGACAATATTTTCTACAAAGACATACTTCATGGACGTAAGCTCATACTGTTTCTCGTATGCGGCACCGACGACTTCAGAGATGTACCAGTCGTTAGGGTCAGTAAATCCTTCGACATACTCGATCCACAGAGAGCCTGGTCCCACAACTCCAGAACAGGCTTTGTCTTCCTGTGGTTCTTGAGAGTCGTGCACAACTCTCCAAAACTTGAAGTAATGGTACACAGACTCTCCATCCGGCCTATACCTCTCGAGAGGAAGGCCGACCTCTGTAGCCCATGGGATGTGCTTGCTGTGAAGTTGATGCCCGAGCCATATAGTTCCTGCCGTCTCGTTTGGAAGCAATACTGATGGATGATATTCTATCTCCAAGCAGTCCCAAGTCAATAGAACAGCACCGATATGGCAAGAAACTCGGCCTTTGTCAATCATTTGTTCCCATTGGAAACCGGCCCTCTGCAAGTCGCCGTACCGCCATAGCCCTTGGTTTGGCAAAGAGAGGATATTATCTGAACTCATGGTGGAGATCTCAGTGAGGAAAGCGCTGATGAATGGGTTAGAAAGTTTCAGGGAAAGTGTTAGTGGCTCAATTGTTTTGAAAGTTTTGTGGGCGTCGATAAAGGTTGTGATTTTGGGAGTTTGAAGAAGGTGGAGAGCTCGGCAGTGAAGACCCGATAGAGATTAAATACTCTCTTTCAAGGTTGGATATCAAGCTTGAAAGAAAGAAGCACTGACCAATCTTTGATGTAAGATAGAGCTGTATAGACAAAGAAGTGACTAGACAATGAGATCATGCTCTCGTTGTAGACTCTCAATCAATACATCCCAAAAGACTGCCCAGGCACTTGGATATTCTTTGCTATATTTTCATTTTGCTGGCTACAGGTGAAATGGCATTTATACAATTTAGCTTTCATTCATCCTAGCATCCTACGACCTTTATTATTAGGAGAAAGATTATAAAGGATCTGAATAGTCTATAACTATTAGGTGGTAGCTTTGCAAGAATGGATTTAGAACCCTAGCAGATTTGCTGCTTGCCAAACACTCACTGGACCTTATACTGACCTTAGCTCTAGATATATACTAATTATTAGTCGCATTATTCTACATGGGTTGTGGTAGGTAGCCTGGAGCTATGCTTGCCCCACCACACGTGAGTCACAATCATCAACCCCTCGGTCTCTGTCAAAATGGCGAGGCAATATCGTAATATGACGCGATAATAGTACACGCTGCTTGTCCATGAACTCTTTATCAAGCATAGCTATCTTTTTTGGAACGGCAAATCCTGAAAGAACTCATTGATAATGGACATGATCGAGTCTGAATTCGATCTACGATCAGCCCTATCCTCCAAAGTATGGTTTGCTTTCGACCTTGATGACACTTTGCATGAATTTCGCAAAGCATCAGGCCAAGCTTCACTTAGCGTATTCCAAGCCATCAGTGCCAAATATGGAGAAGATCTTGATGAATTGAGATCTACATATCAAGACATTCTGAAAGTATCAACCGCCCATGCCTTCACCGATGGAAGAACATCGACTGAATATCGCCGAGAACGGTTTACCCTGCTCCTTCAGGCCCATGGAATCGATGAAAGCGAGGACATCCACTATCTGCTTGAAATTTATCAGACCTCACTACGATCCCACTTGACTCTGAAAGCGGGCGCATTGCAGCTACTTCAGACTTTACGGCAACTGCATAAGAAAGTGATGATTATCACCGAGGGTCCAGCTGATGCACAGGAATGGACTGTTCGAGAATTGAGTCTTTGGCCATATGTCGATGTTCTTGTGACAACGAACGAAGCTGGGAAATCAAAAGTTGATGGGCTTTTTGGGGCGGTCTTGAACAAGTATAGCATTTGCCCCGAGGACATGGCTTGCTTTGGTGATAACGAGGTCCGCGATGTGCAGGCAGCGCAAAAAGAGGGTATTCTGGCTATATTATACGATCAGAAACAGAAGAGTCAACTAACCAGTCCTGGTAATTTGAAAATAGTTTCTTGGCACACCTTGCGGAGTATACTCCAGGATGCGAAATAAACCATGTATCGAAAATCAATGTTACTTTTGTTTAGCCATTGTATCAGTCCTAGCGCATATGCAAATAGAGGGAAAGAAATATTAAAAAGAGAGAGCCAAAATCCGAAACTCCGTATCATGATTGGGTAATTCCATTTCAGTGTCGTATCATGCATGCAAATCTCGCATCCCTCTAAGCTTGCCCAGGGACCTTACGGCCATTAGCACCAGCCGACAAGCGAGCGGGACCGAGACCGGAGCGCACTTCATCAAGCATGCGGATGCCGATAGCCTCGTTGCCGTTCTTTCCACGCTTGTGCTTGGTGCCCTTGCGCTTAGCTTGCGCACTGGTGTTGTCGTCCCAGCTGGCAAGGAAGTCATCCATGACGTTGTGGAAATCGCTACGTGAGACTGCGGCGCCGTTTCCGTCGACAAGACTGGGTGCAATTGACGATGCGGTGGACATGCCTGTCATACCGGTAGCCCCGGTCATACCACTGACCATAGACATGCTGTCATCATATTCATCCTCCTCGTCAAGAGAGTACAGAGCCTCAATCTTTTCAAATCGGTCATCCAAGAGCCGGTGGCCCTCGGTACGAGCCAGCGCAGACGAAGTCATTGAATAAGCGGACGGGTTGGTCAAAGCACCCTTACGCTTCTTTCGGCGGATTGGAGTACCACCAGCTGTGAACGCGGTCGAAGCAACGGTACGTTGTTCGGACGGCGCAACCGTGGGTGCAGCTGGCGCGGCAGCCTTACCGGCCTTGGCGTCCTTCTTGAATTTGGCAAACTCGTTCATCCATCCTTGATCCTCAGGGTGCATATCCGGAGCAGGTTCGTTATGCTCAGGAATTTCACCGGGCTCAAGATCCCTGGCGTGGCTCTCCTCTGATGGCACGTCCTCCGTGTGTCGCAGCGCATCAGTCCTATCTGTCTGCACGGGCGCTTTCTCAGTAGCGTCCGACTCCCATCCCTCATCATACTCATCGTGGTCAAACAGAGTATCCTCCCAATCACCCTGATCCAATTCCTCTCCACCCTTCGTCAACTCGCCGAAAAGATCATCATCGTTGTCATCATCAACATATGCTTCATCTTCCAGTGCCTCCAAAGCCTCTCGTAGACGGGGGTCCATATCTGGCTGGAAACCAGCAATCACATCGGGAACATTCTGCTGATCTTGGTACGTCGGCTTGCGAATATATGACGACGCAGTCGAGCGCATGTCGCCAAATTGCGACCCGTACGCGCTTTGCGAATCATCCAGGGAGACTTGGCGCAGGGCATCCTCCAACTTCATAGCCTTCCCCTTGCCCTTGCCCTTCTCAGCCTTGGCCTCCACAAAGTGGGAATCACCACCGCCAGTGCCCAGTTCGCGCAAATGCTGCATATAGTCATACCGGGAGTCGTCGTAGTAGACGCCATAGTTGGCGGCTTCGCCCTCGTTACGGCGGATCGCTTGGCTTTGGAATTCGGACTGGAGCTCGGAAAGGTTCCGGATAGGCTTTTGCGAGGATGTTGATGCAGACGAGGGTGGAGGAGCAGGACCGCTGACTTGGTGCAGGACTCGGTCCTCGGCTTCGGGGTCATGGATCAACGGGTCTTGTTGAGAACGGTGGAAGAGCTGGAAAGTGCTCGCATTTTTCTTGTCACTATAGGGGAGTCAGTGATAGCACTTATACTACGCTGGTTCACAGTTACACTTACATCCACTGGCGGGGCGGCATTTTGGCGTTTGGTGTTTGTCAAAAGAGATGCGCTCAAAAAAAGCGAAAAAAGTGGGATAGATAGGGTCACGTGGGCCTTATCGATGCCTGAGCCCCTCAGGTCCTCATACAGTGGCGGCCTGAAATGACAACGAATTTAGCGAGGAGTAAAAGCGTAAAGCTATGATATAGACCAAGAATCAATATTGATCGCAAATAAGATACTAGAACGACATTTTCCACCGCTAAAAACAGTCGGGATTCTGAGATTTCGAGATTTTCCCCCTCGGAGCCCCGCTGAGTCAGCGTTATCTTATCCGTCTGAATAATCCAAAAGATTTCCCATTTTCAGGCGGGGTCGGACAGATTCTCTTTCTCCAACATCAAGACATCACAGCAGCACCAGTACAACCGTCATCATGGTGTTGGCTAAATCTAAGAACTCCGTGGGGCTGGGCAACAGCCTCATGAACGATCGTTTCGGCAAGGGAAAAGCCTCGAACCAGAAGAAGGCGTCGCACAATGCCATTGCGCGCAAGAATATGATGGGTGAAACCTACATCACCAACGAAGCCCCGGAGGCATCCTGGGTGAAGATGCGCTCTATTACCGAACAAGCCGCGCTCGATGAGTTCCTCACCACCGCCGAGCTGGCTGGTACCGACTTTACCGCCGAGAAAATCAACAACGTTAAGATCATCCACTCCGATCAGAAGAACCCATACCTTCTCTCTGCCTCCGAAGAGAAGAAGGCCGTCAAGAAACACCAGAAGAATAGGGGTCGGTTGACTGTGCCGAGACGGCCGAAGTGGGACTCGTCAACGACACCGCAACAATTGGAGATGATGGAGCGTGAGAGTCTGTTGGACTGGCGTCGAGGGCTTGCAGAGCTGCAGGAGAATCATGATCTTCTCATGACTCCGTTTGAGCGTAACTTGGAGGTCTGGCGCCAGTTGTGGCGTGTTATTGAGCGATCCGATCTCGTGGTGCAGATTGTCGATGCCCGCAACCCCCTCCAGTTCCGCTCCGAGGACCTGGAGAACTATGTGAAGGAGATTGATTCCAACAAGAAGAACTTGCTGTTGGTTAACAAGGCCGATATGTTGACTCTGAAGCAGCGAGAGGCTTGGGCTGAGTACTTTGAGGAGAACAACATTAACTTCCGTTTCTTCTCGGCTCAACTGGCCAAGGAAAAGATGGAGGCCGAGATGCTTAACGAGTCCCAAGAAGATGACGAACTGGCAGAGTCGACTAAAAAGATGAACGTGCAAGATGAAGATGAGGATCAGGAGGAGGAAGAGGAAGAAGACGATGTTGCTGCCAAGCTCGCCGCCGACCCAGACCAATCCTTGGGACCTCATATTCTCGATGTTGATGAACTGGAAGAACTCTTCTTGGCCAATTCTCCAGAGACTCTCCCACAGAGCGAGGGCTCCGATGCTCCTACTAAGCACAAGACCACCATTGGTCTGGTCGGTTACCCCAACGTGGGTAAGTCCAGTACCATCAACGCCCTCCTCGGTGCGAAGAAGGTCTCCGTCTCTGCCACTCCTGGTAAGACCAAGCATTTCCAGACATTGTACCTCTCCCCGGAGATCATGCTCTGCGATTGTCCCGGTCTGGTGTTCCCCAACTTCGCCACTACCAAGGCCGACCTGGTCGTGAACGGTGTGCTGCCCATCGACCAGCAGCGTGAGTTCACCGGTCCTTCCGGCATTGTGGCACAGCGCATTCCCAAGCATTTCGTGGAGAACGTCTATGGTGTGAAGATCCGAACCCGTCCTCTGGAGGAGGGCGGTACTGGTATTCCCACTGCCAGCGAGCTCCTGCGTGCCTATGCTCGCGCTCGTGGCTTCTCGACCCAGGGTCTGGGCCAGCCCGACGAGTCCCGTGCTGCCCGATACGTCCTGAAGGACTACGTAAACGGCAAGCTTCTCTTCGTGCACCCACCCCCCGTACCCGAAGGCGAAGAGCCCATCGACCCGCACGTGTTCAACCAGGAGCTGTACGACATTGCCCATCTCCCCGCAAGGCGCCAGGCGCTCCTCGCGAAGACGATCGTGGACGTGGAGACCGGTGCCGATGGCGACGCCGAAGCCGGTGCTGAACCTGATATCTCTTCTTTCCTGTCCAAGCCTGCCGACAACCAGCCAGGCCTACGGTCTCGCAACCTCGACAGCGGCTTCTTCGGCACCGGGACCGGTCCCTCTGCCGGTCGTATCAGCATGCCCTTTAACCACAAGTACACCGAGCAAGGTCAACAGATTCGTCAGAATCTCACCGGCCGGAAAGAGCGCATGATGATCGCTCTCGAACGCGGCGTGGATGTCTCCGAGGTTCGGGATTCGGCCGCCGGGTCCAAGAAGCACTTCAAGGGTAACAAGCGCCGGGCCAAGGCCAAGCGTAACAACGGCGAGGAGACGGAGGACTTCTACTAAAAGTGACAATTTTTTTGTGCGGTTGGTTCTTGTTTTACCTCGGCCGGCGAGTCGAGATGGACGGTTTATGCCTCGGATTTCCGTTTGAGATGTTTTCCCTATGTGCCAGACACTACTTTTGGATATTTGGAGGAGCTTGCTGGAGATGGTGGTGATGGTGATGGTGATACGGAATGTGCATATCATGTTGGACCCAGTATCTTGGATAGACATTTGCAGGCGTTTGGGGAGTACTTAGCATATATTCAATGCACTTATACCACATTTCACCTGTCCACAGAACTACAATCAAAACTACTAGTCGTAGACCCTCCATAGTCAATGCAGAATATTAGAATTGTCATTCTGTTTTCATATCAAACATATAAACTATATAAGTTGGGCAGTAATATTCTTTCTACAGGTGGCTCTTGGCCTTGAACCCAGAGGCAATCAACAAACGATCCGACTCCGCCTGCTGCCACTTCAGCTTAGCAGTAACAGCCTCCTTGCGGGCATTGTTCTCCCGCCGACCCAGCTGCTGCAAGTGAACCTCATCAGGACCGTCCGCAATACGCAGCGTCCGAATACCAGCCCACAGATACGCGAGCGGGGTATCCTGGCAAACACCCGCAGCACCGTACGCCTGCACCGCACGATCGATAATCGTCAGCGCCGTCTGCGGCACAAGAACCTTCGCCTGAGCAATCTCCTTCAGTGCGGACTTGGCATCGCCCTGGTCAATCTTAATCGCGGCGTTCAGCACGATGAGACGAGCGGCATCAACCTCAATCCGCGACTTGGCGATCCACTCGAGGATAACGCCGTGTGCGGACAGAGGCTTGCCGAAGGTCTGCTTGCGGTCGTCGTTGACGCGGGCGATCAGCCACTCGAGAGCCTTCTCGGCGGCGCCGATGGTGCGCATGGCGTGGTGGATGCGGCCGGGGCCCAGACGGCCCTGGATGATCTCGAAACCGCGGCCCTCGCCGAGGACCATGTTGGAGATGGGGATGCGGACGTTCTTGAAGCTGATGTGGCCGTGGCCGTGGGGGGCGTCGTCGTAGCCGTAGACGTGGAGCATGCGGTGGATGGTTACGCCGGGGGTGTCGGCGGCGACAAGGACGACAGATTGCTGGCGGTAGGTGTCACGGTTGTTGGGGTCAGACTTGCCCATGACCAGGTAGATCTTGCAGCGGGGGTCACCGGCGCCGGAGGACCACCATTTCTGGAGGGTGTTAGAATCGAGATACAAGATAGGTATCAAGGTATGTATGGAGAATGGAGTGGTGCTTACGGAGCCATTTAGAACGTATTCGTTGCCCTCACGGCGGATGTCCAGCTCAATGTTGGTGGCATCACTCGACGCAACATCGGGCTCGGTCATCAGGAAAGCAGAGCGAATCTTGCCCTCCAACAAGGGAACCAGCCACTGCTGCTTCTGTGCCTCGTTGCCGTACTTGGCCAGCACCTCCATGTTGCCAGTATCGGGGGCAGCATTGTTCGTAGCCTATCAAACAGAAACGACCACGTTAGCTCCTCTGTGTCCAAAGTATCTCTCCTTTCCCAAGTTGGGGTGGAACTCACCTCCGAGGCAATCTTGCTCTTGCCCAGCAGCTCGGCCATCAGACCGTACTCAACATTGCTGAAGCCCGCACCCTGCTTGAAGTGGTTCTTGGGCAGGAACATGTTCCACAGACCGAGCTTCTTGGCCTTGGCCTTTAGCTCCTCCATGATGGCGGGGGTAGTCTGCCATCGCTTCTCACCCTCGCCCAGCTGGGCGGAGAAGACGGCATCGGCGGGAACGCAGTCCTTCTCGACGAACTCCTCGACCTAGTAGATGCCGACGTATTAGCCCAATGAACCTCGGATATCGGGGGTCATGCTAGGGGATCAGGTATGGGGTAAGCAGCGTGGGGTGCCAAGGGGGAGCATTACCAAGTCGAGAGTCTTCTTAGCCCGATCGCTGACGAAGGGCTGAGCGATTGGGGGGATACGAGTAGAAGCAGACATGATGTGTGATGAGGGGGAGGGGGAATGTAGTCAAGAAAGAGAGGAGGAGCAGCGAAGCTGAATATAAAGCCAAGCCCATTGAGAGACTGCGGAGAAGCGCTGTGGAGAAGCCGAGCGTAGCGGACTTTGCCTCGGCCCAAGTGCGCTTAACTAGCAGACCTGCAGAGAGTACCTCCTACTTTAAATACGCGGTTTTATTAGCTCAACGTCCAGAATACTACAGACCATGCTGAATGTAACCAATCTGAACTCAGTTTGGGCTGATTATAAATCAACTCCCGGGTATCTTTACTGTCAAGTTGGTAGTGAAAACGTACGATTGAGGGGGTTGAATCCAGCCGGCTACGGTGTTCTTCTCAGCCTCGGCCAGTTCCCCGGTGTATACGACCACGCCACATTTACGATCGAGCTACTCCATTTACTCGATTTTGTCAAGTGAAAAGATCACCGATTTTCCAATTGATCCTTTCCAAGTTCCCATTGTACCATATCTAAGCACAAATTACCCCGAGAAGCCAAAGAGACAGAAAACAGAAGAGTCCAAACCCCCCAAGCACAGAACCAGTAAAACAAGAGAAGAAAAGAAAAAGAACGGAAGAAGGCATTGCGGGTCATCACAAAGGAAAAAAAAAATAGAAGAAAAAGGGCAGAAGTGAGCGAGGCAGTATACAGTCCAGGATGGGACGCATACTCGATCGATCCAATCTACCAGGAAACAGAAATGATCCAACCATTCCTGTTTCCTAGTAGAAAAACTCCCAAGTGGCTAGGACGACCAGCACCCCCAACCATCCGAGTCATCTGGAATCCAGCGACAGAGTATAATCCCAAGTCCAAAGACACACTGACACGCAGCAAGAACTGAGTTAAACCTCTCGGGGTTTATTCGGTCGCCTGGGGTTGCCCGGCAGACGAAGATTGCTCATAGCTCTTCTTGCCGAGCTTCGCGAACAGCGACTGAGGCTTTCCGGCACTGTGAGAATAAGTGATTAGCACCCGTATTCTCCTTCCAGAGAAGGATCTTGCAATCTGCAGCGAGACTACCTACTTCTTAAACCGCTTGCCCTTGATATCGCTCAACTTCTTCGTGCACGGGCTCATAATGTCGTCGGACGGGGAGACGTAGGCAGTCGGTTGTCTAGCATAGTGGATTAGTCTCAAGTCTCAAAGAATCAAACATGATGCATCCAGTCTGGCATTGTTCTGGATCTGGGTGCTCATCTGGGTGCTCGTCTGGTTGCAAGATCATGCGCTGGGGCACACTTACTTCTCGCCACTCTCCAATTTCCCCTGCAGCATCTGCCGGTGGTAGTCCATCGACGAAAGATCAGCCTTGAGATCGGACTTGTCGCCCGAGGAAGCATTGGCGAGGTGCGTGTTAGTCGGGCGGTCCGCGAGAGGCTGCGCGTGTGTTGTGGAGTCCATTGTGAACGTGTGGGTGTGTGGATGAATGTGCGTATATAGCTGTGGATGGGAGTAGATGAAAACTCGAGACCTTTAATGGAACAAGTGATTTGTATAATCGTTCACGAGTGCAGAGCAATAAATGCGGAGGCAAGAGAAGCAGTCTTCGGAGATCGTGGATCGGATAAGAGAAAAAACGTGTTGTTGGTGCAGGCGAAGAAAAATGCCGTTTTCGATTGTTGGCAGGGCAACCCGGCCCATGACTCAATTCAATTGCCTGCTCCAGGGCGGGCTTGAATATGACGCACGGATGTCGGACATTCCAGGATTGGGTTTTACGTTAGTCTTCTTTGAGAGCGAATTTTTTATTATTACGATGGGTTTATTTGTTTGTGGTCCGTGACTGGGGAATCTGACAGGAATTGTATTCAAGTTTACAAAGTCGAGGGTGACTGTATCAAAGCACAAATAACAACAATGGGAATCATTTCGTAGACCAGTCATACAAACATACACTTGCCAGATCAGAGATCAAGGACTATGCCCGGAACGCCATGCAAAAAGTCATAAACAGACATTAAGGGAACCCCCCCCCCCAAAAGACGAAAAGAAAGGATGAAACATGATGCAATGGGATGCTTGGGCAATCGCCGGGCGGATCATGATCAACGCACAAAGATCCTACCTGCAACCAGTCTCATGACAACCGACGAGGTTCCTCTGATGGAGTCGAGACCGAAGGTGCAAGGATAGTATCCTCGCCGTCGCCATTCAGATCCAATTCCGATAGGTGAGCATTCAGCACGGGCGGCGTGCTATGCGACCGGAGCTGCGGCGTGCCCAGCGTAGGCAACGATATCGAATCGGGAGACGGGGATTGTGGGTGCTTCTCCTCTTCGTCGAATTCCCGAGAGACGTCTGAAGTTGGCGTGGGCGGTATGTACGCCACCTCGGGGCTATTGGGGCTATCCTGCGACGAGGAACTATCCGACAGGTTCCGCCGATGGGCGGAGTGCTCTTGGTACGAGGATGTCGGCCGTGTAGACCCTGGGCTGGCAGACGGTGATTCGAAAGGAGGGGAAGAGGAGCGCAGGCTGTAAGACCGAGCCACCATGCGTTGGACGCGAGGGAATTCCATGTAAGTGCCGACGGATCCTCGCGAGAATAGGACTACCGCGAAGCAGCAAAGCACCATGATACTTTGGATCATGGTGACTCGTTTCTGGAAGACCAGCTCATCGGCGAGAACGCCGAGTTGGGCACTGAGAGAATGCACTTCTTGGTGGTACCGCACACGCTGGTGCTCGAATTCAAAGGCGACGGATTTCCAGACATGGTCGTATTGTTCGCGGAACTCTTTGAGTTCGTTGAGTACCGTGATGTTCAGGTTTTCGAGGAAGGTAGATGTCTTTGCGAGTTGACGTTTCTCGACTTTGTTAAATGCATCACGGAGGATTCGAGATTGCTCTTCGATGTAGAGCAGGGATAGCGTGGAGTTGGATTCCAGCATTTGCAGCCGCTTATGGACGGATTTAAAGAAGGATTCCTGCGTAGGCGGATTGGGGGATGGAGGTTGGGTAGAGGTTGGTCGAGTAGACTCTTGTGGTGGACTGTTTTGCTGCTCTTCTTTAGGATTGGTGGTGGTCTTCACCGTGCTTTCAACGGTAACGTTCTGTTGGGACGCATCTGTGACGGCAACTGGGGTATCAGGGGTCGCAGGTACAGGTTTGGCCGAATCACCAGTCTTTCGAGCATCTTCCGGGACTTTGGGTGGAACGACAGTTCCGGATTGAGAGGTAGAAGCTGCATCTCCCGGTGTGACCGTCGAGTTGATGTGCGATGGTAGTTTGGTCTTGGCCGGCGGGACAATCTTCTCGGGCCTGTTCGCAGTGGCAGTCTCTTCATCAGGTCTGCAAAGATCAGACAGAAAGAGAGACCCTCCCAAGAGAAGCGATTCAACTTCCATGAGAGGGTTGGGACACATCTCATGAATCTGTTCATACTCCTCGCTCTCAATCGCAATCTCTTCAATACGGGCTTCAAACTGCTGAGCCTCGGCCTCGTCAGAGACCTCGGCAGTCTCCACCGTTTCCACAACCTCCGGCTCCGCACGATTAACACTCTCATCATGCTTATACTCCTCCATCATCGTAGTTCCATGAACCCGGATCAGACTGAGGGGACAGTAAAACTCGTGGCCGTAGTGGGTCAAAAACTCAACCCGCAAGTAACGAGCCCAGATCAGCGAGTTCTCGACCGCAAAGGCTTGCACCTCGCGAGTATTTCTCGCTTCAAAGACTCCCAATTCCTTCCACTGGTCCGGTTTCGCAGGGTAGCGATCCGAGACACTCACGCGGAATGTATGGAAGATCGAGCTGAAGAACTCGTAGTTCGCGAGAACGACCGTATCCACTAGGATATCGTCGCATAGCTCCAGAATCAGGAACTTGTTGTTGGCGCGACACTCGTTCAGCATGTAACTATCCTTATTCTCAACGAGCACCGCTGACGAGCCCTTGCATTCGGGATTTGTCTTCAGCACCGTCGCTGCGCAGTCAAAAGATGCATAGTTGAACCGCTCTTTGCAAGTTGTGCCAGCATCCTTGCGCCGGGAGACATCTGGCTGGGGCGCAGTCTGGGTATGGGCACCACCATTCTCCTCGTCATCCAACTGGTCGGCATATTGGGACGGGATTGGGGTTGCCCAGGCCGTCGGACTGGCCTCGGGCGTTTCAGCGCCGAACCCGCCAAAATCCAATTCAATCTCGCCATCATCTCCTAGAGAATCCAGGGCATTGTTAATACCCGGTTGCCGCCGGCCTTCCTTGCCAGCTGCCGCAGCACGCCTGCTGCCTCCAACATTTTCGGCTGATTGCCCGACCTTGGCCAAATTCTGTTTCTTCCAATCCTCGAATGAAAGAAAGCTCGAGCTGTCGAGTAAAGAGTCTGCATCCGCTTCGTGATCTGGATCCTGCGCTGCAACAGCCGGTGGTGTTCCGCCCACCGCGGCAGTTAAGGGTATCGTCGAGGTGCTATATCTACCAGGCTCACTGGACTGAGTAGAAGCTGTTTGTTCCTGTTCTTTCCCCTGACCCCAACGAGTTTCCCAGCAAATCGGTTCCTGGAATAGCTCTGCCTCTACCTCCCACACATTCCGAGCCGGACACGTATGCAAAACGATCGCCCGATCAGCCGGTTGTGTAGAGTTCTGGACTCCATTTCCGCATATGGGAGCAGAAAGCGCCAGTATCACTGATGCATATCGTAACCATGTAGGCCACGACCGCCGAGCAGCCACCATCTTGTCGCTTTGTGAGCGATAAGCCGAGGGCTTGCCGCAGGTCTTGCAATGACTCTTTGGCTTCCTAGCCCCCGTTGAACACCCCTACCAGTAACCACGGGTGAGCACAGGCTAATCCAACGAGCCTGCTTGGGTCTTCGCTCCAATTTAGCCGGTATTTATGATAAAGGCATTGTCGTCGACCAAAGGACGAGAAATCTGGAGGTCCGCCGAGCGGTATCGGTGCGTCTAGGGAATTCGAAGGATGTGGTCGGTGAGATCAGTCGCGGGACGACATTTAAGATAGTGCGTTGGGCGCAGAGTTGCGGTGATGGCGCCAGCGAATTCGGGGGCCCAGGAGGAGATGAATGGGGCTTTTTAAAGCACTAACAAGCGAGTCGACTGAGCTCGCAACGAAAGTGGATCGGTGGCATCTCACCCGTTGACAGACTGGGGTCACCGCCCTCTTCACCGCCGCTTGGACCTTGTACTTATCAGTCCATTCACACCGCTTTCCGCTGGGCAACTATATAGTATGTCTTTCATTTGAATGATGGCTGAGAGGAAGCCTCAGCTAGAGCCAGAATTTATATAAGTTGCGATGAACTTGGCTGCCAGAAGTACGTTGAGTAAGCTGGTTCCGCGCATTATGCATTCGACCTAAGAAGAGAAGATGGCGGCATTTCAAGCCAGTCCAAGGACCCACGCTAACTAAGTTTCTCTACCAATCAGCACAATACTTGAGATACCCACTTCAACCGCCAAGGCGGCACAACTAACGACTGTATGGCGATGAATGGTCAGAAATCCTTTAGTTTTCAATTTCGTCAAACTTCCGGAGGCTATCAATAGCCTAGAGCATGATTCTCTCAATTTTGAATATGAGCACTCAACAGATAGCAAATCTTAAACGTCTCTTCGGCTGCCTAATAAGACCTTGTGCCAAGAGCCTAGTTGAGAAATCCTGTGTCCAGGATGATGACTGAACACTGTCAAGGAAATCCGTGTAGAAAGACCTCGACCTTATAAGTACCTATCTATTGCTTAGTCCAATTACGATTTGGTTCCATGGCTCTATGGTTGTGGCTATATACCATAAGAGACGAAAGCTTGTATGCTGCTGTCACCTCAAAATATTAACCTTCGTTTAACGCTAAACCATGTTTCATCTACAATGTAAGTCGATTCCCCCACAAATATTCATAGTCAGGCATAGCGGCCTTGACCCACTCTTCAAGCTGACTAGCTTGGCTCTCTCCAAATTCAGCCTTCCATTTGGAAACTTCTTCCTCCAAAGTAAGATCCTGCGATATCTTCTCCTTGAGTATCCCAGTCGATGCATGGAGCGTGTCTTTCATTCGCCGCATTTGTTTGCTCAGAGGAGCCAGCTCAGAGGCACGAACTGGCTCCCAGGTATACTTCAACTTCCTCGGATCCAGTCCGACGAGCTTGCAATAATTAACAATGACTTCAGTGCCCATAATATCGTCTGCTTCCAGGATAACGGGCTTCGGCCGATTGAGGGCTGCCCCGTATTTGGCCCACACATCTGTGTACCAATCGTACAGATTCCGTGTCCATTTGAATGTCATGGTCCACTTGAGGTGGCTTTGAATATCCTCTATCTGTATTGTATCCCTTTCTTTAACACCATTGAATGCCCTGTAATAGGACGGGAAAGCAAGCATTGGATGGCGGATGAGGAAAGTTGGGAAACAGGTGAGAAGGAATTCGCTGGGAAGGACCGTTTCGTTCGGGGCTAGATTCGGTGGCATCGAGTTGTATTCTTCTGGCAGCTGCACATTCCATGGAAGATCTCCTGTGCAGGCCCCATTCCCGTTGATAAGCTTCTCTCGCCCGAGGGGTTCGCTCAAAAAGGACGCGTGCTCTTTGACCACAGTGACCTTCCCCGCTGCTCGCGCGGTCTCCATATGATTATGTAACTTGTTGAAGGCATGTTGGAATTTGTCCTTAAGCTCTGCTTTCTCATTATCGGTCCAGTCATCGTAGGGCTTTTGCATAAGTCCAGTATCTCTTAGGTGAACTACTGGGTGAAGGAAGACAAGCTCGTCTGCAGGATCACCAAGGAAGACTTTGGGCTGGTCTGGTCTGGCCAAAATTCGCATGAACAGGTTGGAAGCAGTTCGGGGGGAGCTGAAAATGAAAAGTCGATCTGGTGACAGGATTTCCAGATCTCCTGGCATTGTGGGCATTTTGGGCGGATGCATCAGAGAAGTCAAGAGGGTTTCAATGGGGAATAGAGTTGTAAAAACGAGATTAGGGATTCTGGGAGATTTATCAAGTTGGATGTATACAGTAGAGCCAGACCCGGTTCGAGAGATTCGTCGTTGTTATTGTTATACTTTCTCTCGGGGTTATTATATACTTTCCTTCAGAATACCTTCTAATTTCCAACTTGCCCCATGGTTAGTTATTCAATATGACGCAGACACTCTACCTGACAAAGTAGAGTAGCGGTGAGGTGTTCAGGAATACCAAAGCTGCCATACCAGCCTACTGAACCCCTCTCAGGCGCGTATACGAGTGCTTCTGCAAGGGGCACGGTTCAGTCGGCTTGAACATTCAAGACATTCAACCTTGATACTTCGCTCTGGAGAGGTGGTGGTAAGTGGTGCAGCTCAAAATAAGGATTGTAAAGCCTAATCAGCCATGCTTTCTTTTGATAGAAAAACTAAATCAAGCCTATCGAGTTGCCTGCACTGTAATTATGCCACAATCCTCCGCATGTACACTGTCTGACAACAGATTTGCCCGATGAAATCGATAGTGCACTTTTGACCCACTTGTATGTATCTAGGTTTCCAGATCAATCTTACCAGTCTATAGTGCATAGTAAAACCGTTGTTAAATACCGTTAGCCTTCAAAAATTTCTCAATTATGCAGCGCTAGTGCACGGTGGAGATATCGGGTAGTCTGTGGCCAGAGAAAGTAACGAAAGGAAAAGGCTTCAAGCTCTCAACCGGGTTTCAGTAAAGCTCTTGCAGGCGATAGTGATATGTTTATTAGGTAAATTCGATCTCATTTCTTCTCGGCATTCTCAAAGAACCAATCTAACTTCAAAAAAAATCCCACAATAGATATCTCAGTCAGCAGCCCGGCTAAACCACAAAGTCCTTTGATCCCAAAGGGTGGTCCCGCACAATGGATTGCATCACGAATTATTCTACGTACTTGTGTATTCTCAAGGTCAGAGGAAATCACACTGCAAATTTCGTTGTCTCAGGGGGAGGCTACTAGTTATAAGTATACTGCTTATTCAACACCCGTCATGCCCGGAGAAGCGCACGTCGAGTCGGGAGACCTTAGGTCCGACACGAACAGCGACACACTAATGCTGCATCGATAAGATTAGAATAAGGAATGTCTGTAAGGACCATGCGCGCATGAGACATAAGTATAGACCGACATCTTTTTTGCTTTCTTTCTTTCTTTAAAAGGCTCACTCCTGGGGAGGTCGGTTTCGATGGTTATCAGCCTGACCTATTTACAGTATCGCAACATGATGAGAATGAATTACGCACTCTAGAAGTGGTTCGTGAGTACACGAAGGGAACGGGTGAGTAGCGATTCAAGTACGGCTGGGAAATGTAACTAATTAGAATAGAATTAATGTTTTTTTGAGCGAATCCCAGGCGTCACAAATTTTAAGGTCCGACTTGGGGTAATATCTCCCCTCACCAACAAGGAATCAGACTGCCAGTGCAACAGTATATCAAGGAGCTTGCAAAAGGTTCGAAAGGTTACTTAACTTACTACATTTACAATGAACACAAAATCATTCTTCTTTCACGGATGGTTCAATTTTCCTTTTGACAGTCCCACAAGCTAGTTACATACACATAATCAGGGTTCAGTACACAGTCAAAAAGGGAAAAAAGACGCCGCAGAATGCAGGCAGTCTAGTCCACCTTCCACCTCACAAATCCCCAATCGAAGCCCGTCATCCTTCACACATCCACATATTCGTTTTCTCCCCGAGTCGTTAAAAGTCCGTATGCAAAGGGTGATAAAAAATGGAAGAAAGAGAAACAGAGAGACAAAAAAAAAAACACACAACCTTCCAAGACAATTCCCCTCCGCCTTCTAGTCTTTTTGGTGCTCGATGCCCTTTCTGCCAAAAGCTCTGCTGCCCGCAGCCACATATAGTAGTACAAAAGTGAAGAAGGGAAGAAGAAGTGAAAAAGATATGCTGCGGGCAGGCAATTGACGGGGGTGCCTCGAAGCGGCACGGTCAAGGTTGAGAGCAGGCGAGGAAGGCATCGGCAAACACTCCAACATGAAGAACAAGAAAGACAAAAGGATGAGACAATGAAAACGGTAATTAGTTTATCGTTGGTGGTTTTTGAACTTTTTTTTCCCAGCTCAATTTCAGAAAAAAAAAAACGGACCCAAAGAGGACATCGCAACGACTGCGAGAAGAAAAGAATACCGAGGATGTATGCTTGACATGGACTCGAACATGGTTCAAAGCAGTGGCATATAGTAGTGCTACAGGTGGAGGTCGTGCCATCCGCCGATAAGATCGAGGTCCTCGTCGATACTTCCATCATAGGCCGAGAACTTCAAAGGCGAATGATGGGGTGAATGCTTGTGAGCATCCCCGCCCTCGCGACGCCAATCCTTCTCAAGGAAGAAACGACGGCGACGCTCGGACTGAGGAGACTCGGGCTTGGTCCGGGATCCATGATCGAATCCCGAAGATCCAAGACCCCAATCGCGGCGCCAATTGTTAGAAGCTCTCTGTGGACCAAAGAGCTCGCGGGTCTTGAAGTTGCGGCGCTTGTCTCCCAAGGCAGCCCACTTGTCAACGTTGGGGGAGACCTTCTTGGGAGGCGAGGATGGCTGATGGAATGGACGAGGAGTGCTGTTGGAAGTCCCAGCATCACTGTCGACATCGATAGACTTGGCGCGGATGGCACGGGGGGCGGTCGGCTGATTATCCGAGAGATGGATTTGTTGGGTAGGGGAAGCGGAGTCCGGCTCGCGCAATCCCGCCAGAGGATCCGGGAGGTGGGTCGTCTGGCTTTCCTGGCTCCAGCTACGAGAGTTCTGCTCACGGCGCAGCTGAAGTGCGGATTCTTCATTCTCCGACTCTTCCTCGTCCCAGAGATCACTCCAGCTCTTGGAAATTTGATCATTCGCATGCTTGCCAAACACCATCGACAGGGATGGCAGGGGTTTAGAAGCATGGCTGGGGAGGGATCCAGTGATTGGGACCGGATCCGAGCGAGGAAGCTTTGGAGATTCGTGCTTTCGGCCAAGGTGGAGGGAGCGGAATGACTCGCCCATGGCGGAGTCCAGCACTGAGGCCATCGACGAGGTGTCTGCACGGACAGAGAACCACGAGGTTCCGGCAACCTCCGATGGAGGGAACAGGTCTTCGGAATAGCTCTCGTTGTCGGGAATAGCAGACAGCTGGCGGATAGCCTGAGGGGGGGCTGGACTGCAGGGCCTTGGCCCAAGGGAAAGAATCGCCCTGGTTGACATGCGGGCTCTGGATAGAGGGAGTACGGAGAGGCTCGCGGTTGACGGTGGCAGCAACCACCTCACGGTCCTCGGTACAGAACTCATCCAGTGACTCATCATCAGTAGTAAAGGAAATTGCACGCAAGATGCACTGACGGACCTCAGCCAACGAGCGCTTGCTGGGGTCAATGGCCAAGCAATGAGTCAGGATCTCAAAGGTATCCTGAGACATGTTGGGGAAAATGTCAAACAGTGACTGACGGTCACGCACATAATCCGCAAAGAGCACATCAGACTCGGTAGGTGAAACGAAGGGGTTGCGAGCAAACAGAATGTTCAACAAACAGATACCCACAGACCAAATGTCAGCCTGAGCGGGGGAGTAGCCGGAAGCACCAGGCTCGTACTGCTCAGGAGCCATATAGCGGTCGCTGCCAACGCAGGCCTCATAGCACCATGGCTCTCGAGTAGCAAGACCAAAGTCACCAAGTTTCATATCACCATCGTGGGTCAAGAAGATGTTCTCTGGCTTGATGTCACGATGATAGATACCGTTGGCATGCATAAACTCGATAGCACTGATCAACTGGAACATAAAGTCACGGACATGCTCAGTCTCAAGTGGGCCGCGATTCAGGCGGATAGCTTCATAGAGATCTCCATTGGCACAGTACTCCAAAACAAGATAAGTATGGTGTTCCGTCTCAAAGTTGTGAATCAAGTTGACCAAGTTTGAGTGGAAGCCGAAGCGCTGGTGGCACTCCAATTCCTCAAACCGGTCTTCCGGAACTGACGAGTCGGTGGAAGTCGACTTGGTCAGGCACTTGATGGCGACGTCATTTCCAGTTGTGATGTCGGTTGCAAGGAACACCATGCCAAAGGATCCATGGTTGAGGGGAGCCACAGTCCGGAAGCGACCGTCCAGAAGGCGACCCTTGACGAAGTTATCCTTGAGGCACTCCATGGTGGTTGATGTGGACATGATGATGTGAGGTGTTGGTACCCGAATGGTGATGGGAGGCGAAGATGAGATGCAAAGGCGGAAGACGAGAATGATCTGAGTCAAGAGCTCCAACAACGAAGACCGGAAACAATCTATGAACCGCTTCAAAACACTTTGCACGTGAAGAGAAAAAAGACACGTGAAACAGCAGCAACCAGGCTAATGGAGAGAGTGGTGATTAATAGTCAAGAAGAGAAGACGATCAGGCCTGGAATCCCAATGATAAAGGACCACCGAATCAGTGGATATAGGAAATCAGAGAGCGGGGTTTGCGATGGTCTGAATAGGATCCAGATGTCGTAAAAATATATCGGCAGAAAGGTAAAGTGATGAACAAGGGGAAAAAAGAGACGATAGGACGCGAGAGGAGTGCGCGGCAGGAGACCCGACAGGGTGTATGGACGCTTAAGGAAAATGTGTAAAAGACCGTTATGTGCTCATTGGGTTGGTGTCGATTTTGTATTTCGTTGTGGTGAGATGGCGTTGAGCCTGGGGTGGAAAGACAAAAAGGAAGGCAGGAAGGGATGGACAATGGTTGTTGAGAGAGTCGGCCTGAGGGTGGCGAATGTTGGAGAAAAGGACGAGAGAGTTGCGCTGCGTAAGATCGTGACAAAAATTGTGGAAGAGAAATTCAAAGAAGAAACGTAGACAAGAAAGAGCCTGTGAACACCGGGTTCAAGGTCGAGGTCGGCCGTGACTCAAGTATAGAAAATTGGCGGGATTAATGAGTCATGAAGTAAACCGGTAGGCAGAAGAGCAGGGACAAGACGAGAAGGAAGTCGTCAAGGTGAATGAGGATCAAGTTGAGAAAGGCAACTTGATTCTCAAATGGAGGAGGGAGTTGTTGGGATCCTGGAGGAGCACCTTTCAAACCCAGGGGTCGGAAGAGTCGGAGTACTCAAAGCCAGGTTCCCGTTGTAGCCGTATCACTCCCGGGACGCTCAGGTAGCAATGCTCGCAGGCAGGTAAGAGAAGATTGACAGCAGAAATAAAGTTGTCTTTCCTGGTGAATTGACGGGACGAAGACGACAGATATAGTTGTATCCAAGGGGAGCTCGATATCGTCACGGGTGGAGCCGGTATGGACCGCTTGGAAGTATGAGTCAAGTAGGACTCGGTGGATCTCTGGGCGAAGCAAAGAGAAACGGAAAGATTTGATCGATCGAGGGAGGAGGAAGAGGAGGACGGAGCGGGAGAAGCACTCTTGGAGGAAGATAGTCCGCAGCGATACGTTGGGAGGTGATGATCGCAATGGGAAGAGTGCCGCCGGTCCGGGGTAAGAGGAGGAGACGGGAGGGAGAGGACAGGAGATGAGAGGCGTCGGCGATGGTAGGGCAGATGGGAGGTGACGGGAGAAGTGAAGAAGGAGAAGGGTAGAGCGAAGGGGAGGAACGAAGGGAAAGATGGAGAGAAGAAAGGGAAGATGAGATCAGGAGAGGAGGAGATGAGATGATGAGATGGGGGGGGAGGAGAGGAGAGAGAGGGTGGATCGAGGAGTCACGGGAGTCACGGGGTGGAGAGAGAGAGAGAGACGGAAAAGATGGGGGGCGTGACGATACGGAACCTCGTGGGCAATCAACAAGAGACCGTGGCAGGGTCAAGTCAATAGACAGGACCAGAGCGAGTCACAGTCCGGACTCATTACGTCCCATACACGGGTCATACCAAATGGCGTAATCAGTGGACACGGCAGAACGGAACCGGTGTGCCTTGATTGCCGGGTGCATCCCCTCAGGCTACGTACGGAAGCTGTAATATTTCAATAATTACCCTCACCAGTACCATTATTACCAGTAACGTGACGATGACTCTCCGCCACGCAGGACTGACTCTCCGTCCTTCGTTACGGTTCTGCGCTGCTCATGAACCTTCCAGACATTCCATGACCCTAGGAAGGCGTCACCGTCGAGACCAGGGGCCAAGTCCGCCAATCCCCGGTCAACACGGAGAATTCGCCATTGTCTTGCTCCCCCTCCATGCTATGGGCTGGGCAACCAAACAACCAACTATGGGGAAGGTGGAATCATCCATCATTCCATTTTACATACGGAGTTACATACATATGGTCTGAAGTTTGGACATTTCGGCAACCCAATTGGGTTGATCTGCAGACCCATCCCAGACTGGCCGAAGGCAGACAATCTCCTGGATTGACCCTAACCCCCAAGGCTAGTTTAGGGGGGAACAGTATAGTTCTTGATGGCGTGGCAGGTGGACGGGACCTGCAGTACTGGAGAGTTCCGAGTACTCAGGAGACCCAGAGACCCAGAGACCCCTCAAGGCCAGAAGCCAACCGCCCACGGCCCCAAACCTTGCCAGTCCGAAAACCAGACACCCAACAAGCACGACCAGCGAGTCACGGCCGAGGGCGGATCAAGGTGGCGCGCTAAGCCCAACCCGGTGGATTGCGCAGCAGAAGTCTGGGGCAACAATCCAATCAGCCCCCACGAGTTGGACACTATTTCCAGCGTGCATGACGCCATGGATGGGGCATGGCGTGATCCATTCTGATTGGTAACTCCCGTGGGTTTCCTCCTGCAGGCCCCGGAGTTTCTCTTTTATGCTTGATGCAGTAGTTGCTGGCTCAGCACTCAGGTACCTTGATGTACCCGACCGCCAACAGAGATATGCAAGTACGGAGGAATTACATGCGATGCCTAACCTCGCAGGAATAAAAAAAAAAAAAAAAAAAAAGGTACATCGCAGCAAGTCCCCCGTCCTGGCCTGTGCCGCCCATCGTGCAGGATTTCGGCCCCAGTCAGATCCTGACCTGGATTAGCCCGTCCCCAGGGCTGCGAGGACTCGCTCTGCGATGCTATCTACGCGCCCGATACCATAGATAGCAATCGGTTGCCAATCTTAGCACTGTCCATATTCTCCATTAACCAGTTCATCTATTCCTACTATCCCGTATACATTATACATGTAGACAACAGCGCTGACCCCCTCCTCCCCAAACACACCCCGGTCACACGCCTTCAACGCCATAGAGTTAAAGGGCCCTTTTGGCGCGCGGGATAGCTGAGACAGGAGCCGTCCTGGGCAAAGAGACAATTTGCGGGTGTTACCTGAAACGGGCATGGCGATCGGTCTATCAGGGGGTGGACAGCGTGGAAGGATTTCCAACTGTACTCCGTACATACAGTAGTACAGTAGATTATAATGAGGATCCGATCTAGTGGAACAACAACACTTTTCTTTGTCACCTCCAAACATGCAATAGAATTGTTATAGCAATAGCACCCTCGACCAGCAGCACGACACGTAAATCAGCAGTGGAGTGTACTCCAAACCGTCATCTGCACACCCAACCACCGCGCCCGTGTCTATTGATTCGCCTACCCGTCCTCCATAGTAAACCTCGAGTCATGGATGTGTCTCATCTCCCGCAGGGGGGGGGGGTGCTTTCCTATAGGAGGACACATTCCAAGGAATTAGACACCCACGCAGCACGTCCCCCAACGTCCAGCATCTGGCATTCAGCGGTGAAGGGCTTGCACGTCCACACGGGCTCGTCTCTGGGCTTCAGGGCTGACCGCCTCCTGCGAGGTGCCACGCAAGGTTTGTCCTTGCATGAGCCGAGCCGATCGAGGGTAAGGACTAGGAACTTAGGCGTGTGTCAAGGTACAGAGTAGGAAGTAGCACCAATATGTATGTACTCTAGGTTTGAAGGTTGGTAGAAAAGGGAAATGTAGGTAGGTGCAGTAGTATGTACTTGGGGACTGGTGTTAGGGTATCGTGGTCTTATCGAGGAATATACTTCTACATGATTCAACTGCCATTTTTTTGCCCCGAGTGGCACGGCATTTGGGAATGACGTGGAACTATGTATTCTGTACTGTAGAAGGGGTGGTGTGGTGCGGGCTTTTTTGGGTTTCACGGGCATCACGCGATGATATTCCTGGATTTGGGTGTGTTTGAGGGAGGTTAACTTGGGAAAACTACTAACTACGAAGTACTCGACCATTCTAGTAGTAGAATGGAGTATACTATTCGCGAAACAGTTAGTGGTTAACAACTACCGACAATATAACTACTAAAAAGAGTGTCATACTATATGTACTTTCAAATCCCGTAAGGAGAAGGACGTCAACATCTCACTGCACCCAAGTAGGAGCACAGTACAGTAGTCCACGCACACCCCCAGGAAACACGATGCTATTCGCACCTCTGAGACGATCTCTCATGTCGCCTTCCCACCCTTCCCACGTATGCTTTCCCGTGTCGCACACCATCATGGCTGTTTCCGTGCATTATGACGGCAGATCCCACGCAATATATTGCAGGGATGGAGGGATATGCCCTCATCGTGCACGGCTCAGCTTTTGATCTGGTCCTCCTTCCCCTCTATGTTGTCGGCTGTTCGCCGTTAGTTCTTACTGTATTGTAGGTAGGTCTCATGTATCGGATCAATAATCTATTCGTTCATTGTTCCTTCTACTGTGTATCGTAGTAAGGATATACACGGATGAAGACGAGCGAATCCATGGCTGCAATGTTTCGTCATAAGGGATACATAACTATGTATAACCATTTGCATCTCCTGCACAACGCCGGACACGGTAGGATACCCGAATATCCGCCCAATTCTGAACCTTGGGTGAACTGCCGAACTCGTAGCTGTTGCCTGCGACCAGCAAAAGTTCAGGATAGACGAACTGCAACGTCGTCCTCCGATGGCGTATCTAGGCCACACAATCATATCATATTGTTGAAGATGATTGATTGGGCCTACTCATGATAAAAAAAATATAGCTAATTTTTGGTAAATATGGTAAACGTAATGCCTCTCTGCCCTCATGATGATCCTGATCATCGTATGAGATAGCAAGGTGCAACGTGTCCCCATATTTACCACAGCATGTTCTTCATAAACACTTCCTATTTGGCCCCTTCGTGTCCTAGTTCCCGACAGTTTGGGACGTTATTCAACGCCAATGGATGCTCACTGGGGGCCATTATACTCCGTAGTGCTGTAGTAGCACCATTAGTTACTCACAATATAACTCCGTACATTCCGTAGTATCCCCCGTCAAGGCAATCGATCTACCTGCTACAGCGGGAAAGCGTGGATCCCGTCCTGATAATCAGCCCTCTTATCAGACCATCAGAGTATATCCAGGATGGCCCGTGGAAATAGACTCCGGGGCTATCCTGGTCCGTTGTCTTCGACAGTACTCCGTACAGTACATTCGATCCTTCCCGTACGAAAGAATCACCACATAAACATACCAACTGGCCAGTTGCCAGTTGCCACTCACGATAAGCCCCTCGGATCCGGTAGGCCCGAGATAACAGGCCTGATAGGATCGGATAAGTCGATGATCGATAACTAAATCACATCAACCACTTTAATTTGTATTGGCAAAACTCTATCTTCTACGTGACTTGCGAGTCCTCTGCCGTTCCAGGCAGTCTTATCCGCATGGGACACTGCTATTAGTGAGCCAAGTCTGGCAAGCTCTCGGGTCGCGTCAACCGTGGACGCGTCCTTATCACCCAATATTGGGCCTATCAGGGCTACCCCGCACGATCGCCATGCCGTCTGGGTGTCTTTTTTTTCAATGATGGTATGGACGAATGCCCTAAAAACCAGTCGAGTCCGTGAATCATGGCAAGGGGGCGAGAGGAGGGCTGGCTCGGTCGGTATGTGCCAGAGCCACGGGTGGTTGCCGATAATGGGAAGTCTGTTGAGACAGGCCAATGATAAGGGGGACAGAAGGAAGGTTGGTAAGAGGGGGACATGTAGTTAGTTATAGTACTGTAGTAGTGGTACAAATTCCGCTCTCGAGGAGAGATACGTCGTATCATTCGTATCGACTCGGGTTGAATTGTTAGGGGCATATTACTATTGGACCGGTTAGTCAGAATTCTACCGGAGGAGCTGACAAGATATCACCATCTGCACCTCGAGATAAGTATGAGATCACCAGCTTATCTGTTCTCTCTTCCTAATTAACCATGTTCGTACAAACTCACTAGCCCCCTTTTTCCTCCCCAACCGCTCGAGCCAAGCGAGATCGGGCGCAGTCCCTACTGGTCGCGTGCGTCGCTCTGACCCCCGCATCAGATCCAACTCGGGCATGGTATTATGGTAGAATGGGAGGAGAACCCATCTCTATCGAGTCTAGCCTGGCGTATTCTTGCACTAAACGAGTTAACCACATATCCACATATGCCATCATTGGGTCTAACCAGCTGACTGGGGCCGCGTTTCCCCAGATTTTTGGTTCGACCGACCACCCCCTTGACAGAGTACGGGGTAAACTGGTAAACAATAACGTTGATAATGGTCATGACAACAATCAATTCAACAGGAATTTAGGGGGATGATCGGTCTGGTGATTGATATGCGGGGTTCATCTTGAGAATTGGCTTTTTGGGGCTTCGGTTTTTGGGAAATTCCCTAGCGACACTATTGGTTTGGTGGTTTCCCCCAACGGTTATGGCAGTAGCGATCTCCCACCATCCCCCCTTCTCGTTCTACTATACGTGTCTGATGTGGATGGTCACAATGATGGAGTGTTTATCCAGGGGGCGGCGGAGGGGCTGAAATCCCCGTCCTGTTCATTTTTGGAGGGCCGTTGCCAGGGTCTCGTGCCCCGTGCCCCAGCCTTGATACGGAGAAGGTGTTTCCATGGCCTTCGCTGGGTCTCTGTTGATCAGTAAGGAGAGATCAGACAGTCTAACGAGTAATTTCCCGGCAATATTCCATCTACCGGGGGGCTGGATGACGGGTAAGATGGCTGGCTGGGGCACAGGTCTATTGGTGCACGATGCGAACCTGGTTGACGTACAGCTCCGAAAGTGGGAATGGTTGATGTTGAGCTGGGCGAGGCAGGACCTGCCTGGCTTGAACCGAGTTTGTGTTGACTGCCGGGGGAATGCAAGACGCAAGATACGTCCAGCAGCTGTGCATACTGCAGCATGTACCATCTGTCCAGTACCGTAAGCAGGTCTATGTACCATGTCGATAGGTATGTACGTCGTACGAAGGTAGGACAATGTATGCCATGAATCCTGTCTCCCGTAGGTCACTTTTTTTCTCCGGATTCAAACCCGTCACTGCAGGCTGAGTTGGAATCGAAATTAACGCAAGGGAGATCGTGGTGGCCTCAGGCCAGGGGAAGGTTGGTCCCTGACTCGAGAGTCTCATTCTATAGAGTAGAGTGGCAAAGAAGGTTGATGGAGGTGCTGTACAGTATATACAGTAGTGCAGTAAGACGGAGGGATTGCCGCTTAGTGTTGTAGTGCGTGGTTGGTTCATGCATGGTTAGTTTATTGCCTCTATGGTTACTTCTTTGTTTACTCTCTTGAGTCTCAACAATCTCTCTCTCCATGACTCTCTACTTTATGTTCTCATTGTCAATCTAGTAGAGGGCACTGAGAGATACCAGGACGGTCTTATCCCCCCAAATAACCCCCAATCTATCATAAAATCTTTCCAATTTCCAGCTCGGCAGCAGGATGAATTATATTATGGGTGGAGACCTGGAAGTTCTGAGGTAGACCTCGGTGGCTCAATTTCACCGTCGCTGGCGCCCGTTGGTGGAGAGTTGATAGATCATGACATCCATATGGGTGTGACGGTTGTGGAGATTCTAGCTGATTCTAGCCGAAGAGATCAGAGCGTTGCTTGGACAGTTTACGCTTGGCTTTGGTCTGGAGTGCTGAGGCTGTACACACGTTAGATGGATGACTCTCTACCAGATGTATAACTCTAGCAGTTATAGACCGGGGTAACTAAATATACCATGTAGAGACTAAGAAAAGATCGCAATAGCCGCTGGAATTTACATCATATGCAACACCTCTTTGAGAAACCAAGAATACATAATTACTTGCCTGAGGTTTCAACCTGTTGTGGTCGTACAGTCCCGCTAGAGTAGAGAAGCACGTAAATTATCCAAGGCAAGTCGGCGCGTGGCCACAAGAGTCCTTAGCAACTCGCGACAGAAAAGCAGAGAAAGATTGTTTTTCCAGACCCTTGCACGATCCGAGAACTCTCTGCCTCATGTTACTGTATGATAGGTCGGGTTTGTGTTTTAACGGTTGCCAAGTCAACACGGCAACAAATCTGCAAGCAGTGGCATGACCCCTCGATCTTGAAAAGAGGATACGGAGTACTCCGAACACACATTGTCGAGAGCACGTGAGGTACAGTGTATGCTACATACTATAGCAACTGTAGTATGTAGTACCCTGCGACTCGTCGCCATCCCAACGGAATCAACCCTTCAAATCTATGTACCTCGTCTCATAGTTAACTATTCCTCCAGAGTGTACCACAGCAGCCATTTCTATGCATACATACATAGTGTACTCATACGCAGACATACAAAAGCATACAAAAAAGTACTGTCAACCACTCCTGACTACTCTCTGTCGTGCTCTCTTCCGGGGCCGGCGGTTACCGTCTGCAGCGCGATTTGCCACCGGCTGGGATACAGTTGCATGCTCCATACTCGCCCACCACATTCCCCTCCCCCTGCCCCGTCAACGTCATTCTGTGGCCTGTAGTAGTACATCCAGTATCAGAATGACGGAGCCGATGGCGGGTGCTAGGGGGCTACTCTCTGTGTTTCATTTGTAATTCATTATTCTCGCGCAGTGGACCACAAGTATGATGGCAGCGGTGGGCTGTTCTAACTACAGTACGTACACCAGCAGCATACGTGGAATGATGTTGAGACGGCTTTGAAACGGGCGGCAGCCAACGAGAAGAGAGGATGTGGGGTTCCGGCGCCAGTTGTTTCTACTTACTCCGTACGATTAGCAGTTATAGCGAAAAGCCTACCGACTGGAACTTGGGTTACCTCGTTGCACTTGTGATTGGAGCTACGCAGAGCTATTTTTTGGTCTTCGATGTACTGCATGCAGAGCGACAAGTATTACAGTGGATCGTGGGTCGAGTGCGGGTACTGTGTCCATTTGGTCATGTCAGTATTTCAGAAATGTGGGGTTCCTAGGTTAAGGCAATAGGCAAACAGATTCTCAATAATACAGAGGGATTGTAAACCTCGTGGATAATTGTGGCAATTCCCTTGTACTTACGGTAGGAGAATCATGTTCATTGAGACGTGCTACTGTAGGTATATATCCCGTCCGAGGTTTCGCTAAACATGTGCCATGTAGTTGGAAGCAACTGCTAAAGCCCTTGGAATTTCGACTTTTTGCCCAACGGTTTGGTTATACATTGCAGTCATGATAGGCCGCATCTTTCAGGCTGGCTTTAGAGAATCTGACCAGACCTGGGTAGTAAGAACTTGGAACTGGGAATTGCGGCTACTAAATAGAACTTTCCAGAGGGGTAAGCTCTTAATAGATTCTTCACAAGATGCCATCATATATTTCATAATACTGCCTGACGCAAGTGGAAGCGTTTTCAATAAAAGGCACTTAAAGCCATGATAACCTCAGTTAAAGTTAGCAAGATAGGTTACCGTTGGTAGCAAAGGAGCTAGCTTGGTCTAATTAATACGAGTCTAGATGTCTAGACAGCCTGAGCAGACAAATATTTCCGCAAACGGAGCCTTAGCTACTTTAACTACCTTCAGGGCCTTAGCCGATAGGTTGCAGGGCCACAGTACAGATTGAAAGTAGATCTGATCACTACACGCGGGGATAGGGAAATCTATTAGAATGAGGTAAAAGCGTATCATGCCATCCCGGTAACTTGGTGGTCTAGCGATCTAGTAGACCTCGCTTCGTTCAACGAAAATGTATCGACTACTCAACCATACTTCATCTTACAAGTGAGAAAGAGGTTCAGAACTAAGATCTTCTAAAACCATTGCTATTTACGTAGCTTGATCGCTGTGAGTAGACGAGCATACAAGAGAAAAGAAAAGGGTATTGCAAATATTAACAACGAGTGGCCTTCCCCAAGATTGAGACAACGCATGCTGAATCAACTCAATATGCTAATAGTAGCACATAACACCGGAAACGCAGTAAGAACTTGACACAGATCCCCAAATGGCAATGTCTGTAATTAGAGAGCCCACTCATCTGTAGTCTCCGTGGCGGCGATGAATGGCTTGTCGATCTGTTTAATGGCATGATCACCACATAAGATGCTATAAGAGAATTAGTACCAGGAAGCGGGTATCAGACTAAACACTGTGAAAAATAGTACATACCAAGCTTCAGCAACCAGCGCATCCAATTCCTTGACAATCTCTTCCCTCCGCGCAGAAGAGATATCTCCATTGCCCATCTGTGCCTGCAAATCTCGGATATACTTCTTCTTGCCTCCCGCACCTTCCAGCACCTCTTTCCCCAGACAGTCACTGTGAAAGGCATGCTGACAAGGGAAAACAAAGAACTGACGGCTCAGCAGAGGCAGCGAGCAGATCCAGCATTTCTCGCCCGGCTCCACAATCGCATAGCGTGTGTCTAGACCTGCGATCTCAGACCGAATCTGGTGGGCTGTTTGTGCCGAGTTATCCATCTCCTGACGTAGTTCATCAATGTGGCGCGAGTAGATCTCGAGAGCGGTGCAAATTTCGTCTTTGAAGTCATCAATAACGACAAAGTCCGGGAAGAACGGAATGAGATCTTCAATGTGAAGGAGCTCGCAACGCCGGAGAAACTCGATTGCATCCTTGATGCCTGTGCCGGGCTGCCGGATCTTTTTCTCCGCTACTAGGAGCCACAGCTTCTTGCGAAGCTTGTCGTTACCCTCGGGGCGATCTGCGACGATAGCGGCGAGCTCGATGTCGTTGTGCTCCAGGGCGAGTTCGACTGCTTGCAGGTACTGGCCCATGGCACTGTAAATGTGGATGCAGGACTGGACCCGCTTGTGCTGAATACAGAGTCGGAGAGCAAAGTCCGCGTCATATGGAGGAGGGGTTGAGGGCTGCGATTGGAGATAAGTGAGAAGCCCCGCTTCAGAGGTTGACGGGCTAGAGGCATGAATTGAGATGAGTGTATTATGAACTGCTGCCGAGGGTTTGGGATGGTTGACGATGATGAAGTTAAGGTAGCGAACAGCTTGGTTCTGGTTGAGGGAGACGCTGGCAGTCTTGTTATAATTCAACAATGCAGGGATAAGCCGTTCGGGATCAAGGTTTGTCTGTCGCATCAGAATTTCAACCAACCCAGTAGCCGCGTGGGTCATAAGTACGCTGCTGTATTTGTAGAATACATCAGGCTCGCTCTGACGCTGGAGTACGTTCAGTGCCTCCGACCATTTCTCTCGTTGAATCCAATAGGACAAAACGTAGTTGTGGTCGTTGGTAGCAGTTGCAAAGAAGAGTAACTCTTGTTCACGGCCATGGCTGCTGATAATGTCGTAGACCGTCTTCTTGTCCAGATCTGCCTTGTGCCTGGAGACAAATTCTTGAAACTCGGCTCGCATGTCACCCAGTTGGTCCTGTACCTGGCCTTCAGTGGCGCCCTCGGTCAATTCTGCTTTGGTCGCGATGCTGTCGTCCAGGGCGTTCAGCTTAGACATGAAGAGCTCCACAAGCCAACTAGCCACCATGATCCGTTGCATGACGGATGCTTTCTTATAAGTGGAAAGCTGAGAAAGAAGATACTTTCGGAGAGCATCGTACTCCTTGTTATCTACCATTGTCAGGCAGACCTCCTCAAAGCCTTTACTGCTCTTCCCCCAAACTTTGGCAGCCTCGAGGTAATTACCCTTTTCAGCCAAAAAGTCACCCGAAGCCGTCAAGACAGCATCGCGTTGCGCATGACCGTGAGAGAATTGAAGCGCTTCGTCAAATTTCTTTTCTTTCAGGAAGACCTTCCATACATCTCGATCCTCATCATTGGCAACAACTTCGAAAATTCCTTTGCTGGTGAAAAGCCAGTAGGTGTTTTGCGTGAGGTCAGTCAATAGACCCAACGAACTTTGCCGAGGCTCCAACACAGCCTGATCATATACAACTTCTCCGTTCAGGCGGTTGACGGCAACCACTCGTCCATCGACTAGTGCCAGAACATGCCAGTGAGTCAGAGTCATCGCAGAAATCGGATCCTGTATCAACTTCTTCCCTCCTCGTGCGGATTGGGACGCGGGGAATTTTGTGCGAGGAAGCATATTCGCGTGGTCGAACGGGCTTTCGGATGAGAGCTGGCCATGGTAAATACCCTCGGCGCTCAGCCATGCAAATTCCTTCTCTGTGAGAACTTCTGTCTGGTGTCCTCCCACATTCGAGGAGGATACCACCAGGGCAGATGGTGCGGAGCCTGAAGGATGGGAAATATCATGAATCAGGGCTGTCTCACGTTGGAAAAGATCTGCATAAATGGAGCCACCGCCATCTCGTCCATGCTTGGTGGCGCTCCCCGTGCGACCCAGGAAATGTATCAATTTGGCGTGTGTGGCAACGAGAATCCGTCTTTGATCAGGCCGCGACGGGACTAAATCGGCACAGACGCCTGTGACTGGAGAGGCGTCCGGCACCTTGTACACTGCAGTGACATACTTCTCCTCGCGCCGATAGAACTCCGTAGACGGTTCGATGTAGGTCTCATACACATTTCCATCGGTTGTACCCAGAAGAATCTCGCGTGTCGATGCAGTCGGGAGAGACGGGTTCCAAGCGACACTCTCGATGGAGACGCCCTTCAATCGGGACAAAACCTTGGGTTGGCGCGACTGGGCATGGAGGTAGTAGTTCTCGCCAAGAGTGGTGGTGATGATCAGATGGGATGCAGAGGGGTCAAGGAACATGCGTCGAATCAGACCAATCTCCGAGGACTTCTTTGGAAGGTCGATATCTACAGCACATGGACGCGATTAGCTCAGCTCCGAACAGTGCGGGCGGGGGATAGCTTGAATTGTATCCGTACCATCAATGTCTTCAGGGGTATCAAGGTCAATCCGTAGTATCCGGCCTGTCGACAAGGCCAAGATAAGCACGTTGTTCGCGACTTGAGCGGCTACAAAGTCCGCCGCGATCGGGAATTGGAGCTGCACCCGCTGAACATCGAAGATGGGCAGGGAGTCCGAAGGCTCTGTTAGATTGTTCGGAGCCACATAACTGCTGGATCCGTCCAGCGCCATGATGCGCAAACTGGTCGCTATCTCATGCCGACCGTCTTGGGCTTCAGGGCAGAGTTGGCGGAGCTTTCAGGAGCTTGAAGAGCAACCAACGGAGGGGGGACGTGGAGCTGCCTGGGAATGCGGAGAGCTTCGCTGCCTGAGGCAGCAACGAGGCAGGGGCCATATATCAGTGTTGGGCCAAGCGTTAATTCGACTCTTCAAATAAGAATTATGAGCATAGTTGATGTTGTCTCTTTCAACTATTTTTGTTCATTTGAGATATATGGCGGGTGAAATTTAGGGGTTTCTCATGCAGAGCTGTAGTAGATGAAAGGGATGAATGACCTAGGCTCACAAAAACGATATGGAGTACAACTCAAAACAATGGACAATGGAGCTTTACTATCTACCTACTATTGCCATTACGAGTCTTTCATACTTTAGGCAGTGCGATAGCTTCTCTAAAGCTGTGTCAGTTCTTTTTCGTTTTATCAATATTGACATAGCCGAATAGAGAGACAAATAACCATGGCTGATACTCCTGCCAGAGAGATGGTTTCGCAATAGCCAGAGCCAAAGAGAGTAGCTATCTGCTTGTATACTAACAAATGACTAAAGAACTTACTATCTCTTTCAACCATAATTTATAAGAAGCCTCTCTTCTTGACAGATTCCGTCTCTCTCTACCATCAACCTTTCTATTCCTGCCCATCATCTAGATTAACTCGAGACAAAATACTCCTCTTGGACACAATATTCCATCTACTTAGATCACCAAACTATCGAGAAAATAAAGCGGCAAGTCCACCGATGTGCAAATACGAAGCCGATCAGTATACCGGCCGTCTCAGCTGCGGCCATGTCTTCCTTACCAAGCTCGAGAGATGTGTCGAAGGCCTCAAACGCTCTAACCAAGTGCCCTGCGGAGGCTACCAGCTAGGGGCACTTAACCCAAAGACTTCAAGTCCCGGCGATATATGGCGGTTTATAAAGAAGGGCGGGAAGAAGCGTGTCGATGGACCGTGTCCACAGTGCAAGCAGGATGGATACGAAGATATGACCCGATTTCTTCCATTTCCCTTCGAACCAAGTCGTCTGAAGCGGTTCTTGACGGGAAGATCGAAGAGGAAGGATCCTATGTATCAGCCGCAGAGGTGGTACTCGGCCCCAGGGACTAGACTCTCTCACCGGGCATAGATCGACGAGATATTGGTATGAATGTGATGTTTTCGTGACGGAAAAGAGAGAAATTGTCATTGCGCTTCATGCATGGTGGGGGTATCATTCGTCATGAAACATGAAGCCCGAAACCGGGAGAAACATACAAATAAAGTGAAAAAAATGGAAGTCCTGTAGGACTTTCATGGGTATCTCGAAACTCCACAAAGCGCGGTGTAAAAAAAGGACCCCCCCCCCCCCCCCCCCCCCCTCTCTCCCTCTCCCTCCCTCCGTCCTCCTTCGGCCACGGGTCCCATCCTCAGTTGTGATTACATCACAATACATTCCCGGTCCGGCTTTCGACCCTTGTCCTTGGATTTCTCCTTGGACTTCCCCATCGACCTGCCCCTTTGCCCGCGAGCCCTGCCGGGTTTGTCCTTCGACTCCAACCTGGCCGGCCCCAGGTTGATGTCGTCGGCCCCGACATCATCAGTTTCAATGGCGGACTCACCCGCCTCACTTTCTCCATCACTTGTCATCTTGTCTCGGCTCAGACGACCAGTGAAGCGAGAGAAGGTTGAGCTAATTCGGTTGTCGCCGGGCTGACTTCCTGCGCGACTACCAGAATTGCTCTTGGTGGTACGAGAACCACGCCGAGAGAAACTGAATGACCCCCTGGTACCCTCTCCTTCCATGGGCATCAAGCGTGGTGACATTGACGGCATTGAACGGGGAGGCCCAGTGAGGGGTGGATCTGAGAATACCACGCTCAAACGTCGCTCAGTGTTCACAAGTGGCTGAGTGGTGTTGTCCGGGCTAGTGATCTCGAAGCTAGGCCTAGCTGAGGTGACATCTTCGGTGGTGCTACCATCCGTGTCAACCGCTAGGCCAGACAGCTTTCGATACACATCGCCCATATCGACGTCGAGTGTGGTATCGGATGCGAGAGATGACGGCTTCTTCGAGATGTTGGCCAGGGAGGCATCCTGGTCAATCGGGAGGATCTGATAGAACAAGAGATAAGGTGACTCTGTTCTCAGCGCGTCCTCGATATCGATGAGAGTTATTCTCTCAGAAGCAAGGTCGTCAAACCGCATCCAGTGCTTAGGGGTCTCGGTGCTGAGGCCCCCAGAGCTGGGCGGGGCGGCGTTGGGGCTGGTGCCACGAACCAGGGCAATGTAGTGGCCCGAATCCACCGAGGTTCCACGGTGACAGACCACGGCCTGTAAGGAAAGCTTGAAACTCCCAAACAGGGGAGCATTTGCATCCATATTATCATCTTGGATGAAATGCGGGAGTCCGATCTCAATAGGGATATCGATGTATGTGTTGAGACGGACAGCTTTCCCACTCGGTGTGAAGGAGTAACGCTTCAGGCACACACCGAGGATAGGCCGTTGTGACGAGAAATGCGCTGCCACTTGCGCGTCATTCGTGGGTGTGTTCTCGGTGAACCAAGCTGTAGGGGAAAATTGGTTGTTAGCCGAATCAAAACATATTTGGAAATGGTTCACGGGAACTTACGGATGAGGCTGAAGAATTGCCACGCGGGCATCATCACTTCCTTCCTAAGGACGCCCCTCCGTGGTTGCTCTTTTGTAGAAAAATCTCCACCACCCGTCTGCTCGTCGCTTGTATCCGGGATGAACCTTTCACGGACAATGCTGTCACGCCGGCCGGGCATTCGTGAGCCCTGGAGATCGGCCGGTCCCGAGATTGATGACCATGGGTTTGACTTCTCGGTAAAAGGCGAGGTGTACTGGGCCGGGGACTGTACCGGGGTTGTCTCGACTTCTTCGACATGTGCAGTGAAGCCCTTGGAGATGGAAAGCGAATCGACAGATCGAGATCTGGAGGAGCTCATTGTGTTGCGCCTCTCTAGATATCGCTTTACTTCAATGCGATTGTTGAAGTAGGCTTCCAGGCAATCTTCGAGAGTGATGGTATGGCCATCCGCTGGCTCGGGCGGAATACCCACCTCGAGAAGTCGCTCGTTGATGAATTTGTGGTCGTCACTCACGTCTTCTTTGCCGGTATGATAGATGTCCATCTTGAGGGTGAGAAGGGGTAGCTCAAGTGTGCCGGTGATGAAAGTAAATGCCTCGGAGGCATCTTGCTGTTGCACTCTGGCTGCATCTTCCCATCCACATTCTGCCAGGGCTTCCTGAACATGCTGGGTCTGTTGTACTTCATTTAGTTCAAGTTCATGACATTGATAAGTAGCTCAAAGGCTCTTGAATGTAAGAGAATACTTACGATATCGGTGGTGATCAACTTCCCGGCTCGAAGAAGATTGACCCAGAATCTCAGCAGGATAGCCAGTTTTCTGCGGGGTTCATCATTGAACGATTTATACAACATCGCTTCAAAGCAGTCGAGACGTGCGAACATGGCGAAGAGTAACGAGTCCAGAAAACAGGTGACACCCTGCCGGTTCTCAGCGCCAAGTAACTTGATTTTGGGCGTGTAAGGTCGAATGATTCCCTCAACCGAGTCTTCGAGCAAGAGCAGGAGGCTGATTGCCTTCTCGACATCGTCCTTGGCATTCTTTAGGGCATGTCTAACATGCTCCTCCTCTAGTGTACTGTAACCGAGGGAGCGAAGGTGGGCTTCAACCAGTTTGACCTAAGAATATATCAAGTCTGTCAGTGTCTACTTTTCATTCAGCGACCGTGAGACCAGCAGACATACCTTCTTTTCATGGTCTATGCTATCTTCTTTATTCGGCTGCGAAACGAAGAAGCCTCGTAGCAGAGGTAGCACAGGGCCAGTCGGGTTCTGTAACGTATGCGAATGAGTAAACTCAACCCCGAAGCCAAAAAAGAGACCGGCGGGGATGTAAGAGATGAAGGGACACATACCTCGTCTCTGGCATGTCGGCCAGCACCTTTCGGCCGGTCACGGCGGGTAAGGAAGCGATGAATACCGCTCATGGTTGAATAATGTGCAGTGGAAAGGGGGAGTTGATCTGGGGAGTGGGTGTCCGAACGAAGGGAAGCATGCGGGGGAAAAGGAGCTCTAGGTCTGAGAGCTTAGTTGAGGCTGCAGGATTTCAGAAAAGCACATGGGCATGTCATCTGCTTGAAGGATAGACTGCTGATGGTAGCACGAGGCAAGGTGCAACTGTGATGGAGTGTTCAAGGAGAAGCAGCCAGGGAATGAGAGAGTGGTAAACAGGAAAAAGAGCGACATTGATCGAGATGAAGCTAATCTGTTGATCTCTTACTTTATCGCTCTCCGCGGGGCATTGGTCTTGGCCGCTGGAAATTGTCGCCTGATCTATAAGGCGACAGAGTTGGTCGCCAGGGTTGTAAGGCGGCTATATACTGCACGTGACCTTGATCCCCCAAACATGACTCAATGGCAAGTATCGAGCGTGGGGCCATCTTGCAGGCAGTAAAGGGATCTAATAGACAATTCAGAAGATAGAAAAGTAGTAGGGCCTGCCTATAAGTTGCTTGTAGTCTCCCTTATTAACTTGCATTCAATATTGTCGAGAATACTTGAGGATGGCAGATCGAAAAACCATCCGGCGGGGTCATGGACCATATTTCATATTCAATTGAGATTCTCTTAGGATATAGAATGCATTCGTATTCGAAAATCAGTAGTCCAGGACATCATGGTGGGTGTATCGTGGGTTTGATGGTTGACAAGTCTACTTGCAGAAGGATATAGTTTGAGTCCGCGGGTGCCTTGTCGCCTGAATATTCGGGCAACAGCATTACCACGTGACCCTCCGCTCCGTTGCAAACAATTTTCGGCCGCTGTACAGTTGGATAAACTCCGATCCCGAACTCTACCACATTGCCATTGCTTGCAGAATGGCTGTCAGGGAATCATCAAGATACCTGGCACGGGCAGTGCCCAGGGCCTTTGTGCCTTCCGCTCGCCAGCAGGCCTTTTTGGGCCGCCGCAATGCCTCCGATGAGGCTCCATCCAGGCGTCTGTCGGACCAGCTGGACGAGCTGGAAACCGCGTCGTCCTTGACCACCCCTGTGCCGGAGGCTGCCGCCAAAGCCTTCGACCCCGTGACCCGGGCCAAGGGTCGCAAGACTCAGCTCCCTCGCTCTCGGTAGGTCATCTCGTCTAACTCTTCGTCGGCGTGCCTTGTCGTGCACAATAGACGGCGGAGACTCCACCGCAAAAGAACGAGCAATTGACGCCGCCATCTCTATCCTAGATACCAGTTCCGTTCTCCTAAGTACGACCGCGGTCCTCTCCACCCTCACCAGCCTCCTCCCCCTTCCGACCCGTCCTCGCGCCTCTTCGTCCCAGGCCCCTTCTCCCTCCCGCGCGCCCAGCAAACCTACAACTCAACCGTCGCATCCGACATCCTCACCCTATGCTACGTGCACACACCGCCAGGCTTCAAGCCACCGTCCAAGGCACCCCGTCTGCGCGAGTGGGATGACAGCTCCCCATACCACAAGAACCGACCCCTTCGCGGACCCCGTGGCGGCGACGTCCTGCGACTGCTCCGCAAGCCGATCAAGTTCAATAACATCCCCGAGATTGAGCGCATCACGGTCCACAGTTATGTGAAGGGTGCCGCGCAGGAGAACTCTGGCTGGCTGCATGTGGCTGGTATGGCGGTGCAGGCTGTCTCGAATGTGCGTGTTGAGACGTTCAAGTCCAAGGCTAGCGTTGCTACGTGGAGTATTGCTCCTGGCCGTGATACGGTTGCTGTCAAGGCGGAGATGCATGGTGAGACTATGTATCACTTCCTTGGCAAGTTGATTGACGTGGTTTTGCCTCGCATCAAGGATTGGCCTGGTGTCAAGGGGAGCAGTGGTGATAGCAGTGGTAATATCACCTTCGGTCTGGAACCGGAGCATGTTGCCTTGTTCCCTGAGATTGAGGTCAACTATGATATGTGAGTTGCGGCCCTTATTTTGACACTTTTGATACGCTATCATCATGGAGTGTCTTGGTTCTAATGCGATTTGAAAAGGTACCCTCCCAAGATGATCCCTGGTTGCCACATCACCCTCCACACCACCGCCAAGTCCGACAAGGATGCCCGTCTCCTGCTCAGCGCTATGGGCATTCCTTTCTACGGAAAGATCGTGCACTAAGCGCAAGTACGGGGACTGTATCCTTCTAATGTTGGCTCGGTTTCTCAACTTATACCAACCCCAGGGCGTTGTGTCCCTATACAACCTGTAACTTTAGAGGTGACCAGCATAGTGGTCACTGCGATTCACCAAACATGTGTATTATCTCCATTTACTATCATTCTATTTCGAGCGAATCAATTCTACAAAAAAAACATGGCCAAAAGTGCAAGACCAAGATATCATACTATCTAGATAAAGCACGGTTTACAATGAGATGTTGTGGTAGTCTCGGTACATGACTCGTGAGCCCCATTCATTTTGTTTCTAAAGTGGATCGTAAGTTGTAACCCCAAGGAAAGGCGCCGATATCAAAAACTGTCGCATCATTACCGAAAAAGGAGGTGAATAGCCAGGTAAAAACACCCGTACCACACTCAACCCCCAAAACACATCACATAATACATGAGTAGAATCATTATACAGACTCCAGAATAGAAACAAAAGCGCAGCAGGCTATACCACGTGCATCCGTCTACGCGATAGGCGCAGCCAGGAACTTGCACTTCAGCAACTCATCTGCAGTAGGCCGCTTCTCATAGTCAAGCTGGAAGGTCATATCGAGGAACTCGACTGCTTCGGGACTGGCATGTTCCGGCGCAGGTGGACGAGCCTGGTTACTACCAATAGCAAAAATAGCCTGCAATTGACTGCAGTCTGGGAAGGGGTGGGCGCCGATGAACATCTCCACGACCAAACAGCCCAAACTCCAGATATCGGCCTTCTTCGTGTGTGCGGTTTGTCGGACGACTTCGGGAGCCATCCAGTAGACACTGCCTTGGAGAGAGGGACGGTGCAGGTGGCCGCCGCCACCACTGCTGGCGCGGGAGCCGAGGACGGTGGAGGCTTCGACGCGCTTGGAGATACCGAAATCGGAGATTTTGACGCCGCCCTTGTTGTCGACGAGGATGTTGGCGCCCTTGATGTCGCGGTGGATGATGTCTTGGCTGTGCAAGTAGGAGAGACCTGCCAGGATTTGCCGGACAAAGTTCTTGACCAGCGGTTCTTGGAAGGTGTTGTACTGCTTGAGCATGGTAGCGATGGAGCCACCGGGGACGTACTCGAGGAAAATGTTCAGATACTGGTCATCAGTCGATGTGCCGAGGTACTGCACGATGTTAGGGTGGTGCATTCCCTGCAGGAGCTCAATCTCGTGCTTCAGTGCAGTAACCATGTTGTTCTTGCGCTGGTCGAATTCCGTGCCCTTCGTGGCCGATGGAATCTCGACCTGCTTCACGGCCATGAGCTCGCCAGTGATGGCGTGGAGAGCCAGGAAGACGCTGCCAAAGGAACCCTCGCCGATGAGAGATCCCTTCATCCAGTTCTTTGGTGCAAAGTTGTTACCAGCCAGGAAGTCGCTCATCAGGTTTGCGTCGTCTTCTTCGCCTTCGTCCGCAACAAGCACACTAAGTCGATCATTGGAGGAACCACCGTCGGTAGCAATGACACTGACGCTTTCATCAATCATACTCTGACGCGACAGATTCGGTTCGTCCGAGCCACTGTCAAAGGAGACATAAGACTTGCGGTTGGGCTCGGTGGGAGACTCTTCCTGCAGCGGTTGGAGAGAGCTCGACGCAATTGAATCCCGATACGAAGCTTGAGGCAAGTTGAATTTGGAAATAGAAAGTGGCCGTGAAGCACGGGCAGCCTGTGCTCCACCTTGCGGTTGGAACCAAGTATCGGCAATGTTGGGCATCGGAGGAATGGGAGGCAATGGGGGGAGAGGAGGAGCATCTTTCAGACTTGACGCGACACTGTAGTTACTAACAACACTGAGGCGGCTGGCGGCACGACTGAGACGTTGAGATCTCCGCATCGTCTTTGCGATATCTTCCCTGTCGTGACTGGGGAAGAAAGACTGGAGCTCGTGGATAATCATCTCGCTTGGAGGTCTCTGTCCGAAGAAAGACCGAAGCTTAGTAGCAACATGGCTGCGATCAGGATCAGGCGATGGCTGATCTTGATCGCTTGAAACGGATGGACGATGGCGAGGGCCCACTGGGGACAGCGGCTGTTTAGTATTAATGACATTCCAGGACTCGCCAGTAAGCTGTTGAATCTTGTGCTTCTGGCGAGGATTGGATTTATTCAGAGCATTCTGATGCGTGACCTGACTCTCGTCGAAAGCGAGCTGGGATGCGCGGCGAAGCTCATCAACGTCTGGTTCGCCAGCATGAATCTTTCGCAAGATCAAGCGTCCCCGCTCGGATTTATTATGGCCGTCGCAGATCTCCATGAGCTCGGTCTCCGTCAACCGCCTGCAGTTTGACAGATCCGGGTCCAGGCCATCCAGGACATAGAAGCAGTAGTTTCGATATTGGTGTTCTGGGAGCTGCAACTTCTTGAGGACACAGAGAATCACTTCGTCCGGAGTCTTGCAGTGCCGAATATCGAGAACTTTGGTCTGGCCACCAGTGTAGATGACGCGGATCACAGGAGAATTAGGTGGGAGAGGCCCCATGGTAAGGCCATCGATGCTAGGATTGCGCGGATGTGAGCTCCCCCGGCCGCCATCACTGGGCGTACTGGGGTTACGGCCGGATCCCGAGCCACCAGAGGACGGATGGTTGAAATAAGTATCCTTGCGCCAGTCGCCCCCTGGGGGAGATGCCGGCTGAGTTGGTGATTTACCCGAATAGCCAAGACCATCCTCCATCAGCTGGGACATACGCCTGTTGGGAAGACGGATCGACGATAGGCGTGAGTGATCAGTGGATAAGGCGGCTGCTTCTAGCGCAGCAAGGGTATTCTACAGTGAGCAGCATTAGTGATTGTCAGGGAGGCCGAGGAGGGGGTTTGGCGAACGAACCATGTTCTTTTGCCTTGGGTTGATCATGGCCTTATTCCGCAGCTGCTTGATGGCCACAAAGATGCGTACTCGGTCGCCGACTTTCTTGATCCCCATTTCCTGCAAGATCTTCTGGTCGCAATCGATGAGGTTGTCTCCATTGAAATTATTGGCTGCGCGATGTCAGCGTCCATCAACACTCCATACCCAAAGCCAGGGAGATGTAATCACCTCTGAAGATCGACTCATATTGGCCGCATTTGATACTATGCAGCCACGCGACCACCTTCTTCTCATCCCAAGCCCTGGATTCATATCATCAGCATCCTACAAATCCTGTCCGCATATCCCCACCTTGGGTGACGCCCTTACCGAACAGCCGAGAGTTCGTCCTGGCCCTCGGAGAATTCCGACTTGGTCGGGCTGCTGTATCCAACTCCATCTTGTACTTTTGTGGCCGTCAGCGGACGCTGTGGGCTCGCATGGTAGGCCGTCGCGGAATTCTGGGAGTTGGACGAGCCCAGCGGAGCGGAGTATTGAGGCTTGGAAGCCAACATGATTGAAGTCGTCGCGCGTTGCCGTTGGCTTCGTCGTTGTCTCCTGGGAATCCCTTCTGCGAATGGGTTGCGATCACGCCCTTTCCTCCGCCTGTCCTTGTCCTCTCTTCACACCAGGGTCGACCGATCGGAGAGCTATCGAAGGGGTGCGGGGGATCGTTCAACACATAGTCTCGGAAGTCCCTGGTACTTGTTCAGTAACCGGTGCCGGTGAAATTTCTTTGATTGTGGTCGCTAGCTTGGTCGCTCGTCGCGCCGGAGATGGGGGAGCAGTCCCGGACAGGGCTGAGAGGGGCAAGTCGGGGAAGTCCCACGACCTTAATAATAGTCGAGGAACTTGTCGATGCAGGATGACTGACCGTGTAGCACAATAGAGGTCCTGGTACTGTACCCCCGGTGTTCAATCCCCCGTCAGGCTGGATTGGAATGAGGGGAAGAACTGCGGTGCCAGCTACCGGGTGTCTGAGCTTTTTGGGGAGGGTCGAGATCGGGCGTTATCGAGATAGGCACAAGGTACCGTACTGGGTGGAATCTCCACTCCCGAACCACAAGGAAAAAGTAGTTCCTAGTCGAGAACGGATGGCAAAGAAGTGACAGATCAGATGAAGAAAGGGATGAATCAACAGGAGAGGATGGTTTTGTAGCAGGAGGAAGGACGGGCCGACAGGATGTCCAAGTCAGTGTATCGGACATGGTGGATCAAGGGGTCGATTTCAGCATTCCCCCCACTCGTTTCAGGCCTAAACACTGAACACTCAACCCTGCGCCAGTGCACGACTGGAAAGGTTTTAGGGTGCTTAACCATGGGAGGATCATGTTTCATCCTTTGGGGGTACACCGTAGCTATTCATAGTACTGTCTCTCTGGGTTCTAGGTCTGATCATAGTACCTAGGCTTAATGGCCTGTGACTGCGTGTGCTGGCTCGTGATCTAGGCGATCTCCTGTGTCTGCTGCTAGAGAGAGGCATTGAGCCAGTTAATCTACGATTGCTGTTAGTGAATGAGTTAATGCTCGATGACTTATCGTACCTAAGTTAGAGAGGTCAGTTCACCCCGGTCACAATCGTCTTGTTGATATCTAATCTGTCTATATTAACCACTTACTTTGGTGGATGTGAGGACGCAACTGGCACGGGCTAATCGAAAGAAACAGATTAATTTGGTGCTAACAGGAAAAGAAAGAGAAGAAAAGGAATCAGCCAGAACGAGAGAACTCAAAGTACTAAGTATACAGCCTAAACCCCTAAACAGATTTCTCAGGCACCAACCCTGCAGAATGAAGGTATTCCCAGACTTAGAATGTCACAACGACGACGAATTAACAAGATTGCTACTATACTAAGGATCAACAACACGATAATAGGAAACGATGTTGAACTGGCAAAATAACTGCTTTACTTAGCGCAAAGAATAGGGCCAGGCCGGATTTAGCTCTAACGAGACGACGACAACTTAAAAGGGTTGAAGCTACAATAGCATCTAACAGGTACCCAGAGGGAAACCGATGACCACTGGTCCGGTAAGATTGCTCAGGTACCGATGATAATCAGTGCTGACGATGAATACCAAGTGAAGCAAAAGAAGCAGAAAAGCAGGGCAAACGAGGCAATACCAGCCGAGTCGGCACTCGTAGGCGTACAGCGTGTGACATATACTACTGGTCATAGTAGAAGGTCTACCTGGCTAGTACGTGTAGGATAATAAGCACATAGTTGGATTTTTGAAGGTAGGTATCACTTTGCCCTGAGAGATCTACAATCTTGATCGTCCCTATTAATGAGAGCTCTATCAGCAAATGAGGTAGCTGGAAAGTGACAGTCAATAAGGTCAACCATACGAATACATATACACCGGATTTTGTCCGGCAAGGCTTGGCGTTCCCCTTCCGTTCTAGTGCTCACCCGCTCGCCGCTTTTGCTCACTGCGTAGAATTGAGCACGTCCCTGATCTGCCTGAGCCGCTCAGTGATCATTATGTAAGCACACTGATTCGCTCACTGAGCCTGCCATGACCAATTTGATCTGATCACTGACTCGAGCATCCCGGTTTGCTTACTAATCTCCTCCAACGAGAGGCGATCTAGCAAGCAGGCCTAATAAAACGCGACACGCTAACCTGGTCCCCCCCGTACGGCTTTTCCCTTTTAGAGAACATCTCCTTTCCCACCAACAAAGGGTGGCCGTCGTAAATTTGCCACTTCTTTGGCGATCTTCCCCATTGCAAGCAGGATGTATTACTGAATATCGTTCAAGTGGCCAATTGCACTTATCGTAGATTTAATGCTCCTAGGAGCATTCTCTCTTTTCCTACTGCGAGCTTCGACAGTCTCTGGAGAAGATTTTGGGTAACAGGCCTCTGAGTGTATGAAACAAAACTCACAACAAAGGAGGCAAATTAAATGGAGGAGTAAGCAGCGTGTTGAACTTCCCCGTCCGAATATTATTTTGGCAGCGAAGTCTTTTGTTTATTCTAAGCCAACAATTGGCTATGGAATTGAGCTAGGACAACATAGAATCAACGTAATTAAACACCACAATCGAATTACACTCCAACCCATCATGGGGCAAATGAGTCTAAGGTTGTTTTACTCAAGCTGAGTAGAATTGAAAATGTCTGTCGCTGCTTGAAGATTTCGTATAGCGGGTAAACTTTGCCTATTCTGCCTGAACTGCTGTTAAATTTTAAAACGCAGTAAACTAGACAACAATCCTTTAACCAATTACGGCGAAGCAGGTGTGGCTCGAAGAACAACATAGTCAGCAGAACAAGGCTGGAGCATGGGAATTCGAAGGTATAATTTCTTACGGGAATTGCGCCAAAAGCAAGGCCGTCAATCCGATAAAAAAGCCGGTAGATATACAGTAGTAGGATGTGTGACGCAGACTTTTGTTTGGGCAAATGGCTTCGAGAGACGGGCTAAAAATCCGATTGAGAAAAGCTGAATATGTGAGCCTTCGATACGAAAAGAAGGACGTAATTTTCGCTGAAAAAAACTGTGGTCTTGTGTCGATTTACGTTACGAAGATAAAATATGGCACGTTAACCTCCCCTCGTAGGACACCGCAGAATGTCGCAGAATGTGGCAGAGACTATGTGGTGCTCGAGAAACTAGGTAGGCCAAAGAGCAGACTCAAGAGGGGCGGATAACGTGACCTGGGATGCTGTAAGCTGACAAGCGTCCACTTCGTATGGGAAGCCATTCTTGAGGCGGTTAGTGATTCCCCAGACGGTTAGCGAACTGCAGGTGACAGTTTTCTTCCCATGCATTAGTACCCAATGCAAAGCCCTAGCGCTTACACTAGGCATATCTACGCAAACCCTTTGAGTGATACTGCATAACCGGGTGGAGTTTCAGGGGATAATCCAGGAACCCGGGTTATCGCAGGTCAGTCCCTTATTACCCTGGTTCAACCCCAGACTCACGTAACTAGGTGATACCTGCTGGACTGAGTACTTCTCAGCCATTGCTTCGAGCGTCGTAACCGCAATCCACGCCCTACCAGGAGGAAAAGTGGGTCGTTGGCCTCACTGTAAGGTGCTGCAAAAGAGGCTGGTGCTGCGACAAAATTCCAAATGGTTAATGGTGTCGTATATATGACCTCCTATGCCTTCGCCATTATCTTGAAGGTGATTCCCTTGGCCTAACGGCACCTGAACCGAGACCTCTATAGCTCGCAATCTGTCGCCGCCGGGTATCACTGAAGCGATGAACAGTAACAGTGGCTCTGATGGTGAGTGCTGCAGAGAGACCAAACAGTACAAGTTCCAAAGCTGACGAGCAAGTCATCCCGGAAGAGCTCTATGCTCGGGCTGTGGATGCGTACTTTCGCCGAAATAAGACAACGACACTCTATCCTGGAGATAATTACCGCTACCTAAGGGATTTATTGTGCAGGCCGTACCCTTGGGGTGGTTCTAAGCTAATATCCACAACGTCGACATCGTCGACACCGTTCTCCCATGTAATCATCTCGCGATACAACTCTCACCGCACGCGGGAGACACTCTCTTTCGACTGCGGCGACCAAGGCTTAGGGGAATTTCGCAACTCGACGCCTAAGCCCGGTGACGTGGTCTTCTTACGTGGTTATGCATCTCCACAGTGGCTGAACGCCGTGGGTGCAAAGTACAGAGTCGACGCTGAGGCGTTTAGACGACATTTGGACATCAAGCAAGCGCCACTGTACTTCGATCTACCGAGCCTACAATCAACTAGCATTCACATTATCTCGATTCCGCTGATCTCTATCGGGATTTGGAGCAATGCCATATCTGCATCGGACATGGATGACGTGCGGAGGGAAACAAGTAAAGGCGATATACATACACATTCCTTCAGGAACCCACCTCGATCTGGAGTTGGATCATCAATCGTGCGAGAGTATCTAATGTTGGACGAAAAGTACTTTGCTATTGAGCAGCAGCTTTCTGTGCACGTACATGAGAGTAAGGATAGAAGCTGGGCAGGTATAATCCCCCCCCTTTCTTCTCACATCCCAATCCATGACTATTGCTTAACGAATCAATACAGTGGTGATCTGGTCGGATAGTGGTCGCAACTTGTCTGGTGATGACACACAAGTCTGGTCACCGTGCAACTCCAGAAACATCTCTCGCATCAGCATCTTACCCGTCTTTCAATACCAACGCAAAATGTTTGTTCAGCACGTTGGCGCTATAGAGACAGGGTTCGATCATCCCGACATGGCCAACACCTTCCAGAGTGCATCGCTTCTTCCCCTCCGCCATGGAGACAGTCTAAACCACGATGTCGCACAAGCAGACGCTCTCTACGCCCTCTCCGAGATTTTCCGCTTTTGTGCATTCTCCGAATCGCAGTTCATCAACCTCATCTCTCATACACTGGAGCAGCAACGCAACCAGCCCCTTGAACAGCTAGCGAAGATTCTGTCAAATCTTACGTACTATAAACGTATCCTAGACTCTCACGCGGAGCGACTCAAGGTCATTATCTCGTGCCTCATTGCTGGCGGTGGACCAACGTGGCCTCGCGCGACAGAGCCAGGGCATCGTGCCGTTGTCGAAGCAACGATCACTGCGCTCAAGGCAGATTTTGAACAACTGGCTTACCGGATAAACCTCCTGTCAAAGCAGTGCGCCGACGATTCGCTGTTTCTCATGAATCGCGTCGTTGTCAATGATACAAAGCACGGCATTATACAGGCGCAAAATACGGCCAACTTGACGCTGTTGGCGTTCTATTTCATACCTTTAACCCTCATCACCTCATTTTTTGGAATGAATTTCAAAGAGATACAGGATAGCAAAGGACCAAAACTCAGCCTCTGGCTGTTTTTTGTCATTGCTGTGCCATCTTTGTTCCTCGCTTGGATGGGTTTCAAATATTTGCAGAAGCTGGAACGGAGCCAAGGTTTTGTATTGTAGTATGTAGTGATTAGTGCAATTTCACAGTAAAAAGAATTGTACAGCCCTATCGTAATCTTTGCTGGAAATATCTCCAGATATGGGAATGTTATGTTCGCGTGCAAAATTCCTTAGCAAGCTTTGCGCCTTTAGTTCTAGGCCCTTTGCTTTAAGCTGATTGCCAAGTAAGCTGTGCACGACCGAGAGCCTCTGCTGCGCTCGTGCCAAGTCCGGTGCAAAGCATGGTCTAAGGCTAAAGACTCGACTCGCTTCTTCAAGATGTTTACTGCAATTGATTAGCGGGATAAGATGAAATTGGTTTAGGGGCTATTCACCAAGCTTGTCCCAAATCACCCAACCTGGTATAATGCTCTCCTACTTTAACTTGAGCGCTTGCAGTATAGAAATGGTTGTCGCCGATCGTCTGTTTGTACTGCTGAAGCGTTTTCTGAGCAAGGTCGAAGCTTTCGTCCCATCGTCCTTGGGCGGCCCTAATCAAGCTGAGTGCGGATAGCGAGACGCCCGTTTTGAAAATGCGGGTGTTTAAGAGCCCATAGAACTTCTCATGCTTGCGGTAGAGTGACATGATCATGGCCTCGGCCTCATCAAGTCGGTTCAAAAGGTATAAAGCAAGTGCAGACGTGTACCGCGGCCATGTTCCAATGTACGTCCCGATCGCGATTTCATGAGGCTCCCCACGCCCCGCCTCGTGAATCTCGTTCATTTTGACAGAATTTGCTGTGATTGCAAGCCCAGTTTCCAGCTCCCTTCGGTCGTAATAGTACCGTGCAGTCTCGTCATATGCGATGCACAAAGGATGAGAGACACCTAATGGCGGAAGATCATCGACGCCATTGGGTGCTAGAACCTTGCGCAGCTCCCAGCATTTCTCAGCGTGGAAGTGCTGCTTTTCAATGTCTCTGAGCCAGAGGTAGGCGGATGAAAGGCAAAAGTGTGCATCGCCTAATGTTTGAGCTCTTTCCTCATCATCGTTCTCGATGAGATTGAACGTCGGGTCAATGAATGGAATAATCTCTTCGATGTTGCCTTTCTCGAAGTGGTACCTGTGGGCAGGTTAGACTCGCCTATACTAAGTCAGAATGAATGAACATACCATCCAGCTTCAATCAACAATTTGGCAACCTTCAGTCTCTCATCTCGACCGAATAGCTCGTCCGGAAATTTCAGGAACTCATCCCGTAGTGCTTCGATGTGTGGGAAAATGATTCCACACTGTGACCACCTATCCATCACATAGTCCCATCTACCGGAAGTAGGCGACCAAGCTAGAGTTACAAGATTGATGGCTCCTTGCAGTGTGTCATGCAAGTCCTTGTCTGACATCCGCGCCCGAACAGACTCTTGAATGACCCGATGGATGGTCAATTCTTGTTTGTCCATATTTCGACTGATGAGCGAACGTCTTTGAAGATAGTTTCGCGCAGCTTCGTAAGTTGTCTTGGTCCTTGGGTATTGGTCAGGCAACTCAATGTCCTCTTTCTGCGGTAAAAGTAGGAACTCCGGGATGCTGTCAGGGTCTAGCAAAGACAGCATTTCCAGCAAACGCAGCGCCTGCACATCGAAATTTTCAAAGGCTAGGATATCAAAGAAACTCCGCTGCAGGCCTTTGTCACTTTCTTCAATTTTGAGTTTGTAAATATCAGACTGAAACTGTCGTTCTTCGTAATACTCGAGAAACTCCTGTGCGGAAAGCTCTAGCGCTTCCATCATAGATGTAATCGCGACGAGCAGGACTGGTAGACCCTGGATACGATTTGCCAGGCGGACTATATCGTTATGATTGAGTTCGAACTTCCCTTTAGCAAGATGTTGTAAGAACGCAGCGGCATTTTCAGAATCGAAGCCTTCGAGATCGATTCCGTCACCCGAGTACATATGTCTTTTTGCCAATGGATCTCGACTGGTGATAAGTAAGGAGCCCACTCCGTTGATGGGCCAATACTCGGTCAATGTCACGAGATCATCGGCGTTGTCAAAAACGAGGAGCCAATTGGCCATCGACTCTAAGCTTGGTGGCAAGTCTTCTGTTTCTTCCGTCCCACGGGATTGCTTCAGTGGATTAGAGAGCCAATCTAGCAATCTGTTTCTACTGATAACGGAATTGCCAAAGTCGACTGGCTCTAGAAGACCGAGTGCAGCAGCTATGGAGTTGAATGCTGATGACAACTTGCCTTCAGTTTCAGATCCAACCCAGAAGATGGCATCGAAGTCTTGCTTATGTTTGTCAATGAAGGCCTTCGCAATTGTGGTTTTTCCTACACCACCTGGACCACAAATGGCAAATGACCGAAGTTCGGAAGCTCTTTGAGCATCCTTTTTTGAAGGCAGGAGATGTTCCGCCAAGAGTCCAAGTACACGGTCGCGTCCAAAGCAGTCTTGCGTCGGAGGTCCTAGCATATGGCAAGGCAGTTTCACGCCTGGGAGAAAGCTAACTGGGCCGGCGTCGGAAGGATTTGATATTACATCGTATGTTGTGATGTCCTTAGATCCTGCGGTCGCTATAGCAGGGCTTCTATTGCGCGTGATTTCTTTTGAATGGGTTAGATGCTTCGCGCCAGAAAAGGGTTCGCTATACGTACCAGAAGTCTCGCCAGACACTGACTTGGCAAGAGCTGTGCCAGTGGTCACACTCCCGAAGAGCCGCCTTGCCCTTCTACTGTTCGTCAAGTCTGGAATCCATTAGACGAGTAGCTTAAGAATATAGAAATGTCCTTACCATCTGACATTAGTGCGGAGCTAACTTCGAAATTAGTCAATGAAGACCGGAGTGTTTCGCGTATATGGTCAAGTAAAGGCATATTAGGCCATAGTTTGCAAATGGTCTGATGATTAGCATTGACTTCGAGTTGGAAGGCTCTGTCTGTTCCCAATGCGGTCGCAGAAGATGCTGCATCCACGATCTAAAGGATTAGCAATGTATTTGTTCCTCACTGAACTTCGCAAACTCACTACTTTGGACTTGGCCTTGAAAATTCCCTGCGAGGAATATTTCGTAGGCTTTGATTCTGACAAAATCCATACCGGGCGACCTGTGGCGAGGCCGTCGAATTTAAGTGAAAGTGCGCACGCTGCTGCAAATTCTTCCCGGATCTTCTCGAGGCGTTTCTTATGAAGCGGCTGAATAGAGCTGAGAAGAGCGTCCATCTTATCTGCACTCTCGCCATGTTTGGGATGCGGTGTACCAAGTAGAATGATCCCAAATAAGAGATCGTTCAGGCGAGCCAATGCTGGATTGTACAATCGATCTTCTAGTAACACGAGGACCTGTAGAAGATGTGAGCCACGCTCGACTAGGACGTCCGGTACTTGTAATCACCTGTTTGACTATGAGCCCTCCAAGACCGTGGCCGACTATAACAAATGCGCTTTCATCAAGCTTGAAGTTTGTCAGTGGTTACAATCTGGAGCCCAATTGAAAAACACACCTGCTCATTCGACGCAGTAATACAATCAACGAAAGAACTTCCGAGATCCAGGAACGTCGTCCATGAGAACCTTGATCGAAGGTCTGCGTTATAGGCGAATTCAAAAATTTGAATGTGCTCCGTCACAGACTTGAAGAACGTGCTAGGCCATGGTTCCCCATTATTTGCGGCCCAGTCTAGGCCAACATCGGAGCGGGCTTCGGGCACTAAGATGACACTTTCTACTTTGTTAGAATCAAATTGCCATTACTCAAAACGAGCACCTCAAATAGACTCACTTCAGCACATAACGTCCTTTGCGGTTCTTTGGACCCTTGTAAAGCCTGATGAGGTTGGCTTCGTAGGGCTCCTGAGCTAGTGGATCAGACATCCTCGAGATGGCTATGTCTCGATAGGTGAAGGGTTGAACACGGTACTGATCAACTGAAGTTGAGGCAACTCGACAAAAAGCGCACCATAGACTGGATTATGACGGCGTGTTTGGGAGTGATGGCCTAAGAACAACGCTACCACATTCGTGAATATGCAGAACAGGTGAGCGGGGTCAGTCCTAACCCTTGTCTGGCTCAGTTTTCTTACTGGTCGAGATGCATGATGCATAGATTGGCGGGAAAGGCCAGTCACAAAGATGGGTCGTGCGCATGGTCATGAGAACTGTTGGGCAAAGTAGCCCAACCCCTCAATCCTGCACAATAAGATAATCTCTTTATGGAAGCAAACGAGCATTAATTTGTTGTCCGACGCTGCATAGCCTGAGCCTTTGGAAATCAGTTGATAAACGTGTCTTCCAACATCCGAAGAAACCCTTACGCCTCCACCTTGGTAAGTTTGTTCCAGATTGAAGCCTTGCCTGTGCTAATCGGAACTACATTCTTCAGAATCGGCAACATCATATTATCATGGATTGCAGTGACTTTTCTTTGGTGCAACCAAAGAATCGCCGTGGCGATACGCGAGTCCAGCCATGGAAGTCTCACTGGCCACCCAGCAAAGAAGATTTGGTCGAATCTGAAGTTCACCAGCCAGGGGCTGAGCTCGATCGCGCTTCTTTACTACTGAAGAGCGCTCAAGGTGGTGGGGTTGGCAAGAACAGGCTCAAGCTTTACAAGATCGATGATGATGAACCGGAAATGAAGAAAGAAGAAAAGGCCGAACAGCGGCCTGCTGAGACATGAGCCTGTGGATGTTGTTTTCCATAGCTTGTTTTTACCTACCTTCGTCGCCAGCTGAAGCTAGATGATATTTCCAAGCTGCGTTCATTATCGATTTATCTGTGAGTACAGCTGTCGCGGCTGTAGTTTGTGCCTTTTCTTAGCATAATGAACATGAATTGCGTATCTTGGAAACCTACGCTCCTTCATAAGTCCCCTACGTGCTTAAAATCGCATAACCAACCATGTTGTCTGCGGCGTTCTGACTCTGTAGCATATGCTCCCTGTCGCTTACTGTTGTATGAGTTTCATCTCGGAGGATCATTTGTCTGGGTACTGTATTTAGATGGATTTCAGAACTTGGCAGCGTATTGGCAGTATGATCCCACTTGTGCGAAGCTATCAAACCGACTGAAAGACAAATAACAACCGACAAATTCAAAAAAACACATCTTCGCGCAAGATAATAGATAAACTAGCTTAGACTTCAAGTGACTCATTTGCATCCTCATCGAGAAAAACTACAGCTCTTATCTCGATACTCTCTCGCGCCTGATCCTCTGGCACAGTATGATCCTGTACAAAAGCCGCGTGAGGAACACCCGGTGCTTTTGGCGTCCGGCTATCGTAGCCATGAAAAACAAGCGCTTCCCACGGCATCTGCTCACTGACATAATACCAGCGCTGGCTAGTGTTATAGTGAAGACTCAGAAACTCGCCGACCGAGGTCGTATTCACTGACTGGACGAGCATGGTGTCATTCTGGAAGTCCACTGACTTGGGATCGCAAAGGGCGAGAGGGCAATCTTTCACTGGACCCCTTAAGGGTTTCCACAAACTAGAACTTTATTAATCTTTTGTTTGCGGGTGAAGGTTGATGATGCCATACTTGAGAAATTGATAGGATCGTGCTAGCATTTTGGGCGCACGCTCTTTGAAAATCACTTCGATACGATCAACACTATCGCTCTCGCAATAATCAATGTGAGCACCAAGAACTGGAACCGGTGCATTCGGATCAACCACCTGTCCAGCGAGATACGGGAACGATTTTGGTCGCCGGCGGACCCTGTATTCGAATATGTATACCTCATGATGGCCCACAACTTTGCGAATAGTGTCTCGCGCTTCCCTAAGGAAGACTTTCTCAATTTTCTGCGAGTCTTGCCAGTCGTCGTACATCATCTTAGAGTCTATGTGCTCAAGCTGGATGCCATGGTCTTCGTAAGTAAGCGAATGTTTTCGCACATCCAAGACGGGGATGTTGTCAACAGCCTCGAATGCAAGGTTGGATTTCGTGACGCCCTCAAGTGAGTACGTCAGAAGGTACGGAATTTCTACCTTATGAATAGGTTCATCTTTGGTGCAAAAACATAGCTCGGCTGAGATGTCCATGGTAGCGTCTAACAAATTTTGTGAGGGAATGTGTACGCATTTGTAGAATTAGAAAGCCTCATGCTGAAGACGGACTAACTCTTGCCTGAGAGTCACATGAGGAACATGAAGGCCGATTCGGGGGGTAGGGAAGATTTAGTGGTTTTTATCTGACACGCGAATTACAAAGGCCAAGTATTCTGGATTTCAACTCGTTTGTTATTTCAATGGGCGGTCATCCTAACAAGCAAGGTACGACAGGTTCTATATATTGAATTCCATTCCAATAATCCTCGCTAAGATGTGAGGATTGAGCCTAATAACACACCAATTCGTTACATGTGCTGTGTAGGCACCGTATTTCCTTGTGTAGAGCGGTCAATCTATCGATACCCCTTTTGGATCTGTTCCTCATGCGAGTCAACGAGCTATCTATGCAGATGAGCAAATCTTCCACGAATGAATGTATAGAGATAGCAAGGATAATAGACAGCCATTTGGATAGAAATATAGGTGGTATTGCAACACATGTTATGCTTACTGGCTAAATGCTTGGTAGCTACGCATGTTCCTGTAAGACGTCCAGTGTTATCTACGTATCCATGTAGTTCAGGAGTATTTTTGAGCCGCCTCTAGCCCAAGGTTTGCTGTCCAAGGCGTAAGTAGGAAATATGGTTCCTCTGACGGCTGATGCTGACAGCTAACATCTGAGATTAGGTGGATTCGGAACCATAGACTTTGCCATTACCTGCGGGGCGACCCGCAACCTTCCCATTATTTGCGGGGTTGGGGCCCTGAGGGTAAAGAGGGCTGATTTTCTGCCTCCTAAAGTCGAAGAACCTGAGCGTCTGATTGTCAGTATAATAATTATTCCCTATCCAAGACTAGTATACAGGAGTGTTCGGAGCTAAAGGATGCCATGACATAAGATAAGAGACCCTAGACATATATGAGGGAATTCTGCCATTGGTATATTGACGACACGCCGAGCAAGTCCATGCAGACCTATCCTGCGTCGACACGTCAATGGATCGTCCTCGGCTTGGAAATGAGACGTGGGCTCCCGTACGGACCTTGAACGGAGTGTTGACACTGAACTGGTGATGAGATCTAGCTTGTTTGATGGCTAGTGGCCCTATCTGCTGCAAACATGCAAACACGAAGGAATTTAGAGGTGTTTATCCCCAGTTCAGCCGTAGTCTTGTCTTCCACGTGGTCTGTTTTTTGGGGCTTTATACAGTACAAATCCAATATCATGTACTTCCTCCCGTTAGGGGTTGGTGCAAAACATCGGAGATATATTGATCCACTAGGTGTAAATGTGGCAACATGTTTGCGGCTCAAGAAGGTCATCGTCAGGTAGCCATTCGGGGAACCTTCCGCCTCCGCGAAAGTATAGGGTTCTTGAGAAGCCTCGCGGGTCGTTTACTTAGCCATATACCCACTCTCTTGATTAGGGCAGACTGGGGCTTCCAAAGCACTGCACCCAAAGCTTGGCAAGTTTTCTCTGAACACAAATCTAATATTGCATGACAAGTGGGCGTTTAAAACGCATTTCTCGACTTAAATTGGAGTTCGATAGATGCGAACGTAGAGTAACAGTATTCTATTAGATTGAATTGTAAAATGTTTGTCTTTAATCCTGCAGAGAAGATCAAGAAGAATAGTTCGGAAATTAGAAGAAAAGTGCAGTGATGCAAAAGGAATCTTCAGCACTTGAATGCCTGTGAAAGCGCGCTTCACCTCAAGCATTAATTAGCAGGGGCAGGTGCGTATGTGATTCCAAAGTTGACAGTCTTCACAGTATCATAATCCCTCGGGTTGGCACGATTGCCAAAGATCTTGAGCGCGCGCACAACAAGTGAGTAGTTGCCAACTGGAACGTATAAGCCATTCGCTAGCTGACCGGTGAAAGAAGTGGCTTGGATATTAGTAAGACCCTCGATAGTGCGAGGAAGGGGAGTCTTCGGGTCAGCCACGGGGAAGATAGCGCTGCCGTTAGTAGCCTTGATGCCGACGAGAAGCAGATCTATGCCTATAGATAGCTTGGTGTTAAAGATAGGGTAGCTAGTATTCGCTTGGTCGATAGGAGTATTTTCGTTAGGAAGAACGAATTGCTAGTTAGCCTAAACATACCCGTTAGTAGCGCTGTTAACGAGGTAGTTGCTACCTTCTTTAGTGTCTAGAATAGTTATATTACGTATAGCGGTAGTAACTCCTAGGTAAGGAACTAAGAAGGAGTTATCCGAGCTCATTCCGTTAAAGGTAATATACGCGCTATAGACTGGGATACGGCGGGTGATAAGGCCCCTAGGGGGAGTGGTAGTAACCTTAAGCATGGTAGAACCGCTAGGCCACAAAATCACCGAGATTGTTCCTCTGGGGGATAGAGCTGTTTTTCGGAAGCGTGTAGACAGTCGCGGCACCAACGTGGCCAACGGTATAAACACGCGGCAGGGAACCGGTGTTGTTGATCTGAATATAGGCAGGGGCAATGTGCTCGGTGTTATTAAACGAGATAGTGCTTACGTTGAACTTAGTGGTAGTGTGCATAAGCTTGTAAGCATCGATGAGGCCTCTACCCCTCTGCGCAATAGATCCCAGGAAGGGCGACGCGGTGACGCCATCATGGAAGACGTTGGGGTTGGCAGTGGTCGACAACAGAGACTTGATCTCAGCAGGAGTCACCTTGCCCTTGCCACGAGCCTCCATCAAGAGAGCAATGCAGCCAGCGACGAAGGGAGTAGTCGCCTGGTTCCCAACAAGACTTACCCCCTGAGTAACGGGGACTCTGTTCCTGTCGGCAAGCCTGATAGTACTCCCGCATAGCAGCATATATTAGGACAGAAATGCTGGAGGCTCTCAAGAAAGTCGAATCTCTTGGACCGCAGGTCACCTACAACGCCCCCCTCATGAGCCTTCCTGAAATCACCGAGAATTACAAAACCGTCGCGATGGGAGATATCGGAAGTAAGTTACTTAAATGTCCCTTTAACCCTTGGATCCAGAAATAATTGACCCCATTCCAGGACACCAGCTTGCATTCGTCATTCAAAGATTTTTAGGCTTATTCAATAACCCCAAATTACGGACATTCCAGGATCTGGTGATATTTAATAAAGAACACGCAGCTGAAAACCTTCCACCAGGTATGAGCTATTCCAGATTCATGTGCCTCCAATACTTTCTTTAGACAATGGTACAGATCAACCCAGCCAGCAAGTGCTGGAAAATGGCTTGAACGATACTATGACCGATGTGCAATATCACAGTGGATTGGTGCGTGCACCTTCGGCAAAGTGTTCGGCATGCTGTCCAGCTGTGTTTGGAGGAGTCCAATGCGGATGTTATCATGGCATCTGGGGAAACACTGGTTCCTAGTACTGCGGCTTGTGCAGGCTATCCCATCGGCAGTGTCCCACTCGGCTTCTCTACTTACAATGGAAGACCTTTTGGAATGGAAGTACTGGCACGGAATGGCGAGGAGGAAAAGATTTTTCTAGTAATGTCGGCATGGGAAGCGACGTTCCCGGAGGCCAGGCGGCCGCCGCCTCTTTTGGTCAACTGGGCCACCAAGTTGTAGGCCCACTATACAGAGACTATCTATCTATGGCCGGTCAAGTTTTATAACGGAGATTTCGAATACATTTTCCAACCTCTGAATGTGAGGCTACTCCCATGTTGATTCGATGCCTCGGGCCAGAAAGGCCGATATCCTGCCTTGGCGCCTTTCGGTGGCCAGTCAGTACGGAGATACTGCAGTCTTTAGCTGTTTTGCCTGCCAGATTTATCGCCAATCACTCGGTCCTCGCGACAATATAGATTGACACCTTTAAGTATCTCCATTTCAGAACAATGCTTGATTCCAATCAAACCATCGGTACATGACTGCTGGTGATTGACCCACCAGAACGGGTGGCACTCAACTCCGATGATGGCCACCTCAACTCCGGACCGAGCCCCGAACGCAGCTCCGCGATCAAACTCAACTGTTGTAGTTCCTCCAGGGGGAATTCAGTGATGCCACGTTTAAAAAGATGGACAAATCGCACGACTTGAGCAAGCATAGTGCAGATTGATTATCTTCTACCCTCCCTTTTCGAAAATTGAGTCTTCCAACTAGCTCCGCGTTCTTTCTTCCTCACCTATCCATGGCAACTGACACCCCCTCCGAGGACCTCCAGAAGGAGCAGCCACCCGTTGGGGCTCCAGTGATTTCTCTACCGCCATCAACGACAATCAAGCCCCCAGAGCAACCAGAGGCAGCTACTATAGAAGCCCCATTTAGCATCTTCGACCGACGGCAAAAATGGCTCATTGTGACCATAGTCTCGACCGCAGCAACATGTAAGTTCTAGTTCCGAACGGCCTGGTCATGATGATTTCGCTAATCCACTATAGTCTCCGGTTTCGCATCGAACATCTACTTTCCAGCACTTCCCACTATCGCATCCGATTTAAGCGTATCTCTGGAACTCGTCGATTTAACCGTGACCTCGTACCTCATTTTCCAAGGTCTTGCTCCTAGCCTTTGGGGACCCGTTTCTGATGTAAAGGGTCGCCGAATTGCATACCTTCTCACGTTCTTGGTATTTATGGGCGCATGTATCGGCCTGGCAGAGACCAAAAATTATGCCACCCTCATCGTTCTCCGGTGTCTTCAAAGTACCGGTAGCGCAAGCACGATTGCCATCGGATCGGGGGTGATTGGGGATATTACCACGCGTGCCGAGCGTGGTGGGTTCATGGGTATCTTTCAAGCTGGCCTGCTTGTCCCAGTGGCCATTGGTCCCGTTATTGGAGGTGCCGTTGCTGGTACTCTGGGCTGGCGGGCTATCTTTTGGGTATTAACTGCCTATAGCGGGGCTTTTCTCATTGCGATGCTTGTCCTGTTACCGGAGACCCTGCGATCGTTGGTCGCGAATGGAAGTCGAGTACCTTCAGCATCGAATTTAATGGCTAAATACCCATTGACGGTGTATCAAAAGTTCACCATGGTTGAATGGGACCCGAAAGATACGCCGCCACAAGCTTCCAGAAAACACATTGACCTGACGGGGCCTTTCCGCATTCTTGTGAGCAAGCACGCTGCTCCGATTATCATGTTCCTTGCCATATATTATGCAGTATGGCAGATGAGTATCACTGCAATGTCTTCTCTATTCAAGCAAAACTATGGACTCAGTGAGATTCAAATCGGCCTGACGTTCATCGCCAATGGTGTTGGGTCCATGATGGGAACATTGATTACGGGCAAAATTCTTGACATCGACTACCGCAAAGTCAGGGCAAAATTCGAGGCACAATCTGATCCCGAGAGTACTGGCAGAGTTATGGAAGAGAAGGATTTCCCGCTGGAAAAAGCCCGCCTCCGGCTAGTCCCTATTTTCGCATGCCTTCAGTGCTTGTCATTGATCCTCTTTGGTTGGACTATTCAATACACAGTCCACATTGCGGTCCCTATCATCTCGACTTTTATCACTGGCTGGACTGTTGTGTCTATGCAGTCCGTCATTATGACCTATCTCATAGATATCTTCCATGAAAGAAGTGCGGCTGCCAGTGCTAGCATCAACTTAGCTCGGTGCTTATTTGCTGCCGGTGGTACCAGTTTTGTCATGCCTTTGATCAATGCTGTTGGAGCTGGCGCTACTTTCACGATCTGTGCGGCTGTGCAGTTTGTGTCATTGGTCGGGCCTCTCATTCAATGGAGATTTGCTGGTTCATGGAGGAGAGCCGCCGAGGAAAAGAACGAGCAAAGCCAGGCTCAATTGCAGGCGTGAAATACGTGGAAGAGAGTTATTGTTATGCATCCAGAGGTGTCTAGAGCGCGAGCACTACCTGTACTATTAGAATAATTTCAGTCGAAGCAAACACCCAGAGTCTATGCTATGACGCTGGGGATAATATCTCACTCCTTTTATCTCTATTTTATCTCTATTTCTGAATCATAATTTAATCATTCATTAGGACTCATCCTGTGCGTAACAGCTTCCTGGTTAGTGCTAAATTAGGGATATTTCTAATGTAATCTAGGTGATGGTAATACTGCCGCCTCGGGAAGTGATCGGCTCGCGGAGAATAGGGTGAGCTAGTCACCCCGCCGCCCTGAGCAGCCGAACCTGCTGCGAAGCACGGGGAAATCTGGGGGATAAGAACCCCCCCAGCCTGTTGGATGTTCTGACTCTTTCCAAGATCCAGTCTTGTACCTATTTGACGCATGCCATTCAATAAAGAGACTGTTAACACGGACGAAGAACCCAACTTTCACTGGTTTATCGAACTCTACTTTGATTACGCAGTGCCTGTTGTTTCCCCTGATCATACCACACCATAACATAATCGTTTTGCTATAGTTTTCTTGTTGTCTTTACTTTTCTGAATTTCGCAATTACTCCTTTTGCGTTTTCTATATCTTCCTCTGGGATCTACTAGTTATACTCGGAGGGCTACTTTTTCTATTTGACTAGAACGTATATCGTTTTGTGAATTGATTTTTCTTCCTTAACCTCTTCGACTTCCTACTTTATATCTTCTTTAAGTTTGGGTATCGGCATATTATTCGTATCGCCTTTCTTTCCATTTTAGAGTTCTAATAGAGAGATATAGAACACGTTGTGAATTTCTGGAATATTGTTCGCGGAGGGCAAGGAGGTCGGCTTATTGTCCAATACGTTGAAGGACCCGGAAAGGCCCAATGAATCGTGGGATTAACTTCTTGGAGGGTAGTTTGAGCTTGAGGTTTTTGTAGAAAGAAGGACGAGATCGCGGAATTTGTACTCTTGGGGCTCATGTTTTGAATTGTAGAACTTGACCTGCGAACCCAGGGCCTTCTTGAGGCGGAGATGGTTGCATTGCTTTAATTAATCGACTAGGGCCTATATGACAGGTGCTTTCATCGCATTCCAGAACAACTCAAACCTCAACCCAGTCGCTCATCTCACTTGTAGCACCCAGTTCTAAAATATTCGCCATTTCCCTCTTGTCCGGGGCGACGATCGTTTGCCTTGCCTTTTCGCTGTGCCAGATCTCCGGGTTATAGAACTGAATCGGGAGGTCCTCGTTGACGAGCTCCAGGCTGTTCATAATGAAACCCGCAAACGTCGAAAAATCCGAGCTTGCGTCCTTTTCTGATTTCCGACTTTCTGCAAGGTCGAGAGCTGCCAAGAATTGTTGAAACCAGAAGTGCTTGTGGGTGAGTGCGTCAACCAGAAGACCTGATACTTCTGAGAAGAGCTCCGTTGCACGTTGAATCCGGAGCGAGGACGCTTCCTCTGAATCTTGGGACTTTACGTCGGTAACGAGATTTATATACAAGAAGAGCAGCAGGTGTTTATGACCTTGAATCACCGGATTTCTTGCATTAAGCTCCCGCGACCAATCCAGAACTAACGTCGCGCGAAAGGAAAGCTCTTCGACTGAAGGTTCGAGGGAGTCGATTTCCGTAAGAAAAAATTTCATTCGTTGCACAAAGATTGGATTGTCATTTGAAATCCAAGATTTCTTAATCAATGAGTTCAGAGGCCGAATATCGGGGGGGATATATTGCGAACGAGCTTCCATGCTGTACCAAACCTTTCGAGAATAGCACCGTTTCCAGCTTTCACTATCAATTTCGACCAGGTCCTTGAAGCCGCTAAACGGAAGACGAGAGGCTGGACTTCTGCAGCCCATCCCCTCCTTTTCTGATTGCGGATTGATCACATATAGAGATTGTAGGGCAATCTGCACAACCTGAATCCAGAAATATGCTCTTGTTTTGGAGTACGGAGATATGGAAGGGTAACTTTTCCGTAGGCGCATCGTGCTCCTCTCAAGTGCGAGAAGTGCCCGCGCTGTGACGCCGATTCTGTGTAAATCCTTCTTGTAGACGTACTGGAGAATCCCAAAGGCGTATCGCAGCAGTCGATCTGGGTCCTCTTGAACCGCGGACAGATCAGTTGACTGATCAGGCATGAATGATACCCACGGGAGAGGCTTCGAGGTCGGGGGTAACCAGTTCTTTGTGGCATGGCTGGACCAGAATTCGCTACTCCAATAATACCCTTTCCAAAGTTCGGAATCCATGAGTGTGGGAGAGTGGCGTAGAACCCCATAAAAGCCCCTCAAGCCTGGAAAGTCTTGCATCCCCTTCTGCTTCCGATAATCTTGAATGGCATATTGTGTTTGTAGAATCCAGAATAGGACCATGGTCCTGGAGCCAGTCAGATTTTCTTTCAATGCTTGTCGAGCAGTGGAGTTTTTTTTTTTTTTTTGCTTACTTGTGTCGCGTTTTTTCAAACCATCGAGGTGACGTCCTGCTCAGGCCGTTCATATACCTGTCAAAGGTACTTGCGATATCAAAGCAAGTTTCTCTAGTTCCCACGGATGGTAATGGGCTGATCGCGTGTTCTTCCACTGATTGCAATACGACCATGCAGAGAGCTTTTATAAGATTATAATGACTCCACTCAATAAAAACACCTTTTTGTAAGTATTCCCAAAAGACCTCAGGATCCATATCGTCCTGAGCAATTTCCCTTTCAACGAGCCTCTGTAGAGCGAGATCCTTCTTTGGAGGCCCAGATGCTGGTAGTCGAGGGGAATTGTCTCTGGGGCCTCTCATTGTAGCGAACATGTCTTCTAGTACGTTAAATGTCCCTTCCGCGGACTTTGCGTCCAGCCTGTGAGTGAGTACCTTTCCGGAAATTCTGCCTCTATAGTTTTCAAGCTCCTTCTCATATTCTTGGCGAAGAGTATTGATTCTGGCTCGCTTAAATCCCCAGTCAGCTTGCTTGTTGAAGGCAATCCAGATATACTTTGCCCCGATATTGGCCATATCCTGCAGTAAAGGAGAAAAGGATACTGGCACTCGATCGGCAGGATTTCCACAGTCATGAAGATAGATGACCAATGTGGCTGGAGAGAGGTGGTGCCACGCCAGCTGGCGAGATTTTTGATCACCTTTTTGGGCCAGGATGTCAGCGTACTAAATCTTTTCCAGGGACCGTGTAAATGATCATAAAGGGGTATGAAACCATACCTCCTATCTCCCAGATATGCCAATTGTAGCCTTTTGGGTACTCCACCGTCTCGACATTGACGTTGACGGTATGATTCGGGTGCTCTCGGACCTGCTCGAACTTCAGGCGATCGAGAAACGTGGTTTTGCCACATTCATAATCCCCTATCAGGAGAACCTTGTGTTCAACGGGTGCAGACCCGCAAAGCCATTTGGCGAGAGCTGCCATAGGCCGTGTTAGCTGGGTAGGCATACCAAGCTAGAAGCAACGTACCACTCATGGTTGCTTGGCTGACAAGTGAAAGTTCTTGCTTATGTGCTGATCAAAGTCTGGGTTTTGAGCCTCTTTGGGTACTATAAATCCGTGCACCGAGCGGAGATTTATCCCTCGACGGTAATCGTGGTGCCTGTAACAGGCAGAATGGATTTGCGGCACTTTTGACATCATTCGACGTGTTCAATACGAAGAATGAAGGTTTCGGGAACTGAACTGAAGTAACAAACACGTGGTCCTTGTGCTACTCGTATTGACCCACCTCCTCACGGCTAGTCAGCAGTATTACCGATTGCCTCTCCGACCTGCGAGCCTTAGAAGTGAAACTTGGTCCAGGGAAGGGAAAGAAGCTGATGAGGAAAGCAGGTTTACGGGCCTTAAAATGACCCCTGAAACTCGCACAGTTAGGGTTATTCAGAACCTCGAGAAACATAAATCTTCATTCTTATCATCACAGGTGGACCAGACGTACGTTTATCGAACACGATATTACGACTCTGTATAACTAACTAAATAACTGCATAGTTCTCTAATAGTCGGCGTGGCCCAGAATACCGATCGCATTGTTCAAAATATAGATAATAGGAAGTTAGAAGGCGCGATAGAGGCAGGGTTTGAGTTATTCTCCGATCGAGACGAAGTCCAATGTCTCAGGCACTAGGACCGAGCTCCTCTAGTAGATAATGGAATGGGCTATATCACCGTCCGAAAAATGCTTTTTCTGGTTAAAGGGAATAGCTAGGACAGGAAAATCCACAATATCTCGGACTATAGTAAGGACGTTCAAGGACACTAACTATCTAGGCGCTAGCTTTTCTTCAAGACGGGTAAAGGGGATAGAGGGAACGCGAAGAAGTTCTTCCTAATCTTAATTAGGCAACTGATGCTTATGATTTCTGAGCTAAGGCTTAGCGTCCATGTAAAGAGATACTCTACGAGTCAGGGTAGAGGCCTGTCGATCAGGTAGAAGAAAGGTACCAAGTCAGATTGTTCAAAGACTGTTTCTTGGGGAGGTAGAAACCTCCCCCTCATGGCCCAATTTATGTACAGTCTTCTTCTAAAACAGGAAGGAGGGGTAAACGCGAGATAAGGAGAAAACACGAGAGATGGTGTAACCCTATACAGGGTCCTTCTCTGCAGAGGCTCTCTGTCGTGTAGATAACGAAAGGTTGGCGGTTCACCGCCGGAGAGCTGCCGTTCTGCCAGCCATCTCAGGCCTTAAAAGCTTAAGGCACCAACATAGGAATAACCTCATGACAGGTTGGTATATCATAACAGTGCAAAAGGTACTCGATAATGACCCTAACATTGCGTCAAAATCACTAAAGGGGCAGTTTACAAAACTACTCCGTTAACCGCTACTTTATCTTAACTAAGTCGGCCGACAACCTCGAATTACTTTGATAGTAATCGACGCCGTAGACGAATATAAACATGATTAAGATGTCCGAAACATAATTCGATTTCTACCTCCATAGAAGGCAAAAGCGGTTCGCCTTCGGATCTTCTTGACTAGTAGGCCTGACCGCCTAATTAGCCTCAGCTTTTCAGAGATCGCAGATCATAAATATCAGGTCCTAGCTGAAGGGTAGGCTGGGTAGCTCCTAAGCCCGGCGGAACGATCGCTGATAACTTCTAACGACGACCCGCAAGAAACGCGTAGTAGTCGGCGCTAATAGCCTAGGGATTCCTAGGTTAGAAGAGGCCGAATGCTACACGAGCCACGACTAAGATGATACACCTTCGTCTTGCTCTTATTCCCCGTTAAGCTATCGAACTTGCGATAAGCCTGCTCCATCGCATTAAAGGGCTTCGTGTTACGACTAGGAAGAGATTCAGGATCAATCTTGTGCCGTTTGACGAGAGTATCGAAGCTAGAGAGGAAAAGGAAGAAACAAAGGTATCTCAGAAGGTGAGGACTTCAGTACACAGCAAACAGGCAAACATCCCAAACCCCGAACCAGATACCTCAGGCACCAATCCCGTGGAATGAAGCTATTCCCAGACTTCGAAGTCACAGTCGTCCAGTCGTCACACTTCGTAAGGTCCTCTAAAGCCTCCGCAATCCCTAGAGAACGCCCTGTGGCTACCTGTCGATCCTGGCATTAGCCTCTGTCTCGCTTGGCCGGAACGTCTTTGTCTACTCTAGCAGAACACTAAGATCGGAAGCATCACCGAGGACTCCCGTCGCCGGCTACTTTATTAAGTAACTATGCATGAATGCGAGAAATGTTAGGAAGGGACTCGCAAGGACACGTGCCGAACCCCCTAGAGTAACACTGTCGATATAGTATCGAAGATGTGGCCTCTAGCACACACTCCACCCCTTGAGGCTCGATATCTGCCGTAGGATCGAACTTCCTTACCGAAGTCCGTAGGCAGTTTATATACCAAAAGAATTTCGCGCGAAGCGGCTACGTGAGGGTTGCACGATTCTAGCGAGTACGGGCACGACGAGTGGTAGTACCGCGACGAGCTATCTCTTCGATAACAAGGTGAAAATCTCCCGAGAAGGCCATAAACGGTTCCAGAAAAAAATCGGGTCTAGGGGCTTTTTTGAAGAATAAAGTGCGATTAGGGGCAACTCCTATATAACTAAGGAGGAGACATAGAAAGAATCGAGCAAGAATCGTTGTCATGAATGTAACCTAACTCCGCTCAATCTTGTTGCTGGTCTCTTCCATCATGTCATAGTCTGCGAAAAGGCGCATGAAATCAAACCAAAAAAAAAAACTCGCTGGTATCCTCCGAATACGACCGTAGATACGGGAAGAGATCGTTCCTATTACGGAGTGGAAGTATGACGATCCGCAATCCCTGGTGGAGCCTAAGTTCGTGATCAGGACCCTTTCTACGGAGTAGGATTCAGCTCATGTGTTAAGACTCAATGGCCTTCAATGGCCTTGTTGCTCTTTCTCATCCCCGCTTTCCCGTTTTTCCATGGGGACAGCTGCTTGTTGACGACAATGGCCAGAGGATAGGTGCCTGTGTGATCCTGGAGGCTCTTTCCCTTAAAACAGAAAAGCGGGTCCAGCTATCCAAATTTGGTGCCAATCTAAATAATTATGTACGACACCTGAATCTGCCTGAAACGGGAGATGACTGCACCAGTATTTTCCAAATGCAATTCCCACCGCCGAGATTTTGCAAAGGGAATTATGTCCATTTCACTTTTATATCAAGTGGGGTCCCTTCTTCGAGAACAGGGCCCCTGCTAACCCCGCCAATACAAAATTCCGCACTTCCTCCACACTTAAAATGTTTGAAGGCCTTTCAGTCTTTCACAATCTTCAACAATCAATGGCGTCTTCTCCCCGCCAACTCTCCCTCGGCGCTGAGGATTCCCAACCCAAGGCATTGGTTACGTCATCGAATATTGAGGACTTCTTCCTCCCAGTTATCCTTTGCCTCCATGACAGTGGTTCCTCCGCAACAATCTTCCAATCTCAACTCCGGAATATGGAACAGGAACTTGGTAATAGGTTCCGTTTTGTATATGTCAATGGTCCATTTCCCTCGAATCCAGACCCAAAGGTCCTCCCTGCCTTTGAATCAGCTGAGTCATTCTACAGCTGGGTAAAAGACATGCCGACTTCAGAGTCAGAAAAGGAAGACCTTCCTCAAGAGGAAATCGACAGCATTGACAGAGTCCTAAACCAAGCAATAATGTTCGAGGGCAGACCGGATAGGATTTGGGGTATCCTAGGCCTTGGTCAAGGCGCCAGATTAGCGGGTGGTTTGATCTGTCGCGAGGGCGATCGGATAGAAAACGGCGAGAAATTCAGAGCTCTGAAGAATCTGCAGTTCGGAATTATTATCAGTGGAGTATGGCCGCCAATTATGCTCACGGAGCAAAAGAAAGGGTGGATAGACGTTCTCGGCTTGCAGCAGCTTCCAACTCTATACGTTTGGGGAAGACAAGCTCCTGATCATAGATCATACATGAAAATGGTCTCCAAATGTGATTGGCTGCATACGTACACATATGAGTTGGAAGGGGCCCAATACCTGCCGGTGACGGAGAAGGAAACAGAGCAAATCGCGAGAAGAATCTTTCAGTTGACTCGGGTGCCAATCCTTTGGGGTAGGCAGAGCATATTCTTCACCTAGTCTAGATGATGGTAGGTATATATTGACTCGTCTTGCATCAAGCCGGATGCGACTTTATACAGAATAGACTGACCATTCCATCCGTGCAGTTTGTGTGATCCCTTTCCGGTTCCTCTCAACGCCTGATTACGGGGTCGCAAAGCTTGCACCACTCACAAGAGGCGTGTCATCCGAATTGCGAAATGCAGTGGTTTTGGTCCTGGACACTGGTAATTTTGGAGTTGCTGATGTCTGGAATGTATTGACAAAGGTGCAACTTATCTCGGTGTGGAGCGTGTATTTGTGTGGACCAGGCCCAGCAGCCGCCCAACGGAGGACACGTCTTGATATCATGCCAGGCGTCGCTGTCACTGATGCGGCCGAGATGGTCGAACCACTCTTGACCGCCCGGGTTCCAAAATGAGCTCTGAGGAGTCCTTCCATTCCCAAAGGTCCGAATGAACAGTAAAGCTTTTCAAGAGCATCGGTATCGTGCTATGGTTCTGCTCTCCTGCAACAGCAGCATACATCAGCGTCGGCCTCTCATTATTCCGTGTATTGATGTCTGCACGGCGGTCAACCGCCATTTCCATGGTCTGTACCATTCCCTTCCGAGCGGAAACGTATAACGGTGTTTCTCCATAGATAGTACGGGCTTCAATATCCGTACCACTCTCAAATAAAGTATATATAGCCATATCTCGGTCATGTATAGTCGATAATCGCCAAATGCAGGGCAGTCTTCTCATCCTCACCTGTCCCCTTCCTTCGATGAGCACCGAGCTAGAAAAGCGAGCGGACATGAGCATAACGCAAATCTTTCCTTTCAATTTTGAGATAATGAAGTGGTGTCCAAGAATCCTTATCGAGTGCGTTAATATGAGCACTATGCTCAGCCAGAAGTCGAATCGTGGCCCCATGCCCTTGTCCCGCCGCAAGATGGAGGGGAGTTAATCCTGTCGTATCGGGGCGTGAACATCCAATTCTTTCTCTTCAATTAAGAACCGTAGGATCTTCACGCTTCCCCCTATCGCGGCGGAGTGCAGAAGCAGGCGATCATACCGTCCCTCGTCATCGAGCAAATATGCGCTCCGGATTTATCAATGAGTCATAATATTTCTTGCATCCCCCCAACTAGCTGTCATATGAAGAGAAGCGTTCAGGTTAAATCGTGCTTCGGTCGGGTCAGCCCCGTTCTCTGCGAATTGTTGGATGACCGTACCGCGGAGGAGCGCATTCCGATCTTCGTTTGTCTCAGTATACGAGGTCTAATACCCATCGTCTCCACCACCTGGACCGGGAGATATTTGAAGGGAAAGACGTTCGAAGCGTCCACACGAGATCCATGTTCTTGGTGGAGAAAGATAATAGCTTGATTAATAGCGACGGACACACTGTCAGACACCGTGCCGTTTGTCCGCGAAGGAGGGGGGCCCCTTACATGTTTATTGAGGGGGATTTGGCGCCGCGAATGAATTAACGAAGGGGTGGAAGGAGGTTGTATATGAGAGACCGAAACCCACGGGCTGTTCTATAATGCTTTCTCACCTCGACCTACAGTTGAAACAACGGACCGCGCCAGTGCGAGCAGAGAATGACTTGCCACAATTATAATATGAGGAATAAGATGGAATTAGCCAACTAGTTAGTTTAAGGAGGCGCTCATCAAGCAATTTGATAACTCGCACAGGGAAGATTGGACATGCATGCAGGGATTGGGACACGGCAGCAGCGCAAGTATGGGCGAGCCTAGTACAGGAGGCAAACATGCTATTCGCCAACAGGGGTACATGTGAGTGAGCTCTTAGTACTTCACAATATTTCCCTTCAAGTGAGAGTTAGGATCAAAACAACCAATCTCAAAACGACTCTTCTTGATCAAGCATGTTATCTACCTCACCCTAGTTAGAAATCACTCCTTTAACAACATTGCCGGTTACGTGGACGATCACCCCGACTTCAATAACCTGCGCAAAGTTGACTACGAAAACAAATACACCAACCCCAATTGGGCCTGTGGGGAGAGCCTATGGAAAGCTGCGCTGCCTCATTCGAATCGGAGTGGGGCATCGCGGCGGTTGTATTTTTAAAAATAGACGCACCCGGTGACCGCAATCATAACAAGCGCGATAATTAATATTCTAGACGCGGCACACGAAGGATGGTGAGGAGCGAAACGTAGGGTAGACACAAGCTAGCGGAAGCAACAGCGCGGTCGCGGGAGAAGGATAGACAAGGAGTATAAAACGAAATATGATTACAGAACGCAGGTCGACCGAGTCCAGTCGAGAAGTCAAACAGAGAAGGTGTACTCCGTATACAGATACAGAAAGATACGCCTAGCCTTAAAACCAGGACAGACCAGTCCAAAGGGAGCGAAATAAGGGCAAGACCAGGAGCCAATAAGCGAAGCGCGTAGCAGGACACCCTATACGCAGATCTACAGCCAAGAATTTTCGCAGAACGTGCATGTGAATCCGAGTTTATTAGTTCCCTTTCTCTCACCACGCTCGCTTCTGTGCATTTAAACATACAAGATAATATACCGCACTTATAAGACTTGGATGAAAGATACAATCTGTGATGGCCGCTCATATTCTAACCAGTTTGGCGTAGAAGGCTGATTTAAAGGAAAGCTTATTTAGGGGCTTTTTGACCCGGGGAGAGGAGCGCCAGTCTTGTCCGACTGCCATTGATCTACGCAGGAATCTCCACTTCGATCCAGCCTAATGTCCGAGTCGACGATTCCGACAGGCCAAGGAGCTCCCAAGTCTTCATTTCAGTACTGTGCCATCCCTCTCGGTACGGCTGCGCCCCACCTTACTTTCTTTCCCCATCGTACCTTCCAATTTGATCAATTTCAGACTATTTACACGATTTATCAATGGAAAGTGTGGTTATCCAAAAAAAGAAAAAATTACATCCGCTCTCTCTTGCGCTGCCATTGCTGCTTCGATCAATACTTCGCTCTCCTGTATATCTCAAGGTGTGGCGTGTGGCTGTACAGGCTCTTATACTCCTTATCCAGGCGCTTCTTGTCGGCGACAGCTTCCTTAGCCTTCCTTTCTGCAATTGACCGATTTGTATCGTGTGTTTTTAATGTAACAGTCTGGCTAATGCCAAGGCACAGATGCGAGATAATATAATCGTATGCCCGAAGACTGACTGGATATTAAGTTCGAGAATACGAGTCTGATCTCCGACGAAAAGCATTAGTCAACATCTGATATTTTCTTGGAAAACGCAACTTGACAGATATATAAATCGATGGTTGCTTCAGCCTACAAGCAATAAAATAATCTCATCGGATTCTTCAACCTTAGGAAAAACATTTTTAATCCTATCACCATGAAGTTTGTTTCTCTTGCTCTTGCTATTATGCTCCCTGTGGCTTCCTTGGCCGGAGCGGACACTCGTCATGGTCTCGAGAAGCGAGACACTTACGCCTATACCGAAGTCGATGGCCTCGCCTATAGACATTGCCCGAACACATCATGCGATCTTATGGGTCGACTTGACGCGGGGACTGTTCTATATCTATATTGCTACACCAGAACAGGAACAACCGAGGTAGATGGCGACTAGTAAGTGGCCCTTTCCTTCGCAGGTTATATCTTGACTTGAAGTCTTAAATGTCTAACAAGACCGCAGCGGCTGGGCCCAGATAACTCAACCCGCAAATCTCGCAAACTACTGGGTGGCTCTTGCCAACGGTAAATATGTTACGTGGTCTAGTAAGTCTATGGATTCCATCCTTATGAATTCAAAGGGCGTTGCATGTCTAACTAGTGCGTCCTTCTATAGGTGACTTGCCCGCTTGCTAGTTGGCCTGCCTTTCTACAGAAAGTCTCCGGATCTGGATTAGCTACGGAGCTGACCTTCAACCGCTTTGTATCGCTATTCTACCGTATTATTTGCTGTATTAGTGCCTTCACCTGTAGTACTTTATAAGTATTTTTCTATGCTTGATTTGATTTGATTTGATTTGATTTGATTTGATTATTATTTAACGTCGCCAGCAGGTCACGTGGCAAGTGACCCGCTACCTATAGACAGTGCTCGACTGCGCCAATGAAATATAAATACTATTTCCGTTCTGTGATATTATCACATGATTACGGTAAGCCTAGTGGGCAACTTGAGAAAATGTTTCAATCTTTGTATCAGGGAGATTTCCAATAGAACTAACTGGTCACTGAAGAGATGCAGCATCCTACTTCTCAATCCACCCGGCTACTATAGTGGCTATTTAATCAGTCCTAATTCAGTCTCAACAATAAAGATAGATATTACCTTATCCACCCTCCCTTTATTTTTGTTGTTCTTAGTCGAAACGATATATCGCTTCTGAGCAATGCCTTTCTTTTACGGGTCAATCCAAAAGAACAAGATGAATTCGGTACCTACGGACGAGAGTATCGAAGCTGAAGAGGAAAGAGAAGAAAAAGAAGGTCAGCCAGAAAGAGAGGGCTCAAGTACCCAGCCAAAAGGCAAACCTCCCAAACTTCCAAACAGATACCTCAAGCACCAGTCCCGCAGAATGAAGTTATTCCCAGGCTTAGGAGTCACAGCCGTCACACCTTTCTCCAGTTGTCAACGTCGTCGCCGATAAATCTCGGGACTATTGGGTTGCTTTTTTCTATTCGTAAATAAATCAGGAATAGACATGGCCTCGAAGCGCAGTCCTGTTAAGCAGACCGAGAGAATGAGAAACCGATGTCATATAAAAGGAAAAGAACAAAAACGAAGCGGTAAGGACTGACGCCCAGAAAAAATCTTGTGATCTAAAGAGACGAAGCGCTTGACGGCTCTTGGACGAAGTGCGCTGAACAGGAGCTACGGTTGACGGGGGGCAGGATCTCTTTAAGAATTAGAAAAGCTGACTTGAGTATGGTCCAGCGGCTAACAGAAGAACCTTTCCTATTTTGCAATTGTCGGTTACAATGGGATAACACAAAAGACGAGACATGACGACATCCCTGATTGTCTCCTCTGAGTGCCCTGAGTGAAGGGTGAGCAGATCCCTGAGCAACCACGAGTGCTCAGGGAGCATACGGAAATAGTTGGCCAAAACAAATCACGTGTGAGTTCGATGACTAAGATTCTGGTAAAAAGGCCGCTTGAAATGGCCTCAAGAGTAGCCGTTTTCGGCGCCGAATTTACCGTTACCTAGCGTTGTGGTGTAGTAGAGTATCGATTTATGGAATAGACTATGCGGAATGCTCGACTCATTTCCCCTCACTGTTATCGACTCCGATCGCAGAGATCAGGCCCGAGAAACATTCTCACTGATTTGCCTACTAGCCCCTTGACATTTTCAAAACGAGGCAGATAGGACCTTGCTATCGGCTGTCGGTACTCAGAGTATGCTGTATCCCGGAGTTCAGGTGGGTCAAGTCCGAGCATAGTACCAAAATAACGATGCAGTCCGACCTAGAGCTGGGAGAGACTTGAATTTATACTCACACATACCCATATTCATCATGTTATTCTAAAAATTGACAAGTACGACAAAAATCCATCTACAATGTCTTTTCCCGGTACCCCCGTGAGCTTTGGAAAGCGCTATGCCATCCTCAACCTGGATTGGATGACCGTGCTGTTAACTGCGGCTGAAGGGACGCCGCAAGGCAGGACAGTGGTGGAAAACCTCTCCAAATGGCACGAAGCAGTTCATCAAAAGAGCGACCGCCCACTCACCATCTACACAACTCTGGCGTTTAACCGTGGCCAGCCTGAATTGGAAGCGAAAAAACCATTTGCTCGATTAATCGAGTCGTTTGGAACGTTTGAAGTCGGCACTCCTAGCGCGGAGATTGATCAGCGGTTCGAATTGGATGAACAGGATATTGTTCTTCGAAAGACTAGATGGTCTGCTACTACGGGCAACAATCTGGAGCAGATCCTGAGAGCACAGGGTATTGATACCGTTGTTATTGTAAGTATCGCACAATGGAGCCAATTTCTATGATTGTCTTAACTCGGATTGATATAGTCTGGTCTCACTCTTTCGGGTGTGGTGATGGCTACCGTCTACCGCTTATTCGATCTGGACTACAATATCATTGTCATTGGGGACAATGTTCTGGAGCTTCCGCCAGACCAGCATACAATGTTTCAAAAGGTGATGCTTGAAGAACTTCTGCCTAAGATGAACCAGAAAGTTATCTCACTAGAGCAAGCTCTGGAGGCATTGAACGAGGCATGAATGGGACATTCCGAGGGCTCGTTGTGAGTATAGCTCCGCAGAGGCTTTGGGTTTATCATGATGTAATTACGTTAGACTTGACTTGCCTTGCACATATTAGATGAAATGGCCAAAAAATAAAAAAATTTGCTTGAAAAAGGAGGGTATTGCTTTAGGTACGTACCTGCAAAGCGTACATACAGTACAATGTGGCACCCGCGCAGGCCCCACCGTGGCCTGCGGACTTGACCGGATCTGAGTTTCTCAACTCCGGAGATCGGGTCAGCTTCGAGAGCGCCACCAGCCCTAATAGGCTGACAAGGACAATTCTGAGTTGGATTCCAGAATCAAATTACCAGGAACACTTGCTCCCGACTACATTCCCGCAATTGCTTGTCTAGCGTAATTTGGCCTTACCATTCCGGTGAATCAAGCAAGCCTTCTGAATTGTGGGTTTGCCATGAGAACATCTAGATATGCGACTTCGCGCCAAAAGGCATGCCAACAATGCTCGAATTCCAAGGCAAAATGTGATCGCCAAAGCTCCGGGTGTACTAGATGCAGACAACGCGGTCTCCTCTGCGTCTATCGTCGGGCAGGATCCTCGGAGGACTACACGTTATCCAGCGCCAACGATGAGCAAGAAAGGCCCAGTCCAGTTTCCGTGTCTGATGACTTGGTGCCGAGTCTCCATGAGGGCAACACGGAGAACTGGAATTTAGTGTTACCTACCCCTCTAACCTCACACAACTCCTCACATACAACGCGAGAACTTTTGGATGATCCCATGCCTATAGCTCTATCTTCCTCGGAGGGCCGCAATTCAAGCCCCCAGGGTGTCACGCCTGACTGTCTTGACTTTTCAGGGTTGAATCTTTGCTGTCCTATCAATGTGGATGAAATAATCACCCGCTGGATGAACTCATATATCCCAATTCCCGGGCAGAAAATCAAGACCTATCCTCCTGGGGTGATTGAGTTCATGACCAAGATGTTGAAGGCATTTGCTGGTGCAGCAACCCGTGGCCGAAGACTGTCATTTATTCACCATACACAGATGACCAATCAGCAGGCAAACTCACCGTTATCAACATGTTTGAGTTTGATCCGTATCTGTGAAAATCCACTGCCTGGGAGTGAACAAGCTGCCACGACGGTTCTCCAGCGCGAGATGAGAAATATCATTGAGCAACACAGCCTGTACAAGAATGATCTGACTATACTTTCCGAGTTTCAAGCCTATCTCATTTACCTTTTGGTGTTGTATTTCCGTCTCGGCGAGAGTCTGCATCGCCTGCGTTCAGAGACCGACGATTTCACTCGCCAAGCCCTAATCAACCTACAGACCATCGCACACTACGCTTGCCGACAAGGACTAACATGCGTGGCCGATCAACAGAGGGCACGTCCAAGGTGGGAGGAGTGGATTGTGGCCGAGGCTAAACGACGAACTCTCTACGTGATGTATCTCTTTGACAGTATCCTAGCCTCACGAGATAACCTGTCGATTTTCCTTGGCACCGAATTGCACGGTCTTCCCGCGGCAGCTAGTAAAGATCTATGGGAAGCGACGGATCGTGGGGACTGGGAGAGAAAGTACAATATGTTCCTTGCGGAGTGGAGTGAATTAGGTCCCACAATTGATGAGATGTGGCCGATTCCTGAAGACATGGACGATTTGAGCATTGCGAAACGGCGGTCCAGGGTAGATCGGTGGCTTGAGGATGTCGATGAATTTGGGACGATGCTGTATGCAGTTACCGTGTGTACACATGCAGGGTAATTCAATTATCTTGTGGCTGTCGATTGCCCACTGAATTATGATTGTGTAATGTGACGAGTCCCACTTGACTATGAGAGGCAATGTGTATGATATGTGTTTTTCGCCATGACTTGGCAGTATTCGTCGCAAGTATAAATGTACAACATAATGATTTGGGGTGAATAATCTCCGGGAATAGTATAAATAAAGCAAACCCTGGGTTAATAAGAATAATAATAACATCTCCGCCACTCAACTGCCGCGGAGCCACGTCGGGCAACAGGAAAACGCGGCTCTTCCGCGGTAATTCGATTGTACTGTTGTTCCGGCCGACCTACTAAGGCCAAGTTAGTACTATAGATAGCTATGCAATTTCATAGAGAGACACTGATTGTATTTGTTCTCTTTCCAAGCTTCTCTTCTTTATCATATACACTTAGTTATCTACCATGCCAACTATAGCTGTGAAGTACGAGGCAACTATTCGCTGGTACTTTCCGTATCCCCTCGGGCTCTCCGCACTAGTGGAGCCTGTGCATTTCTTCCGCATCGCCGGATTTCATAAGGTCTGGAGTATATCTTCATATGTTCATAGCTGTAGGTAGGTATCCTATAGTTATTTAGTCCTTCTCCTACTAAGATATTACTAGGCTATCTATAGTATGACCGTACGCTTCAGCCATCCTTCCCCTCAGCCACCACCATGCATGCCCTGTACACAATTGAGACCCAATTCTACCTACGATCCCCCCTGTACCTGCTCAGCATTGACTTGTCCTACCAACCTCCGATGCTAGACATATCTTTCAGAAATCCCACGTGACCATCGTCTCCTCACTTGGCCTGTGAACGTGCCAAAAATCCCAAAAAAAGACCAGACCACCCTAACCAGACCCAAATCCCGTCCCGAAGTCCCCTCCCCCCAAAATCCCAGAAAAAACCAAAACCCCACAATTCTTTTTTCCCCGCTCAGTTCCTAACGGACCTCAAATTCTTTCCCCTCTTCTTCCCCCCAAATCCCGCAGAAACCCCAACCCTATCTCCTCTCCCCAATCCAGACAAAATATACCATGGAAGACGACAAGTCTGCGAAAGTCAAGAAGAAGAGTGCCACTCACCGCAAGTCCTTGTCATGTGAATATTGCAGTCGCTCGTTCGCTCGCTTGGAACATCTCCAACGCCATCTCCGCACCCGTTGAGTAACCCCCCTCCTTCGACTCCACGAGTCCTGTCGACTCCTCCCTAACGTCGGACAACAGATACCAAAGAAAAGCCCTTCTCATGTGACATTTGCTCCAAGTCCTTCGCGCGGAGGTAAGTCCATGACGTTTCCTGGGTTTCCCCTTGCTCCTCTTGCGTCCCCTCCCCCAGCCCCCAATGCCCACCCCCAATTGCTTATATCGGGGATTCACAGTGACCTGCTGGTGCGACATGAGCGATTGGTGCACCCTGCCGAAAGTGCGGCCGGTCGAGAACACCGTGCCCATAACGGCGATAACCATCACCACGAGATTTCAATCCAGTCGACGATAATTCAACCCGCTGCCCACCATGAATCCCGCATGCTAGAGCTGGCCGATGCCATCCCGGTCCATACCCAAGTACCCCCTCCCCCCCCGAAGTGCAGGTCCAACCACCCCCGATCGTCGAGACCACCCACTTCAATCCTTCCTGGGGCTACGACCTGAATCTACTGTCGCACGCTGCAAGTCATGTCGCATTGGAAGGACAGCAGGAGAATCTGGAGTCCATTCGGAAAACATCCCATGCGATCGGCACGCCATCCCAATCCCTACCACCGGTTCCGGAGAGAGGAATTACCGATAATTATGGTGTAGAACCGTCAATTCTTGACCTCACGGACCTGGGTGACCCGGTCCAAGACTTTACTGTCTTTCTCGAGAGTGTAGGCTTGTCATCCGACTGGGACTCTGGAGTCTTCTCCTCGGTCGAAGAACCCATGTTACCGCCAAGTCTATCAATGGACTCCAAGCCGCAAATTCGCGAGGCCGCCGCATCGACGAGGTTAGGGGTGACCTAATGAGCGATCCACGCGGGCCGGCAGACGAACAGCCCTCCTTCTCAAATTTCGGATCCAGGTTACCGTCTCTACAGCCCGAGTCTCACGACATTGAGGATCGCATTGGACTCTCCGATGAGGGCTCCCGACCCGCATGGGATATAACCAATGCCGATCGACAAGTCTTTGTTCAGAAATTGGAGGAGTTCTCATTTGTCCTGCCGAAGGGATTTGTTCCCCCGTCACGTCATACCCTATCTCGCTTCTTCGCTGGCTATATCAATGGCTTGAATGAGCATCTTCCCTTCGTGCACGTGCCGACCTTGTCAATTGCGAAGTGCTCTCCGGAGCTCACTTTGGCCACGGCAGCCGCCGGATCACATTATCGCTTTGAAAATGGCCGAGGAAATGATCTCTTCCATGCGGCCAAAGCAATTCTCTTAGAGCGGCTTCGCCGGAGGGACAGCCGACAAGTGCCTCATCCATCCTGGAATTATATCTCTCCTCCGTCGGGCTTCCATAATTCGCGGGGTTCGTCGATGATCTCGAACACAGCGAGCAGCCCGTTCCAGAGTCAGCATATGCCTAATCCGCCTGTGAACCCTTCTATCTATACCCTCGATGACTCCGACGCACATATGGAAGTGATAAGGACTTTTCTGCTGCTGACTGTGTTTGCGTCCTGGGAGAGACACCCGGAACTACTACGGGAGATCCTCTCATTGCAAAGCACGTTGGCACGACTCGTTCGAGAACACGGCTTGGCAGAGCTCCCTCCTCCCCCCGAGCCCATCAGTTGGGAAGAGTGGGTTCGTAGAGAGGGTAACAGAAGGACGAAGCTGATTGTCTACTGCTTCTTCAATCTCCACTCTATAATGTACAACATTCCCCCCTGATTCTAAACGGGGAGCTGAAGTTGAACATGCCCTGCTCCCATGACCTCTGGAAGGCCAACAATGCCGCTCAATGGCGGCGCCTTCAACGTGTCCGACAGGGCTCGGATGTCCCTTTCCAAGATGCATTTGCCCGACTCTTCATGAAATCCTCGACCTCTTTCCCTTCAGCTCCTATATCGCCCTTGGGTAACTATATCCTGATCCATGCCATTATACAGCAAATCTTCTTTGCTCGGCAACTCTGTCTATCTGCCCCGAACATGCATGGGACCAGCCTGCGACAGGAAGATCTCAACGTGTTGGATAACTCGTTGAGCGCCTGGAAGGCCCTGTGGAAACGCACGCCTGAATCCAGCATCGACCCCCAAAACCCTGCCGGCCCCATCGCTTTCACCTCGACTGCTTTGCTAGGCCTCGCATATATTCGACTGCACGTCGACCTAGGACCCTGTCGCCACCTTATCACCCAAGATCCACACCAAATCGCCGGAGCTCTCGGCGAATCCCCACCTCTCGTCCGCAGCCCAAGACTGATAATGGCACTCCTGCACTCCGCACACGCCCTCTCAATCCCAGTGCGACTGGGCATCGACTTCGTCGCTCGCACACACTCCTTCTTCTGGAGTATCCAGCACTCACTGTGCAGCCTGGAATGCGCATTCCTCCTCAGCCGCTGGCTCCTCGCCATCCCCGCGACCCAGTCCGAGCAGCGACTCTCGGAGCACGAGCGGAAACTCCTCCTGTGGATCAAGAGCATGATGGATGAAACCGATATGGCTGTTGATCCGCCCGGAGCGCCGGACCTGGAGTTCATGGCGAATCCGTATAAGGTCCGGCAGCTGAGCGTTGCGATTGTCCGCGTGTGGGCGCGCACGTTCAAGGGGAATACCAGCTGGGCGATTGTGGATTTGGTTGGGTCCAGTTTGGATGCTTATGCTGATCTCCTGGAAAGCTGGACGGCCTCCTAAGGAGAGGTTGAGAGGTGAAAACAGGCGGCTGCGAATGAACCCATCTCTGCACGACCACGTCTTGATCAATGGCGCAGCCACTTTAATGACCCTTTTTTTTCCTTGACTATTTTGCTTTTTTGTTTGATTTGATGAACACGACTATTCAGCGGAGTTTTGTATATGCGAGGTTTGAGGTTCTGGGATTGATCACTTTGGAATACTGTTCTTCATTTTTTTTTTTGACGGCCTGCTCTCATGGTTTCTGTATGTATTATGATTTTCAGCCCTTGTGATTGCTGTCTATACCCGGTGATGCGCGCGTTTCTTAGCTAGGACTTGGAATGATGATTTTGTTTGGCCCTAGTTGGTTCTTGCTTTTCTTTTTCGTTTTTAAAAATGATTTGGCCTTGGCTGATCTAATCAACGCATTTGATATCCCATAATATGATGCTATTCGGTCCAGTCTACCCTGTTCATTAAGGGCAATTTTTATTACTTTCATCAAGTCATAACATCTCACCCCTTCCAAATCCCTTCCACGCAAGCAGAAAAAGCCTGCCCACAAATGACAGTGTGGTACCTAATCAAGGCTTCTTCTGTGGCACTCTACCTCGATTCCTCATCACACTCGCAGGCACGAAACGCAACGCAGACATGGACTGGGCCAGCCCATCTATTTCCATGTCATCCGCCGTATCCGCTGCTCGACCAGGGGACTGAGGTTCCGCTCTTTGCGGAACAGTCGGTTGAGATACCGAGCTACGACGCCGCAGTCGACCCTCTTGGATGGAAGAGATGGACGCTGAGGAAATGCGGCGTCTGTGGCTTTTGTTTAGGGGTCTTAGTAGTGAGGTTTGTTTGTCGATGCCGTCGTTGATGATGTAGAAGTTGTAAGTCTGAGACGGGGTTAGTAAAATGTATATCTCAGTCAATACTTTTGGAAGGCAAAAGACAAAAGGAGTGAAGACGTACTCGTGGAAACATGTGCTTGTCTATCAAATGGAGCCGCCGTTTCTGTGGCGAAGAGCATTTACGCTCGCAGTCTTCAATGAAGCAGCCATACTATCCCAGGTCACCAATCCAGGTTAGCAGGCTGAATACTCGGAAGAAGTATATCCTGATTAAAACGGTTAATCAGTTTAATCAGTACTTACAGTCTTCTCCCCCCTCGCCCTCATCGCCGCCACAAGCGAATCATGATTCTCCTCGATATGAAGATTCAAGAAATGTGCCGTGGGAAAATTCTTGCTACACAGCGAACACCGATTAACATGCGCCTGCTGGTAATGCACCTCGTAGTCCTCGTACGAGGCGAACGCGAGCGTCTCGCGGTGCGGCGGTAAAGCGCAATGCATGACCTCGACGAACGGGACGGTGTCGGTGTCCCGGTGGAGGATTTTGCTACGATCGGGTGGTAACGTGGCCGTGCTGGGGGTTGAGGAGGATGGGGAGCTACTCCTGGAGGGTGAGTCCGGATTGAGGGAGGGACTCCGCGAGCGGCTTTGGGAGCGTGAACGTGAGCGTTTGGCCATTTTGGTGGCCGAGGGTTGGACCCCGGAGGGGGGTCACTGGGCACTGGGTGCTGGGCAGTTTCTTGTGACTGATCGGACTGCGGCGGGGCCTTGGTGCATGTCTGGTGCAGTAGCGGGTTTAGTGGAGGCAGACGATGGCAGGCATAGTGGGAGGGGAAGTGCTGGGAAGGTGGAAGTTGAGAGTTGAGAGTTGAGAAGGTCTGGAGTATAGAGAAAGTAGGGCTGCTGGGCTCTGCGACCGAGGACAATATGGGCGATAACCCTATGCCAGGACCATTATCTTTTTTGCATGCATTGAGTAATAATACCCTCTACAACTTCATTCACACGATAGTTCAACTGTATTTTATCAGTATCCAGTATCCTTCGAAATATTCACCAGCCACAGTGACTGGCGCAGCCACACGAGATTCCGCGGGAGTACTCCACGCCCTCGACTCGTCTCCACGCTTTTTCCAATCCTTCAATTCCCCGTCCCCTTCAACCTTCCCATCCTTTGTCCTCCTTCCAACTCCCCGCTCCATTCTCGCCTCTGGTCCCGATCTGATGGCTTGTTCACCGCTGCCTTCGCCCGCAGACGTCCATCCAGCCATAGCCATCTGACGGGCGACGGTCTACGGTGGGGTGGGCAATCCGCACGTCCCAACCCAAGCATGGCGTCCTCGTTTCAGGATGCGTGGCAGTGAGTCTACTCCCTCTCTGTCTCTGTTTATGTTTCTCTTCATTCTCCAAATATGCCAGCCAAGGCGAAATTGGAAATCTAAAAAACTGACCTCCCGTCGTGCAGGACTGCGCTCGATGTCGAACGCGAATTGTTGCGCTGCCTCGTTGAGAAGGAGCCGACCTTTGCCGAGATCTCACAACTTCTGTCCGAGTACGTCCCCATTTCGCGATCCATGTGGCTATTACACACTTTGCGCGCTTCTCAGAGATACCCCCATCTAACATTCGCGTCACATTTGTCCCAGATTCCGCACCGCTTGCCAGAATGCGATCCTTCTCGATTTCGATACCGCTCGTGCAACCGATGTGGAGGGTCGCCTATGGGATGCGCACCTAAAACTCAACACTCGGTTCCGCAAGTTACTCGCTCGTGTGAGTAGAGGGCTGGCTGGGGAAGTATCTGCGGTGTTTGGGCTAACATGTGCGGTTTGAATAGTATCGCGAGGAGAACACGAAGAAGAGACCCGTCGAGAAACGGAAGCTCGAAAAGCATTACCTTGATTTTATCAAATCAAGCCAGCGATTCTATCGGGGATATATCCAGCACCTATCCTCACATTTCGGAGGCATCGTGGAATTGGAGAAAGTGGCGCGCAAGTTCAATGTCGAGAGTGCGCAGCGTCCTATTCCTCTTGTGTGTGATCTACAGAATACTTACAAATTTTTGCTTTCTTTTCTTCTTTAGACCTGTCGGCTACCCCTCCATCTTCGATTACGCCTGAGTTGCGCTTGCGCATCCTTCAGTCCTGCCATGCGACTCTCATTCGACTGGGTGATCTCTCTCGGTATCGGGAAACCGAACTTGCCAGCAACAAACGCAATTGGGGCCCGGCCATTGGGTACTACGACCTGGCCTCGGTGATCTACCCTGCATCGGGGGCATCCCATAACCAGCTGGCAGTAATCGCGCTGGCCGATGGCAATCACTTCCGAGCTACATATCACCTCTACCGAGCATTGTCCGCCCACAACCCGCATCCCTCTGCAAAGGGAAATCTGGAAATCGAATTCAAAAAGGTCATGAACCTCTGGGTCAAGCGAGAATTGATTAGGCCAGAGGATCAAGGAATTCCGGGCAAAGCATTGGCACCGTGGTTTGTCTATCTCCATGCACAATGTTACAAGGGCAACGACTTTCCCGAGCACGATGAGCTTGAGAGCGAGGTGATGAGCCAACTGGCAGTTGACATCAGGGAGCGCTCACATGAAGGAACGCTTCAAAAGTTCTGTCTGGTCAACATTGCTGCAGAGGACTTTGCCCGAACTCGGTCCACCGCGGAATCTGTCTCAAATGCGCGGATGTTCTTCCAGCGCATTAATGTGAAGACCTTTTTCACATTATTGCAGATCCTGTTGGTTGAGCTAGAGCGGTTTGCTGGTGAAGATTCAAGCACCAGCAGCAAAGACTCGAAGAATGGTCCCGACAAGGTCACTGTCGTTGCTCGACGAATCCTGCCCGCTTTGCGACATTACAGCTCTTGGCTTCTGACCACCAGTGACTTTCTCATCTCGCCCAAGGAAGAGCAGGACTCGTCTCTGACGATCCAGATTCAAGAGTTCTGGAAGATTTACGCAGGCACCCTGACCCTGTTGGCATCCACCTTTGATGTCGTCCATCTTCCAGAGGTCGATTATCTTTTGGAAGAGGATGAAGAAAGCCTCGGCTTTGCGCCACTAGACCAGGCTGCGACTTCTCGCCGTTATGTCGGTTTAGGTGATAAGCTTAAACCTAGGATGAACGATCCCGGTGTTGAAAGAAGCCATCCAAACATAGAGATGCTCTACCGGATCCGCGAGTTCGTGATTGATGGTTTGGATTTGGTCGTGAGAAACGTACGTTGCACTGTTTGATAAGGTTTTTATTCAAATTTCTGACCATCTTCTAGAAAATTCCTCTTGCCCTTGTGGATGAAGAGGACAAGAAGACTTTCATCTACCAGGAGGATGGATTACCTTCGCAGTTCTTCTCAAGCCCCCATGGTCGCCAGAATACCCTCACGACACCGATTATTGAACGAGAGGATATCCCACCAGCAGATCAAGATTCAGCCTCTGGCACCGAGGCTCGCAGCATGTACGGCGACTCGCAGTCTGCCTCGGCCTCGGCCTCCGCATCGATGTCGGCCAACATGCATCGCATCGTCGAGGATATGGAGCGCTTGGTCGAGTCCGATACATATGAGAATGCGCCCAATGTCCCTGATCAGTTCGCCTTCCTGCATGATTCCAGGGAGATGCCCACTCCTTCGGCTCGAATGGCGGCAAATCTCTCTGCCTTCCCCTTTAGCGAGCAAATCGCACAGCGGCTTAGCACTCCAAGGGCTCCTCCTGGCCTAGTTCCACCTGTCGTCAACACAGCAGAGACCGTCCGTCCATCGGTATCTCAATCTTACACTCCACTCGTTGGGCTCCCCAGCATCCCCAGCATCTGGAATACTTCATCGCCCGCACCTCTGCGGGACGGTGCCTCTCCATGCACACCACCAGGTCTCAGCCAGCCCTCCTCCATGAATCCAATGGGTTCAGTAAATCCTCACGCTACCGGGTCCCCATCGCAAGACCAGATCGCAAATGAACTGCTTCGACATCAACTAATGGCCCAGGCACAGAATTCCAGCTCCCTGGAGATGTCAAGCTCCATGCCATCATGGGTTTTCCAATCCAATGCACAGCCCGCAAACAATTGGGGCCCGGATCCGCGCAGATTATCCTACAACGTTCCTAGCCAGCCAATGTCGAGCGGATTACCAACCCAGTCGTGGGCTAACGATGCCTTCATCGCTAGCAGTCTGGCTTCAGGTACCGGGGCCTTCAACTCGGGATTCAACGGCCATCGCAAATCGACCACTCAGCTTGGCGCTATTGGTCAAACCCCACCTTGTGGGCAGGGCGGTTGATAATGGCCTTCTGCGGCTTATCTATCAGTATCAATTGCACGTGTGACGAACATACCCAATCTGGCGACTGAGCGAGACCATGGACTGCAAGCACGAATCCATGCTCAGTTATCTCGGTACTAGCATGGAGTGCGTTGTTTCCTATGGCCGGGGACCATCGATCTACACATGGAATGTGGTATCCATAATTATCTAGATGCATCTAGGTCAACTCCAGCTGTGCAGATCTCGATAATCACCCGGTTTGTTCCCCAGTAGCCCGAGAATATTCCTCATTCCGGCCCTGAGATCCAACAAAATCCCCCTAGAGTTCGTGTCTCGATGGATCCTAGCACTTTGATTCCCCTGTGGCAATTTCCCTAATACTCCACCCTGTTTGAAGGACTGCGGTGATTGGCACTGTGCGTTCAACACGCAACACAGAGGAATCAATGCCCGAGTAAAGGGTTGTCTGCGGGTATCTTTCGCCCCGGTTTTATTTTTTGAGGAGGATGGATACGTTAGCGATATTCTTAAGTTATCCCCTTTTTCTTTCTTCCAGTTTCACGCAAATCGAAACAATCCGTGATTGAAATTCTTTTCTTGTTAGCCCAGTCTGTTTTTATCTTTGAGTGGAGGGAGGGGAGCTAAGTTGAAGGTGAAGGGTTCTAGTGGTGGAACAGGGGTGTCTACTTTATGAACTTGATACCTTGCCACGGCCAGGATTCAGGATTGTCTCGAATGGACTGCTAGAGCCGGTAAAAAGCAATTCACGTTTTCATGTACTCCCTCTTCGCAAGAATTTTATACCATCAGGTACCAGATATGATTAAGAGTGTTCACAGAGATGTACGGTTTATTGATGTTTATCTAGTCATTAAATCGTTGTTGAAAACGGGGCACTCTCGCTTCAGCGCGTAATTCCCCAGAATTTTTTGTCTGCTTTTGCCCCCCTTTTGTATCACATCTCACATATGGCCATACCATTTCTAGACACAGGACCGTGTGGTCAGTCCAACTGGAATCAGCAATGACATGGAGAGAAGGTGAATGGAAGCAAGATCATTTCATCAGGGACAGGTAAGTCCCTTTCGTTGCATTGCTCGACGTTAAGTCGAGGCAGGTGGTGAGGTAGATAGATTGGAAATAAGGAAATATGACATAAATGAAAATTTGGGTATAGAGGGTTGAATCATCCAAGGGTTGCGTGGTGCATCGTCGTCAGTCAATGAGGTTGATGCACCGAGACCTTCATCAGAAAGGCTCTGTGTTGAAAGGTGTTATTTCTATTCGGTTATCTTTGTGATAAGATGGACCGCTTAAGAGCGGGAGTAGGTCTGCTTGGGGGAGGGGAAGCTGGAGATGACATGTTAGTCTTTGACAGATATTTTGGGACACTTCGAGGGAACACTTACGAAGGTCCAAGCTCCTGGATGCTCTTGCTGGCGAGCCACTGGCCCATGTCAATGCTGTCATCAAGAGACTTGCCAGAGACAACACCAGCGCAGAAGCCACCGGCGAAGGCATCACTGTTAAATTGAAAAGTTAGTACACCGTAGTAGGACAGGGTACCCGGCTAAAACTTACCCGGCACCGTTGGTGTCGTTGATAGCATCCTTGGAGATTTCGTGAACCTTGAACTCCTTGATCTCGACGGTGCCGTCGGCGGAGGCAACACCGACAACGGTAGGAAGAGTACCCTGGGTGACGATAGCGACGCGGGGGCGCTGGGTGTTCTTCTTGGGCAGCAGGGCGAGCTTCTTGGCGATCTCAACGACGTCCTCAGTGCCCCACTCGTGGCTGGCGGCATAAGCACGAGCCTCGGTCTCGTTACAGAAAGTGTAGTCGGTGTAGGGGAGGACGCTGTCGAGCTGCTCCTTGAAGAACTGGGGAATGAAGGGAGCAGACAGAGAGAGCATGAAGATCTGGAGGTTGCAAGCATGTGAGCAGATGATATTTTCTGGATTCAAGCAGGAGTTTACTAACCTTGTTCTTCGCGGCAGCCTCCTCGCCGAGGGCCTGGATGGCGGGAACACAGACAGTCAGGTGGTAGCCACCGACGTAGTAGAACTGAGCCTTCTCGACCAGGGACCAGACGTGGGGCTGCTTCAGGTGCTCAATCTTGTACTCGTTGGCAGCAGCGAGGTGAGTGCACATGCTACGGTTGTGGCCAGTGATAACGACACCGCATTTGCCAGTGGGCTGAGTCTCGTCGACACGGTACTCAGTGTGGACACCAGCCTCCTCGCAGGTCTTCTTCAGGATGTCACCGTACTTGTCCTTGCCAACGCAGCCAATGTAGACGACCGAGTTCTCGGGGAGCATATACTTTGGAAAACAGTCAGAACTGAGATCCTACTCTATTCATCTCGATGATATTTTCTTACCTGGGCACCACGGGCAGTGTTCTGAGCAGCACCACCGGGGATCAGCTTAGCATCCCGAGCAAGGAGATCCTCGTAGATACCCATGTGCTGCTCCTCGGCAAGGATAGCATCGTTATCCTTCAGGTCGTACTTCTCGAGAAGGGCGGCATCACTTGAGAGAATTGTCAGTGGATTGGATACTATAGCCCGATAAGGAAATCAATTCGTACCCGCGAGCCTGGATGTCTAGCGGGGTGTCAGCACTCTAGTATACCAAATCTATTCAGAAAAATCAAGGGTAAACAAACCAAGGAGAGGGTTCTCCAGGCACAGCAGAGGGTATCCTTGAGGAGCGGCCATTTTGCAAATATGATCAATTGGAGAGAAATGAAGTTGAGGGGATGTCTAAGGGGAAGAAAAGTAAAGGCCAGCGCAGAAGAAAAGGTGGGAGGAGGATGGAGGGGTCCGGCAGAAAAGAAGCCGGGCGGAAGGTTCCCCCAAAAAGGTGGCCCGCCTGAAGCTCCACACGCCGGGACCTTGAACTCGCCTTCTCCAGGATACAAACACCTTGCGAAAAAGCGATTCCACCCCACGCCATTCACAATGACTGACCATATTCTGGAGGTCGCCGAGACCATCCAAACAGCCTCTATTGTCTCGCACCCGTCTGCCACCCACGATCTCAACCCGTCCACCGCGGCCTCGGAAAAGCAGCCCGTTGTTGTAGCCCCGGCTTCCGATGCTGGCAGTCTGTCTTCGGACATTGTTGATCCAAGCCGAGTCATTCGCCCTATTCGTCGGCGCCAGACACTTCCTCCTCTGCCGGACTTGCGCTTCGAGCAGAGCTATCTGGCTAGTTTGAAAGGAGCCGACACCTGGGGACGGGTAGCGTGGATTACCATCAGGGACCAGGTACGGGGAACCGGGGAACCTATATCGGATGAACCGCATAGTGAAATTCGCATGGCTAACGATGATTGTTTCTTGCTCCAGGTCCTTCTCCCTCTTATCCAAGGCACAGTCTGGACACTCGCGCTGTCTGGGTGGCGCTTCTGGAACCGCAATGCCTCGCTTAGCGGACATACACTGGGAAGCAGAATCCGCAGGTGGTGGTACGGAGTCAACAACTGGAAGTTGCCGCCGGTGGGCTGGACCAAGGATCCTAAGCTGGCCTCGCGGGTCGAAGATGTGAGTCATTCATTCCAATGAACAAGAAGATATCAAGTGAACGTATGTGGCTGACGGCTCAGGAGTTTTTGCAGTTCTACGAAGCCCAGTTTTCCAACGCTGGTTCTGACTGAGTCCTCATGGTGCTGAGACCTGGATTGTCTCAGTGGCTTTGAGGAATTATATATTGTCTTGCTAGCATCAGTGGCGTTGGAATCCTGGCGTTTTGTTGGATTTTTTACCTTCTTGTTATATATCCCAACATCTTAGAGTGTTCTATCTTTCTGTCGGCAAAAGTCATGTACCTCCATTACGTTCTCTATCTCAAATCAGTACATACCACGGCATCTTTCAAGATACAACTTGTATATCAGATACATTGTTTCAGCTCGGACCTCGAGCTTATTGTCAAAATTTCCGTATCTGTTTCTATCTACGGCGCTTGGAATGACTGAAGGCGAGTGAAGCCAAGTGTGACACCCCAATTCTAAGCAAATGGCGTAAGACTCCTCAATCATTGGCCAAAAGTGAAAAACATTAGACATCTGTCAGCCTATCTGACAAAGACAAAGTAAGAATAATGAATAGCCTCTCAGCCTGTCGGTGGCGGTGGCGCCTGCGCACGAGGCAGCTCGGAGCTGGGTCGATTCTCAGTACCCTGATGAGACCCATTCCAGCCGTTTAACGAGACCGGCTGGTTAGTTCTCGGTGCTTCTGATGGCGCGGAGACAGGGTGAGACACGTCGGTCGATACCTGAACAGCGGGCTCGGGGGTGTTCAAGAGTGCAGACATTGGTAATCCAGTCACCTTTGGAACTGCTGGCTGGGTAGGAACCTGAGGTGCTGGAGCCGAGGCGAAAGCCGATGCGGTCGCAGATGGAGCTGCTGCAGGCCCTGTTGCCGGGGGTGGCTGCGGTGTGTCTTTAGGAACGTACGCTTCATTAGGCACGCCAGCTTGTCCAGCATCTTCCATCGAAGCATCCTTTGGAGGAGGCTCGTCAGGATCTTTGGGCCCACCGGGCGCACCGCCCTTACCGTATCGAAGCTGAACCACGAGACTTCTGGGCTCCCCGTTGATGATAGATTCATCGCCACTCGCATCATCCCCTTCGTCATCGCCCTCAAAATCATTTTCATCCTCATCCCCACCGTCCCATTCATTCCCACTGTCATTGGAGCGAGCTTCGGACTCATCGTCCTCATCGAGACCATAACCAGAGTAGCCGTTGGGATGAGTTGATGTCCGGTTCCGTTGCGGTCTTGAACCATCTTCTTCCTCATATTCGGAATCTTCCCGCTGGCCACTGAGCAATGATTCACCGTATGCGCCGCCTGCCCGAGACCTAACTTGGCGGCCACTTGCAGTGAATCGAGGACGCGAGGGTTCAGCCGGTGTCACGCCGGATGAATTCCGGGCTGATCGTCTAGCGGGCTGGTCATCTGAGAAGAAGTCCTCGTCATCGTCGTAGGTGTATTTCAGCTTCTTGCCACGGGTGCGGCCCTCATACAAGGAGAAGCCGGGCTCCGGGCGAGCAAATGCAGCCTTGCGTGCAAGACGGTAGTCGCGACGCTTGCGCTTCTGTACCGTTTGTTAGCCACCGGCCTCCATGCATTTCCCACCCTCCGTATCATCGAAGAACTTACCTCTTCTGAAGCTTCAAACCGAGGGATGGCGGCTCTGATCCGTTCGCTAAGTTTCTTCGAATTCGTACCCTTCTCCTCCTGCAATTTACCGGCGATAGCCTGTATTTCTGGAATATCACCAGCAACACTCCACCAGGTAATGGTCTTGAGAGCAGGGTTGCTCTCACGGTATAACCGGAAGTGCGTATCATCTTGACCTTCGATAAGCCAATATCGACGTTTCAGGCTATCCTTACCCCAGGGCTGAACGGATAGGGGCTGGTTCAAGTCATCATCATGGCGCGACTGCTTATACGATTCCTTGATCTTTGCCTGAATTGCATCGGATGACGAGAGGGACCAGAGGATCAAAGCGCGTAGGAGTTCGAGCTATTGATATTAAAATAAAATGGATCAGCGGCCTTGCGCGGGTAATCATGTTGTTTGAAAGCGTACCCGTTCTGCGGGCGACATGGTCGCAAAAGTGCGACCACCATGCAGAGGGTTCTTGCCCTCCCATGCCTTTGGCCACTGCGATTGATGAACTTGAATCGCCTCCTCTAGCGGTCGCGTATAGTGATTTCGTCTGATAAAATGAGAGCCCATGTCAGCGCATAATTTGGGAAGCCATTGAGAGATAGGGGCCAAGGGCGCGCGCTATGCTAGCACACCGCGGGGGACCGGGTATTGGGTGGCGACCATACTCAACATCCTTCTTGCGATTCAAAACAAGTCCTAGCAGCGCGCATAGTAGGCGCTCAATGTATTCTCCAGGGACCAAGTCCTCAACTCCTTTCTCAATGTCTTGCGGTCCGAAGTGTGGCAGGCTTCGAGGGAAAGCTTCGTGGAAACGCGCGCGGAACGTGACGATGAACTAGGCCATTGCGACAAGTCAGCGAACGTGTCTTTGAGTAGAATTGACGCGTCATAGAGATAGCCATATGTGCAGAAATGGATAGGAGCCATTCAATGGGACAATAACTTACCGCGATGTTCGGGTTATCAGCCAGAACGTATTCATGCGGCGGTGATGGTTCCCGCTTTGGCGGCGGAGTCTCCGACTCCTTCTTGAAGTACTTTGCAATACCAAGTGGCTCGTCGATGGCCATGGCTGCTTCGTCATCAGTCGGTGGAGCTGATGAAAGTGAGGAAAGATCCGAGTCTGAGTGTGCCATGATAGATGTGATGGTGGGGGGAAGGTGATGAGAGAAGGACAAGAGTTTGGAGCCGGCTCAGGAAGCGTCACGTCGGTAATGGCACTTGCGCCCGCAGGGCGATTATTTAAGGGAGATCCCTTACGCGACAGAAGCCATTTGATTTGCGCAGATTCATTCAAACGTAGTGCTGTACTGTACAATGTCTTGTATTCACTAAAAGGAACGATCTATAGCTATTCAAATTTGGAAGAGTCAAGGACTATAGGTATATAGATGAGCAACGACGAGTAGTATAGATCTCTTGGAGATGTCGCTCTAGTAGAATTCAGGTATGTATATTATGAAAGAGGATTTAAGGTCTCTCTCAAAGATAATGGTAATTGCTTTGACTATGTATGTTGACCAGTATGATATGCTCGCGTCTAGCAGTTCGTCATTTAGCAGCGTATCACTTAGCTTGATATCCAATGGTAAAGTACGCCGTCAAGGGGCATGAACTGTGAGGAATAGGAAAGGGCGAAGATAAACTCGAATGCTGGCGGGCCAGGAAAGAGGGGGAATAATGACTACGGACCAGATTCTGTTGCAGCTGGATGGGCAACCAGTCAGTCACCAAACTTGGTCGCTCTCCGCAGTCGAAAGGACAGAGCGGCCTAGCGCTCTGGCGTCAGGGCTATCGTGTTGGTCACGTGGTTGGTTATGTAACCCAGGCGAAGGCGGACTCGTTGTGGAGAGGGTTAGGCTAGAAGGTATCAATCATCGAGGGTAGTGATGTATAGAAAGGGAAATTGTAGTATCTGGGTCCATTCCGTATTGTGTATTCCATTTTCTATTTCCATGTCACTCCTCAATCAGTAGAGCTTTCGTGTGAAACCCCGTCCAACTGGTCTGTTCTGGTTGTATGTGCTGACCTAATCCGTGGTTGCGCTAGCACCGATTTGGCTAGGTTAGCGACCGCACCCTAAAGCCCACACAGTCCCGTCCCCGAGCATTTCTCATCCTCTTCAACGACAAGTCCCATCTTCAATTCGAGGTACGACCTTTTCCCTTCCCACTCGACTCTGTCTTCGCCGGCAATCGACTGCCTGTCCTTCGCAAATACTAACACAGGTACTCCTTTAGACAGTCGCCATGGGTCGCGTTATCCGCAACCAGAGGAAGGGCCGTGGCTCCATTTTCAGTGAGTGCGATCGCATCAAAATTTCCCATCCTCGCCCCCGATTCTTTTCGTCCGCGCGAACGCACGACCGCAACGAAAAAAAATCCCACAGACTGGAGGAAACGGGCGACCTGACATGGGCTTTGGAATTGGAATACTGATGATCATTTTCTTCTCTGTACAGCGGCCAACACCCGTCTCAACAAGGCCCCGGCCCAGTTCCGTACCCTTGACTACGCTGAGCGTCATGGATACACCCGTGGTGTCGTGAAGGAGATCATCCACGATGCCGGCCGTGGTGCTCCCCTCGCCAAGGTCCAGTTCCGCCACCCCTACAAGTTCAAGATGGTCACCGAGACCTTCATCGCCAACGAGGGCATGTACACCGGCCAGTTCATCTACGCCGGTAAGAACGCTGCCCTGACCGTCGGCAACGTCCTTCCCCTCGCCTCCATGCCCGAGGGTACCGTCATCTCCAACGTCGAGGAGAAGGCCGGTGACCGTGGTGCTCTTGGCCGTACCTCCGGTAACTACGTTACCGTTATTGGCCACAACCCCGAGGATGGCAAGACCCGTGTCAAGCTCCCCTCCGGTGCCAAGAAGGTCATCAAGAACACCGCCCGTGGTATGGTTGGTATCGTCGCCGGTGGTGGCCGTACCGACAAGCCCCTGCTCAAGGCTTCTCGTGCCAAGCACAAGTTCGCTGTCAAGCGCAACTCTTGGCCCAAGACTCGTGGTGTTGCCATGAACCCCGTCGATCACGTAAGTTTTGTCCCATTTCAACCCCGAGTCCGGTGAGACCACATACCTAACCACTTTCTTCTCCTACAGCCTCACGGTGGTGGTAACCACCAGCACATCGGTAAGGCCTCGACCATCTCCCGCTACGCTGCCCAGGGTCAGAAGGCCGGTCTCATTGCCGCCCGCAGAACTGGTCTGCTCCGCGGTACCCAGAAGACCAAGGATTAAGCGTGATGTTACGTGGAGTTTTTCTTGTGACGGGTTGAAAATGGACTTCTGCAATGAGACATATGTATCTAGGCGACTGCGGATAGGCGTCCCATGCGCCCTTAGCGAATTAAGGTTGTGGCCACCATCCTTCTTACTGTTCGAGCAAACTCAAAAGGGTGATGGGGATGGGGTCCGGGGCTGGCCTCATGTCACGGCAGAACGGAAAAGTCAAAAAAGGCCCGCGGGGGCTCTTGAAATGATACACCTTTCAAATCTTCAAATCCGTTCTGTGCTGTCCACCCTGTAGATTGAGATGTAGATATTGGGGGTTATCATTTTTGTCCCGATATTGTAGTAGAAGTAATAGAGCCCCCTTGGTTGCGGAGCTTAACCGTACATCCTTCGACACCATCTACGTGAGTTCTCCAACGGGTCTCTCTTGCCGATCCAGTCTGAGGCATGGGCCTAGTCTTTCCTATCCAGTGAACTGTGGGCTTATCTATGCTTGGCCCTATCTGCGGGGCTTCCTTCTACAGCTGGAAGCATCACGAGCCTTCTCCGAATTGCCCGTCCAGCATCGAACCTGCCAAAATATAGATCCGAAGAGTCTGTACTGTAGCCCGGTCTATTCGATTCATTAGAATACGCCGCTGTGATACATGTGCCGGTCCATAAGTCGACTATACAACACCCTTGACGGCAGCCTGCGTCAGTTCCCGGTGAGAGGTTATATACCAAGTACAATCCATTCGAAGATTCCAGGTTGGTAGTAATCAATTAATTCTATATTGTATTTTGTAGGTAACAATCAACTATTATCTTCTTTTGACTTGATCATACCTGTATTGAGGTCGGGTACTGTAAGGAAGTGCTTCAGTCTGTGCGTGATGTGATATATATTTGAGATAGCGCTCGTGGCCTGTAACTCCAAAAACATTATTTGAACCTCAGCGACGATGTAGCGATAAACAAAAATTATTTAATAATAACTGAAGAAGAATAAAAACTCCCAACCTCTTCGCTCGCATTTAGCTCCAGTGTTTGACGTAACCGTTGGCCGTCGCCGTAAGAATTGACCACCAGATTGGCGTTGATCTCAAAGTGACCAATCAGCGGCTCGTCCCAGCCAAAGAACCACCTTACGTAGTGGACTCGAAGCATTAAAGTGTTCCCTCCGCCCAGCAAGAACCCAGGACCATGCAGTTCTTTTCTTGGACTCAACCTACATGGAAATATCTGAACGAACTTCAGCCACGATGACATCTAAGCACACTCCACAGAAGATCCCCCGCCTCACACCGTCCACCGATACTCTCACCTCGTCGCAGCGATGGCAAGCCATCACCAATCGCGACCCAACCATCAACAGCTTCGTCTACGGAGTACTGACAACCAAGATCTACTGCCGCCCATCCTGTGCCGCTCGCCTGGCACGCCGCGCCAACGTCCAATTCTACGACACCCCCTCTCAAGCCGAGGAAGCCGGATTCCGAGCCTGCAAGCGCTGCCGGCCCCAAGCGGGAGGCACAGCGCTTGCGAACCATCCACAAACCGCGATCGTGGCAAAGGCATGCGAAACAATCCAGGCAGAGGTAGCGGTAGGGCTGAAGCCGCGATTGCAAGATCTGGCGGCTCAAGCTGGCTTGACGCCCAGCCATTTCCATCGCGTGTTCAAGAAACGGGTGGGCGTTACGCCGGGTCAGTATGCGAGTGGTCTCGTCCAAGGGGATACGTGGTCTTCGTCGGAGTATTGCACTCCTGAGACTACGTTGTCGGAGGGTGAAACACCGTCTTTGGACTTTTTGGATGAGAGTGGGAAGGGGGTTCTCAATTTAGAAGCGGGTGGAAGTCTTTTGAGTGCTTTGTGGCCTGGGGACGGCTTTTCGGTCGTTGGGGACGAACCGCCGGTCATTATGGATGCTGTTTGGAATGACTTTGATGCGTTTTTGGCGGCTGAGCCTGGGCATATCTCGTCCATAGAGGATTCGCCGCTCGTTGTTGACCCCCAGGTGACATTGGTTGCAGCATCGGGGAAGTGATGGCAGGGCATACTTTGGTTGATGACTGAGTTCCAGCCAATCAATTTGTATGATAATGAGTACATGAGGCACGAATCTTGCTCAATTACAAATCTCAATGAGCAGCCCAATCAGGATATTTGTTAATAATAAAGTATATACGGAGTACAGACAATAATTAAAGGTGGTCTTGGCGTTTGTCCCGTTGACATGCCCGGAAGAGACAGGATCATCCAACCCTCGAGCCCTGTCAATGGTCACGATATGGCCATATGCCCCAGGGTGTTACCAAAAGGGCTAGTGATAGTACTGTACGGAGTAATTTGGTAAGATAGGCGGGGATGCTCATCGCCACCACCGTGGCAATCGGCAAGGAAAGCCCTGAAACACAGACGAAACCTTTTTGGCCAAGGCCCAGGAGCTCCGTGCACGATATTACGTACTCGGGGTATCGAAGATTGAGTCTACGTGGCTGTATTTCGTATCGAGTACAAGACATAGTATATGATGTACACTGTACAGTACATGAGAACCATCTTATCAAGGAATTGCAAGCTGGGCCACAGGCTGGACCCCTGTTCCTTGCGGGTGGCAAGTCTGGGAGATGTATCAGAGACAAGTGTCAAGGATAATTATAGTAATTAAGCAACCAAGTCCCCAACGGTGATCCGGGCCCGGTTCCTGGCGTTCCAATTGGAATCCAATGATCCATTGGTCTTTGGGGCCCCCCCCCACCGTCGGCCCACCAACGCGTGTCACAGTTGCCGCCATCGAGACTGGACCGTTCGAATTGCGTTTGAACACCCTTGTCTCGGGCGAACAAGACATCAGGCTTTTCTTTGCTCTGATAGGGACCTAATTGAGTGGATAAAAGGAGTCGGTCTGATCTGTCGGCGGCTGGCGTGTTTCTGCTGAGTGATCTGGATGGGATCAGAATAATGGTTTCGCTTACATTCCCCACCGATCAACATCCCCATTGTTATCTGCATGCGGTGCAGCGCATTGGGATTTTTGAGGGGAATTTCCAGAACCTTTTTTGGTGGCGCACGTACTAATTTTAAAAAAAAGAGTCAAGAATAAATAGGGATTAATGAGGGGGTGGAACACTGGGACATTTTAGAGTAGGAACTTGGGGTATGATAGGGCCCAGGGCATGCTTTTGAATTGAATTAATTTGTCCTCCTCCCCTTGGCCTCCCCCTCCTTGTCTTCCTTCCCAACCTCTCCCCTTTACTACACTCTTTCTCCCCATCTTCCACCCTTTTGACTTGGGCCTTTTGGACTCTGTTACATTTCCCCTCCCGCCTCTTTTTGGGACTGACTCTCTTTCTGCCACTTGTCACTTTTATCATCGACCTGCCCATTCACGGTTCAGGTCATCTCACGATCGCTTGACTCGACTATCGTCTTTCGGATTCTATCCCGTCTCTTACGCTGTGCTGCGCGCAGTTGTCGATCGAGTATATCCTGCGAACCCCCTCTCGAGATTTATTTTGTCCCATCTCAACCTCAGAGCGACCAACAATCACCATGCATATGAATAAGAGAATCGGCCGCCTGAAGCAATGGGCGGGCGAGCGAATGGGTGGAGAAGTGAAGACTTGCCAGTCGGATGATTTCAAGGCAATGGAGACAGAAATGGGAGTGCGACATGAAGGTGAGCCAATGTTGTCCTGACTTTCTGTGACTTGAGATCTGTTACTCATGCGCTCTTGTCTAGGTGTCGACCGCATTCACAAGTCTATGACCGCATACGTCAAAGCCGTCTCCAAGCGCAGCGAGGGCGATGATAAGGAGAAGACCCTTCCGATTGCCCACTTGGGAACCAGCATGGTTAGCCATGGAGACGACTTTGATGGAAACTCTGAATATGGACAGTGCTTGACCAGTAAGTACCCGCAAATGTGCTAGTTATATCTCTGATGTATTGATAACTAACTCAATTCTTCTAGTGTTCGGACGGACTGAAGAGCGCATTGCGCGCATTCAAGAGAGCTACATTACCCAGGTGACTTCGAGCTGGCTCGAATCCCTGGAGAGATCTCTGACCCAGATGAAGGATTACCAGCAGGCGCGGAAGAAGCTTGATAGCCGGAGGCTGGCATATGACACTTCGTTATCAAAGATGGAGAAGGCGAAGAGAGAAGATTTCCGAGTGGAAGAAGAGCTGCGCAGTCAAAAGGTCAAGTACGAAGAAGCCAATGACGACGTGCTCCGCCGCATGCAAGATATCAAGGACGCAGAGGTGGACAGCGTGATAGATCTGGGAACCTTTTTGGACGCCCAGCTGGAGTATCATGAACGATGCCGCGAGGTGCTTCTGCAACTCAAGAGTGAATGGCCTGGCGGATCCGGCCAGGGGCCAGCTCTACCGCGCCGTCCGGCAAGAGCCCGGTCCAACACTGCTCACTCGTACCAAGAACGGTATGAGCCTCTGCAGGAGGAGTTGACGGTTGTCACGGAGAGCCGACCGACTATCCGGTCAAACCGAACGGTGTCAACCTACATGGCCGACTCTCCTGCACGAGACGCCTACCCGGTTAGCAATGGCTTTGCGCGACCAGGTCTCAGCCGGACGCCTACTTTCGAAGGTCCGACTCAACTGCGTCAAGACCAATCTCCAGTAGCCACTCAGTGGATCCAGAGAACCACCAGCGAAAACTTGACCAACCGTCGTAATAGTGTACAGCCTCTCGGTGGCAGATTCCCGGTCGATCCCTATGCAGACTCCGAAGCTAGCTCTTATGGTCGTTCTAGCCCCGAGCGCATGTATGGTGGTCGATCAAGCTCACCAGCTACCTCTCATGGCAGTGTAGCCTCTCGTCGGCCTAGCGCTACTGCCCTGAACTCTGGTTTGACTAAGAAGGCACCTCCACCTCCACCCCCATCACGGGCAAAGAAGCCACCTCCTCCACCACCGCCAATGAAGCGATCTCTGGTCACGGTGACGGATGTGTAAAGGGGAGCATCAAGGGACTGGCTGATGATCTATGCTGCAAGCTTTCGGTTGCACTGGGCACATGGGGATTGGAGTTCTTGGATAGTATCACGATTGAATCGGGCGATGGATTGGTAGCTTTTATTCTTATCTTCAAAGCGATGGGTTCTTGAATGCAATTTGGAATTGTTCAATCCTTTTCTTTTTGCACCTTGACTTCTTGTTTAGCATTTCTCATATTCTACGAAGGGGCACTTTGTGAATTGGACTTGATTTGAGGTTGTCGTTCGTGTTTTCTTTTCTCACCTATTTCGTCTATTGGTGGAGACAAACAGACTTTACTGGTTGTGTCAGCTAGTGTGCATTTCGCTAAATTGCCCCCTCTGCCCTTGTGGGCGATCAGTAGATTATTGTTTGGTTGATGGGATAGTTACTTCATAGTCAGTCTGTCATAGAGAAATGTCTGCCTTGTTGCCTGGTCATAATTTCTGCCTTGAACCACAGGCAGCTAGATCACGGGATGAAACCTGCCTCAGGCCCTGCGCAGTCTCCAGAACGCCATGCTGAGTCAGCCCGGGTGCCCAGCTCCCGTGACCACCCGTGACCAGCACACGAAATCTCCTCTCGCCGCCCTCCTGTTGTTAGTCGCCCTGTCGCCTACTCCAGCGAGAAGCACCAGGTTTCCCCGAGCGAGTCGCGCAACTCGGTCCCCTCCATCTCCATTTTCCATCCATCCACGCTGCCACGCGCCATCCCCAGCGCACCTTTGCTTTTCGCCTCCCCTTCCCATCAGGCTGTCGCGCCGCCGCCAAATTACTCGCTTTCTTACACTCCCCTTTTGTTAACCCAAAGTACCCGCTCACCTCCCCCCCCCCCCAACCCCATTTTCCATCGATCGCATCCCCGAAGCTCCGACCACCAGCCCAAACATCTTCTTTCTCATCGCCAAGAGTATCGACAGACCCTTTCGCCTTCCCCAAACCATCCCCAGACCTCCCCCATCACGCTCCTCAGCACCCCCCGGTCGCGCTTCCCATTCCTCCCTTCGCTGCCGGGCGCGACCTGGCGTAGTAACAAAGCGGAGCCCCGGACATTCAGTCCACTTCCGCTTCGTTCTTCGTCGCATTGATTGCCCATCGCGCCCTTGGGCAATCTCTGAATTGAGGAAATACGCGCACCATCATGGCTTCTTTGCAGTCGGCGCCTACTATGGCGCCTGGCAATTATGCCTTGCCTGCGAACTTGACCCAGCAGCATGTCCAGGAGGTTCTGCAGGTTAGTAGTCGATAATCTTTGCGAAACCCTAATTATTTGTCAACTCGTTTGCTTTACTGTCGCGATTTGATTGCTTATAATTGACCGTCTCGTCTGACCTCGCCACAGAAATTCAAGCAGATGCAGGAGCAAGGTGTCAACCCTAATGACCCTGAATATATCAAGGCCCACCAGCTTCTTGCGACTATTCAGCGCCAGCAATTGATGAAACAGAAGCAGCGCCAGCAGCAGGCTCAACAAGCCCAGCAGCAGGTTGCCCACCCGGTGAATGTTAACCAGAATGGTGCCGGCCCTGATGCCGCCACCAATGGAGTACACGGTAAGCCTTTTTATGATTTAACATATCTCGAATGCATCTGTACTGACAGTTATTTTCTTTTCAAAGCCCGGAATGCTTCGACCTCGTCGATGTCTGGAGCCACCCACGACACACAAACTGGTACCCCCCAGTCGAACGCGAACCGGAAGGGTGCAACAGTCGGTAGTGGAAGCTTCTCACCAGAGCAGCTGGCTACACTTCGAAACCAAATAATGGCTTTCAAGACGCTCTCCAAAAACCAGCGTATCGCACCGGCTCTCCACCAGCAACTTTTCCCGGCGAAGAAACCACAGACACCCACCATTGCGGACAAAATTTCAGCAGCAGAGAAGGTCGTGGATGGGTCTGACAAGAATGCTACTGGGCCGACTACCGAAGTCGACGGAGTTATTCCCGGCAAGGACTCCTACAGCAGATATCAGCTTGACGAGACTGCCCTCCACAAGCTCATCAACTTCGAGGGCCACAAGCACCGCATCAATCGCCCCCGCATCCCTGCTTTCGAATGCAGCGGTATTGACTGGCGCCAGCTCCGAGAGAACCGCGAAGCCCTTGTTTACAACCGCATGTCAGCTCGCATGAAGGAGCTCGAGCAGCTTTCGGCCAACATTGGTGTCTGGGATACCAGCAAAAGTGACGCACCCACAGGCGACGATTCCTTGAAGCTGAAGGCTCTCATTGAGCTCAAGTCGTTGGGTCTGCGGGCCAAGCAGCAGGCGCTGCGTGAGAAGGTTCGCCGCACCGGATTCGACGCTAGCGAGACGAATCAGACGAATCGTGCCGTTCATCGTCGTATGAAGCGCCCCTCGCTACGCGAGGCACGAATCACCGAGAAGCTCGAGAAGCAGCAACGTGATGCTCGCGAGACGCGGGAGAAGAAGAAGCAGTACGATCAGCTTCAGGCCATCCTCACTCACGGCGCTGAACTTTTCTCTGCTTCCCATGCAAACCGCGGTCGTGTCACCAAGCTTGGCCGTATGATGATCCAGCATCACCAGCACATGGAGCGCGAGGAGCAGAAGCGTGTTGAGCGTACCGCCAAGCAACGTCTGCAAGCTCTGAAGGCCAACGACGAGGAGACCTACCTGAAACTCTTGGGACAAGCCAAGGATTCGCGTATTTCCCACTTGCTTGGACAGACCGATAAGTTCTTGAAAGAGCTTGCCAACTCCGTCAGACAGCAACAGCGCAATCAAGCTGAGCGCTACGGCGATCATGAAGACTTCGAGGACGAGGATGAAGAGATCGCCGACAGCGACGAAGATGATGATGGCACCTCTGGAAAGAAGAAGGTCGACTACTATGCTGTGGCTCATCGTATCCAAGAGACGGTCACGGAGCAGCCGTCAATCCTTGTTGGTGGTACCCTCAAAGAGTACCAGTTGAAGGGTCTGCAGTGGATGATCTCGCTCTACAACAACAACCTGAACGGTATTCTTGCAGATGAAATGGGTCTTGGAAAGACCATTCAGACCATCAGTCTGATCACTCACATCATTGAGAAGAAGAGGAATAACGGACCCTTCCTGGTCATTGTGCCTCTCAGTACGCTGACCAACTGGAACTTGGAGTTTGAGAAGTGGGCACCATCCGTCACGAAGGTGGTCTACAAGGGTCCGCCCAATGCTCGCAAGCAGCAGCAACAGCAAATTCGCTGGGGCAACTTCCAGGTTCTCCTGACCACTTACGAGTATATTATCAAGGATCGTCCCATTCTCTCCAAGATCAAGTGGGCACACATGATTGTCGATGAGGGTCATCGTATGAAGAACGCCAGCTCCAAGCTGAGCAGCACCTTGTCGACATACTACCACACTCGGTACCGCTTGATTCTGACTGGTACCCCGCTGCAGAACAACTTGCCCGAATTGTGGGCGCTTCTCAACTTCGTCCTGCCGAACATCTTCAAGTCCGTCAAGTCGTTTGATGAATGGTTTAACACGCCGTTCGCCAACACTGGTGGTCAAGATCGCATGGACCTAACCGAAGAAGAGCAGCTGCTCGTTATCCGTCGTCTGCATAAGGTTCTCCGTCCATTCTTGCTCCGTCGTCTGAAGAAGGATGTCGAGAAGGATCTTCCCGACAAGCAAGAGCGCGTCGTCAAGTGCCGCTTCTCTGCCCTGCAGACCCGCCTCTACAAGCAATTGGTCACCCACAATAAGATGGCCGTTAGTGACGGCAAGGGTGGTAAGACCAATGTGCGTGGTCTCAGCAACATGCTCATGCAGCTGCGTAAGCTTTGCAATCATCCGTTCGTTTTCGAGCCCGTTGAGGATCAAATGAACCCCAGCCGCATGACCAACGACCTTCTTTGGCGAACGGCCGGAAAGTTCGAGCTGCTTGACCGAGTCTTGCCCAAGTTCCGTGCCACTGGCCATCGTGTCTTGATGTTCTTCCAGATGACTCAGATCATGAACATCATGGAAGATTTCCTTCGCATGCGAGGCCTCAAGTATCTCCGTCTGGACGGTTCTACCAAGTCGGACGATCGTTCGGACCTTCTCAAGATCTTCAATGAACCCGGTTCTGATTATTTCTGTTTCTTGCTTTCAACCCGTGCTGGTGGTCTGGGTCTGAACTTGCAGACTGCCGATACTGTCATCATTTACGATTCGGATTGGAATCCTCACCAGGATTTGCAAGCCCAGGATCGTGCCCATCGTATTGGACAGAAGAATGAGGTCCGCATTTTGCGGCTGATCAGTTCCAACTCGGTCGAGGAGAAGATTTTGGAACGTGCCCAGTTCAAGCTTGACATGGACGGTAAGGTCATTCAGGCCGGAAAGTTCGATAACAAGTCCACCAACGAAGAGCGTGACAAATTCCTCCGCAACCTTTTGGAGTCTACGGAAGATACGGAGCAGCTTGGTGACCAGGAGGAGATGGAGGATGATGACCTGAACGAGATCATGGCTCGTTCGGAAGAGGAGCTTGTGCTCTTCCAGCAGATGGACAGAGAGCGTGAGAAGAATGATGAATATGGTCCTGGCCGTCGTTACCCTCGTTTGATGTGTGATGAGGAGTTGCCCGATATCTACGTTCAAGAAGACGCTCCGATTGCCGAGGAGCCTGTGACCGAGGTTTACGGTCGTGGTGCTCGTGAACGCAAGGTCAAGCGATATGATGATGACATCCCGCTCGAGGAGTGGACCAAGCTCGTGGCCGAATGCGAGGAAACTGGCGCGTCAATTGATGATGTGGTCGAGCAGTACTTGCAAGAACGAGAAGATCGCAAGATCAGAAAGGAGAAGAGGAAGCTCAAGGCGCAAGGTGTGGTTGAGTCCTCGCCCGAACCCGAACCCGTCGAAAACGATGAGACACCTCCACGGAAACGTCGCCGTGGTCCTGCTCCCTCCAAACGCAAGGCCGAAGAAGTCGCAGAGGAGACGCCACAGCCCAAGCGCAAGAGGGGTCGTCAACCCAAGATTCCGGATACTCTGAGTAGCTCCGACCGGTCCATCTTGAACAGTATTGTCAACAGTGTGATGCAGTCATTGAAAGACATGACCGAAGAGGTGGAGCTGGATGAGTCTGACGGCGAGGAGGGTGGCACGGTTCTGCGTTCGATCATTGAACCGTTCATGAAGCCTCCTCCTCGCTCCCAGTATCCCGACTATTATAAAATCATCCATAATCCTATTGCGGTGGAGATGATCGAGAGGAAAATTAAGCGTGACGACTACCAGGGCTTGAAGGAGTTCCGGGACGACATTCACCTACTTTGCCAGAATGCTCGGACATTCAACGAGGATGGAAGCTTGCTCTTCCAGGATGCCAATGACATTGAGGTATGTGTTTGCAATATCGCTATTTATTTTCAATGCAGTCTCTGACTAACATACGAATAGGCTAAATGCGTGAGCGAATTGAAGAAGCTGACCGCGGATCATCCCCAATTCGCCAACTTCGACGTTTCCGACTCCGTTGTTGGCGATGGCCTGTCAACAGGTGCTCCCTCTGGCACCGCAACTCCCCAGACTGCCGGCACCCCTGGACAGCCCAGATTGAAGCTTACATTCAATAATCCTAACGCCGCTGAAAGTGCCACCAGCGCCGCCACAAGCACAGTGAACGGTGCAGACGCTGATGAAGACTGAAGAACTCGCCTTGCATTCTCCTCCCTCTTGATTTATTGATACATTTTTGGCCCTCCTCACATGCCCGTGCTTCTGTAATTCTGCTCCATGTAACCAGAAAAATTTGTTTTCTTCCCCTGCCGTTCTACGAAGTGGTCACCCGGGGAAGGGCGTTTCATAGTGACTTGTGTGTGTTTCTTTACCCAGGGGGTTGGTTAGGTCGGGGGTAACGGGTGTCCGGGAATGGGCACTGTGCCTGTGTTTGTTTTGCTTCTCTTTTCTCTATTCTCTGATGAGCGATTTACTATTTTGTCACGGGCCCTCTTTTCGCCGTTTCTGGCTGTTTTTGGGTGATTCCTACTAGAAGTGGCAGAAAGGAATCCCCGGTTTATGTTCTCAGTATGTACGTTTTGAAGTTATGGATTGGATTCGAATTGAATGAATCGGCATATGCAGGATTTTGTTTGTAATTTGTATTATCGAAGGTGATTGGGGTTGAGTAGTGGCGCTGATCGTACTTGGTCCATCTAGATAGTGAGGAGATCGTAAGCTGCAAGGTAAACAAAGAGGCGAAGGTGTAGTACACTGGTAGTTAAAAATCTTGAATCCTAAAGCCAGAAAGACAGACCAACCAGATATGATTGTACTTTTTGTCTTTCAAGATCTTTCTCCTTCATAGCTTAGGTCTTTTTCTAGTCATCATTCCATTCGTGAGTAAACAAACCGTTTTAAAGTTATGTCAAAGCTTGGGTTCTACAGATCCGTAGTGTAGTTGGCCTTGATTTATCTTAAGAAGACAGTAGGCTGACAGACTAGATAGCTAGGCAACGCCAATCGGATTACTGTAGGTCCTCGAAGCTCGTTAGGCCACCCATTTGCGCCCTTGCGCGGTAGTTATGCAGCAGAAAAATGGCTGGAGATGGTAGGCTATTGAGTTCTGCAGCTCCTTCTCACCGATAGTTCTACCTGCACCGACAGCGGAGGACCCTCGTAAACTGTATATTTACGACGGCTCCTCTGCACTACGCATTACCCCTCCTTGATGGACAACAATCCACTCAACCTGTCCAAATGTCCGAGAACAAAGAACTAGCCGGCAAAGTCGCACTTGGTATAGATGACCCCTTCTGCTTTAGGCAACTAGAGTCAACTAGCTAATCCAGTTCGCCTCCACTCTCCAGTGACGGGCGCCAGCCGCGGAATCGGCGCAGCAATAGCACTCAAGTTCGCCCAGCGTGGAGCAGACGTAGCCATCAATTACGTCTTCTCATCCACCGCAGCTGACTCCATCGCAAACGAAGTCCGCGCCCTCGGAGTCCGTGTTATCACAGTGAAAGCCGATGTCTCCAACCAGGCGGAAGTAAGCGCTATGTTCGCAGCTGTCAAGCGCGAATTCGGCCGTCTGGATATCGTCGTGAGTAACTCGGGGATTGAACATTTCGGGGCGCTGGGAGAAGTCACTGGGGATGATATTGATCGCATTTACGCGGTTAATGTCAAGGGTCAGTATTTTGTTGCTCAGGAGGCGTATAAGTATATGGAGGACTTTGGGCGGGTCATGTTGACGTCTTCTATTTCGGCGGTTAAGGTGAGAAACTGTGCATCCGTATCCCCTCTATATAGATGAAGGGACATCTGACATCTGTTTCTGACTCGTTTGCAGGGCGTCCCCGGACACGCAGTTTACGCCTCGTCCAAAGCAGCGATTCTCGGCATGGCCAAGTGTCTAGCAGTGGACTTTGGCCCACGCAATATCACCGTGAATGTTATTGCGGCGGGCGGAGTCAAGAGTGACATGTACGACCATAATGCGCCAAAGTATATTCCCGGCGGAGAGAACATGACTCCGAAGCAGATTGAGGATTTGCTTTCCAAGTGGTCGCCTTTGGGTCGTGTAGGGCTTCCGGAGGATGTTGCGGGCGTGGCGGCTTTGATTGCTAGTCGGGACTCGCAGTGGTTGACTGGTCAGACATTCCATGTTTCTGGGGGTGCATTTATGAATTAAAATTGTGTTTCCGATGGAGAATAAGGTGTCGGTACTTTTTTATCTGGTTATGTGTGACTGAGAATGTGAGTAGCATGTCTAAGCGTAATTGGTCAGTCATAGTCTAATATTATTGTTACCTGGTGTCTTCCTTTATAACCTTAATTCTTATCAACCTCAAGATCTTGTTGAATCATCTTCCTAATAACACATTCTTCCTAATCACACATCGAGCGAAGGGGCCTCCGTGGACGTGCCGACATGTATTCGATATTTGCAACTCTTGACATATTCGGAATATTTCGTCAGGAATTCAGCCCAGTAGCCGACTACGCATGCCCACCTCAATTTAATCATAATAGGAGAAATAAACCCAAAGAAGACTGGTTTCGAATTCAACTAGGACGCAATCACAAATACCATCGCGATGTATTTGTTGAAGTTATCTGTGCCGAGTATAATCTACGAGCCACTGACCAACGTGTGGAAAAGATCAAGGGGGAGATAAAAGCTCTCGAAAAATTTGAAATTATCGGAAAAAAGAGACCCAGGTTACCGACCTGGAGGAAGAGCTGAAGTGTCTTCAGGAAAACTGCTGGAAACAAGAATTGGAGCTCTATGAACATGAGACGATGATCCCCGAGCGGCCTTTGAAACAAAACTACGATTCGCTAAGACACAACGCTGCGTGGTACATGCGAAAGGAGCTTGTTGCAGACTGTGTGGTTCGCGGAGGTTGCTGCAGTCGAAAATGTGGATGTTGTCGCCAGCGTCATTTGGATTCGGGGCGCAAGAAAGGCATTGGGCACTGCACTGAGGAGTGCGCTTGCTGTTGCACTTATCGAGACATGGAGCCCTCGGCGAAAGACAAAGAAGAATTTGCAAAACGGCTTCGTGGCCTTCTTCAGAGCGACAACCCGGCGTGTTTATTGAGGATGGCGAATGTTTATTTTTTGGATTATGGGTTTTGTGGATTCAAGATCGGCTAATTTTGGACCAGAGAGCGACACTATCGCAAAGCCGCAATATTGGTGGAGCAATATGCGTGGATGGATTGTTTCGCTTTGAAATTGTCATGAAATATCTAGGAGAAGATGGTAGCTGACACGTCTTGAAAGGTATATCTGTCTGATAATGTTGATGGATTGAATCCAATTTATCTTCATAGGATGATCAAAAGTCTAGAGCGGGATGCGTCACAGAATATCACAGTCTCACCGGCGATTGAGATGTCATTGTAGGAGTCATCTCTCTCGAAGAAGTGCCTTTTCGCGTGGCATCGAGTTGAGTCGTGTGATACTAATTCTATCAGAGAGTTCCGTTACGCGAAATGAGAAACACAAAAAGATCATTGGGGTTCGTACTTGTAAAATGGACCCTGAAATATGAAACATCGTGAATTTGGTGGACAGAAGTCACATCTGATTAGCTGTCAGCGCTGCCATGCGCGGAAATGTTTTACCAAAGCTACTTGATGTCAGATTGAAAAGAATACCATCAATTTTTGGCTACAGAACCACGAGTAGAGTTTAATTGTAGGCCCACAATGCATAGCCCCGTTTTCGTATGGTTCGAATCTCAACAGGTTTCCAGCCGACTTCTGTCCATCCTCCTGCCAATCTATGGATTTGGTTGAGCCCACAGAGTCCCAGAATTTTGTGGTTCCATCTAGGCCTTTATCATTTATATCTCAACTTGAAGGTAAAAGGGCACCATGACAAATGAATGACTAATTACTTTCTCTACTTTGATAATGTTGTTGTTTCACTCGACAAGAGTCCTTCGCAGGCCGCTTGTATTCATATAGAAACGAGTCGAAATGATACGTATCCGTGCCTTTCTGCCCACCCAAAGCGCTTCCCGCTTTGGGTGCGCCCGCAATCCTGACCTTTCCGCAATCCTGACCTTTTTGTAGAGAAATCGTCAAATTTACCAACCAACTAGCTAATTATCAACAAAAAAAACCTCTCCTGCCTGCCTAGCCGCTTCCTCATTAGCAATTGCCCGCTGAATAGATTCCTCCGATCGCTGTGTGGGTTCGTAGCCATATATTTTCTTGAACTGCTTAGCTAGCTTCCTTTCCTCCTTGGCCAATTCCTCCTCCTTCCTGGTCTTAATCGATCGATTCGCATCGCGTGTAGTTAATATACCAGTCTGGCTAAGTGGTTTAACCTGCCGCTTGGTGTATTTTCGACGTACTGGGGCCTGCGCGACCCTTATACGCTGAATTGTATCCCGCGTCATCGAAAGCTCCTCCGCCATCTCCCGCTGGTGCGCCATCAACCTCGATAGATTTCGCTGCATCTTATCTGATAGATCCTCGAGGTGTTTAGTAACCTTCGCCTGATTCTTACATAGTGCTTCGATAGATTTCGGAGGGCTATTTTCAACACTAGAAGACGAGAGATTGGGTGGTGGTGGTGATAGTGTATGCGAGCCCTATAAGCGAAGATCTGGTGCGTATAGATCAGGAATCACTAATTCCTTAGCAAGATCATCAACAACCTTACTACCATCAACTGGATAGATTCCACGATCTCTGAAGGATTCGCGGATAATTCGCTGTGTAAACGCCTTCTTGCGAATTGGCCCGATAATCGCGAGGAAATCTAATTTCCCATACGGCTGGCCACCCCAGAAAGCCAGCTCATTATTTATCAACCGAAATTGCTGCTTATAATTCAAGAAGGGCTTTCCATCAAGTGGCTGGCAAATATGCGTTGAATGCGGTATAAATACAAAGGGGATAATCGCATTATCCTCGCAGAGTTGAAGAAATTCGAGTGTAAGATGCGCGCCATGGCCGTCGAATATAAGAACGCGCTTTTCACCCCGATTCACACGATGAGCAGTCAATTGAATAAAATAACCTAGCCAGGCTAGGGCTAATTTATCAGAAATCCAGCCATTAGGAGATATAGCCGTCATCGTGTCTGGTGAGAGGTTTTCGCTACCGTAGAACCAGGCCTCCATAAGATTTCGGCCAGTTCCCTTGAATATAAAGAGCAGGTCCATCTGCCAGCCGTCCGCAGCAATACACTCTAGTGCAGTGATATTTTCGCCTCTCTTAGTCTCAGCGAGATCAGGGCAAGATGATTTAGCCCCAATAACGTTTCGTGCTCGCCCTTGACCAGGTTGAAACCCGCATTCATCGAAGTTGTATACTAGCCGAGCAGGAACGTCATGGAGGACTATTTCTAGCTAGTCGTACCAGTGTTGAAGAAGGCCTGCATCCTCCGCTTGGATTCGCCTTAGTTCCTTAGTCTTTTGCTTCACAGGGCCTAGGCCAAGGTCTTTTGGTAGACGCTTTATAAAGCTATACGCCCAGTTTTTACCAACCTGCCTATCCGGCTGGCCCGATCGCGCCAGTACGCGATTTGCCCATGCACCTACTACCGCTGCGGTAGGTGGTAGGTTCCAGCCGTGCATTTGAACTATCCAGCTGACCAAGGCTTTCTCCTGATGTGGCTCCAGGATATTTTTAAGCGATTTGGTAGGTGTAATGGGCGATTTTGCCATTTCGACGCGTCTGGTCAACGTCTTGCGATCTATGCCAAATTCGCGCGCAATCTTAGTGATATTCGGCTTTCTTTGAGATAAAACCATTTGGCAGGCCTCGGCTATGCGAGATTCATCAAAAGTAGTAGATTTAGGCATCTTTCGTGGTTGAATTGGCTAGTAGAAGACTACTGGTAGGAAAAAGGTCAGGATTGCGGAAAGGTCAGGATTGCGGGCGCACCCAAACCGGGAAGCGGTTTGGGTGGGCAGTAAGGCACTGATACAGTGGCAGTTCAAAAGTCAGAAACCAGGGACCAAGAAAAGAGGCCGTCAAAAAATGCCTCGATTTTATGTTTTTAACCGATCTTTCTGAATGTCTTTTGAACACTCTTTCTAGATATTCCCGGCATCTGTGTTTCAACTTGTCTTTCAAAGTATAGCTGATGAGATGGGTTTGAACCTTTTCGGGTGCTGCAAACTTATGGAACACCACTGTATCTGCAGATCCATGCATGGGATTGTTCTAGTTCAAATAACGAATCAATATAGTGTACAGAATAGGGTATGCGCAAAGTAACACACAATTCAACCTAACGGAAGGAACACAGTAATCAAGATCAATCTATATAGGTTAAGTTCACGAAGCACCAGCAGACATCGTCTCCTTGAAACGGATGCGTGGAGCCGAAGTATTGGAAGAACGTCCGTCAACGAGAATCCTACCATCCTGACGGGCATCAAGCAGTGCAGGTTCGGTAGGGTCAACTGCATTTCGGCCATACGTCTCGAGGGCATCGAAAACATGACCAAATACCTGGCGATCCACATCCGAAGCCCACAGGAAGTCAAGGTGCTCATACGTAGGGATTGCCTTGGCGACTGTACCACGCGGCAAACCCTGGAGCATGACGTTGATATCGACGAGACTGTCACTGCCGCCGTACAAGAGCACGATTGGAGTCTTGATATTGCGGGTCGGATATTTGACAGGTTTGTAGAAGCGCTCACTTGCGACGACGCTGAATGGGGCGTGAGTTTCATCGTCGAAGAATTGGAAGTTCTTGTTGCGGATGATTTGGAACCAATGTACGACAGACTTTGTGCTGGTGAAGGAGAATAGGTGGAGGTAGGCGGCAAGTTTCTGAGTCCGGGTGATGTTGCGGCACTTCCAGTTGAAGAGGGCTGAAAGTGCCATGTCGATGATGCGGACGTAGATCGGTGGGTATAGGATTGTTTGCCACATTGTTGTTGATGATAATATACTGCGTCGGCCGAACAGTAGGAATAAGAAGTCGGGCGATGCCTTCATGAGAGAGTCCACGATGCGGTTTCGTAGCCCGGAGGGAGCCATCGCAGGTGCCAGCGCCACGAAAACATCGACCTTTTGGTTCAGCAGGGGATGAATTGCTAGCGTAGCAAAAGCTTGTGCTGTGCCTTGCGAGAACCCGATATAAGACAACGACGGCTGGCAGGTGACTCCGAGGATATACTCGATGCTGTCAGGAATATCGTGGAAGGCGAACTGATCAATCGAAAAGTCCCAGAACTCGTTTGATCCAGGTGAGAACCGTATACATTTCTTTGCATATTTGTTCCCGCGGTTGTTCCCAAGCCACACATCATAGCCCTTCTCGACCAACTGGAATGGCAGACACCGCTGCTCATCGGTCAAGGCAACCCACACCTCGCTGCACATGAGAAGACCGTGATGGAGGTAGACGACTTTCTTGCTGAGCCCACCAGCACCTTGATTGACCCGTATGCTCTCCTCGCCCTTCCGATAGGCCAATCGGTGTAGTCCGAGAAGATAACCATCGCCTGTTTGGACAATATGCTCCTCAGCTTCATATCCGAAAAGGGAGCACATCTCAGTAAAATCCGAGGCCTCTGCAATCGAGGCCGCAAGGATTTCCTCCTTTGTTCGTTTTTCGCGCGGCTCCGTGGAGATGAATTTGTTGAAGATCGACTTTGACTGTTCGTAGCAGAAACTGATAATCGGCGTCGCTGGAGGCAGGTCAGTAGTGTGCCCTCGTACAAGCATTGCGAGGATATCCACTCACGAAGGCAAAAAGTAATTACATGAATAATGGATTCGAGTAGAACAAGTATCAAGGACGCGAAAAGCGCTAGGTATTCGAACCTGTAGCTCACGTTTAGTTCACCACGAAGTGTTGAGTTTACCGGGTACGTTCGAGAGCGGGACATACCAAAAGAGTCTCCCAATCAGGGGAACACGCGCCATGATGAGAACCGACACGCCCAGAGGCTATGCATATGGTCGCTTCAGGTCTGTCTGGCACAAATGTTCTTATCTAGAGCAGACGCAGAGCAGGAGGAGAATCACAAGCCGTGAACTTGCGCCCGCGACGTCATGTTCATGTGAAAGTAGTGCTTACCTCATCCGGGGAGATTGCGGCCTCCGGCCAATCAGCGGCGCCTCGAATGATCGCCCGAATTTGCCGGAAAGTCAGTCTGCCGATTGCATTTGCGCTGGCCATCTGGACATTTTGCATTTGCGAGATCGCCATGCCCAGTTCGTGTCAGGATATCAGTAAGTCAAACTGCTCTCGGTGTTACGAGGCGAAAGGGAGCCCTGTACCACCCACGCTGTGCCCATGGCCATTGGATCATATGAGCTAACCGCGTGCCGCGATCGAACAGGAGAAGCGCTGGCTCAATGCCTGCAGGAGTCGGACTGTATTATGGTCCAGCGGCATACGCCACGTGAATGTCTAGCGTCGCCACTTGCCGAGGAGTTGCCTATGAAGTGTCAGCAGCTGCGCAAAGGGTTCAGCGAGTGCAAGTGAGTGGATCGTTTCCGTGACACCAGGCCGTGGGAGGAGATGGCTAGAAAACTAGCGAATATGATAATTGCTGACTGAGAATCTCCTGATGGAAATAGGCGTGGCATGATCGATATGCGCAAGCGATTCCGTGGAAACCACCCTATCTCGGTATCAAAGGAAATGGACGAGAAGAAGTCGAGCTCGTCAGGGCAGCTGTACGCTGGACGGCCAGCCTACACATCCGTCAAGGAACTCAGTGGTGACGAGGTGCAAATGGACCCGGAGAAGACTCGTGGTCTGTGAGACGCATAAAGGGTGCTCCCGAGGACACTCGGAAGAAGAAGAAGATATGCATGGCTTGCAATCGTGGAGAGCAGGCACCTCCATTGCGTTGTATTCTACCAGGAGAGGATGATTCGATACATGCTGGCATGGTCTGGAGTTCTGTTTTTTACATTATGGCGCAATCTCCAATCTGATATAAGACGATAGGTACATACTTGCGTGCCGAACATTTATGCAAAGAGATCCAAATTACAGTAAAAAAGCGCCTAGGACGCATCAAAGTTAGCTGGCCCATTGAGGGTGCATCGAGTCTATACAACCCTTTTGGGTACGTACACAGCAAACAGATCAGACAAAGAACAAATAAATCCACTTCATCATTGACAGTACAATTGTAATACAGATCTACTGCGTCTTCTTAACCTTATCAGCAACAGGGGCCGAGTAAAGCCAGACAAGAACAAAAGCCAGGAAACCCGCAATCACCGACCACAGACCGGCGATCCACACCCAACCACCGGTGATAGCCCAGCTGCGCGGGTACTCATCGTGCGCAAAGTGGCGCACGGTCACCTCGTGCTTCTCCTCGATGTTGGTCAGGAAAGGCCGCTTGTAGTTGACGCGGAAGGAGAAGATGCCGTGCTGGTCTGGCGTGACGAACTGAGCCCTATACACGGTGCTCGTCTCCGTGCGGCCGGTGGGCTCGAGAGCCAGGCGGTGGAAGGGAGACAGCATGGTGAACTCTAGCTGCAACTCGTCCTCGCCGGGGACCTCGAAGGGAACCCACTTGTCGTAGGCGTACTCGGAGACCTCAATGCTGAAGACCTATTTTCAGACAGAGCAATTAGTTATCGAACATGCATGAGATTGAGAATCAGAATTACGTACGGTCTCGTTCTTGATGCGGTAGATCTTAGGGTTCAGATCCTCGGTGGCGACCTCGCCCTCGGTGGCCAAGTGATGCTCAATCTTCCCAACCTTGAGGACGCCGGTCTCCTTGAACGTCCAAGCAGTCAATTGCTTGGCGAACTCGCGGTTGACAGTAGGAGTCTTCTTGCCGCCGGGAGCCTTAACCGAAGCCGAGAACCACTGGTCCTCCAGCGCCTCGACGGAGCCGAGAACAGTGAAGCGGGCGGAGTTACGAGCTTGCATGGCGGAAACCACGTTCAACTGGGAACCCGTCCCCTCAATATCCTCAGCTGAGGGCATCTCCTCCTTGGGGTTGTAGGCGTAGGCGGTAGCCGGGGCGCGCAGGATAGGTGCAACGAGAGCACTGTCACTGCCGAGGGTCTGGGGAGCTACACGGGGCAGGGCAAGGATTCCCTCGCCGTCGAAGAAGGCCTTGACATCGGGGCGCAGCGGTCCAGGTCGCTGGAGGAGGAGGACATCGTGCTTCTCGGCGGCTGAGACAGTGTCGTAGTTGAAGTGGTCAACAACGACGGATGAGCGGTCGTTCGAGAGGTGGATATCAATTTCGAGGAGGAGGGAGCTGACGGCGCTGGAGGTGGAGGCCTTGCCGGAGAGGGCGAGGAGGATGTTGCCATCCTTGTTCAGGAATTCCAGGATGCTCTTCGGGGTCAAGTTGGGGCCGAGTCCTGTATCGGTTAGTCAATTGCTACCTATACCGCTCAAACAGCTGGGTGCTCACCCTTGGACTTGGGAGGAAGGATCAGGAGGTGGTCGTAAGCTCTTTCGCCATGCTGGAAGAGGGACAGCTTGTCGCTCTTGGGTGATTCGAAAGACACATCGTATCCGCGACCTAATTGACCGGTCAGATAGTTTTAGATGGATTAAACAAAGATATGTTTACCTTCCAGATCCGACCACAACGTCGAGTAGGCGCTCTTCTCTGTAGACTCGTCGAGGACAACCAACAGGCGGCTGCCGGAGCTGCTCAGAGCATTTACGGCAGCCAAGAGACAGCTGAGAAGCAAGGCAAGGCACCACCGCATTTTGGAAAGATTCCGCACAGCGGATCGGATGCCCAGCTATAAAAAATTGGAGAGGGCAAAGAAAAAAAGGAAAAGAGAAGGTGGTTGAAGAGGGGACGTAGGCGGGAGGTGTATAGATCACCCGAAAGGGCGACGTGTTAATGGGAACGGTGCCAAGACTCGCTGGGTCCATCGCATCTCCGAAACGTCGAACTTCACTTCTTCCCCACGGCCTCCCGATTTTGAACCTCCCCCGCCGCTCACCCTCGACCACCAACAAATAACCAGGTGGTTCTCATTGTTATCAACTCGACTCTTCAAGAATCGTGTCGTCTGTTGCCTTTGGGCTTCTTAAACCGCATCCCAACTCGAAAAACTCCTCCCGAACCGCCGTCGACCTCCGACCCGGTCTATCACTATGTCCACCCCTCAATTCTGGTCGACTCCCCTGCGGTACATCCGCTGGGCCTCTCACGAGAAGCCTGCGATCCTGTACTCCCTGCTGATCGGCTCTATGGGACCCGTCGCCCTCGTCACTCTACCCCCGCTCCGCCGGGCTCTTGGTGACGTTGACCCCGAGCCTATCCCCATGTCATATCCCAGTAAGCATGAACCCCCCCCATTTTCTCATCTGTGAGAGATGAATTGAATTGCTGGATCACCAATTGGCTTCTGGAGACTAACCACAATCCATCACGAACAGTCCCGAAGGGTCCGCGCGTGACCCCCAAGGGCTATGAGGACTAAGCGAAAAGCAACCGAACTGAGCGACAAACGAGCCACATGATAATATAGAGGGCCGTTCTCGGATTATCTGCCTTGGGAGGAATGAACGATTCAACCGACGTGGGGAGAAAATGGAAACTTTAGCGATGCCGCCTGCACAATGGGGAAATCTTCGGCAGGGGGGGTTTGCCAATCCTCTGCCATTGACGAGGAGCGATTCCATGCTGGTCGTTTCTCTCTGTGAAGAGGCGATTTGATACCAATCTTTGTTTGCGTGCAGACTTGGCATGGTCGGGTGTCGAGTCGCACTGCAGTGTATTTACTATTTTGAGAGAGTGGCCGTATAGCCAATGCCGAGTCGCTTTCCTGTGTTCAATTTGCGTTTTCGTAGGGTAATGTACAGTCCGGGATGTAGACATCCTCTTGGCACATTATTTTCAACTTGAACGGCGTGATGGGCAAAGGCATTGAAGATGTGTCATGCCCAAGTTCCTGGACGAGGTCTGATGCTCGGAGAGACGGGTTCATGGGGAAGACATAGATTGTGCGCAAATTTTGGGATACTTCATGATTAAGAATGTAACAACTGTCTAACAAGTCAGGCTATGGGACTATCATTGGCAGCCTTCAGAAAATAGACAGGCAGAACGATAACGTTTGTTCAAATAGGACTTGAAGAATACAGTCAGAGCTAAAATCTGGCCTTGCACGCGGTTGACTCAAGTATATTATGGTTTGGATCAGGATAAAGCCAATCTACACTAGATTCCCCAAAGACATGGACAGAGCAAAAGGAATACTCCAAGGCGTGGTTCCATTAAGATGATAGAAACCGATCATCCAAAAAAGCCAAAAGCGTCAACCACAAGACGGAATAACGCCATATATGCTCATATCTACATGTAGTTCATCAGCATCGCTTTATCAAAGCAGTCTCGCCCAACAAGCCAGCGGAAGACGAAAAAAAAGAAATGAAAAAGCAAACATGAGATAAACAACCCCAGTGCCTCGACCGGGGGTAATCCAGATCAGAAAAAGAAGAGGAGAGGATTGAGAAAGGAGAAAGGAGAAAAGAAGAAGAGACAGGAGAGAGAAATCAAAGGACTCAAAAAACAAATGCTAAACACACATAATCCTGTACACCGTTTCACATATAAGGCAAATCCCAAGGCAAAAAAGAAACATGGAACCTCCGAAGACGGCGTGTATCTGGAAATATCATTAGAGCTGGGAGAAGAAGAAGCCCAAATCCAAAATAGACCGCCGTTTTCGTTGTTGAAACCCCAATTCAACGCACAATGCTCCTACTCCTAACCAGCCAGTTGCACGATAGTGCAAGGTAATTAAAAGAGAAAAGTTCCCGAGGCTTCGATGAAAATGCCCGCGAAAGGCCGAGACCCGATATGTTTTCCAACAAAGGGAGATGCAGATCCGGTCCGTGAGTGGGCAGAAATCGAGTTTATGTCCGACGGATTATGGGATGATACTCCCAATGGAGCCCTTGGATCATGGACTTCATGGATGACCTGTGGCCCAATCTGGTGGTTCCCTGGATTTGTGGAAGGGGGAAAACGGCATTTCACTGGGCTGGAGAAAGAGACACGACAATGACATGGCCGACGTAGGTGGAAAAGCGGAGGGGAATTGTCCAGGAAGATATTTTTCAGGGGTTGTTTTATTTCGCCGACATCATTATTGTCCCAGGATACATCTTGGGCTTGGTCCAATTGGGAGATAAGGAGGAATTTCATCGAGAGGGAGCCACAATGGAAAATGGAGCACCACGGAGAGGATTTTGTTGGGAGAATGCAAGAAAAGAAAGGTCATCATATCATGCATGCGCAAGACTTGCCATCTTTCTTGATTCGGGGGGGGGGCTTTACCGCCGTCCACGATGCGGATCCCTCTCCCGGGTTGGCTGTGGCCTACTGCGCTCGTACTCCGGGGTATATCTGGGTTCCATTGAACCTGTCATCCGGGAATCCGCGGCAGAAGTTGAAGCAGGATATGCTATCCCCGAGGTCACGGGAGAATAGTCCGAATCGGCCTCATAACCGGGTCCCGGGTATCTGGGAGCATTGCGGGGACCGCCTTCGAAACCACCATAGGTTGGGCCAGTTGCCGAGTAGGTGTAAGAAGACGGGTGGATGTCCGCCGTGGTCACGACCGGTTGCTGGGAGCCAGAGTAGGTGACCTGGGGTGGAGGGTACGGAGCTTGGCCTTGTCCGTAGGGGGAATGTGTGGATGTGTAGGAAGGGTTGGGGTAAGGAGCACTTTGGGATCCGCTGTACGGACTTTGGGAGTAAGGGTCCATGTAAGGCTGTGCGGGAGCAGCACTGTATGCGGCAGGGGAAGGCCCCTGTTGTTGGCGAACCTCGTGGATGGCCGAGGTAGCATAGTTTGCTGAGACAGTGTTAGGGGTATGAGATGGGTTCACATCTTGAATGTAACTACCTCTCGGATAGCCTAGGTCAGCCCGACGCGAGACATCCGCTTCCCAACGGGCGGAGTCAGCTTTCAGATCAGCAATCATCTCCTATAGAAATCCGGTCCTCTGGTCAGATGGTTTGTTCTCAATTCTCTCTCTCCAGCGAATCCATATGGTTCTGATGTCGAATAGTCTCTACTTACCGATGTGAGATTCCGATAAGCACGGATGAAGAATCCTTGGCGGCCCTGTGGGATGAGTCAGTTACCACGCTCGGGATTACAGTATACAATCAACACAAGAAGCCAAAAATAGAAAAAAAGGGTGGGAGACGGACACTATGGTTGCCAGGTCTCACGAGCGCATCGTTTCCAAGGTAGCGGCAGATATCTGCTTGGATCACTTCGCGGCTGATTCCATCGCCCGGAATGAAGTATTCATTTTGACGGCCAGTCATTATGGGATCCTGAGGATAATGTCCAGATGAAAGGTTCCTCAGATGGTGGGTTTATAGTTCCGACGGGCCAAGAGAAGAAGAAAAATGAAAAGAATCCGGGCAGTGCTGAAAAAAGAGTCCTTTGGAAAGATGACAAAAGGCAACGACGGATGGTGCTGTGTGTTTTGACCGTGGCTTATATTGCAAAGTACAGGGTGTTCTATGAGGCGACCGGCAAGAAAACAGAATCCAAGATCGAAATCCTTCACCACTTCAGATGAATAAGGGGGTTGTGGGTTCCTGATGAGTCTGGGGGGTCCGAGAATAATGGCCAGTAGAGTATCAAAGTCCTGGGAGCAGTCCTGATAGTCCTGGTCGGGAGAGTAAATGGTGTCCACTGGATAAGGCAAAAAAACACGTCCGGTACAATCCTGGAGATCCTTGGGTTTCTGGTTAATCTGGCAAAAGAGATTATATCCTGGGCAAAATCGAAAAGAATCCGTGGAAGTTCACTATGAGCCAAGCGACTGAATCAAGTCTTGCGAGGCTGAGGTGATCAAGAGAGGAGAGGTGGTAGAGGAGACGGCTTCGGGAGGAGACGGGACCGGAGAGTAGAGGAGGGGGGTTGGAGATCCTCTGGGATTGATATTCAGTGCGGGCACACTGTCAAGTCCACTTTAATTCCTATTTTCTCAGAGACCAGGAGGAAGGGAGAGAGGAGGAGGAGGGGAGGGGGAGGAGGGTCGGATGAGATGGGATGAGATGCGACAGTTGAAGAGTAGAGGAGGGAAGAAGGAGAGAAGGAACTAAGAAGAGACGGGGGGGGGAAGAGGGGCGAACTAAAGTGGGCAGAAAAGGGCCAACACTAAACAGGCCGAGTCTTCTGGTCTGGCGCGGTTGGGCCGTCTGCTTCGTTTTGGGCCCTTGGGCTGGTGCCACGACTCCCCACCCCCGACCACCTCATCCAGCAGCTTTGCTCTAGCCAATATCCGCCAGGCAATCAGTCCAAAGGAGGCATGCATGGTCGAATCTGGCTTAGACAGCCCTGTGCGACCCTGTCGGCCCTGTGGTGTTTCTGTCGCTCCTGATGCTCGACTGCTGGTAGCCGCCTGAGTCGATGCAGTTTCCACCTCGGACCTCTCTCCCCCTTTGGTCAGGCACCAGAGCCTTGAATCAAAAAATTCCTTCTGACTCCATCGGATACGATACGCTCTACAGCTCATAGCACTACCATGGATGCAAATTACAAAGAGAACCAGGGTCAGGCCGATCCCCCATCACAGCTTGGATTGCTACTCAGTCTGTGCCCTTGGGCTGAATGGCACGTCGATCTCCACTGGGACCTTGAGTGGATCCCACAAGGAAACCAGAGAACCAGAGAACAGAGCGGTCAATACTAAATATCAGACCATCACCATCTCAGGACCCCCCGTTTCGAATCTGCAGACCAGGTTGTGCTGGATCTCTTCAGCATGGACAGGCTCGTGTGCGAGGCCGCAGGCTGGACGAATCATCCCTGAGCAGGGGCTTGGGAACGGGTGGATGATCCTCCCCCCACTCACACTGCAAGATATCTGCTGGCCAATCTCCGTCCAGCTCGAGCTGCGGCCAGAAGACGTTGCCACCAGGAGGCGTTGGCGCGGGTTGGGCGTTGGGCACGAATGCGTGTTTTGGGCATCGCACCCTCCCGACGGACGGCGCCACTCTGCGATCGGCTATGTCAGCATGCTGACTTTGAATCGCAGAGCCCATCGTCATAGCTTCAGAATGAAAATTTTTATATGCCTTGACCAAGGTGGTGTGGTCTCGAACAGGTTCGGTGCGCCCCAAGCATTCTCTGCATGTCGATGAAGGTGGTCGTTCGAAAGGGAAAAATGAAGGCAACCGGACGAACAATTTGACTTTGGACCATGTGGGAAAAAGGAATGTGGCCTTCGTCCTCATGGGGAGAGAATGGCAGGTCCATATAAATACATGCCAGCCATGATCTTAATGTGAACTGGGCATCAAGCTGTGCAGATATCACGATGAGATGTAGCCCTAAGAACCAAGTCCGTGATACTGTAGATACCCCTGGGTATACTTCCCGAAAGGTGTCCCAAACAGTCAGCCTCGTAACTCTCCTGATGATTGGATCCGACGCGGCTCCTCCCATCGCCTCACCGTGGAATCATGGACACCTAGAATCTGAGGCTCTAAATACACGTGATGACACTAACCCTTTTTGGGAGCTCCTCCAAGCCACGCCCGATGCTTCTCAATGCCCAAACTCGTGTTGAGATAGCTCTCACCGTGGACACACAGCTGTTCCGCGATTCAACAATCCCTGCGTCGCAATGCTGCAGCCCCGAGCATGTCGTCTGAAGACCCGCCCAACGCGTCGCCCAACGATGCCGTGAAACGCTCCCGCTATACCCATCGCCAACTCCACCTACTACGCCAGGGCTCAACGGCCACCCCGCTCCGCGCAATTGCGCACATCGATCTCGATGCATTTTACGCACAATGTGAAATGGTGCGTCTGGGGACGCCCCGCGATACACCGCTCGCAGTACGTCAATGGGAATCCCTGATCGCGATCAATTATGCCGCGCGGCCGTTTGGGATTTCACGGATGATGACGGCGGCTGAAGCTCGCAAAGCTTGTCCCAATATTATTCTACAGCATGTAGCGACGTTTCGAGAAGGGGAGGGTGGTCGGTGGGCGTATCGGGACGACTCGTTCAAGAACATCAAGACCGATAAAGTGTCTCTGGACCCGTATCGGGCGGAGTCGAGGAAGATTCTTAAAACGATGAAGGAGGCATTGGAGCGGTGGTCCACGAATGAATCCGATGGTGAAATCCATCGCTTCACACATGGACTCTCTGCGGCACTGGAAAAGGCGAGTATCGATGAAGTCTTTATTGACTTGTCGCCACTTGTCTACATCGTCTTGCTCCAGAGATATCCGGAACTACGGCCAGGTTCGCAGGATGGCGACCGTGATGCGGAGCTTCCTCCTCCGCCCACTACCGCGGTACAATGGCATCCAGAAGATTGCCTGATAGACCTCGACCTACACGAACGGGAGGAAGATGACCCCGACTGGGACGACATTGTCATGCTCATTGGTGCGGAGATTGTTCGAGCTGTACGTCGTGCAGTCTGGGACAATCTTAGCTACACCTGTTCAGCCGGTCTTGCTCGAAACAAAATGCTTGCGAAGCTGGGCAGTGCCTGCAACAAGCCCGATAAGCAAACCGTGGTACGGAATCGTGCCGTCCAGCATTTTCTGGGGGGCTACAAATTCACCCAGATCCGTATGTTGGGCGGTAAGCTCGGAGATCAGATCACAACCTTCTTTGGGACGGAGAAAGTGAGCGACTTGCTCAATGTGACTCTTGAGCAATTCCGTGCAAAACTGGATGATCACACCGCGTCCTGGCTGTATGGGATCATCCGTGGTGACGACCGATCCGAGGTTAACCCTCGAACGCAAATCAAGTCGATGCTCTCAGCCAAATCATTCCGGCCTAGTATCAATTCACTAGAGCAAGCCGAGAAATGGCTGCGCATCTTTGCAGCAGATATCTACGGTCGTCTCGTTGAGGACGGCGTGCTTGAGAACAGACGTCGTCCGAGAGTGATTACTCTGCACCACCGGACCGCACAGACCCGCTCCCGCCAGATCCCTATTCCAGCAGCAAATACCATCGATGAGAATCTCCTGTTCGAGTTGGCGAAGACGTTAATGCGGCAAGTCATGACAGATGGACAGCCCTGGCCGTGTTCCAACCTGTCCCTGAGCGTTAGTAGTTTCGAGGACGGTGTAAGCAAGAACAAGGCAATTGAAGGCTTCTTGCTTCGAGGTGACCAGGCAAAGTCGTTGCACCAGGGGTCCCGGCCTCGAGATGCGGATGTGTCTCCAAATGAACCACTGCCGCCAGAAAAGAAACGCAGGATCGATGATAGTGGCATCAAACGGTTTTTTGCCCAGCCGCTCTCCGGTGATAATCCCGTGACTGATCAGGAAAATCCTCAGCCCAAGGAAGATCAGGATGATACCGGTCTTCCTGTGGAAGCCTCTGAATTAGAGGCTGATGGCAATACAATGCCACAATATACCTGTGACCGCTGTTCCCGACCCATACCCGAGCATGAAAGAGAAGAGCACGATGATTGGCACTTTGCCAAAGACCTAGAACTCCAGGAGCGTCAAGAGGCGAGGGATGCGCAGCAACAATCTCGTCCAGCGGCGAGTTCAAGTTCTTCTCGAGGATCGGGTACTCGGGGCAAAGGTGGTCGTGGTAGTCGAGGCAAACCTGAGAGAGGGCAAATGCGACTGGCCTTTCAGTGACGAACCAGGCACGATTGTCTTTCTTTGTTGAATCATGGCATTGGTAGAGTTTCTAGCGAGAGATTTATACATATACCGATTAATCTGTTTCAATTGCCAAGACTTCAACTGTACCTAGCACATAGTTCAAAACTACCATGCATACTTCGATGCATTACAATCATCCTGTTTCTAAACTGGGATCAACGAGACACACATCGTTCGCCTTGGGGATGTCGTTGTCACTACGCAGGTGATTCCTTTTGCTACTGGCAAAGATACCCAGTTTGGCAGGCAGCGCACTGGCATGATGAGGGCCTCTCCGAGAGAGCTGCTCGGGGGATTCATCTAGAGAACTTGAATCAGTCTTGTCATACCAATGACACGAATCTAGTCGTGAATCATAGGAAAATGGTCACGTACGATCGTTGGAGGAATTTGCGCGGCGGGAATGCAACAGGAAGAGGGCTACAGGTGAACGAGAAGAAAACCGTAGTAAAGTCTTTGTATCACATCTACCTTGAGATTATCGAAAAAAACAACTAGAGCTTCTTAGAACGAGCGTATGCCCCTGTGATGACTGGCCCGTATATTCCTTGATATCTCATATGAGGGGCGAACATTGGTTGAGAATACTTGATTTCAGTATATACAAGTACAAGTACATCGATGCAGGCCTGGAGAAAGGCTCTTTGCTGGCTGAAATCTACGTCATTGGATCCCCGACAGTCCAAATCTCATTTGTGGTTCAACCATTCAGAGGCTGACCAGGACCCATGGATGGGGGGACAAGCCAAATCTAGTTGGGAATAAACAGACATATGGAGAGCTCTCAGATCCGATCAGCCTTACCAGCTCGTGACTCGATGCCTTGAATAATACTATCTACAGAGTAGCCCCCTTTGCGCCGTTAACAATCGTGACTGTCAGTGCCGCGTGGGTGTGACATCAGCGGGTCGCGGGCTCATCGGACGCTGGCTGATGTCGCATGTGCTCAGCCCCCACGACGCTTCACTGCCTTTTCAACAAGATTGACTTGCCTCATTTCTCCCTGAATCTGGCCTCAATTTCCTAATTATACGTTGTCCATGAGGTTTGGGACTTATGCAAGACCTGGGTCCTCCCGGCGTAGGCTACGACGTGTTAAACCCCCCGCAAACGCTGTCTCGCCCCGCCGATCTTGAAAGCCCCCTTCCTTGCCTGATCAACACTCCAGCTCGCAGAACGAGGGCCTCACAGATTGCAAACTGATGCGCATACTCACTCAGCGGTATAATTCTATTCTTGCCACTTCACTGTTCGCTCAATTTCAGCCATGTCTCGGCGGAACCCACCTCGCGAGTACTACGAGGAGGAGGAATTCGAGGTCGAACGGGAGCGAGATCGATATCCACGGTCACGCAGACGAGAGCGTGAGTTTGATGAGGATATCGAGTATCGCCGACGCAGATCAATGCCGCCCGTCGAAGATCTAGAGCGCATGCATCTTCGAGATCGTCCACCCCGCGACCTCGTCCGAGAGAGCTTTGCCCCGTCAAGAGACCGGGGCCCCATGATAAGAAGAGGAAGAGATGATCTGGACGAGGCGCTACCAGGACCCGACCCAGAGGATGTACAGCTGCGCCCATCACGACGGCATGGTAGTCAAAGTCACCGGCCCCGGGAAGTCGTCGAGGAAGAGGAATCTGAGCTGATAATCAGGGAACGCGAAAGACGCGGCAACCGACGATATCGGAGACCGCGTGACCTGGAAGAAGAGGATATGGTTATCCGCCATAGGGAGCGAGCTAGCGAAGGGGACTTGAGACCCATGGAGAAGGTGTACGAAGACGAGCGGGAAGAAGTCTACTTCAGATCCTCATCCAGACCTCGGCGCAGACCGTCGCGCCGCGAGGTTGAATTTGAAGAACGGATTATTGACGACAGAGAACAAGAACGGCCGCGGGGACCACGCCGCCGCGCAGAGCCGACATTCGAAGAAGAATTGGTTATGCAATGGAAGGATAGACCAACGCGACGAGAACTGGAAGAAGAGGAAGAAATACGGCTACGGGAAACGAGACGACGGCGACGACCTAGCCAGCCGGAGCCAAGATATGTGCGGGGACCTCCACCACGAGAATCGCCTGGCGATTGGCCTGCTGAGAGGGAGGATGAAGAGGAGGAAGTCCGTATTCGAGAGCGGAGACGCTCGAGGCCACGGCGTCGGGAGATTGAGGACGAAGAGGATCTTATTATCCGTCGAGAGGAGCGAGATCGGGAGCGTGGTAGGGATAGTGCTGAGAGTGATGAGATACGCATTCGAAAGAGCAAACGGAGGTCACCACCGCGAGAACCGTCCTCGTCTCCGGAGCCTATCCGGGCTCCTCCAATTCACCAGGACGTTATCACACATCATCGTCATATTGATCACGGTGAGGGTGATTGATTGTACTCCAGCTACTGGATTGTGCTAACGGTATCCAAGGGTTTGACACATCTCGTCCACCGCGGGCTCCCAGTCAAGAGGCACCTTCTTCGCGAAGCAGCTTTGACGAAATAGACATCCGCCATCGGTGAGCATATCAAAGCATACATTGCGGTTCCATCGCTGATTGTCCGCGTAGTAGCAAAAAGGGAAATCGAGGCCGCAAGTCAGAGGAAGAAATCGTCTTCAAACATCGCGACAAGGGAGAATCTGTGTCACCAACCAGTAGCCCATCTCTCGAGTTCAATGAGCCCTGGAAACCGGACCGTCTACCTTCACGTCGTAACCGTAAGTCGAGATCACTGGACGACGACGATAGCGCGTCATCAGTCGCAGGAAGCTCGCATGTTCCCTCGCGTCGGGATCTATCCCGACGCCTTGAAATCGAAGAAGATGAAATAGAGGAGGAGATCAAGATTCACAAGAGGAAATCCAAACACCGCTCGCCTCTCGAAAAGATTACCAAAGAAACCACCGACGAGTGGTCTGTCGTCCATGCACCCTCAAAAGAAGACGTACCCGAAATGTCTGGAGCCCTCGAAGTCGTCGAAGTCGCACCCAAGGGCGCCGTAGAAGAAGAGCTCGAAGTCCAAGGACGCCTCAAGCAGCAGGTCGTGAAAGAGCGCCGCAATGAGCGCTGGACAGAAATTACCAAGGATCTAGTCATCCGCGAAGCCATCGAACGACTTGGTTATGAATTTGAGGAGACAAGGGCATATTATTATATTTTCTCATTTCTCGAACCGGTAAGTCTATCGGCCCATTCTGCCTGCTGAATATCAGTCACAAGAGGCATCGCTGACGTTGTAAATCGCTGATGTTGTAAATTGCCAGGCTGATATCGACGAACTTGTCAACCTGTCCGATGACATTCGGTACGCGAGACGTCGCCGGATTAGAGAGATGGAACGCGAGCGTGCTGAAAAGCCACCCCGACCTATCTCCCTCGTGGATAGGATGCCTCCTCGTCCGCGGATGATTGGGAAGAGGCATATACGAGAGCGGGAGTGGATTGTTGATGAGCGGATGCGATGATTTGCGAGGTTGATGTGTGGTTCGAGTTCAGTAATGATTTACGATTGACATTTGCATGGTCATAGCCTTTTTGAAATTCAGCTCGATTTACGGTTTCTTTTTCAAATAAATTGATTAACGACTTGTGGTACTTGGAGACAAGCTAGTATGGTGTTCGCATGTAGCAGACAATGCCCATCTCACTTGAGTCTATCTGCGGCTGGTGTGATCTTCCTTCCTTCTCAGGATCGCTCTCTATGTTAGCAAAAATGAATACATCCATGTCGCTTAACTGATCCGCAAACTTGCCTTTTTGCTAATCTGTATATGAACAACAGGGTCGCCAATGCCGAATGCTCAAACAAGCTCGGTGCGATGGCCTAGTTTGGTCAATTGGTGATATTCTTTAGAATTTCAAGAGCCTATCTATCTGTGTCTATGAGGAAGCGGTGATTTTGTCCATGGATATAGAAGGACAAGCAGAAGTCGTTCGGAGTCAGTACGTAGCCTACAACGAGAATGACTGAGTATTCTTTCGCCCCCTAATCCAATCGCAAACAATGCTTGATGGACGACTCCAAGTTGATGTAGAAGCATCACGCCTCTGCTCCCCTCGGCCTCTGGCGAACGCCATAGCCATGACATCAAGTCATGCTTAGCGTCCGAGCTAAGACATACAGCAAGCCACCTGAGTGCACTGCACCCACGACCCGGACTACAGTAGCAGCATGGTACTTTTGTCCGATAAACAATTTACTGTTCTTCACACAGTGGTGACCAGCTATCATTCAAATCTAGTCAGACCAGACGCCCACAAACGCGTCCCGGGCACTTGGCAAGAGAATAGCCATGTAATTCTGACGGGCGATCATGGGGCAAGCCTCGATGCTTCCCATCCCCCGGGTGCAACCCAACGTACTGTAGACGCAGATTACACATACACCCTGTCGCCACCCGGGATGCTGGTAGATGTGCGATGTCTCAGGTATATGAATGGGTATTGTGGAGAGGTGTAGTGGGGAGGACTGGTGGTGCCAGCCTGTCAGGCACAGGTACGATGGCGATGCAATTGGTACATGTAGTTTGGTGTGGGTGTACAGCGTCTGGAGGAGTTATTGGGAGTGGAGGTTATTGGTAGTTACAGTAGGACATGTACTGTACTGGAGACGATGGAGTCTACTGATGGGGCTGTTTGGGAGGCTTCGTGATCTCAGAATGATGTGTATTATGGGGGTTTAGGAGAAGATCATAATGAAAACTTTTCGCTGAAGTACAGTAGTTACTGTAGAAGTTTAGTGGGATGTTAGGTCCGAGACATCCAGCAAGATGGGTGGGTAGGTAGAGGTTTATCGGAATACTTGAGGCCAAATGAATGGACAGAGAGCTTTATTGTCTTCTCGGAATTGAGACTATTGAGCTATTTAATCTCTTGAAAAACACCATTGAAGAAGGACGCATAGATGTGAAGTCGAGAGATTGCATTGGACATAAATGTCTCCATAGTACCACATACTCCATCCATACTCGCAAAGACTAACGGGTCCTTCAGACCAGTAGATTTGACAGGCCCAATTGAGCGTATCCTGTATCGATTGAGCCTTTACGGAGCCTTTACAGTAGATTTTGCAAAGTACTCTAAACTTGGACAATGAGATGATCTTGAAAGAAGCCCATGACCTGTAAATCAGAACTAACTAATACTTTTAATGTAGAGTAAGTGTCAGCACCTAGAATCGATCGATCAGTGTGATGGATAATGTCATTGCGGCCAAAATTCCGTATTATTACACAGTTACAGAGTTGTACACAATTACTTTACATAGTCTGCCTTCAATTTGCGTTGGTGGGCCAATCCAGCGCCGATCCACTATTTTCACCGGATCCGTTGCCACAAAGCCGATCCGTCTGGTCCATCCAAGATTTCACCGGGATCTGATATCAGATAGGGGTAAAGGCAGAAAAAAGGAAAGCAAAGGGAGCAAAACGAACCCTAGGATACAAAGGATAAGCCAACTCTGAAATAACCTCGCGCAGGGTCTGCGAATAAACTTGGCCAAGTCAGGCCCGAGGGCGGAGCCATGGACCGCGGCACAGGGGCATTATGCATTGACCGTCGCAACCCGGGATTCGCTTGCCTGGTGGGTGGTTGAACAAGATACTGATCGTCGGTTTCTGGCGTCTATGACCCTGATTTCTCATGCAATCAGAGCCAGCGTGAATGTCGTCGGGGAGTGGGAGATCGGCCAATTGGAGGGGGATTGGGGACAGGGTTTGTTCCCAGATAAGGACTCCATGAGATGGTAAAACAATGCGAGGGCCAAGATTTGCCGAGAAGAGGACAATCTCTGGTTCTCCTGGAACATCGACGAAGTTTAAGAGTCATCGATCATATAAGTGCTAACTGTGCACAATTTGACTGGAAAACAGAATTCCCCCGTAAAATTACATATCGTCTATGACTCTATGGTATGATTCGATCGGCAAGTATCTTTTGGGACTCTGCATGCCAGTGCCGACAGGGGAAGAAGAATAATTAGCGGCATTGGTTGAGCTAGCGTAGATTTGAACATGGAGACTTGGAATCTATACATACTTACATACAGTGATATCGCAGTCGCCCTCCAGTCCACATGAACGTCGAGCGTTGCTGGGGGTGTTGATGTTCTCATGTGGCGTGCGGGAGAGCTGAGTGTGGCTTGTTTTGCGCTGCAGCTCTGAGACAGGCCAACGACTTGGGCTTATCCACACATTACGTATGCCGTGCTTTAGTTTGCACCATCAGCCCCTCTTCTGGTCACACAGACTAAAGGTGACGATGGGCTGTTATCGAGTTGTTTTTAACACTCGAGAGGTTCTGCATCTACACGTCTCAAGAGGTATACCCAGCGGAGACTCCATGAACGCCCTTTCAGCTATTACCACTGAATGACAGAAGCTTAGTAATAGCAACACGAGAACAAAGAGTGCAAGTATGAAGGGCCTCCTTAAGAATGTTGGCCCGAGGAATTCGAAGGGCTCCGGAGCTTTTTGTCCTCAGCCACGGCAGCCAATGCGAACGAGGCTGGGTGGAGTCGACGAGCACGAAACTGGTATTCGGTTTACTATGAGCCGCCAATGGAATAGCTGCAATTGCCTGACTAAGGTAAGACCCAGTAACGAACATAATCCGATGTGCTTTCTGTGTGATTTCTTAGTGCCTGAGCCGCGGGAGGGTAAACGAAAACAAACAATGCAACACGCAATGGGCTGAGAATCCACGATAGCACGGCCATGACAAGTGGATTGCCCGCGTATACCTCTCAAGACCGTGCAAAAAGTACCAATTTTCTCATGATAGATGGATAGACTTTGCACTGTACTCCCTGAATCCTGGCTTATAAACCACTCCTGGACTCCTCCGTAGCGATTGACGAGTTCACCGGGGCGTACCACCATAAGGTTGCACTTTGCATGTGCCCATCAGACAGGCAAGACATCATCGGCCACTCTGTAGAGTTGCCTTTTCTAGATCGTACTGCTGTATACTAGTCCGTTTACTGTTACGGCAATACCAGCAAGGACGTGCACGACAATCACTGTTGACTGTATCCAGTGATCCACTCAGCTAGCGGCAATGCCGGACACTCAACAAGCTAGTTGCATGCTAAGAATATTATGATGCTAACATACTCCGTCCTCCGTCCTCCGATCGTAACATCGTAACGGCTGCCCCGTGACTGTCTCTCCTCTCTCTTTCGTGCCTTGACTATTCCAGACACCTGACACCTCCACTTCCACTCTCATCCTCACTTTCATCCATTTCCGACCACCTCTTTCCCCCTCCGCCGCCGCCTCCTCCTACCTATCCCTCCCACGCCGCCTCCGACATCTGCCTGGGGTGAAACGATGCGATTGTCCTTCTAAAAAGGAATCTCGCGGCGTGTCACGTTCAGCTTTGGTGGGGAAGTAGGTCAATCGCCGCTTCTCCGACCACCAACCGTCTTCCTGTTCCTGTCTCTCCCCAAACTTTCCATCGTATGGGTGATCGGCACCACAACCACCGGTCGGCGCAGCACCCACACAGCGGATTTTGAATTTCAATCGTACTGCGACACCTCCCTCTGCAAAACCCGCCCGAAGTTGGGTGGAATTGGGTCGGCATAAGAACACAATCGGGCATCGCGGTCCCTAGTTGCGGCGTCGGTCGGAGACCTCTTGACAACATGAAGCTCTCCTTGCTACTCCCGGCTCTGGCTCTGCTGGCCCGGCCCTTCGCTGAAGCTGCCAGCAGTCTCGCATACTGCGCAACTGACAATACTGGATCCTCCTTCTCGGCTGGTATGTACAAAATGAAGGGTTTACTTGACTGAAAGTCCATGCTGATCTTGCTCTTTCTCAACTCTTTAGTTAGCGACACCTATCAGTCTAATGGAGCTTGCGAGCAGACTTGCGCCGACTACGCCCTGGGTATCTTGCAGGGAAAGAAATGTTGGTGCTCCAACGTGGCACCTGCCGAGTCCTCTCGTAAAAGCACTTCGGAGTGCTCAACTGGCTGCCCCGGCTACCCAGATGATAGTTGCGGTAGTGCCTCCAAGGGCGTTTACGCATATGTGAAGATTACTGGCAATTCGGTCAGCAGCACGGAGAGCGGAGGTAGCTCCACCACTTCTTCGACTTCGGTAAGTTGACCCTTCTCCTTTATACATGAGTCCCTCATCGGCCTCCTGGTCGAAGCCCTCTATATTGTTGGTCGTGTTCTGGACCGTCTTTCATGCTTGGGCTTGAGTGCTTTGCTGTTCCATGAAATTGTTTTTCTCATTTGTGGCACAGGAGAGCACTAGCAGCACTTCATCATCGACAGGAACATCCACAAACTCCACACAAACTGTATTATCTAGACACCAAAGATATTGAATTGGTCCGAATTTGCTAACATGCCGTCCCAGTCCACTGCATCCGACTCGACCACTACCAGTGGAAACATTGTCAAGGAGACTACCTCGGCTGGCCAAGTGAAGACTATCACTGTTTCTGCCCCCAGTCAGACTGGCGCCCAGGATTCCTCCTCGGCCAATACCGCGGCAGCGAGCAACAAGCTCAGCGGCGGCTCCATCGCTGGTATCGTGATCGGTGTGATCGGTGGTCTCGCCCTCGTGGGTGCACTGATCTTCCTGGTCTTCTTCTACCGCAAGCGTGCTCGCTCCGCTAGCCCCATCCCTAGCAACGGGGATATGACCGAGAACCGAACCAGCCAAGCCTCGAGCTTCGCCCGTGGTGTTTTCCCGCAAGGTCATTCTCACGACTTGTCGGGATCTTCGAGCCTGGGACGCAAACACACCTTCACCGACAATCGGCTGAAGACCGACATCTACCCCAACGGTCCGCGGGATAGTAGTGTGTCACTTCAGGATAATGAAGACTACTCGCGCCCTGTGCTTCGGGTAAGTCATACTGGAACCAGAATTGATTTATCAAGAAGAATCTGCTAACATGCCTCTCAGCTCACTAACCCCGACTAAACTTCTTTCGGACATCCGCACTCGCGCTTCATCTCTCACCAACACCTTCAGCAACATTCCCCTCTTCATTAATTCTGTGCGACTTCGCCCAAAACAGCTTTGTTATGATACCCAATTGTCACCTGGATTCTTTCCTTTTCTCTACGCTGGAGGTGTTGGTCGAGAAGAAGCCACTCAAAAGTAATATCCGACCAGAAGTGAATCCTCAAGTTCACCCTCGACTTCCCCATCAATACCCCTCTGCCCCCACCTTTCGACGTCTCCCAGTGAACAGAAGATGAATGTGCGATCTGAGAAGAATGAGAAGATAAAATCGAAATCGAGAAACAAAAAGGCATCGCGGGAATCTAGCCTCCAACTACCACCGTTGGAGGCAATGAGCCGCCGTCGAAACGAGTCCACGAGCCATATTTCCAAACATACATACCTTGCATACATACCCTCTCATGGGTGAACGGCGCCGGCCCATGCGATTTCCAGAGTACATACAGATTTCCGTTCTCCACATCACATTTCCTTTCCATCTCACACACGGACACGCATGTTCCCCGGTCCTTCTCGATTTCGTCTTCTCCCTAATGTTCTCCTCTAATCCTGATTTCTTACTTCTGTATTATCCAGCCTGTTGTGTCTCTTTTCACAATCCACGTGGATTTTGTTTTCGCTTTCTTGGGGTTTACTATGGCGTTAGGAAACCCGTCCTGTGTTTAGAGTGATACATCCATGGTCAATGTACCTACACGTTTATCGAGCAGATATGCTTGATGAAGCCTTGACAAAGTATGTTGCTAGCCTAGTAATTGTGCAAGAGCGTAGAGAGGTGGTGTCTGATAGTGTTCGGTATTCGTTCGATCAACGGCTTCGCTTGTATGGATAGTGTCACAGCTTTGGTACCGAGGTTTGTCAAGACGGCCCGCTGCTGCTTAATTTGAAACGCAACACGTCATGCCTAAGCCATCCTTTGGAATCGGTCTGGCTCATTCCGTGGTGAAGATATTGTTCGAAAAAGGCTCAAACAGTAGTCCTTGAGATATCAAAGCTGGTCAATTCAAGGTACGTCGTTAGCCCACTCACCATCCTCCGAGCAAGGCCCTAAACTAGACAAGGGAAGACGAATTCAATTTCAATGAGCAATTTTTACTAGTGTTGGAAGACACTAAGGTAGTGTTACAACATACGATTCCTCAATCAGTTCCAGGTAGATCAAAGTACTAAATTATATTTCTTCGAGTCTTAGTGTTGTGGGCAAATGTGGTGCCCTGGCATGAGCTCCAAGAGAAATTCAAAAGATTACAATGGCATAACTCATATAGGAAGTCTAGTACCAACCGGAAGAGCATTCGCCTCACAACGAGCAGGCCAAGCTTACTCCAGAGTCAAACTCTTATTATTCAGAGAGGACTTGCCGGAAGAGGTTTACCATCTCCGGATCACCATGTCGAGTCGCCCAGAAGAATATCGACCCAAACTCGGTTGCATCGCTAATTCCGTCGGCACCGCGCTCAAGTAACATACGGGTGATGGGCACCGACCCAGATTCAACAGCTAGATGTAGACAATTCTCTCCATGGACCGTTAAGAGATTGAAGTTGGCGCCCCTGTTAATAAGGATATGCGCCACGTCAAACCGTCTGTTCCTGATAGCCAAATGCAATGCCGTAAAGCCCCATATATCTTGGATATCAATGTTCACCTTTGGATGGCAAGCCAAAGGCATGGCTAGAGGTGAGTTTCCACCTACTAAGGCTATGTGCAATGCTGTATGACCCACGTCGTTCTTAGCATTAAGGATGGTAGCGGGGAGCTCGTCCTTCACTAAATCGAAGAGCTGCGCATCATTGCGATTCGCAATGCTATGCAGCACAGTCAATCCACGTCGTGAAATAGCTGCCGGGTTTCCGCCGTACGCGATGGCCATTTTCATCGTCTCAAGGTTGCAATAAGCTGCGATCGACTGCATAACCCCGTCCGCATTCAAATCACCCGAAGCCTCAATTAGAAGGCGAACAATCTCATCCTTCTGGCCTCGTGCCGCGTGTACAAGCGGACTCATATTCGTGATCAGATCCGGTCTCGATGCGTCCGCGCCAAACTCCAGAAGCAACGGGACTATATCTACGCGTCGAGACTGAACAGCTAAACTAAGCAACCTCTCTCCCGAAACGACGTATGAGTTAGGGTTCACATCGTGGTTGAGAAGGCCCCGCACAACATCAAACTCACCTGTTTCCACGGCCCTCCCCAGAACGTCAAAGTGCGTAGCACCGAAATCGCCTGCGGGAACACCGTACGAGGCGTGTAAGCTAAATACCGGTTCATCGATGCCGTGTCGCTGTCCATAATCGTATATGAAGTTTTCCTCGTAGAGGGTCAAGGGCGCGAAGGCTGCGGTCTGGGCTCTTTCCTTGATTTCTGGTGTTAGAAGCCAGTATAGAGCCCGGCAGGTTTGCGCGAGCCTGAGTAATGACTGCTTGTCTAGAATTTGCGCGATTTGCAGGACTATTTCTGGGGGCAAATCGCCAAGGTTGGTGGTTGTTGTGTGGTAATTGTCTTCTGTCATTCTAGAAATTATCAAGAACCACGTCGGTTCAGACAAAATTTAAGCGTTGGGATGATTGTGTTTTGTGGATCGTGTGAGAAGATAAACTTGGATAAATCGTTTGTAGAGGCAGGAAGCATGGTATCCAATGTTTATGTAGATAAATCAGTTCAAGGCACGACTTGCCTGAATCTCTCTCTGGTTCCATACACAAAGACATTGTATAGTCATGACAACTACAAAGGATTTCATTGATTTGCTTTGAAAGAATTCTCAGCGAAGTAAGCGGGATCCCGTTGAATTGTTCTTTGTTCTTTGTTGTTGCCAGCTGTTTGACATAGAAAGCTGAAAGAACTATACTGTTGGCGTCCAGCTGTCAGCAAAGTGAAAGAGTTCGTAGGGTAGGTAGAAGGGAAGTGCAGTCGAGCTTCGAGGGCTGGAATTTACATATGTCCATGATATTTCCTAGAGAGAGTTTTGGATTCACATACGTTCAAAAATGCCATTTCCAGTTGAAAAATGGTGTTATTGTGAAAGACTGAGCCAGAGAGAATATTGTCATTTCTAAAGTGTAAGACTGAAGTCTGTAATGGGCTGACAACGTCGGATTGTTGAATCAGGGCAGATGGCTCGTTTGGCGAATCTGAAATGGAGGGTATAGAGCGTGGACAGCTTGATCTAAGATTATCTCTCTGTTATAAACGGACCTACAATTACATCTTGGGCCTACTGGGGCCGGAGGAAATGTGTCAGTGTATAAAAAATGTGTAACAAAAGGGCAATTTCATTGCTACGAATAATGAAGTTAAAACCAGACAAAGTGTCTAATGGCTCTCTGGGTGACGATTTCTCAAAATTCGAGCCCTTTTTTCTACGCTCATACAGAAAGGCGGTATTGATCCTTCCTGAGCAAATAACCAATCTCATAGCCGCCAATGTCAACAGCCAAATCAATTGGTGTTTTTCCATGGCTGTCTGTGATTGTCAGATCTGGCGGGGTTGGGCTATCATAGAGAAGGACTTCCACAACAGATTTAGCCCTAGTTCTAACCGCACAATGCATGGGAGTCCCATATGATGAGAGGCAATTAACATCAGCACCATGTTGGAGAAGCTCACGAAGTATAGGTGGTAGTTCTGATGCAGCAACAGTTTTGAGAGCAACATGCAATGCGTTCTGGCCGCCGCGTGGCATGGTAATGTTAATATCAGCACCAGCTTCGAGAAGAGCCTGCACCAGGATGTGACGATGGAGTGCAAAATGCAAAGCAGTCAATCCATGCCTATCCTGAATGTCAAGGTCGATATCTGGGAGCCCGATCAGATACATTGCGGTGTCAACATATGCGTCTCTCATCGCTACGTGTAAAGCGGTCTGCCCTCCAGCATTTGTGAGGTTGAATCTGCTCCGGTCCATTAGCGGAATGAGAAGCTCGACAATTTCTTTTCGATAGAGGATAGCATCATGAAGGGTGATACATGAATTTACCTTGCAGCCAGTCAATAGCAGGGCATGCAACACGTCGGGGTCTCCCTTGCGAGCAGCTCGGTCTAGGGGCGACGTATGTAGCCCGGGATCTTTCAAACATGGACGAGCGCCAAGTCTTAAGAGTAATGTCACAATATCCATGTTACCCGATTCCACAGCTATACTGAGCATAGTCGCACCATTGACAAGATATGAATTGGGATTCACACCTCGCTCGAGAAGACTTTTCACAGCAGCAAAGTTGCCCCGATATATAGCTTGGCCGAAGGGTTCGAATCTCGTTGGGATAAAGGCAGGGGGAATCCACCTGCGACAAGACGCTACGCTATGATCGAATGTTGGGCCCCAGTGGACCCTGAAGGAAGGAAAGTCTACCCCGTGCTGGTGATCATCGTCATAGACAAATCTCGCCTCGTAGTGGCTTCTAGGGGCTAGGGAGGATTGTGGAGCCTGCTTTGTGATTTCAGCATCGAGGAGCCTGTGTAACCCTCTGCAGGTACGAGACAAGCGGCTGAGAGATCCGATCTCCAAGTAGTCTGCAATTTCCAGGACCAACTCGCAAGGCAGTATACCAAGTGAAACAGGAGAGCGCAATTGCTCGGTTGTATGGTGGCCGAGCCAAACCGGCTGAACCAAACCGTCGATATGTCCCATATAGAATACCCTTTGGATGATCTGATCAGATCTATGTCGGAGGAACTAAACGAGTTGGCAAGAACAGTCAACCTTGAATTTGTCCTTGAATTCAAAGAGCGAAATACGGTAGATGGCGAGCTTACTTATGTAGAATCGAGTGAGGTGCCTGATTGTCGAATATCTAAATTGGGAAAAGAAAGAACAATGAGAACAACGAGAACAACGAGGTAAGGAAACAATGCAATTGTCTAGCCATCTACCATCCAGACTGTCCCATTGGCATAAGTGCTCTTTGTTTCCCATTTCTTTGTGAATAAATATGGACCAACAACCTTCAGTCAGTTTGAAGATGACAAAACTAGACTCATGTCAATTCGGGTTGAAGGCAATTGTGCCGAGTCCAAAATATAAATGAATAGTAAATCTTTCAGATTAGGTTACCAAAATAAATCATGGGGGTGTATGATCAGTGGGAGCCTTAAAGTCTTCGAGAAGCTGATTCCTTTCACCCCGACTTCGAGCTCGAGCTATTCACCCTTATTGCCTTGCGTTGTTATCCCGAAAGTTTATAGCATCTCATGCGAATATCGATCTACCCCGAATACCAATGTAACAATAATCAGATAAAATAAGCAACTTAGAATGGGTTGAATATTGAGCATTGACATGAACAAAACTTCAGAGCCTATAATTTGTTTTTATCTAGTTTCAAGTACATACGACCATAGGGATGGCAGGCTTTGGAAATCTCCTCACGTCAGAGAGACAAAATGGGTATCCGGTTGAATGCCTCCCTTCCTTGGGGCTACTCCTCCGCATCTCGCTTAGAACAAGGCTCCCCGCTTTCTCGAGCGATGGATCTGATGAGCCAATGAAGTTCCTCAGCCCCGATTTTTGGAAGATCAAATTTATTTGGGCCGCGGCGCCCTACGCCCCCTGATGGTTTTGGTCCCTGCACCGGGTGTAGAGTCCTCGGAACTCTCGATGACTAAGGTCCTTCGGGATACTAACACAAGCTTCTCGTACTTCTAGTCAGAAGTCTATTTAACCGATCCGGACAAGGAATAGGAATATCTTCCCTACTATATAGGCTATTCTTCGTCAGTTCTCGAGATACTTCAGCCGCACCGCCCTCAGTATTTGGTATCAATGTGGCGAGGAACTAAGCACCCTCGCCAACTACTAATACCATATGTCGCTTTAGAATAAGAAATTAAAGATAGATAATTTACGTAGTATCCATAGCCTGCTAGTGCAGTACAGGAAAGTTATTCTAAGTAATGATAGAGATATGTATACTCATGCCTCAGACATCCAAATTACGCCGTATTTTATGGTAAAGTGTCGATATAGCGGTTGAAATGATCGGGTATTTATTCTAATAATACTGAAGCCTAATTGATTACATTAGCCTCTAACCGAATTCGTGCTTCTTCTCTTGGTAGATATTCGATTAAAATCTCGTCGCACTTACAGCTAAGATCGATAAAACTTTTGTGACATTATATCACGCAGTATCTTCCTCTCCTTACCACTCCACGTAAGGTAGGATCCTCGCTTTAGCCGTACTAGTTTTTTTAGACCCGGTCTTTTACCTAGGTTTCTCTTCGTAGTGTTACATTGTAAATAGTTAGATCTTTTGTAAGGGCTACGTTTATTCCCTGTAGGAAAGTACTCCTTATCCGAGAAGTGCTCGGGTTCCTACGATAAAGTAAATTCTAGGCGGTTAAGCATTCGATTCTGTTGAACTTATTTCTTTAGGCTATTTATAGATTTCCTGTCTAAGCAACACATAATAGATTTAATATGTTCCGTGGCTGTAATCATTCGTTAGGGACATCGAGGATAAGCAGGTGCCGTACTTACTTCTTCGTGATTCTTTATATAAAGAAATCAGGTCCGTAGCTAGATAACTCCTGGTAATTTGTTCTGTCTCTATGTCTAGGGTATCTGGCCGAGAATAGAGTAGCTTCGAAATAATACCCGAACAAACTAGATCACGATCTACTTCTAGCATCCGTACTATAATAGTACTAATACGATAAGAATATACTCTAGGTATAGCTATATAAGTAAACCTTTCTACGGGAATTTCTGCTTTTACTAAATCTAACTAGCTTACTCTATCGGCGTGCCTTTCTCTACGTTTATTTACCCCGTCTATATATAGAAATAGGCTACTAAATAATTCGCAGACCTTAGACTTAAGGTTATTGCTAAAGAGAGAAAGGCTAAGATACTTTATAATACTTCCGTTAGCCTCTAGAACTTCGCGGTATACTTTAACTACACGAATAAGAGGGTATAAGTAGTCGAGTAAAGATTAGGAGTAACTTAATTTACCTATTAGTATCTATAAATAAAAGTCGACGTAGAAATCATGGTTCTAATCGTAAACGCGAATACTATCTTCTAGTCTAGATCCTCCCTACGTATTTATATCTAACTAAACGTTATTAGTAGGGCCGAAATTTCTTAAGAGGATAAATTCACTAACGTTAGAGCTCGAGAAGGCAAATAAATTCAAAACCCAATAGCGAGTGCCGAGTAGGCGCCGGACCGAAGTGAGGAGACACTCGATTAGCTCATTACCTACTAAAGCGGGTCACGATCGAGAGTGATCTAAGTCACTACCGCACTCTGGACAAATTGCGGGAATACATAAGCGTATACAAGGTATATACTAGTAAAGGAAACCCGACGAAGCAAACCCCCCCCCTTCTCCAAAACGCCAATTCCCGGGGTAGCTTCGATAGTCTATCTGATCAGAAGGAACTCGGATTTGATTGATCCACGCTTTATGTGTTATAGCAAAAAAGCACAAATTTAGCGGCTATTAAGTTGATTAAGATTACTCTACTCACTACAGTATACTTAGTTATGTCCTTGCTAGCACTCTCTGTCCTTCTCTTAGATAGAGTGAGATTATCCCACTCACCGAGAAATCGGTCTAGCTCGGCCTCGTCGACAGATGTATTTGGCCCTCCTTCTGATTGATAGAGACAGCAAAGTTCAGGTAGAGACTAGTGTTGAGATTAAAGACTTTATTAGACGTAATTAGAGGTACTATGAAGAGGATCTGGACCAAGGATCTGGTTTCTTTCTCGATTGGCGTATTACCAAAATCGGGGTAAGAAGAGAGTGCCGGAGGCCATTTCCGGCACGCAGGTCTAACTATTAAAAATTCGGATAATTGACATGCCCGTATCACTACATTAAGCGAGCGGTTGAAACTAGTGTCGCCACCTACACTCCTCGACGATTCTTGCGCAAAACTCTTGTATACGATGTTTCAAATATATCCCAAGAATCACTGATCTTCACGCTTTTCGGTTTTAGTTCGAAGGATGTCGCCAATATCTACCAGGCCACGCTTGTCGTTTTCAGTTCGAAGGATATCGCCAATATCTGCCAGGCCACGCTTGTCGTTTTCAGTTCGAAGGATGTCGCCAATATCTGCCAGGTTACGCTTTTCGTTTTCAATTAGCTCAAGACCCCTGGCATTCAAGCCACGCTCGTTCATGGCGGGCGCGGCGAGAGCCAGAGTGGCAGTTGCAAGCGTGATCAAGAAAAGCTTCATTTTTGTAAAGGTGAACTGGAGAGATAATGTCAGTTAGTATATACATATCGGAAGCAAAACCTTGTGCTTACCCAATATTGTGATTTTGTTTTTAAGCTTGTTTGTAGAGGGATTGAGTATATACCTGTGCTAAATAGCTTGACGTCCACAGATATTTATACCCACCTAGACAAATTTGCAATGCTACACGTATACCCACGTAAGGTATTTCCAGGAACCTGGATGGCGTCATGCAGAACTAACTCCCTTATAGGGGGATAAAACAGAAGATCCCCGGAAGAATTTTTGGTCTTATAACTTGAAGAATTCAGCCCATTTTTTCTTTCACCACTAGATTGACGTCTCATACGAGATCCCCTTATATGTTGACCAACTAATTGGAATCGGGAGAGCCGAGGAATACTTAAATTTGGGAGGCTATATAGCCAAGGAAAATTAGGTTTGTTTGATGTAACCTTCATAACTCAGGCGATAATTATGTGTTCTCCTTGTCTAAACCCCTCGACCCTAAGGATCAACTTATGTTCAAGTTTTCCACATACCCTTCTTTCACACCAATCCAAACCTCCAAAGTATGCCGGAAAGGGTATCATTTCTCTCCATAACTATCCAGAGACAGGCATATCATAGCAGTAACCGATATCTGCAAAGAACAACCTTACCGACCAGTCCACAACGAAGACATAGAATCGGAGTCCCCTGATGCCTCTAGATTCATTCAGTCCAATACTTACCAGAAATCGCATTTCCGCCTCGTTGGTCCATGGATATTTTCCACAGTTTCTCTGGCATTCATTTCCATCTACTTGCTCTTTCAACAGCAAACCGATTCCTGGTCCGAGTGTTTGGCATCTGGTTCACCAGCTTTTCAAACCGATCTCCATGATGCACACCAATACATCTCTTACGAGGAGCGTGTGTTCTCCGGAAGGCTTTGGTATAGAGAGGATACAGGCATGATCTATCGGGACATTGACCCGTCCGAACCTCAATATTTCGGACCCCCAAATCCTGGAATTGATGCGGCTTGGGCTGATTTACTCCGAGGTACCATCCCCAGCCGATTACGCTCAAAACTATTCGGCCGCACATATCCCGTGTTCACTAACAGGCTGTCAATTCCTCTACAGGCGAATTCGTAGTAATAACCAACGAAGAAGCGGCACCTTGTACACCAGAGCTTACCAGGGATCCCGACTCAAATAAATACTACTTTAAGTAAATTTCGCTAGAGAACGGCGGTGCTCTGTTGCGAACGAAATTTAATGTTCTTCTTAGGCCAGATATGTTTCACTCGCTCTACTGTCTAAACGCAATCCGGAAGGAGCGCGACCGTAACTACTATTCAAAGCAAGAGACAAGCCACTTAGATCAAGAAATAAATAATTCAACCCACTTCCCGACAGACTAGGATCGAATTCACATTGATCATTACCTTAACCAGCTTCGGCAAGCTATTCAGTGCCAGGGGGACCTATCCCTAGTCCCCTTGTATCATTTTGAAGGTGTGCCGATTGGTATTGGAGTTGGACAGTCTCATATATGTCGCAAGTAGGAGCCTATGAGGGAGTGGATGGATGTCCGCAAGGACCGTCAGCACAAAAAAGTGGGCCCATAATGTCTGCTTATGGATGTACTGAATATAAACGACCCTCCCAGAAAATGATTTTCTGCGTTTATTGTTGTAGTGCCTCGTCTAACGGGCCCTAGTCACGTGCACGGTTTCCAGGCCAATAGCCATGGTCCTCGAGAGACTGTAGGCAGTCCCCGGTGCTAGCATCCCAATCTTGATAGTGCCATCGTGTGAAGCTAATACGAGATACTCAGAATCATGAGAGAAGATAACCGAGTTGACCGAGCGAGTATGGCCGTCGAGGGTCTGTAGGCAGGCGCTCCAACCATCCTCTATTAGTGGTTTTCCAAATATTCACCCTGGTTCTTGCGTTTCAAATTGTATCCTTGTTATACTCACAGTCGGACTAATATCAGTCCTGAAGCGTACACTTGACGTAGATGATATTCAATCGCTGATTTATAGTATAGGATAAATTTTTATGCATCTTAAACTCTATCAACCTAGTGTGTCTTAGCGTAAAGGAAAGGGGAGTCAATCGAAAAGGATAGGTAGTTGTACCATATTCGGCAGGCACGTACTGTAACCGAAGCAAACTCTCCAACAGAACGCGTAAACGTTTAACATCTCTTAGCAAATAAATCGGAAATATAATAGATATATAAAGTCTGAGAGAACAAATTTGGTTAGAAAACGTCGGCACCTTATATCTCGTGTCCCAGAAACTAGGGACAACGAGGAAAACGAGTCACCTGGATAGAGGTATTGTTACGACTCTAGTAAATCGTAGGTGTCTTTATATCGACTTGTGCTAAGAAAAAGTTGAAAAGGCTAGTATCACGATCCGAAAATGTTACCGTAAGGAGCGTTCTATTCTACGCTCCTATATTCGAGCTAGACAATTGACTACCCGTGGTTACAATCTCGCCTATTGTATCCTGTATATTACTCTAGTCTGGATTACCCTATGATCCGTTCCCGTAATTTAGAAACAACTCCTATCCTATATATGCTTCCCCTGATATTCCATTGATTTGTAAATATTTATAATTAGGTCCTAGGGCAGAGTACCTAGAAAGAGTAATATCTCTTGTTGGGAGATATGTGCGGTTCGCGATGCCTCTAATAAGAGTGATATCCTGGTCACTGAATTTGATTTACTTTAGTATAAACGTTAGATAGAAGATAGCTACTAGTATAAGGTTAACCACGAAGGAATAGTCGAGTCTACTAAGCGTAGCTATTATCTTATTATATATCGTTAGATAACTAGAATAATTATAGGGAAGAATAGGGTCTGGTAACGATTTTTAGAGCCGTATCGAACTGAGGATATTTATAGAGCGGAGTGACTTTTCAGTTGCTAATCCCTAGGATAAGAGGCCTGGATTTCTTTTTATAGTACCGTAACAGATATCTTGTTAACTAAATACGCCTAACGAAGTTCTACTAGACAAACGGGTGCTGTAATACCCAAAACGGATCCCTGCTACTACTAAAACGGACCCCTGCCACTAAAACGGACCCCTGCCACTGCTGAAACGGATCCCTGCGATATAAAGATAACGTAGCCGACCTCGATCTTAAGAACTGCTTCTGCTCTCACGGACCCTATTTAGCACCGTTACTCGTCTAGAGAGCTTCTTTGAATATTGCCTCTGCCTCGTCGTTTATGTTGCTTCGTAGTAATATAGGCCTAACCAGTATATAGATAAGAATATATCTAGGTGTTTAGTGCTTAGCACTGTTATCTGCCATTGTCGCGCTTCTCTGAACATAGCTCCGGCCTCACGGTAATGGGCTGCTTTATATAGGTAATGGCCTAGCTAGTGCCTAGATGCGAGTGTTTATTCATGGTTATGCCCTAATACCTGGATCTCCCTTTCTAGAATAATCTGGAATTTCTGCCTGGCTTCCATATACTAGTCTTGCTCGTAGAAGGAGTCCGCTAGCTAATATGTAGATTAGAGTGTTTCTAGATGGTTATATCTAATAATATCTCTCGTCTCTGTATACCAAGCTAGAACATCCGTACCGTTGCGGGAAATTCATACTACTTTAGAAAGAACGGCTAATAGGTACGTGCGGTTGTAGCCGGCCGATTAAGGCAGTATTTTTGACGGTCTTGAGCGTGGATATAAAGAGGCTATACCTCCCGAGGTAGGATCACTATAAGGGTGCCGTCTTATTGTGCTACTACTATCCTACGGGATCCTTGTATACGCCTACCTAAACTCTCTATAAGAGTAGTTAAAAATACCGTTAATTTTGAAAGTACGTATTTGACATATGACTTTAACGGGCCTATAAGTGTTAATCGTGCACTATAGTATACGAGGATATATTAGATAGAAATCTGTGTGCTATAGGAGCGAGGAGCACGAGTAAGGAAAACTGCGTATAGCCACTAGCGACCTTAGAACTAGCTATATCGCATTACTATCTCAGTTCTTACGCCCGAAGAAACGTGTTAATATCTATTCCTTATGTGAAGATTGCGTATATAAAGACGATTGAAGGACTAAGGAGATCCAAATAAGTCGCCTCGAAGTCGAAATTAAGGAACCTAGGAAACGAAAGGCGTGGAAGACATAGGAATAGCAGGTTTAGGTGTTAAGTGTACAGTATAAGCAGCTGAAGAACGATTTTCGCCACGGTAGTAAGATTTATCTTTGCCTTAACGTGGATACAACGTTATATAGGGTATAGTTTTAGCTGGCGTTTTTGTTTCTACCGGAACCGTGTCCTAAACACCAGGATAGCCACACCCGGCACCTAGTAACTGCACTCCCCAGCACCAGTAATTTTATAGCGATAAAGCCGTACGGCTATGTAAAGCGCCTGTCTTGGGTTTTGGTGTTATTTTACTAGTCTGTGTCTGGAATACAATGCTGCTTAACTAGATTGAACGCCGGATATATCCTGTTAGTTTTTAGATTATGGTAGTCGTTGCAATTTCACAAACAAAATACTGTAGATGTTTCGGAGGTCCATAAGCCGCTGTTTGGTCTCTATCGAAAAATGCTTGTGTAGTAGACTGACTCTATACCGTTCATGCATTCTGGAGTCGAGAAAGAGCTAAGAAAGTGCTCGGTGCGGACTATATGTCGACTCTTAAAACTATTAACAATCTTAGGCTTCTATATAAGGCCCGAGGCAAGCTGGACCAGGCGGAGCAGATATTCCAGCAGGCACTAGATGTGTATAAGAAAGCGCTTGAATACGATACAGTCCTTCACGAAAGGGGGTTGATAGTATAGAATACGGAACTGTAGCACGAATGTGTGATTTGGGAGAATAAGTCGATCTCGATCTCGATACTTTGGTTGTGCTTATCGCAAAGATTGTTGCGAGCATTATATGAACGCGGATGAAGAGGGAAAACGGGAGGCGTTCGTAGAGATTTTCTTCAGTGAAGAGGGGTTGAGATGCGTTAGCACAAGACAGTGCTTGCTTGTATACTAGGACGAAGTGGATTCGCGTTGCGGATTGTGATTCGGGATGTTGATGTGGGGTATTGTCCCACGGATTAAGGTTAGCTTTTGTTCAACTGCTATACAGTACAACCACTTCTATTAACGTCCAACGGAGACTAACCAGTCTGTCTGAACCTAATTCGCTTATCATATCCAGACTCGTCCACATAGACCGAGTAATACGATTGGAAGTACGACAGATTATGCATATAAAAATCTCGTAAATCGGCATTTTGCTCATTTGCCCCTCTATCGAGCCACCTTTTTTGACCAGCCGACTGAAGCAAGAGCCCGCTTGAGACTGGAATTTGTGACCTGCACATAGAACTCGTCCCACAAAATATTGCCATCTCGTCCACATATAGCCCGGGCTTTTCGAGTAGATGATCACACAAGGCTTTAGTATTAGAGGGGTTACGCTTCGTCTTCGGCCGACGCGAGTCGGGGGTGCCTAGCGTTTCCGAACCGGCGAAGGTTGTTGCTAATGTTGTTTATTGAACGCTTACTACATTCAGCAGCCTTAGCCATCTGCGAGGTTCCGATATCAAGGATGTGCTGTGCGCTTGGTCAGTGAGGCCGCATACGGCGCATTCCATGATCAATTGACTTTTGTGAGGTGTCATATCGTTGGGGAGTCCCCTACTGCCGAGAGAAAGAGACATACCCAGCATCACAGCTTTCAAACTCTTGGTCATTGGAGGGGATACTGCGTCAATAATAAGTTGTGTGTTCATATAGCTTCTGACTCACAAGTACTCATCCCGCCGAAGTGTTTGGTACCTCACCGATAAGGTTAGCTTCAAGACCGCCGAACTCTAAGGTAGACATTGCGTCTTACCGCCTGCCATTTTCCATTTACCCTGATACATTGAAGATCCGATCGAAGTTGTCTGCCTCGGCAATGTTGAATGTCAGAAAATTTCGTCAAGTAGTTCTCTCTGCTGCAGGATCCATCACATTCTTAGCACTATCGGTAGGTTTATCTGAGGTCTGTGTGGTTTTGAGGGAACGTGCTCCCTGTGACGATCTAGACGCGATTGGGATTGGTTTGAGGATTTGGCGATGGAAGTAAACACGACCGAATCGGGAAGATAAGAAAAGGCGTTTCTTATCGGAGGACATATCAAACATCATCCCACCAGATAGTTTTCTCTTTCTTCTCTCTCTCTAGTCTTGATACTTTCGTCAAATGGCACAATTTGACCCCTGATCTCTTTCTGGCTGTAGCATACCTCTCCTTCCAAATGTCTTGTCGGCATCTTATAGCCACTCGTAGATTTAAATTCAGGGATTAGGGAGTCGGGCGATATTCGCTCTGACGCTCCTAAGCAATCAGAATAGTTATTCTTAGCTGCTCCGTTGACCTGTTAGAGAGGGAGAGGACTGTTCCTTTAAGTAGCCTTGCGTTGCATGGGAAGACATGAAGAACCGATGTTTTGAATGAGGTGGTTCTGAACCGCAAACCAGTACTCAGTAGTATTCGTCCATACACGGCGGCGATGTGCAGATGCCAAGAAGGCGAGCGTTTCAGGTGAGAGGATACAGGCCAATGGCTTATACATCTCAGTTCAACTGAGAGGGTCAGTGCGGCAGTCGCGCGACCGAGGGTGATTCTCACCCACTCTCACCCAGATTCTCACCCTGTCTATTGCGCACTCACCCCTTCTCACGCTGATGCAACGCTTTATGCATTATAATTAGGAGTATTAGGGCATATATTTTGTTTTCTGCTGGTAATCAGCACATACGACCATAGGGTGTGGAGAACAGGGCTTCCCGTCCGCTCAGCCGTACTTAAGCCACACGCCGGCCAGTTAGTAGTATGGTGGGTGACCACATGCGAATCCTGGCTGTTGTATGTTTTTATCATCTGTGTTTTTTCATTCGTTGGGACATCTGCCCTTGCCGCTTCCCTCTTCAGCCCCTTCAGGCCCCTTCACCTGAACGCCCTGAAGGCCCTCTATTCTTCACCCGAATACCCTGAATACCCCTGAAGCGCTGACATGGCCCTCGGCTAAACTTTCCCTCCCTCCCATTCCCCTTCCCGCTTGTGTCCAGTCCCAATTTTTGGTGGCCTGAACTGATCCTGATCGGAGCTGACCACGGAAAATAAATTCACCGTGGCTAGTAGTATTCACAGGTTGTCGTGAATTTAACTATCCACGCCTAGAATCTGCGAAGTGATAACAGCGATGAAGCCTGACATAGGTAGTAGCTAGACACCACGGGGGACGGTGCGGAACGGATTTTTGAATTTGATCAAAACGTCCAGAGTCCATGAGACGAAAATTCCTCGCCGGATTGTTTAGAGTCCTAGAGTCGGACCGCTTAGAAGACGATATAATAGCGCCCCTTCTTCTGAGCAGTTTGACAATCTCGTGGTGGCCTCCAAACGAGGCAGCCTGGAGAGCATTGCCATATTGGCCGCCCTACGCGTTGATATCCGCTCCCTTTGTCCAAGAGCAGTTCGACGATCTCTTGATGGCCTCCAAACAAGGCGGCATAAAAAGCGTTGCCGTAGAGGTCGCTCTGCGCATTGACATCCGCTCCCTTGTCCAAGAGCATTTTGACAATCTGTTGATGGCCTCCCTCTGAGGCCGCCTGGAGAGCATTGCGCAGAGTCTACTGTGTTGATCCGATCGTGAAGTCGTATTATTTGAGCTCTTGAATTACCTGACTTAATTTTAATCATTGCAATGTTCCCTTTCTCCATTGGCGTAACCTCTCGATTGGATCCATTGCGGTCGAGGTCCAAAGGACGGACAAAGCAGCTTCGGGCTGGGTCTGGACAAGCCAGTCAAATTCTGACATCCAATCGGCTTACAGAATTAGCCCCTGGTGAGCCAGATGTGGAAGCGTTCTTTGTTTGCGTGCCAGGATCGGTCCTTCCTCTCCCGTCTCGTTCCCAATGATATATTCGTTAGCAAACAAAGGAAGAGAAACGTCAACACACTAAGGGTCGGCATAAATAGACTTACTCTCGTTCCTTTCATAGTCGTCCACAATTTCTTCGAATTGCTCCGATCATCTCCAAATTTTGATTCCCTCGTCATGTCAAAGCATGCAGCTCTGCGCCCACTTCTACCTTCGAAACCGGAGGACCACGTAAATAAACATGGAATAGCATCGAAAGGTGCGAATATGAATCGACTCAACTGAGGCGTAGCCATAAGCCTGGAGGCGTCATGTGTAGACAGCAGTGAAGCGAGTCAGGAGTCTTGATTTTCCCGCCTTTACGGGATATCCAAGCCGTGCATTCCCAGACGTTAGTTCGGAGCACGAGCGCGCACAACCATTCACGTCCTCCAATCCTCCAAGTCAATGACAACATATTGCGCCACTCACTGTTGTCGTGGACAACGCTGCAGCCGCCTTCCCGGGCAACTCAGGATCATCATCTGCACCATTAGCTCATGGTACCAATATACAATGCGTGGCGTAAATGTCCTAACACAGGCGGGGATCTGTTGTCCTGCAGGCTCTCGAGGTAGTGTTAAGTGTCCACTCACGCTTGAATAAGATGCTGCTGCTCTGTCGTAGTAGCCTTAGTGGTCACGGTTTATCGTGTGATATACGGGTCACTTTCATGAGGTAGCTCTCTGGCCACAGACGTGCAGTAGTTCAAATACCTCGCATCGATTCAGTACGAGATGACGATGCAGCCTACGTGTGAACTCATGCGGGCCTCATCAAATGATTTCAATAACCTGTTTGAGTCACTGTTCAACAGGTTTTGGAAAGGTTGTTCGTAGAATCAGTGAGGCGATACGACGCTTATTATACCATGGTTGAATAAAATTTCCACGAGGTATCTATAGGCAGAAAATCACCATAGTAAAGATGTTGGCTATTGGACGACAAGACGCAACTTTGGGGAAGTATTGATGGCCGAATGCTTCGAAGTACCTTCTGGGGCTGATAAAGGGCAGAAGTGGACAACAGTAGGCAACGATAGTCAGTTGTGAAAAGAATTGCACATAAGTGGGTAACCATGGCTGCTGGTGAGCAGGAATGTACAGAATAAGGGAGAGTTGGTCACGATGGAAGCCTTATGAAGTGCTCTTTGTTCGTTCGTTCTATCGTCGCCGTGCGTGACGGAAACTTTCTAGGCATATTTGCTGGTAAGATACGGTTTTCGAAAGACTGGAGTACCACCCACGGTGTCCGCGGTCCTATCAGCAACCTGTGGTTAGACTACTCATAAGTTAATGGTACGCTGAACCAAATGCTCTTGCAGAACCTAGAGGTCCCGCAAACGTCTGCCTCCAGTGGGAAGTACTCGATGATGAGATTGGGAAAGAGGTTGCACGCCATGGAGAGTTTCTGTGAGAGCCACTCAGCCCACAATGCCGTTTGACCCCCTTTTTGTGTGGCTGTTAAGAGAAATATTTACTGCATTCATCCTCTGAGAATGCAAGGAGGGGCTTTCTCCAAGACTGCGACGTTGACTAAGAAATCGTTTACATAACTAACTATCCTTAGTTATTGCTCTGTATAATCGAACGCTTGCTGTATTGAAATTCGAATATTTGATCTGCTTTCATACTCTCTATGTTCCGATTGGATAACAAAGGAGATATAGAGGTAAATGAAGCAGTGATTTGTGACTGGAAGACTGATACTCCCATATCTACCCCCGCTCTTGGGTATAGTCTCCTGTTGATAGAGTGGAGAGGAGAACAGCTGAGCGCTGCTCGCTTCTGCTGTGCCTACCTGATAGTCCCCATCTTCATCAGCTGAGACGGTACATTGGGGATCTTCCAGAGTGATTGATGTCAATTGGACGAAGTACGTGGAATTTGTAGAACTCAAGCAGAATACACGAGCTATCACTATTCTTTGGCACTCCATTTTCCTCCAAAAACACTGGTCTTTGCAAAGTCAACAACTGCACCCAAACCAATAATCATGCTAATAAAGAGCGATCCAAGCACACAGAGGCTGAAAATGGCCTCAGAGCACGTCTGCTGGAAACCCCTCAAGACAGCTAGATCAACAATCCCCTTACAATTCGGTCTTGACACCCTCCCCGCCAAACACCTCACTCATACAGGGCACCTCTTTCACAAACATGGGCAAGCAATAGTTGGAGTTGACATACCGACCGATCCCAGGGTTGGTTGCCGGGCAAACGATCTCCAGTCCCCGACAGGCATCGACTGCACTCTTGAGACAAATCCCACATTTCCCGTCCACGCACCACGGCGCCGCCTGGAACGCACCGGCACTTTTAGCTTCCTGCGTGAAATATAGATGGTCGGAGCACCTGTTGTCGATCCAGCCAGCGCCGTTCAGGTTCCACTGTCCGAACTCATCCTGGAGGAAGAACTTGTCGTTCACAGTCACTTCCTTGTCGCTGGGGCTGCAGTCGGTCGTGCTGGCGCAGACCTTGAAGTGGTAGAGGTCGTCGTACTCGTTCTGCAGTATATAGTCGGTCGCGCCACGGTGAAGGGATAGGGTGCGGCCCTTGGTGTCCATCAGCTGGTAGCAGTGGCCCTGCTTCAAGCCGGTAGTCTTGGAGGACGACGCACAAACACTGTGGGGGGAGCAGTTGATGGTGTGGGGCTTTGGCTCTGGCACTATTTCGGGCTGGCACTTGTGGCCATCGAAATAGGCCGTCCCGCTGGGGCAGCAGGATCCCGATTGCGACTTAGCATCCCACAGGTAGACGTGGTTGGTGGCGGGACAGCAGTCGCCTTTTTGGGCGCTGGTGTCGACCAGGTAGGCCTGGCTGGCGTCGCAGCACTTGCCCAGTTTACTGCCGGCAGGCCCATTCAGGAAGACCTGATTCTTCTTGTCGCAGCAGCGTCGGCGCCCAGTATTGGGGTCTGTGTACTTGCCGCCCTCGCCGATGCAGATAATGCAGTCGTCACACGAGCCCATGCCATTATGGATGTCGTAGAGCTGACCGACGGCGTGGAGATCATTGAGTTTTGTCTGGCACATCTTGTCGCAGTCTTCCTGGCTGATGGATGGATCTGCAGCTGCGAGCTCAGCTGTGAGCCCGAGGACCAGAAGAACAGGTGCGGAAAGAATCATGTCTCAAGCAAAGGTAAGAGAGAGCTAGTTCAAGCCAATGTGATATCCAAGACTGGAAGTTGGGGGGATATCTGATTCACAACTTGTTCAATGACTTTACTAGATCGTACGAAACCTGAATCTCACAGAGGCTTAGTGGTCGGTCTTATACCGATGCTCCATCTACCCATATTTATAGGTTTTCTTCCACGCTGAGCCAACTCCCTTCCTCGGCCTGGGTCTCCAAGGTCTAGACTGATGGAACGATATCCACCGTATGATACGCATCATACACAAAATATACATACTATATACTCTGAACCGTGATAATACCGTTCTTGCTGCAAACGTTTTGCATGTCGACCGGATTAAACGACGCGGTAGGATGAGTTACATCATGAATTGCGGCATCTGCGGGTGCAACATCTCCAAACAAAAGGTATCTCCATTTGATAGGCATGAGCTAGATCAGGGACTTCAATATGTGTAAGGAGTGTTCTGAGATTTACAGAATTAATGAGACGAAACTGTTTAGCTATGCTGTCCTTGACGTAGCTAGAAGGTCTATGATGCGTGGATGTTTTGGTTATGTCACGGTTTTTGGTGTAAGTGATCGAGGAAAAGAGTCCATTTCCTCACATGAATGATCTCATAATGATAATGTAGGGTGGCTAGGGTTACGATGGTGCAGGTCGTGGCAGGTTGAGAATAGGACTGACATAGATTCGTACTCTCGTTGCCAGTCTGTCTTGCCTCTACTGCAGGTGATCGAAAATGCAGATCTCTCGGAGCGCATTGTCGGGTGCAGAACTTTTTAATTTGCGTGTTTTCTGAGGCACGATAGGCCTTTTATTATTATTAATAATCAAGTTTATTGTCCGCATCGAGTCCTAAAGCTATGACAGACCGCAAGTCTGAGGCAAGTCTGGTGCCGCTTCGATAAGCGGCTCTTAGACCTCTGATCCTATGAATTTCTGGGCGTGAGCCTTTTTCCTCGCCTCGATTCGCTTGTTTACGCAGAGCATTTGAGCCGTGTTGGCTCTCCTCCGTGTCTCAAGCGATTCAGGTGTCCCATAAGCTGAGTGCCTAGGCTACCCTTCCTGCTATCCATCCCCCGTCCGCGCAGCTTCCTCCAAGCCCACAAATCCCCATTAATCATCCCGTTGGGCTCTCTCTGCCAGCGCCTGGTAAAGTTACCAGGGTAGGGCTACCTTCTTGTTGATAAGAACTGTAAGATAGCCGCCGTCGCCTTCGGTTCCCCAACAATTTACCTTTCGGGAATTCTTCCGCCGCGGAGGGTCTGGCCACCCCAGAAGCAGGTTGGTAAAAATTGGCCGGTGTCACAATGTCTAGACCCCTAGACACACGCGCTTTCTTTCCCAACGCCCCACTCCAATTGCGCTAAGGTGAATCCGGCTAGACAACGAGTTTCAGCGGGGCGTGTTGCGGCGATAAGAAGGGTCTGCCAATACAGATTGTCCAGCAGTATCCCCTCAGATGGTCAACAGTTTGAAAGTTACGAAGCCGGGTATGTCTAGGCACCTCCCCTCACCCACATTCTTCACTGGCAACTGCTTCTAGGCACCAAGTTGCTCTTGCTATCCACCCAGATAATCCAAATCCGCTGTTTCTTTCGCCGATCCGCGGCTCGTCGATGGTATGATACCCCATACATGTCCATTGATCATGGAATATATCATATGCGGCCCCTCTGACCAAGCGCACAAAGCATATCCTGCACATCGAAACCGGTAATGGCACTTGGGCCATGTCAGTAAGATCCAAATTCCGACAGTGAAACCTAAATACTCTCTAACTAGAATCAGATATGTCGGTGATAAATTCCCGTCCGGCAGCTCCCTTCCTACGTGGAGTGAGAGTTTTTATTTGATCCATATGCGCCAGATGACTGGATCTTTTAGTGCTCCAGAGGAACTTTCCATGCTGCTGGTGCGACGCCTCATCGGCATAGTACTTGCCGTCGTTGTGGTGGGCAAGTTGATTGCCATTCTCAGCTTTAAATACGTAGTATTTACCTTGCTTACCTTTATGACTGCAGGAAGTAGCTGAATCTACAAGGGCTGCTTACCAGTTGTTAAACCAGATGAACAGTCAGGCTTGGCCCGTGTGTCGCAAGTTCCGTCGAACGATTCGACCGTACCAGGTGGACGTGCGCACTCGCCATCCACCAGAAGTCTGCCATTCTTGCAGACCTTCTCACAAGACCAGCCATTGAATGTTTGATCAACAGGGCAGCATTGATAGCCGACACGATCTGAGCCCACGACCTCTTCTCCCTCTCCGCAGCAGTGAAACTCGGTCTCGACGCCAACGCGAAGTCGCTGATGGGGACCACAGAGGCAAAATGTCGCTGGTCGGGGGTCAAAGGCGGGCTGCTGGTTGTCATTCTGGTTGTCATAACATCTTCGAGTGACTTCGTCACAAAGGTAATCTTGCGACCGGCCGCAGTTAGGCTCTGTCCAGTGGATCTCGTTGTTATAGACTCGAGCCCAGGGCGGTCAGTCCCCCAGGAGTAGGATTGGGGGCCTCGGAGCTAGGTCGCACCATTACAAGAGGAACTTTTGACAGGAACCGTCGCGGAAAGAGCCCGGCTCCCCCTCAAAATGGCGATATTATTTTCGAGAAAGGGGAAAGCCAGGCGATATTTGTGTGCGATGTCCAGCACGGAATATCGTGGGCCCGACGTAAGGGGCTTTCGTGCAACAGTCCTGAATAGTGTCTATGGATTTTATCTCAACAACCTCAAAATCCTACGGATCTGTATTCGTGACGACCCCTACGTGGTAGTGGGGTTATCGCTAAAGCGGGCCTACCTTCTGGATCGAGGCGCGCGCGGTCGTTGTTTCGTTGTTTTCCAGCGCATGGGCAGTTGCCGTTCCTTGCTTGTTCCGTTGATGGAGCTCGGGAGCGCCCGCATGCGGGCCGCCATCGGTCCGACGGAACTACCCGCTTGTACGTAACTCGCATCAATTCAACTCAACCAAAATCAACCCGAATTCCATCATTTACAATATCCTTCAAAATCAGGTTCCACCTCATGACAGCCCAATTGATTTCTAGCCCTACGACCAAGCCTCCAGTATGAGTAGCTGACCGATGCTGAGAGAGCATTGTAATATGTGTAAATTCAAATTATTACGGGTTCGGTACAGCCCATCTAAGCTAGTATCGACATTCCAAGTTTTCTCGAAGATTTTTGCAAACTTGATAAACAGCACGAGCATCTATTACGGCAATATGTCCTTAGTAACGTCCTGGTCCGCTGCAGCGGAGAGTAAGAACTCTATCTAGTGCCAATTTGCGACAGGTTGTTCTCATGCGGTCCCCGCTTTTGTTGGCATTCTGGCTAATCCTGTGTTGCTGCACGCTTTATTGGGCATGAGGCTCACTCTTGACAGCAATCTGCTAGGTTGCTCGAGGTCATCTAAAAGTTCTCGATACGAAACAATAGGCTTATTTTATACTATAATACCTATCGATCGATTCTTGGAGGAAGAGACATAGTTGCTCCGCATCTAGTAATTTTGATCGTACACCTGCTACGCCATACTCCCCAGGCCCGTCTCTGGTTTTTACCTTCAGTGAGACCTAAGCTATAACGGGCTAGATCCGTGCCCTTTTCGGCTATGCCGAGTCTTTTCCCTTAGTAAGTGCGCAGAAGTGATTGAGATGAAAAGAAAGTACATTATCTACGTGTGCGTGTGGACTGATCTTCGATCAGTTTACCTTGTTAGATTTTTTAATCTAGGGAAAATGCCTTCGCATCAGCGCAGTTGGAAACCTCCCCTGACATAAGCAGATCAACTGGAACTCCTCCCAATAGCTAGGTGGGGATAGGACCACGGATGTGTAGAACAACCGACGAAATATATCTGCTATACCAATGCGTGGAGCACTCTAATCAATTACCTGGTTGAGCTAAACGGAACTGAGCAGGACTTCGTCGTAGCGCCCAGCGAAACTTGGGAACGAGTGTCTGAAAGAATTCTCAACGAATGGGGTTCATACCGAAAATGAAATCTGCCGGTCCAATTAGAAGACATGCTATTATTTTGTCGGTCAAGGACCGAGTTCATAGTATTCTTGAGAAAGTCTACGCATTGGAAAGCGGTACTGTTACCTGAATAAACTTCCCCATCTTGGACATCAGACATAACACGTCCTTGGCGAACATGGCAAAGTCTAAGAGTCAGAAAGGGTTACATAGTTTTTTGTGCCAGTAGTGAAAGCTGTTGTGTCCCTAGTGATTTCCAAGGGTTATTTGCAGCTGCCTGCAGGACCTGTTATTTAAGCAGGTCGACCTCAATGATAATGTTAGCGTGGTACTTCTATCCCCACTTCATGACCAATATTCTGCCACTCTTGTATTACGACTTCATGAAATTAAACCACAATAATACACAATATTACCACTTACTAAGGCATATGACAAGGAAGTGGGCTGAAATGTGCGGTATTGGATTACTACTAATATGGAAGGCGGTTGAGGATGATATTAGTCATCGAGGAGGGACGGAAGTACCGCGCTAACATTATCATTGAGGTCGACCTGCGTAATTGAGAGATGAATCATGAATAATTGAAGGAAAAGTAGAAGATATTTTGGAAAGGGAGGTAGAATGATTATCCATCGGCCTGGCCTCGAATATCTATGGTTGAGACATGGCCCGCAGAATGTATCCAGCCACTCCAATGGAATGTGCTAAGCCTTGAACAGTCTGAATGACCATTGGTTGAGCCATAAAGAAGAATGACTGATAGAGACCGACCAGACGCTCTCTCATGCTGTGTAACATTTTAAGTTGCATTCCTCGGCAGCCAATGGAAATGTTGGAAAGCAAGGGTTATGCCGTCTCGAATTTGAGCTTGGCCCCACTTAAATTGAGTAAATTTAAAGTTATTCTTACGGCCCACCTTGAAGCCTATTGGGGACCGGCTCTAGACCTCCAAGGCATACGCAATGCTCTGGTTGCGTCGGCATGATCCATAATACTGCCTCAGGCTACGAGGTTTCAAGTTCGCCAAATTCACAAGACTATGAGGTGTCCTTGTCAATCTTTACGTGCCGTGGCTCAACTAGTCATTACTTCAAGGTTGCTTCTCCACCATGAACCAATGGAGAGAGATCACTGGGTGGAAAACCTAATAATTTTGGTTGCCACGAAATATGGATCGCGGTTTTTTGGGTGGTAATTACTACCCAGCTAAGTAACAATCCTTTCACAAGACTTCTCTAAAACTTCTACTGTCTAAAATGGCTGCTCTGTATGGTTTTTGAGGAATGGCGTAACAGTAGCTTCGGGGGTGGAGCCTCAGTCTCCTGCCTCAACTCGACCATCTTCGAAATATATTACATCATAACTTACTTACCCTGAATGTTAAGGAGACACGATATACATTTGTCGTGGAATGACAGTCTGAGTTTTGTCTTGTTCCACCACTAAACCCCCCAAAACCATTACATTGATTACCCCTTCGATAAAGGTTCGTGTATCCTGAACATATTTGACTGTTGGAGGTACAATTTAACATAGACTGAGGCAATTTTCGTTACGAATCAGCCAACATGAGACCGGTGTTTCTACTCACAGCCCTAGGTGCCTCGGTGATGGCTTAAGATGGCCAAAATGGTCCAGACGATAAGGGGAAACAAGACCGCCACGCCCGCCCCCAATCAGTGATTGTTATAACTGCCAGAAAGGGCCTGACAGTATTCGCGACAGCTGTATTACTACGCTTCAGCCATACTCATCGATTATTCCCGCGCAAACACACACTTGAGTGCATATAGCGGTCTATTGTACCGGAAGAGCTTCGCAGACAGCAACATGTACCATACCAGGATCACCAAAGCCGACCTGATCATAATTAAGGCTTTCTATTATTCTGAAATTGATAAAAGGTCCTATTCTAACAAATTTACCAAAGACCTTCGATATAAGTATCTGTTGCTATAACAGCCTTGGTATGGGGTTTCCCCTTGGAGTCCCAAGGTTTTCCCATACTTGAACAACTCGAACACAAATGTGGAGGTTAACATCAGCTTACTGTCCGGAGTATTCTCTAGCAACCCATCGTCCCTGCGGTTCTTAAACCTAGGGCTCCCTTTTACCTTTAGTACGACAAATGGCTTTTATGGCAGTAGCCTATTCCTTTCGAGAACTATTTTATGGTCCGAGATATCTTCTCTGTGGATATTAATGATTATTCGCGCCCTACCCGGGTAGCTGGAAAAACAAACTTCTAGTGGAAGGTATAGTCGGCATTCTACCTTTAAGTATTAAAAGTCAATAATTAACTGCGAAAAGTCTACACGTTCCTGGATTAGTTGGAATATACCCTCATATCGCAGACACTCGAATCCTTATAAGGCGTTCTTCTTGAAATGGTTAGAAATGAGTTACTCAAGGACGTAGACATCAAAGGATTGTTCTAAAAACGGCGCTCCCAGACAGTCTAATCTTTCGACGACCTTTCAAACTTATACAAATGATTCAGGTTTCACCTCTTAAGCTAGACTAGGTTGACGGACAGTTAATAGGGGGTCGAAGTGAGAGAATAGGTCGATTCGGATATGAACAAGCAAGCTGTTGCCTGTAGTATTATATATGTTTTCGAGGTAATATATCCCTTGCTTATAGCGTAGATAGCTATAGGAACGGTGACTATCCGAAAGCAGTCTTTCACGTTGGTGGTTTGATTAATTTCCTGGTTGGAAAAGCTAGCATTTCGGACAACGAGCCTTATCGACTATATATCTATGGAGAGGATGGTTTTTAATTTGAGTTTCCCCTGTACTATATAGGTGACCTGCATTACATAGTCGGTACGGATCCTGAAATCGGCTATCCTGATGATTTCGACAATGGATCGTACTATTACCTCGCTTTAGAATATTGGCCCCCTAGCCCCTACTAATTAGGATACGAATGTCGCTCGTGCTCGAGAGCTTTATAAAGGTGTCTGCTTTCTTCACGGATTAACTCTACTAATTAATCCTACGTGGGATACTTTTATTAAAATTGGTCCCGGTGTCCTAGCGCACATAAATCCAGCAAAAGTATCTCAACGAGCTAGGGCCTAACGCGGATTTATTTAAACCAACGCGAATCTTAATTTCTTTGGATATGCCGGAGACTGTGTTCTAGTATTGAGGTACTTATCTCTGAAAACTGCTACAGACGCCTTCGCTACTAGCGCTAAGTCGATTAAAGGAGATTTCCTTAATGCTATATAGCAACTCGAGAATATTACTATTGCGACCTTCAAAAATACTGTCATACTTTAGCATACTTTAGCACAATAGGGTATTAGCTAGCTTTAAGAGGCTATCGTATAAGACTAAATCAATTAAGCTAGTATCGTAATTCAGTAAGTCTAGGCTGTAATCAAGGCGAAGAGAGCTAAAATTGATAACTATGATAGCTTCTTTAGCGAGCTTGGTGATTATATTAACGGCTTGAGCAAGATTTGGAAAGGCCTTCCGGATGATACTTAGTTAGTCCTGATCAATAGTACTACTACGGAAGCTAGAATTTTAGGACACGCGATAGGAGGCTTTCTTGGGATAGGTGGAAGTGCCACTATGACTGCTAGATTTGCGGCATTCTTTGTTGTTAGTTATATAACCATAAGTGGAATGGCGGATACTTAGAACGCTAGATAGGGGTAGCTGTAAGCTCTTGAAACTCAAAATATGCCTATAGCTAGAGCGTAATTAGCGTCTGCACAGAAAGGCCTCTAAATCACAAAGCTTAATGAATAGATTGCTAATGCCGATACGGCACTCTCTTAGAACCTTATCTACTTCATATAGTCTAGGTTCCTTAATGCCGAATTTTGGTTGTACCTGGTAGCCTTCTTTTAGCGGATCTTGAGATAGTACTTGGACCTTACTTCTTGCACTGGTTGGCTAGCAGAGCATGCTCTGGCCTACGAGCTAAGTACGCGGATGGGCGTTATAAGACTTAACTACTATAACGGTAAAGACTAAGGAGCTAGTAGTACCGAATAGCTTTAGCTCGATCTAGCTTTACTTGAAGGAAAGTACCTATAAGCTTAGACCGAAATGCTTCCGATTAAGTGTACTATTTCGCTGGCGAAGGACTTCCCTTTTAAGTTCACTGAGCTTCGAACTAAGGGTAAGTGTAGCTTCTAGACAACAGATCAAACGATCCGTAACGTATACCCTGGAATATACTTATACCCTCTTGTCGCCGTGTAACCCTTTATTTCCTAGATATCGATAAGCTCTCCCCGTAGAGGTTTCCTTAGTAACGACGGTTTCTCCTTACCCACGGTAAGTGACGGTTTAATAATGATATCCACTCAACCGCAAGACGGCCTTATAATATCAGAATTTAATATTTTCACTATAGACGCGCAATTAAATAGGCTTCCTGGGACGACTCGGATGCCGTTCCAGGCAAGCGGCGTGAAAACAATCTGGACTCTCGAGTTCCTACTCGCCACTAACCTAAGCGGTCTGATAAGCGTCGCGGATATACTTCTTAATTTCAACGTCTAGGCTCGTTTCTCCTCTACTCTGTATTAAAAATAGCTCGGCCTTCCTCCTTAACCGGTCAATAAGATACTCCTTAACTCCGCGTTCCGCTTATAACCTACCGTTCTCGAAGATCTACGTAAAGTAGGAGCTTCACTAACCGTTAGCATTAAACTGGATAGTTATATAATCCTACTCTAACCGGGAGAGAAAAGCTAGAAACTTATAAATATTTATATTATCCTCCTCGGTAAATCTCTAGACCTCTCGACTGTGAAGGCAAGACTTTTAAGTAGTAGCCCCGCTAATAGCGTCGATTTTACGTTTAAGGATGGGGTAGTATTCTCTAATGTGCTACCTGTTATAGATACGACGTCTAAGGTGCCGAAATCGAGTTTGAATGTGTTTTAAGGGGTGAGTTTGGAGAAGGAGGTGGAGCTGGTGATTGATAAAAGCGTGAATGCTAGGATAAATTTTGAGAGTTTGTAGGATATTTAGATAGGGCTGGATTATGATGCTTATTTTTAGTATCGAATTGATAGATTGTGAATTGGTATTTGACCTGGTTGGGTGGCCTTATTCATTCGGGTTGTTTGTTCTATCTAGTTATCTCTGGAGAGACAGAGACTAGAGACCGCGAAAAGGATAGAGATTATAAGCGATTAAGATGGTTTAATCGTTAGTCTAGGTAACCCCTAATGGCCGCTAGGAATAAGGTTGGAGGGCCTACGGTAAAGTAGTACGGATCAAAATAGTATCGGTATGTCTATTCGAGTATCGTCTGAAGAATTTCCTCGTGTAGGGATTTCCGTAAATCCTGGAGCAGCACAACATTAATGTTAATAGATAATATTAATAAATGTTAATGAATGTTAATAAGTTAATGTTAACTAGAGCTATCTAGAGGAATATTGTACGTATAATACCTAAAATTACTAGGAAAAATGCACAATTTATGCTAGTCACGAGTTTTAGCTGTTTACACTGTTTATAGTCCTGTGGAGGGTCCCATAAGTCCCGTGGGAGTCCCCCTTTGAATCCCGTCGATGGATGACGGGAAGTCCCAAGTCCCATAGTGGGAGTCCCGTGGGACTTGTCTCACACTATCCTTGCTTTTAGTTATTTTGAGGGCGAATATTGATTATTTAGCCCGCGGGTACAAGGTAAGCGGGGAGGCTAAGTAGGGAGGCTAAGTGGTGACAGACCGCTGCTGGACGCTCCTAGCGCGTCTTTTTAATTCATCCTTCGCCGTCTACATCGGCCGCTCGCGATATCTTTCCCTACGCCAAAATGTGCAAATAGTCCTTTTGCATACGTGCCCTGCACATTCGGTGGTCTTCGGGTGAAGAATATTCAGTTGGTGAACTACCGCCTGAAGCCGCCGGAAGCACGCCTGAATAAAGAGGCGAGGCGCCCATGACCGAACGATGGGCGCTAGGTGAGGTCGGCTATACTATTGGTTGTTGTATGTTTTTGTTTTTAATCATTGATCATGCATTTTTGTTATTCGTTGGGACGACTTCCTTTGCCGCTTTACTCTTCAGCCCCTTCAGGCCCCTTCACCTGAACGCCCCGCCTCACTCGTTTCCGCTCGCTCTGCTTTCCCCTTTACAGTCGTGCAATCGAATCCCACAATAACTACAAATCAAAAATAGTAATAAAAAAAAAGGAATATCACAGCCGCTATCACAAGCGTCTTGGCCAGCGGGCATTCCCGAGATCCGCCTACATCCGACCGACTTAGACTCTGAAGAGCTTACGGATAAGGCTAAGGGGTGGTTACTGTTCGTACGGGTATAGTAGTCTATAAGACTATACCCTTCTTCGATAGTGAGGTTAGCATTAACAATTGATTTTACTTTCTATAGGAAGAATCCTAGCCCACGTTAACCCCCGCAGATACGCTACGTTACCGGCGAGCCCTAATCGAGAGATAGGCTACTGCTAGCTAGGAGTTCCGCGAGGTCCGTATAGTAATACCCCCAATTTTGATGCCTTTTCTAATTTTACTCTCTTTTCCCCCTCCTCCGTCTTTCTTAAAGTGCTTAAGAATAAATAGAAAAAATTACTAAAATATAAACGAGCAGTATAGTCCTACTATCAACGTGCCTCAGGTTATAACTCGGCTCTCGACTCCCTAGCTATAGCACTCTCGCACCTTACCGTACGACCTAACACCAAAATTCGTCCGGCGAATTGGACAGAGCCCGATTATGTTGCTGAATGGCTGTCTAAGACGCGTATTATCAATCGCCAACTGACCAGGGCCTGCCCTAATATGGTGACTGAAGACGCGTATAAGTATGTTGCTCCTTCATTTGCGGGTACCGCGAATCGTTTGGATGCTGTGAAGACCTGGCAAGCTAGTCTTGATACCGATAAGGATATTGGACTGAACTCTATGCACAAGTAAGTTGTAATGCATTTATATATTTTACGCCTACTCTGACATTCGATAGCTATATGGGCGGCGCGACTTCTCCAGGTGTTACATTGGCTCACACTCTCATGAACCATACTGCGGTCGTCTACAGTGTTACGCAACACGTTAATATTCTGAATAAGTTAGAAGACCAGGGACTGACTACCGGAGTCCCCTATATCCTGGGTGAGATGAATTCTCTCTACCACCAGGGCGCCCCGGGTCTATCGGACTCCTCTGGTGCCGCGCTATGGGGCGTCGACTTCAACCTCTATTGTGCCTCCCAAAACATTCGTCGCACGCACATGCACCAGGGAACCAACTATCGCTACGCATCTTGGGAACCTATTGAAACCAACAGTACAAGCATCGGTACCAAGGCACCCTACTACGGCAATGCCATGGTGGCCGCAATGCTGAGTGGTAAGGGAGGCGAGAGCGTTCAGGTGGTCAATCTCCCTCTGGCTGGAGAAACCGAAGCTGCCTATGCTGCGTACGTCAACGGGCAGCTATCGCGCATTGCCATGCAGGAGTATAATTCCACAGAGCCATCTCGAGGATCCGCCACTTATCAGTTCTCTGTGTCCGAGACTTCGAAAAATCCCTCTCGCTGCAGCGGCTGCTGGCAGATGGAAGCGACGCTATCTCGGGTATCACTTGGGATGGTTGGTCATACAACTATGAATTGAAGGGTGGCAAACCCGTTCGCTTGTCGAATATCACGATTGGTGAGACTGTGAGCGCGGATTCTAACGGGTTTGTGCAACTGGAGGTGCCGTTCTCGAGTGCTGCGATTTTGAACTTGATTTGAACCTATAAAATGTGACTAGTTTCTCTTGCTTGTTGTTCCGAGGTCGCGCGTTATCTGCACACTGTACAGCCAACATTCGGTTACAAATCACAGCAAAGATAATTCAACGTCTTGTCAGTCAGCTTCGCAAAGTTCGATAAAGGCCCTCTTTGCATTCTCAGAGGATTAATGCAACACATATTGCTCTTGCTGAGCAGCCACACAAACGAGAGGCGCAAACGGTATTATGAGCTTAGTGGCGTTCACAGAAACTTTCTATGAGGTGCAGCTCTCTGTCCTAACATCATTATAGATTATTTCCCACTAAAGGCGGACGTTTGCAGGACTACTAGGTTCTGAGACTAGCATTTGGTTCAGCGTACTAGTGACTTGCGAGTAGACTAGCCACAGATCGTCAATACGACCCGGATACTGTAGGTGGTACTCTAGTCTTCTCTAGTCTTCCGAAAAACGAATATTACTAGCAAATATGCCCAGAAGTCTCCGGACGATGCAACAGACGAATAAAGAGCGGCTATCTTTAGGCAGGAGAAAGGTAAATACGGACCTATCTTCCCTAGATTCTGATACTAATTAGTTATCGTTGGGTGCGCATATGACTTTAGGAGATAAAGCCTGTGAACCCTTTCCCTTGAAGCTTTCTTCGGTGGCGAAGGCCCCTTCATTTTGGCATTGGTCCAAGAGGACCACACAAATTTCAGCCTCTCTATACCCTGGGGATTGTCAAGATCGGATAGGCGTGCTAGACCACCTTTGCCGAGTCTGAGAACCCGCGTTTCTAGTTGTTCGATATGAGGTCTAGGTTGGGTCTCCTACTTGATTGCATCAGAGAAATTTCCGACGTCCTAGGATATTCTTTGTAGGGGCTGTGGAATTCTTTGGTGCGGTAATAGAGAGCATCCCCCTCTGCTTACCGACTAACTTAAGCTTACTTGTGCCTCTATCTCACAACGACTCAGGTTAATGTTGTAGCACGGCCACATTACCTATGACCTTCTCTGGGCGCTTTTTAAGCCCGGTTCACATGTCTACACTATATGCTTTGGCATGAAAGAGCCGCGTTGTGTCATATTGACGCTGGGGAGGAAATCACAGAGAACAATAAGACGTGGCTTAATCTTGAATGCCGGTTCCTTGATTATGACGGAGTCAAGTTTGGAGAGGCCGGCATTTTTCTGCGTGGGGCAATGTTCCGGGGGTTCAGACCGATCGAGACTCTCGAGCCCTTTCCGCTCTGCTAATATCTATATCTATGTCGTGCACAAGTCCAGAAAAGTCTTGTCGAGGGAGGCCAAAAGGTCCGCAATTTGGCCGGCACGTTTGGCCGGCACGTATAAGCAGCACTGTAACGGCAGGGCATTCTTCGTAAAGGAGAGGAATATTATCAAAGTTATGATCGATAGTCGAGTGGCGCTGGATGCCACATTTTTCATGGAAAACAACTAAATTAATCTAGACCATGACTACGCGATAGAGAGGGAAAGGACAGGAATAACATTGCGGTCATTGATATAGGTGTGTTGCTCACGGACCAATGTGAGTGTGAGAAGGAGAAGATGCAAAAAGGCAGCATAGACGCGCAAGAGCTGACGGAGGCTAATTTCTTGATCGCTTGCCTAATAGTCTGCTGTTTTAGTTTTAAGAAGAAAATGTTCTGTATGTGACATATGATCGTCCTAGGTTAGTATCTAAATGCAGTCCTAGTGGAGTTTGCTGTCAGTGCACTTAAGGACGTAAGTTAGTCCTCTGAGCCTTTCGATTGCCTAAATATTTAGCTAGAGACTAAGAGACTTCTCTTGTCATTAGAGAAACCCGCCGAGGCCGAATACCGATGAAATCGTTCGACGATAGTATTAACGGGAAGGGGCTCAACATCCTTTTTAAGTACGTCCGCAATTGTATGTAATGTCATGACTTTGTTTCTGACTTCTGATAGTGGGTCGCCAGGTGTCGGCAAACTTTCACGGTTGATGCAATATAAGAGCATTTCAAGCTCCCTAATTATTCGGTAAAAACTATTCATTAACCTACTTTGCTCTTGCTGACATCAGTCAGAGAGCTTATTGTCGAGCATGGAGATTCCCATGCACTTGAATCCCAACTTAAAGTCATTTTTAAAATTGCGAAGTACTTCAATCCTATACTTCTGATAGACGAAGCGGATGTATTTATGGAAAGTCGTACAGAGCTCAACGACAGCCACAATCGCCTAGTCACTATTTTCCTTCGGAAGCTAGAATATTATTAGAGAGTTCTTTTCTTGACATCCAATCGGGGTGTGCTGTTCGACGACGAAATCCTTTTAGCCGGATCCATTTAAACGTTAAGGATCCAAATTTGACGGAGGAGTGTCGCAGAGATCTCTGGGCAACCTTTCTGTCTAGGGCATGTACGATCTAAGGAGTTGCCCCGGTCAAGGAGCACGACTTTAAACGAGTGGAGTCTTTCGATCTAAATGGGTGAGACGTGGGTTTCAGAGCGTTACAGTGAAAGTCTCACTTGCTGACTGTCATTAACTAGATCAACAATATCGCTGTAATTGCACACGCTCTCGCTGGGCACAAGAGTGGGCAAAGGAGACAACAGGCAAGCCGAACCAGCGATTGGTGAAGGCCCCAGACAAGAAGGTGCTTCGGCTGTTCGAATCTCTATCGAAGCCATACACCTCGATTCTGATTCAGATGAGATCAATGCGTATTGCACTGAATCATTTCCTGTTCAAGATCAAGGCGGTCGAATCAGATGAGTGCTACTGTGGAGAGGGGCCTCAAACACCGAGACACGTCTTAATCCAGTGCCCGTTGTACGCTGATCTGAGGAAGACCTTCCTTGACAAGATCAGATCGACTGACCTTGGGGATTCGACCGACTACGATGCAATCGTATGACACTCGCAGGCCACCCGCTACGTGGCCGAATTCATGCTACAAACAGGCTTCCTGGGGCAATTCCGACACGTCGAAATCGAACCAGAACCAACAGGCGACGAAAACAACGAGCCAGGAAGACTGGCAGGCACAGGTGGTGAAGACGATGGGTAGGAGGAACGCCAAACCCACGGCCGACTGAGAGGTCTTGGAAGACTACATGCAACACGTCAGTTGACGACGAACGCCACCAATCGAGAACGAAGCAGGAGGATGGGGATGCCAAAGGAAGGCGGAGATGGAGATGCAGGGAAAGCAGCAGGCCATTGTAAGGGCGAATTGAGAGATATGCATTGCGGGCGTTTCGGTACTGTTTTGGGCGATTTTCGGGCTGATTTTATATGGCAATACGCCGTTTTCCTTTGTATCTACTGTTTCATGTGTTTTGGCTGGCGTTCGGATCACTCTTGCTTCCGCCGGAGGAAGCGCCTGCATAGCCATTACGCCACTAGTTTGGCTGCACCAGGTTAATAGAGTGTTGATTGATTGATTGATTGATTGCGTAAAGCGGCGAGCCGCCCAGCACCGAACCATGGGCGCTAGGTGAGCATCGCCATAGTATGGCTGTTGTATGTTTTTTTTGCGTTTCTTATTTTTAAGTGCCCGTTAGATTGAGTGAATTCATGTAAGATTCGTCTAGCTGTAGTCACGAATATTAGATGGTTGGGCCTCTGGCTGTGATAACGGAAGGCTCATAAGAGAATAGATTTACAAAATCGTGTATGGGGAAATTTTCAGCGTCAATATATTATGATGAGCCTCGGCTTCCGTTTAGATAATTTATGCCATTCCATAGTTTAGGTAGTTGTCGGTGACCTCAGAATTGCATCCATGCCACAGAGGTCGCTGGTCTTGCCGATCACCGACCTATTATCGAGCTTTATCATTGTATGAGTGTGTTGCGCTGCTTATGCAGCATTATGACTAATTTACTAGAGACGTAGGACCTTTCTGCGCCCTGCGCCCCTGGAAGCTTACGAAATGCCAAGAGAAGACATAGAACATAGCCAGTGACCGACGTTCAGACCCCGAGTCGGAATATGTATATCTGCGCTTTCATTCTTCTTTCCATTGTATATGGATTCAGCTGGACCTCGCGCACGCCCAATAAGCATCTCTCTTATAGTCTAGGAATTGTAGGTGTTCCTGTATTACTTTTATGACTGACTACCTAGAATATGAGTATGAAGCTGCGTTGGCCTGAGTAACCTAGAGGCTGCTGGAGAAGGCTCATATATGGGATGAGTATGTGCCTGCTTCGACAATTAGGCATACACTGCCCGGGTTCCCTCTCTACGTCTTCCCTCATTCTCTTGCGATTTCTCCTCCCCATTCTTTAGGCTTAAACCCCCACTGGAATGTTACTATACCGCCCTATCTTTAACAGGTGAGGTGACCTTTTTGTTTATTTGTTGTGCGAAAAGTCTGCTTTCTTGAAAGTCAGATTCAATATAGACCATGCGCTGGTTTGGATATGGTATCGAGAATATTCATGACCACCATGTCATCTATATTGGGATTTTTCATTGTACAAGGACATACTACATTGATCAAATAGCTAAACGTAAATGTGGACGCTAAGGTGTTGATCCTCCCGCGGCGAAATGTGCTGATGTTGCGATGCGTAGGAATTCTGCATTGACTTCTGGAAGGATTCAGGAACCAATTATCTTCAAGTCTTGCGAGTGATTGCTGATCATTCCTACATTCTGCAGAGAGAACCGTCCTGAGATTACTAGGGTATGTTACGAATATACTCCGTACTGTAGTGAGACAAATAATTACGGGCAGGGGGCCGTTCTCAAAGAAGTGAACAGAATAACTTTAATCCCTTCAGCTATCTCTTTAAGTTTGATGATATCGATATGTCGACTCAGTCTCAGATCAAGGCTGGTCTATCATTCAGTCCAGAGCTGTGTACAAAGTTGGATTGTTCCTTTGTATCAATGGCGGACCCCGATATTGCACCGAGGACAGCATTCAGAGACCGCCGAGCACCCGAGGCACGACATTCATCATTACCGAGAAACACAAGTTCTTCCAAGTAGAGCTTCTATACGTGCTAGTCATTTTTCGGATTTTCTCACAGCAGGATAAGTCGTTCCGAACCATTAGGTTGAAATGATGCCACAAGCAGGCTGGGCTGCATGGCGATTTCACCATTCCTCGGAATGCCTTTTCAGGACTCGGTGTGTTATAGAAACTACTGTAGAAGGTCCTGAAGATACCATACCCACAATCCTTGAGCTTCTACGGAGTACTAATCCCTGACATAAGCCTCAGTAATAACGCCACCCCGGTCGAGTTTCACTTTGATGGCTTGACAATCCCCTCCCGCTGGTCTTGTTTCTCTTCCTTATCAAAAATGATTCTGGCTTTGATATGTCTCTTCTGAGATACAGACAGGCTTTCTGGGGGTTCACACAGTTATTGCACTGGTTTTGTGCCAGACTGCCTACTATATGATTAAAATTTGCACTCGCTCTGCCCTTTTCTGCGAGATGCTCGGAACATACATTTTCCATGCCCTCCCTGTTTCTTTCCACTATGTATTACAGTATAATTGTCTCCACTCTTCATTCGGCCCAAATCGAACCCCCGCACTTGTGGGCGCGTAGCGAGCATGGGACTAATCACAAAGGAGTCCAGTCAACAGTCACCATCACCGTCGGGCGCTGTATTGCGAAGCGAGGGTCGGTGTTCCTTGGGACTTCGATTTCCGTCTAGACCAGGATCAGGAGGTCCAAGCCACTCAGACGACTCAAATCGGGAATTAGATCGAACATAGGTGCCTTCTTTTGTTCCTCCTGATGCCTTCCGTTGGCTGGCTAATGATCTCTCGGTTCATCTTCGGCTAGACCCGAACAAGGGGCGGGAGAATCTCGGAGTCATCATTGGCTGTGTAGCCCACAGGTCAGCCCCCATCCAGACAAGCGTCGTTTGACGGCGTTGGAATGAGGCTCCACAACCGCCGCGCTGACTGGTCGGCAGTGGTTGTTAAGTGGTCTTTTGCAGGTTGGTGGTGCAGGTCGCCGGATCACCCGGCAGGTGCACGTCGTGGGTTGGCCGAGAGTACGACGAGTACAACGAGGGTACGACGTCTACCAGACAAACAAGGCCCCCCAGAACAACAGCACCACCCTAGCTGCATCTCATCTCCGCCCGTTGGACCTGGGCATGGGGCATTGAGGGGAAGGGGCCGGGCGCTCTCAAGCCTACCGCTTCAAAAACCCCAGATTTGTGTTCCCCAACCTGTCCATTGTGCATCTCACCGGGCATCTGGAACTGGTATGGTGCTGCAAATGAAGGGTCGATTCTCCAGACTCCGAGTTTCTTGCACCCCATGGGACAAACTGTGGTCGTGCCACGCGTCCCCACGTAAAGCATCGGCTCCCCGAATGGCTTGGCGCCAGACCGAGGGGCTTGCCAGATGCCGAAACTCTCTCGTCCGGCTTTCCGCTGATACAGATCGTGCTTGCTTGTATAGAACGACGGCTAAGACTATAGGCCGGATTTCCCTCCGTCCATGGCACCCTATGGGTCCCTTCGCGGAAGCACCACGCCTTGTGGCGGTTGGGCGTTCCAGAATGCTACCCTCTCTGCACATCTTGCTTGGAACTGGTTGTACGAGTCAGATAAACCTACAGTACTACCTTGACTTCTCAGAGTCGAACTTGATCTCATGGCCTAGATTGAGTATCTCCTCTGACCATTTCGATCTAGAGTATGCCTAATCAGGTTAATGGGCATTATTGTCCGGTCTCCGCTATTCATATTGCCCTCCCCGTCTGGTCGCCGCCAGTGACTAACACCATCGTGATGAATCCACTCAGAACGGCTGAAAATTTTCTTTTCTGTCACAAGGACAGCGAGGTCGTGGCCTGAATCATACTCTCTATGACGCTCTTTTTATATAATCGATGCTCGTAAAGACACACCCCTCAAATCAGGACCAACTAACTTGACATTCATATTCATGGTGGTTACAGATGCTATCCCGATCCTGAGCATAGCATCGGCCTAATATCGGCCAACTGGGGAGGGGAATAGGGTTTTTTGGGGTCTCGCAGGCCGCGCCCGGTCCGCCAGCACTAAGCGTGACCCAGGAAGACCAAAGAGCCCCCCGAATAATGAGGGGGCATGGGGGGAAAGGCAGGGATTATGCTGACAGGCGTAGACTAGAATACCAAATCACCAATGAACCAGCCGATGGTGGAGCTTTTTGGACCCAAGCCTCGTTCGCAATGATTCACGGCGCCCATGCGCCAAGTTAACGCCGAAGCGTGGGACAAGAGTGCTTCTTTTACGGCCACCGAAGCTTGGTGGCGCTCGCTAGCGTCTTTCGACTTTGATATGTTTCTGTTTCGCATCCTGACTTGCCTGGGACAAACCATTACCGAGTTGACGTTCGCCCCCCGAGGCTAACCAACAACATCTCTAGCGTGCTGTTAGTCTATGCTGGCACCGGCAATCCTGTTGGCTCACGGTTCCCCTCTCAGGGCATCTTCAGCAATGTAATTGGGTGCAATGCATGTGCATACCGCGGAGGACACTCCCTGATCTAGGGTAAGTGTCTGTCAGAATCGCGCTAATCCCCGCGGAAAGAATTTGGAAAAAGGAGGAGAGAAAAATATGAGAAAAATGAGTGTTATGAGGAGATTGGATGTACAGCTATATAATCTAGCTGATCTGCCCATGTCGCAGAACTTCCAGGCTCGCTGATCACTTCTCTGTTGTCTCTTTTGCCTCTATCTTGATCTACCAGATCATCCTATCGCAACGATGGCGGTTAGTCAGTCTGTCGTTGGTCGTGCCAACGCGGAGAAGGCCCATGGTGTTATGGGTATGCTGCAGAACCCTTATGTCTTCGCGACTTGTCTGTTCGCTTCCCTGGGTTGTATCATGTACGGTTATGATCAGGGTGTAATGGGTCCTATTCTTGTCATGGAGAACTTCAAGAACCACTTCCCCTACTTCGATGGATCGACTGTTCAGGGTTGGCTGGTGGCTGCTTTGGAGCTCGGTGCCTGGGCTGGTGCTCTGATCAACGGTGTCCTCGCTGACCGTATCTCCCGAAAGTACGCCATGATGGTTGCTGTCGTCATCTTCACTCTCGGTACCGGTCTGCAGGCTGGTGCCCAGAATCCCGGCTACTTCTTTGCCGGTCGAATCATCGGTGGTGTGGGCATTGGTATGTTCAGTATGGTTATTCCGCTTTACCAGGCTGAGATTGCTCCTCCCGAGCTGCGTGGTTCCCTTGTCTCTCTCCAGCAGCTGTCCATCACTATCGGTACTACCATTGCCTTCTGGCTCGACTACGGCATGCAGTATGTCGGTGGCACCACTTGCAACCCCGAAGGCATTGCCAACCCTTACCTTCCCGATGGAAGCTACAACTCCGCCCAGAACCATGGCCACACCTGTCTCGGCCAGAAGACTATCGCATGGCGTCTTCCCCTGGCTCTGCAGATCATCCCTGCTTGGATCCTTTTCTTCGGCATGTTCTACTTCCCCTTCTCTCCTCGTTGGTTGATGATGAAGCACCGCGAGGAGGAAGCCCGTGCCTCGCTCTCCAAGCTCCGCCGTCTCGCACCCCACGATCCCCTGCTGCAGGCTGAGTTCCTTGAGATCAAGGCCGCTGTCATGTTCGACGAGGAGACTGAGCGTGAGCTCGTCGGTTCTGGTGGTGCTCTTGCCCCATGGAAGGCTCTGTTCGCCCCCAACATGTTCAAGCGTCTGGTGCTCGGTTGCGGAACCATGATTTGCCAGCAGTTCACCGGTATCAACGCCGTCCTGTACTATGCTCCTCAGATTTTCGGCAGTTTCGGTTTCTCGTCCACCAAGACCACTCTTTTGGCTACTGGTGTGACTGGTATTCTGCAGATTATCTTCACCCTCCCTTCTGTTGCATTCCTGGATAAGTTCGGTCGTAAGACCTTCCTGATCGTTGGTGCGATTGGCATGTTCATGTGCCACGTCGTTGTTGCCACTGTTGAAGGTATCTTTAAGCCCAAATGGGACCTGAACGAGGGTCTTGCTGTGTCTCAAGGCTGGGTCGCCATTGCTTTCATCTGGCTGTTTGCCGTTAACTTTGCCTACTCTTGGGGTATGTATAAGCTACAGGCCCACTTCCATTTTGTACTGTCAACAGAATACTGACTTTCGCTCTCTTCGCAGGTCCCGTCGCATGGGTGCTGACCCAGGAGATCTTCCCCAACAGCCAGCGTTCTCGCGGTGTCGCCATCGTCGCCTCCACCAACTGGATGTTCAACTTCGTCATCGGTCTGACCACAAAGGATATGCTGAACTCCATGAAGTACGGAACCTACATATTCTTCGCTATCTTCAGTGGTCTTGGTGGTTTGTTCATCTGGCAATTCGCCCCTGAGACCAAGGACAAGACTCTGGAGGAGTTGGATATCTACTTTGGCGGTGCGAAGGATAGCATTGCCGAGGTGGATCGCCAGCGTATGGAGCGCATCTACGAGACCCTTGGTCTGGCTGGTGTGGAGACCATTGAGGACCTCAAGGGCGAGAAGCACGTTGCTTCGGAGCAGGTTGAGGAGCACCACGCTTGAGATTCTTAAGCACTGATGCCAGGTGGTGGAAATGTTGGTGAATGGGTAATGGGATACGATGTTAATTAACTACTTCGTGATGTAATGAATGAGTTGGGATAGCTATGAATATGATATAATTATGTCATGCTCAAAAACATGAATTTCTGGTTTCGATGGTTTGCGTGTCCCTTGTTCTGTTGCTATGGTAGTCTCTCGAGATTCGTATTCGCTGCTAACTGATACACGATTACAGTGCACCGAAGCATCCATGATCCCAACTCGCCAAAGTTTCAAAGACAAATCGCAATTTAATCCCTCTGACCTCTTCTTCCCCGCATCGACAGAAACGTACTCATGTCCATGGATCCGAGATAAATCCGGATCAAGAGGTCATCGTCGTATTCTTTTCCGAATTAGGTATCAAGGACCGACCCCGAGCCTCCGACCGTGCGCCAAGAAATCATCGAAGTGCGTGGATCGTGACGATACTGACCAAATCTGACTTGCATTGTCAATTTGTGGCTTTCTTGAGGTTCTCATGGGCGAGAGTGAGAATTTTGACTGCCTTTGGTCGCACTATGACCTGGGCCAGTTGTGGTAACGGACTTAAGCGTGATGTCTACTCCGTAGTGGGAAAAAAGAAAGGTTTTCTCATCACGGCTGAGGGACGCGCAATAAATCTTATCCATCCATTAGTCAAGGATTTTTAAAGCCGCAGATTTTCAGGTTGTAATGATGATCGGCACTGTTCTAGAGATTTGACATGGAGGTTCCCCACAAAGCTGCTCATGTCGAGACAAGCAAAGTCAGGCTAGGCTTCTTGCATCGGATTTCTGAATTACAGTCTGACTTTCAAACTATCGTGTCCTTGTGAAACAGGATTTTTAATAAGGTGAATGCCATTTTCCAGCTGTATCTACTATGGTCGCGCACAATTTATGTGCCATGCTATGGTGACGGATGCAGGAACAGCTTAGAGCTGTTCCGTAGAAGAACCACTAGACATCAGTACTTTAATCGATGCCACTAGCTCCGGTTCTCTGGCCTATTGTCTGGAACTAATCGGAAGCATTTCTGATTTCGGTGCCGCCCCCCGCATATACTCCACAGCTTCATGTACCTTTCTGATGAGCCGGGGGGGGAATGATTAGTTTCACGCTACTCGAATGTATTCAATATCCACAACTGCGTAATTGTCGCAGATCTCAACAAAACAGGAGACAAAGCATTCTCGGGAGAAACTTCCTTTCTAGATATTCATATTGCTGCATATTCGATTGCTATAAGATCGGGTTCTGTGCCGTGATGCTCATTCAATTGCAAGCAAGAAAATAAAGACAAATACCAAAGAATTTCATTCAATTCTCCCATTCCCAGGATCAAAATGAGACTTGCTTTGATCCCATTAATATTTGATATTGCCACAACTGCTTTCGCGGTCTCTCATACCTCTCGAGGTGGTTGTGATATGTCCTCGTTGAACAGTACCTCATTCATCTACACAACCACATCGGAAGATACAATTTTCAGCATTGCCAAAAAGTTCAATCGCGGTGCCTGTGATATCGCTCGGGCCAATCGAATGATAGACGCGGAACATCTCTTCGCGGGCTTCACACTGCGCATTCCAGGCCAAGTCTGCAACCCAGATAGCAGCACTTGTCTCCTCACCAGACAGAATGCAACCGCAACATGCGTGATGGGCGGACCGCATGACTACAAGACGATTGCCGGGGACACTATCGAGAAGATCGCCCTGTACAAATTGAATGTCACGGTGGATACCGTTATGAGCGAAGCTAGCGAAGTGGAAATTTCATCGGCGACGGAGGAGATTCCTGCTGGAACCTTCATCAAAATCCGCCAATGTGTGCCAAGTGCCTGCACGATTACACCGTTTCACTTTACCTATGGTGTTTACAAAGACCTTGCAGAGAAATTTGGAACCTCCGTCGGACAAATCATGTCTTTCAATGGTGGCTATAATTATAGTGATCACTCAGATGCCGAGGCGGCCTGGATCACTGTGCCGATGGGATGCGCAAATCTTGCCCTGAATGTTACTGTGGAAATCTAGAGCATTAAGCAGTTATATTCTGGTATATACTTGCAATATCTATTTCCGCTTCCAAATAATCCAGTAAAAAAAGGTCCACTAATTAGGCACTACCTACGAGTTCTACCTGGACTCCACATCACGACTGAAACTGTCCAAGCTCGTCAGAGGCTTGTTTTGTTTGAGAAATCCTTGTAGATCACCCGGATACCAAATCCCCCAGATAGCCATTACCGCAAACATTAGCGTCGAATCAAATACATAGAGGGTCCACTCATGGGTCAATGGATATCCATCATTGCCCTGCACATATTCGACAACACGGAAAAGGCTTCGAATCAGAATCAATAAACTGATGGTATGAAGCACTCGAAGGTGGCTCTTCCATTTGAACCGCTCATCAAAGGACTCGGGAGTTGGACATCGAGTCATGCGAACTTGAAACACCACCGAAGTAACAATGAAGAAGCAGAACATAAGGACCTGGATAACGAGACCGGCTACAACAATGTCAGAGCCGAGCTTGGCATTGTTGCCCGACACCATTAGCCCTGAGGCTCCACCTTGTACCACGAACGAGAGGACGTCGCCCATGACAAAGACCTTAGTGAGCCAATTGATTCGTATGAGCGAATATTTCTCTGCGTGCACGCAGCGGATGATCCGACCTAAGGCCATATAGACTGATGCCGCAAAAAGTGTCGGACCGAGCAGCAAGAACACGCTCTGCAGGGAGTAGGGCATAAGCGAGCCTGTCCTGTTATGTGCCGCCGCTCGAGCCATATATCCAATAATCTCAACTGAAAACCAACAATTAGTCATATGAAGCAGGAAAGCTCGCAAGTCCGAGTATCTTACAGATTCCACCAATCACGAATGCAATGCAGAAGCGCGCTTTTGTTTTATAGAGCCTCCATGAATGATAACCCGTCGCAACGATGAAGAGCAGGAGGAAGATAACGGCAGCCGCAATAGAAGGAAGATACTTCCAAAGATAGTAGCCGCACTTATAAGGCTCGAGCACTGCCATGGTTGGGATCTAATCAGTGGCGATGGAAGTGAATGATACCTCGTGGAATTTAAGTGTCGAAAAGTTGCTCCTGTGTTTCAGCGGTCCTTGCCCATTCTTTATGTATTCAGCCCCGAGGCAATAGAGTTTTGCCCCATATAACTTAATCAAAAATATCTTTTGGAACTCTTCAAGCCCCTGTATGTTGCCGTCCGTTTATCTTGTTTGGTGGAGTGCGTTTATACACGTATAGAGTGGTTGAGCCTTGTAGACTTAGACCCTGGCGTCTACTGCGCCACCTTGGCACGTTCATACGCGAATTCGAAGCCTCATTGTTCATGAGGGTTTAAGTACCATGGTCTAGGTAAATGGAGATAAACTAACAATCTCGATATCGAACATGGCACTTGCCGTAGAGCCGTGTTCGGACAATTTCCGCCCCATTCGTGAGCAAAATATGCAGAACTTACAAGGCACAAAAAAAGTTTAGGGAAAGACATTCCGGATTACAATTTCTGGCCTGAGCATAAAAGGATTGCATTCAAAGTGAGTATAGCTGTGATCAACCCTATACCCTGGAGTCTACAAAACCCAGGCCTAACTTCTCTCGTTCTTCTCAGACGGCAGATTCCGCAGGACAGAGCGAGGGAGATCTGATTGGCCGAGGCAATTCTTGCAAGCTAGAAATATCGAAAGTGGGTCACCAACTGGTCTGTGCATACGCGTATAGTCGGCCCAGCCCACTCGACCATGATACATCACAGAGGTTGGAGCCAGATCTGGTGGACCGCTTATTGAAAGGCCGAAGAAGCTAAAGGTGTGAGTGGTGTGAAAATAGGCTGCAAAATTTGCGCTCGGACGAGTACATGACTTGTCCTTCGCGACGCCAAATTCTCTGAAATTGGTTATCCGCGTAAAGCCGACATGCCGCGCAGGACGCACAAGAAGTCTCGAAATGGCTGCGTTGAATGCAAACGCCGTCACGTGAAGGTATGAAGATAATACTTGTGGACCTGATTGAGACGTGCTGACTAGATTAGTGTGATGAGCGGCGACCTATCTGCTCCAATTGTGTTTCTTCAGAACGACAGTGCCAGTTCGTAGCACCTGCTCCGTCCGTCTCCTCAGCAAGAGCTTCACCGAGCACAAGTCATGAATTCGCTTCTGCATCTCCCGCCACCAGCTCACCCGCGCAAGAGGTCACATCTGCACCGGCCGGCTTTGCCCAGGGTTCTCCAGTCAATTTGCTTCATGTGGAGCTTCTTCACAATGTACTTCTGGAAAGTGCTAAATGGATTAACGCCCGCGAGATGTCGTCTGGCCTGTCCTTTCCCGACATGCTGAAAATTGGTCTCGAAGCACCCTATCTCCTCAACATGTTGCTAGCCGTAAGTGCTTTGAATCTGAGCATCACTACGCGAGGCCGTCGAGACTTTTACCGGCACCATGCGACCCAACTTCAAAATCACGCATTGAACAACTTCAATAGTCTGTCACCCCATTTCGACCAGGACACCTGTATTCCAATGTTTCTCTTCGCATCAATCCTGGGACTACACTTGCTCTGCGATACCATCGTCTTCCGAGAGGGTACGTTCGAGGGCTTTCTCGACCGTTTTGTACAGTATCTTCGACTTCATCAAGGAATACGAACAATCACAGCCGAAGGACGATGGGAGTACCTCCGGGAAACGAAGCTCAAGCCAATTTTGACTTTCGGCGAAAAGCTTCCTTCTATGGATTCTGGGTTTGGACCGGTGTGCGGAGCTTTATACGAACGTATCCAGGGCGCTGAGAAAGATGAAGCTAGGCTGAAAATATATCGTCAAACTATTCAAGCCCTGCAGGTGGTAATGACAGCAATCGATTCGAAATATGAACGCTTGGACGCGTTGGTGGCGTGGCCTGTCATGATATCCCCTAAATATGTGGATTTGATAGCTTCTCGCCAAGGAGAAGCCTTGGTGATTCTGGCATATTACGGCGCGCTTGTTCATCCAAGCCGTGGTCATTGGGTGTTTCAAGACGGGGGCCAATTTCTGATAGAATCCGTCACCCAATATCTAGGACATGCCTGGAGTGAATGGCTCGAGTGGCCATGGAAAGCCTTGACCTGACCTCCAAGGGAACTCTCAAATATACAAACTCGCTCTCTCTTCGAATTCAATTTCATCTCATTCATCGCACTAACACGAAATTTCATAGCATCACATTAACTCATCAAAGACTCGTTTTTCTTTGCTATTCATGAACATCAACACGACCAAACAACCTTCGATCTCTCTTACTGCGACCCTAACGATATCCATCGGGATCCTGCGTTGATCGGGAGTTCCACTTTTCCACGTCCTCCACACCTATCCACCGTTTAACCGACCTTGTCATCTGATACTCTCTTCCTCACAACCTCACTACCGGAATTGAGACCATTTCAAAAATCTACATTTCATCTCAGTTCCAATTATTTCACCCCATACACCCTGATCTCGCAACTCACTTTCTCATCATCTGAACAACCATTCTCACACTGCCCATTCCGGGTAGGTGTCCATCCACATGTTCTGTGACCATATATGATACTGACAAATCCAGAGGATTCCAACCGGCAATTCTCCATCCCTTCCTGGATCGTGATCCGCCTAAGTCTGAGAAAGCTGGCCAGGAAAGAATCTGGCTGCTCTGTACTCAGACAGCTGTCTTCTTGCCCTCAATCTAGCCATATACTACACTGGCTATGATCCCTTTCTATCTCACTGATATACCCAATCCATTGCAACCAATCATTCCAACCGCAACCATGGCGAACGAGGAGACTATCATCATCAATGGTGTCAAAGTGACCAAGCTCCGGGGTACCTGCAACTATAGTTCATGGATCGCAAGCCTGCAGCGTGCCCTGGAAATCCCAGACCCAGAAACGTGGCGCCTGATTACCAGACAGAAACCCGAGCCTAGAAATGACCCTGTGTTCTCATTTCTGAAAAGCGAAGACTTTGAGCGGCTTTTTGTTGCAGAAAAATGAGGGGTTCCGCTTGAGGCCGTCAATGAGCAAGATGTGAATGGATACCTCGCGGATTTGGGTGCAGTACGCAAGGCTGTCGAGCATTTTGAAGAAAGACTTTCTACGAATGGTTGGACAAGACTGGTGATGCCAGTAAGCTCCTGAGATCAACAATCAGCGATTACATTGAATATGATCTGGACCCCGACTTAGACCCTGATTCCGACTACTGCTCAGGTTACTTTGATCAGTTACAGGGAAGGTACGGCCCGACCGGATACCTCGATATACACGAGAGGTGGAACGAATGGACGTTTCTTCGTTATGATGGAACGAATCGTGATGACCGCGAGCAATTTGTTTCCCGGTTCAAGGAAGCCAAAGTGAAAGTTGACCAAGCACTTGTCAGCCCCATTGAAACTCGATTCGAGCTCATTCAGTTTCTCAGCGCAATTCCAGGGCGCCCGGAATGCGAGGACCTGCTTACATGTCCTCCATGGTCTCCATTGAAATTGCATCAGATGAAAGACGACAAGGATATGGAAGCTGTCTACAAGCGATTCATTCATTATGAACGTCCTAGGTACACATTTGACGGCTGAGCAAATGGGAGACATCCGTCTGAAGCCAAACAAACTACCCGTCTTGAGAACCGACTCCTGGAATTTTGAACATTTATTCGGATTTGAACTCCTGGTCACTTTTACAGTGGATGCATGACAATTTGCTACGATCTGCCATTGATCATGACTGCCAAGATCCTGGACATTTTAACCCTTTCGGGTATAGCGGAGCCTACCTTCCTATTTAGTATATGCAGTCCAGACATCCTTATCTTTCTTAGTTTTCTCCTGCGCAATTTCACAGTTCGATATGATTTCAATGATATGAGATTGGGCTTTGAACTGAAAGTCCCCGGTAAAGCTAGGTGTGATGTCAGTCGTGTGAGTAATGTGGAATAATTCAAATGACGGCCTCTACTTTGGCGATGCCAATAGGGTGGACCCATTCATGACAAGCATCGATAAGAACGTATAATCAAATTAAAACCGTAACAAAATATTGTCAATCAGAGTCAACGCCGTCATAGCTAGTGCTTAAGTCCTGCGTATTGTCGCCAAACACGGAAGGACGAATCGAGTTACTACGACCAACCAAAGGAGCTATGCGATGCGTGTATCTCCTAATCTTGGATCGATGCGAGCTTCCCCGCTTCGAAGATCCCGCGTCGAATACCACAAAGTAACTTTTGCGACTCCCTGATTGTAGTTGATGGGGGTACTTATTAGACATCATTCTTCCCCCTGGTGCCGTATTTAAGCCCATCCACCATTAGCCCTGGCCACTCGGCACCCCATTATCGAGCCGATGTGAATGGTAAATCAACACAGCCATTTTATATCGACCCCGGCCTAGCCAATCACTCTACTTGCCCCAATGCGCATGGTATAAGCAGCCATGGATATCATCAACACCCCCGAGAGCGCCTTGAGGATCGGCGTGATCCTGGTAGCCGCCACAGCCGTTTACCTGATTCTATACCGACCATCAACGAAGTCCTTTCTGAACAGAGTGTCCCTACGCGGTCGAAGAAACTCAACAGCTAAAACCCCACCGCGGTCATTCTCCCCGGAAGAAAATCAGCCCAAGAGCGCCACATCCCCTGCGAGCTACAATCATGCCTTACCACCCCAGCGTAGGGAAGCACTCCTACAACTACAGGAAAAGGCTATACGCTGGCGGGAAGTTGACGAAACGGAGATGCGCCAAAACATCTTGCCCATGACCGCGGACTATAAGACTAGCCCAGGCAACCTGTACACTCCGACTGGATTTTCGGTAGACGATATCAAAGCCCTGGGAGATTTCCCCGATTATGCAACACTCAGTGGAGTTCCCTTGCCCAACCCGTATCTGGAACACGACATTGAGAAGGCCAAGCCTAGACCTTACAGGCCTTTCAGATGGTCTTACCATCAAACTATGTGTAAGTGGCGTACAAAGCTTGCCAAAGCACGCGCTAATAATTCGTCTAATCTGGTTAGCACTGACCAAACTTGAAACCGACTGGTGGATTGAACTCGAAACCACCTACAAAGATCGCATCGCCCAGCGCAAAGAACTGTTCGCCAAGAACGGCAAGGCAGTCCTAGATGCGCTCCCAGGCTCTGAGCTAGCTTGTAAGGAGCTCATGGAAATGGTCCTGCAGTTCATCTGTGCAAGGTATCCCCAACACTTCACGCTTGTTGATAACCGTATCTTGCACAACAAAATTCTCGGCACCGAGCAAGATATTCGGGCTAAACCTCCACTTGAGGTGCTTCTTGACAACGTGCCTGAAGACTTTGCACTCATGCTACGGGATGATCAGACTGGATATTATTTCCTTCGAGCAGCGGTGATCTGCTCGGCACTGGGATGGAATGTTGGTTCGAAGATTGGGAAGCAGTTGCACCAGATTCATGAACCAATCCCGGATTATAAGGAGAAGATGCAGTTCTCAATGGATCGGTATGTTCATCTGAATACACCATTTGTTTGGGTGATTGGCTAATATAGTCACTGTAAAATGACAGCTTCTTCACGAAAATGCCAACTGAAAAGCCCATTCAGCGAGGCTCATGGGGCCTTGAAGTTGGGGAGCCTTTGTACATGCCACCAGGCGACCCCCACGAGGCTCTTCGAAAATTGCAAGATCCAGATTTGCATATCAAAGACTGCACCCTACGAGTGGACTGGCAGACTCTTCGTCGCCTCCCCTTGTCCGCTTCGGTTGTCTTCAACTTCAAAGCCTTGTTCGCTCCTATCACGGAGTTCCGTGATGAACCTGGCGTACCAGCGCTAGTTTCGAAGGTCCTGACGGAAGGAAAGCAGAACTTGATGGAGTATAAGGGAGTATGGCACGTTCAACATGTCATCCTGCCCAAGTTGGAAGAGTGGGCCCAGGAACAGGAGGAGAAGGGACTCGTTCCCAAAAATTGGCAGGTTGCTACACTAGACGACAGTCCGTGGTATAAAGGATGGGAGGAGAAGTGGCACCGTCAACAAGGATTCTAAAGATGGATATCTTTGATTTTGTTCATGTTCATGTTCGATATTTTAGCATTTCATTCATTATATTCAACAGCCCCGGAGCGGCTGGCTTTCGATACGTTTTATGCATCTTCCTGCAAATATTGCCAATGACATATCCAGGGCAAGTAGAGTCGAGGAATTGTGCGCAACGAAGCCCATGCACCTGTCGAGTGATTCTAGCAACAGTGGTTGCGACAGGCGGAGGTTCCTTTATGATGGATTGTCTCCCTCAAGGGCGTGCGTCAAATGTGGCATTCGCCAGCTGGTGGATGTTGATTCCGAGCACCTATTCATGATTTAAGCGCGCCACCAGCGCGGATGATTGGGCCTCAGCCGATCTTGATGAGCTGTGGGTAGGGTGGTGGATGCGGCAGCGTGATGGGTAAGTCGCTCGCTTGCTGCCTTCAATCTTCGCCTTCATCACTCCTACGAGAGGATTCAGAATCACCGCGACCCCGATCGACATCCTCTTCTCCGTCGTTGCTATCCCGGTCAAGTTCCTCCAGTTCGTCCGCCAGTGGGCTTATCCGCTCGTCCAGCATATCCAGATCTTCCAATTGTTGCCGCGGAGGCAACTTCCACAAACTCGTACCACATACACGGTCCTTGGTAAGGAGGTCATCGACGAATTGATCAACGTAGGTCAGAGTATAGGCGTCGCGAACTCGGCGCTTGATTTTCCGGTAGTCGAGCAGCAACGGCTCCAGCGTTTTGTACACCTCGACAGCGTCGAAGGTAAGTCGGACATAGAAAGCCGCGAGTGCTCGGAGATACTTGAAGTCCCCACGCGCCTTCACAACACCATTCTCGGGATTCTCGTCCTCGTCGTCACTGCCGGGGTCGGAGAAATTCAGGTATTCGAGGATGATGTCGCGGCTGGGGTTGAGCTGGAGAAGCTTGAAGGCGAGGCAAAGGAAAGGCGAAGGTTTCTCAGAGACACCATATGTACCACCGACAAAGCTCAGTTCCACCGCGCGATCACATAGGGTCGCTGCATTCAACCCGAAACATTGCTCCTTCCAGTAGTAGGAGTCTGTGATGCGATCGCGAACTGCCTTCTCAAAAAGGGTGACCGGATTGACACCACGAACTAGAGGGCCCGAGTATCCCCGATTATCCAAAAAGTTACTGGCATCGGCACGATGAGTAGCCATAGTGAAGGTCGTGCGCAGTCGTAGCTACCGTCGCAGTTGCTCTCGTGGGTGGAGGACGACGACGAAGTTGAAAAGCCCGAGCGCCAAGACTTTTCCAGCTCTCGGCGGTGGGCTTATCGATAGTCGCGCGGCCAACCCCATAAACAAGGCTGATGCCATGAAACACTCACAACATCCAAGGATCAAGGCTGGCTGGTGAGACATCGAAAAGGAAAAAGAATCTACGGGTTCGTCATGCATGGTTGACATTCCAATTCCATTCATTCCTTCCATGTCGCCTGCCTTCCCGCGACAATGGTGCTCCTCACATCCTCAACGGTCTCCGCCATTGTGTCGATGGGAGTAGTCTGCATATTTACTTTGTTACTATTTGTTTCAGGCTACGTCTTACAGCAAAACTCGGTGAAGAATATCCAGCATGCACTGCACAAGCCCCCCGAAGGCCCTCCAATTGTTGGGCGCGGGTCGCCTGGATCGACATCCCAAAAGCCCGCGCACAAACGCGGTCTATCAGACTCGGATCTGGGACTAGCGGATGATCAAGAAGTCCTCCATGGGAGTGGGGATAGTCCCTCTAGGTCAAAGGGCAACTATGCATATTTGCAGTTGTTGTCGCAGCCCGACCCTTCTGATATCTGTTCCGCCATTCTTTTCTTTAAACAACTCGCCACTAATGGCTCCGCCATCCCGGATCGCCTGTTCGTGTATCCCGAAGAGTGGGATCGCATGTCGGCAACAACACTTGGGAAAGCGGGATCGCTGGCTTTGTCCATTCTACGCGCTGCCAGTATCAAATATGGTATCTGGCTTCTACCAATTGACATCAGCGTCGCTCTTCGTCAGGGATACACAATGTCCGACACGAAACTGCTGCGTCTGGGACAAATCCAGTTCATGCAGTATGACAGCGTGCTGTACCTACAGTCTCCAGGCTTGATTATGGATACAGAAAAATTGGACCAGATCCTGTTGTCTCGGCCACTTCCACTTATACACGACTGGAGCCGCCCAGAGTCTTACGCAAACGAGGCATGGACACCAATGTCTCTCCGTCCAGACCGTGACGAGAACTTGCCGCCTGTCTACTTGATCACGGTCAACAATGTCGAAGGTGGACGTGTCCAGACTCGCACCCATGTGCCTAATGCTGATCTTCCTGGGTTCGGCAATCTTGTGATTGGGCCTGCCGACTTCGATGAAGGGGGTGAGCTGCCAGGATATGTATATTTCGAGAACGACCGCGATGGGCAGGTCAAATGGGCAGGGAACCCGCTGTTCGGAGCTTGGCGAGCACAGCAACACGAAGTCTGCAAAGGACTAAACTTTGACGATGATTTTTTATCATGAGCAATGATTTCTTTGGGACTACTTGGGCTTGAAGCAACAAGGGTTTGCTTATACATGCAGGGAACCGGTCTGGATTATGGCGTTGAGTCTATGCATTTTCATTTGAGGTATCATCTAGGGTTTACACACTTCCATGCACATAGGTCACTTCAATTGAATCTTTTCTATTTGATAGTTCGCCGAAGCAGTCGACCTGACATATGCGTGGTTTATTATTCAGGTTCAAATCGTACAAGTCGTAGACGATACCGAGGTCATCCAGTGGCAGCGTCGAAAGGCTGAGCTGGGCCAGGTCATTGAGGAACACTGATCTCATAGCCCAGGAGAACCTCAGTGGTATTTCCCTCCCAGCCACGATTTCCACTAGTAGAGATCATATAGCGACAGGCATTGTCCACATATAGTTGCGAGATAGTTCCGGTACGGTGACCCGGAATAATCAAGAACGGCACAGTCGAGTGTCGAGACTGCTCATGCCTCAGGTCGTAAAGACGCAGGATATCGTGGGAAGCACTGGGAAGAATTAGACTGCTAGTTATTATAGAATAAATATGCAACTTACCAGACGAGATGGCGGCCATTCGGCATCGCCTTGAGGGCTGTGACTGGACCACTTCCTTGCGGAAACTTGAATGTGCGTTCAGATTCCCTAAGACCTTTGTGGAGGCTATATTCCTCGACTGTGCCGTTTCTGCGCCCCGCATATATATAGTTGCCGTCTGGGGACCAGCATGCATTCATACACCATGGTGGAACGTTGCGAGGGGTGATTCGCGCGACTGGATCGGGCTGTCGTCGATCCCATATCCGAATTGTACCGTCGATAGAAGCGGCCAAAAATGTAGTGTCCGACCCAGGCGTCTGCTCTGTCTGCATACTCTGCGAGATATCATAGCCAGATGAATGTGCTTCCAGGGCTTCGGCCGTGGGAAGACCGTTGACGACGGGCTCGGACGTGGCTAGCGCAATATCACTGCTCGTCACGCCTTGTGTCGCACTAGATGCATCAAGGTTGGAGTTTGTGTCCGTGGCAGCTGCCTGTGCCTGTGATGTGGAATCGGCCTGTGGCATATTGGTATCCATTTCGCCAGATGCGTCAGCATCGGCCAAGACACCATTCGCAAGAGCACGGCCAAACTCATCATCTTCGTCAACTCCAAATACACCTCCAGACGGTTCGTTGCCATCTGCTGCCCCTCCATCTGCATCTCCGAAAAGGGAATCGGCTCCTCCAAATAAGGAGTCTGCCGGGGAACCCGCCTGCGGGTTCTCAGCGGCTCCTGCGTCCCCAGCATCTTGAGTGGTGTCCATGGCATTGAAGTTGTCCGTACCACTCGCTTCATAATTCGACGAGTAAGTACCGTTTGGTTGCGAGTAATCAATTGTATCTGAAGGAACGGGCAGGCTTGACTCTGGCCGAATTTGTACAGTACAGATCTGACCAGCACTTCCTCCAAATGCGCGTCGAGCCTGCCCGGTGTTTAGGTCCCAATCAAAGACCCGTTTATCCCAGCTCCCCGACAACAGAGATTGCTCGTCAGAGGTCAGGTTTAATGCTGACACGGCCGACGTATGCTGTCGAAGTAGCGCTATATCTTTGCCTTCGTCGTGGCGGAGGGTTTGTAATCGGATGGTTCCAGACTCTAGTCCCGTCAACAGCCACATGCCTTCGCTTTGACATGCCAACGAGTAGACCGGCGACAGATTGCTCCCATCCATGTTCTCCCAGTATGTCATGTAGACGCCGGCTTTCACAACGCTATCCACGAAGGGATGGCGTTGCGCAACGGTCAACATGAGCTTACTGTTGATTGAGTCAGCCCAGTTGAACTTGCGCACGTATCCATCGGATCCTCCACTGAATACCCAGCGCATATCGGCGGTCGCGGTGACGGCATTGATGGACGTACTATGGGGCGCTGCAGTGGTAGGGACGATGTCGTAGTTTTTGGCTGTGAGGCACTCGGGGCGGACGCTTGGATGGTAGATAGAGAATGACTCCAGCGTGGAGTTCTCCGCATTTCCGGGGGATGTCAGGTTGGTTGTGTCTTGATTGGTTTGAGAAGCCATGCCCGCTCCGTCTGAAGCCTGGCTGGCATTTGAAGGGCTTTCTGGTTCCTGGTCCTGGTCCTGGTCGACATCGGCATCCGCATCTGGCTCATTGTCACCATCTCCGTCGTCCATGTCGCGCATAGCATCTTCCATCTCGTTGTCGGAGCTACCATCCTGAGAGCCTACACAAAGAAAGCGCATTAGCGGTTGCTGCGCGTGGCTTGCAAGGGAGGGGTGTCTGCAGCGGAAGTTGCGACTTGCCTGCCAGGTCGCGGTCCTCATCGTCCTCAAGCGATGCCATAGTTGCGAGAATACTCAGAGAAATGTAATTGCCCGCTTTCAGCGCTGGTCAATTCTATGGTCGCAGTTACTGGGAAAGTCCACTTTCCTCAGAAAGAGCTATCCAGGGCCAGGCACGCGGGCCGCTCACGGACTCCGGGGTAAATTGGCGCGATCGAAGGGGGGTGTTCACTTGTCGCAGACTTCCCGTGGCGCTAGTTCAAGCCCCAATCCCAGAAAGGCTCTAATAAGCGCCAGGTAGCAGGGTAGTCAATGGCTAGAAGATCGTCGTGGCTGGGGAGCAGAGCGAAGAGGGCAAAGCGAGGGCCGTGGAAAGCGGGAGGGCGTTCGGAGACAATTCCAACAATCGGCGGACAGGCCACTGGCCAATCAGCGCCCGAGTTCATAGTTCAACCGCCGTTGCCTTCAACTTGGACGAGAAAAGCATCAAAAGTATACATTATAAGTTTGTATAATGCTCGTAGTATACTTCATGAGTGATCTAACTCTGAGATCTATTTGAATTTCAAGTTGGCTGCAAAGTATATCACTTGTGTGCAGAAATTATGGCCTTAAGTGGTGAATTTCTGCTACCTTGGCTACATCCTATTCAAATAGTCTGCAATACCGTTGATGCGATGCTAGGTATTATAAACTAGCATAATGATGTTGATTGTTAAAAGGCTTTCAAATGCGCCTGTTTATACCATGACAGGGGGCGGTTGTCATACTGCTCAAGGTCTGCCAGAACCCGCTTACGACCTTCCTTTTTTTCATTCATGAAAATTCCTCTCATACTCTGCACACATCTCCCTACTCAAACCATATTCTCAACCGTTCTTTAAATCAACGAAATCATCCAGTTCATGTCAGGTCTACTTAGTATCAATGTGCCTCGAGCTCGTGGGCGGGGAGGCATCTCGTTGCCCTTGGCCAATATGGCTATTCGTGAATACTTCGACGATGATGACCCAGGCGAAGCCCCTCTCGCAGAATGGCAGACAAAGCCAGAGCTGCCGACAGTCAATGAAATAATGGGAACTGAGCACCCGGGGAAAGAATTCAACCTCGTCACAAATAAAATCGATGGTTCGTGGCCGTCCACCGACCTGTACCTCAAAACCCATTACAGCCTCCTTCGTGAGGATGCTGTCGCTAACCTACGTGACGCGGTTGCTTCTTTTTGCGAGCGTCCCGGCACAATTGACAACAAGTCTTTCGTTATCTATGAGCGGGTAAGCTAGCGTATGATAACTATGTATTGTCTTGTGTGGCTGAGTATAAGTCCTCGGGGAACAGGTCTACTTCACCCACATCATCATGGCGCACCGAGGGATGGCCTTTCGAGCTTGCTTCTCCACCAGACGTGCGGGTAAAAGGATTCTCTGGGGCTATTCCCCCCGCCTTATTACCGGAAATATTGTCGCCTTGTCGCCGGCCAACGACATGTTTTCAAGCAAATGTGTGGTGGCAGTTGTGGCAGCAAGGCCGCTTGAAGGCGTCTCCAAAAACCCTCCTGAGGTTGATCTTTTCTTCGCCCATCCAGAAGATATGGATTTTGACCCGCTCAAGGAATGGATCATGGTTGAATCCCGTTCAGGATACTACGAAGCTCACAGATACACCATGACTGCCCTTCAAAAGCTGTCCAGAGAAAGGTGAGTAAAGATATCTTCTTGATCGATTACCAGCCTAATCTTCCGTAGCTTCCCTTTGAGCAATCATATTTGTGGCCTGGAGAGAAAAATTGATGTACCAGAGTACATTGCATCCCGGTCCGCCGTGGATTTGCGAGCCTTCCCACTGGCCGATTCTCGAGTCGAATCTCGCTACAATCGCACCGGAGACTCGCGCGAGGCCGCCTTGAAGCAATTGAATATCTACCAGCAAAATGCTATGAAACACATGTTGGCAAACAAGTTGGCGATTGTTCAGGGACCTCCAGGAACAGGCAAGACGTTTGTCTCTATCGCCGTTCTCCGACTCCTTCTGGCACAGATGGGCCACGGCGATCCTCCCATCATCATCGCCACGCACACCAACCATGCCTTGGATCAGCTGCTCACCCAGATCGCGGTGTTCGAACCGAATTATATCCGTCTTGGAGGCAGAAGCAAGAATTTCAAAGTCTATGCTCGAACTCTCTTTGCGATTAAGGACAGTCAACCGCCAACTAATTTGCAAAATGGTCTTCTATCGAAGGGTCGGAAGCAACATGCAGCGCTGGTGACTGATATCATCCAGAACACGCTCAAGGGTTTCCATCAACAGAGTGGTGATAGGAGTGGAAGTGCATTCGTTCATCATGGTCTACTGACCGAAGAACAGCTCAACATTTTGGAAGATGACAGCAACCAATGGGTGACTTTCACTAGCCAGAGGCACTCCGATCCTTTCGTCGCCTGGCTTGGGGATCAGGCTCTGAGATTTGAAGAATTTTGCTCTGACAAGGAGATCAACGCCAAAATTGACGACTGTGATCAAGATTATGAGATGCTCATGGAAGTTGAAGCAGAGCAAGCCCCGAATGCCGATGAATGGGAGTGCTTGAAGGGCAAAACTGTGGACCTCCGTGCAACGTTTCCAGTCCGTATCTTCAGGACCAGACATGTTCCAGCTCAAGCCATCGAAGAATACCTCAAGTTCCGTGACTTATGGGAGATCCCACGCGAGCATCGTGGTGCTGTTTACAACGAGCTACATCGCAGACTCGTCAGCATCGTTCGGAAGGAGCTTCGGGAAAAAGCCAAGCTCTACATGTCTAACAGCAGGACTCTCCAGATCGGAAAATTTGAGTGCGACTACGAGACTCTGAAGACAGCCAAGCTAATTGGAATGACAACTACCGGGCTGAGCAAATACCGTGGCTTGGTCTCTGCCTTGAAGCCTCACGTTGTTATGATCGAAGAAGCCGCCGAGGTTATTGAGGCACCAGTTGCTGTTGCGTGTTTTGAATCTCTCCAACATTTGATACTCATGGGCGATCACAAGCAGCTCAAAGGCCACTGCGCTGTACATGACCTGGCAGCCGAGCCTTACAATTTGGATGTGTCGATGTTTGAGCGTCTTGTTCAGAATAACTTTCCATTTGTGATGTTGAAGGAACAGCGCCGAATGGCTCCAGAGATACGGCGTCTATTAAACCCGATCTATGACGAGCTGGAAGACCATGAATCAGTCTCGAAGTTTGACCCAGTTCCAGGAATGGGAGACCTGAGATCCTTCTTCTGCGATCACACCTGGCCCGAAGTTGACGATAGTCTCACCTCAAAAGTCAATGAAATCGAGGCTCTTCTGGTTTGCGAACTCTACTGCTATTTGTGTTTGAATGGAGTTCCAAGCAGCAAGATTACCATTCTCACCTTCTACAATGGCCAGCGGAAGAAAATTCTCAAGATGTTGATGGACAATGAGAACACCCGACGTCACGATCCCATAGTCGTCACGGTTGATTCGTATCAAGGAGAAGAGAATGACATCGTGATTCTATCCCTGGTGCGCAGCAGAGACGGACCGTCCGATGGAATTGGCTTCCTTGCCGTTGATAACAGAGTATGCGTGGCTTTCTCACGGGCCAGGCGTGGACTTTATATCTTCGGCAACTCCCGGCATTTAGCAGCTGCAAGTGAGCTCTGGAAACAAATTAAATACATTTTAGAAGTGGGTGAGCAGGGAGCTCCTCGAATCGGGAATGGAATTCCTGTGACTTGCAAACACGGCAAGACAATGACAATGAGTTGTGAGTTTACGCGTCTTCCTCTGTACCTTAGTGACTACTCACACTACCTTTTCTTTCCACGAACAATCACACTATGCCTATGACATTCACTAATAATCGTGTCTCACAATCCCAGCCATTCGTGACTGGCACAAAACAAACGGCGGCTGCGAGGAGATGTGTGGAGCGATTCTGGACTGTAGACACAAATGTCCCCACAGATGCCACCAGTAAGTTGCCCACAAGTATCAATCGAGATCTAACACTGACATCTTCAAAATTATAGATTCCCTCACTCCAGCGTCACTTGCACTCAGCCATGCCAGTACAAGCAACCTTGCTGTGGCAAGCAATGCTCGGGGTATAAATGCCAGGAAACGCATTACCACTCGTGTGACTGCTCCGCGATCCCCGCTCTCTCAGCTGTATCGCACCGAGGAAATATCTTCAGTCCACCAGTTCCACCGAATTCCCGTTCATCTACTGAGGAGCCAGAAGCCAGGCTTTTGATTAACTTCTCAGAAGGTGACACCCTCGATGATTCTACTTCAGTGGATAAGGTAACAAAGGCCAGAATTTCCACAGAAAGATGGACTAAGTTCGCGAATGGAGGTGCTCGCGAGAGTAACCTTGCGCTGAATGATCTGGCAAAGAATAAGGAGGGCGAAGTTCCTGTCAGGAAGACCCACTTGATGGATGCGGCTGAGGAAGGGGTGGAAGTATGCAAAGGGGCAACCCTAAAGCCAATGGTGAAGGAGGGTGTGCAGCACAAAGCGCAGGCTGGATCAAAGCCTGAGCTTCATAAGCCTGTTCTAGTTAGACATTTGCTGGACTGAATGATGCTCATGTGAATATCCTTTGTTCGAGAGCGATCTATGCTTGCATAGATATTTGCCGTTCTTCCATGTGGCTTTACCAGAGACGAGTACGTGATCTAGAAGTGACAATTTGGTCTATGTCAGATAGATTAGTCAATCAAGTTACTGAAAAATATCCATCGTAGTCCCTTGACAGTGAGCAAGATAACCACCAAGAGATAATCAATACAAGTGCAAGTCAAATTTGTACAATTATCTATCATCAATTATGTGCGCATGCAGTCATAGTATGTACAAACTAGAAAGATACAGGGGTGCCATCAAAATTAGATCATCGCCATGTACTGCTCAAGACTTTGTCCGAGGACATTGATAAAAGGCCACTGAGTATTCCGCTTAAACAATCGTGCCCAAAGCCTGAGGACTGCCATTCCCAGTGCAGCAGGCTCGAGGTTCGGTGGAGCTTCCGATTCGTCATCCAGGTCGATTGACGAGTACGCTTCTTCGACAATGCATTGAGTCCAGCGGAGAATCCGGCTCTCGTTTTCTGTACAGCCACTGATTAGAATGAACCTGGTGTGACATATCTGGAAGAAAACCTACCACTCAAAGCTTGATCAGGTGCCGCCTCTGTGAGTGTGAAAAGCCACTTGCTGAGCAAGACAGCACATTCAAGACTCGCCAGCGAATGCCTTACGCTCCAGAAGAAGGCTTGACTCCGGGCGATATGGTCGATTCCAAGACGGACGGGAATGCTGAGTGCATGAGCAGAGTAGATGAGAGCTGGAATGAGGCGGTAGCTCCTCTCCGGTTTGGGAGACCGACACAGAGCAGCTGCTATAGTTGCTGGTTCACGAGTTTCGAGACGGCGGTATGGTCCGAGATTCAGAGATAGTCGTACGTAGGCAAGTCCTAGGAGGGCGCTTGATGTAAATGGGATTGGTCCATTAGCGTTGTGAGGGTCGAGACTTGATTCAGGAGCTTGTTGCCAGACGGAGGTCCACGAACGAAGAGCTCGCCTGTTGATGTGGTTAGCTTATGAGACCAATTTCTGCAGGAGGTATTGCGCAACGTACTCTATTTTGTTCAATTCTTCTGTCGGTAGAGTGGTTGAGTGACTTCCATTCGGCAACGAGAGTTCACTAACAATGTGAATTCGCTGCAGCAGGCCATGAAGAAGCATGTAGTTGCCTAGTGGTGCTGGGATCGGTTGTAGCGGCACCGTTGACCGTGACTTTTGAAGTAGAAGAGTCAAAGCATCTTGGAAGAACAATTGCTGAGGCCCTCGGTCTCGTTGAGCGGCTTCCCACTCAACGGCGTTGTTCGCTGTCCATTCCTTCGTTGAGCAAGGTAGGCGCATGTGAATTTCGCTGCTCCGAAGTGAGGGGTAGACATTGTAAGCAACGCTGTGTATGTGAATGAAGCAGAAAGAAATAAGCTTGGTCCGTCGTACAGACTCCTGATCGGCCCATTCGTACCAGTCTTGCGACGTAGCACGAGGGTCGGTGTATGGCTCGGTTAGCCCAGCGTCGCGGATGTGTTGGACCAGCTGGGACTGAATTTGGAAGGCCTCCTGAACGAGTCCAGCTCGCTCCCAGGTTGCATAACTCATCAGTACAAGAAGACACCGAATCACTTCCATCTGTCTCGAGGTGCTGATTGCTGCTCCGCTTGCCGCTTGCCCGTCACCGGAATATTGAGAAACAGCAAGGGGTGCTGAGAATCCCGCCATACGAGAGTCCCTAGACATTCGCTCATATAGAACGGCCTTGGAAACGTGGAAAAGTCTTTCTGCGTTTCGATGCTCGAAACGATACTGAGCCCCAATCGTCATTATCGCAAGAATCAGTTCTGCGGAGCACTCATTGAAACGGAATGTTGGAATATGTATAAATGGAATGTGCGGGTGAAAGCCTTCAAAGTAGGAAGTGAGGTATCGAGTCAGAGTATGGCGGGATGGAAGGGTAAAGTCAGGGATGACATTTCGAAAATCTTCCAGGGCTGCTGCAAGTCGAAAGCGTTGGTCCTCCGAAATATTGAACCTAGAAGACTTGGAGGAGTCCTGCGGTGGTTCTACGTGATGTCAGCGCCTTGAAAGATATACAAAAATCACTAGAAAAGCACCACGGTGCCAGCGACATACCTGAGTCGGAAAGAGCACCTAGACTTTGGTCACCTCTTGGGACCGATGGCAGCCACGAGCGGAAAGGCGAGTCTCCTCGCGACTCCTCTCTCAGGCTACGTCGCGGCCTGGTTTGCTCTTGCGATGATTGGACAGGCTTTTGGACATCTTCGAGGCCGATATCCGACTGCATCTGATTTGCTTCTCCGTCGCTAGGAAGCCACTCTGCTGGTAACCCAATCGAATCCAAGAAATGTGTGAATTCTTGAAAGTGGTTGAGGTCCTCCGGAAGATAGGGCATTGCTATATTCGTCAGTCACAATAAGCTTCCCATTCTATACATGGATGTTCTTACTGGTGGCTTGATAGTCGCCAGGAATAAGCAATTGCGCAGCCTGCAGCATGGCGGGATCATGCATTGCCGGATGCTCTCCTGGGATTGGAGTGGGATTGGGAGCTCCGGCAGCCACGATACTACTGGCTTGATTCTGAGGTATATACGGAGCGGGTTCAGTTTGCGTAACAGGCCACTGATGCATGGGCGATTGCCCCGGTATCGAAGCTACCGGGCGAACCGCTGCATCATACTGCGGTGGGATGGCTGCAGCTGCAGGTGCCGTGCGCGGGGGTGCTTGGAGAACCGGCTTCACCATCGACCCCGGCTGGGAGTCGGGCGATACCAACCCATCCTGGTGGGAAATGCGTGTATGACGCTTCAATAGATCACGTCTAGTAAAAGCCGCCCCACAGAAGCAGATGAAGGGCTTCTCCTTGGTGTCTAGCAAATGTGATCAGTCATTTGGTTTCCCCCTCATGACTCCAACCCCAACGATGCGCTTACGAGTTCGCACATGGCGCTCCAAATGTTCCGTACGACGAAAGGCCCGGCCGCAATGGACACAGATACGCGCCTTTGCACCGCGGCCTGCTTTCTGAGGCGATGGGGATGGCATCAGTGACTCCGAGTCCTTTGGAGAAATGCAGGGAAAAAGTGGACATTTGGGGAGGAGTTGAAGAGGAGCAACTTCGGAGAGCGGGCGGTTACTCCAACTGCCAAGCGGTGACTCCAACCCACTTGGCCTTTCTTATCGCGAGGTTGTCCGCTTGTGATAATCAGGCCTCTATAGGCTCTGGGGAACGACGACTATAGTTGATTAGAAAGACTACTGATTGATAGTTTCGATCTTCGAATCTGATATTCAAAGGCGAACAAATTCATGACCACCATGCTCACCAAAACGCTCTTCCCTGGCGTGGCCGTGGTGACTGGTGCTGGTGGGACTGGTGGGTTATGGTTATCTTTAATGCGGAGCAATGACGTTTCACCTAACACTCTTCATATTATACAGGAATCGGTGCTGCCGTTGCAAAAGCATTTGCAGCTGCAGGATGCGAACGCATAGCCATCACCGATCTCAACGAAACCACTCTGGAGCAGACTAAAAACGCAGTTGTCGCAGCATATCCTCACACGCAATTACTAGTCCACCCTGGAAACGTGGCCGACGATGACTTTGCCGATGCATTCATTGAAAAAGTCGTCCAATATTTCGGTCGCGTCGATTATGCCGTGAATTGCGCTGGCGTGCTCGGGCAGTCTCTACGGTCGGCGGAAACCAGTCTTGCGGAATTCGACCGGGTGACCAATATCAATTATCGGGGCTGTTGGCTGTCATCTCGGGCACAGCTAAAACAAATGGTTAGACAAGATCCTTTGCCGAGTCATGATCCTAGCCGTCCTCCACAGCGAGGTGCGATAGTGAATGTGGCCAGTCAGCTAGGGATTGTCGGTCGGCCGAGTGCGCGTAAGTACTATGCTATGATGCACATATTGTTTCCAAGTTCGGTAGCTGACATATAGCTTGATGCAGCGGCATATTGTGCTTCAAAGTCTGCAGTCATTGGTATGACTCGAGCGGATGCCATAGACTACTCCAAGGATAGCATTAGGGTGAACTGTGTATGCCCGGGTGTCATCGAAACCCCAATGATCATGAAAAACTCTGAAGTTCGAGAAGCTATTACACCTGCAGCAGAGATAGCTCCGATGAAAAGAATGGGTAAACCAGAAGAAGTTGCCGATGCAATCTTATTCCTTTGTTCGACCCAAGCGTCGTTTGTTCAAGGCCATGCTATGTTGGTTGATGGTGGATACATCACTGTATAAGACAGCAGAATAATTCAACACCGGAGTTTCTTCAATATCAATACTTTCTTATAGTCTTGGCGGTACCGTGAATTATTTGAAAAAGTCCGAAGGTAGTTCCCCAGGTATCCTCGGCGGTAACTGTATGCATGTTCAAGGTCTTGAGAACGAATTTATTACTCCATCTCTGTCTATTCTAATCAGTTCTCGCTGGTCGAGAAATGCATCTTCTTCCAATCGAAGTGACTCTCCCACGCATGCGTGACTCGAAGAATCTTCTCTTCCTGCCATAATCCTCCAACAACCTGCATACCGACTGGAAGCATGACCTCCACGTTGTCCATTGCTGGAGCAGTTCCAATAGGAATCGATATGGCCGGATGACCAGTCACATTGAAGATGGCAGTGTTGATCGTCAGCCCCATGCTGGGTTTCAACGACTCCAACGGAAGACCGCGTTTCTCGTTCTTGGGGGCGACAACTGGAGTGGTAGGCATCACTAGAACGTCGTATTTCTCAAAGAGTGCCTCGTACTTATCACTCAATTGCCGTCCAATATTAGCTGCCTTGCCATATAGACCCGGGAAGCGAGACATCAGATAAAGCCCGTTGATTATAACGTTCTTAGTTGACGGGAATGCTCGTTGGAATCCTTCGTCAGTCCATGGCAGTCTCGCATGTTCCATCTCAGTTGTATACAGGCCTCTTCGACCTGTATTCTGCCCCAACAAGGTTTGTGCGCCGGCGATTCGTTGCTGGATAGTCCAAATCGCTGGGCCATGCAGATGATCTGGAAGGGACACTTCTTCTATCGTGGCGCCAAGATCTCTGAACTTTTTCACTGCCGTCAAAACTGAGTGTTTGACACTTGAACTGACAGCGTTATGCTCAAATCCTTCTTTCAATATGCCAATTCGCACGCCCTCTAGTCTTTTAGAATCCTGGCTCAGGCTTGCGGCGAAACTAGTTGAACCCGGCTTGCCACTCCCCAAGGAGCGATCATCGATGCCATCGTAACCACTGATCACGTCAAGACAAGTTGCAGCATCGAGTACATTCCTGGTCAGTGGCCCTGCATGGTCGTTCATAGCATCACCGCTGCTGATACCAGTGAACGGCACCCGGCCGTGGGTTGGCTTGAGACCGACACCTGGAGATTGTCAGGCAACATGGTCTCATAACAACCAAGTATTAGATGAACTCACATCCACAGAAAGATGCCGGAACTCGAATGCTTCCACCCTGATCACCTCCAATCGTGATATCTACCAACCCCGCCGCGACGAGGGCTGTGCCTCCCGAAGTACTTCCACCTGCGGAGTAGCCAGCGGCATGGGGATTTTCCACCGTTCCCTGCGCACTGGTAAATGAAGAAGTCGAATGACAAAAATTCTCACAAGTCGACGTCCCATGGATATCGGCTCCAGCCTCTAACAAGCGTGTCAAGACCGTGGCATCGGTAGTTGGGGTCCACGATGGGATAATGTCGCTACCCATCAACTGCGGCACACCTGCCACCGCGATGACATCTTTGAGACTGACAGATTTCCCCGCCAGGACACCTCCTTCTTTGCTTCCTCTGATGAGGAACTTGTGTGCCCAAGCTTGTCCAAGAACCTGCTCGTCTTTTCCTGGTCGGCGCACGTTTTCCCGAGGATACTTTGTTTGATCGGGGATCGGTTGATAATCTGGAAGAGCAGCTACACCTTCAGCGCAGTCGTGAACAGCTGCTAGGAGTGTATGAAAATCGCTTGCTTCGGAAGGATCTATCGTTAGCCCGAAGGGCTTAAGGAGGTCTTCCGCATCCCCAGGTTTGACCGGGTTGTTCCTAAAAAGTGATCATTAGTAAACACCTGGATTAATTACCTCCCTACGGGGCCTGTGGAAGCAATACTTACTCGGAAATACTAGTGAAAAGAACAGACATGATGTGTTGACGATGAACTAACACAGCAGCAGCCGGATATTGTGAAATGTTTATGAGATTTTGGCTTGTCGAAAGATTTGTAACCCATCGGCCTTTCCCGAGCTGATCTCCAAAGAGAGGAGACCGTCGGCAAACCAACGAACGACTCATGCGCCTGGCTCCATCGCAGTTAAGGTCGTGTGTAATTTGACCCCAAAACGACTCCAACCTCGTAGACCCACACAAGGTGTCGCTCTATCCTCGGGGGACGAAGGCAGGGCTCAATATCGGATTTCGATGGAAGGATAAATGAATTCAATGCTTGAGATTACAAGTTTCATGAGATACCAAGTGCCGTACCGTCCGACCGGTGATCTTTGGGGGCTTGCTGGGCAGCGACTCCGACGAGCTCCGAAGCGGGGGGGTTCGTGTATCGCTGGGCTATCGCCTTATCTCTTTCCCCGCATGTGTTGACACTGTACAAAAGCGACTAGGCTGACCGTTCTAACTTTCAACCCTACAATTACTCAAAATTGACGAGATAATGGGCCCTAAGAGAGTTCTCATCACGTACGGCGTCGACGTTGACGCTGTAGCCGGATGGCTTGGTTCCTACGGAGGCGAAGACTCGACAAACGATATCAGCCGAGGTGCGCCAATTTTCCTCCAGTTTAGGCAATCTACTAATGTAGGGATAGGCGTCTGGGCGGGTACAGTTGGAACGCGACGACTGCTGAAGCTCTTCGACAAGTATAACATCAAGACAACATGGTTCATTCCCGGCCACTCTTTGGAGACCTTCCCCGAGGACATGGCTGCAGTCCGTGATGCAGGCCATGAAATCGGGCTTCATGGCTACTCACACGAAAACCCAACGGATATGACCATTGATCAGCAGCGAGATGTTCTCGACAAAACCTATCGTATGCTAACCGAGTTCGCCGGCAAACCCCCCCGAGGCAGTGTCGCCCCTTGGTGGGAGACCAGTAAAGAAGGCGCCCAGCTGCTCCTGGACTACGGCATTGAATATGACCACAGTATGAGTCATGAAGACTGTCAAGCATACTATCTTCGGATTGGTGATTCTTGGACCAAGATCGACTACAGTCAGAAGGCTGAGACCTGGATGAAGCCGCTTGAGCACGGCACGCAAACCGGCCTTGTTGAAATTCCTTCCAACTGGTACATTGACGATCTGCCGCCCATGATGTTTATCAAGAAGGCACCAAACAGTCATGGTTTTGTCAATGCCCGGGATGTGGAAGATATTTGGCGCGATCACTTTGATTACTTCTATCGCGAATACGATGAGTTTATCTTTCCGATTACTATTCACCCGGATGTTTCTGGAAGGCCGCATGTCCTGATGATGCACGAGCGGTGAGTTACGCAGACTTTCTAAAGAGATTTAGATACTGATATGATTGTAACAGACTGATCGAGCACTTCAAGAAGCATGAAGGAGTCGAATTTGTGACTATGGAGCAAATGTGTGACGAGTTCAAAAAGAAGAACCCAGTTCCACCAGGAGCTCTGATGCCTGCTCCGGTTGGATCAATGCTGAAGAAATGAAGGCACCCTTATCATTTACTTTCTTAGTGAGGAGATTAGAATCCGTATTTTCTAGAATAACATTGCTTTATTTGCGATTTCCATCTAATCTCAATCAACGCTTACTTACTCTCTAATCTCTTGTCTCCAACTCAACCACTAGTATGTCGGCGATTATAGACGCTTCTCCAACTCGCCTACTCCAACTGATTACTCCCTCTATTATAAATTCCTATTCGGTATGACACGCTCTATCTTATCTCAAGACCAGCAACTGTATCTCGCAGTCTCCAAAAATCCTTGTTCGCCGCCAGCCAAGACTACCCCAATCTCTTACCCCATTCAGTCATTCCAGTCGGATCCTACCCCAACAACTACGTCGCGGGAGTCCAATACGCCCGGTCCATCCAGTCAACCCGCGTTTTAGCCCTGTTATCAGGAAGGTTTGAGTTTGTGGGGAAACAGAAGATGGAGAAATAGCCCACTTGTATCTGGCCTCGTTATCGCGTGCTACTAGTCCCGTCTCAAGACCCCAGAAACCAGACCCAACGCCGACCAAAAAGACAATGACAAGGTCCTGCCGGAAAGAGGCCGGGTGCGCGAGATAAGTACCTGCCTCGCGAGTGAATACTTGTATTTCTCCTATATATTCCTTCCGAAGGGTCTACGCTTCTGTCGATGGTTCAATTCCTCACTTCCAAAACCTGTCCTGCTTCTGCTGGCTAGCTATCATCTAGCACTTCGCTATGTCGACCTCGAATGATGATATCAAGGAGGCCCCTGGCTACTCTGTAGACCCCCCTAATACCGAGACGGAAAAGGCGGAGGTGGAAGATCACCTTGAAGTCTTCAAAAGAGGGGAAGGCCAGATCGATTTTCGTACTGTGAGCTGGATCCGGGCAGGAATTATCTTCCTAAAAAGTACGTCGTCGTTCTCTGATTACCTAGGTGACTTTGAAAGCCGTCCAATTGATTCATAATCGAAAACAGTCATCTTTGCTACCGGTGTCCTCTCAATTCCATCACTGATGTACGAGCTCGGGGCCTTTCCAGGCGCCGTCAGTGTCATCGGATGGACTCTTCTAAATACCTATTGTGCCATCGTGCAGGGCAACTTCCGTAACCGCTATCCCGGCTGTCACTCCATCGCGGATATGGCCCAAGTAGTGGGCGGCCCGATAGTCAAGGAGCTGGTCGGATTTCTTTTCACAGTCAGCTACGTGATCGTTGCTGCATCAGGCATCATTGGTGTTTCGACTGCGTTCAATGCGCTCTCGCAGCATTCCGTCTGCACTGTCTGGTTTAGTTTCATCGCAACGGTCATCATCGCCGGATGCGCGAGTGTACGCAAATTCTCGCATATTGGCTGGCTGACTTGGGTTGGCTTTGCTAGTGTGTACATCGCCGTGTTTATTATCGTGTATGTTCCTTTTTCCTCGATTTTTGTCTAAATGTATAAGTTAACCTTGCACAGGATTGGCGTGACAACTCGAGATCGCCCGGCGGCTGCACCGCAAACAGGTGATTATGATTTTGGATACAGGGTGATCGGTAACCCCAGTTTTACAACCGGTATCACCGCTGCAGCCACGATCTTTGTCTCGAGTGCTGCAACATCGGCGTTCTTGCCCGTTATCTCGGAGATGCGCAAGCCCAAGGACTATCCCAAGGCCGTCTATCTCAGCATGAGCCTAGTAACCGCCTCGTACCTGACGTTTAGTCTGGTGATCTATGCCTGGTGCGGCAAATGGATCGCCTCGCCCTCCCTCGGCAGTGCCGGAACAACCGTCAAACGCGTCGCGTATGGAATTGCACTGCCGGGCTTGATTATCAGTGGCTGTTTATACGTACACGTCGCGGCCAAGTATCTCTTCGTCCGAATCCTGCGCAACTCCCGTCATTTGCAGGCGAACACGGTAGTCCACTGGGGTACTTGGCTTAGCTGCACGATTGGAATGGCAGCAATATCATTTATCTTAGCCTGTGCGATTCCGATTTTCAACTTTGTGTTGGCCTTGGTGGGTGCGTTGTGCTTTGCACCGTTGGGTATGAGTCTTCCGGGATGGTTATGGCTGTACACTCATGGCGAGTATCTGAAGGGGAATATCCTGCAGAAGGCTATGTATGCTATCCATGTCTTGCTTATCTTGTTGGGGGCATTCATGGCTGTGGGAGGAACGTACGGGGTTATTGTTCAGATTAATCAGGCGTACGCCGACGGACAGATCTCGTCAGCCTTTTCGTGTGCTGACAATAGCGGTTCATCCTGAAAAGATGGGTGTATAATATACACGTATTAAAATGTGATTCTACTGAGCAAATGTATAGTTTTGCTGGATTCAAATAAAAAGATGCAGAGCTATACATCACCGGAGCGCTTTCACGTTTGGTTTGCCGGACAAAATCTTGGCTAGGGAAAATAGATGGGATAATTATGGACGATTACAAAAGACAGCACGTTGGTGGCAGCTGCCACCCCTGGAAGTCCACCGTTGTCGTAGCACATATCATTTTGGCTATTTCCTCTTCATATCAAATAACGGCTATTTTGCTTCAGACCTGATACCACCCTCCCCTCTAAACACAGTTATACCATTACGATCCAATAACCCAATCAATGTCATCTTTCTTGGCCTGGCTAGGTTCCGGCTTTGTCATGGGTTTGTTATCCTGGTGGTGTCCCCAGACCCAGAAACGGTGTTTCGGATGAGCGTCGTCACCTACATGGATGATCTAAGTATGTTGGAGACCAGATATCCGGACCACAGAAGGTAAAACTGTACCAGCTGCTTGACCAGCGAGACCCTCGGTGGCCTGAGTGGCAGGCTGATTAGACCCGGCCTGTTGATTGAGCGACGGTTGCTCGGGCTGTTTTGCTGCGTCGGAGGGATCGGGTACGTTCGTTGAGTCAGCAGAGTCTTGACGCTGGCGATGCTGGAGTGCATCAGACGCTCTGCGGAAGAAGTCCGACATTGTGAATTGTTTTTATCTTCAATGAATCAAGTCGACGATACTTGGTGATGTTTCGAGAAGATTAACTCTGGCAATAAATTCGTCAGTTAATGAGTCCTTTCTGCACATTTATAGTTCTTACCAGAGGATGACATCATTTGTCCTGATTTGTAGTATGCTCTTGTGATTACTCCGCTTATCCCTCTGGTACATACAATAAGATAGTTAGAAATGGAAGCACAACCACCAGTCAAATAACAATGGCAGAGTGAACGCATCATATGTGGAGAACATCGTGGAAGCCCCGCGGTTGGAAAGCTCCAGTGGGGCCTCGTTCAGCTTCTTTAGACGCATGTGGCTAAACTCGGGCACATCAGATGATGCAGCCCAGTTTAGGACAAGGCTTTAAAATATCATCTCTAATGGCTCGTTATTACTCGGGACCAAGGAACGAGGGATGGATTAGCTGTCTCCTAGAAGCCAGAAAGTCCCGCAGGCTTGGTGCTGATTGGTTAGATCTTATACTTACCGTACTGGAGGACAGCTTTGCTTGGCCAATGATTCTACGCCATTACTGCTACAGTAGTACATATGTTAAATAACCAGTCTCAATCATCAAAAGATCTTCATAACTAGTAACTGCATAGGCGTTTCGCCCTGAAACTCAAGCATGGTTTCAACCACATCGGGTTTATGCAAGCAGTCACATAAGCCTCGTTGGGGCTGGTGGATGTCGACAGCCAATTCTCTTAGAGACAGTGATTCTTTCCCCTGATTATTGTGCTGCTCTCAACTCTAGGCTGTTAGGGTGAGACAAGACTATCGATCACCATCATCAACATCCATATGATTCTGGAGATTAGCGTATTCGTAAACTCCGGCTGACCCACGCTAAGCCTGCCAGGGCCCGTTTTGAGTGCCGCCGGATCCGATGGTTGGAGTTCCTTATCTTTGGGTTTTTGCTTACTCCTCTTCCTATTTCAACCCCAACAACGTCTCACCTTGAACACTTTTCTTTCTCTTCATCTCTTTCCCTAACTTTGGGACCTTCTCTATATATTCCACTTCCATTTCTCGCCCAGTGATGTAACACTGCCTCATCAGCTTATCATTATCAGTCTGCGTTATCAGTGAAACTGCTCCTACAGCCGTACCTTTACAAACGCAACATGCTCCTCGCACGACTCTCTCTAGCTGTGGCATTTACCAGCCTCGTCACAGCAGCAGCGCTCCCATCACCACCAACCCTTCAAAAAATCAGCCCTAGCATAGACGCAGAATCATTGTTATCCCGAGACGCGTCATGGGCGCCCGCGGCCCAATCATACAACGAACAGCACTATCACCTCAACAAACGGAGCCCTTATTACTTGCCCGAGACCGTTCTCGACGAAGATGAAATCGCCGACCGACTAACTGCACTGCGTGAAGCAGGCCTCGTCACCAGCGGGCGAGGCCAGACTGCTTCAAAGTCAATCGAATCTCCGGATGCAGGGATCGACACCCGTGCACGGATGATTCCCGTTCGGGACTTGATGTCCGAGTTGGACCGTTTGGAAGCTACACAGTCCGTCTGGGAAATGCTGCCCTCTCTACTACCGCCACTACGCTTCTTTGTGATCGCAAGCTCGATCATCGCCATCCTCACCGTGATCAGGGGTTGTCTGCGTGCTCAACGCTGAATGTAGCTGTGGGAGGGACCGGGACCAGACCAGCCTCGGTCTAACTTCTTTTGCTCGGCTTGCTCTTTTATGCAGTGCCGAACCCACCTTCTTCTGCCAAGCTCTTAGATCAGGATTCAACCTTTCCCCACCCGCCGCGCTAAACCTTCGGGTCTTCCCCTCCCGGTTCGACGACTCAATGCTCCTATCTACAACACGTGTATGTATACCGTGCCACGGGAAAGCAAAAGAGCGCTATTTATCTCAACACGAGACGACCTTTCCACGACAACACTGGCTACTGTCGAAAGGGGAAGAAAAAAACTCGGTTCGCAACCGAATCGACTGATCGGCTTTCCTAATTCACTCCTGAACCATGCTCAGGGTTCCTTAACTCGAAGTCGGGTTCGCCCCCGTTCTCCATTCTCACGTTGCACCATCTGCAACAAGCAGCAACGTGATCCTATGATTTGGGGCCGTGTGTCAATGGTTGGCTAGTCCGCGACTGCACCATTCCTTAAGGACTGGTCACTGGTCTCCGCCAACCTCAAACGCGACCGTGGCTTGAGCTTGGCGTGCACTATAAACTATAAATTTTCCCCAACGCTGCGATATACTCATGTTCGAAATTGGCTTCCATGTTTTACAAAGAGAAACTATCTCAAACCCTAACGCCAAGACTATGGTGAAACCTATCTGGGTTGGGTGCAGCTAGTCTGCATATCACCCCTGTTCGTAAAAATAGAAATGTAAAATGTCTGACAAGACAAAAACGGTTGGACCCTTGAATTACGCGCCTCGCGAATACGCGTTCCTTCACCTGCTACCGTCTCCCTATCGCCCGCCTGAGTCCAAGTTGTTGCAACGTACACACCCTCAACCCACCAGCAGACGAATACCCACGACGCAATGGCCCCAAATCTGCCCCCTGCTACTTGAGAGTTCATTCGCGATATGACCTTGAGCAAATAACTAACTACATCCCAGATTGCTGATGCCGCTGGACGCAGCTCGCGTTCTGCCACCACAAGTCCCAGTAACCTACCAAAATTCGGGTGATACTAGAGCTCCTCGTATTCGAGCAGGCAGGCCGCACAATATCTCCCTATCAATGTTAGAGGCTCTCTGTGATCACCTGCTGGAAAAGCCTGGTCTCCATAGGGTATAGTACAGCGGGGATGAGCGTTCATCAGCCACTCGCTTGGGGCCTGGTGAAGGATAATCCACGGGCGAAGTTACGACTAGGCAAACAGGAAATAGTAATCAAATGGGAAATAATGATTTCAACTGCGATAGAAATATAGATATGACTTATTGCTAATAATGAAATTAAGTGAAAGCGCGACTTGATTGCTTTATGATCAGCCCCGGAAATAACGTTATGCCGGAGCCAAAGGTACAGTATGCTAGTGTGAATTTCACGTCATCTGCCTAGATGCAGGTCTAAATATGAAATAGGGATTCCTAAGGCCTCGTCCTAAATGCGTCCAGAAAATCTCCCTTGTCCAGCGAAGGAAATCTCCCTTCGCCGATCTGTCAATGTAGAGGGTCCCATCGTACCTATAGCAACCTAGGTTGCTCACTAAAACTTTGCTGGGCCGATATCTTGTATAATGACCGTAAGGATTTCCTATCCCAATCTATGAAGTTAGCATAGAGCAGGAAAACCCTAGTTTGAGAGTTTACAGTAGAATAGAAGTGGCATTGGAAAGCACAAATGCTGGAGGATATTCTCGGGCAAGATGGTGCCTTGCCTAAGACAAAAACAGCGGTTCCACCTCAAGAGATGAATCAGTATCCTCCAGTAGGGATCTCACCGCTGGGAGGATATTCTGAGGTAAGTTGGTTTGGTAGCTTAAGGCATGAACTTCGCAGATTTCAAGGCGACGTGTTTTGATGCGCAGGGGATAGATTGACCATTAGATTCCAGAATGGTCGACTTTCAATGTTAACCGCAGGCAGCTCGCACTGGATTTCAGACAGTGATGGTACGCAGGAAGCTACTCACTATAAGTCCAAGTGAGAATCACGAACTGATTCTTGTAAACCAAACTCATTCATTGGGAGAAGATGTCGTCGCAATAGCTTTTGAATTACATTATGGTTGTATGGAGTAGTACCTAGATCCGTATGACGTTCAGAGCCTCGATCTGAGTCATCGAGCTCCAGATGCTGGAGGTGACTGAACATTTTTCTCATACTTGTACTCCGTTCCTTTCCTCCAATAACGATTTTCAGGGTCATGGAGTAGTACCTAGATCCGTATGATGTTCAGAGCCTCGATCTGAGTCATCGAGCTCCAGATGTTGGAGGTGACTAAACATTTTTCTCATACTTGTACTCCGTTCCTTTCCTCCAATAACGATTTTCAGGATCATGGAGTAGTACCTAGATCCGTATGATGTTCAGAGCCTCGATCTGAGTCATCGAGCTCCAGATGTTGGAGGTGACTGAACATTTTTCTCATACTTGTACTCCGTTCCTTTCCTGCAATAACGATTTTCAGGATAGAGCAGATACCGTCCGCGGCGATTATAATCCCAACGCAAAGAGGGATCGTCTGTCCAGGCTTGGTAAGGCTGTTTTCCGGAGTAAGGCCATTCCACTGAATAGTCATCTCACAAGTAGCCACCAACAAGACCCACATAAATACCCCCAGAATGCAGGCAAAACGTTTAAAAAATTTCGCAGCAAACTCCAGCCATGCCCATACTTTGTCCGGGCCCAAATCGAGGAAATGGAAATGTGTCCTCCCTGCTTCCTTTAAAGCTTCCTCAACTCTTTCTTCGTCATCACCACATTTCAGGATAATAAAACAGTTGATCAATATAACAAGACAAGTGAAGACCAAAACAAAAAGGCACGAGATAGAATAACACGCTATTATAAATCCTCGATACCATCCGTCCAATCGGACACGAGCAAAGAACCACCCTGAATTTGACGTGCCAAGTAACGGGAGTTGACGATAATGTGTCGTGAACAGCCACATCCAGCCAATGTCCATCCAGGCGACAGCGACAAGCACCCCAATCGAACCCACGATTTCGCCAGCGGCTGTTGTAATGTCAACAATAAGAAAAGCTCCAGGAATTAAAAAGCAGCTAATCTCTGAGAGGACGAGATATGCTTCACTGAAACTGAATGTGTTTCGATCCATCAATATGGACCACGCGACTAAAATACCGATAACGTTCGCCGAAACGGCAATTCTGTAGCCCTTTCCTGAGTCTTCCCAGAGGGCGACGAGCATTCCGGCGCTTTGGAGATATATGCCGATTCGGACACCAATACCGTAGAGATCACTGGCAGCAGATGTGTCCCCGCTTCTCTGCTGGAGAGGTTTGTCATCAATTCCCCGTGGTAAAGATGTAACCAAGGAGGCACAAGTGTCACATTCGCCGAAAGAGGAAATTGATAGCACAGACACAATCACCACCAACAATAATAATAATGACAAGCCTTTGGTCATTTCGTTGGGTTTGTTTAGAAATTTCTGTGCATTTTGTAGAGCAGCTATTGAAACTGGACTTCCTAGCTACTTCTCCCACAAGTTATTGGACTGTTAAATAAAGATCGTGGTGTGTTCAACAATGACAGAGGAAACGTTCTCGAGAATAATTTTTCGCCACCATTGATAGGTTAAATATTATAATGACGAAATATTGGCACTCTCACATGATTAAATTGATGGTGAAGGGCTCTTTGCCTCTAGACCTCGCCCTCACCCGCGGGTAGCCCTCAGACCGGTCGGGGGTCTGGCCACCTTATCCGCAGCCAGAGCACAAACAGTAGAAACTCGTGATCTATATGCGTTAAATAGGATGAATTCTTCATTTTATCCACCCAAATTAGGAAAAGTGTGGACATTTTATGAAAATGAGGGTCTATGAGGGTCCCCGAGGGTCACCCGCATAAGGGTCGGCGAGAGTCGAGGGTCGAGTAAGGGTCGTGAAGGTCTGGGAGAGGTCTATTTACCTCCATCAGGGCCCGGCTGTTGAGATTCCATCCCCACGCGTTCTCCGGTTACAGTCCTTCCCGCACAGGTACAGTACGTCTCGAACTTCAGTTTCGAACACAACACATTACTTCCCGAAACCGGCGTCGCCACCTATACTCTTTCGCCCTTTCACGATCCTAATTGCCAAGCCACACTAGTCCGCATCGGGATTTTTGGGCAATCCTTGTCGTTGGGGGTTGTATTGGGGAAGTACAGTTGGTATTCAGAATTCCAGCTTGCCGTATACTATGTACAGCACCTGTATCATTAATACACTCGTTACCTCGATGCCCCCTTTCCCCAGGGTCTTGAAAATTATCGTCCCTTGGTGCGAGGATCGTGGACAATCAAACACAAGTGGCCAACCCAGGATGGGCACCATTCTAGCCGCTTCCAAACACCAGCTTATTCATGACATGATCATCAACGAAAGTTATCCACGCCACAGATAGCAGAAGCTGCCGGCTGCGGCAACCGTGCCATCCTAACTGATTCCTGAGATCTCATCCAATATACGGTTGTTTGGTAGCATCAAGCCACCGCCTAGTAGAGACGATCATTTGAGGGTCCGAAGGTTGGACACGCGGGACTCGGGTCACCTGAGCTTTGATAAACAAGACAAATAGGTCCTAATTAGGAATAGTGAACGGCTTTCTTGAGAGCCAGGTCGAGACCTAGGTGGACGACCACAACGTATCTGGCCACTATGAACGGGCACATCTAACTAGAGGTTTGCTTATAAATGCTTAATTATATGTTGCATATTTAGGTGGAATGAGCCACTCGGATGCATAGTGGGAAGGGCGGGCCAGAGTCTCTTGTCTCTGATCTCTGACCCACGGTACCAATTAGAATTCAAGCTTCCGCGGAAATAGCCAGCTTTTCCAGTATTAGTTGCTCTACGGAGCAGATGACGTTAGATTAGCCTCGGGGGGATCTAGAACAGGCCACCGAAACGTGTAAGGGAAATGTGTAAGGGATTCATCGCATCTTCGTATACCTTGGTGTACTGCATCCGTGTGCACTGAACCCCCAGCATAACATCATGAATCCTCACCGAATCCTTTGTGAAAAGTTTACGTCTCGCAAGGGAAATTACAGCGAAGGCAATGCTACCGTACAGCATCTGAGCTACGGGGTGTACGACAAGGGACCTGTCTTTGCAATCCTACAGGTGTCTATTATGAACTGTTCCTTATAAAAAGGGCGTAAACTATTAAGATTATCCTTCAAGATTCAGTTCTTGTATGGTATGTACTTGATATACTATATTTCGGAATCCACTTCGCTATTGTCTCTTTACCTGATCGAATAATCTTCTACCCTAACAAAGGAGATTTATGAATGCTTTCTAAAGAAGCTAATGTTATTGTAGTCTTTGCCGTGAAACCAAATACCTATTATCGGGACAAATAAAATCAATTGACAAGTTAATCTTAGGATACAGCAACAGGAAACCGAACACTGCAACAAACCTTCACTTAAAGAAGACTTCTCTGAAACCGCCGATAAGGGATTTCAGGCAACTGCAGGCTCGTCAATTTCAACCACTGCGAGGCGGTCATTATTATCGAGTGATGGTTTTATTACCGCAATATAAATCTTGCGTTTCAGGTTGCTTAGGTATACTGCGCAATTTTTCTCGTGACAGGCCGAATTACTCGCATGAACCCAGAAGATCCACGTGTCGTTCGATTGCTGTCGAACTCGGTGGCAGTATTCGATGGCAAGTCGTGTTTTCCTATTGTATAGTTAGCCTTGAAAAGACCGGCTTGGATCCGTGTTACCTGACCCCACGCCGCCGAGACCAACGAGAACTATTCTGGGCCCCAGGACGATGATTTCTTCTGAATTTGGCCAAGCAGGGCATCGCGACTAACAAAGTCGATAGGGGCTCTGTGCTGGCTTCGGGTCGCTCTGGGACGGAGCGACTATTACTGTAGGTAATTTGGCTTTCACATGTTCCAACAGCCCCTGGTACCTGGAGGAAGATGAATCGGGCCGTTATTAATCCCAACCTGAACCCCGTTATTCACGCCAGGACATGTGATCGATGTCATTATAAAAGCAACACATAGGATGCTATATCCGTCCTGAGGAAGGGTGATTGGAACAGGCCTCGCAACCGCGCGAGGGCCATCTTAGCCCCCATCATCAGGTGACTTGACCGTGCTACCGCGCTACACATTGAGAGAGGAGGCCAAACTAGTCTAGGGAAAGTTGGCACCATGCTCAAGTTTGATATCGCGAATGACCTCTCGAGTAGCAAGGGGCCGGTTTAGAGCCATTCTGCGTCGTGGGTATTCGTCTGCTGGTGGGGGTTCAAGGTGGTGTAAGTTGCCACAAGAAGTTGGACTTAGGCGGGCGATAGGGAGACGATAGTAGGTGAAAGAACGCGTATTCGCGAGGCGCGTAATTCAAGGGTCCAACCGTTTTTGTCTTGTCAAACATTTTACATTTCTATTTTTACGAACAGGGGTGATATGCAGACTAGCTGCACCCAGCCCAGATAGGTTTCACCATGGTCTTGGCGTTAGGGTTTGAGATAGTTTCTCTTTGTAAAACATGGAAGCCAATTTCGAACATAAGTGTACGACGAGTTCCGGTGCTGCTGGTCAGGCGTTTTCGTTCTGTCTGGTTTCTGAGTCGATGTGATTGTAATAAAGCGAGATCGGACTATGTATATATTGACATTGACCTTTTTTTGTGAGATGATTAGAAATATAGAAGTCATGTTTGAAAGATACATGGATTTAGTATTATACTTGCTAGATCTAGGATTCGACTGTTGTACTAAGCACGAAGCACTTACCAGCACCAGCTAGATACTCAACGGCGAGACTCCGCCCACAAGCCTACAATCTACAACATCAATCACAGTGACAACCAATCACTTTCCATTTCTATCCACAGCAGAGACACCCCCAATCCTCAACAGCGCAGAGGAAAGCATCTCCGAGCCACGTCTCAAAGCCGAACGATAGACAAAGAAGTAAGGAAGGAAAACCAAAGCCTCAAAAAGGAAGTGTATTTGCGGGAGAATGCAAGCCATGACGCCGCAGACGATAAAAATGAGCTAGATAACAATGAATCGTACACGGATGCCGCCCAGACAATAAAGGAAAGGAATGAAAAAACGGGAAACAAGGAAACAAGGAAAATGTACAAACACGAATCTCTTTTTGACAGGGTCTCCTCGACCGAAAGCGAGGAGAAGGAGGTACAAGCATGCACAGGGATAAGAAATCGGGGGTAAAGATAAATATGTACTGGCGTTTGTCGCGGGTGCTTAGGTGGATGGATGGATGGTGGGAGGGAGGGAGGGTTTTGTTCACGACTCATCCACCAGTCGCTTTTGAGACCAGGCGCGCTTAGCACCGTCTAGGAGGACCTCCATGTTTCCGCTGTTGTCACACATACTACGGAACTGGCCATCTTCCTTGTTAATCAAAGTCCACGGGTGATCGAATTCGATGACGCGGCCGTGGTCCAAGACTAACACCTTGTCGTAGTCGATGATGGTTTGCAGACGATGCGCGATGGTGATGATCGTGCTGTCGTGCAGTTCCCGCAGAGTCTCTTGGATCTTGGCGTCGGTGGTGTAGTCGATTGAGGCGGTGGCTTCGTCCATCATTAGGACGCGGGGTTTCTTGAGAAGCGCGCGCGCCAAGCACAATAGCTGTCGCTGACCTTGGGACAGGTTGGAGCCGGACTCGGAGACCAGACTGTCCAAGTTGTGGAAGACGTTTTTGTTGTCGACCACGGAGGCGGTGCTGCCGGTCATACCGTTGGGTTCAACAGCCGTGCTTGTAGTCATTGGGGTTGCGGTGCCGGATGTACTGGACCCAATGAGATGAACGCGACGGAGGGCTGTGAAGATCTCCTCGTCACTGAATAGGCCGAAGGGATCGAGATTGCTACGAATAGTGCCGGTAAATAGAGTGGGATCTTGAGGCACGATCGTGATAGCTTCACGCAGATCCCGAAGTCCGATAGATCCAATATCCACGCCGTCGATCAGGATCTGACCCTTCCCGGCTTCCAGACCGCGGAAGAGAGCCAAAGCGAGGGAACTCTTGCCAGCACCAGTACGGCCGACAATACCAACCTTCTCGCCGGGCTTCACGGAGAAGGAGACCTCCTTTAACACGGGGTCCAGATCAGGGCGATAGCGTGTAGTATAGCCTTTGAACTCGACGGCACCCTGGGTAGGCCAGTTGGGCTCCGGTCGAGACTCAGGAATGACGGGAGCAGCTTCCTGGTCAACTTCGAGATACTCGCGGACACGCTCAACGGAGTTCATGTTCTGCTGAACTTCCGAGTAGAGGCGGACAAGCCATAGGACGTTCTCGGTAAAGGTCACGGCGTAGGTCAGAGACAAACCAGCAGCACCAGCGTCAATCTTGCCGACGTTGATCAAGACAAAGGTGGCAGAGAAGAACGAAACCAAAGCACCCGTCCAGTCAACACGAAGAGCGAGCCAGCGGTTGCTAGCCCACAGGTAAAGGTGCGGTCGGTTGTAAGCATTGATACGGCGGTGGTTGTCAACAATAAACCGAGGACCATCGCCATAAGCACGAATAGTGACAATACCATTCAGGGTCTCGCCGAATTGCTGGTACAATGGGCTGCGCTGCACAGACTCCAGACGCTTGAGATCACGAGAAGAGTTCAGGTAGACGGCACCGAGAGCGGTGTACACCAGAGTAATGAAAACACCAGCAATCAAGAAACCAGGCGTGATAACTGAAATTAGGATGACAATCATGATCACCGATGCCAAGCTGTGAAGCATGCCAATAGCCACGGGCGCAACCTCCTGGTCAACCGACTCAACATCCTTGGAGAAGCGATTCATCATCTGACCGAGAGGTGTCGAGTCGAAGAATCGGAATTTGGCGTGCATAACGGCCCGCAGAAGATTGTCATGGATCTTCCAGGATGCGTGCAACGAGCCCCAGAACAGAACGGCCTCGCGGGACAAGGAGATGAGGATGTACGCGATACCAAGGAGCGCATAAACACCCAGGTAGTATCCCACATTGACTTCTCCATCATCGGTGATAGGGCCAATGGATCGCGAACTAAGCTGAGGCGGACCCCAGGTGCTCATCTTCGAGACGCTACCCACGTTGAAGCTGGGTGGTTTGAGGTGGGCTGCGGCGGCGTAGCTACCAACATCACCCTCGACACCAACCTTGGACGTGTGATAGGAATTGGCCCACTGACGAATCCAAATGTTGGTGGAGACCGAACCCAGCTGTTGCATACAGAATACAGAAACAGCCAGGACCCAGTAGTGCCAGGAACCCATAGACCGCAAGTACATAATGACAGTCGACCACTTGATGCTACCAGTAGCCTTGCTTTCTGTCATGTGTGACTTCTCGTCCTTCTGCGTCTTGTTGGCGGTACCGTTGGCGTTTGCATTAGCCGCAGTGGAATTCTCATCCGCTACGTCATCTTCATGCTGCGAAGGCACGCGGGATATACCACGCGAGCTGGCACGGGAACCAGGCCGAGACTTGAAGAATTCCTCGCCAAGCGCGCCACTAGATGCAACTTCTTCAGGCTTACCCTGTGCAGTAACCTTTCCATTCTCGAGAACGACAACGTGATCTGCCTGGGGCACGGTAAGGACAACGTTATGGGTTACCAGGACACATGTGCGGTTCAGCATGAGTGGGCCAGTCAAAGCTTGACGGAAAATGTGCTTGGCGGTGTGTGAGTCGACAGCGGACAGGCAGTCGTCCAGCAACAAGTGGCGGGCACTACTGTAGACAGCACGAGCCAGGGAAATACGCTGCTTCTGACCACCGGACAAACTGATGCCCTTCTCTCCGACAAGGGTCTGGTCACCAGCATCGAGGATCTCAATATCGCGCTCGAGGGCACAAGCCTTAAGCACGGCACGGTAGCGCTTCTCATCGGGCGGAGACGCGAAGATGATATTCTCCTTGACAGTATCGTTGACCAGCCAAGCTTCCTGGGCACAGTACGCGACGCTGTCAATGAGGCCAGTCTCGGGGTCAACGGGGAGTTCAGCACGGTTGGACAAGCCTCCAGGGAGATGGACACGACCCTCAACAAGGCGCATTTCACCGAGCAAAGCCAGGAGCAGAGAGGTCTTTCCAGAGCCCGTGGGCCCGGCGATAATGCTCAGACGACCGATAGGGAAATTGACATTAACATTGATGAGGCGGAAAGCATCGGCGCCGCTATCTGAGGAAGAAGGAGCTTGAGGGTGAGGACTAGTAGTGCCCCAGGTCAAGGTTGCCTGCTCCAGGCCGATTTGAGACGGTCCACCTGCGGCGCTAGTGTCACGTAGCTGGTCGTACTTCCCAGTCTCTTCCTCGTTCAAATATTTGTCCACACGATCCAAGGAGACCTTTGACTCTTGCACGTGCGCCACCATGTCGGCCAGCTGATCTAGAGGAACACGCAGGAGAGAGAACATTGACAAGGCAGGGAAGGCAATCGAGGGGGTCAGTTGCTTCTTCTCGACGACAGTATATAGGAAGAACGACAGGAAGGTGATCAGAATTGGCGTTCCATACCAAACTGTCGCAGCGCAAGACCACAGGATGTAACGACGACGCAACGACTTGAGCTCTGCTTTGCGCTTTTCGTTGACTATGTCTTGGAATCGCTGTTCCCATGCAAAGTACTTGATGATACGGATGTTCTGCAGAACTTCGTTGGTAGCGTGGATACGTGCATCAGTTCCCTTGAGAATGGCATTCTGGACCTTGTTGAATTGCCTGGCGATGAAGAGGTTGACGGGCAGCATCAAACTCATCAATGCGATACCGGCGAAGGAGCTGAAACCCATGATCTTGTAGAGCAAAGTGACGGCCATGATAATCTGTACGGGAACACTGGCCCACAGGAAATGCAAGTAGGCGCCAACCTCACTGACCTTGAAAGAATCAATTGCCATCAGGTTAATGATGGTACCAACATTTGCCTGAGCAGCGGTATCATCCAGATCTGATTGAGCAGGCTTGGCCGTTCCATTTTCAGCTTCGTCTTCGGTGGCAGTGGACTTCTTCTTTCGGCCAAATGAGAGTAGATTTCTCTTCTTTGGTTTTACATCTTTGGGGGTATTTGACTCCTCCAGAGCCTTCTTCGCCGCGTCTGTGGCAGCGCCTGCCTTGCGTCGGAGGGCCTTTGCGTAGATTTCACCAATGATGATGGCGCGAATGCGAACACCCATCTTGCGGCCAATGAACAGAGCCTGCCCGTCTGCAACGCCTTGAATGATGGAGGAGAAGAAAAGAAGGATCGCGTACAACCAAGCAGCGTTCGGGGTGGTTGACCGGGGATTCTCGACGTATTCGAGAATAGCCTTGAGCAGGAGACTCGGCACGAAGACGAACAGGTTGGCGAAGATAGTCCAAGCACCTTGTTTCAAAATCGTTCCAATGAAAAAGCGAATAAGCTTCCATGCCAAAGAACCCTTCATCTGTCGTTTTCTAAAGTCCGTAAGTACCGCAGCGGCCTTTTGGGTGGGAGTCAGGTTCCACACATCCTCAAGTTCGAGAGGTTGACGGTAGCCCTTCAAAACCAGTGGATCCAACCATGAGAAAGTCGCAAGAGACAGCAAGCTGGCCATGGGGTAACGTGGGGGCTCCAATCCATCTTCCCGCTCCACCAGTACGGGCTTGTTACCGCGACGAGTAGTGAGGGAGATCAACATAAGTAGAGTGCTGAGGCCGAACTGGATGCTGCTGAGAATCAAAGCACGTCTTGATATCGGGTGGATGATCGCGGATCGGAAGACCATGACGTTGAAGAGCCACTGGGCACCGTATAGAATAGCCGTATGCGTCCACAGTCTGGGGGCGGAGAAAAGATCCATGCTGGACAAGAGGAGCCGGACCAAGACCAAGAAAAGTATATACCCCCATGAGATCAGACCGGCTGTCGTGGGGAGAGCTCCATGACGGCCCCAGCCGTGGGTGGTGAGAACGACGGCGTAAAGAGCAATCTGGCCGACGAGCGCAGCGATTTCAAGGGCGACAACGGCGATCTCACCGCGAGGGCGGTCCACTTCGAGTTCGAGTTGCTCGCTCTGCACGGCCTGCAGGAGCATTGGATCTGATTCGGTTTCCGCGGTAGACACATTTTCGTCATCGGAGGCATCGTTGGGGAGAACCTTGTAGGCGACACCCTTGCGAGCGGTGGCGTAGCGATAGGCGAGGTGGAGGACGATTGTTAGCAGGGATAAGGCGCACGCAGTCAGCGGCAACGAGACTTGCAGGATGCTGTATTCAAATTGGGACGATCAGCAAACTGGGGACCGGGATTACGGCCGGACAGGGTAGCAGGTCGCACGGCGGGTTGAAAAAGGAAAGGTAAATGGGACTCACTTGCGCTGGAAGCAATGCGACAGGTCGTCGATGGCCCAAACGGGACCCTGGCATTGCGGGAGCATGATTTGCCGGGAGGAGCGGTACACGCAGCGAGGGGGAGCTTCCAGTCAACGTCACAGACAATCGATCGACAACTCGTGGCGGCGACCAGCGATAAAGGATATGGACAATGCGACCGGGCAAATAAATCAAAATTCAAGATCGGTCAAACCTCCTCCCCTGCAGATTAGTAACAATCTTCCACGAGCATGCAGGACTCGACTGGCATTGCAAAGTTGAGCGAAAGCGGCAGTGCAACGGTTTTTTTTTTTTGGCGAGTGAGGAGAGGAACTCGATGCCGAGGGCCGTTAGAATGCCTGGCCTGGCCTGGGGTCTGAATAGCTGAAGAGCTGTAGGACGGGAAAAAGTTGAATTTCTCTCACAAGGAGGGATGGGGATCGAAAACGAGAGGCGAGACACGAGATATAATAATCGGTGAAGAAAGCAAGACCAGGATGGTGGTTGACGAAGTTTCGCCGTTTGGGAGGGGACGGTGTGCCAGCTTGGGGTCTTCCTCCCCAAAAGCGGCGGATTTTGGGTGGAGGGTCCAGCCGCCCGGGTTAGTCACTTTGGTCACTCTGACTCTTTGGAATCCGAGCCACCACCAAGTGGAGTGAGGTGGCATTGGCCTCCCGAAACCAGAGGGGAAAAACTAGCTAATGATAATGAAGAGAAGATATTGATTGTGGTGATGGGCGTGCTTATTTGGTTAGTGTTTTCCTGTAGCCATATCCGTACACTGTTCTGTTATGGACTTGGTATGATTCTCCGTAGAGAGAGGTATTACTACCACTAGAACTACGACTATTAAGTAACTTATGTACTTGACTCTGCAGTACGGAATTGCTTGATGGAGCCAACCACCCATGGCTGCTTAACAAGCCCATTTATCCAGTGGAGTATCCCGTAGGAACGAGTTTTCCTCTTTTGGGACGCCGGGGCTTCCCCTCACACTCGTATGGATTAGTAGTTGGGGGCTCGAGAGTGATAGTTAGTACGGAGCATTCGTATATCTTATGGAGGAGGAGATAGGATCCCGTGTTCTACTACGAAGCTGGTCAAGCGCGTGCTAGTACAGTTATGGACCCCGCCAGATAAGTTAGCTGAGATCATTCCCATGACGACTCAGCACCCTTTGCCAATCTTTACGAGGAGTTTGCAATATGAATCCGGTCGAAGATCACTTACTCCTGCTGGTATATCATCGATACTCGAGTTTCCCTTCCACCTCCAACTACGGCACCTGCAGAGTTCGGATCAAAGCACGTATCGGGATGAACTCGCTGCAGGTGCCGATCGCTTCTTATCAGCAAACACTAACATTCGCCAGCCCGCCTGGGTTCCCCACTGTTTATCGCTGCAGTCGACAGGATGGGGGAGCCTGATCTTGCATCTTGCCTGACCGTGGAGTTTCCCACTCGATATAGAAGATTCTGCCTGGTCTTGGACACGATCGCAGCCTAAACAGGGAATTCCTTTATATACCCAGCAATCGTCAGCAACCCTCCTCAAAAAGTACAAAACGTACAACCCGTTGAAAAAAGTTTTGCGGTCTTTTGCCACGTGAGAGAATTGCCACGCGGACCAGGCCCTGACGCTCTCACATCATCGCTCTGCTTCCGCTGCCCGGCTCCGCCCCTTCTCTCATTCTCTCAGCCGAGCTTCATCCTCGCCGTCGCCTTTCTCCTTCCTCGCTTTCTCTCGACTATTCGGCACACGCACTCAGCTCCCTCCAGCCGTCCTGGATAGCATCAAGCAAACGCCCTTGCCAGCCACCCCAAGTCCAACATGGCCGAGCGGATCCTAATGAACGAGTTCCGCACCCTGTCGCGTGAGAAATGGGTGAACATCGAGGTAGGTCATACGTTGCCCGATGGTTGAGATGACTTCCTGCTAATAGACGGCCATGGCTACAGCTGCACAACGATGACATCTTCAAGTGGGATATTGCCTTAATCGTGCTCAACAAGGACTCGGTCTATTACGGCGGCTATTTCAAGGCTCGAATGACGTTCCCCAAGAACTACCCTTACGCGCCTCCAGGTATGCACTATGCTTTGCTAAGGATACCCACTTCCCTTCTTCCTACCTTGCGCGCACCCACGCGTCATCTCATCCCTCTGGTCTTCCCAAGCCACCACTCAACTTGACTACACTTGTCATACTGACCCCACCTGCTCTTCTCCACCCAGAGTTCCGCTTCCTGCAGCCTCTCTACCACCCAAACATCTACACCGATGGCCGCCTCTGCATCTCCATCTTGCACGCTCCAGGCGAAGACGCACTGTCCGGCGAATCTGCCGCGGAGCGCTGGTCCCCCGCTCAACGCGTCGAGTCCGTCCTGATCTCCATCCTCTCGCTACTCGACGACGCCGAATGCTCCTCCCCGGCCAACGTCGACGCAGCGGTGATGTTCCGCACCAATCACGACCAGTACTGTGCTATCGTGAAGTCCCAGGTGGAGAAATCCAAGACCAACATGCCCCCAGACTTCGTGATGCCGGTCAGTGAGGCGGTGACCGTCCCGGAGGTCGAAAAGGAGGAGCCTGATTTCTGGGCTGATTCGGACGTCGATAGCGATGTGTTTGGAGGCAGTGATTCTGACGAGGATCTTGATATGGATCAGTCCTCGCCTAGTGATGAGGACGACGACGATGAGCAGCAGGATATGGATGAGGAGTAAGCCTCCGGTGAGCGTTGACCGCTAACCATGCTGCCGGCAGCCACCATTTTCTCGGGCGGGACATTCTCTCTCGCCACGCATTTTCTTTTCATTTCTTAGCATAGCATAGCATTTAGTGGCGCGCATCGGCATGGTTTGGGCATTTTCATTGTTGTTTTCTTTATTTTCCGCCCTTAGCCCTTAGCATGTTTAGGTTCATTTCTCGGTGTGTCTGCATTTCATGAGATCAGGTGTTTAGGGGCACTGTCTCCCTTCAGTTCAGACCAATATCATCTACATTCTCCTCATTGAGATCAAAAGGCGGGAAAGCAGAAAACAAACGTACAGTTTAGTCCGAACTTCTCATTCGGACCAAACATCATCCTCTCATCGCAAATCCTCAACTCGGAGATCCAAACCCCACTCGCTCTTATCTCCGAAGTATGTCCCCCTCCTACATCGGATCTTCGCCAAACAATAATACATCCGCCATCAGCAACCCTCAACCCTCACCCCAAATAATGACATTCCAATCCTCAAGCCTCTCCAAAATGGCCACCCAAACACTAGCAAACTGGACCGTCTCCCTAACATCCCCCCCCCCCCCCTTCAACCCCCTCCCACCACAAGTAAATCCACGCCGCAACCCGCAGCGTCTACAACTACACCAGCTGCACCGCCCTCGGCAGCACTAACCCTGCAACGCGCATCGCCCACAAAGCGCTACCACAATTCTCTGGCCCCGGCACATCAAGACTCCTCGGGTCCAATAGTATCGAAGTAGACGCCAGCCACGCAGCGCTCCCCAATGGCATTGCGTCGCATATACACGACTCCGATGACACGCACCTCGACGCGATAATTCACCCAACGGGAGCCGTGGCGTCGGCGTTGCTGGCGATGATGCAGACAATGGACAGACCCGTCAGTGGGGAGGAGTTTGTGACGGCGCTTGTTGCGGGGATTGAGGCGGAGTGTAAGGTTGGTTTGGCGGTTTGGCCGAGCCAGTATGATGTTGGCTGATAGGAGCCTTGCTTGCACATACCTACCCCTTCTGTACATATATATCCCAAGTAGTTCATTCCGGCCATTCTGATACATCCAAAGCACATCACAGGCACAGCGGGCTCCATCGGCGCCGCAGTCTCCGTCAGCAAACTCCTCAATCTCGCCGCCCCCAAACCGCACATGCCATAGGTCTCGCCGCAACACAAGTCACCGGCCTCCGCGAGATGTTCGGCTCGCACACAAAATCGTTTCATCTGGGACGAGCTGCGCAAAACGGCCTTCTAGCTGCTGTCCTCGCCGCGGAGGGTTTCACTAGTTCCACCTCTGCGCTGGAGGCGAAGCGCGGCTGGGCGAATGTGGTTAGTTCCCAGCACCAGCATTGACTGGATGAGCGGATGCCTTCGCTGGGGGCGGAGGGAGGGTTGGAGATTGTGTGGAATGCAATTAAACCGTTTCCTTGTGGGATTGTGGTGCATCCTGTTATTGATGGGTGTATAGGGTTACATGAGCAGGAGCAGTTGGAGCGGGCGGTGATTTTGATTGACAAGGTGAAAGCTGTGGGTGTGAGGGTTCATTCGCTTGTTGTTGAGTTGACGGGGAAGACTGCACCGATGGATGGATTGGAGGGTAACGGTGCATGTTGAGCATGCTGTTGGTAGTTTGGAGCATCCTATGTTGGATGCCTAGTTGACGGAGAAATTTGTGGATCAGTGTTTGCCGGGTTTGGGACGAGAGAGGACTGATAAGGCGAGTCGGTGGTGTCGAGGGTTGGAGAAGGTTGATGATGTGCGTTGCATTAAGGATGTATTGTAGTTGGGTACCCTGAGCGCACTGAACTCTAGTAGTTTCAATTTGTTTACCTAATTGCAGAAGATCTAGATCTACTTAGATTGCCAATAAAAGTATGAGATATCATATCGTATTTCAGTTGGAACTGTCGTTGACTTAAGAGCAATAAAAGACAAGTAGCCACGGGAACCATTAGCTGATGTTAAGCCCTAGCTCTGGGAAATCGTATATACTTCCTGCGTCTCCTGCGTCATCACCGGCCAAACGAATCAGGATCTATAGCTCATCATGTTCGATTGATGAAGTTTCTTCCTCGTTGCTTCCTTCCAGGCCTTTTATATTCAAAATCACGCGCCTATAAGTCACCAGCTCCCCATCCGATACCTCCAATATGATATGCAAATGCTTATCCGCGTTCGGATGAGCACCGCGTCCTGGTTTCCTAACAACTGCTTCTGGTGGAATGGTAACAGTAACGACAGCATCATCCTGTTTGTCAAAGGACAAGACCGTCACGTCCCGCCTCGGGCTATTGTTATTGGAACTCGGCTCCAAGTATTGCCACCATTTGAAGGAGAGAGTATCACCATCTGGATCACAAGATTTTGATGCATCCAAGACTACTATTTCATCGGGTTTCACGGTATATTGAAGAACATCGCGCGTTGAACTCCCGTTCAGAATGACAACGGGAGGGTGGTCGGCTTTGTCAAATTTCGGTTGTGTCGTCCATTGCATCCGCGCCTTGAAGTCGTTTTGAAAGGCATTCCGCCACCGCCATACTGTGACATGAGACCCCATAATGTGGCGGCCGGTATCATCAACAATTGTATCGATGCTGTCGGCAAAGTGGCCCTCGCCCCATACGACGGGTCCGTAGCGGCCTCCCCAAGAGCCCCATTCAGGATGCTCTGGGTCTGATAATCCATTAGGAATCATGTAAAGCAAAGAAGGGGTGTCACCTAATGATCAGGCCGTTAGTCCCAAAAGAGCAGCTATCCACAGAATAAAACAATCACCTTCGATAATAAACTCTCCACTTGGATATTTCGAGCCTAAGGGTCCCACATTCTGAATATTCTCCTTTATCCAAGAGGCCGAGACCAGCTCTTTGTCCGCGTTAGTCGGAAAATGATAGTAGGCATCTCCAGATATTCCACCCCAAGCCGCACTAGCATATCGATTGAAATGGTGCACACTAGCAATGTAAAACAAGCCAGGCCAGTTTCGCCGAATCCACGGGCCGCTATTATCCTGGTCCGATATGGCGTAGACCCGCAACTTGGAAACAAAAGCCTCGACTTCCGATTCCGACCTTGTTGCGTTGACATGCCAAAGTGCCTGTGCAAGGGTATTGGCACCACCCCATACAAGGATCCAAAGAGGCTCATATGATGAATCAACAGCATTGACCAGAAGAGACGAACCCTCGCTGTCATGCCCTTCTCCAACCCCATCCATCCCATACTTTGTTGATCCTGACTTGATAAGATTCAAGAGATGCTCGGTTTCGGGCCAACCCGACGCATGCTGCCGGAGATTTTCCTGAGACTGGCCATAAGCACTGACAATTTCCCGCATTTCGTCTGGTCGTGTCGTATCGTTGAGCCAGTAACTTGTCGTAGCAACCAGTCCTTCGATATGGAATTCATTGGAATATACCAGCAATCTGACAAGAGACTGCGCATCATCTGGTTCATTTGCGATATCACTCAACAAGAAAAGTCGGCGAGGTGCACTTGGATCTAGGTGGCATTTCGCAATATCTGTGGACCAAACACCGCTGGTAATGCCCCAGAGAACCGTGAGCGTGCAAACAAGGTTCCAGCCGTAAAACATAGCGGCTGTACATTAGACAATCTCAAAGGTCCGTGGTCTGAACGTCTCGACCGCCACGACGCGATAAATAGCTAGATGGTAATGATAGATCGGCCGAGACACTCAATAAGGTAAGAAAGGCTCAAAGTTCCATTTTGGAAGGGGGAGCCAAATGTACGCCTGCTAACACTCAATGGGGCAAGTGTGGCTCAAGATTCCGCTTTTGGAAAACGGGGGCCAAAATATGCGGCTGCGAATATAAGACCAATTCGACATAGTCAATGCGTAAACAGATCTCAGGCCACAAGATAGAGCTAGACTTTCCAGCTCTCAAGCTGCCATGCCATCGCTTGTCACCGTCACTATCCAATCTGCGCTCCTCAAAGCAGCCGCCAATATCGCAGCTCAAAGCCTCGCTGCGTGGAAATCACAAACAAACACCCCATTTGATTGGGCCCGAGTGCTCGAATTTGCATTTTTCGGAGTTAGCTCGGCACCTCTCATCTCGCTTTGGCAGCAAAAACTGGAGGAAAAGTTCCCCACGCAACACAAAGTCGATCATCAAACATCCCACCCCAGAGTCTCGAAACAACCACCCCACGCCAAGCCCTTTAAACGAACGACGAACTCGCCTCCAGAAGTCAACTGGGGTAATGTTTTCGTGAAACTTTTCCTCGATCAGACTATTGGACTGTTCGTCACAAATGTCATCTTCCTTACTTGTATGACGGCGGCTAGACTCCTGAGCGTGACGTTGATCATTCGAGAGATTGAAGCGCGCATCGTGGGGATTTTGAAGGTCGGGTGGAAGATTTGGGGCCCAGTCGCGCTGATCAACTTTATCTGGGTTCCCTGGCAATGGAGAGTGACAGCTGCTTCTATTGTGGGATTCGGATGGAATATTGTTTTGGGCCTGTTGCGAGCTAGAGAGTTCCTGGAGTAATGTAAGGCAGGTCGATAAGGCACTCCGAGCTTTTGCCTCGTTCCCGCGTCATATTCAGATACCCTGGGTTTACAAATAATCAAAGTAAACTTCGTTATTTTCATTCTTTTCTCTTATACTTGGTGTGTACTGGGGATTGTCTTCAACGTGGTAGAGAAACAATATAGAGTCGATGTGAAAAGCCAAGTCCTAGAGATCAATCGGATGCCAAGAGTGAACCCCCACGTCCAACATCGAACCCATCTGTATCCGAGATCGTAGCAGGCAGTTGTGGCTACACATGCTATTCTGGATTCCGGGGCAATCCTTCCCCGCATCTCCATATCGCTCCGCTTTTTCTGGGCATCATGGCAAGATAAAACATCGTGTATATATAGATACTGAATCCAGTTGAAACCTTTAAAATGGGATGAATAGACTCCCCCTGTGACCAGCTAATCATTGAAAATTCGCACTTAGATTTTGCTTTTGTTTATGGCTTCAATCATGTCTGCGTTAGAAGACCACCCGTTATTCCAGGACCTCAATGGGCGCCTTGTATTGATAGGGTTGATCTCTTCACTAGGTGCCATGGGCTTCGGATTCGATAACGGATGGTGGGGTGGAGCTTTGGGACTCTCTCAATTCCAGATGAAGTAGGGCGAGTATGATGCGAAGCTTGGTCAATGGGCCATGCCTTCTGAGAAAACCTCTGTCGGAACTGGAACTGGCTCCGCGGGTATTATCTTGGGCTGCATCATTGCGCCCATTATTACTTCCAGATTTGGGAGAAAGATGGGCTTCCAGGTTTTGTCATTACTTATGATTGTTGGTGTTATCTTGGAAGCGAGTGCCATCACATCGTTTTGGCAGCTGGCCGTTGGAAGAATCATTGTTTATTCTGGCATCGGCCTGGCGTCTAATGTCGTTCTGACCTATCTTTCTGAATGTGCACCCCAGCGGGTTCGAGGTTAGTCCTAGATTGATGCTAAATTTGCTGTCGGTTGCTGACATTTTAGGTGCTTTCCTCGCGTTATATTCATTTTTCACATCACTGGGAGTCTTCATCGCTAGCTTGGTGGTATACTTGTCCCGCAGCCGCACCGACAAGTGGCAGTATCTGTACGAAAAATCTTTTGGTTGTTACGAGGGAAGCCACTAACTGGAGCATTTAGTATTGTGATTTGCTGTCAGTTATTCGTGCCTGTCGGCTACTTAATTGCATATCCCTTCCTTCCCGAATCACCTCGATACCTAGTATACCGTGGACGGTTCACAGAGGCGGAAGAAGTCATGAGACGTCTGTCCAACCATCGAGAGGCCATCTCACAGGAGATCCAGCTCCTCAAGTTGCAAATTGAGGAGCAACGTGAACTTCACAAGGCCACATCCATACTCGACTGCTTCAAGGACACAAATCTTCGCCGCACGGTCGCAGCTATGGGCGTTCAAATTTTTCAACAGGCACAAGGCGTGTCTTTCATACAAAACTTCATCGTGACGTTCATGCAACAGCTGGGATTCCCAGACCCTCTCAGAACCAACCTGCTCGTCACAGGATGTTCATTTGCTTGTCACGTTTTGACTTTTATTACTTTCGACAAGCTCGGTAGACGATGGTCCCTCCTTATAGGCTCTATTGGAATGGCAGCTACCATGCTGGGTACCGGCGGCGCGATAGAATCCGGCCATGCCGTAGCAGACCTATCAATCCAAGCTAAAAACGCATGTGCCGCATTGCTAATTCTCTGGTACTGTATCTATGGATTTACTTGGGGCCCAGGATGCTGGATTGTCACAGGTGAAATTGGAACCGGTCAGCTTCGTGAGCGAACTATTTTCCTCGCTTCTATGGGCAGCTTTTTGACTTCGGTTCCGATTAATTTTGTCAACCCCTATGTGCAGAAGGCCATTGGAGGCCGCGTGACATTCATATATGGCGCATTCTCTATTGTCTCCATTCTCTTCGTCTGGATGTGTGTTCCTGAGACACGTCGCAGGTCTCTTGAAGAGCTCGACGAGATGTTCCAGGCGCATGTGCCCACTTGGAAGTTCAACAATTATGTCTGTACCGGGATGGGCGCCGAAATTACACGGCTGGAGCATGGTGGCAAGGAGGATAAGCCGACTCAAGAAGAAATAGAATGAGGGTTCGTAGAGGTCTCCTCGCCTACTGGTCTTGCTTTTGTGGGAATCTGCTGATGGTGATAATGGTGATGATGGTGACACCTCAGAGAATGGAAGTCCAGCGTTGATTACCCCTCTCTTGGAATACTGTCAACGAAAGTATTACAGTTGCTTGAAACCAGCTACTGAACAGTTATCCACTTCCTAAAGTCGATGGGTGTGCTAGAGTAGGAGAATATGTTTCTAAGATTTTTTTCCAAGGCTTTAACCAATGTCTAGAAGCTCCACCCATAGAACGGCGACACAATATGACTGCGCAAGTTTCTTCGAATTGATTTCGTGATTTCATTAATAGAAGACTGGAAATTAACCTTTAGGTGAATTTGTCTACACGACAATTCTGCAGTGCATATTGACCAGATCCATACCAGATCCATACAGAGGGACCTTGGAAGGGCCGTCATAGCCCAAATTAGGAAAGTTGAGATATGATTTTTGCACACCCTCAAGGCATCTCCCCCAAGAACCTGATTGGTTTGACCACTTTATTGTTTGCTCTAGCCTAGTCCTTCCCAGTTGCAGAGGGCTGGTCGCTTTTTGTTCATCGGCTGCTTCCAGTTAAGCCAAGCAGAACCAACACATCCTCATGCTCACTGTGTTGTTGGGATCAGCCACATTTTCTGTCTGACCTGGCTCGATTACCTCTCATATGCGAGGACAAAGCAGCAACGCATGACTAGCTAACGAGTACCAAGTTGGATCACATCAGACTGGTGGACATTGCCAAGCCCACTGTCCGTATGCACCCCACATCGCAGACTATGCGGCCAGACCGAGCCTCGGAGTTCCTTCAGGAACTTTCTGCAAAGACTTCCACCACCCGGGCCGAAAAATAACAAGGTGGCCGAGGTGTATAACCGCTTCTCATCGACCAGGCCGGTAGACAAAATAGGACGACCATGAAGGTACGCATCTCCGAGGGGCATCTGATGGTCACTCGATTGGGTTATCCGTGGTGACTGAGGCACTACAAGATGGGGTAAGCCCCTCCCCACAAGCCTGACGATCAGGGCCTCTTTTGAAGTTTTACTTCTACTTTTAACAAGTTCTGTCAGCAAGGACGGCTCCTGCCTGCCATGCGAGGTCAAGTTCCAAAGAGGCGTTCACACTAGTAAACCACCACCAATCTGTTTCAAGACTTTCAAGTTTTCTCCATAATCGAGGTAAGCACGAGAGAGGAGACACGATAAACCGACGGCGAAAACGCCATCTCCGCATTTTAGTGAAGTTAATTTCTCCGAGGTTTTGCCACGACCAAGAATTATTCCGAAAGACTAAAAAACCTTAAGGTCTGTCTCACTGACTGTGATCAAATGCTTGCTGATTTTTCTCGCTTGACTCTCCTGGAAATCGGTATAGGCATTTTCTTAAATTCGAAAGGCAATTAGTTTTGTCCTATAGCACTCTTCTGAGTCAAAGCACAGTTCGCGTGGGGGACAGTCGGCAAGGCTAAGGCGCTAGCTAGTGGACGGGACGGCGTGCCTGTTGGAGAAATTAGAGTTCCACAGCCAACCCGCATCCATCGCCACGGAGGGCAGGCTTTCAAGGTCGTACTTGAGTCTATGTTCGGAAACCCTGGCGTGGTGGCGCCGTACAGGCGCAATGATGGCTGAAGGATATCAATAACGCGAAGGTAGTCCTCGAGTGTGATGATTCAAGAGATATAGGTAACGAGGAGGATATACGACTTTGGAAAAGGGAGAAAGCGGATCGCCTGTGAACAACGCTAGTCAATAGGTTACTACATATGTACAGAGTAGAGCCCCTGTGATTATTCTGCTGAAAGATCAGGTCAGATCATGTTGTGTGCCAATCGGGATGCGCTCAATGCCTCAAGAGAGGAGGCAGCTTAAACAACAAGTTTGGCCCCTCATTGCAACGTGTGACCTTCCTTACAGGGGAGTCTCTTACAACCTCGGATCTATTGCGGGGCATAATGTTCCTATTGAAGCATCGAATACTATGGATAACATGATAGATTCGGGATGGTTCAACCGCAAGATCTAAACGCTTAGCATGGTCCTGGATAAGCTCGCTGCGTGTTCCGGTAGCTTCTCGGCAGCCTCTACCCAAACAGGTTGCATTTCCGCGCCACTATAATCTTAGTACAACCAGTTTTGCAGGTGGAATGTGTGCTAAAAGAGAAGTGGAGTATTTGGTCGAGCGACAAGGCTCCATTTCTAGACCCAAGGATCCAACCAGCAAAATAGCTCCCGCCCCGCTTTGAGTCCTCGAGAAGGTTGCACGTGCATAATTTTCGACGTGGAGGAACAAATCTGGGGTAAGCAGTAGCCGGTCTGGGGGTTGTCAACATTCTTCATGGGGCTGGGAGTATAAGTTCGGCTTATAACCCCTCTCTTCCTTTCGAGCCCTCTTCGTTCCAGGGCCCCACGTCCGCAAACCACAAATTAAGTCTTCTCATCTCTAGCTGTATAAAAGGGAGAGAAAGTCTACGACTTCAAATTGCTTTTACGCTTAGTCTCTTGTCAAGACTCTGTCAACATGCAATCCAAATCAGAAGGCGGTGCCGCCGAACACCAAGAGAACATGGTAGGCCATGTAACCCTGAATAAAGAGCCTCAGGGTGCAATAAAAGCAATCAATACTGCGTCTGTGGCTCTTTCTGCGGCTGTTGCAGCTCAACCACCAAAGTTACTGTCAAAGAATATGATAAAGTGAGTTAACGGATTGGCCTCGAAGAAGATCTACAAATTTCTAATTAAACCATAGACTGTACATGATCATGGGTATTGGTTACTTGATTTCGACCATGAACGGGTTTGACTCGTCGCTTATGGGTGCTATCAACGCTATGAAGCCATACCAGGAGTCGTTTGGGCTCACCGGTGCAGGTGATAAATACCAATCCATGCCTTGAGCTTCCCCCCATGCCAAAACAGTCACTAATAATGCAACGCCTTCAGGTTCCTCGACCGGTTTGATTTTCATTATTTATAACCTGGGACAAATCGCCGCCTTCCCTTTCTGTGGTCTCCTAGCCGATGGTTATGGTCGTAAAGTTTGCATCTTTGTTGGATGCTTCATCGTCTGGGTCGGAACCGCTGTTCAAGCGCCCGCAAAGAGTATGGGAATGTTCATGGGAGGTCGTTTCCTCCTCGGATTTGGTGCTGCCCTCGCTTCTGCTGCAGGACCTGCTTATACTGTTGAGCTAGCCCATCCGGCATACCGTGGAACGATGGCCGGTATGTATAATAACTTCTGGTGGTTGGGCAACATTCTTGCTGGATGGACGACCTACGGCAGCAACCTGCACCTTAACAATTCCTGGGCATGGAGAGTCCCTACCATTGTTCAAGCCGGTTTGCCAGGAGTTGTCCTGGTTTTGATTCTATTCTTCCCGGAGTCTCCTCGTTGGCTCATCGCCCAGGACCGCCGGGAGGAGGCACTTGATATACTTGCAACGTATCATGGTGATGGTGAGTACCCGCTCTTTTCAACCATTGTCACCTCTTAATTTTCTAATTCATTACCTTAGGGGACCGCCATCACCCTGTTGTTCAACTTCAGTACCATGAAATCATCGAGCAGCTCAGCGCCACCCGAGACGAGAACCCCTGGTGGGACTTCCGCGAGCTAGGCAACACCCGTGCTGCACGGTATCGCTTGTTCATGGTCATTACGATGTCTTTCTTCGGTCAATGGAGTGGCAACAATGTTGTGAGCTATTTTAGTAAGTTTATTCATTACATCTGCTATTTCTTTTCTATATTCTGAGCATTTTTCCATAGTGCCGCAAATGATCATCCAAGCCGGCATAACCAGCCCGGACAAGCAACTGCTCATCAACGCCATCAACCCAATCTTTAGCATGTTGGGCGCTATCTATGGTGCTACGCTCCTGGATAAATTGGGCCGCCGTACCATGCTACTGTGGGGTCTTGCAGGAAGTCTGGTCGCCTATGTCATGCTTACTGCTTTCACGGCGCAGAGCGAGTATCATCCATCTCTCAGCTACGGAGTCATTGTTTCAATCTACCTCTTCGGCATCATTTTCGCATGGGGCTTCACGCCGCTGCAGACGCTCTACGCAGTGGAGTGTCTTGAGAACCGAACTCGTGCCAAGGGATCTGGTCTTAACTTCTTGTTCTTGAATGTTGCCATGGTTGTCAACACCTACGGTATCTCGGTGGGTATCGAGAAGATCGGCTGGAAGTTGTACCTGGTCTACATCGCTTGGATTGGTATCGAGATGGTCGTTATTTATTTCTTCTTTGTCGAAACCGCTGGAAAGACCTTGGAAGAGCTGAAGGAGATCTTTGATGCTCCGAACCCACGGAATGCCAGCATGAAGAGGACGAAGGTTGAGATTGATGAATCTGGTGCCGTTGTCGGATTGGAGGCATAAGCCTTTTATAAATCTTCGGTCTGAATCATGTATATGCGAGCTAGTGGCTCTTGTGGCTTCTGATATTATTTACGAGTTTTCTTTGACATGATGTCCCATATCATTGACTAGGTCTTCATCCATATAGACACTGTTCAAAATCGAGTATTAAAGGGCATAGTATTAAAAAATGCTTGGTCTCATTCCCAACGTAAATACGAGCGTCCTTGAAAACCATTGCGATCCTCTTTACAAGCCGCTTGGTAGACATCTTTATAAAACGTCATAGCCGGTACGCCAAGATCCTTTCCAGCCTATATGACAAACTATACTACTATTTACAAACCCAGAGTAAAGAACTTAAGTCCTACGGTATAACTCAGGTCGGCGAGTACACTTTACTCAAATTAACCTCAAATTTCGGAGGATCTAATAGTGATGGAACCATTCTGTTCTCGATAGAGATGGGGCCTCCGTGCCAACCAGCAAACTACATAAAGTCACCATCATTCAAAGCAATGTTCAAGCAAAGAAGCAAGCTAGCAAACTTCCAACCCTCGCGCAAGAATCACTCATTCTCATCTTTTCCAACCCTTTTCTGTCGTTCCGCCCATGGGGGTATGATTGCTAGGATAGCAGCGTACGAGTAGAGTGTGCTCATAGTGGGTTCATTTCCGTACGTCTTATAATCCATCGCTTCCTGCAAGTTTGCACCTCTTGGATATGTGATCCATGTGACAGGCTTCTCGAACGTTGTCTCTGACCAATATTCTTCGAGGACCTAACTATCAAGTCAGAACACAATTCCTCTCAATTCAAAATTAAGCGCGGATAGAAAAACACGAGAACGATGTAACATGTTGTGGAACGAGGTAGCAGGCTGGAGGTTAGGGAAGGCAGCTGAGAGGTGCTTGATGTGTAAGCCTGATATTGATAGGCATTGGCCGTGTAGATCGTACGGCCGAGAAAATAGACCCACCTGAGACACTGGGTCATCCTCCCAGTTGTCGACAGAAAAGTGAGGCTCTAGCCAAAGGCCTATATGGACCTTTTCATCTAGCTTTGCGTATGTATAGTAGTCGTCATCAGAGCCGTGTTTGTCGTTGGAGGAAGAACTGTAATCGTTGGAGGAGGAACCGTAATCGTCGGAGGAGGAACCGTAATCGTCGGAGGAGGAACCGTAATAATAATCATTTTCACCACTACCTATGATAACGGGTAGCATCTCGACTTCGATACCCAACGAATCGAAGACAGAATAGAGTACCAAGTCTGCTCCTTTGAGGCCCCGCGGAAGCAGAGTAGTTGCGTTGTCTGCTGTATGCGGATAAGCATGAGTGCAGAAAGTCCCGAGGACCCCACCTATGTCAGTTAGCAACGCTGCATCCACTAAAGCCAAGTTTTGCTGTATTGTACCTGTCTTCAGAAACCCGGGCATTTCCAGAACATTCTTGATCTCTTGGTATAATGGCAACGTCTTCGGATCTAGAATCGAGGTAGAAGGGGTCACGGTATCAAGTGGGCCAGTGGTAATGTAGAGATTATACGTCAGTGTAATGCGTTCGCCATGAGTAATCGTCTTTATCTCATGTTCGCAATCGCTGTAAAAGGCTGCCCACTGAATCGTATCTGCACTTTGATGCTCCCCAGTCAAAGTCAACTTCCCTACCCTCATGTCGAACCATCAAGTTGCCTCCTTTGAAAGGCGATGGCAAGCACACGACCAGGGATCCAATCTGGCTTTCAGAGCGTGGAGTATCAACGTGACTCTGGAAGAGACCGGAGGGACCGGAATACACCTACATGCCATCATTAGAATAAGTCATGAGAAGGTATAAAGATGACAAAGTGAAAACAGACATTCAACTTGTAGAGTTCCATTCTGATCCGCCGAAACTCTTGTCGCTCATCATCTACGGCATCAGGGGTCAACACTTGCTGAATCCGCTCAACAATGCCAAAGTCCGAAGGATAAAAGCTGGTCATAAAGTGATCAGTGTCAAGTTTCCCAGCCCGGCGATAACTTGGGTCCATGACAGCTTCTTGACCTCTACCAAATCCAGCAGGTTCACACTCGGCAACAAACAGATGAAGTTTTGCATTAGAGTCATCGGAAGAACAGTCAAAGGGAAGGGTCCGTTTTCCTCCCCCGGTGGCATCTTTGCAATCCCAGAAGATGTTGATAGGATCAGATAACTGAGCCACTCCATTGTCTTGGGCTTTTGCTTCCTGGGTGCTCTTGGTCTGTTCGGTTGCTTTGGTACCCTTGATTGGGATAGTGCCTCCACAAGCGAATGATGCGGATGCATTCTCGCTTCTGATTGCTTTTTCGAGTTGGCGGCAAAACGCTTTGAACGTCGTCTTTGACAACGTTCGCGCTGATTCTTGTTCCTCGGCCATTGTGGCAAAGCGTTTATGCCTGAATTAGTAGTTGAACAAACTTGTTAACTTTAGCGTAGTTAGAGTAGTTGTGAGTTAGGTGAGAGATGTAGGGAAAGGAGTGGGAAAAGAATGGACTTTGTATCGAGGGTACCTTATGAATGAGGATATGACATGACTTGGCTCCCAACCTAGACTCGGATGTGAACTTATGTACTAGTGCCTGTGAGAGGCTCAGAAGCGCCATGGTACAAACAATGAAGAGGGCTGAGAAAGGAAAAGAACTTTGCATTGATGTTACGAATCTAGGTTAGTGTGTCAGGTACCTGACGCCCAGTCTGGGGTCGGATATGTCCTAATGTACTAGTGCACATAGTGACCTACTGAGAGCAGCATCGTGGTACATAGAGACGGAGAGAGGCGAGAGCGGAAGAGTACTTTGCATAGATAGTTTGAATTTACAGCAGCAGCCGTTATTGCCTTCCGTGTCGGGAAACAGAGACACTCTTCCAAACCATAATCACATGACACGCTAATCCTGATATGGCTATTTCCGTATTTAAAGATTCGTTCCATGTTTGAATGGTAAGAATGCAAAACGAATGAAACATCAGTAAGCTGTACAGCCATGTACCATGACCGCCCACCATTGCGTCGTCCGCACGCACTCCTCCCAACTCAAGCACCCGTAAAACTCCAAACCACTTACAAAATGGCAAGAGACAGCTATCTCTGGCAGCGGGAGATGATTGCCTATATGATATGTAGTAAGAATATGCGGTTTGTTTGGCAGTCCCAGATCCCACCCCTATTCTCTCCTAGCCGACCACCATTCATCACTCCTGCCATGGTAGACGACGCTCTTTGTGTCCGTCTCACCGAAAAGCCTAACCTATATTTCAAAGATATTACTGTCTCTCTATAGGATGACTTATGCGTATTACCATCCTTATTCAGCATCAGATACTATCCTAAGAAGCTTAGGGTTGATTTATACAGCTTCGTACGCGCGGGTCGTACCTATATGTATAGATATATAGATGTGTTTAACTTCTAGTATGATGTCTGCAAGGTATATTTGAATAGTAATAATCTGGACTTTTGTCGATAACCTATAATATAAAGGCTTAGTTACATAGCTTTCAACATCTTACCTAAATGGCTATAACGCGAACTACACCCGTTTGTTCCACCACGGCGAGGAGCCTGTTGCAATTCCCGCAAAAATGTTCGTAGTCTTTGCAGTTCGGCAGGATGCAGGGTAAAATGGCCCCAAAAGGGCCAAAGAAAAGACAGCATACGCATGACCAACAACTACAGGAGAGTGTTATTCTACTACTAAATCGGAAAGCGTAGGGGTGATTTACGTAGCTCGCGGTCCAGCAGTCAAGTTCGTCCGAGTCATCGTCCGCACACGGCAATATGGGCAATCAATTATAGCAGGGTAAGTCGATAAGGTAGCCAAAGGTATCACTTGCGAAGTCACTCCCGTTACAGGAGTTTGGTGATAGAGGTATGCTGGTGACGAGACCGACTGAATCAGAGGTGGTGCGCCCGATGACGGGGGGGCCGGTTTTTCTTTTCCACTAATACATCGTGAAGTTATAAGCAGGTTCAGTAGGAATAGGTATTATTCAAATTTTTCTTCGTTAGCACCTACTTATTATCCCAATTACTAGTCCCGTCGGCCGGAGCTGCTCCGGTTTGTCTGTCTCTGTCCCTATCAGCCTCCAGTTTTGATAGCTTTTCGGCCATTATGAATAAGCTATACGTCGATCTTTTTTTTGGATAAGCAGGAGGGAATAAGAGAAGTAGTTATTTAGCGTTCTTATTCTCCGGGATAGTGCGGAGTTAATAAGTTAATATCTATAAGTTAGAGGTTTTGCAAAATAAATATCTCTATATATTCTCTTCCCCCTCTTCTTCCGCCAAATGGAAAATCCTTCGTCATTTTAGTAGGTGCCCCACGGTCTTGTCTATTAAAAAGTCAAGGCACACCAGGAACCTTGGCTCTGTTCTTGTTCCGAATAAGTCGATCAAGTCCTAAGGTCAAATTATATGGCATAATTCAGCCACATAAATATCGTGACGCAAATACTTTCTGTGGATTCCGTGTTCGAAACCTAAGTGGTGTGATTTGGTCTTAGGTGTCTCACCTAGGCCCAGCCATCTCTCACCTCTATGGTGGCCATAGGCCCTACACCGAAGAACGCGTGGCGCTACCCTCAAGGGACGCCACGGAGCCATCGTCAAATCGGCCAACCGATTTGTATGGCTAGACTTCGCTCTCACTCCGGGTGACTCTGGCCCTGTCATCCAGGCTTAGACTATTGTATCTTTCATACTGGTATCATAGAAGGCCTGGTATTATTACCTGGTCCTTACAAAACGGGTCATTTACGCGCCAGTCAGATTAAGTTTAGCTTATCATGTGATTACGGTTTAAAAGAGTGTATGTTTCCGACATTGGAAGGCAATAACGGTCGGCACTGTAGCTTAGTGTGACCGACTACATATTATGCCCAGTCTGGAGTCTGTGTACTAATGTACTAGCGCCTATAGCTAGAGCAGTACAACGGCAAAAGAAATGAAGAGCAGTAACAGCGGAAAAGTACTCTGCAATGACGCTATGAAATTAGTTTAGTGTGATATGTTCAACGCCCAGTCTGGAGTCGGAGGCATACATATGTACTAGTGCCTAGAGAAAGCGAGGACGGGACAGCTGTTCACCAGTCAAGCATGATGTAATAACGACTGAGGTTTCGACAGTCTGAATTGGTATACCTCGGATAAGCTAGCCCCTACAAGGGCGTGGGCAGGAGACTAAAACTGAAGAATGCCCGCTGTAACGCAAGGCTCGCGAAGGATCTTCATTCCTCCACCATTACGGAACTACAACATACATACGAAGAAGCATAATGGGCACTGTGGATGTATGATCCCTAGACAGACTCTAGATCAGGATTTAAATGTATTGTTGTAAACCAAAAAAGGATACTACGAATAGCGATAAAAATGGAAACGAGAGAGAGACAGAGGCAAGGGACAGTCTGTGGGGGGATTCAAAACCCGAATGCGTTGGATGGACCACCCAAAAAAGGAGACAAGAACGAAACAACAATAAGTCAAAGCCAAAATGAACAAGTGATCTGCGCCAGTGTTAATCCGTCCATCCAAAATGCCTATAAGAACCGGCCCGTCACAGACAGGTCTCGATCAGTGTGTCTACTCTAAGCGCTGACAGCGTCCTTGATCTCGCTGTAGATGGCACCGAGCTCGTGGCTCAGGACCTTCTGCTCCTTGGCCAGGACTTCCTCGACCTGGCCGACGAGCTCGTCGAGACGGTCCTTGACGGTACCGGTAGCAGCAGCCTTGTAGCCGCCCTTGGCGAGGATCTCGGTGTAGTTGGAAGAACCACCACCGTTCCAGGCAAGGAGCTAGAATAAAGTTAGCGAAGAAGCTCAAATATAGGGATTATTGAACAAGTTGACTTACGTTAGGGGTGTCAGCAGGGATGTCAGTAAGAGCGCCCGAGGTAGCGACGGTGATAAGAGCGTTCTTGAGCTTCTTAGGGGTGATCTCCTCAACAGCGAAGGCAGAGTCGGAAGAAGGCTGGAGAGAGACGTAGTAGGCCAACAGACCGGCAATGTGGGGAGAGGCCATGGAAGTTCCGGAGATGGTGTTGACGGCATACTTGCTGCCAATCCAGGTGGACAGAATGTTCAAGCCAGGGGCGAAGATGTCAGTGCACTTGCCGAAGTTGGAGAAGTAGGCACGCTCATCAGCCAGAGTGGAGGCACCGACGGTGACGGCCTTCTCAGCGGCAGCGGGGGAGTAGTTGCAAGCATCAGCGTTGTCGTTACCAGCAGCGACGGCGAAGTGCATGCCAGCGTCAACAGCGGCATTCACAGCGAGGTCGAGAGTGCGCGAGCTACCACCGCCCAGAGACATGTTGGCAACGCTACCCTTGAAGCCCTTGACCTTACCGGCCTTGGCATCCTTGGACTTCTTGATGTGAGCCTCGGCGGCCCACTCAACACCCTTGACGACATCGGACATGGTGCCAGAGCCGTTGGAGCGGAGAACCTTGACGGCGTAGACATTGGCCTTCTTGGCCACACCGTACTTCTTACCGGCAATAGTTCCAGAGCAGTGAGTACCGTGACCGTTGCCGTCCTCATCCTGGTCACCCTGGGGGATGGTCTTGCCCCAGTTGGCACGGCCCTCAAAGTCGACGTGGTCAACGTTGGTGCCAGTGTCGATCACGTAGGCATCAACACCCTCACCGCCATCCTCAGCATACAGATACTTGTTAAAGCTACCGAAGGAGAGGCTGTCACGGTGAGAGATACGTGCCAGACCCCAAGGAGCGTTCTTCTCGATGGTAGGGCTCTCGAAGTGGTGGACCTCCGAGTCCTTCTCGATATACTCGACCTGCGGGGCGAGAACGGGACTCAGTCAGCTGGGGAATCTCTTATCGGGGGAAGATGGGCAGATCGAGGGAGAAGCTACTTACATCCGGATGCCGGCGAACCTGCTCAATGACATCTTCGTGGAAGTGACCAGCATAACCCATCAGCGAGCCAGCGACGTGGAAGGTATGCTTCAGGCCCAAGTAGGGATCGTTATCGAAGCCGAAGAGGGAGCGCTTCTTCAGCTCCATACGGACATTGTCGGAGTGGATGTCCTGCACCCAGCTGTGATGAGCGGCCGCAGCCGAAGTACCGACATGCTTCTTAAACACGATGATATAGGAGTCCGGGATCTCCTGAGCACTTGTGGAGGAAAGGATGGGAGCTGCCCCGTTGTGGATGGATCCCGTCCAAGTGGGAGAGGCAGCTGCCAGCAGCGGGAGCAGTGTTAGGCAGAGGAAGCCTTTCATGATGACGGTCGGCTTTGGACGATGACAGTAAAGGATATGGAATCAATACAGGAGGGATAAACAATAGAGCAGGTAAGCGATGGGGGTTGGTTGATGTCGAAAAGAGTATTGGAAAGCGATGGGATGTTGGGGGGAAGAGAGGGAGGAGGAGGAGGAGGAGGAGGAGGAGATGAGGAGAGATGAGGAGGTGCAGAGTCACTGGACCATGGGCCTTATCTAAGGGCGAAGGGAAGGCGGAGAAAGCATGATGCAAGCGGGCGATGACGGGGGAGGATACTGCTGAATACAGCCAAGATACGCTACGATACGAGGAATACCATACGTGGGCGCAGGCGGATAAGCGGACGATTGGTGGTGGGCCGTCGATCATGGTGGAGTCCTCAAGCCGGGGGGATGGGGCGATACGCCTTGATACGGTCACGAGATCCCAGGGAGACTGCTTACCTAAGGGTGAGTAGAGCCCAGTCAAGCACACGAGCAGGGGCGGTGCACCTGTTTGCCTTGGCCCCAAAGCCTGATTATTATTGCGACGGATTCCGGATGACTCGATGACTCAGAATACCGAGCTTATGGGAACAATAAAGGTTATTATGGGACCATCATGAAGAGATGTCTTGCCCCCGGGTACCTGGCAGCACAGCGGAGCAATGTGATCGCGATGATCCGCAAGGCAACTTGAACTCCGACGTCGCGTGCTTCGGTCCAGATGATGCGATCGACTCCATACTGCTCTCCATACTTTGACTCCAGGGTACTGTGACCCTGGCGCAACCGCCCGCCTGTCTGAGGTGCTCAGGAACCCCCCTCAATTGACCGTCAAGCACTCTTTGGGAGCGGAGGAGTCGGAGTCTAGGGCAATCATTGGGGCGGCTGTTACTTCCTACTACTGCCGCTGCCTCCTGGAGGACTCCGTACACTACGTCCATAGTGCCTACAAGTAATCAGTGGCTGGGGACCGAGACAGGATGCGTTGTAGACAATAGTACCGTAATCTATACCCCACCATACTCTGCTATGCCGCATTTGGGGCCCGCCCGTATCCATAGCTGTTTCTTGTGGAGGCTGGCTATCTTATCCAGCTTATCGTGTCTTATCTCTACGATCGCTAGGTCTGACGTGGGAAGTCGAAGGAATCAGGCCCACTCTCGTCGACCAACGCCAGCTGGGTTTCGAAACAGGACCTCCAACTGCACGCACCCCCTCGGTCACCTGATTACTTGCTGCTCTCCCCCCGCGGAAAATCTCGTCGATCTATTCTGGGGAGCAGCTTCGTCGCTTATCACCTCAGCGGGGCTGCTTGACTCCCATTGCGTCCACGTCTCCCCCTCGGAAGGCATCTCTGCAGTGGCTCATCCGGACCCGCTAAACATCCCATCCGCACATACCAATGCAGACCACCTGCCTCGACACGCCAATCGCGCATTCACGGTCTCTGGTGGTCACACGCCATCGGTCCGGTCGTGGATAAGATTCGGCTATGGCTCCGCCGCCCCTCCTCGCTGCCTCCCCCTCCGGATCGACAGAGCGACTAGCGGAGGAGCTGACGCCCACCGTTGACCAGCTCAAGACACTTGCAGCCGAGAAACCACTTGCCATTGCGCAGGCACTAGCGGCCACCGAACCTCTACTACGTCTCCGCCATACGTTTATTGACGATGCACACCCACGGGCAGTGAAGGATGCATTCCGTCAGCTGGCGGGGTTCCAGGCCCTGCTGGACCTTGCGGACCAGCTCGCCGAGCTTTATGATACCACCATATTGTCCAAAGAGGACCGAAAAAGCGTGATTGGGATCTACAAAGATGTCTTGGGAGCGCTGGCCGAGGGTTTGAAGGACCATTTTGCCAACAAGCGCTACTTTGCGCGGAGGATTGCTCGCGGCGGGACTGCGGCGTTGGAGCGGAGCTTGACGGTCTTGGTTGGAAAGATAACTCAGACCGAATGCGATGCTCAGCAGCTGTACGGTGCCATCCTGGCCGCGGCTCTCTGCCAGGAGACCGTTGCGGGGATATTCGTAGCTTTGAGTGCGAAATTCCCACAGAACAACACCTCCGCATCACCCAGGGACGTCCGGGATGCTGTCAACAAGTATATGGGATCTGCCGAGACGGTCGAGGTACCTGAACTTTTGGGACCGTTGGTCCGTGTTTGGGTGACACACTCTGCTTTACCAGGAAACGAAGTTCTCCGTCTAGCTCTTCCGGCTTGCCTGAGTCAATTGGCTACGCAATCCCGAAAGAACGTCGTGGCTTTGCATGCTACTGGGATGCTCACCTCTATCCTACCCCTCCTGTTCGATGACGGCCGGTCCGACACCGAAAAAGAGCTCTATCAGGACCTGGCCCGGTACCTCAGCGTTCAAGGCATGAATAGTCTGGAAGATGCCGTTGCTTTATACCGTCGTGCTCATGATAACCCTCGAGTCCTTGGGTTTCTGTTGTCCGCTCTCAAGTACTCCAAAGAACCCCCCTCAATACAGTTTGACCTCTCTACACATGGCTTCTCCTCTGTTGAGTTCGCTACACTAGGCCGACCATTCCCACCTACTGCCTCCGCTGGGTATACACTGGCCGCCTGGGTGCGCTTCGATGACTTTGATCTTAACACGCATACTACCATATTCGGCGCCTTCGACGCGAGTCAGACCTGTTTCGTTTTGGCGTATGTGGAGAAAGACACCCGCAAGTTCATTCTTCAAACATCAATTCGAGGGCCACGTCCCAGTGTCCGGTTCAAGTCAACGACTTTCGAAGCCAACCGCTGGTATCATATCTGTATTATTCATAGAAAGCCAAAGCTTGCATCGTCTTCACGTGCCTCACTTTTCATCGATGGCGAGTTCGTGGAGCAGTTGAAGATCGAATATCCCTCTGTACCAACCAGCAATCATCCTCACCGTTCACCCCGCATTCAGGCGTTCTTTGGAACCCCACAAGATCTTGCTATGCGCCTTGGTAAAGGCGTGTCGACATCCCGCTGGTCTCTTGCAAACGGGATGCTCTTTGACGAGGCATACAGCGATGACCTGGTGGCGGTCTTCTACAATCTTGGTCCTCGTTACTTTGGAAATTTCCAGGATTGTCTGGGATCTTTCCAGACGTACAAAGCCTCTGCCACGCTCAACTTGCGGAATGAACATCTACATCCCGGGAAAGAGGAGGAGTCGGACATTGTTACAGCTATTAGAAGGCGAGCCAGCATGCTGATTCGCGAGGGCTCAATCTTGATCAATTTGTCCCCGGTTGCAGTTTTGGATGATGACGATAGCAACAATGTGGATGAGTCGCAGCTGATCAAGTGCCTTTCGCGACAGGCGGCCAAGAGCTTGCAACAGCTGACAAAGGCCGGAGGCAATGCAGTCGCAGTGAATGGAGGTACTCCAGCCATTAATGACGGATTGACGCAACCGCAAGGTGTGGGTGTCCTGACTGGAGATCCTGTTGTTGCAGTTCCTTGGTCATTGGATGACGCGAGCTGGTGCCTGGGCGGCTGTGCCGCAGTCCATCTTAGCCTGATCCAAGCTGCCAATACCGCAGAGACTCTTCGCCTGGCTGTGGAGGCGCTCTACGAAGCTGTGCAGGACAACTGGAGAAATAGCGAAGCCATGGAACGAGAAAATGGCTACGGTATCTTGGCAATTCTTCTGCGCGAGAAGTTCGGGTTCCAGCTTGGCAACGGCCCAACCGCAGGTAGATCCACGGCTATTAGCACCAAGGATGACGAGCTCAACACATTGATGCTTGAGCTTCTGCGCTTGACACTTGCGTTTGTGGGATACGACTTCATAAAACCCAATCATTCCATCATCTCTAATCCATTGGCCTATCGGGTCTTGCTCGTCGATATGGACATCTGGTGTTATGGAGAATCGCCGGTGCAAGACTTGTATTACTCGCAATTCTGTACCTTTGTGTCCGACAGTAACTACCGTCGGTTCAATGCCAGACGCTTTGGTCGCATGCGTATGTCCCATCCCATCCCACCAATGTATGGCGAAGTGCCATTGCTAATGATAACAGGTGTCAATAAGAAATTGCTCGAAACTCTGAAAGGAGACGAATTGACCAAAGAGACTGTTGGGCCATGCATGGCCTCCTTCCGGGCTCTGCTGGAGAGTAATCTCTCGCCCGATCTCCTTCGCTCTTTCGCCTTGTCTATAACGTATAATCTCCATCGACCGAAACCACTTACTGCCCTCCAAAAGAAGAAGAGTATCCGTTTCGCCCCAAGCTCGTCTCGACCACCCTCCTCAAAGTCGGACACCAGCCAGCACGTACCCAGTGCCACATTGGGCATAGAGATGTTGCGGCTTTATTCTTCAATCCTCTGTAATGTCTTGGATCCGATACCACTAAGAAAGTTCGCGAAGGCGGTCACAAACAAGGTTCGTCTTAGAATATCGCATGTATGCACTTATGCTGACAACATAACACAGTGGCTTCTATATCTTTCCTGCGAGGACGAGCCGGAAGTCGTTGTACATGCAGTCAAAATTTTGGCTCGACTACTGGTCATCCACGGAAGTAGCTACAGTAAGAAATTCTCTGACAAGAATGGAGGATATACTGTGCTCGAGTACCACCTGAAAAGATGGTGGAACATCCCTGCTCTGTGGCCCGCCTGCTTCTCCATTCTTTTTGGACAGGACATCGCCCTTAAGGACCTTGACCAACCATTTGATGCGCCAAGACTCATTTGTATGTTTCTGGCAGATGGGGATCTACAAATCGCCTTTCCAGAAATGCTTCCAGTTATTATGGGTATGCTCAAGAGCGGACTTAGGAGCTCTGTTCTTGCAAGTGAGACAAGCGATCAATCCACGTTGAAACCTGAGACCATTTCAACAAAGCCTCGGATGTCATTGCATAGCTTGAATAGTATGTTTCCGAAACTTCGACATGAGTTTGGTCGAATTCTGTGGCTAACTCTTTTATCTTTCACTAGATATTGCTGCAGCTGACCGGTCAGCGCATAACTTTTCTCTTATGTCGTCGGTTGTCGACTTTCTGAAAGGGCTTTCGTCCCGATCACCCACCTTTCAGGACTTTACAATCCACTCCACCTTCGTCCAGGAGCTGCTCGCCATTCTCTATCCCACCGTCGTGGGCGTGGATTCTATCAGTCCAACTACTGAAATGAACTCTCGATACAACGGCCTTAGCTTTGATGACAGCAATCTGGTTCTGCGACCTCACTCTAGTCGTGGCAATACCTCAACAGCCTTGCAATCAAGCATGATTGACTCTACCGAGAGCCCTGAAGAGAGCACGGAATCTCTGCAACGCAAGTCCTCTTTTATCATCGTCTCCTCAGACAAAATGAAGCATCAACCATCTACGGCACGGATTCGGCGTGTCGTAAACCTCACTTTCTCAGGGGAGGGCGCAACTACGGGTCATCCGCTTGTCAAGGCTATTACTGCCCTCACGATTGACGTCTTCGAGGATCAGCTCTTAGAGCGAAAAGATTTCTCCGGCTTGGGATTGTATCAGAAAACTCCTCCCGGTTTCCTCGAACATCAGGCCTACTTCAATTCGTGGATCTTCGATTCCCTCATGACCAGATTAAAGGAAGTTCCCGCATCCCAACCGCGGCTTCTGCATGAACCTCGCACCTTGACCAATCTGGCGCGTTTTGCCACGCATCTGACAGAGGCTGTCTACGAAGGGTGGTTTATCAATGGGGCAGTTACGAGCCTCGAATACCTCGGCGTGATCCTGGAGTATCTGCAACGCCCCGACATCTCCCATCTGAAGAGCATTCGTCTATGCACCCAAGCTGTGTCCACCCTGCATTCAACGCTATACAAGATCGTTCTGTTCAAGTTGTCAGAGGCAGATGACTCCGAGACTTTGCCTGTCCTGAAGCGCCTGAATTACTGGCAGGTCGTGCTTCTCGCTGCCGCGGAGACACAGTCCAAGCACCTCCAGCTCCTCTGCTATCTTCTGTACACCAAGCTCATCAGCACCGAAAAGGACATTCGCCTGACAGCTGCTAGTCTCTGGCGAATCATCTTAGTACAAAAGCCCGATGAAGTGACCATTCTTCTAGGCCACGGGCCTGCCAGTCTCCAGCGCCGACTCGCCGAAGGCTTCGACGCTCTTGCAGGATTGGATGATGACGCATTCTTGCAGTGGATTGATGATCAACGAGATGACCTCGATGCGCTCTTCTTTGGCATCCTGTCTCGGCAGTGGGAGTCTTTCGTTCAGGAGGAAAACGTGAAGAGTGAAGACTCTGCCAAGAACAGGATTAGCAAGCGCAAGGACAAGCTGAAGCAGTGGGCTCAGCTGGAAAAGTACGACGAGGATGTCATTCGAAAGCACGATGCCACTCTTCCGCACTGGATTTCAAACATCTCGGCATCGGAATTCCTGAAGTCTCAGAGATTCCTCCAAGATCTTCAAGATAATTCTGCTTTCATGTGGTCTGCGTTTTCCAATCTCCTGGTAGACCTGCATCGACCTGGTGGTCTTCTCGCGGAAGAAAAGGATCGCAAATTCAGGCTCGATCAGACTGAAGGCCGTAGCCGCATGCGGCTGCGAGTTGTTCCTGATGATTCCGGGGAGCGACAGGATTATCAACCTAAGCGGAAGGCGTCTGGACCACCCGCACCAAAGCTTGATACCCGGGTGCGTGCACTCTCAGCAGGAGAAGTGGCCTCTACTCCTACCGTGATGACAGCCGAGCCCGAAGCTGTGGAGCCCAGGCAGCAAGGTGGCGATGCAGACAACTCAGACGATCGCAGCGGGAATGAAGAGGAAAACTTCGAAATGATCGACGACCCGAAGCTGGAGATTGAAGACTATGAAGATAAGAACCGCAGAGTCATGCGATCTCTCCATCGAGGCGACCAGGTTCAGAATGTATGCAACATGTCCCGGATCATCGGTCTGGAGGCCGTAGAGGGTCTATTGATTCTCGGAAAAGACTGCATCTACATCCTCGACAACTTCTTCCAGCGCGCCGATGGTGAAATCGTGAACGTCTGGCAAGTCCCTCCCGACGAACGTGACCCATACGTGCGAATGATTGCGGGACGAGAGTCGAATGATCGCCGTTCACAAGAACATGAGACTCGAAGCTGGAAGTGGTCCGATCTTGTCAGTGTTTCCAAGCGCCGATTCCTCTTCCGTGATGTTGCCTTGGAGATCTTCTTCACAGATGGCACCAGCTATCTGCTGACTTTCTTCTCGGCGCCCGTGCGAGACAACCTGTGCAATCAACTTGGAAATAAAGCCCCACAAGTTACCGGGAGTGCTGGACACTCGCGACCAGAAGATATTTGGAGATTTGAGACTCTTCGCAGCCAGGAAGATGCACCGCAATCCCTTGGCTCTAAATTTGCCAGCGTCTTTGGGCACTTGCCAGCAAACCCGGCCACGCGGAAATGGGTTCGCGGGGAGATTTCAAACTTCCACTATCTGATGCTGATCAATACACTCGCTGGTCGGACATTCAACGACTTGACCCAGTATCCCGTTTTCCCATGGGTCCTGGCAGACTATACCAGCGAGGAGCTTGACTTGACAAATCCCAAGACATTCCGTGATCTATCTAAACCCATGGGTTGTCAAACTCCAGATCGGGAGATAGCCTTCCGAGAGCGCTACAACGCCTTTGCCGAGATGGGCGACGACAAGTCTCCGCCGTTCCACTATGGCACCCACTATTCCTCTGCGATGATTGTCAGTTCGTACCTGATCCGCCTGCAGCCCTTTGTCAAGTCCTACCTGCTCTTGCAAGGCGGGACGTTTGACCATGCAGACCGACTGTTTTACTCCATTCGAAAGACCTGGGAGTCCGCATCACGCGGCAATATGACCGATGTTCGAGAGTTGATCCCCGAGTTCTTCTACCTCCCCGAATTCCTGGTAAACTCCAACAAGTACGACTTTGGTCTGCTGCAGAACATGGATACTGCGATTGACTCAGTCGACCTTCCACCATGGGCGAAGAGGGGACCCAAAGATATTCATTGAAAAGCATCGAGAAGCCCTTGAGAGTCCCTACGTCTCCGAGAACCTGCATCATTGGATCGACCTTGTCTTTGGGAGCAAGCAAAAGGGCGAGGCTGCAGTTGAAGCTGCCAATGTATTCCATCATCTTTCATACAAGGGTGCCAAAGATCTGGACGCCATTGATGACCCGATGGAGCGGTTGGCGACTATTGGTATCATTCACAACTTCGGACAAACACCTGGGCAAATTTTCCAACGTACCCATCCTCCGAGGGAAGATCAGCGGTACCGTGTGCCCCGGCTGGATACCCTTGCCGAGTCGTTAACCCAGATGCCCTTGTCTCTTCTTGGTAAGTCAAATGATCACTATATTTCCAATATCTACCGTAACTAATCCGCTTTCCTCTCTTGTCTAGATATCGAGGAACGTGTCGTGACCCTGTCTATGAAACAGGATCGATTGTTGTGCACTGCTGCACTTCGACTTAACGTCCCGCCAGCCTATGATCATTATATGGAATGGGGATTCTTCGATGGAAGTGTACGCTTCTATTCGACGGACAGTCGCAAGGTATGCCCTCCTCCAACTCCAATAACTCTAGATTGCCATCAACTAACATCTTCCAGCTTCTAGGTCATTTCGAGCATCTCCATGTCGGGCAGCTCTCGCATGCCAGTTTCGCTGACTCAAGGACCTTGATCACCTGTGGCACTGATTGCACCATTTCCTTGTGGACGGTCACTGCGACCTCGAGAGCGGTTGACTTGCAACCTATTGGATCGCTCTTTGGCCACCGTGCTCCAGTGACCGTGCTTGCCGTATCTCGTTCATTCAGTGCCCTGCTATCCGCGTCCACCGATGGCCATATCATGCTTTGGGATCTGAATCGCCGGTACTTTGTGAGGACGCTGCCAACAGACGGGGTCGTGGATGTAAGTTTGATCTCGTTTTGATTCTTGGCCTGCCAGTAACTGACCCGGTTCACCTATAGTGCGCCCGCATCAACGACGTTACTGGGGATATCATTGTGTGCCGAGGCACTCGCATCACCATGTACACCCTCAACGGCGAGTTACTCGTCGACCAACCCGTCTGCGACTCTCCCGACGACCACGTGCTATCCTGCGTATTCTACGAAGGGGTGCAGAACGAATGGCTCGAGCGCGAGCTAGTTTTAACCGGCCACAGCCGGGGTGTGGTGAATATCTGGAGCAAGGTGATTCGCAATGGCGGGTTCGAGCTGGAGCTCATCCGCCAACTGCATCATACCGACAACAGTCGCGACAACGGGGCCAACATCCAGTCCGGCATCAGTTGTATCCTTGCCCTGCCGCAGGTGGTATATACCGGGGACGAGGCTGGTCGAGTGGTGCGTATTCTTCTTCCCTGTTTTGGGGCCCGCTAGTTCTGAAACGTGCTTGCTAATATTGCTCTCCATAGTACGAGTGGAACTGTATCCAACGGCGCTGATACTCGCACTTCAAACCACGTGCCGTGTGGCCATTAGTATTGAACGGAGCGCCACTGTTGCTTTTTCTACACGGGAAACCCAAGACAAAAGTCAACTTAAAAAAGTACAAAACAACCTTAGAGACTGACTGGCGTTTAAATTTGGCAGAAGGTGGAATTGTATTCCCTTTTTTTGCATTTTGTGTATTCTTGAAACTTCTTGTTGATTATTCCTCTTTCACTGTTTCTTTGATTCGCACATACCCTGTCACCCCCGTGTTTTCCGGGGGCCTGGATATAGTTAGTTTAGCATGCATCCATAGCGGGAATAAGCAACAGGCAATCAGCATCGGCACATCTGATCCCGTGAGTCCTTGACCCTTGACCCTTTAACCCCTGGCACCCCCCACCCTCTCATGCGCTTAATGCCCCAGAGTCACTGGCGATATTTAACCGGGTCTCGGTGAGCGTACTGCACATTCGGTGCAGTAGTGGGCCGTTGGCCGGTCGACCATCCTCCGGTTGGGCTGGGCCGGAGCACACTGCGCCGAGTTGGGAGAAGTCCTGGGTTTGGTCACGCGGAAGAAAAAAGTTGTGAAGAAGCAATTGTGTAGAATGGGATAGTCAATTGTGAATAACTACAGGAATTGAGTATGGTAATGGATCGAGGGTTTGGGGGGAAGTGAAAGTGGTGGTGGTGATTATCGTGCTCTGGCCACATTGCGGAAGAAGTATGTATCTCCGTGGAGGGGGAAATTACTCGATCAGCAAAGTCCCAGTCCGCTGGCGATTTCCTGCAGCGTCATTTTGCCCCACTCGGACATCCCACCACCGCCCCTGCACAGACCAGGTACCTACATTGACTATGGTGGTACTATACAATCCATATGTACCCTGACCTGCCCGCCAAGTATCGCCTTTCTGGTCCCAACGCCCCTCCTCTAAATACCTCCTGTTCGCCACTTTCTTCCCCCTTGCATCTCTCTCTCTTGATCTCTTCTTGAGCAATTCATATTCATCTGTCTCGTGAAATCTCTGTCCACCCACACTATCTACACAATGTCTTCCTCTCTCGAGCAGCTCAAGGCCACCGGCACCACCGTCGTCTGCGACTCTGGTAAGACCCAAGCTCACCCCTCACTCAGCTGACGCGGAATAATTGACTAACGCGCGCTTTTCCAGGTGATTTTGCCAGTATGTAACCTCCATTGACAATGCCACGAAGCCTACAAGGCTGTAAACCCGCGGCGTCCGCTCTCTCGAGCGACGATTTAGATGCGTTTGCTAACGTTGACACAGCTATCGGCAAGTACAAGCCCCAGGATGCCACCACCAACCCCTCCCTGATCCTGGCTGCTTCCAAGAAGCCCGAGTACGCAGCTCTCATCGACTCTGCCGTTGCCTACGGTAAGACCCAGGGCGGCACCATCGACCAGCAGGTCGATGCCACCCTGGACCGTCTCCTCGTTGAGTTCGGCAAGGAGATCCTCAAGATCATTCCCGGCAAGGTCTCCACCGAGGTCGACGCCAAGCTGTCCTTTGACACCCAGGGCTCCGTCAACAAGGCCCTCTCCATCATCAAGGTATGGCTGAAAAACAACCTGACGTGAATTACCCGCTATGATCTTCAATACTGACTCACTTCTTTTTTTTTCCAGCTGTACGCCGACAACGGTATCTCCAAGGACCGTGTCCTGATCAAGGTCGCCTCCACCTGGGAGGGTATCCAGGCCGCGCACATCCTGCAGTCCCAGCACGGCATCAACTGCAACCTGACCCTCCTCTTCTCCCTGGTCCAGGCCATCGCCGCCGCCGAGGCCGGCGCCTTCCTGATCTCCCCCTTCGTCGGCCGCATCCTCGACTGGTACAAGGCCGCTCACAAGCGCGACTACACCGCCGAGGAGGACCCCGGCGTCAAGTCCGTCCAGGCCATCTACAACTACTACAAGAAGCACGGCTACAAGACCATCGTCATGGGCGCCTCCTTCCGCAACACCGGTGAGATCACCGAGCTGGCCGGCTGCGACTACCTGACCATCTCCCCCAACCTGCTGGAGGACCTGTACAACTCCACCGCCGCCGTCCCCAAGAAGCTCGACGCTGCCGCTGCTGCCTCCCTGGACATCCCCAAGCGTAACTACCTCGCCAACGAGGCTGCGTTCCGCTTCGATCTCAACGAGGAGGCGATGGCTGTTGAGAAGCTGCGTGAGGGTATCTCCAAGTTTGCGGCTGATGCGGAGACTCTGAAGGGTCTGCTCAAGGCTAAGATCCAGGCTTAGATTGGGACACCAGCGGGACTGGACTAAGGCTGAGATGTTAAATTCTTTCTTTTTTTGGCTCTCTTGTTTTTTATTTTAACTGTCGCACTTGGATATGTTTTGTAAATTGGCGATCACCCAAAATGGCTTTGGAATCGGTAGATACGAATTGATGAAAACATTCTTTTCTTTTTTACGTTTTCCATGTTTGCTTGTTAGTCGGTGTACATGTATGGTAGGAGGCAGTGAGGTATTTGGATAGGTTTGATTCATCATATGAGGAACTTGGCATGTCGCAATTGTATGTTGCAATTGTATGTTGCAAGCAATTCTCCCCAGGTGCATTGTTGGTAAGGTCTTGATTGCAACTGATTCAATTGAATGCGAGTCATGGGTGTAATACATCCCTTACGCCTAGTAGTAGATACGGTTTTATCAGCACCATATACTGTGAGACCTTTCTACCAACAAAACAGGCACTCTTGTACCTTCTCCGGTGTCGGGTCCTCACGAGGCCGAGTCTTCCGAGGGTCCCAGCTTGAGGGAATCTGGGCTGGTCGGCTTATTCACCCGCACCCAACGAACCCCGCAGCGAGTGGAGAGGGGTTGGTAAGACAGGTATCACCAGAGTGATCATGTATTTTGAAGGAGATATTGAAGCACAATTGAATATGAGTAGAATATCTATTAATGCTTCCAGTGGCAATTCCTAGAATATCCCAGATTCAAGTGCACATCACCTGGTATTCACTATATGCTCGTGGGTGCATTCCGAGGTGGTAGGCAAAGGGCGGCAATTATGTCATTTCCCCTCGTCCCGTCGTCGCCCGCTTAGGCAGGTGGGGGATGTTTGGGCACCGTATCGTTACGTTTCCAGTGGTACCGATCTCCGCGGGAGTCCCCTACTAAACAGCTCTCCACCTGAGGTACTTTGCTTGGTAATTCGGTGTATTTGTTCTTTTACGTACCCTCCCTTTACTATCAAGTCACGTCAACATCACCCACTTATTATTCTTCCTCGCCCTCCCGCCTCCACCTGCTGCTCTTCTCTTTTTTTTCCCCAAGATTTAACAAATCCCCCCTTCTTTCCATCTCTATACCCAATTTCAAACCCCTTTCGATTCCCATAACCGTCAAAATGGTCAAGGCTGGTAAGTCGCATCTCATGGTGCTTGGGCTATCCAAAAGTCCCATATAGTTCTCTGCCCCGGCTCCGGATGGGATCCTGCGATCGGCCGAGGGGGACCTTGGGTGAGCACATTTGAGCACCTTTGGAGCTTCAACAGACCTATCGGCTGTCCTCCCTGTCCAATCCAGCTCTCCACTGTCCTTCAAGGTCCCTCAGGGTTCCTGGTGGACATTGACGTCCTCGAGGAAGCTTAGCTACGGCCTTATTTCCCCAAGCTACAGCTATAGTGGCGTTGCTCCATGCTGGACTGGCCCAGCTAGTCCGGTGGCCCGGCCCGCTATACTCGGATCCCCCAAGCTGTTGTGTCTGGGCACGCCTTGAGCCGATCCTTGTTTCTGCACCTAGCTTCTAGAATACACATCATCCAGCCTTATACACATCATTTCTTATGGGAACATATCCCCGCTAATGCATTCTCCCAGTTGCTGTTATCCGCGGAGACTCCAAGATCTCCGGCACCGTCACCTTCGAGCAGGCTGACGAGAGCGCCGCTACCACCATCTCCTGGAACATCACCGGCCACGACGCCAACGCCCAGCGTGGTTTCCACGTCCACCAGTTCGGTGACAACACCAACGGCTGCACCTCTGCCGGTCCCCACTGTAAGAATGTCCACTGCTCACTTCATACTTGAGAAATTCTTTATACTCACTACTTGTGCCATGCTCTAGTCAACCCCTTCGGCAAGACCCACGGTGGCCCCGAGGATGAGGAGCGTCACGTCGGTGACCTGGGTAACTTCAAGACCGATGCCGAGGGTAACGCCGTTGGCTCCAAGCAGGACAAGCTTGTGAAGCTGATTGGTGCTGAGAGCGTTCTTGGCGTAAGTTCTTCCCCCTGTGGTATACCTATCTACATCATGATCGTCTCTAACATTGAATAGCGCACTCTGGTCGTCCACGCCGGCACTGATGACCTCGGCAAGGGTGGCAACGAGGAGTCCAAGAAGACTGGTAACGCTGGTCCCCGCCCTGCCTGCGGTAAGTTGATATCCCATTCCATGAGACACTATATCTTCTGTGGTATATGCGATGTTCATGGTTTGACTGACTCGATTTTCTAGGTGTCATTGGTATTGCCGCTTAAATTAGCTCAACCCCCTGTTCATGTAGTTGGGTTTTGATATCCCCCCGCCATCTTCAGTCCTTGTGTATGAAGATGAAAAGTTCAGGATAGTCCCTGGCTAGGATGCAATGAATGCCAATGCCGTTTACTTTTTGCAAATTGTCAATTGTAAATATCTACTTTGTTCTGCTCCATACGCTCTCCTCTTAAGTATAACTCCCTGGCTGCTGCGGTTGAGCCATGCGTGGCCCGTGCCCCGTAGCTCGTAGCTCCGCCCAGACCGCTTTCCCCACAAACACCGGCCACGTTTCTCCTCCGAAGCTGTTCATCTCGCCGCAATTGTCCCCCTGTCAAATCTCCCCTTCCCTTTGTCTTCCTTTGTTCTTCCTCTCCGGTTCTGTTCCCTTCCGTCGACCATTCAGTGTGTTTCTCTGAGGTTGTGGTGCCCCGGTTCCTGTTCAGCATGCCTTTCGAAGCCCGTGTTAAGTCCGTTCTGTCGGGCGATACGATTGTGCTGTCGCATGTCACCAATCCCACACAAGAACGCATTCTCTCCCTGGCTTATGTCTCGGCTCCTCGATTGAGGAGGGAAGGTGATGAGGTATGTACTGAGCCGAGCTCAATTGCGATTCTATGTTTCCGTTTGCCGCGTTTGCTTCCCCTCTATCGAACCTCCATGTCACCCCCCTCATGTGATGCAGTCGTGTGCTCCAGGCAAGAGACGGCGTCCGATAATACTTAGTGGAAACTAACATTCATCTCATCACAGCCTTACGCCTTCCAATCCCGTGAATTCCTTCGTGAATTGCTCGTTGGCAAGGTCATTCAATTCCACGTCGTCTACTCCATCCCCACTGGTGCCAAGCGCGAGTATGGTATCATCAAGCTACCTGGCTTCGACGCTCAGCTTCCCGACATCAGTGTTCAAGAGGGCTGGACCAAGGTCCGCGAGGAGGCTGGCAAGCGAAGTGATGAGTCCGAAGAAACTCTCGCGCTGCTGGACCGGCTGCGGGCTTTGGAGTCACTCGCCCAGGATGAGAGCAAGGGTGTTTGGGCTTCTTCGAACCAGGGTCTGATTGAGACGAGCTATGAACTGGCCAATGGCCAGGAATTGGTTAGCAAGCACAAGGGGGAACAGTTGGAGGGTATTGTTGAGAAGGTTCTCAACGGTGACCGGGTTGTGCTGCGTCTGCTTCTCTCACCACAGGAGCATGTCCAGACCGTCGTGGCCGTTGCTGGTGTCCGCGCCCCTTCTGCCAAGCGAACCACCGCCGAGGGCAAGGAGCAGGCTGCTGAGCCCTTCGGTGATGAAGCACAACAGTTTGTCGAGTCTCGACTGCTGCAGCGCAAGGTCAAGGTCTTTCTGCTGGGTGTCACCCCCCAAGGCCAATTGGTGGCTACTCTTCTGCACCCCAACGGAAACATTGCCCGCTTCCTTCTGGAGGAAGGTCTGGCTCGCTGCCAAGATCACCACTCCACTATGCTCGGTGGAGATATGGCTCTCCTTCGCCAGGCTGAGCTCACGGCAAAGAACGCCCGCAAGGGAGTCTTCACCGGCCACATCGCTCCCAAGGGCACCGGTGCTGCGGCTATTGATTACACTGTCAGCCGTGTTTTGAATGCGGACACCATCTTCCTTCGAAACAAGGCCGGCCAGGAGAAGAAGATTAGCCTGACTAGCATTCGCCAGCCCAAGCCTTCTGACCCCAAGCAGGCTCCCTTCGCTAACGATGCCAAGGAGTTCTTGCGCAAGAAGGTGATCGGTAAGGGTGTCAAGGTCACTGTCAACGGCAAGAAGCCTGCCACGGAAGGCTATGAGGAGCGCGAGGTCGCCACTGTCGTACAGGGCAACACCAACATCGGCCTGTCCCTGGTTGAGGCTGGTTATGCCTCTGTGATCCGCCACCGGATGGATGACAATGATCGTTCCCCCGATTACGATACTCTGCTTGTGGCTGAGGCTGAGGCCCAGAAGGACGGCCGCGGAATGTGGTCCCCCAAGCCGCCCAAGGTTAAGCAGTACACCGACTACTCTGAGAGCGTTCAAAAGGCCAAGTTGGAGGTTGGCATTCTGCAACGTTCCAAGCGCATCCCCGCCGTTGTCGACTTTGTCAAGTCCGGCTCTCGCTTCACTGTTCTGGTCCCTCGTGAAAACGCCAAGTTGACGCTTGTTCTGTCCGGTATCCGTGCCCCTCGCTCTGCCCGTGGTCCCAATGACGCTGGCGAGCCCTTTGGCCAGGAGGCCCACGAGCTGGCCGTCCGCCGCTGCATGCAGCGTGATGTCGAAATTGGCGTCGAGACCATCGACAAGGTGGGTGGCTTCATCGGCAGTCTATACGTGAACAAGGAGAACTTCACCAAGGTCCTACTGGAAGAGGGTTTCGCCACAGTGCACGCCTACTCGGCTGAGCAGTCTGGTCACGCTACCGAGTACTTCGCCGCCGAGCAGCGGGCCAAGGACGCTCGCAAGGGTCTCTGGCACGACTGGGACCCCAGCAAGGAGGCTGAGGCTGAGGCTGAGGAGTCCGAGGTTGCCAACGGCACCGGCAACGAGAGCGAGGCTGCTACTGCGTCTCGTCGCAAGGACTACCGTGATGTGATGGTCACCCACATTGACCCAGAGACTGGTCGCCTTAAGCTGCAGCAGATCGGCACTGGCACTAGCGCGCTTACCGAGCTGATGAGCGCCTTCCGCGCCTTCCACATCAACAAGGCCAATGACACCCCACTGCCCGGTGCCCCCAAGGCGGGTGATTGGGTCGCAGCGCAGTTCACTGAGGATGGCAACTGGTACCGCGCCAAGGTGCGCCGCAATGACCGCGAGAAGGAGCAGGCCGAGGTGGTCTATATCGATTTCGGAAACTCCGAGATTCTGCCCTGGAAGAGCCTGCGCCCTCTCACCCAGCCCCAATTCTCTGCTCAAAAGCTGCGTCCCCAGGCCGTCGATGCCGTCCTGTCACTTCTGCAGTTCCCTACCTCTGCGGACTACCTGGATGACGCGGTCGCTTTCTTGGGCGACCAGACCTTTGACCGCCAGCTGGTCGCTAACGTCGACCACGTCGAGCCCGACGGCACCCTGCACGTTACCCTGCTGGACCCATCCGTCTCCAAGAGCCTGGACCAGAGCATCAACGCCGACGTGGTGCGTGAGGGTTTCGCCATGGTTCCTCGCAAGCTGAAGGCATGGGAGCGCGCTTCCACCGAGACTCTGGAGAGCCTACGAGAGCTGGAGACCGAGGCTAAGGCTGGTCGTCTGGGTATGTGGGAGTACGGTGATCTCACTGAGGATTAAGAAACTTTTCCCATATAATTTGTATCTAGCTTGCGGGAGGATTTACGGCGCATTTCGATGTCTGTATAAAATATAGGGATTGGCCCTCACAAAATAGCAAGTGCTGTAATATGCATGAAATGTTTGCTGGGCTTATAGGCCATGTTATCGATTGCTTGATGTTCATGGATTTACCATGTTCTACTGGATGCACTGAGGATTGTATCTACACATGAATGAGTGGTGTTTGTGTATTGCAGAGTGCGGCCCTGACAGTGTCGATCGAAGCATAATTGTCGATTAACTTTCGTTTGATAAGATTCATCGATTTGGCCATCTAATCAGCGACAAATCTAACGGACTTGGAATGCGGGCCATTTCTATACAAAGGACCACGAGAGAAGTCTATTATTTCGTTCATTAACTTTTTTCATAAAAAATTATACCATTCAGCCACCGGAATACGCTCCCGCCGCGCGGGTCTCAGCCTCTCGGACCACCGAGAACCCATGGAACGATCCGTAACAAGACTGAGTAACAAAATTTCTCCCCAGTTTCTTCTATTTCCCCTACTGCCATCCAGTACTATACCTAAATCTTACGAAGAGATCTAATCTCGTATTATTAAAGCTATCAAACTCACAAAATGCGCGAAAAAGCCTGATCTCTCGGTAATTACGCGAGAGTTTCACATTCCTACGCGGACCGAGTATAAGGTACTCCTAAAAGTAGTAATAAGGCACTACCTACCTACCCTTTCTGCATCTAAGGGGTAGAAATAGGGGTTAATCGACTGCTTAGTCGAGCTAAACTTGGTTTTACATATCCCTGAGATCGAAAAGTATGTAAATTTACTTCTCTTCTGCGAGTTGAAGCGTATCTCTTTGTTACGCTACGAGTACGAGGTATTACTTAAGCTTAGGTGAGCTTAACACAAGTAGCACGGCCGACAATATCAGTATTATTTCCTTAAATGCAGTCTTTTGTTGAAGTCGTAATTTTCCGGGACTACTACCTCACCGAATAGGGGGATAGACAATACTCTGTCCAGTACATAGTCTTGTCGCGGATAGAACCCTCCGCAAATTGAAGATTTGTTGCTGACCGCCTCTTCTTTCGCCCCGACATCTCCGCCACCACCGATCTTGACGTCGATCTTCGGGCTACCATCCTTTTTGTACAGTACACGCCATAGAGCCGAGCGAGAAAGGAGTCCCGGAGAAAAGACATTCAGAATCGTCGAAAAAAAAATGCTCTGGCGGACCAAGTCCCAGCACAGCCAGGCCTCGGAGCAGGACCTCGCGCGCACCGAGTCAGCGTCCAAGAATGACCCATCCGCAGCGGCGACTCAGGCCGCGAGCACGGCGTGGCTGGCGGGCCATTTGAACCACTTGACGCCGGAGCAGGAGGAGAAGTTTGTCGAGTTTAAGAATGTTTGTGCGGAGCGCGAGTATTACACGCCGGCCGTTGAGGCGGCGGAGGGCGTTGAGGCCGCGCCGGCCAGCCACGATGATGCGACGATGCTGTACGTTTGTATGACCGGGGAATAGTGCCATGTGTGTTACGCATGGGGCGGTGCTAATTTTGCGTTTTGCAGGCGGTTCTTGCGAGCGCGGAAGTTTGATGTTGAGGGGGCGTGGGGTCAATTCAAGGATACTGAGGATTGGCGCAAGGAGAATGCCCTCGAAGAGCTTTATGCGAATATCAACGTGGCCTCGTACGAGACTACTCGGCGGATGGTATGTGCTCCTACTACTGGGTCTATATAACCTGGAAAAGACCATGGACTAACTTTTTTCTCTAACTGATATAGTATCCGCAATGGACCGGTCGTCGCGATCGCCGCGGTATCCCCGTCTACGTCTTCGAGATCCGCCACTTGAACTCCAAGGAGATGGCCGCCTACCATAATACCATGACCACGGGCACGCCCGAGACGCACAAGTCATCGACCGTTCCTGCGCGCCTACTGCATTTGTTTACTTTGTACGAGCACCTGCTGAACTTTGTCATGCCGGTGTGCTCGGCATTGGCCCGGCCTAACCCCGAGACTCCTATTGTGGCCTCCACCAATATCGTTGATATAAGCGGTGTCGGGCTGAAGCAGTTCTGGAACTTGAAGGGCCATATGCAGGATGGTAGTGTTTTGGCCACGGCTCACTATCCTGAGACGTTGGATCGTATTTTCGTGAGTTGCGACTCGAACTTTCGCAATATCCTCTTCGAGTCTGCATTCTAACTTTCAATTAGATTATCGGCGCACCTAGCTTCTTCCCTACCGTCTGGGGCTGGATCAAGCGCTGGTTCGACCCTGTCACTGTCTCGAAGATCTTCATCCTCTCCGCCGCGGAGGTGGCGCCCACCCTTAACTCTTTCATGGAACCTACCTCCATTCCCAAGCAGTACGGCGGTGAACTCGACTGGCAATGGGGCGACATGCCCAACCTGGACGAGCCGGCCCATGAACTCCTCCAGAATCTGGAGCAGCCCATAGCAGAGGGCAAGGAGAGGAAGGAGATCATCAAGGGTCCCCTCTTGTTCAAGGGTGACAGGATCGAGGTCCTGGGCAGAGAGGATGGCAAGGAACGCCGGCAGACCATCCCTGTACCGGAGGCCAAGGTCCAGCCTCAGGCAGAGCAGGCCGAGACGGTCCAGGCCAACGGCAATGGTACTGCAGAGCCGGTCAAGGAGACCACCGAGACTGTTGTGAATGGAGATGTGGAGACCACGACTGCCCCTGTTGCCGAGAATGAGAAGACTGGCCTGGATAATGTGGCGGTGAACGTCAACCAGGTCGCCAGCCCGGAGGCTCAGGCCACGGCTGCTGCTGCATAGACTTGTTTACGGAAGCAGGACGTGATGAGTGTTGTTACTTCTGGTGTGTTTGAGAGAACGTGTTCAACAGTATGACCAAGCTCGACGACGGAGATGCAGAGGCAGATGCAGGTGCAGATCCTATAAACCGAGGTATATGTCATGTTGACTCGTTGTTCATTGTCTACTTTGCATGGCCCATATGAACGTGTTTAAACGTCTCTGCCTGGGTCCTTTGACATTTGGAATTTCCTGATTATTCTTCTTTTCCTCTCCCGTGTTGTTTTGCACGAGACTTTTGCATGTGCATTTGGTGATTGTCAAATAGAGAAGAGTCTCGGGTTTTTTTTTTCTTTTTGTTTTCTTATCAATCGCCCCAACGCTTTTCTTTCGGGACTAAAAGTCTTTTTAGGCTCTTCTTTTTCTTTTCTTTGGTGGTCGGTTTTCGGCCGAAGTTCTTTTTCATGTGTGTGGTTACTCATATGGGGCTCGTTCTCGTCCTTTATACTTCTTTTTATTGGTTATTTCCGTCTTCATTCCGTTTTCCATTGGCGAGGCAAGTTGCTGTTATGACCGTGGGATTTTAATGGTCCGTCTGTCCCACTGAGCGTCTTTCTGTGATTTACATTGAGTAGAGACGGTATGGTTGTCGATAGAATATACAGGTTTTATGATTTGTCGAGTATAAGATCAAAGTTGTCTTTAGAGTAGAGAGCTACACAGGAGTGTCTATTTGTGGATTACCGATGAGCGAAGTATATACGGAAGAGTCAGGTTTCATCTGCCGATCCCTTGCTGGTCTGCGTTTCACATGGGGTGTGATAATGATTGAGACGTACTGGTTACTAGAAGCGGTTAGATCGATATCCTGGATCGTCAGAGAATGTGAATGGTGGCGGGGTAAAATCATAGTGACGCAGGAATTAGAAACTTGCTTAATTCAGACTAGGAGTAAGTACTGAAGAGAGTCTCAGATTACTTGATCATGACTTGGAGTCCCTTGTAACTACCTAACCGAGTATATAGTTAGTTACTGTAGTTGGGCCCATGCTTTCCCGAGCATGGTCATCGGTCACCTGACAGAGGTCCAGTCAGGTGACTCTGTGCCCTATTTCTCGGGGAATTGAGACAGCCACTAAAAAGCACGAATTGAATAATCCAAATGATTCCAATCTGTTGTACGACCTGCTGCACGTTGTGCCTTAATTTAAATTTCATCTCATAAATCATTGGTCTCTCTACAGATGACCGGTCCAAACGCCAAAGCACAGACTACTCCTCGATCTCCTTTCCATCTCCCCGGAGTCCCGAACTCCCATCCCTCGCCATACCCACTTTTTCCCCTCCACCAGCACCAAATCGGCCCAGACCCTGGGGAAGCATGGCAATCCCCCAGAGTCAGGCAACGACTCCAGTCTAAGCGCACACGCTAAATGAGCGACGTCTGACTGTTGGGGAAGATGTGCACTGGGATGAGGTCCAAATCAGACGCGATCGACGTCATGCTCCGGTGCTTTTCAGCCAAATACGGATAGCCCCGAGGCTCACTGGGGCCCATTTTTGGTTTGGAAAAGTGGAGAATTCACATGTGCCGGGTCCTGGACTCCTGAGAAAGCCCGAGATGAATTCGCGGCGAAATGATCGACATGTTCGCCCACTCAATTTGTGAGTTTGACTCCGGGCTTCGACGGTGGACTCTTGGGTTTAAATCCACCCGCCCACCCCTCTCACAGATTGGGGTTTGGGGTTTTTGGTTTGAAGAAAGAAAAAAAAGAAAGAAAAATCGTTGAACTGCTGTTCACCACTATACGCCCGTCATGAGTGCTGAACGCAATCCCAAGGACTCCATGAAGTCCACCTGGCGGCGACAGGCACGCTCCGAGTGGACGCTTTTCCACTGGTTCTACGAAGTACTTGGCGTTCATCCAGAGCATCTCGATACCAACATCCCCGTCCATTTGAAAGAGGATGCCGTACCATACGTTCCCGACTGGTCCATGCACCGCTGGGTCCTCACCCACTCCTTCATCCCTATTATCCTGCAACACGCCTACGTCCAATATACGGGGCACAACATCGGCGCTATCGGCGCATTCATCCTCTACAGCATCGCTTTCAAGGCCATCGCCATCCACGAACTCCACGTCCTCCGCCGTCTTGGCCATATCTACGGCTTCCTCGATGGCGACAAACACTCCCGTGACGGGGTTCCCGATATTGGCGTCGCCAAGGTCGTCCGCTCCTTGATTTCCACCTCCACCTTCCGCCCTATGTTCACTGTCTTTTTCGCCTACCGCACCGCCCAGGCGCCCTCCTCTATGAGCTTCGCCTGGCTGCCGCTTGAAATCGGCCTATACGGCATCATCCTCGACTTCTGGTTCTACTGGTACCACCGTATCATGCATGATTTCGACGGTCTCTGGAAATACCACCGCACCCACCACCTCACCAAGCACCCTAACCCACTGCTCACCCTGTACGCCGACACCGAGCAGGAATTCTTCGATATCGCCGGTATCCCGCTGATGACCTTCTTCACCATGAAATTCATGGGCATGCCCATGGGCTTCTACGAATGGTGGATTTGTCACCAGTACGTCGTCTTCGCCGAGCTGGCCGGCCACTCCGGTCTACGTTTGCATGCTTCCCCGCCCTCCACGCTGAGTTGGTTGCTCCGCTGGTTTGACGCCGAGCTCGTCATTGAAGACCACGATTTGCACCACCGCAAGGGCTGGAAGAAGAGCCACAACTACGGCAAGCAGACTCGTCTGTGGGACCGGGTGTTTGGCACTTGCTGTGACCGGATTGAATCCGTACCGACGAACGTGGATTATGTGAATCAGTCGCACATGCCGTTGTATTGATGGGGTCTGGGTGTGGCGTTAGATTGTATAGATGATGTACTTTCTTCTGCGACGTTTCTCTATCTGATGTAAATAGGTTTATGACTTGAAAAATGTGGTCAGGGCGGAGTGATTTTTGTTGGATTTGTCTTTTTTTGTTGGTCTGTGTTCTTTGTTTTACATATAGCCGATTTGATACCATGCTAGATATGCCCCATGCCAATGATTGAATGATTGAAACTGTTTCGAGGTCAGACTGTGTGTAGTAGTTGATTCTTGCGTAGTGTAACATTCCTTCGCCTGTTCCTATCATGACGACCTCCTAGAGTTGGAGCCTATGGAGGACGGTATCTGGATTTTCTGTCGCCTTATGTCTTGTGCAAGGGCCTTTGAGTCCCCTACTATGGTTCCCTGCAGCATGAGGCTGAAAATAGGGGGCCTGGACAAACTGTCAATCACAACGCCCCGCACTTTCGACCCGAAAACCAACGAGACCGGATGATCTTCACCTTTTATACCAGCAATGGCGAAGCAAGATAGCCCTGGTAGATAGATTGTCATACGTTGCCCCTCCAAACTCCCCGATTAGCAGCCTCGTGAATACTTCCGACCTTCAATTGCTGCTACCTCACAGCATATCTCAAACACTTGGAGTCGGGAAAGAGACAACCCAGTTCCTGTACTACGGATCATACGCACAATCTCCGGTTTCTCTTTTCACAGTATGAGCTGCTTATCCGTACGGCTCAACATGTATCTGCGCTAGACCTGTTCAATGTCGCATTGACATGCCACGAACTATAATCGCTCATACTCAACTCACCAGCAGGATTTAACACGCGGAAGCAGCACACCATCTGCGACGGCCGGGGTTTGCGCCAGCGCCACAATTTCACCGGAATACATACACCTTGTTATCGCCATCTCTGGGATGAGCTGACGGACGGGCCGAGATGGGAAGAAGAAATCGAAGACCATTTATGGAATATCAAATGTGACCCATACGATGCTCTCCCGTGTCTTAAATGCGGGATCAACGTCTGCGAGGTAAATCCCCCCCAATCCATATTCAGTGCTCAGCCTGACCTTCCACTAAATCTCCTCCAGGAATGTCGATACGTACCACGGGTGAGAGACGCACCAAGATTCCACTCCCGCCGCAGACCCCATCTCGACGAGGACTTCGCAAGCCACACGCTCTTATGCTATTGCGCAACCTGCGACGAAAAAGTACAGAGCACACTCCCACTACGATTGTCGGAGACGTGTGACTGTGATCAGTATACCCGTTGGATATGCCATACGTGTCGGTGGAAGGAGGAAGAAGAGGATAGGGAGTACTACAAGACTAGCACTGTACAGCTTTGGGAAGACGATCCGGAATAGGATTCCACGGGGATTGTGGTTGGGGGATTCGGATCTTCATAGGGCGGTATGTATGAGGCTATTTTCACTAAGATTGGAGTGTTCGAGGTGCTGATAAATCGTTCTGTTTAGTTTTTGGTGTCCTTGTGGAAAGAGATCGCCGAGCAATGGAAATGTTCGTTGTATTTGGTGCAAGAGGAGGCATGATTTGGATACGTGGCACAAGGAGGATCCTTTTCATATACCCTATTTTGACGGGCCTAATGCTCCAAGTGATAATGAGATATAGCATGAAGATGGCTTGAAGATATGAAACAAATCAAATTTAGCAAATGTCGAGTCCTATACATAGCAGCACGGTGATGTACTCGACTTGGGCATACAGTAGAACGTGGTCAGAAATCTCCTGATGAACTAATCAAATTATTGGCGATTGAATTCGTTCTATTCAACCTGTACGTATTAGTCTCGGCGGCATTTACAGAAAGAACTTAATTATACTAGATTCTATTTTTAGACAAATAAAGGTATTAGAAAGAAGTCACTAGATATAATTCGATTATAGGACCGGATAGAAGTTGCTAAAGTCGATATTAACGAAAGAGGTAGAAAAGCAGGCATTGAAAGAGGAATTGAAAGAGGCATTGAAAGAGGGTTTGAAAGAGGCCTCTTTTCCTTACTTCTCGTTGCTTTCAATTTCCAGCAAAACCGCTTGAGCTTGATTCAACAAGCCTCGAATTACCCTCAGCTGTTCCAGGACGTCTCGTGCAGTTGCCCTATCATCGACGGCTTCCGGCATCTTCCCTTCTGCAGCAGCCACTGCTTGCAGATCATTGATCTCGCTGTCCACGACCTCGCCTACCCTTTTTTGAAGGGATTTGAAATGTAGATTGAGAGCCTGAGTCCACGCTTTCTGAGAAAGGGAATAGTAACCACCAACGACGCCACCATCGTTTAGGCCTTGCTGATTGGTGATATGTGCTTCCATGATCGTTTTGCGTCTCCCATCACTTCCAGGTCCTTAGTTCACCAACAAATCCCGTTAGCCATGGTTTAAGGATGTAGGCGGAAGGAATACCAGAACATACCTCCCTGCGCACTGGCAGATTGATAGGCGCGAAGCATGTATTTCGTGATGAAAGCGGTTTTGGTCTTTTTGCCCTTGGTCATGTTTTCCCTGATGATCCTGAAGCTTTCTTAGTCTCGCAATGATCTTCAACAAAAAGTCGCCGCAAAATATTCATGAAACATCAGCGTCTGTGCATACTTTGACTCTTTGAAGATTTTCTCGAAAGTGTGCTGGAAGTGCTCGATTATCTCTGCCTTTCGGAATTGAATGCCGTTGACAAGGCCATTGCGTGAATTAGGGGGCAAGCCATTTTCCACTGTAATTGAGTTGAGTCCCTATCGATTATAACAGATTTTTGAAAACTGACCTTGAAATGGTGCACAGATATTATTGATCCGATCGGTGATTTCACTCGCAAGGCGATCCGACTGTTGTCCCAAACAATTCATGAATTCTTCCCATGAATTGGTCATCTTTTCGCGTGTTGGACTGATCAACTCCGTGTTCCAGTTGTGGTTGCCAAGGGTTTGGGTCGAATGTATCCCATGTTTGCGACACGCCGCTGCAAATGACCCGTGCGCCCACTACGCGAAATGACAATTAGAGACTAATCGATTGAGCTCTCAAAAGGATTCAACTCACTTGTTTCCACCCGCTAAAGAGCATAGCGCATCTATCTTCCCATTCAACACGGTATTCATCTAGCAGCATGTGAGATACATCCACAAAAGGAAAATTCAGAAGTGAGAACTCACCAATTGCGCTGAGGATACGACGTTTGAATAAGTGCTCGAGATCGACACGAGTGCTCGCAACAAGTCCGCGACCAGGCTTGAATTCCTGTCCGCATTCAGTATATCTTATAATCTTGGTGATGGGGTCAAAAGAAAGGAAATCCTTCTAGTAGGCTTACCGAAATGAGTCCATCTTGCACCGTTTTCAGAACGTCAGAGATGCCGGAGGCTTTCTCCTGTTCATCGACATTGAATGCCCCATCGGCCCACAACTCAACGGACGAAATAGCAGCCGGAATTGCGATTCGGATGAACTTGGCGACGTGGCTCATTTGAGCTTCTGCAGGGATGGATTGAAAATAGCGACGCAGTTGTGGGATTCCACTGAGTTCAACACATGCCTTCTCTCGCTCGCTGTCGCCATTGCAGTTCTCCAAATAATCATTGTTGCCGACGCAGAAGACCTTCATGTCCTTGCGCGAGGGCATTGAAGCCATTTTAGCTATTGTCTTGTTGTTCCGCTGCTGGATCTGGATTTTTCTCTTTCTGGGTCACAAATTGTTAGCTGATGTTATGGCGTGTTCAAAATCTCCAAAATCAGTTCCTCACTCGAATGCCAGATTCGATTCCTCTTCACTATGATTTTGCGGGTTAGTAAGACTTCGTGACAAAAGTATCGTATATTCGACCTACCTCAATTCCATCCACTTCGCGACAAGCTCTTCTTTTTGAGAACTCTCGGCGTTTTTCATCGATGAACTGACCCTTTTCCCTTCATCCTTGACGCTTCGGATGCTATCGTCAAGACCTCGCAAAACTTGATCATCGTGCCGGTCACCTCTGTCATTTCCAGTGCCTCCAACCTCCTTCAGATAATGTTAGATTATGCAAGATGTTAAGCATAAATCAGTAGACTTACATCTGCTCTCGTGACGACGACAATTGCTGGCATCTCGGTCCACGTTTTCCAGTTGACTTCTTCAATTGTCTCATCCGAAAGGCATCGAGATATTCTGGTCACAAACCCGAGCACGTGACAATGTCTTTGGATGTACCTTTCGGTTGCTTCTTGCCTTGCATAATTCAAGTCTCGTAGGCCTAAAGACGCTCAGCAATTTCCTGGACTGAGTAACATTACATTAGAAATTGCCTACCTGGCATGTCTGCCAACACGAGTCCGGTCTTCAGGATGGGAGAATCCAGATATACCCTCGAATCAAGTTAGCAAGTTCCATGACCATTGGATGTGGCTTCTACAAACCTGATCAACTTGACAAAAGGCCAAATTGAGGGTGCGTCGCCTTGAGAATCAGTGGTCAGAAGGTCGAGCAACTCTGTACAACTTTCAAGACCGTCTGAAGCCCCAGTATATTGAGTAGCCTCTTTGCCGCCGGGGCGGTTAGACAGCCCCTCTATAGCCTTTTGTAGCAATGTGTTGAGAATGGCAGTCTCTGCCTCAAAGCTGTTCTGCTGGACAAGGTCTTCCATAGTCGGCGCATCGGGGCCTTTGAACAGAGCCTTGAACGTCTCCCGCGCGGATTGTTGGGCCTTCTGAAGTTTCACAATCTCATCCGGTTGGAGCTTGTCAGCTTCTTGCCCGGCAATCTCGGCATCATCTTCTTCATCGGAGATGTCGGAACTGCCAGCTCGTTCCCAGTCTGCACCAGCGGTACGTCGCACTTTGGGTTTCTCGAGCTTGAAATACCACTGCCTGTAATTATGCAGGTGATCTCGAAGGAAGTCCTTCATTTCATTTCGATCCATGAAATCGACTTCAACGGTGTACAGCTGATTGTGTCTATGATCCAACGCACGATACTCAACTATCACGCAGGTGCATGCTCCGATGTCGTCGTTCTAAACATTTGATTAGTAAATTACAAGATACCCTTAGAATTTCCAGGGAAATACCGTGCGTGCGAGACTGTTACCACCGAGGATTGAGTTAATGACGGAGCTTTTTCCTATTACAGTATTAGCGAATGTCTTTGCTGAAAGTATTAAGGCGAGAATGAAAACAGACCGACGCCAGTATTTCCAATGAGACCGACAACCCTTGTTTCTGGGTATTCGAATTTGCTCAATTTGAGGACGTATCTGCGTAGTCGATGCAAATTGGTTTTTGAATCTTTGGAAAGGTCTGAGCGTCCCATTATGGCGGCAAGCTCTTGGAGCTGCTTGATCACAGCTGCCAGGCTATCCTGAAGCCGGCCATTGTCGATTCCTTGATTCCTGTCTTGCGTCGCTTCCATGTCGAGCTTGTCAGTTTCGGGAGGGGGGGGAATTTGGATTTGTCGGGCTCCCACCCAAGTCAGTCTGGGTGACTTCCTGTTTTAGTTCCATGGTAGATGGGATATAGAATGGGATGGTCTGTCGGAGTTCGGGTTTGTTGCAAGTGGGAATTTTCCAGAGGCTGCAATTGGTAAGCAAGCTTGAAGTGTCGATTTCGATTGAGGACCCGACAGAAAACTATGGAAAAGTAAAATGAAGGGAGGGCGTCTTGAAGACACCCGATGAAGGGCGGTGTGGAGCTGTGAAATCTTTATAGAAATTCAAAGGCAAGGAACGAACCTGGGTGTTGAGCACTGGTGATTGAGACCCTGGCGAATGTCTGGATATCTCCAAGAGTTGCTGAGGAGGTGGATAGTCGAGAACGTAGGGGGTAATGTAGATCAAAGCCACCTGGGCAGGTGAGATAACCAGAGAGTGAATGATGGTATTATGGCAGGTGATATGACTGATGCGAAAAGGGTTCTAAGTGTGGGAAAGACCAGAAAAGGGGGAGTGAATGGAGGTCAGGACAATGAAAGAAACAAGTGAAGTTGAGTTGTCACAGGGCAGCTATTTGACTACTTGACTAAGAAATAGCGCTCTGAAGTACTGAACAGGGAATGTCAGCCGGAGAATCCATACGCATTCCATAAAGAGATCCAATTGTTTGTCGTTACAGCCAAGTTTATCTTTGTTGAAGAAATATAGATTACAAACTTAGAAATCAGCGCAAATATATGCACCTCCCAACCTTGGGGAATAGACTAAGTAGCTTTCCACAACATGTTGACCTGCTTTTTCCGAGCCTAAAGTCAAAGGGGTCAGTATGAATTTCCCAAATACCACCATAAATGTGAGCGACTGAGGAGGAAGTCTTACCATCGGGGCCAAGAAAGTGACACCAGCCGCCAAAGCCACCACGGTCAGAACAAGCTGCAACTTGGAGAAGCTCTTGCCAAGAATATCAAAGGCCTGACTAGGCGTGGCGCGGGTGCCATAGATATCGCCTCCAAAGGCAAAGATAAGGCTGGTGCTCTCGAGTAGAGTCGGGCGAGACAGGACAGTCTTGATGCCGGCGACATCGCGGGAGTGGGTGAGGTACCACTTGCCGTCGAAATCCAGGAATGGGGCATAGCGGAACAAGCCCTCTTCCGCTTCGGCGGAGGTAGGATCCCGATCGACGGGGCGGCGAGGGTCCAAAACAGGGCGGGGAATACCAACAATGGCATTCGAGGACGGGAGAACACAGAGAAGCTGGCGGGTAGTGATGCCTTGGCGAGTCTGAGTGACAGCCATATGGGAGATGGGCTCGGCAATAACAAAGGACTGGGAGACAACGTGTGGAAGCGGAAGGCTGTCGCCATGGACGCTGTGAAGACTGGAGTAGTTTCCGGCCGAGTCCAAGGGGCCACGGTCATTCACAATGGGAGATTCGTAGAGCTCGGAGACTACGAGCTGGTAGCCCTTGGCGGAGGACTCGCCGACGGCATCGCCGAAGAACGAGTAGGCAAACCAGTTCTCGGAGATAGCGGACGCAATGGGCTGGGTTGGGTCAACGCCGGCTCGGCTAACAGAGTACAAGACCTTGCCGGAAACGCCGTCGAGCAGATAGAAGCCAGCAGTGTGATCCTGCTCGTTCACGGCAGTCACTAGCACCAAGTTGGGGTTCAAATACTTGTACAGAACGGAGCGATCGCCGAGCACCTTTCCGATCGAGGCAACGGGGTCATGCGAAGGGCGACCCACAGCCTTGATGACCTTTTGGCCTGCAGGGGGGACAAACTCCCACACAGGAGACTTATTGTCCTTCTCAGCCCATCCCAGAACACGACCATCGTTGCTGGTGGTGACCAGGAAGCCACTGATATCGTCGAACGGAGCGACAGGAGAGCCATCCTCTTGAATGCCCAGGGAGCCAATTCTAACCACCGACGAGCCTACTTGTTGCTCAAAGGTGGCAATCGACTGGAGCTTGACATTGGTGGGTGCAGAGCGTGAGATAATCTCTCCCGTGGAGCTGTTGACACGTACCGAGCTGCCATCGCCGATCGAGATTTCCGCGGATCCAGGGGTAGTCAAGATAGCCTTGATGTCCCAGTTCGAAGTCGTCTCGGCCTGGGTGCTCCACTTGATAGTTCCCTGGCGACCAGTATCCAGGGCATAGACGCGTCCTTTCTCGGTGGCCACAATGATTGACTTGGCAACGCCGAAACTATCGAGGTTGGAGACTTCGTCAGTCAGAATGCTGGTGACGATGCGCTTGGGCAGCTCCTTGAGCCAGTCGGGCAGGTGCTGGAGATCCCGGAGGTGGCGCTTCACACGATGAATGTAAGCACCAATCAAGCTCTCGTGGCCCTCAACCTCCAATTCATGCACCAAGTCCTCTTGGTCCTCCTCTTCCACCCAAGCAGCAGCCACGGTATAGATCAGAGCCTCGGGACGGGTCCACTCAGTCTGGCCATTACGGATCAATGACCAGTCGCCGGACTCACGGAGAATAGCGGACCGGACAGCGACAGACTTGCCCTTGGTTACAACATCTGCTACTGCATGGATTGCACGATCGGTGGAGGACACGTCCGCGTTCCAGCGGCCCAGAATTCCATGGGATGCCGAGGAGACGACAATGGCTTCCGAGTCCGTCACCCGAGTGAAGTACACATTGGCGTCAATGTTGTTGGCCGCCACGACAGACTGACCTTGCAAGTAGGGCAACTGGTAGGCCTTAGTGACCACGGAGGATTTGAGATCCACATGGAAGACCTCTGCCCAAGCTCCAGTCTCAGTCTTGTAGTGAATCAGGAAATGTGCGAGCGAGTTGAGCTTGTGGGGGGCATGGACTGTGATTTGTTGGACTTCCTGGCCAGAGGTGTTGTCGATGGCGATGGTGTTGATCTGCTTGGTGCCGATAACGTTGACCTTCAGGGACTTGAGCGACTTGTCAGCCCAGACGATCAAGGGTGACGCGGTATTAGCGCCGACAAAGATGATGGACTCGTGGGATGTGATATCGTTCTCGGAATTCAAGACCACATGACGGCTCTGGCGACCCGTAATTGGATCCAGTGAGGTGACCTTGAGTCTGTAGCCCTTCAACATCGCAGACTGGAGCGAGATGTAGAAGACCTCCGTGGGCGAAGAGGACACCTGGAATGCAATATCACCACTGGAGTTAATGGTCAGCGTAGTCACAATCACAGCTCGCGGCATACAAACCTGTTATCCTTGTACTCCCATTTAACTTTTCCAGAATCACCATCCAATCGCCTCACAACTCCAACGCCCTCACCAGATGTAAGTGCGATGGTATCTCTCGAGGCAGGCGTAGTACTGGCATCTTCCAGTCCCAACAGCTCGATATCTACCACCTCACCATCGGCAAAGTGATTCTCCCAAATCAATTTTCCGTCCTGGGCGCTCCATGATGAGATGGAGCCACCTGTCGCACCCACAACAGCGTTGTTGCCATCGAGACCTCGCAGGATTCCTGCCCCGCTGGTGGAAGATCCAGGGCGCGAGATATCCTGGCGCCAGATCAACGAGCCATCGCGAGGGTTCACAGCGCCGATAATTGACTTCTCGGAGATCGTGTAGAGGAGGGATGCGTTCGAGGAGGAGGAAGGCTTCAGGAAGAAGGTCGAATCGGGGGAGGGGGCGCCAAGGAGGGCATGGTGGAAGTCAATGTGATTGACCTCATCGTGATAAATGGCCGCCGCGGGCGACAAGCACGCGGCGATGAAAAGCGCCGCCTGGAGCCGCATTGTGCTATGAACGGGGCATTGAAGGGCGAGGTGGGAGATGTGGATGTGTTGGGTTGAGCTCGGGTGGAGCGCGGGCGGTCTCTCCGGACGCTGCGTGGATGGATGACTGTCACCACGTTCCACTCTCCGCTTGAACAATATCCATAAGGGACCAAAATCTTTCATATTGATTATAGTTTCAAGGCGTTATTCATTTTATTTTATTCCTTGACTTAATGTTCGTTCTTGTTTCACTTGACTGGGGCATTGTTGAAACTAGTGCTTTGCTATATATTTTCTACCCTTGGCCACCCAGTCCATAAGCGACCTAAATTCCAGCTAAAATGAGCCCGAGGTAGGTGGACTTGATTTTATGGATTAATCCTCCTCTGTAATTGCATCAACCTCAATTTCAACCAGCATATCATCATCGACGAAGCTGTTGGCCACCACAATCATAGTAGCGGCGGCGCCAACTTGGCCCCCGTTATGCTTGCCCAGAACCTCCCGGAAGGCTTCTCCAACGATGCCGCAATCTTCTTTCCGACTCACAAACATCCGGCACCGAACTACGCTTTCTGCACCTCGGCCACCTACAGCCTGGATAGCTTGAATGATCTCTTCCAGCGTGATCCGCGTTTGCTGGCGCGCATCTCCAGGGAAACGGACTCGAGGTGCCTCAGGCGGGGAGTTTGGGTCTGCCGCAGTTGAGCCAGACACGAAGATGTGGCGGCCATGTCGCACGGCGCGATAGTAACCGAACTTGGCTTCCCACGGAGAGGAGGTACTGTAAAACTGCTTTTGAGAAGAGGATGTTTCCGAGGCCATGATGAGCTTGGTTGGAGACAGATCGAGGCTTGGGGCGTTAATTAGTCTTTGGTCAGCTGACAGATGGCCACGAGGTCAAAAGAAGCTTATCTGTACCTGAATCAGGAAAATTGCCTGAATTAATACCAGGGTACGTAGAAGATTGAAGTTTTGATATAATCCCTCTCCTTGAAAAGCTCTTTCTTCATGTGCTTTATACCTCCCCCCGTAGCCCCGCCAATGACCTCGTATAGCCGAAGCTTCCTAAATGACTCACTGCGTGGATAATTCACGAAAGCCTTCAAATTTGTGGCGCTCAGTGGACCATTTTCCACAAAGGGCCATTCAGAAACTTTATTGTTGGCCTACCATCCTCGCCAGCCTGCCATGCTGTATGTAGTTCCCCCTGATGCCCGTATGCGGTATGCTAAGCATCAGGTCACCAAAATTAGGAACTGAACATCTTGAACCAATATTCTACCAACCGAAATGTTATTTTCCGAACGTGCACTTTATATTTTGATCAATTGAAATTTGACCGCAGATTAGGTACAGATCATATAAGTGAAAGTGAACAGTCTAGAAAAATACAGAAGCAAAGGGGCTCGAAAGAGCACGGATTTCCCTTATCGTCTGGAAAAGCAACACAAGATGCCAACTTTGCCAAGGAACCACAAGGCGCCCATGAACCTGAAAATGGACAGACCCGAGGTGGCCCAGAGAACGACCCGGAAATACCACGCGGTTCGGAGGGTGGAAGTTGTCTAGGAGGATTAGCTTACATTCCTCTATGCGCTAGCAATCACGTACCGTAAGACAAAGCTTCTTGATTCCATCATTGTTGATGCATAATGCCAGCAACCCATTGCTGAATGTCCAGAGCAGCACGAGATTAGTTCTGAATGCTTTGTATGAGTCCTCGAGGGTTGTTTCATCCTTTTCCTCCGGCTCACGCCACGGAGCAAGTGCCCGTTTGACTGTCTGTTCGAATTGCACATCGATATCAGCCTGTGGTTTGTCAAGCTCCTCCACGAATGGCACTTGAGCATCCTGCTTTGTCTGAGCGGAGGGTAGGGCATCTGCTTTGTCGGATCCCTTGGTTCCCCACGAGACATCGTGCCAGTTGCAGAATGCGTAGACCATCAAGATGTTGATTGAAGATGGCATGCCAAGGAAGTAGGCCCAGGAGGATGTGAACATATGCCACGGGTCCCAATAGAGGAAGCTGGCGATGAAATAGATCCCGTATGTGGACACCAACGCGACCAGGACAACTCCACCCGTAGAAGAGACAAATTGTTTCAGAAATGCTCCAATGCCGTCCTTGAGATTGAAGCTGAGGTTTTCTGGAGTCAGTGCCTGTGCGACGAGGTAGAATGACAACACCAGAATATAGAACTGAACGATGGAAAAATAGATTAGCGAGAGCGTGTACGGTATTCGGGACCTAGACGACCTCTTGTGAGCAAAAGTTCGACTGCACATTTCTCCTTCGTGGACTTACCCTTTAGGTCGATTGCCTAGAGCTAGAATAAATTGGAGTATGAGAAATGTGATATACCCAAATTTAAGAAATGTGTTGAAGATCGGTGAGATTTCGCTTCCGAATGGCCAGGACTTATAGTGGTTCACTGCACTTCGAATACCAACGATATCCATGATGACAGAGGTGGTAAGCCAGTAAGATGCTAATAATGTTAGTATAGTGTATATGGCTGCCGTTGCTCAAAACAAACCTAGTGAGAACCATGTCATGATGAGCTGACACACGTTGTAGACAAATTGGACGTGAAGAACAAATAGCCTGGGGAAACTGTGACCACTTTGGTAGATACGATTGAAATGCATCATTGAATACAGACCAGCTGCAAATGATCCGTTGAGCCAGCGTCGTCTTTGCGAGAGAAATTCAGGAGGGCTCTCAGGCACGTCCGTCTCTCCTTTCGATGCTTTGACATAAGTAAGTCGCCAACGACAACCCGCTTTGGCGACCAACTCGAAGCACAAAATCCTATCCTCGGCCAAGAACATGTTCTTTTTGAAAATGTTCATGCCCTCAATTCCCTTCTTTCCCAACCTCCCAGACAGGGTATGGTCGCCATGGAAATATTGTTCCAGTGGCCTCCCAACAATCGCTCTATACCGGTAGGCCGAGAATGCCCCTGGCAGAACGCTCACATATCCGAAGCTGCTTTCCAAAGGCTTGTCCAGAATGTTAGAAATCTTGTATTCGAAATTCTGCGCCGCAACGATCGGGTTCAAGACTTTTCGCCAACCGGGGCCAAGAAGGGCGTGAATTTCGCCGCAAGCCCCACCGAGATCCTTCTCGTTGTAGAATGCCTCCCATAAAGTAAGCAAGGATTTATGACCTGGTTTCGTCCCTGCATCAATAAGAATGCACACTTCTGGGTTGAGGATGCGACCAAATGCATTGAACAGCCACCGGTGCGAATTAATCTTCTTGCTATTCTTTTGTTTAAGACAGAAGATCATTTGAACTGGTGGGAGATTTGTAGGGTCGTCTTCGAACGGTCGAATCAATTGTTGCGTCGGAGTCACCGATAGCTGGGTTGTATATTCGAACTGCCAGCAATTAGTGATGCAGAAGGTGGGGCGTTATCTTTCACGATCAGGGCATCAGATACTCACAATGTGAGCCACCGTCTCTCTGCCATCAAGATCATGCTTCATCACGCCATCTTGGTAGATACCAATAGTCGCTAGTAGATCAAGTGTATTCTTGTCACACGGCTTGATCCCATCGAATACGAGGCAGACCACAATCTTTTGCCAGGCTGGACCTCCTTTGTTCCAGAATTCGGTTTTCTTGAGGTTGACCTTTCACCGAGTGAGTGTGAGGTCAATTATCAATTGATGACATAGAGTATCATGCTCGAGCCTCTTAAATAGGGATGGCCTAGGTAAAAAGTAACTCTGGAAAGACTCACAATATCACGGACATTCTGCATGACTCCATGCAGTGTTCTTGCAGTAAGAACCTTGTCCTCATTGTAGTATGTAATTGCGATGAGCATCTCGGTATGCCGGTTGTACATAGAAGGGCGTAAGTTATATCCGTGTTGCAGCGTAAACTCGTCAGGGTCACATGTCGCAGCAGTGTCTTTTATCACCCGTCAGTGTCGCCCCCACGTTGAAATCAAAGCTCGATAACAGCGACTTACACCTCATATGGGTGAACTCTTCGTTTTGCCCCTCTTCAAGGTCACGGTATTTCGGCTCAATAGCATTTCGTATTGCGCTTGGGACGGGATAATCAACGCTCAATACAGTTCCCTTGACTAGTTTGATTCGGCGTGTAGGGTATCGACGTAGAGTGCTCAGTGCAGGTGTCTGCCTTTGAGTCCATCGTTTTGAGCTCGTCGAATCTGTATCAAGGTTTATGGATTCAGAGGGCTCTGAGTCCTGTGCTCCATGTATTCCTCCATAGTAAGAGCCAGTTGATCGGCTTGTTGTGTCACTATATGATGGAAGATATCGATTCTGGCTGCTCAAGTTGGGATCGGACGGGTGATCAGAGTGGCTCGGGGGAAGTAGAGACTGCATGAAGGGTTCCTGTTCATCGATTTCGGGGCTTGTCTTTGGCCAAGTATGAGAGACATTAGATTATCATCCGTGCCAATTTTCACTCTGATATTTTCTTACAGGAGGATGTGGTGGGGCTGCTCTGACTCGTTGGCCGGAATGAAGTGGTCGCAGAGAGGAGTGATGCTGGTCCGAAGGAGGATCCATCATCCGTCAGTTTTGATTCACACAGAATTGAGATGCGCAGGAGTAGAGTATATAAGAGGAATATTAGAGTTACTGATGAATGTTTAGATGAGCCCAGGAGGTAAAAGTTGCCTAACAACTTGTCAGCGGGAAATAGGATATCTAGATCATTTAAGGCAGCTAGGCGACCTGACACTCCACTTGGATGACTCTATCCAAAGTAATTTGCAATCGGCCTTTTCTTGGGCCTTACCTATCAAATCAGAATATGAACGGACGATACTTGACCAATCAGTCGAGGTCTTCGATTGACGGGAATGACCGACTATTTCAAATCGGCGAACCCCACCGGCCTTTGTTTAAGACTGGGCTGTTTCTGTACGCCGACGGAAAGGATCAGGAATCTCCAAGTGACTGATGGTAACCATGCCACATGTCAACTCCTTGTGAAGCTGAAGTGTCTTTGTTGTACGAACCATCGGACCTGGGAAGAATATCTATTCTTGTACCTTTCCTCGCTTATGTCTGTAGCACAGAGCGAGAGCCGAGGGTTTCATTCACAAGCCACGTCCTCAATCTTGTCTGCTGACCATTTATTCTTACTTACCATTCATTCGTTTAACGAGCTGAGTTTTCTGAAGCAATTCATGCATCCACTTTAAGTTTCTTATGCTTAATTCTCCTGTGTAGTGGGTGGATAAGTACTCTTCGGCCTGATGATTGGCTAGCACCAGAGGCCCTAGCAAACGGGCAAGGAAGCTCTCAGCATCGGATTTTGCCAGCTTCACTGGCGGTACTTCTGCAGCTATCCGAGGGCGTCAAGCTAAATGATAGAAGTTTCGACTTAGCTTGGGTTTTGTCAGACCCGTTTGCCTTTCCCAGGTCAAACAAATCCCTGATTAATTGACCTGTGTGAAATAAGACCATGTGTCTGACAGGATGCGATCTACTGAGCTCGCCATAGCCGGAAGAGAATCCTGATATCTAGAACATCGGTACATTCATGTATCTAAGTAGCTAACTCTGGATCAATGCGTTTGCCCTTGGAAGATACCACAGGAGCCAGTTCGGGCACTGATTCATTCGAGAATTGCTAATTTGACACCCCCATTTCTGGACATCGCTAGCGATGTAACTTTAGTAATATCTTCAATACTCCTCCTCCCCCCTTCTTTCCTTTGGAGATTGCAGGGTTTCTACTACTAGGTTAATATCGGCGAGAGCTAATTTGACTTACGGCCTACCGGAATCAATCACTCTCCTACAGAATCTCCTGCCAAATACCCTGCTTTATCTCGTGCCCAAGTACGTGAAATTACGACCTCTCTCCTCCTCCTATGAATGCGACACAAAGGTGGTAGTAGTAGTAGAAATCCTGGAATCTCCAAATGGAGGTATTGGAAGATAGTAATTCAATTATGGCGCTTAACTTGATTTAGAAACGTGGGTGTCGTTTTAGCAATATTCATTCATTCCCTTCCGCGTAAATACTCGGATAACCCTGAAAAGGTTGTTTGAACACTCCAGTCACACCTCAGACCGTTCTTAGGCCTCCAAAGGCTCGAGCTTTAGCCTGTGATTTTGGATGCATGTCCACGTTGTCACGGCCCACTGATATTTCATGAGCCCCCTTTAAGTGACTAGATTCTTTACCCCGCCTGCAAGTCCCTTTTGAGCTGCAGGCGGTGAGTAATTGACTTGAGAAGTATTGGCCCCTTGTTTCCTAATTGTCTCCCTATTTGGTTTTCGGAGGTTGTCATATCTAGCTGATCTCTCCAAATTGGTCACGGTGGATCTTCGGCTGATAATAGGCGGGTCTGTTCTCATGGAGGCTGGGTGTTTAACTAGAGAGCCTCTGCCCTGACTACAGGATTGATTGAGAAAGATTCATAAACCTCGCTCCGAGTGTCGTCCAAGAAATTTTAGCAATTAATATGGCGTTCCATGTCACTGCCCAGGTCTATCCCGCCTCTGCATTGCTTGCAGCATTTATTTTTATACTCCTCCTCAGAAATCGTTTCAGGAAAGGTCTGAGAGATATTCCCGGTCCTACTGTTGCCAAGTATACCCGGCTATGGAAGCTTCATAATGTATGGAAAGGCGACCACCAGAATACCGCAATTACTTTGCATAGGAAACATGGAAATCTCGTCCGCATTGGACCCAAGCACATTTCAGTTGGAGATCCCAAGGCCATTCCCATTATATATGGCTTGAACAAAGGATTCACTAAGGTATTTGGCCGTCTTGCAAGTATATGAGTAGCATAAGTTACTGATACATGAATCAATTTCCAGACAGCCTTCTACCCTATCCAGTGTATCTCACGGAACAAAAAGCCTCAGATGAACCTCTTTTCCGATCGCGACGAACAACATCATCGTGAACAGAAGCGCTTAGTTGCGAATGCCTACAGTTTGAGCTCTCTTCTTGAGATGGAGCCTGGGGTCGACTCATGTACTCGGATTTTCCTTGACAAACTTGGTGATTTCGCGGACCGGAAGACGCCAGTTGATTTGGGCGCATGGCTTCAGTATTACTCATTCGATGTCGTTGGAGAATTTGTCTTCTCCAAGAAACTTGGATTTCTTAAGGAAGGGCGAGACGTGGATGGTATGATTCAGGCCATTCAAGGAATGCTCGTTTATGCCAGCCTTTGCGGTCAAGTTCCAGAAATGCATCATGTCTTGCTTGGCAATCCGTTATTCCCAATCTTTCTGCCCCAGATGGAGACCTGGAATTCGGTGGTGACATTCAGCCTGAAGGCGATTAATTCACGTTTATCATTGAAGCGTGATGGAGAGCTAGAGAAAGAGGATTTAGAAGCAGGGAAAGACATGATGTCCAAGTGGATGATGGTTCATCAACTCAACCCTGAGAAAATGACTTCAACAGATGTGATGGTTCACCTCTCGGCAAACGTTTTCGCTGGCTCTGATACCACGGCTATCGCTCTCCGTGCAGTCTTCTATTTCCTTCTTCGCAACCAAACAGTGATGGCCAAACTTATTGAGGAGATTAACAACGCCACACGCGAAGGGAAGCTGAGCGATCCAATCTCTTACCGCGAGTCCATGACCCATCTCCCATATCTAGGAGCTGTTATCAAGGAGGCCATGCGTCTTCACCCATCTACGGGACTGATCATGGAGCGCCATGTTCCAAGCGAAGGTGCAGTTATTTGCGGCAAGACAATTCCCGCCGGAACAGTTGTGGGCATCAATGCATGGGTCGTGCATAGAAATCCCGAGGTTTTTGATGAGCCCGACACATTCATTCCAGAACGCTGGCTGGACAGCTCGCCCGAAAAGCTCAAGGAGATGGAGCAGAGCTTCTTCGTCTTTGGCTCTGGAGCACGGACTTGTCTGGGAAAGAACATTTCCCTAACGGAGATGCATAAGATGATACCGGAGTTATTGCGTAAATTCGAGATTAAATTGCACAATCCGGAGAGGGAGTGGAAGACGAAGAATGTCTGGTTTGTGCAGCAGGAAGGTTTGATCTGCGACATTGTGCGCAGAATCTAGGTATCTTGAGCTTGTTGTTGTTGTTGTTGTTGTTGTTGTTGTTGTTGTTGTTGTTGTTGTTAAGATCCTGTATTCCTCTACTGCGTCTTTCTCCATACTTAGGTAAACGATAGTCAATGCAATTTTGTTTCCTTGTACATATTCGCTATTTACAACACGAAAAGAACAACCTAACTCCGTTTCAATGATGGCACAAATATTGTTACAGGCCAAAGCAAGCCCTGTTGGCCGATCGCACGGCCTCCCTTTTCGCCCTCGGTCATAGCTTCGGTAATCTCCCAAGGCGTGTTACCCAGGCCCATTGCTCGCTGGCCATCACCGTTTAGTGAGGACCAATCCATAGCTCCATTGAAACCAAACTCGCCAGGGCCACCAGCACCAGGGAAATCCCACGGGGGTGAGTAATCAATAGCAGCCTGACGCTGCTTGAGAAGGTAGTCGATGTTCATGTCACACACAGGAGTGGCAGGGATATAGAGCACGCTAGAATCACCCTTGCCACGGTGCTCCTTATCGACTGAATGGAGCATGTCACAATGCCATGCAACAAAGTCACCGGGTTCAACCGTCGGCACCGACACCATGGTCGTCTCCAACTCCAGCTGTGGATGGGTCACCGGGTTGTACTCCTGGCATGCACCGGGAACAGAACCAGGGAAGGTGGAATCCAAACTGGGTTGTTGGCTCTGGACATCGAAGAAAGGACGGAGGATTGTATACGCGGTGCTGTGAACAATCATAGGGCACACACGCAGAGAGCCCTCGCCGGGGGCAGTGTCGGACATGGACATCCAGCCCTGGAAAAAGCGAAGCATGGAGCAGGCGCCAGCACCGTTGTACAGATCCATCTTGGCATTTAGGCGGTGCTTTGCATCCCACGGGTCATATTGTTCCCAGTTGCCCTCCAGGATCTTGGTGTACACGCTCGAGTACTCGGGATCTTCCCAACGCTCAAGTGAGCCACCATCAACGTGTGGTCCGAGGGCAAACTTGGCATCACCGGGATCTCTAATGCGCAGACGATCCGCATAAGTGAGCGGATTGGACGTTGACAGCTTTGTCTTTGGGTCGGATGAGTGCCACAGGCGTTGGAGGAAACGCTGGGTGGTGAGCATGTTAGGATGGGCACGAGCTTCTGCTTGACCTGGAGTCCAGTAGAGCTCATAGACAGCTGGTGAATCAGCCGGGAATGCCTTAACCCGCTCTCTATTGGTAGCGATGTAATCACGGATACGCTGCTTATAATCCAAAGCCTTGTCGCGAGGAATGACATTTCGGATAACGGCAGTACCGCGATGGCGGATCTCTTTCATTGTCGATTCGGAAATTGTTCCCGAGACGACATCAGCATAGTCCACAGAAGGAATAATCTAGAAGCAGTCAATACAATATCCATCTTTCACAGCACAATAGAGCGGCATGCATTAGATGGAATGTACACATACGTCACTGCCCTTTGTCCGAATCTTGTCTACTTCTTCCTCCAAACTGGGTAGCAATCTCTTCCAGCTCTCGGTCAAAGCCTTTTCATTCTTCTCAAAGAGCCTGCGCTTCAAGTCTTGAAACCGCGGGGGAAGAGGCTCTGGCTTATAGTCCGGTCTTAGACTTGGAAAAACCGACGAGATGTCACCAGCGGCTTTGGTTGTCTGCGTCGCAGTGGATGTAGATGCTGCACGAGCAGCTGCTTTTGAGAGAAGCTTTGACATCGTCATTGTTAAATGACCGGTGATTTCGCAGAGATGTAGAGATCTCCTTCGTTAACTCCCCTCCACTTATATATGCCGATGGGCCATCATGGCTTGTATGATGGAAATGGCGGGAGATTACTATTTTAGGAAGGCACCCGCCCAATGTCGGGTGCATTTCCAGGATTAGTTTAGCCTCATTATCTTTCCGCAATTCGCGCCTTCTGATTCGACGAGTCCATTCCTCACTCTTCACGAAGAGGGTTGGCCCTTCAATGTGCTTGAAAAGAAAATCTGGTTGATTCAATTCCTCAATAACATGAAAGGGGGCTTATTTCACTCTATAGATCAAGCTTTTTGTCCTAGTCTAATCCCCAGACTCCAAGGAATCTAGCTTATGTAGAAACACCTACATCCATGGATGGCTATGCCGGCAAAGACTCATATGTATGAAGAATCTTCTGTGGCACAAAATATGCATAAACTTGAGTTTGATTTGGAATTGGGACACAAATTAGATTGAAAATGCTCTTCCAGACCAGTCACCATATGGTTGACTTTTGTACTGTGAGTTTGCCTTGAATAGAATATAGATGTAAGGAGTACACAGAGGGCCTTGAGAGAGGTCTACCTGCTAACCTGTTGATGAGCTGCTGTGTAACCCACACAATGATACTTTGAAAATCGAAAGGAACCAATCAAAATTAAATCACGTATGGGGAATCAGATGTGTCCAAGGTCAAAGAGTCTACATATCGATTGCCGATGTACGCTCTGGGGCCATCCAGTCTTCGGCCTCTTTAGGAATTTTACCCGCCGTGATGCACAGCATTGCGGGGAAGGTATGAGATCATAGACAAGTAGTGCAGAATCCTAGCTTTCAACATTACGGACGCTCTGTTGAGATGGTTAATTCGAGTATTCTGCTTGGATAGCACTCAATTTACTCTACAGCAGTGCTACTGTAGGATCTATTCGATCGAATGCTTGTTGAAGACTCGGTTATTACTATTCGCGAAGTATGCAATACGAAAGAGGAAATTCTGGCGAAGGTCATTCTCGCTCCACTGCTGATCTATAACAAAGGTTCGGGGAGGAGAGAGCACACCAACTAAAAGCAAGGATAGAAATCCATGCGGTCAGGCGAGTTGCAAAAGGAAGATCCTCGGGCATCTCGCCGGTCTGACTCGGGCGACTTGCCTGGTAACCGAACGGCTAAATTCCCCGCTGGGAGCCCCTCTCCTTCCAAAACGGTTATGCTACGCGCCATGATGGATCGCTCCAATGGACCCCGAAGTCCCACAGGCCGTGTGGTGCATACATAAGAGCAGCATCTTCCCGGCAGGGAGCCAGCCGAGCCACGAAAAGCTACATAATACCTCTCAACTTGCAGAATGGCCCTCTCGGTTAAAGAACGAACCGCCATTATCACTGGCGCTGGCTCTGGTATGTCGGCCTGTAGATTTCTAGACTCCATCTCGTAGACCAAATGCTCATGACTGCCTAGGAATCAACTTTGCCTACGCCAAGTTACTGTTACAAAATGGATGCAATGTGCTAATTGCGGACCTGGCTTTACGAACTGAGGCCAAGGGCTTGGTCGAGACATATTCCACTGGGTCGCCGCGAGCCGTTTTCCAGGAGACCGACGTGCGAGACTGGTTGCAGCTGGAGCGCATGTTCCAGGTAGCTGAGAAGGAATTCGGCGAAATCGATATTGTCTGCCCTGGTGCGGGAGTTTACGAACCAGTAAGTGTGACCAAAGGACGAGAACCGACCCACGAACTACAAATCTACGAAGTAAAGACCACCCAGCTAACTAGCTGTCCCTGCATGACACAGCATTGGAGCAACTTCTGGCGCCCACCTGGCTCGGCGCCCAGCAAAGATGCGCGTGATGGCGGCCGTTATGCCCTGGTCGATATCAACATCACACATCCCATCCGCACGTCGCAGCTTGCAATTGCACACTTCTTGAAGCACCGCGGCAATGGCCGTCCCAAGCATCTCGTCCACATTTCCAGTATCGCTGGCCAAAATCCCGCCATGGCAGCGCCGATCTACGTCGCCACGAAACATGCCATCAACGGGCTGGTCCGATCGCTAAGCAAGCTCGACCGACTTGGCATTCGCGTTACGGCCCTGGCACCCGGTGTCATCAAGACACCGCTGTGGACCGACCATCCTGAGAAATTGAAGATGGTGGATGACAAGGCAGATGAGTGGGTAACGCCCGAAGAAGTCGCAGAGGTTATGTTGGCGCTGGTGCAGCAAGACCAGGTGAGCGAGATCATCGGCGATCGGTCGGGCAAGGGTCAACAGTATAAAGTTGCAGGGGGAACGATTCTCGAAGTATCGAAGACGGTGCGTGAAGTCACTGTATTTAACGATCCAGGCCCTGGAGACCGGCCAGGCAACACGGCGTCCGACCACGGAGCAGTGGAGGAGGAAAGTTTCCGTCTTCTGTTGGAGGAGGGATGGGGACAGGCCAAGCTGTAGTTTAGTCAATTGCGACGCGCCATCACATCATCTGCAATATCGCTGAGAATCATGATGTTAGTAATACATTGGTCCAAGCGAAACTAGGCCCGTAGGGAATGTCTCAGTTGCGTAGTGAGGAGGTAAAATGGTGTCAGACATGCGGAGAGCGGACAAGTCAGGTGGCGCCGAGTTATCGGGCCAGGCGTGAGATAAGACAGGCCACGCACGGCGCCGCTTCTTCTCTCCTCAACTTCGCCCCTCGAATTCACAACCACGTCAAGTCTGTCCGGCTCCGCTGGCCGTAGTCGCTGTCAGGGCTGATGCTAGATCCCGGTTCATCGACGCTTTAGACGTGTGAAACATCTCTTTACCATGGAGGAGGAGGCCTCTGTCGGGGTTGGCCCTTCCGGTTTGCCTCAGAACGGTGCGCGATGGTATGTCTTCACACCCCACAGTCTCTATAAGCCTGTGTGGTTGTGTTGGTGCTAATGGGAAACCCGAACAGGCGCACTGCTCGAGGGAAAAGAGCCGTTGGAGCTGGTGGAGAGGCTAGTTGGGCCAGTAGCGTGATCAATCTGGTCAACACGAGTGAGTCAAGACAGTCAAGAGATTCGAGCGATACCAGGCGCTAATATCATCCTTCCTCGTTGTAGTTATCGGAGCCGGTGTACTTGCGATGCCACTCGCTATCTCGCATATGGGAATCGTTCTAGGAGTCTTGGTGATTCTATGGTCTGGAGTGACGGCAGGATTCGGTCTCTATCTCCAATCTCGATGCGCCCAATATCTCGACCGAGGCAGCGCTTCATTCTTTGCCCTGTCGCAATTAACATACCCCAATGCCGCCGTGGTATTTGATGCTGCTATTGCGATTAAATGCTTCGGCGTTGGTGTGAGCTATCTGATCATCATTGGCGACCTCATGCCCGGAGTCGTACAAGGCTTCGTGGGAGGCGAACCTGTCTATGACTTCCTGATCGACCGCCATTTCTGGGTGACGGCATTCATGTATGTTTTCCACGCCTGCGACCCGAATCAGCGCCGTACTAACATCTTTGGATTGGCAGGTTGATTGTGATTCCTCTTTCCTACTTGCGCCGATTGGACTCCCTCAAGTACACCAGTGTTGCAGCCCTGGTATCCATGGCCTACTTGGTCGTCTTGGTCGTTTACCACTTTGTTAAGGGTGATACCATGGCGGAACGAGGCCCAGTTCGCGTTATTCACTGGGCTGGCGCGGTCCCGACATTGAGCAGCCTTCCGGTTATTGTCTTCGCTTTTACATGCCATCAAAATGTATGGACTCTGTCCCATGTCTTTTGGCCCTTGATAAGAAGACTTGCTAATAATCTTCTCCTAGATGTTCTCCATTCTCAATGAGATTAAGAATAACAGCCACTTCCGCACAACGGGTGTTGTGCTTGCCAGCACTGGTAGCGCCGCTGCAACCTACATTCTAGTCGCCATCACGGGCTATCTGTCTTTCGGTAATAAAGTTGGTGGCAACATCGTTGGAATGTATCCCCCTGGAGTTGCCGCTACAATCGGGCGTGCTGCAATTGTCATGCTTGTTGTTTTCTCCTACCCACTCCAATGCCACCCATGCCGAGCCTCTGTGGACGCCGTGTTGAAATGGCGTCCAAAGTCACAGCCTACTGGCACCGAGGCTTCTCCCCACCGTCATCCCCTGCTTGGTCCGCGCGGTACCCGCACACCAGAGCCGATGAGTGACCTTCGTTTTTCGGTTATCACCACTACTATCCTTATTCTGAGCTACATCGTCGCCATGACGGTATCTTCCCTCGAAGCTGTTCTTGCATATGTGGGAAGCACCGGCAGCACAAGTATCAGTTTCATTCTGCCGGGCCTCTTCTACTACAAGATCTCTTCTCCTGATTCGCCCACCCATCGTGGCTTACTGAAAGAGGATGATGAAGCTGTTGACGGCCTATCTGATGACGATGACGACGACGATGCTGATGGCGAAGGCTCCCTGGCACGCTCATTAACTGAAAGCGGCCTGTTGCTCCGCAACACTCGTCACTGGCGCAAAGCCTTGCTACGACGCCTAAGTTTGGGCCTAGCTATGTACGGCGTTCTGGTCATGGTTGTGTGCCTGATCACGGACACATTCTTCATTGCATCGCATTGATCAAATTTCCCTTAATTGCTACGATATACCTCGCTTGGACAGGCTCAGGGTTGCTGGGTCATCTACGTTCTGTGTGCTGTATACGACAGGAAACGATGCTTGTGACTTTTCTCCTTTCTTGACAGACTCCTTAGATTTCTTCCTTCTTTTCTGGATATTCACTGGCTCCTTCAGCGCTTTTTTCCTTGCACAGTTCTGGCATTATGGTTTCGCTTCGTTCGATCTAATGAATGGCGTTCGGGGCTTTCATGTACTCCTCGTGTTCTAAATCCCGTTGCTTCTGATAATTCTACCAGAACAAATTGATTTTTTTTGCATTTCAAAGGCGACCGCTGGGATTTCACTATAGCATGTGTTGCTAGTAATCATAAAATGACCCCAATTCTCATCCCAGCCAGCTCAGAAGGTACTTCTGGATCTTTCTCGCTCCCAGTCCAACGATCCTGGCCCCCAACGCTTTCAAGCAAATTTCAACTTTATCTCATCCTTAGCAAAGAATAGCATCATTGATGCTTCCAGAACTCGCAGTGCTCAATCTCGGCCTTCCAAGGAGTGCTGTTCACACGAGGTGCCACAACAGGATCAGCGCTCAGACATGAAAGTCAAGAATTTGCCAATAACGATTGCCATGGGGAGATCATCATAGCTCTCCCAGGATAGATTCTCGTGGAAATCTACTGTACCTGGGTGATGACTGATCGCTTCCATAAAGACGTGAAACTGGACAAAGGGCGAGATTTCATCGGAAACGAATTGAAGATCGTCCAGGAAGATCTGCCAATGTTCGACAAACTCCTCGGCGCTGTCATTTTCTTCGAACCAAAGCGAGGTCCATTCGGTCCACAGCCAACAGTTACGTGACCAGGTCGGGCTATCGCACCAGTCCTGGACCTCCCTGTATGCGGCGGCGATGCTTGTGATTCCTGAGATCAGCTTGCGGGGTGTGGGTCCCAGTGTAGACGACAGCAGGAGAAGGCCGCGGGCTTCGAGCATTTTCCATGCGTTGTGGGCATTCTGGGCGGTGGTTTTGTATCTGGAAACCTCATCCTTGGTAACGGCTTCTGGCAGCTTGCGCTTTTTGCTAGCAAGGTGTTGACTGATTTCTTCTTCGCTGAGGATCACAGTAGGCCGTTCTGCGGGGCCCTCAATGAGGTTCCAGATTCGGGGATCGCAGGCGTTGAGGACGACGCGAAGGGCATTGTTCCATTTGTTCCAGTCAGCCTGACTTCGTAATTCAGGTACCATCTTTGCCATGCTCAACCAATCATTGAAGCTCGCGAGATTTGGAGCCATGATTGTAAGGACGTGGAGGATTGGTGAATTCGATGGTAGGTGAGGGTTGTTGAAGGAGGCTGCTAGTACCGAAGTAGTCAGTCGATATGTGGGATGAGGAAAGTTCGGAAACAGGTGACGGGGTCGATGAAGACAGATTCGTCACGGAGAGGTACAGGGTGTGCGAACGCTCGAGAGCAGTGTGAAGTGAGAGAGATGTAAGAGGGAGGAGATCATAGAATTTTCAACTTCCGCTTTGAGAAATGAGCATGAACGAGTGGAAAACATTGAGCTATCGCTCCTTCATGTCACCAAGCAACAAGATCAGTAGGCCACAGTCCAATAGCTTGACTGAAGAGATCGGAGAAAAGAGTTTGCAAGGTATGCTCGTCTGCCTCTCTTCACCTGCTTTCCTCAATATATTTCATGTAGTTTCTCAAGAAATCTCTGGCATTATTCGTTAGATTACCATCTAAAGAATAAGTGACGGAAATATCTCGAGGTGTGGAGGAATTGTGAGACCTGAAGAACTCTACTGTATTTCAAAATTTACAGATGGGCCCTCATTTGTGGAGCCTTAGGTGAGCGACACTGGGCGCTATCCACGACGGCAGGCTTGGCGATGCTGTATAGACACGCTATGACATTCGCGGTACTATTGAAGGCACTGGCGAGACCGTGCTCGGGATGATTGAGGAGGATGCATTGGGCGCTGGGGTGAATGATCTGGAGATGGATGTCGATGTTCTCGTATTCTACGTAGATAGTAGCGCAGACGAACACCCTGAAGTTAGGTCGAAAAAGATTCAGGTATATCAAACATATAGAAAGAACGTAGTGATGTAGAGAAACTAGGCGGACCTCACACAGAATTGGCGGAATGAACGAGCAAGCCAGAAAACAAGGCCTAGGCCTAGCACTCCCACAAGGATCTCTCTTGTGCCAGGCTGATGAGGAAGCCAGCCATGGAAATGAGCCACACCACCATGATCTGTGAGAGTCGCAGCAGATTCCGCTTTGTAGCTGGCTGATAAATCAATCCCCATGGTAGTCCAAGCCAGAATGCCATCCTCCAGTGAGTGGCCGAGGCGAGTATAACTCAAGATGGGGTCATAGCCACTAGCACTGTTCACGTCATTGAAGATGCCATCCTTGATATTTGGCGTGATGCGGACGTTGTTTGTCTTATAATGAGCAGTGGACTCAACAGCCGCGATCAAGTTCTGGTCAAAGAATAGCTGACCGATATGAGCGACTTGGCCTCCAGTCACAGTCTTGTTGGGCAGAACAGTGGCCCCAACATGCGCTAGAACATGAATATGCGTTGCACGACCAGGGTAGTGACCAGGAAATACGGTAATAAACTGAGCAGCTCCGTCTTTATCAGTTCGCTGTATGCCTCGAAGATATGTCTTGTCGAGATTAGAGTCATGGCCATCGTGGTGGTGGCCGAAGTCTTCAACACCCGAGTAGCTTCCGGTGGCATTGCAGTTCCATATTTCCCAATATACGTCCTCAACAGGCTCACATGTGTGTATATCGATGAATTCACCGTCCAAGACCAGTGGAATTCCAGGCTCCCCGTCAGTGACATTGGATCGGATCAGCTCGCCATCAACCCAGAAAGGGCCAATTGTGGCCTCGGGAGTAAGCAGACAAGGCGGGCTCTCAGACGAGGATAGCACTTCTTGGAAAACGGAAGAGCGGATCGACTTGAAGAGACCTCCAGCATCAGAAATACCGCGATACGAATTCACTATCGCTCTCCGGCGAGCAGCAGCGCGAGTATCGATGCCACTGCGCTTGATATGGTCGGAACATCGGGCCAGCTTTTGCCTTGCCTCTTGAACGAGACTACTTGAAATAAGAGACCGAAAGTAAGCACTTTCATCATGACTGCCAGGATGAGCTGTAGTCAACGTTGACAGTTGCAGGAAAACCAGTAAGCAGAAAGTAAACATTGTCGGAAGATATCGTGGGAGAGGTCAATCACTGCAGTTTAGTCATGTAAGAAGGAAAAGATGCCATGCTTGTAGTGATCATGGGCGGGGCTGGAATATATGCGCCTGTAAATTCATTGTATTCGTCATCCCACCCTGGAAAGGTTAGCGCCTCGAAATCATACATGAGGGTAGGCAAATGAATTGAATCTCAATAGAAACGCTTGACCCGAACTCCACATGCCGAGAGCTTTAGAATACGCTAGTCTTAAACAGGCCTAGTTGGTTGTCTTATCGATACGATCTATCCCACGTGATCTCACGTCACATGGCCCCTGCGCCCCCAAAGAAGAGCGGTCATCGCCTCTCAGCCTCAGCGCTTGCTCATCTACACATCTCTCTAGGTCCTCGCCAGTTCTTTACGTTGTTCGAAGCAGCGCAATAAACCAGCAACATCATGGCTGCGAACGCTCGCTATCAGCCCGCTCCTCAGCGGGACTCCTTTGAGGACGAGCCATACACTCAAGCACCCCCATCTTACCAGGCTACCTCGACTGAACCGGAGCCACGCACCGAAGATGACAATCTACCTGACGACTTCAAGGTACGTAGATATTTATCCAGAGACCCTTGAATGTTTAGCAACTGACCTTGATTCTCAGTTCGGAGGTATGGTCGCGGAGGGAACTATTGACATTCGGATGCAGTTCGTTCGTAAGGTGTACTCTATTCTGTACGTTAGGCTACCCCTCCCCTTTGAGAACACCTGAGCGATGTATTCATCGCTATTTTGAATATGCCACTAATTTTGTTTCACCTCCACAGGACCGCCCAGATCCTCCTCACTACTGTTCTCAGCTCGATTTCGTTCTTCAACGAGTCATACCGAACCTGGATTCAAGGCAACTTCTGGCTCATGATCATCTCCATCTTTGGCGCTCTTGGCTTCATGCTCGCAACCTACTGGAAGCGCAAGTCATACCCAGCAAACCTGCTGTTCCTCTCTGGTTTCACTCTGATGGAGGCGTACTCTATCAGCGTTGTGACCTCGTTCTACGAATCGCGGGTTGTCGTGCAGGCCCTGGTCCTTACATTGGGCATCTTTGTCGCGCTCACGCTCTTCGCATGCCAAACTAAGTATGACTTTACCAGCTGGATGCCCTACCTCTTCGGCGCGCTGTGGTTCATGATCCTTTTCGGATTCGTGGCCATGTTTATGCCGTTTGGTAGCACCGCCGAGCTCATCTACGGTGTGCTGGGTGCCTTGATCTTCTCCGGTTATATCCTCGTGGACACCCAGCTTGTTATGCGCCACTATCACGTTGAGGAGGAGATCGCCGCCGCCATTGCGCTGTACCTGGATATCCTGAACCTCTTCCTGTCGATTCTGCGCATCCTGAACAGCCAGAACAACAACTAAACGGACAGTAGTTGGTTTGCAGGGATATAAAGCCATCTCTCGGGCTTCATAGCAAGTATTCAGTTCGGACTTATTTTGGCAAGCCTGGTCCTCCAGATGCTTCTCCAAGCTGGTATCACAGGATATGTGATTAGGTTTCTGCATTCCTTCAAGATGGTAGCTTATGGCTGTCGTACATAGTCTTATCTCTTTTGCCTCTCGTCTTCTTCGGGTTTAGTTCTTCCAGTCCAGACAGATAGCACCACTCGCAAATAATATGGTTTATTGATGGAACTATTGGTCACAAAATACTAGACTCGTTTAGACGTTTCCCATTGCGTGCGTGGTTTATCATCTCGTCACTGGTCTCGCATCGCAGCGTGATGCTTGCAGCCGTATGCGCAAATCCAGCTTCAGGCTAGAGAACCGAATCCCAATCGATCCATTTAGTAATTGAGTCTCTTTTGCCTGCACTTTCCTTCCACCACTGGGTCGCTGAAACGTATTCTCCCAGGAATTATTCAAAAGTGGCCCAGCAGGAAGTAGAAGGGAAGGGAGGGCACCGTACGTATCGGTCAACTAGATTTAATTCCTTAGGGAACCTCCTTCCAGGTGTATATTGGAGTGGAAAGCTCCACCAGCGGAGGACCAAACCAAGGCGCAGATGGTCCATGAGTGGGCATAAGAGAAGGGTTATGTCCCACAACTGCCAGTCATCGCAGTTTGTTCTCGCCCTCTCTACGTAGTACATAAATTTGGTATGCTAGGCTCAATACTTAGCGCGTAGAAGGGAAAGAAAAAGGGAAGCGGCTTCACTATAAACATTGTATATCTCAATTCTGGGGCGCTCTGGTGGCAACATTCCAATCTTTGCTCCATGCTCTTGTAAAACGATTTCCATAAGTTGCAAATTATGTTGTAGGTACATAGATGCTAGAATTAAGGCTCTAATTTTAATCATTTCGTATCAGGAGTATCGGTAGCATGACAACTACCGCTGTTCATGGGGCAAATTTGGGGGAAATGGATTCTCAACGATGATGCCCCCTCGCCTTATGGCCTGTGTGAAGGTCACTCCGTTTCGAGACATCACACTTCTCAGCACCAGATCCATTTGTCGCGTCAATTATTCTCTGAGCCACGCTGTTCTGGTCTGAGGCTGTGATTTCGTCTTCACTCTTCGTCCAGCCAAGTTCTGTTGGGAGTCGCTCATGCTCTGTTCCATGAAAATTTGTAAGCGAGAAGGCTGCAATGCGTACGAGAATAGCCTCTAGTACTGCAGTAAACTCACCAAAGAAATACTCAACCCAAGACTTTTTGACAATCCCGGAAATTTTGTCACCAAACACAATAATGTATGCCGCAGACTCCCCGTAAGTATTTGGCAGAGCATCCTTCGAGAGCGCAAATTCCGGATTCGTAGCATTCGATGTATCAACACGAGCCTGGCGCGCAAGAGCCGCTTGATGCACGTCAATCAAAGGTCCCTTCCAGTAGGACCGAGTCTGGTCGAAAATGGCTTGGTTGAAACTATGGTCGTCTCCGAAGTAATAATCTTGTCGGCTGCACCAGAACATTTAGTTTCTATCTGCCTGGAAATGGGCCGAGTCAACATACCTCAAGCTTGCATCATGCTCCACGATATTGTGGCGAGTAAGGTCGTCGAGAGAAAACGTGGTAGCATCGGGATCCAAGGTTGTTGTCAAGGCCGCCTGGAATTGCATTTTGGCAAGGTCTCCATTGAGATTGATGGCAGACTTCAAGGCATTGAGCGTTTGCTCTTCGGTGATATTTTTGCCGTTATGAGGAAGATAACCATGGTTTGCTAAAGTGTTCAACATAGGACAAGGTGATCGAACTAGGAAGTATTAGGCATCAATTAAAACCTCAATTGAACTTGATGCTTACCATCTCCTGGGCCAGCAGTTTTCCACTGGACCAGAGGGTGGCCTCGTGGAAGTGAAAAGGCAGATACGCTCGCGCCAATGGCTGCGCACAGTATGAGTATCGTTTTCATATTTTAACTTTTGAAATCAATAATCTTGAGAAGTTATGGTGAGGGACCGTTAGAATTGTACTTCATGGGAGATTTATAAAATAAAGAAGCTTATCCGCAACAGTCCGTGCGAATTGGGGTCATAATTTCATTGAAAGAACACAGGTACAAACCCACCTCGAGGGATCGACACGTTCCGATGTCGATCAGCGGAGTCACTACGCCAATAAGCAGGAAAATAAACCAGCTCTAGGCTACATTGAGATCAAAGAAAACGGACTGTGCCGATAGGAGTACTCCAAGTTGGCCATGCCATCGAGTTTTCCCGTCGTTCAAACTATGATGAATCCTGTATGCTGTTGCTTATTTACATTTCTTGGTCAAATGCAGCATCACTTACATACTACATTTACTTAGTACCAGGAGAACTTTCGCATTGCAAGAGTAGAGATGTAGAGATTTTCTTCATTCTCCAGTTTTCGTGCATACAGGGATCATGCTGAGCTATCTAAAGCCACCAACAGCACTCAGCTTAAGCTCGTTGGGCGCAGCACCAACACCAACCCGTGGCCCTAGCCCAGCCTGCTTAAACTTTTTTGTTTCTTTCATCAAATGACAAATCCTCCTTTTTCAATCGCGAGCCAGCCGATTCACCACGGATGCGGGTTCTCGGCGTTCAATTACCTAACAGGGGCTAGACGCGCTTTTAGCGCTGGCCCCAAAAAAGGGACTTACAGAGTTGACAAATACAGTACGATAAAATTCGTGTCTATGTGCATTCATCATAAAAGAAGTCATGGCTAGTCATGCAAAATTACCAGAAATTGAGCTCCTCAACTTTCCTCTTCCTTTGGGATTATTGCACTGGCCGATGATGACTGGGTTTCTTCTCGCTCATCCAGAGGAGTCTCCACCCCTTCGCTGTCAGTGTAATCACCATCATCACCAGTCTCCTCGTCTTCCGAACTTTGACCCAGTTGGGCCACAGTAGCAGTTGAAAGATAGGAGGAAGCTCGCGCCGCTCAAAGTCTTGTGTATGGGCGGTTCCAGCCCTGAAGCTGAGGCGCCGAAGGCTTCCCGATGGGTGGCCAGAGGGGAAGCCGGCGCGCACACTCGAGGTTCCTGGACTTCCGACTCCGGTTTCGACGTCAACAACCGGTGATGGGGTGTGCTGGTCCTGGAGCTGGACATCGTCGACCCGGGAGCCCTCCCTAGATGTCCGGGTGGGATCGAACTTGTATGGTAGTGTAGGCTCGCGTGATGCGTGGAACTTCATCACGTTTGCGCAGTGTTCGTTCTCCACACGGAAGACTGACCATACACCACGGCGGAAGACTTCGGATAGTGAGACAAAGAAACTGAGGAAAGCCGAATGTTGGATGTCATTGGAGAAGATGGCATAAAAGATCCAATTGAATCGGACCACGACATCCAACACAATTGCGGCATAGTAGACCCACGCATAGCGGAAGCTTAGTTCGTCCCGCAAAAGAATGCGCTTGGCGTAGGGGTTTCCCAGACTCCAATCCATGACCACGTCCCAGATCGAGGTGTAAAGAGAGTTCAGGAGAGCGAAAGTGAGGAACGACGCTTGGAATCGTGTTTGTCTGTTGATGCGCCACATGGTCAGAGTCATGTAGTAGCCAATACCACATAGGTACTTTGCCAAGTTGAACAGATGCGGGAACGCATCCTGTGGGAACGAAAGTTTCTTTTTCTTCTTGTCATTGGCGTAACGGCGAACACACTGGCACGCACGCCAGAATGACGGTAGACAAGTGAAAACGCCCATTACCCTTGAGTGTGATGAATTGCACTTGACTGGGTCATACCAGTACGTGATATACAGGCAGAAGAAGAGTTCGATGTTCTACATATAATTAGCGAAGTCTCACGACATTGATATCGAGTACTTACCCCCATGGCATACGTATGAGAGCAGTACATATCTCCCAAGAAGAAATCCCGAAACTCGACAGTTCTGTACAACCCGGAGCACCACAAGCGCCACTGAACCCGTTAGTCGAGGAACGAAACAATCATCAAGAACGGACGAAGACTTACATTCGTGGCAGCCCACCACTTCCGACTCTGGTGATACAGCACGGGGGCTGGTAGAAAGATGATGATAACGGACAGGCCAATGAGCACCACGGGCCAGTATATATACATCTCATTAACCCATGAGAAATTGAGCCACATAAATAATCCCAGAAGAAAAAGAAAAAAACATGAAACCTAGACTACTGTCAGAGTGGAGCTCCGTGAGTATTCGATGATAGAAACGTACCTCAAGCAACTGGCGCCACTCCAGAGTGTGCCTGGTATTATATTCAAAAATGAATCTATAGTTGACCTTCGCCTTGGTCCAAACCATGCAAGCCAGGCAAAATAGCAATACATGAAATGAGATCAGAAAGTACCCGGCGTATATCTAGACAAAGAGTCAGTCAGCTCTGTGTAAGTTATACAGTAGGTGGGGGTAAAGACACCACGAACCTGTAGCAAGTAACTCGTATGAACCTGGATGGTGAGATCACCGTATAACAAATGCTTTGACGCATGCACAAGCGCCTGAATAGAAAATAAAATCCCAGCCATGAGGAAAAGGCCCGCGCGGAACGTGTTGGGAGAGTAATCTCCGGGCTTCTGCGTTGCGCTGCGGAGTTTCGTGGCGGCAATTTTGGTGTTGCCGGCCTCGAAATATCGCCCATACCAATCTTCTACCTTTCGCATCATCTCTGCTGTTTCTCCACTCTTGACAAAGTATGATTTGTTGACTCGCTCAGACATATATTCAAGGGGCTTCTCCGTATTGACCGCCTTGTCGAACTTCTTGTTGATCTTTCGAAAGGCCGTTTGGTTCAAATTGGCGTAGCCTCGCAGCAAATCAATGCCACGATAAAACTCCTGCATGGCAACTTTAAGTTGATGTTTGGCGGTCCGATACCCAGGGTCTTTGGTAGGTGAAACATCATGATGCATGTGTTCTCTTCGGTCGAACATGAACTCGCGATCCCTGGGCCGAATGCCGGGGGTCTCCAGCTGGGCCAGAGATTCTGAGTTCCTGCCAAAGCGAATGGATTTCCCGGTGAGTGTTTCTTTCAGTGTGTCCTTCAAGTGGGCAGCGTTCAACACTGCAAGTCCTTTCGGTCGATGCGGCGTATGATGGCCATTTCCCTCGGCAGCTTTCATTTCCCCTTGACGCTTGCGTGACATGACATGGAGTTGATGATGAAGTATATCGTATCGCTCCTTGGTTTCCTTCTCTTTCTTACGGTAGAAATTGTCGATCTTGCTCAGCTCCTCATCCAGCCAGGCAAAGAATTCACTATGGCGTTTCTCGACCTCTCGGCGTGAATCCGCTGGTGAAAGATCGTCTACATGAGAAAAGACACGTCGAATGAATTGCGGAGTACGATTCACCGCGAGCGTGTTGGGCGAGACCCCGGTTACTTCAGGCGGTATTGAGTCCTCGGGGGTGGTCTCGCGATGGAGAGAAGATTTGTGTCTAGTTGGGACCTTGGTCAAATTGGATTCTGGAGGAGCAGAGGCAACCCGTCGAGTGAGAACTGGTGACGAATTCTTGAGTCCCCTAGGACCTAAATTGTCGCCCGGCGGTACATAATCTTGATTGGGATCGATAGCAGGATCCGGCAGCCTGAGCGACCTAATGTCCGGGCTTTCCGCAGGGTATTGTCGGGGGGATGCCACGATACTGCCGTAACTGCCCACAGGCCCTGAAAATCGCGACCCAGGTGTTTGCAATGGCTGATGCTCGGTTGTCGGAATTGGTCCAGTCAAAGAATCGTTATGGTCCGGTGCATCGAATTCAAATGCCGAAATATGAGAAGACGCGGATGGGTATCGCATATGTTGGGATCGAGCCGAGAGTCCTGGTGTACGGTTTGCCGTTCGAAGTGCTCGAGTGATGGCCTTGATCTTCTTCTTGCCTGTCTACACAACCCCGCCGTTAGTCGCGATCCAGTGGCGTATACCTTGAAGAGGAAGAATCACCTACCTTATAGTCAAGATACATCACCCGCCATTCCGGCACCAACTCTTTTTCCAGCTCTCTGTGTTGGAATTATGGTTAACCGCTGGAATGTCTCCTTGGGATGCGTCATGGGACAGAGGGGGGGGGACTCACTTGGCGAACTTCATCCTTGCGGCGAAACGACTGTCATGGCATACCTAGCGGTGGTGGGAAGGGGGGGGGAAGGGGAATGCGGGAGCCGAGTATTCGAATGAGAATAAATCTGGCGGTGCACAAAAAGATGCAAGAAGATCCCAACGAAAATTCAAAGCACAGATCGGAGAGAAGCGCAAAAAGCCTGCACGAAGCAGAGGCGCCCCGATAAGCGTGATTGGTGGCAGCCAAGCCGGTACTAAGCCAAGTTGGACATTCGCAACAACGTAGCGGAGGTCGAGAGAAAACAGGAAAAAAGTCGATTCAGGTCGCCGGGTCGGCGTTAAGGTAAAGAAACGCCGGGGATTCGCGCGCGTCTCAAGTACCGCGAGATCTAAGTTGACGCCTCTTTTGGAGCTGGTGGCGAGTAAATTTTCCGGTGAATCTTGCAACAATCAGAGAGCTTGATGCGAGCACGTGCGACTTCATGATGCGCTCATGGTTCCCGCTGGATGCCTGAAGGTGCCTGAGGATGCCTGGAATTGCCCCATCATGCCTGAGTGTTCAGGCTTTAACGCGCCAATTGGTCAGCGTAGAATCTGATTGGTTCTTGGATCAGCTCACGGCCCCACCGGCCCAAATTCCAATGGCGTTCTGGAATTCCAACTTTGATACTCTATTCTTTCGAGGACTATAGGTCAGGAGAGCCTCCATCGCTCCTCCGATCCCTGCATATCACATGGACTTTGTCACACGCTGGTAGAGATGCAGTCTGTTTGACAATACACTCGTCATTTGATACGAGATACTCTCGTATAGCCACGAGAGCGTAACTGCTTCCAACCAATCGTGAAGATCTACAGAGTGCGTGCGGGTCTGGAATGCAGCCCTGGAATGCGCTCGGCGGGTTCTCATGGTGATGACTGGCTAGGAGAATATCTGTCTCTGCAACGTTACGCCCTATGCCAGTGAGATAGCACACACCTCCTTGATCGATCGGCCCTCATCTGGTGATGAATCAGGCAAGAGACTCATTAACTTTGCCTCACGATGTAAGAAGGTGCCTTCTCGGGGACCTCGCAAGATAAATGATGCTCTCAGTGACATCAAGAGTTGCTAGCATGTGATGGCACCTTGAAAGTAGGGAGAATTTGGTAATTGGATATCATATCATTGCTTGACTTTCCTGCCCGGGTACACATATGTGCAAAAGTACATACACCATCGGCAAGAATGCCCTATCAAAAAATTGTTCATATCTTCATCTAATCACAGGTATCCCCCGGAAGCCACTCAGTATGTCCATTTAAGCTACCGGAGCCCCGCTACCCGATGTCATTCATATCTGGCACATTTACCAGCGGCCAGGACGTTCGAAACGCTCGTGACGCTCGTAGCGGTTGGGGTCGTACTCGTCAGCACCGTGGCCACGAACGTAGTGCTCGTCGTACAGGTGCTCGGCGTTCTTCTTGGCGTGCTCGTGGGCGCGGAGACGGTCAACCTCATCCATGCCCTTGGTCTCGGCGAGCTTGTCGACCTCGGCGCCAACAAGGCCCATAAGGGCCTCCTTGGCGAAGGCGTGCTTGACGACCTTGCCTGTTGATAAAATATCATTAGACATCAGGAACCTATCTCAACCGTTCATGGGTTATATAGACATGAACACATACCCTCCTTGCGCTGGTGGTCCTCCCAAGCCTTCATTCCGGCGAAGGAAGCAGCACCGGCGATCAGCTCGTGGCTGAAGTGGCTCTCGTGGTTCTGCTCACCGTACACCTGGCGGTGAGCATCATCAGATTCTTCTATGGTCATGGGTCAGCATTCTTCCGATTTGAAACATACATCCGGAGCTCGTGGTGTGTGGTGGTGCGTATTGGGCGTGCATTATGTACGCAAACTCCCTGCAGAGGGTGCGGGGTGTATGTGACTGATGAAGATGTGTACATAGGGAGACACGACAGACAGACTTACCCCAGCCCCAAGCCATTATGAACGTAATAAGAAGTAGTTGGAAGGAGGTATAGAGAGATAGTACTCAAAAAGCGCGATAATTAGCCAAAAACAAAATAGCTCAGCTCGGGGCTATGAGGGGATTCTTATAGCCGGGACCATCACAGCGGAATACTCCAGAACCACCGGAATAATAGGTACGTATTCCACTCAGCATATTCAGGAGCAGCTCTCTCTATTGCACCCCTCTTTGTCTCAGCTCTCGAAAGCCCCACCGAATCTGTGGACGCTGTGGCTGAGGACAGCGTCTTACAGGGGTACAGTGGCAGTTCAAAAGTCGGAAACCAGGGACCAAGAAAACAGGCCGTCAAAATATGCCTCGATTTTATGTTTTTAACAGATCTTTCTGAATGTCTTTTGAACCCTCTTTCTAGATATTCCCGGCATCTGTGTTTTAACTTGTCTTTCAAAGTATAGCTGATGAGATGGGTTTGAACTTTTGCGGGTGTTGCAAACTTATGGAACACCACTGTACTTTCTTAGGATGGTCGTAGGCAGATGGAGACAGGCCCCTCCCAAACACCCCTCGGCCACGGAACCAGCGACCACTAATTAAGTGCTTTGCCCCTCCATCGAGTAAGTGGAGATACCAGATCGCACCGCCTTCTCACATTTCAGCCACTAGATAACCCGGGGCGCTAGAAGAGTGGCACCTGGGGAGAGCTGACCCAGTGAGACTATCGGCGGCATTGCGTTGTCCGACCGCGAGGACCGACATCTGTAGGGGAAACAAAATCATTTGGGCCTGATACGGGAGAACACTCCAGGAGTCCAGATTGTAGCTGGGCTTTATTCCTGGCGCAGTCTGATGCTATCCATAAACCTAATCGGGACACAGTAATACTGTATTCATACTTCGAGATTTCATCGCAACCCTAGATCATACAATTGTGACCCTGTCCAGCGCTTCTATTCTCGCCAAGAAGCGGGACTTCAAGGGTAGAGACATAATCAATCCAGCACTTCCCCTAAACCGGAGCTTTCATGGCCCAAAACGAGTCGCCTCGGGGGGTTGCGACTACGTGTCCCACCGGATCCAATGAGGCGCCGATCAACAGGACCCAGCGGGATCCAGTCAGCCCTACTTTGGCCGCTAGTCAACAAATGAAACAACCAAGACCCATTGGACCATTGTAAAGCTTTACTGCTTCTGTGTTAGTTGTTCAATCCGCACCCTTCCGGATACTATATCACGGTACTGTATCTCTTGGCCCCGTCCGAGTTGGGCGGCACATGAGGCCGGTGTTGCCGGGCTAAGCTTCTCTTGTCCGAGGTTTGTCCGCGCCTTACGAGGCCGGGAGGTCTCCTTCTCATTCTTGGCATTGGCTATGGGAGGGAGTGGCGGTGAGTATACGCCAGCTCAATTCACGTCTCTGCGTTGATTTTAGGCATACACATAATTGATGGTACGGAGCTCAACAGAATGGTAAATGGCTCATTTGGGTCTCGGTTGCATGGTGGACTGTTGGGGATTGTGATGAGCGGCCTTGGCATTACGTACATGCACCGCCCCGTGTGGCGCATGACCCAGCCACAGTTGTCTTCTGGGGCCTGAGCCTTGCCTCCTGTGTCGTCATTGTATGGAGGGATGTTAATTATAGCATGCGAGCTGCTCGACAGATGGGAAACTAAGGACCCATTGATTGAGCAAAGACAATCCCGCGAAGAACTGCCCCGATGGTTAATCAGATCACTATTTTTCGAAGACGTTACCTCCTCAGTATCTGAAGGAATGAACGAAATGATGTGGTTACTGTCAATATCATTGAACCGAAGTATACAACTAATTAATAATTTCACAAAGAGAGCCAATCACCTAGTGTTGATGGTATGACTGGGTCAGGTCATGATTCCATGCATACGTACAACAAAAGCGAGCCTAAATCACTAGGCAGGATGAAACCACACCTAAGTACCCCAGAGTACTCAATCTGTTGTGGTTATCAGCCTCAGAATGGGGATTTTTATCAGAGGGTTTCCAAACTGGCTTGACTGTCTGGAGGCTGGCAGACAACTAATACAATTCGGACCGAGTGAAAAGAACTCAACGTCTAGTCTTAAATGTTGGAAAATTCCGTGGTATCCAATGTAATTACCAAGCATGGCACGAGAAGAGAGGGATTGAGAGACACACGCAAGAATATCTGCAGGATGCCTCATAGACTAGGCACTAACAGACCTATCTCGTCATAATAGATACTTTTTACGAACAGGAGATCAGGACAAATGTTGCGATCATAGAGAATACTATTAGCCCGAGCTTGACATGCACATGAATTAGTGCAATGGAGATAGAATTTTGCCATATCTTGTTTGGATGCGATCCAAAGCTTCAAATCTTGGTGTCGCTAACCTAAAGCGTCAGAGCTTGTGAATTTCCAGCTTCAACAAACAGCTTCAGACAATTGCATAGCAAATATCTACCAATAAGTCACTGCTGGCAAGACAGATCAAAGCATTTATCGCTTTAAATATCACTAAACCAATGGTTGTCGCAGACCAGCACCCTTAGGTAAGCAAAAATATGTACTGGAGACCGGCTAATAAACCAAATCTCCAGTGTGGTTATCCATACGCTGCTCATTCTAGCTACTTAATCTTGAGGACTCTGTTACTCTTTCGAAAACATCCATGGATCTTTCTGTTAAGTATCTCCAACTTAGTCGATAGTGGATATGACTATGCTGATATGCAGATTATACTGTTAAGATTCCTTCTGATCTGAAATGTGATATCGGTTTGTTTAGAAATTGACTCGCCAGGTGGGACCAATCTATAAAGCGAGGAAAATCTATATCCAAATCGACTCCGGTTACATACAAAGAGCTCTCAGCAGTGGTTTTTGTGATATACTAACTGGCTCTATATATTATTATACCGTATAAAATCTCATCTTCCGATTCACGGTTGTCTCATGAAGGAAATCGCATTCTCAAAGCATGCAATTATTCCCCGCATGCGTAAGGGGCACACCGCGACCAAATTAGTCGCTCATTAATATTAGCTACGGCGACATTCCAGTCGCGAACATTTTCCAAGTGTAAACCTCATGTCTGTCAAACATTTTACCCAAGCTTTGCTCTTCCCGGGGCCCCACACTGGCTGCACATGCCAAAATCCCGGCTAGACCAACGACCAACAACCACACCCCGAGGGGGGCGCCGCCTTCAATCGCTTCTGGCTAAGTTCGAATTGAAATTAACACATGCAAACAACAGCCAGACAAGCATGAAACTCATTCGCTCTCCTAAAGAAGAAACATCCTGGCTAGCAAATCTTAATGTTACCTTGCGAGGCCGAGGCTAGCCTCGAATCGGCGGTCCCTCCGGCCCTAAATCGCCACATCCGAATAGGCTCTTCAACTCCACACGATTCTACAAGGAGGGTCCAGGGTCCGAATTCTGGGCGATATCGCCATAGCTGCTTCACATCCTGGACTGGTTGAACTTTCTTACCGAGAACAGGGTCTATGAGTGTTCAGCTCCTGCAAACAATTCTGCAGAGGCTTAGGTGCTGTGTTCTATAGCGTCCTTTGAGGCCTGTCCATACTACAGAGGTCAAAGACTCCTCCCTCGGCTCTTCGCTCCACGCAATTCGGATAGCAAGCTACTTGTTTCCCGCAAAGCCGAATAGCCTGAATATTGGCCTGTGGATCGTTTCAGACCAAGTATCGAAGTGTGGCTTAACATTCTGGCCTTGATGACAGAAATACCATGGGATAACCGAAGGCGATGCTTTCGGGGCTTCATAGACACCAATATAAACACTGGCCAAGACCGTTCATGGGCCGCACAACGGGCAAAAGACGGATATTCTGCGGGGCCGATCGAGAGGGAGTAACCCATTTAGTGCAATCTCAGGCCGGGCAACATGCCACGCGTATGCTCTAATTTGACGGGATGCGAAGGAAAAGATGGTGGACCGGCCCGATCAGGACAAGAAAGGGACTTGTGGGGTTGGGGATATCAGGCACCAGCCAGTACTGGCATTGATTGGGGTGGTTAGCTTCGGACTGAGTAGCCAGTCATGTTGCGAGAATACTTTTAAATCTTTGTGAAGAAGTGCTCGGATGGCGTCGAATACGACGAGAAGCCCTTCCCCGCAGCATTTGACCTATCGGCATTGACCGAAATCTGCAAACCCCCCGTCATTACGGGTTTGACTGGGGAGCGCTGCAGGGATGGGGAACTTCTGGAATATTCATCACATCTTCGAAGCGCTAACGAGTATTCGGTTCGGAGTTGAGTGAAGTCTGTTTACCGAAATTGTCCTGAGATCATGTTTGGCTGCGCAGCATCGAAACTATAAAGAGGAGATCTACTCGTCAGGGCCATCATTTTTACCAGACTCTTCGCATCTCTTTATCTCGACTGAACAGCGCTTTATCTCGTCGAGTTCGTCTAATATCAATGTCTCGTCTTCTCTACGCGCTTGGTGCGCTGGCCTTGGGCCAAACTGCGCTGGCGGCTCCCCAGTTGTCTCCTCGTGCTACTGCCAGTTTGGATTCTTGGCTGGCCACCGAGACTACTTTCGCCCTTAACGGAATCCTAAACAATATCGGTGCCAGCGGTGCTTATGCCCAGAGCGCCAAAAACGGCGCTGTGATTGCCAGTCCTAGCACCAGCAACCCAAACTGTAAGCAACTGAATCGGTCCTCCTTTTTGTTCTCCATCAGATCCTAACAGGTCTAGATTACTATACATGGTCCCGAGACTCTGCGCTCACCTTGAAGGTTCTCATTGATCTCTTCCGTAATGGAAACCTGGGCCTGCAGACCATTATTGAGGAATACATCAATGCACAGGCTGATCTGCAGACCGTATCCAACCCCTCTGGGGATCTCTCCAATGGTGCTGGCCTCGGTGAGCCCAAGTTCAACGTGGACCTGTCCGCATTCACTGGCGCCTGGGGCCGTCCTCAACGCGATGGCCCCGCTCTACGCGCCATTGCACTGATTGACTTTGGTAACTGGCTGATCGTATGTTCCACTACCTGAAAATTGATAAAGTATACTGACTGTATTAGGATAACGGATACCCTAGTTATGCTGTCAACAATGTGTGGCCAATTGTCCGCAACGACCTGTCTTACGTTGCTCAGTACTGGAGCCAAACTGGCTTTGGTGCGTTCCAATCTCCACAGCAATTCTCGTCGAAGATTCACTAATATTCCTTCAGATCTCTGGGAAGAAGTCAACAGCATGTCCTTCTTCACTGTTGCTAACCAGCACCGTTCTCTTGTTGAGGGAAGCGCCTTTGCTAGCCGGGTTGGAGCTTCTTGCTCTTGGTGCGACTCGCAGGCTCCCCAGATCCTCTGCTATTTGCAAAGCTTCTGGACCGGTTCCTATATCAATGCGAACACTGGCGGTGGTCGCTCCGGAAAGGATGCCAACACTGTTCTCGCCAGCATTCACACCTTTGACCCCGAGGCAACCTGCGATGATACCACCTTCCAGCCATGCTCTTCTCGTGCCCTTGCAAACCACAAGGTCTACACCGACTCGTTCCGTTCTATCTATTCACTTAACTCTGGCATCGCTGAGGGTGTTGCCGTCGCTGTTGGCCGCTACCCCGAAGACTCATACTATAACGGCAACCCGTGGTTCTTGTCAAACCTGGCTGCCGCTGAGCAATTGTACGATGCGATCTACCAATGGAACAAGATTGGTTCTATCACTATCACTAGCACCTCTCTGGCCTTCTTCAAAGATGTCTACAGTTCTTCTGCCGTCGGCACCTATGCTTCAGGTAGCTCAACCTTCACAGCCATCATCAACGCTGTGAAGACCTATGCCGATGGTTACGTTAGCATCGTACAGGCTCACGCCTTCACCAACGGTTCTCTCTCAGAGCAATACGACAAGAGCAGTGGGCTCTCTCTCTCTGCCCGTGATCTCACCTGGTCTTATGCCGCACTGCTCACTGCGAACATGCGCCGCAACGGCGTCGTCCCTCCTTCGTGGGGCGCTAGTTCCGCCAACACCGTCCCTTCTTCTTGCTCCATGGGCTCTGCTGCCGGCACTTACGCTACTCCCACCGCAACCTCCTGGCCCAGCACCCTGACCAGCGGTACCCCAGTTTCCACCACTTCTACCTCTACCTCTACCTCCTCCGGCTCATGCACTACCCCAACCTCCGTTGCCGTAACCTTCGATGAGCTTGCCACCACCACCTATGGCGAGAATGTTTACATCGTCGGTTCTATCTCGCAGCTGGGTAGCTGGAACACCGCCAATGCCATCCTCCTAAGCGCCAGCCAGTACACTTCTAGCAACCCATTGTGGTTTGTGACTATCAATCTCCCCGCCGGCACCACGTTCCAGTACAAGTATATCCGGAAGGAGACAGACGGGTCAATTACATGGGAGAGTGACCCCAACCGCTCTTACACTGTGCCTGCGGCATGTGGAACCACCACGACTACTGAGAATGATACATGGCGTTAAAGTAGAGGCAGATCACAAGTTCTTGTGGCTACATCCAATATGGAAATTCGCTGCGAGATATCCTACAAGTGATGATCAGACGGAGAAATGTAAACGAAAGCGCACGATAGTGTATTAAACAGCCTTGATTTCCGATTTATAGCTTCAATGAACAAATTTTGTAACTCATTACGTTACCTTTTCCATCATTGCTAGTCTCAGCCGTCCACGGATCTTTCAATATTATTCTAGTTGGCGATTTCTCAACACGGTCTTGGGTGGCTGGAATTCAAAGTCTCGAGATTGATTATCAGATGAAAGAACATCCACTGAACCAAAGTGGACCTGAATTTGTTGAATGGGATTCTCTTGGTTTAGCCTATTAAATCCACATCAGAGACAGACACCAGTGAACTAAATATATAGTTCGGCAGATCCTTATCCTCAAAGGTCGGTAAATCGTACGTGACAGCACCCACAATTGTCACTTTCCCTTTGCCAGTATTTCATGCATTAGATAACCCAGTAATAATTTACATTGTCTCGAGAACTCCATAGATTGCATTCATGATCGTGGCTCGTGCCAATGGCGAACTTCTGGTCTCTCAGCCACACTAGATTATCGCGAAGATAACAACAGCCACAGACAGCCACAGACAGCCACAACCTTAACCAGCCCCTCCATGCGACCCTCTTTTCCTCTGAAGCTTTCAGTCAAGCTCCAGCCAGGCCGAATTGGCCGCAGAAGACAAAAAGAAGAAATTGCCCTTTCTTATATATTCACCATGCCGACAAAAACGCCCACCCAGTCCGACTTCCCCTCCAATCTCACCGTCACCATCACCCTCCCTCCTTCTTCCACCTCCACACCAACCCCGAACATCCTCCTCCTACTACACGGCATTGGCGACTCAGCCGCAGGCTTCACATCATTCGGCCGCGCCCTACGCCTCCCCGAAACAACTATCATCACCATCCAAGCTCCAGCCCCGCTCCCCTTCGATCTTGGCGGCTTCCACTGGGGCGACGATCTATCCTTCGACAGCCGAACCGGCGCACTAGACATGGACGCAGGATTCTCGCGGAGCACAGCTCTCCTCACGAATGAAATTATCCGCCAGGTACTCGTTGAAAAATGCGGCTACCAACTACGCGAGATCATGATCCTGGGATTTGGACAGGGCGGTATGGTCGGTCTAGCCGCGGCGCGGGAGTTAGGCAGCGCAGCTGGAAAGGAGAATCAGGACCGGATAAGTGGGGCACTCGCAGGCGTGATTTCTATCGGGGCACCATATGCACTATCTGGCACGCGTTCTGGCGCGAAGAATCGCTCGCCAGTGCTGCTTGTTGCGGGACGGGACTCGGAGGCTGTGTCGGATGGGGCGGTGCGTAGGACGAAGGATGTCTTTGAATTCGTGGAGGTTAGTCGGTATGCGCGGAAAGGGGATGGAATGCCTTCGAATCGGGATGAGATGCTTCCTGTGATGCAGTTCTTTGCGAGGAGGTTGCGTAGTCGACAGGGTGTACCGGAGGGGAGTGTTGAGATTGGGTGATATCCTCTCAAGCTTTGAGAATTGTGTCTACGATGTATGAATATCATGAATTATAGAAAGTTCTTGAAGGTGTGATTGTATATTACTTTTATGGAACATCCCATGCCAGACTTGAGTTCGGCATCTGCGAGGCGACTCTGCTTCTCTTTAGTATTCGATTTCGCTTCGTTTAGGTATTAGAGTATCTCGACGTTGATTCCATTCTATAGAACATTCAGGAGTTTAGGGGCCTTTGACCATAGGCAATAACCAAACAGAATAGCCACATTGTAGCAAATCTTCAAACTGAGTGGTAGTTATATGAGATATTACAGTCATCACTATGAGCATCCGTGCCACGGCGTTTAGACGGGGAGCCAAAATCGCCGTGTGAGCCAGGTTCATTTGCGCTGTGAGTATCACTGTGATTGTCCTCGGTCGGTCTTGGCGATCTATCGGCTTTCTTTATAGCGGTGGAAAGAGCTTCATCACGGTATTCTTGTGGATCATCAATAAAGCACAGCGAATGGAGTGTACGTAGCTGATTTTGTATTTCCGATGGGAGTAAACTAACTTGAGCAGTGCCTAGTAAAGCGATCGCCCGTCGGATCGCGAACATTGGCTCTCCATGTCATGTCTTGTGTGTGGATCGCTTCAAGTAATCGACCTCTGGCGGTAGGAACTGGTCCAGGAATACTCTTCGATAGAGTCCGCCGTTAGGACACTCTGGAATAACTCTGGTGTCCTCCTGGTGTTTCCGGTAGTCCAATGCTCTCGGGACACTTCGTGCTGAACTCTCGGAGGTAGCCGCACTACGTTTCTGCTTATCATTGCGCTCAAAGTCGATAAAGTATTGAAGGTCGGTTGGAAAAAAGACGAATTGCGGATCGATGGTTTTATCGTACACCGCGTGACAGGAAAAATGTCCAGCTGAAACATTTCAAAATCTTTTTCTTTCAGGATTAATCCCAATGACTCTTGAAACATCTTCCTAGCTAACCCAGGCAGTATACCTCAATTTATCTTCTAAAGTATGGCTGACGAGGGTTTTGAGCTTCCCGAGGGTTTCAAACATATGGAACACCACTGACCGTTACTATAATGGTGGACATTCACACATACTACCTTGATCAGTGCGAATAGGACAAGACCGGCGCTCATATCATATAGTGAGCATAGTCTCTTGAATTAGGTGTATATACTAAGTGTACATCGTCGAATGCCCATCCGTATTATCACATAACAGATTACACGGTGAGCCGACGCAGAGCCGACGCAGAGCCAGCATCTTTTTCCTTTGACCGCACGCCTTCGCAGGTATATCATACGTCTCACCCTCAAAGCAAAGCAAATGCACCAATCGCAGCACCAGCAACAGCCATCAACGAACCGGTCAGCGCATCACCAGCATTGGTGGTAGCAGCGGGGGCCGCAGAGCCACTGGAAGAAGCCGTCCCATTGGACGCAGCAGAGGAAGAGAGACCGCTAGACGACAGAGTCGCTGCCACAGTCGTCGCGGGCGTAGTAGTCCCACTACCCGATGACCCAGTTCCAGTAGCACTGCTCGCCGAAGTTGAAGAAGCAACACTCGTCTCCTTTGTAGTCATATCCGATGCAGACGTAGACTCGGCAGAAGAGCTCTTCGAAGTGGTCGTCGCAGTTGCAAGCGCAGAGGAAGGCGTGAAGCAGGACAGGTAGGAAGTAGTGCGGACCTCGGTGCCTGTGTATCCAGGGCATCCAGGCTCATCGGTCTTGGGTGGAGCGCGGCCACCGCCGCAGTCGAGCGGATCGCATACCTCGCCGGTATCGGGGTCGTACCAGTGGACGATCTTGTCTTCGCAGGTGGTGAAGCTGTGGGTGGAGCAGCCGACGGCGAGGGCGTTGCCTGCCAGCATGAGCAGAGGCAGGGCGGTGGTGAGCATTGATTTAAGGAGCATTGTGGATGTTTGTACAGTATTTTGCTGATCTGGGTTTGAGATGAGAGTGGAGTACTCCGTAGTCCGTACAGTCCCAGGGGTGGGATTTGGAGGGCTGATTGATATGAAGATCTGGGGAGGGAAGGGAAGGGAAGAAGAGAGGATCAGCAGGAGTTATACAGACAAATTGACATAGCCCCAATCGTTCGTTAGTTAGTTAACTAGCGGCTGAAGCATGAGTCAGGAGAGTTCTACTAGACCCCCGGAGGCTTCTAATTTGAAATTACAGAGTCGCATTCAGAGGCTGCCATTACAGGGTTCTGGGGTTGAACATGACTGCAGTGAGCCGCAGAGGCCCACTGCTTGCCCCTGGTCTAGAGTCGCTTCGGTCACATCTTTGGAATGATTGGCTAGTTCAAAATAAGACCGCCAAATCCTGGGCGTTTACAGGTGGCATTTGCGAGCTATTATGAGGCTCTAGCCTACATGGATGTTAGTGTCTCTTGGCGTTATGGGGGGCCAGAAAGCTTTTCAATTTCCGTCCGACGGTGCCGAGTGCCGGGGATGCGCCTCTTCCAGATCCTGGCCATTTGCAAGAACATTGACATTTTAAATTATTGCCTTTGATAGATTATGATTCGCAGAAAGAATAACCCAAGGGCGCGTTGTAAAACTTATGCCTTACTTGCCTAAGATACCTCCGCCTCGATAATACTTTGACCTGGATATGGGGGATCCCAAAACTTCACCACTTGGAATCCAGACGCAGTCAACAGCCTCTCCCAATGAGAACGAGTGCGCTCCATACCACAGTGAACGGCTAACATCATCCAATCTCCCAAGGAAGGAATAGGCTCGGCGTCTTTGTCAGCTAGAATGACTTCCTCGATGAGAAGCTTCGAATAGCCCTTTTTCATAGTCCCCTTGAACTGTTGCAGAATCTGGTGACATTGACGATCTGCCCAATCGTGCAATACAAACTTCATGTAATATGCTCGGGCACCTAAATCACTTTTAGCTTGGCTTGAGACTTCTATTGAGGTGCGGGAGTATCACCTTTGACAGGCTGTGCCTCAAAGAGGTCAAACGGCTGGCACTCAATCCCAGGACTAAGAGTCATCCCCTCGAGCACCTGTGGTAGGTCTTCAACGATAAGACGACCTGGTACGTCGGAGAACTTTGCATGAAATATTTCCAAATCATACCCTCGTCCCCCAGCCACGTCGACTAGGAGCACACCTCCCTCCTGGTCCTCAAACCCGTCAATGATGCATTCTTGTACAGGAAACCAGTCAATCCAAGTCGGTCGATTGGCTTTCCTGCCTGTCATATGGACATAAAACTCATCCATGTTTTCCTGGTTCTTGAACAACAGACTCCACATGGACTCTTCGGTTTTCTCGACATATTGGAAAAGGCCTTTGTTTGATTCGAGTGGAGTTTGAAACCCATTTTCACGAAAGTATTCGGGTGCCTTCGCATATAACGGCATACAAACATCGAACCTGGTGTAGAGAAATGTCAATGAGAATCTTTGATCTCTGTGGATAGTGAATAATGGGACGCACCCGAATTTGAGCACGGCGACTGCACCTGGGGTACTCATGTACCGGGTCATTGCGTTGGCAGCGTATACTCGGATGTCATATTCAACAACGTAGCCGGCCCCTGCGAGGATACGCAATACTCGCTCTATCCAGAGAAATGTGGACGTGAGTGTACATGAGTCAACTATGTTGAGATGGAGCATAATCACCTGTGAACATAGGGTCCGCGTTCTTGATCGCGGCCAGTTCCTCAAGTTGACAAGCCCATCCCTTTCCGTGAGGGTCTTGAATATGTCAAGGTCTATGGCAATTCTGACGCAGAGGGGTTGAACCGGCTGGTCATGAAGTCAGGTCTATTTTCAAAGTGCCATTTTTCAAAAAACAATGCACCGAAGAGCCCGTCATCAATGCCATATCATATGGCTTTTCAAGTGCCTGAACCAATCTGCGAGCAGCTTTCAAGGCGGCGATGCGTTCGAGGTCATTGTGGTCTTGCTTGAAGTTCCCAGTTGCTCGGCAGAGCTGGTCAAGCAGTTCTTCTATATCTCCAATATTGGGTATTTCAAAGGACATGGTTCAAAATGATCGTTGCGTAATGCTTACTTCCGAAAATTGGAAGGAAGAATAGGGACTAGAGAAGATCTTATAGGATTGGGTTTTGGTGACACGATGAGATTCAAGTCACACAATTCCAATTCGTATTCGTAAGGTGGCACAAGTGAGTAGATGCTGTGACAGGAAGCTCTTTCTTGGCCCATTTAAAAAAGGATTGCGTCAATGACGAGCACCGGATGCTTCTATTGACATGGTCTTCTATGGCAGTTTCCATCTATAACAACACCCAGCAATGCATGCCCTCTATTTTTGCCTTCCTGCAACGAAAGACATACGCCCAATGCACCCCGTACATCTCATCTAACCGTTCGAATCATTTGCAAGGTCATATCACATGAAAAGAAACCAGAAACGCAACCCTCACTTCTTAATACCAATAACAACCAAATTCCGCGGGCTCTCGCTATACTCAAACACAGGCTCAACCCAACACTCCTTTACGGAGTCATGCTCCCGCAAGAACTGCCAGCGATCCACAACAATAACCGCCTCCACAACCTGCGCGCTAAACGCCATCAAGCTCCACACGACGCTAAGATGCTTCTTTGTAGGGAAGTACTCCGCCTCGTAGCGCTGGATCTCCTCGTCTGTCATGGTAGCAATGTGCTCTTGAACCTTTGCGGCATGTTTCGGATCACGTAGGAGTCTGGCTGTCGCGGCGCGGACATACGCAGTGAAAGATTCGAATGCGCGCTTAGGAAGTGATCCGATAATCACAGCAGCCGTCGATTCGTCGCTCTCATCCTCGGCGTAGAGGTCCTCAGGAATCCCCGGTTTAGGTGCGACACCACGGTCAACGAAAATGCGCTGTAGGAGCGCACGGAAGTGATGCCGAGCAAAGAAGCGCTCGCTATCATCGTGGCCCCAATTGTATGGTGCCTGGACAGCCATCATGCGCGCCGTAATGTTGAATTTCATACCGATTGCACCGGGGCTTTGATAGGTCTCAAAGTACTTGGACATTGGGAAGCCGTGGGGATCGTATGAGTTGCCAGTTGCTTGGAGACGGGGGTGGAGGGAGCGGAGGACGGGGAGTTTGTATGTTGCTGGGCCCAGGCGTTCGGTCATGAGGTTGTAGCAGCAGCCGATCATGGCGACTGCTACCACGGAGGGATTGAGGATTAAGGAGCGGACGCCGTGGTGGACGAGATTGCCGCAGGAATGAAGGGAGACGACCATTACTCGACCGTTGTTTGGTTGCTGCTCGTCTGGCTGGATTGTTATGGAGGTGGTTATTTCGTCTGTGGCGGGTTCACTTGGGGTCGTCGGAGTAGATGGATTGACGACATGGTCAATAATAGGCTCGAGGTATCCATCTTGGATGTTGTGTTCGATATAGCTGATCGTTCCTCGGGTATCGATTTCGTGATCAGGTTTCTGTTTCTGCCCTCCCTTGGTCATCGATCCAAGTAGTTCGTGAGGCTCAAGGGTGATCTCGCCCAGCATTTTGAACATGGTGACACTCTCCTGGTCGTCCGCGATCTCTCCTTGAGGTGGAACATCCTCGGAAACCTGCGACTTTCCCAGTTCTGATCGTGTCTCTGCATTATCAGATTCTGCCACTTCCGGTGCGCCATTGCAGTCATTGCAAGACTTCTTGCGGCTATGCATATATACCGTCTTGGACTTTTCTTTCTCTCGCAACTTGGCCGAGACGTCCATGCCCATGGCACCGGCAATGTACTGGTGCTTCCGCTCAATTGCGATAATATGTTTATGATAGGGCGAGCTAGCCAGCGTTCGCCCAAGATAATTCTGTCCAGAACCAAAGTCCACGATATGGGACACCGGCTCACCGCGACTCTCGCCCACGGTATCGGCTAACGTCGCGACGTAGCCGGAAAAGTATTTGACCTCGTGCTCCTTTTTCGTCTTCATACCGACTGCCACATGTCTCGGTAGTTTTGTTTTATTCCGCACAGTAGTCTTGAAATCTCGGCGAAGACTGAGTCCGCGAACATCGTGGATATAGTCTAACAAGCTCTGCGGAGGGAATGCGCCGTCCTTCCACGTGCGATTATCTGCGCTGGCGCCTCCGTTGGTTGCGTCCGCGCGCAATGGCTCAATATCTTCTCGCAGAAGCAATTGTAGTATATCGTGGATGTCATGGTTCTCGAAGAATGCGCGCCATTCTTCTGGGAGCAGGGTGGTGTATAGATCGGGTTCGCGGGTGAGGAAATCGAGGATGTGCACGCCACCGCATAAGTTCATGAACAGTACATTGGTCGTCGCAAAGTTGAGAAGCTCTTTAATGTAGGTGTCTGTGTCCTCCCACTCGTCGGAGAGTGGAAGGGAGCGATCGCGAGCCATGCGAAGAGGCTGTGAGTTGTCTTGCGCAAAATGCGAAAAAAGGCAAATTGAATATCGCGGGGAATTGTTATCTTTTTTTTTTATCGGCGACCCGCTGAGTCAGGTCCAGCCTGGCATTCGGGCCCTAACAGGGAACTATGGATCGGAAGTATGAGATCAATAGTTGTTGAATTGACAAGCACTTCGGATTACATACTACACCATAGAGATATAGTCGAAATCATCAACACCAATGATGTTGATTAAAGCCCAGTGACTTGTTCCTATATTTTTTTATTCATCCTCTTAAGGTATTCATCCTCTTTATATGTACTACTTCACTAATTCCGCATCTGTAAACACGTGATCTTGCTCTCCCCCGAGATGACAGCTCCCCATCCCAGCCATCATCCCCCAAACAACCTCCCAATCCAATTCCACATCACAAAGCCATGGAGACAACAGACCCCTTTCTCCAAGTCCAAGCGTGAGTAACCCCCTCCCATCTCTACAACCCACCCATCAACCTCTCCCGAAACTAACACCCGCTCCTCTCCTCCAGGGACGTCCTCGCAACCCTCCAAACCAGCCGGCCACTCTTCTCCTCATACCTCCGCATCCGCTCCCTCGCCAAATCCCCCAACAACCCCGAACTCAACCAATCCCGCGACGAGCTCGAAACAACCCTCACCGAACTAACCGCCGACCTCGACGACCTGGTCGAATCCGTCCGCGCCATCGAACAAGACCCCTACCGCTTCGGCCTCGAACTCGACGAAGTCCAGCGCCGGCGCAAACTAGTCGACGATGTGGGCGGGGAAATCGAGCAAATGCGCACCGAGCTGGCGCAGGCCGTTTCCGCAGCGCCGGCAGCGGAGCTGCCTAATCCGACGGAATTTGATGCCGCGTTGGATGAGGAGGAGGGGGGGGATGATTATTATGCGTCGTTGGAGCAGCAGCGGCAGACGGAGTTGATGCATGAGCAGGATGAGCAGTTGGATGGGGTGTTTCGGACGGTGGGGAACTTGAGACAGCAGGCGAATGATATGGGGCGGGAGTTGGAGGATCAGGCTGTGATGATTGAGGAGGTTGATACGCTTGCGGATCGGGTGGGTGGGAAGTTGAATAATGGGATGGCGCGGATACGGCATATCGTGCGCCAGAATGAGGGTAAGCAGTATTCTCGCCTGGTGTGTCTTATTTGCAGCGCGGATTGTTGGTCTGGAACGGTGTTGCGTTTGTTCGTCTACGTGACTTGGAACTGCGCAGTCTGGGAACAAATGGGAATCATGAAATTCAGCAAGCTAACTTTTCCTCTCCTCCTTAGACACATGGTCATCCTTTTGCATCGCGGCGCTGATCTTCGCCCTCGTGCTATTATTAATTCTCGTTATCGTCCTGTGATAGTACATCATATCGGGCGTGGCAAATCGGATCAACCACCAGCATCTCATGGAGCTTGGCGTTTTTTACGGTCTGCGGGCAGGGCAATTGAAATCAAAGACTGATTTTAGTTGCGAGCCTTCTTGGCGGGGGGCTCTTCCTGCTCCTCCTCCTCCTCGTCCTCGTCCATCTCATCGAGCTCCTCCATTTCCAAGTCCTCGAAGTCAAAGTTGGTCTCGAACGATTGAGCTGCGAAAAGTCAGAAAGCTATTCAGAGCCATATCTTTCTGGGTTTGACATACCGTAATATTTCAGGGCATTGGCCCAAAGATCCTCGGCCAGGGCAATGGCGAGCTCTTCACCGTCGGTGAAGATTTCAGCATCCTCGAGGTCATCAGCCAGAAGCTCGAAGTCCTCATCCTCATCGTCCTCATCATCGTCCGCATCCTCGGGGACCTCCTCACCCTTGGAGATTTTGACCCAGCGCTCCTCATCTTCCTTGACAGCCTGCTTGTTCTGCTCGGCAGAGATGTCGCGGCCGCGGTAGCCGAAGAAGGAGAAGAAGCTGACACCAGCGGGGCTCTCGTCCTCATCCTCGGGGAGCTCAGCATCTTCGTCCTCCATGTCCGCATCGTCCTTCATAGCCTCAGCCTCAAGAAGCTCGAGCTTCTGGACGAGAGAAGCATACTCGGGCAGCTTCTTGCGGTCACCGCCCTTCTTCTTCTTCTCAGCATCGAACAGATCGCAGGCGGCATCGAGCAGACCCTTGGTAGGGTCAAGCTCAGCCTGCTTCCAGTTGATGCGGACGGGATCAGACACAAGACCCTCCCAAACACGGCGCTTGCCGCTGGAAGTCTTGAGGACCTGCTTGCGCCAGTAGAACTCCTTGACGAGCTTGGCGTTGTCAAAGTAGGAGTTCTCCTCGGGGTCAAACTCAAAGGTGAAGCGCAGGCTGCGGGGTTCGCCATTGCCCTGAGCGTCAACCTCAAAGTGCTCGACGGTCAGGCCCTTGAGGCCCTCGCCAATGATCGCGGCATCATCGTCCAGGACATACTCGTCGACCTCGGGGGGAGCGCTGGAGAAGACGCGGGCCCAGAAGTCGGGCTTCACGCTGGGCAGAGAAATGATCTCCTCGCGCTTCTTGAAGATGGGGGCGAAGAGAGCGACGGACCTGCGCACTATTGAAGGAAAGCGTCAGCGAATCTAGTTGTATCTAGCGTGTGAATCCATTGTAGCATAGATAGAAATGAAGCATCGCATCGCATCGCATTGCATTTGCATAGCATCCACAGGCACATTCCAGCCAAGAGCAACCAGAACTGTCGCTCATCCCAAATGAGACAGGACTCGAGCCTCAATGGATGGCCAAGTATGGGGAAAGTGAATTGAAAGCAAGACCCTCGGCGATCCTTCGCTCGAAGGAATGTAGACAACGAGGGAGAAAATCACTTACTCTGCTCAACCTCAGCACGCTCCAGCTCCTCCTGAACGTGGGAGATCTTGCTCTGCGCCTCACGAGGAATGGAGGGGAGCTCAATGCGCTCGAGGAGGGACTTGTCTTCGGCAGACATTGTGATGGTGGGGGTATTTGGTGCAGAAGAATGGAGAAGGTATTAAGTAGTAAAGGTATCAATCAAGAATTATCCTGACTGATCTGGATCTCTCAAAGAGGAGTGTGTGACAGAGAAAGGGGAAAAAGGGAGGGAGACAGAGAGAGATGAAGAGAGAAGAAAAGCCGAAGTGGGAAAGGAGGGGGAACACTAAAAAAAATTTCTGGCAAAAAAGTCTGGCAGATCAGCGCGAGCTGTCGATGCGCGCGGTCGAAACTTTCGCTTTGAGCGGGCGGAGAGGGGAGTCCTGGTGTGGTACTTGGGTGGTTACGGGGCCGATACTTGGGTTGGCCCGGTGTTTACACGTGGCGGGGAGGTACTGCGGATGTAGTTAGAATGTACCCCACGCGGTCTCGATGGGCAACCAAGTGGACCAGTTTCTTCACTGCGGCCGGAGGAGTCAGGGATTTTGAATTTTCGTCATTTGTGGTCCTGGTCCTGGCGTAGCTTGAGCTTATGCTACAGTGTTCAGAGACGATGACTATGAACAGACAGTACTCCGTAGTTTCGGCGAATCGTATAGCTACACCGCATATTCCAAGCTACAGCCCCAGCTCCAAAGCTCTCAAGCTCCGTACCGTGGCTAGCCCCTCCACAGTCCACGCCCAGCGACTAGTTGTCCATTACTCCATTACGGCTACAGTCTGACAGCAACAACTAGCCCCAGAAGCACAACTCACCCAGAACTATAAACACTCGCATACCGTACCCTAACTATGTCTCCCCCGTCCTATCGCACATTACCATCCTAACAAAGCACCAACCACCCAATCCTTATCGCACCCACACAATTGGAAGAATCCCCCCAGCAGGACCAGCACATTGCTTTTTCCGACCCATCCCCTCTTACCTTTCTCGCTAGAGCGGGCCCTGAAGAAAGGCAAATACACTTGATAGCGGCAGTAGTTTATTTCAACCCCAGGTCTTGCTCTAGATATGACTTGCCATGGCTGTAGACATGCCACCTAATACCGTATGCGGATGTTTATACTTTATAGTGATACTATCTTGGCTAGGCTGGGCTGGGTGTGAGAGGCTGCTTACTGATAACCACCGCGTGCGGCTCGGTACTGTACTCACTACTGTATCCATTGGAATGGACTGGTGGGATTCTATTGGGTTTTGCTGTGTGCGCGATAAAGGTGCAGTCTTTGGCCGGGGTGATTGGTTAGATAAGGGTTGTACCTATTGGGGATGTTTCTTATGGCGTGCTTGAGAGGAGGATGGATGGGGATATTTCGAGGTTTGGATCGGATCTGGGTTACATTGTTTCTGGATTTGTTGACCGCTAGTTAAGTTTGCATTGGTAGAGAATGTAATTACTAGCAAGATGTGCATTGAGATCCGGTTGGATACCAGGTTCTGTCTGGTCGAGCTCGTAGTCAAAAAGATAAAGATACCCGTACTGTGTGGCGAAGAAATATGAAAAATCTGGAAATCGTGATATATCAATTCAAATCTTTTTTTTCCCTTTGGCACCTTCCAAGTAGAATCATCTTCGATTCCCAGCGGGGATGGACCCTGAAAAGGAAATATAGAAAAGAAACACCCACAAGCAAACAATCAAACTTTTTTCGGGGAATCAGAGAAAGAGAGATAAAACAAGAGGCCGATTCCCTCAATGCCTACATCCCAGGCATATCTGTCCGATTGAGAAAGAAAACAGACACAGACACGAACAAAAAAAAACCATTCGAGAATATCCCATAATACCCATGCCCATTCGCCAACAATGCAATGATTAGAGCCATTAAGGCAGTAACCCACACAAGAAAACAACGCAGAAACAAGAACAGGCTGCAGGGCAGGTTCTAACATGCACAGACAACATCACCATGCACGTCTGCCGGGGATCAAACAGTCGTAACAGAAAAGAAGGAAGGGAGGGAAGGCCAAAAGCAACCTTCCAACCCCCAAATCGCATGGTCATCAGCGACTCGGGACAAGGCGTAGCAAAAGCAGGACAGAGAAGAAAGGGTATGATCAGACACACAAAAATCAGATGCTCTCTTCCTTCTCTCCCTTCAAAGCATCCAATCCAGTCCATTCGCCTCTTCCTCCACAGGGAATACCTCCCGCGCATACTCCTCCATATCGCGCCATCCCTGCCACAAATGCCGCGCCTCGTCCGTCACCCGCAACGAGACCACTCCACCAGGACCCTGCATCATTCCCGCACCCGCACCCTTTCCACCCGCCGGACCCAATCCCTTCGGCGATCCCGCCGCAGGCTGCGAGAACTCCGGCTGCGGGAAATACGGCGCATCGCACTCGCCAAACAGCAACTCCAGCGACTCCAGCTGTTCCCGGTATCCGGAGGGGATCTTGACTTTGATTTCGATCTTGGGCACGCGCACGTAGCGGCAGGGCCGATTGAGGGCGCGGGAGAAGGCGGCGCAGACTTGGTTTGGAGAGAGGGTCTCGAATGTGAGGGCGATACTAGGGCGCGCAATTGGAGTTAGCTTTTGTCTTTGCCGTTTTTTTTTGTTCTCACATCTTTCTTGCGGATAGATGCGCAAATCAGATCACTCACCGATGACCATGCCATTTCTTGGGTCCGTCCTTGAAAATCTGCAACAGCGTCGGTCCCACGTCGTGCTCGGCGTCCAGCCAGGGCAGCGGCGTCTCGGGATCAAACGGCGCGCGCCACTCGAAACTCCCATCGTCGAGCAACTCCATCTGGAACAGCGGGTAGGGCAGACTGGTGAAATTATTATTGTAGATGCCCGCATAGACGAACGTCGCCGGCAACCCGAGCTGGCGCACGTAATTCTCCACGGTAAACTTGGGCGCCCACTGCGGAACGGCCGGCCACGGCCCATGCACCGAGTGATCCGGCATACTGCTGTAGATGTAATGGGAGATGGAGCCGGCGCGCTTCGCAGCGTCGGCTAGGGCGCGGCCGATGGCGACCTCGTCGCCGGCTTGGGAGACGGTGTTGATGAAGGCGTAGTTGGCGCCTTGGAAGAGCGCGTCCATGAGCGCGGGGTTATTGAGGAGCGGGCCTTGCAGGAGAGTGACGTTGGGGAGGGTCTGGAGCTCTTCGGCGATGAGGCCCTTGAGGGAGTGGATTTGCGCGCGCACGGCATATCCGACGGCGGACGCGACGCGGATTAGCGACGCCGCTTGTCGCCCGGCCGCGTTGACCACGGCTATCGTCTTCTGCGGTTGTGTCATTCGGGTTGTGAGGGTGTGAGAGGGAGGGGGGTTGGTTGTGGTTGTGGTTTGAGGAGGGGATTGGCGGAGGGTGGTGGGAGATAAGGAGAGAGGAGGAAGTGAAGTGAAGAGGTTCCGGGTGAATATGAGGAAGAGCAAGGGGGGGGGGGGTGTATAACAGGCTGAGATCAGGCGGGTGAATGAGAAGTGGAGAGAGGATCGCAAGAGGATCTCAGGAAGAAAGAAGAGAGAAAATCCGGAGAAACCGCCTTGGCCAGGAAAAAATGGAGGTGAGGGCTTTGCGATAGTGGGGTACCTTGGGAGGAGAGCCCAAAAAAAGTTGAAAAGGTTGTATGTAACGAGAACTAAAAAAGCCCGCGATCAGACCGGAGGGGGGTTCCACCAAGGGACCAACTGATTCGAGACCGAATAAGATTAGGCGATGGAAACAGTCAGCCCGATGATCTGCAGCGAGCACGAGAAGGGAGAAGAAAAGGAATTTTCTTTGGGTTCCCCAAAAAAGATTCAAGGTTTTGGAATGCTCGAGGGAAGGCGTTTGATTTCCGATTCCGACGATAAAACGCGGAGGAGGGGAAAGACAGATAGAAAGGATAAGATAAACCGAAGAAGAAGAGGAGGGGTTAAGACCGGGAAGCAGAGCCGAGTCAAATCATCCAGTCCTGAGTTGGGCTGCTTTATAGGAAGAGGGGATTATTATTCTTATTCCTGCAGGTCATGACACATTTGGAGTCTTGTCATCTTGTCCCAGTGGAGGACTCCGTGCGATGGTCGGATGAAATGATAGGGGCCAGAAATCACGATCTGATAGTCGGAGGAGTATATAGAAACAAGTAAAAAAAAAAAAAGAAAAGAAAAAAAGAACAAGTCAAGAGTCTGCTAGTCCTACTGTACGGAGTACATCCAATACATACTCCTCGTAGGAGACTATAACGAACTATACTTCTCCGGCTACCTGCCCCTTTCGATCGTATCCGAGCATGATCTATCGAACCATTCGACGCGGGCACAGGATGTCCTTGAGATGCTACTATTACACCATATACTACTGTGTTTTGCTTATTCCAAGAACATCTTCCAGCCCTTTTTCGCTGCTCACCCATTTTTTCTCTCTCTTTCTCTCTTAGCCTCCTCCGATGACACCATCGTGTCCCACGCCTGGGCTGGGCGGTCTCGACGTCCCTTTTCCATTACGTAAATCGGCGGCGTCGGCAGCATCCACTGGGCGGGAAGATCCTGCCAGACCGGCCATCGGGACCCAGGCTCGGCCCCCATGAGAAAATGGGAAGTTGGAACGTGCTGCATGTACGACAGTCAGACATGTCAATCACCGTCAGTCGACGTAATACAGAGGATGTACTATACGATGTATCTCTGCACGGGTACACGCCCCGGTTTAAGCTCCTGCCAAGCCATGAGGATGCGATCTCGAAGAAATGCCCTCTAAGAGGAGCAATAATTGGAGGACGAAGACTAAACCAGGTGACTCGACTAGCAGCTTCACTACACGACCCTCCGTACAAACTATTGTTCAACAAGATTAGCCACGGGGCACACAAATCGCGCAAAAAATAAACGTGGGGAGTACATAGTCACGCCGACGCGAAGACGTGGGCCCCCAAAAAAGTGGGCAGCAATAGCAGCAAGTGGATAGGACACACCAGGTACAGTACTGTAGAACCGTCGAGAACAAACACCCTCAATAATCCATACCGAAAACGGTACATATTTTTTTTTTCTGATAGTACTACGAAGAGTGTTCGCCTTCGTTCCACCAACTGCCAGGGGCGCGCTCACGTGGTGCTAGGATTGTGGGTTCCTGGTGTCATTTTTTGTCTCCTCTCTCCTCTCAAACCGGGTGGATTGAGGGAACTGATTGGATAGGGGGGATTGGGGGAGAAGTGGGAAGAAAGGAGAAAAGAGGGTCGATCGAAAGGAAATTCTGGCGCATCACCTGGACACGACCAACGCATCACCTGACCCCTTTTGCGCTTTCTGCGAAGCCGAAAAGGGCTGATGGCTGGATGGCTGAACTCGCGGGAGTAAGGTCGGAGGCTGGAAGTGGATGGGGCGACGGTGAAGGGGTGACCTGCCTCAATCGCTTAGTGCAGTGATGGTCGGGTTATGGTTCATGTTTTGCATTCCACAGTTGCTAGTTGCTACGTGGTTGATCATAGTACGTAGAGTACTGGGCGTATACCTATGAAAATGATAGTAGTAGTAGTCAGTATAATGATATTCATCGTTTGTGAAATAAAAAGGCATCGTGTAGGGCAATACGACGAGACATACAATAATAAATCCAGCAAATAGAGCATGAACATCCTGTACACATTCCAGGTACCTACCCCCTTTCCCTAGTACACGTCCTCGACCAAATCGTTATCTACTACGGAGTAGATTATCCCCAAAACACATAAAGTTAGTCATGTAGTCAACTAATATCACCCGGCTAACGTTCCGAAGGTACAGTATGTACTCCGTACATGAACAACGGACCCAGCCCTTGGCCCGATTGTGACTGGGCTGAAGGTTCACGGCTGAAAAAGCAGCACGACGAACAACGCCAAAGCCAAAGCCAAACCCCGCAAAATTCTATCGGGCAGCGGCGTGCAGGACTGGGCTGGACTGGGCTGGATTCTGGATTTGGGGTCGTCTACGACTGGACGGTGGCATCCGAGGCCAATAGGTCGTGGAAGTCGCCGAAACCTAGACCCCGGACCCATGGAAAGAAGCTAGGAAGAACCAGTGCCCAGTAGAAAATAGGAGAGGACCGTTGCTTCGTTATCTATCAATGATGTCTAAACGCAATCACTAAGAATCATCATTTGGGAGGGGGCAAATAAAAACACAAGGGTATAACTTAATCAGTTAGAGCAACCAAGGACACCCAAATCTGGTGTGCAAAGCCCGGAGCAGAGAGAAAAGAGGGGGCCAACCAAATGCAGCATTCATCAGCCCAAACCCCAGAAAATTTCGTTGAGCCCTCTGTGACTCTCGCAGTCTCGCTGGTTGCTGAAATTCGTGTTGGCTGATGCTCCACTTGGACTCTGGGCTGGCCCCCCCTCCCTCCCCAGCGGCAGGACCCGATCTCCGCGGACATGCAAATCCTACAGAGTACACATCCAATGGTTCCATGTCTTTCTGGCGTGATCAATTGCGCTTAGCATATCGCATATCGTCCGCACACGCTGTACTACCCGCGATGATGTGACCGGCGTGAAATCACCCTCCTCAAGTCGTCACAGATTGGGAAGAGAGACATGCGAGCTCGATTCGCGCGAATCGGGGAGGTCTGAGCTACGTGGTTGCTGTTGCGGCTGTTGCTGCTGTCTCCCCCTCCCCCTCCCCTTTCCCCTCTCACCCCTCTATTTCCCTTGGTGCGGTGAATGGTGTTTTCTATTTCCTTTCAGGGTGCTGACCCGGACAGCAACATCCGACTGCGCCCGGCGCTTTGGTCATCCTCGTCCATTTCGCGCTGCTTGTTCTCACGTGGATCAACGCCCGCTAGACCCCAGACTCCGGGCCGCCGGCGGGCCAGGAGCTCGGCCGCTGGTCGCTCATCAGAGTGCAGATGCGCACCTGATTTCCGCAACAGCGAGACGTGCTCTGATAGGCCCGCGTTCGCCGCCAGGAACAGCGGGGTGCGTCCGTTGCGATTGCGCAAGTGAACCGAGCCACCATGCGATAACAGGAAGTGGAGAATCGAAATGGCAGGGGAGGTAGCCGCCAAGTGCTAACAAGAGAAAAAAAAAGCCAGAGTCAGCATGCAAGCAAAAAGCAATCTGGCGCAATTTTTGCATCTCCAAAAAGAAATCATGCTTCACTTACGATAGGTGTGTTTCCCGAATAATCTGCGTCATTAAGCAGCCAGTGGTGTTCGGTCTTGAGGATCGTCTTGACCCGTTCGAGATCGCCTTGCGCAATGGCGTACCCCATTACCGTCAGCGTCTGCACGCGCTCGGGCAGTGCGCCGTCTGGATGACGGAAGACGGGCAGCGACGACTCGGTCAACTCGCCCCGAAGCGATACCGACATGTTCTTGGCCACAGATTCCGGGGTGGAGTCTGGTAACGCGAGCAGGTACGCCAGTTTCGTCAACGCTGCCTCTGTCGTCATGTCGAGGCCTGCGACGACGCCGGCCCGGGAGAGACTCATTCCAGTGGCATAAACAGGGCTAACACTACCTGTCAGGCCTGGAAAAGGGTAAGGACATCACCAGTCAGTACTCTTTTCTTATATAGGTCAGGGTCTGGATATAACTCACATTGAGTCACGTTGACAATCACGATTCCCCGTCGAATGGCAGCAGCCAGCACGTTGATCATGGCGTTGTCTTGACCAGATGGAGCATTGCCTGCGCCAAAGGTCTCCAACACCAAGCCACGTAGCTCATCCAGCTTCAAGACGGCGTCCACCATCTCCGGTTTGATACCCGGGAAGATGCGAAGGCACGCGACATGGGCCGTATCCAGATTCGTCTGGATACGGAAGTGCTCCAAGGTCGTCGGCCGGTGGACCATGTCCCAGTTCACATTCGTTCGCATCGAAGTGGTCACGGCCAGCGGCGGGCAATTGGGCGCAGCAAAGGCCGCAAAGTCGCTGGCAGCCACCTTGGTGGAACGGTTTCCCCGGAAGAGCTTATTGTTAAAGTACAAGCAGACCTCGGGGATCATGAAATGGCCTGCCACGACTAGAGATCCGAGTAAGTTATCCGTAGCATCGTTCTGAAGTTCAAGCATCGGCGCCTGAGAACCCGTGAGGACCACGGGCTTTCCCAGGTTCTGCAGCATGAAGCTCAGTGCCGAGCAACTATATGCCAGGCTATCGGTGCCGTGCAGAACGACGAACCCATCGAAGAAAGTGTAGTTCTGGAAGATCGTCTGCGCAATCTCCGCCCAGCCCTTGGCATTGATAGAGCTGCTGTCCAGGAGCTCCTCGAACTCGTAGACGGTGTAGCGCACCTGGCGGCCGTATCTGGTGACCGGAGTGCGTAGACTGGGATGTGCGGTGATATCGCGGCCTCCTTTTGTGACCACGTCCATCTCAGCAGGGGCAGAACCATCGTTGAAGCATGGCACCCGGGCCATGCAGTTCTCCTGGAACCCTCTAGCAGGGATGAACCCATGAGGCGACGGCTGCATGCAGATAGTGCCTCCGGTCATGATGATCAGCACCCTCGACTCCAGGATAGCGAGCTCCGGGGGGCTCTGAATCCCCGGGCTAGAGAAGGCTGTCTTCGTGGCGGTCATTGTGAATATCGTTGAGGGATGATGAATCCGCAAGCAAGAGCCAAGTAGTGCTGAAAGTGCTGAAGCAAGTCAGGCCAAAGTCAACACAAAACCCGAAGCCTTTCAACTTCTCAGGCGGTCCTCAAAGACAACACCCGCAGAACGCGACAGGCACGAATCAACGCCGACGATAACCCCAATCAGGCCCCTCACAAGAGAAAAATTCCGCGATCGCTGCTCGGTGAATTGCGGGGGAGATGACGTTGGGTTTTGAATTTTTCTTACCCTCTCACTTCCTGTTCCTGTATGTAAATTTCTGCAAGTCCGATAACAGACCCGGCGAGAAGTGAGACCGAATAGATAAAAAATCCACGCTCATGCACGGCTTCTCCAAGACGAAGATGGTGATTGAGTCTTTTGGCCGAAAACCCCAAATCGACTCCGATCGTATTACGTACGGGCATCTTATTGGAGAGAGATTTTCACGGGCTGGGCCAACTTTAAAACGCGGCTCCACTGCTGAGCTGGTTGGGCCAACGGTATCGCTGGGAATTGGCGGCGTGGCTTCGAGGGGTATTTTGATGATGGCAGGCCATGAAGAGGGAATTGAAAGAGATTGAGATTGAAGAAAGAGAAGGAGGTGAGAAGAAGAGAAAAGAAGAGAGATTGTCCAAGTTGGGGACAATCAAACAAGAAGGAAGGGCAGCAGGCCACGTGCGACTGGATTTGCTTTTTCTCTTATCTTTGCCTGGATCGATGGTCTAACTCGTTTGAAATGCGGAAACTTAATTCTGGTAAGTCATGGATAAGAAGAAGCATCCTCATGTATAGCTACAGTTCGTTTATTCCACGGCTTCACCCTTCTCCTGTGCCAGATCTCCCCTCTTGAGCGAACGGTGTCCGCGGGCGGACCCTTCGGCAAAGAGTATAACAACCATGACAGCATACAACAGAGACATAAGATTATCATAGAGACGATGGATATTAAACATCTATTTTAGTATTACTAAATACTTTACGTCCGGCTGTACTAGAGTCAGGTAGGATTGAACTGAAACATATCTTCCTCCAGCAACCCCATCATGTACTGGTTACCAGAGAACCAATTCCCCAATTGGGCCGCCTGAGACATCTCCGCCATAGACATATCCTGACCTTGAGTTTGGCCTGGAGCTGACACAGACGGACCCCCAAATTCAGATGTCTGAAGCGATGCATCCGGCACACCGGTGTTCATCGACGAACCGTCTGGCTGAAAAGCGCCCCATGGATTATTAGCCACCGCGTTTCCAGGTGCTAATCCAAGCGCACTCAAGTAGGCGTCGAATTCCTGGCCTACGGATGCCATGTTCTGGTCCTCGCCGGCTTGTTTTCGTGACTTGGCTTCGACGTAGAGGCGAGCGACTGTGCCGAGGACTGAGCAGAGGTTATGGAGGCGGTCGATTGACTGGGAGAAGCGGCAGAGCGGGCGTAGAGAGGCGACAAAGTCCTCGAGGCGGGTGAGATCTTGGCTGTCGGACGTTGTGATGACGTGACAGAATATGACGATGAAGGGAACGAATGGGGAGAGGAAAATTGCCCTGTCAGGGATGATTGATGAGTCAATGGAATCGCTTCTCTGAGATTATTTTTTGACTCACCAATGCATGTAAGAGCACCGTAGATTTTCGGAAGCTTCTTTAAGACTGGCTATACATACTTGGTGAAGCTCTAACGATGCTCTGGCCGTTTCGATACACTCCGGGATGAACGTGCTAGGCGAGCCAGGTTCAACGGGGATAGCACGGTATATCAAAGTCAAAATTGCGAGTCGACTGACCCCGTCAGAGCGAAGATAGATAACATCGACTTCGGACATGTTCAAATCGGCAGTCAAAATCCGCTGTTCAGGACATGAGTATCAAAGCAAAGCACACAACGGGAATGTTTGGGTCATGCTCACATCAAAAGGCTCAAGGACGTCCCTCTTCATTTCAACAGCCAACCGCCGAGCATGCATCGCCCGTTCACTTTCTGGCTGATTCAATGCTGCTGGGCTATACAAATTGGTGTATATGTCGTTCTGGATGACGGCCTGTCTCGCCCATAGACTGCAGACCATGCTCCATACTCCCATGTTTGGAAAGCATTCGAATGGCGAAGGTATATCCACGTCGCAGGCTTGTACCACTGAAGCACGTCCCAAGCGCAACGACATCAGGTTCATAATGGTGTACACAGACCAGAAAATGTCCTGTTTCCGATGTTGCAGCTCAAGAGGGTCATGCTCCATGGAAGAAAGGCGGTTGTACCCCAAAGTTTGGCACATGTGGATAGCTGTGGAGGCGAGCGTCCAGCTAACGGACGGCTTCGATATTTCGATTCCATGAATTGCCTGCGTTCATCAGCGACAGGTCTGCGCTAGTATTGGGGCCGTCTATAAGGGTACCCACACCAACAGCAAGTGCCACAACAGAATCCATGTTGACTGGCATCAAAATGTTCAAATTCGCCAATGCCGTCTCCAGATTATCCTTGCATACCTGGACATACTTCTGGTATTCGTCTCGCGAGACAGGCTCCTTCTCGCAGAACCCATATTCGACAAATATACCATAGAGGCCAAAGTTGGCTATAATAAACGTCGCGTCGGAGTACTCTTCGGTGGCAAAGTAAACTTCCTGGCATCTTGAAATAAAATAATCCACCGTGAAGAAAGGAATATAGCCTCCGAACGAGGCCGGTGGATTTTCTGAGTTTGGTCAGTATCCCAGCTTTCTTGGCATTGGTCTTCCAGTCATACCTTTGGCCCTTTTCAGTACCGTCAACACCACCGGTAGGGGTGGCATCTCCAACTCGCGTATGTCACAGCGAGCGCCCAAGCGAGAAGAGAGTTGACCTCGCTGCGTCCCAGCGTCCCGCTGTTTACTTTGCATTTCAACAATCTGCTTCAGTGATGAAAGAGCCTCACTGATCTTCGGACTAGAGAACATTTCTGGCGTACTGTGTGACACGGCAGTTTCAAGAAATTCCTGCGCATAAGCGGAATGAGCCGCGAGAGAGGAATTTCCTTCAAATGTAGACCCCGAATCATGCTGCTCAATGGCAAGGTTAGACGTGTACCCAGGGGCTTTTAAGTCCGAGTTATCTTGTTTGGACGCCGAGGATTGGGTTCGAGCTAGAGTATCAGGCGATGATAGAGACGATGCTGAAAACTTGGTGGTGGAGCTCACGCCCTGCTGCCGAGACGAGATCAAAAGCTCTCGCAATGCCTGCTCAATGCCTCCGAGGCGTTGTAATGTCTCCTCGACACCACCAAGGCGCTCTTCGATGAGATCAATCTTCTTCTCACTATTGAGACCTGTTAGCGACAAGCGATCAACCTAGCGAGCTGCCTGATCGATATCAATGACGTACTACTGGCTGGAAATCAACACCCGACGCCTGGGCTCGGATGGCCGTTGACCTTCTCCTGTGGAACGACAAGTAATGTTCGAGCTATGACAATTGGAGCATGGAACACGCTTGTCACATCGGATCTGAGACGAAGGTTAATTTCAATTCAAAATGCAGACAACCTTCATGCATATTGATGCATATTTACCTTCCGAGTACGGCATTGATCACACTATAATCAGTATAAAGTGGTAAGCGACCGTTATCTTCATAAAACATCTCGATTTCTTGCGCCAATGGCCTGATTCTATTTCTTTTCAGATTCCCCTTGGCCTTTGGGAAGTGGAGTACATACCGCACGTCGGGTCAAAGCGCCTGGCGTCTCGTGCTCCTCACGGTCGGAACCCCCGGGCTCCATGACAGCGTCGTACTAGAGCCACTAGGGGTGGGATTGTATCTGTCACTCGGGGGTTGCTAGAGTCAGTGGCATCGGCTATAGCTTGCGTGGGCGGAACTGGCTGCCTGGTGAACGGTGGGCGTAGGTAGAGGGAGAAGATCACGTGTCCTCGGAGTCGAGGACGGAAATGTCAGGCCATTACTGTTTCTGGAATTCCGAAGAGTTGAAGATATCAAAGAGTCTACTATAAATGGGAGCAATTCTATGGTAAATACAGTGGATCTTAAATATCAAATGTATCGACCAAATTCATGATATGTTCATTCGGCGTAACGCGGTCGTCAAAGAACGTGGCCCAGCAAAACGTTCTGGGAGTCTACGCTCCCGTGGGCAGAGCGCGTCCGGCACACACATACCACCGTTATAAAATAATCTATCCAGCAACGAAGGGAAAAAAAGAAAACCACAACTTGTCCAATGGATACAAACGACCAAGCTATTGTTTAGGAGAAGGCGGTGGAACCCATGCCCCGTCGCTATTCCAAACACCAGCGGGGCCGTACATGCCAGCCTCAGCGCCGCGCAAGAAAGCAAAGCGGAAAAAGAGTGCCTCGGGCTCATCGTCTTCATCCGAATCATGACCGACCTGCAAGAGAGACTGTACCTCAAACTCACGACTGTCGACCTCACGAGGCTCCAGAACAGGCATCTTGCTCAGCTCCAGCCCGTCATGCCCATGGCGGCTCCAGGTGAATTCGCCTGCTTGATTCTCATCAAGATAACCACGCCAGCGTTCCACGTCATTCAGCAGTACCGAAACTCCGTCCACGGCAAGGTCAGTCATTCGCTCGTGTTCCCACAGAGCAAATGTGATGTTACCATTGCCGCGGTGCGTGAATTTAGATCCTGGCTCGGGTAACGCGATCTGAACGGACGAAGCCGTGACGTTGGGATATGTGGCACCCCACCACCCGTGAGATCCACGCCCCGGGGCCAATTCCCCTAAAGCAGCGGGAGTCTCGATGATGGAGGCAAATCCCCAGCGAGCAACGCCGTTGATGAAGAGACCAAGGAGCAACCCTTGGTAAGCCAGCGAGGGGCGTGTGGGGAAGGCGGTACCCGGCATGAGCAGAATGGCGAGGATATAATGATGGATTCGAAGCCGGAGACCAGGCAGCGGGAGCAGAATCAAGATGATCAGTCCCATGGTGCAGTAGATCTTGAGGTAGCGTGGAAGCAAACCACCCTGCCGAATCTGCCATGCTTGGCTAAGAACGATAGTAAGCACAGTTGGAATGACCAAAGCAAGGGCCAATTTTGCACCGGGTTGTTGCTGAATATCCATTGGCGTCAAACGCTGAAGGGGTATCAATCGCGCAAATGTATAGTTGTTCAAGGCTCCAATGAAAAGCATCGGGGGGAACAAAAGGAGCTTCTCCAGTTGATAGATGGGTGACCTGATCGGCTGGAGAAGTGGAGCTGCACAAAATTTGTATAAAACGTAAATCACAAACGATGCAGGCAACATTCGAGACAGCAGCGTAGAAACAAGGTCGGACAGGTATGGATACGATGGCGGATCAGCAACCAGACCTGTATGGCAAAAGACCATGAAAAATGTACTGAAGAAAAGGACAGCCGGCGAAGTACAAAAGAGCCACAGGAGTCCGACCGCCGCCGCAGTTACTCCGAGAAGCGACCAGCGCGGATCAGCCGGGCAGTTTGACTGGGATGGGGATAGTTCGGGAAAGCTGAAAGACTTGGGGAATGTTGATGGGAAGGCCTCTGATAGAATTCCATTCTGTTTCACAGACGGAAAGGAGTGCGCTGCGCCTTCGAGCTTCACGACACCACAGCCACCATCGTTCGAAATGACTCCAGCGTGAATAGCGGCTTGGCAGACGAAACTGTCGGCGCGATAGATGGCACGATCGCCAGAGCCGGGCAGTGCGCCGCCAATAACGAGGCCTTGGTAGTTGAAGGTTTGGTTCCCCACGACATGTGGCTCCAGCAGCTTAGTATCACGGCAGTTTGCGGGACACCGGAATGCCACAGTCGAGACAGAGAAGGGACGGCAATCATTTCCATTGAGACCACATCCATTGTCGATTGCCCTATATCAGTTATGAATGTGTTAGCGCATCTCAATTCGCACGAGTGGCCATGTCGGCACGTACCAGAAATTCGTAGCACACGAGAGAGTCTGTAGCTGGCCATATCCTTCGATATATCCTGAGGAGCGCGAGTGTAAAAGAACCAAGGACCAGGGTAGGAACCAGGATGCGTATAGCAGCAGTAAAAGCGCGAGTTTCTGCTTTCTCTTGGGGAAAAAGTGTTCCAGGTACTGTACTGGGAGTTCTTGAAGACGCGGGAACAGCGGCTTCAGTAACAGCATATGTGGGGGATCGGGTCCCTTGATCCAATTCACAGTTGCGCGGCCTGCCTTTCTGAGCGGTAATGGCACCCATCTCCAGTGAAAGGATTTGGACGACTCCTGCAACCAGATAGGTAGAGCGCTGCCTGCTTCGACATCCGGCGGCGGGAAATCCTCGGAAGCGTCGGGATTGATGGGGTTCTCGACATCGTCAAGTAGCGGGGGCACATAAAGGCGAGCAGCCTCTTCGCGACCCTCTCCTATCATGGCTGAAGGGTGACTGGACAATGATCGACTGAAAAGTTGAGAGAAAGGAATGAACGAACGACTATGATGTCGGTGTTGGAGCGGTCGGCGCTAGGCGCAAGTGGAGATCTCCAAAAAAGTGGATTCGCAAAGCGGAGGATCAGCAGGGTCACCTCGCCATGAAGCAGGCGTCGTGAGGCAGAGGTTTAAGGATCCAAATGTGGAATAGAAAAAAAGGATAAAATATATGAGGTCCCAGGATGTATGAAAGACAACAATAGTGGACAGAGTGCAAGTGGGGAGTGAAAGAAGAAGAGTGAAGGAAGCCTGAAGGAAGGGCGGTCGACGGAGGGCGGTGATGCTTATGTGGCAGCCAATCAGCGTGGTTCCTGTGACCCAGTGGCGAGAAGTGCACGCGGCCCCAAAGGAGGATTGTTCATATTCAAATTTTCACTTTAGTCCAGTTATGCCTCAAAGGCGGAACGTACAGGATAGAAGTGTATAGCAGTATTGGGGCGATACAACTTCATCATTCCAGGAAGTCAAAAGTCAAATCAGCATTGGGCCAAAACTACTGCAGGGTGATCATCTCGGATTTCCCCGCAAGCGCGACTTTGAAGATCAGTCCTCGGGTACCTGGCAGTGGCGAAGATCAAGAAGACTGCAGGAGTATGCAGGGATCGTAGACATATATCATATAATCAGATACATTGTCACCACTTTTACACAAGGCCTCTTTCTGGATCTCACCATCAATGTTGTATGCCTAGAACAGATTCCGGTCCGTTTGGACTGAATACAGAGTCGTATGGACCAGGGAAGGCACATCTTCAGCCCTCCGGCTGACAATCCAAGTAGCAAGGCAGCCAGACGAAGAAGAACGGGGCCCGCAAAGTCGTAGAGATCCATTCAGCCACTCGTATTGCTTGAATAATCGCTGGTATTGGTTATTTTCGGAGAAATAGGTAGGCTCTGAAGCATAGGTATGACAGCTAGTAGCCCTGAGGTCTATCGCACTTTGGAAATAGACATGAAACAGTGTGGACACGTATCTCTCGCCGCCCATGGCTTGGAGGAATCCATAGGGGAAAGGATGTACGAAGACAGGGCCAAATCGCTGTCTCAAAGCAACTCTGACAGGCACCGCAAATGGTATAATAGGACCCTGACCTGCACAATTGATTGCATAAGCCACAAACAAAATAATCGTGCCCATCTACATGGATAATGGCGCACTGCCGGTAAATCTCTTTCTGGAGTCCACATTCAATGCAGAATCGGCGGTCGCTCTTGCTTCCTCCCTTACCACGATGTTGCAGTATTTGTTCGTCGGCAATGCTTCTTCGAGGACGTAACTTTAGAGAGAAACAGCAAGAAAAGCGCCCAGCATATCTAGAGATGTAAGCTGCTGTTTATTCCATTTATGGTGGTAGAATAAGTGCTTCTTGATGAAACTTGGAGGAAGGTGCTTCCCTTGGCCATTTCTCAACTTCACATAGATATGCCAATTTTTCGTGTTGCGTTCGAGGTGTCGCATCCATCCTGGCTCTGAAGAATGAACACGTCTGAGATAGAAACAGTTGGGAAGGATAACGCAGGTAGCGCATTATCTCCAAAAGTAGCTCATCTGGAAGATTGAATAATGTCACTTTCGAAGAGGAAGTCATGACACAATTAGACACTCCAAATGGCAACAAAGCTTCGAGGCGATGGTATGCTTGTCACTGTTCAGCTGGTATGGCGCTGGGAATAATAGCAAGACCCTGTACCCTGTGAGCATTGCTGGTGATATCGTCTTCATCCATGACCACAAATTGAGATCAATATCCTTTCCGATTGAATAGATGCATCATCATGAGATATTCTGGGGCTTGCTAACAGTCGACTCCGATTTAGGTCTATTGTGGACTAGAGCGTTTATAGGAAGAACTCAGAAAGAAACGAGAACGAAGCGTGGAAGGATGCAACCAATCAGTCTAGGCTGTAGGCTGACTTTAATACATGTGATACTTTTGATCAGACCTCTTGTAGGCCCCTTTCTCCCTTATCTCTGTCCTATAGCTCTCGAGGATCCTGGTAACCTCAGGCGAGGTCTTCCAGGCGTCCGAGCTACGTCTTCCGTGACCCACCGTTAGGGTGCTTATCAAGCACCCCAACACCCACGGCCAAACCGTGCGGGGGATCCAACAGGTTTCTCGGAGATTAGAAATCGGGTATTTCACTGATGTCCTCCCTCGAGAAAATCCCGTTTTGCTTTTTCGCTTTGGTCTCTCTCTGGTTTTCATCCCTCGTCCCATTGAAAAGTAAGCATATGCACGCCCGTTGAGCTGCAGCGATCGTCATGACGGCCGTCACATCTGCACAACCGTTGGACTTGTCGCACCACTTCTCCTATGCGGCTAAGAATCGCGATCAGAGCAGTATAAAGAGCCTCTACAGGTACTTTCAAATCCCCAATATCGCCAATCTTGCCGGAGGTATATGACAATGCCCTTCCCTGCATCTCTGTGTAACTATAGCCTCGGCTAATCTTCTATACTCTCTTTGCTAGGTTTACCACACCCTTCATATTTCCCATACGACACTCTCGAAGCGACCGTCGCCCGGCCTCAGCGTCTGCAGCCCTCCAACAAAGATGACGTCAAAGCCGATCGAGTCGTCATCCCCAAAGAAGTTAAGACTGCCGATCCTACACGGAAAATCGACTTGACCACAGCTCTTCAGTATGGCCTTGCCGAAGGCTATCCGCCGCTTGTCTCGTTCCTCCGACAATTCGTCCGCGACCATCTCCATCCCAATGTCCCGTACAAAGGAGGCCCGGAGATCATCATGTCATGCGGCAATACCGACGGTTTCTCCAAAGCCATTGAGCTTTTCACTAATATCTGGAATCCCGACCGGGACTGGATTCAGCAGCGCGAGGGCGTGTTGTGTGAGGAGTTTACCTATATGAATGCCATTCAGACCATCAAACCGCGAGGCCTGAACACCGTCGCCGTGGCAGTCGATGGCCAGGGTATGCTAGCTTCTGGCAAAGGCGGCCTAGCGGACGTCTTGGAAAACTGGGATTTCCGCCGTGGAAGACGTCCCCATCTCATGTATACCGTGACGTGAGTTGCGCTTCTCGTTGCGTAGTATTCGCAATTCATGACTCAATGTACTAACGACATTCATTTGACAGGATTGGCCAGAACCCCACAGGAGGAAACCTTTCCATTGAGCGACGGAAGGAAATCTACGCACTCTGCCAGAAATATGACGTGATTATTGTGGAAGATGATCCATACTGGAATTTGCAATTCCCCTCCGCATACGAGAAAGAGGCCCGTTATCGGGGGGCCTCCACAGAGCCTACACCCTACAATCGAAGCTATAATGCCGAGGGCAGGTCTTCGGGGTATGCGTTTTTGGACTCGCTGCTGCCTTCCTATTTATCAATTGACACCGAAGGACGAGTTGTTCGACTTGACACGTTCTCGAAGACTATTGCTCCCGGCAGTCGCCTGGGTTGGATCACTGCGCAGCCTGCCGTCATCGAGCGCATTACTCGCATTACCGAGGTCACGACACAGCAGCCCTCAGGATTCGTGCAGTCTATAATCGCCAAAACAGTTATCGGCGAACAATTGAAGGATAATGGGGCACGTGTTCTGAAGAAGGAAGATATCTCAAGCTGGCGCATGGATGGGTGGGTCCGTTGGCTGGAAGGACTGCGTGGGGGGTATGAGAGACGCATGAATGACATGTGCACCATCTTGGAAGAGAACAAGTTCCTGTTCTCAGAGAAATCTGAAGTCTCATCGACTGCCAACCACGTCAATGACTGGGAGGTAGTCGATCGGGTGCAGATGTACGACTTTGTCTGGCCCAAGGGCGGGATGTTTGCCTGGGTCGAGATCCGCCTTGATAACCATCCACTGCGAACTAAATACAGCGAGCGAAAATTATCCAAGGCTTTCTGGATCCATCTCACGAAGAAGCCGTATTTGTGTCTTGTGACGCCTGGCCAGTTATTTGCGGCAGGGCCTAAGTCTGTCGAGAAGGAACACCGGTTTATCCGTGTAGCTTTCGCGCCGATGGACCTAGAGGATGTCGCGCCTTTCACTCGCAGGCTTGTTGAAGGGTTCCGGTCATTCTGGAAGCGGGAGAATCTAGATGGCTTGGATGATGGCGATGATGAGACTCTGGCGATGCAGTCGATGCAATTGGAGTCTGGTATCATCAACTTTATCGGTCCTGGATGCTAATGGAAGCCAAGGTCTTCTTATACCTATCTTTGCTATCTTTTTTTATTCTAGTAGTGGGCACAGAGCTGTTCCTTCGGCGGTAATCTACTTTTAACTAACCATGATGGATTACAATGACAAAGTTTGTTATGATGCACTTTGAGAACCTTCGAATTTATCCTACCACTTTTATTGAAACGGGTAAATTGAAAACGATCAAACCACTTTTCGTCAATACTTGGCTTGATATAAAATGAACGATGCATTAAGGCACCCAAAAGGCACCCAATGTGATGCCTGGCTGCCTGAGGATTCAAGTGTGGGGATCCAATTTCTCCGCACGAGGAGGGGGGAATCGCAATCTTCATCTCGCTGGTCACACAAACAATGTCGGAGCTGGACGATCTGCCGAACCGAGAGCTTGCCGAAGAAATTGAAGCTATCAATGCCATCTACGAGCCCGACACCGTCACGGTGACCCGCGCACCGACAGCGCAATCCACCACCAGTACCCTCGATCTAGGAAATTCCGGGTCAGGTAGCGATGATGCGCAAACGACGGTGACACTCCAAATCCCCGGACAGTCATATCTCTCCTTTCGTATCGGGTTTGGCGCCACATACCCCGAGACTCAGCCTTTAGTGCTTGGAACGGCCTCGACCGCGGCGCGTGGAGAGGGTAAAATTGCCGTGGACGTTCTGGGAGATATTGTACAACGGACATGGCAACCGGGCGCTGTGTGCTTGTTCGATGTGATCAGTGAAGCGGTGGAGGTATTCCCAGAATTGAATATTGGCGGGGCGAAGGACAACCCGCAGACCGAGACGACAGAACCCTCTTTCACGACAGGCCATACATCGAGCCAAACGACGAGCTCCAATGGAGCTGCCGCACAACAAGCAACAGAGAATTTTGCATCTCTCTCTTTACAAGATACCTTCGGGCTTGATAGTCCACCAGACTGGATCCTCTCCGACGTGGTGACGGAAAAAAAGTCCGTCTTTCTCGCCCGAGCAGTCCGAGTAACGAGTCTAGCGCAGGCGCAGACCTTCTTGGACCACCTGACAGCGACGGATAAGAAAGTCGCCGTGGCGACGCACAACATTAGCGCTTGGCGAATCAAACAAAGGAAAGATACGGAGTCTAAGAGCACCGACTCTGACACGGCGGAGACCGTGATCCAGGACTACGACGATGATGGAGAAACGGCAGCCGGGGGCCGTTTACTTCATGTGATGCAGTTAATGGATGTGTGGAATGTCCTCGTTGTGGTCTCGCGATGGTATGGTGGGATTCATCTGGGACCTGCGCGATTCAGACTCATTAATGATGTCGGTCGGGACGCTCTGGTTAAGGGTGGTTTCACCCGAGAGGATAATACGGCTGGTCCTGACAAGGCCAAGAAGAAGGGGAAGAAATGAAAGAGCAATCGCCAGGTATATACCCCGCGTCTCCCAACCTAGCGTCAAATGAACATTCAGCCCTTCAGGATCAGGCTGGAATTACGGCACGGCCAGAGAGACCAAAGGTCTCTATTGTGTATACATATACATATATATGTCACTTGGGGTTGAAACCTAAAGAGGAATACAAGTTCCTTTGCATGTCGCAAGTCGGACGAATAAATCTCCAACAAAAACGAGCTATCTATTCCAACAGCGCGATTAGCTGCGCGTCTCAACCTGCTATTGACAGTCTTTGGTATAGCCGTCTGAGTAAGTAGAGTAGGCATCTTCAATCATATTTTAAGGAACATCCCGAAATCAGGCAGAGGCCGAGTGGAAATTGCCAGAAACCATCTGTGGAGTGGAGCATTCTTTTGGATCTAAAATTCTACGTCCATATCAAAAATTCACACTACTAACTGTTTTCATCCCTAGTTAAATCAATAGTGCAAGATATAGCGATTAATTCTTGTTATGATTCGGTCTACAATCTAAGTTTCGGACCGTGGATAGAGCTAGTCTAGGACGTATCGGGAAACGAAACCATCTATGGAGTAGAGCATTCTTTGGACCTTTCCTTCGTAGCGGCTACTTATATATACTAGTTAAAGTCGGGTTCGCGTAGATGTAACATCGGCAATCACCTAAAATTCTACGTCTATATCAAAAATTTATACTACTAACTATTTTCATCCCTAGTTAAATCAATAGTGCAAGATATAGCGATCAAGTCTTGTTATGATTCGGTCTACAATCTAAGTTTCGGACCGTGGATAGAGCTAGTCTAGGACGTATCGGGAAACGAAACCATCTATGGAGTAGAGCATTCTTTGGACCTAAAATTCTACGTTTATATCAAAAATTTATACTATTAACTATTTTCATCCCTAGTTAAATCAATAGTGCAAGATATAGCGATCAAGTCTTGTTATGATTCGGTCTACAATCTAAGTTTCGGACCGTGGATAGAGCTAGTCTAGGACGTATCGGGAAACGAAACCATCTATGGAGTAGAGCATTCTTTGGACCTAAAATTCTACGTCTATATCAAAAATTTATACTACTAACTATTTTCATCCCTAGTTGAATCAATAGTGCAAGATGTGGCGAGCAATTCTTGTTATGATTCGGTCTACAATCTGAGGTTCGGACCGTGGATAGCGCTGGTCTAGGACGTATCGGGAAACAGATCTACAATTTCTCCGGCTCTCTTTTCCATCTCTCGCGATTCACTGTCGCTCCACAGCTCAGCTGAAGACCCATCGACACAGAACAGGAAGTGATTTACCTTATTGGTATCTTTAAGAAGGCCCGAGGCTCTGGGCGTGAACCCCCTGCTCACGGGAGTGCTTGCACTGATAGGCAGTTAAAATCGGGATCACCTCGTTGATGTACACAACATCAACTTCAAGATGCTGCACCATGCTTTCAAGTCGCTCGTGGTCGCACTGGCGTTCGGCGCTCACGCCGTGTCGGCACAGAATTCGGCCACCTCTCTCGTGAGCCGTCGCCTCACTGAGTATTTGATGCCGGTCGCTAGTGAGACGCATGAGTTTGCGCGCGTGCCGAACTCGAATTTCGTGCTGCTTTCGCAAATGTCTGACAGCCAGCTCATCAAGATTGAGCTGAATCCTACCACCGAGGAGCCTATTGCTTTCCAGTCATTCCCCATGGGAAAGAACAGCAGTTCACAGCTTCATGGCGTGTGGCCGTCGACGCTCTACCCCGGCATGATGTGGCTGACCCTGCAGGCCGACAACCAGCTGCTACTCGTGGATCCTGGTAAAAACCTCTCGACTCCGCCGTCCATCCTACAAACCATCGATATCCCCGCACCAGGAAACGGCCCGCATTGTGTGTTTGAAATTGGAAACCGCGTCTGGGCCGGCCTCAAGGTGGCATCCGAGCAAACGGGCCAGTACTATGTATTCTCCGCCGATGTCTCTAACCACACAGACCAGACGCTATACCCGTGCCTCAACAGCCCCGTGTTTATCAAGGAGGAGCCGACCACCGGTTTGATCTACGCCACACAAGACACCGACTCGTCCATAATGCGCATCAATGTCACCAGCGGCGAGACGACACAGCTGCCAATCCCACCCAGCGTCGGCAACAACGCCGTCGGAATGATCACCGGCTACGGTCCCATGAATGGTGTATGGTTCACTCTCGCTGGCAATGCCACTGGTGGCACCGGCACCTTTGGCCATATCGGATCCACTGGCGAGATGGAGTTCTTCCAGCTCCAGCACCCGATGCTTGGTACCAACGCTGGTCTACTGCATATCGCTGACGCGTCGAGCGTAGCCGGCGGCCCAGCCTTATGGCTCTTGTCAACGTCGCTGCTCAGCAACAATTCACCCGATGCCCTGATCCGCGTGACTTTCGACGCTGACATCACAACAATTTCTGGCGAAGAGTATATCTCGATGCTCACTCAAAACGCTATGGTGCACCGTGTCCTGCCAATGGATGCCACGGTCCTAGTGTCCGAGCTCCACACATTTACACTCGCTCAACTCACGTACAATAACACTATTGCTGGACAGTGGCTGCCAGCTGAGGCTATCAGTGACACCACTGTTTACACCCAGGCTGGTTAAGTGTAACTTGTCGGTGGAAAGTCTGTGGCTAGATCATATAGATTCTGCTATCATGGACACATTCTTCAAAGAGTAATCTAATAAAATATGACATATCTTTTATAAACCTTTGCATTTGAGTAATGAACAGCGGTTCGCAAAGAAATATCTAGGAAACAGGTCTCTCGGCTCAGTTCCCAGTAATCTAATTGTATGGCCATTACTTAGTCAATGATTCTTAAGGTAGTTAGTTAACATAAGCAAAACTGAAACAAACCTACTATTTACAGTATCATACTTCATTTGAAATCCAAATAAAGCATCGAATGAATGGTCCTACAAAACTGGAATCTAAAATCAACGTCACGTCGTTGAGCCCCATACAGGGCCTCGGCGAAAATGTTCGAGAAAAAGCCAAGGAATATGAGTCTGTAGGCATAGCCTGTTTGGATCCCGACGTTGCCGACAACTTCTTTGCCAAGACAGGTGAATGGAGGCTTTGGAACCGAAGACGCTGGGCTGTTATTGGAGAAAGCAGGATACTTGCAATAACAGGGCTCTGGGCGAAGTCATTCATCTTGACACTAGAAAAGGAGAATTTATCCAATTGATCTGATCTTAGAAAGATCTTCGATGTGTCTCTATCAGTAGTGTCTTCAAAGTGCCTAATTGGTAGGTATACGCCAGAAAGAGAATGGCAAGCTGCGATTAACACACAGAACTTCTCAACAGAACTCAAGTCAATTACGAAGGAATAAAGCCCTTTTCTGCCTGGCTTTTCCTAGGCACGATATTATGCCGGTCCAGATCTAAGAATGGGTGTCATATTGTCCTCTTGACTGTCTATGTGTGCAACACTGCACCGATTTGAATGTTCACAGCCCCTCTCTCCATTCCATGAGGTCTTCTCAGTAATCGTGTTATATAGAACACTTGAAATGTGTCCAAGACTACCAAGGTCTTGCTGGGCCGGTGACAGCGTGCTGTGAATGATTCGAGAGACAATCTGCACCCTGCGGCGAAGGAAATCTTCCGACCCTGTTATCGTGTCAAGTCCGGTGATTTCATGAGCAGCGCATTCTCTTCAAGACCTCATGACTGAAATATCTTGGAAGATTGAAGTCCCAACAAATCGCCAGCCGGCCGGGCCAATTTCCATGTCATCTCAAAGATATTGATTTATATCCACAGTAATACTGCCCATCTGCAGGTCTATCGCTGATGTGACCATGGGGCTAGGCAGAATCCATGACAAAAATTGATTCTGAAAGACTCAATATACCAGCCAGAGTCACAAAAAGTCCCCAGTCAAGCACATGTAACATACCTTGAGGCATTTTCAGCTCATATCGACTATATCTGGCCCGCGTTACCGTAGCATGGACGATGCTACAGCCTTGCGACTGCTCAAGTTTGATACTATTGTCACCGCCAAGCCCATACTCAAGCCAATCCTCGTGAGAGGAGCTGTAGGTGGTGTTCGAGGTACTTGGTTGCGATGAATAGGCATCCATGTTCGAACGATCAACTAGTAGTCAGTTAGAGGTTCGCGAAGCCTGGATATTTGAGGGGTTTTCCCGGTCGACAACCAGTGCGTGCATGGTGAACAGTCTCGAGATCGATCAAACTACCACCGTACCATGGAACAAGACGGAGTGGATGAACCTTAGTGAACAAAATGAGGGGCTTGGGAGATTCTGCGACTGCAGGTCTGGATCCCAGGGTCTACTCCATAGTTTATTAACGTTACTAGTGTGGATTTATTCAATGCTACGCCCGCTGCGAACCTACGCCACAACCCCCGCTAGCATATCCATTTTATTTACAAGGCGGACATAACCGAGATTAGGCAGTGGGGAGGGCGATTCGTGAGATTAGAAGTTGCACTTTGTATATGACAAGAGGATTGCCAAGTATAAGACGTGCAAGACGTTCCTCGGGACCTGTCATGGCGATATGTTATCAATCTGAAACGCCTCTGACAGATGGCTTTCTATGGATCTCATGGTGCTCCATGGCGTTACAAAATCGCTGGGTCTCGGAAGATAATGTTGAACCGTGGGCATGATAGTTTGAATAGGCTTTGTTTGATTATGGATTGTAGATCGTACTATGCGGAATCAACATCCGCCATACAAAGAAGAACAATAGGATAAAGGGATATGTCACATCGCATATGTCCATTTCCCCTCCATCACCCATGTCCAAAATGCTCAACAGTAGCAGGCTAGCAGTACATGTGACGTCTATGGTCTATGCTTGAATGTGTCGATATTATTTTCGAAACAACAGGGTTCGCGGCATCTTCGGTTGACACCTTCAGTTTCCCAAGATCCACTCGATCTTCACGCTAAGCCGCACCATCCCAGCCCGTCTTCTTGGGTTTCAACCGAGGCTGCCATACAACTCGGGTGGATGTATCAGGACCCTGAACAATGTCTTTTTTTCAAGGCAAAGAGCATCCCAGACTCGTGATCGACAGCCTCAGTGCCGGGCATTGTGGGCCACTAGCGATTCTCTCCCGTAAGGTCTGTCGCGGGAAACGTTCAGGCACAAAATCAACAGGTCAAAACACCTGCGCCACGGGCGCGAGGGCTGCTTCCAACTATAGAGGATGTCTGATCTTCTCCAGCAGTCCTGTTCTTCTTCGCGCAGTGCGTCATCGGGATCCAAAGTTTTTGCAGCACGCAAGGATAGCGAGGGTGCAAATCGCAAGCGCACCAGCCGGTTGGCTACGCAAAGTGCCGAGCGTCTGGGGGGCCCATCCTGCAGCTAACAGGGGACCTGGGGTGGACTTGTCACCGTCCCAGTAAAGCGTGGGAGACACATGAAACCGCCAAACGAGGCCCTCCGTTCACCACGACTGCAACCTCCAGTTTCAACGTCCAAATGGTACACATTCGAATTCCCAGATGGTCGTGCAGCGTGGTACAATCAGTTGCTTGTGCAGCCTGATTCGGCCCCTGGCCCGCAGACAGGAAACAGAGGCGTCAACCATCGGGATTCTCCACAACCAATCCACCGGTCGCGAGGCCCAGGCACATGGAGACTTTGGGACCCAAGTTGATGGTGAGACGCTTGGCAATTGGCCGAGCTTCTTGTCGGAAGGGGTAGATGAAAAACCGTCGTGCCTTGCGCCAGCTCTGTCCCGACAGGAGTCTTGTCTGTGCGGTGGTTGGCTCCTTCACCAGCCGCCTCGCCGCTGGGACTGGTCAATCTGCCCAGTCCGGGGGTCGCGTTCCGAGCCTCTGAGTGGCCACGGGACTCTGCCACATCACCACCACTCACCGTTCGGATCTGGCAATTGCACGCTTGGAGGGCACACCACTTGAAACATCCCAGCTTTTCGAGAATCTGGATCTCCACTCGCCCTGTCGTCTCTATTGTACTCTCACGACGCGTGCCATCATCGAGCAGGCCATTCGGAAGGGTGGATTGGTCAGGCCGCGGAGTAAATCAAACTTGGGGAGTATCTAATTGATTAGCGTATTGCCCCAGCGGATCTCGTTGTGACTCCATTCAGGGACCGAGATGTCCGTCACGACTCCGTACCTGCTGGCTGCTGGGCTGATGGGTGCACGACCCTACGTCGTACCGTTTCCCTGACTGATACTGGCGGGAAGCGAAGAGGAGAAGTATGGTAGAGGAAGAGATGGAGGAGGAGGCGGAGGTCGAAGGACAAGTTGGATATAAAACCCTTCCACGTCATGGCTGTATCTTCTTCTTCTTTTTCTTTTCTTTTCCTTTAGTCGGGCATTTCCATCCTTTCCCTTCTTCCCTTCACGGTTCGACAAACCTTCCAACAGGCCAGTCCTGTCTTCCTTTCTCTTCTTCTTTTTGCTTGGTAGTCATCGCCTGTGGCGAACTACAACACTCCTTCTAGAACCTCATCGCTTCCAAGACATTCCATAACATTGGGTCCTACATTGTCATTGTCTATCTGAGACTCCTTCTTTCCAAAAAAGCTTAGCAGAGATTGTTTGATACAGCTCTGCTCTTAGCTCTGACAAAGGTATTATTCTACGCAGCTCTCCATTACTGTGCATTGCATCGCATTCTTGTGGAACTTTCCGTCTCGTTGTGTTTGTGCCCCTGGTGTTTGATATAATCCTATTGTTTGATTGTATCATTGCTGCCTCTCTCATCCCATCCAAATGGAATGCGAGAACATCCATGCTTGATATTGGAGCGATGCCTGCACCAATCCAACAATGCCTTTTCCTTCTCTTGGTAGCCTACATCGCTGCCTATACACCCACCTCTCTGTGAAGTCTTCTCTCCATGGAACACGTTATAAACAGCCATACCCCGTCATCATCCTCATCCTCTTCCCTTTCTCATCCACTAACTCTTCTGGCGCAGGAAGCCTTGACCCGCTCTGCTCTCGCGACTACCAACATCCAATCCTTTACCGTTTGACCACTTTCGTCTGGTACGAATCGGATCTCCATTTTTAAGATTACCTGTCGAACAATCAAAAAAGTTCCCTTCATCAACATGATGCTCGCCAAAACCTTCTTGGTTGCCGCTCTCGGTGCCTCTGTGGCCAACGCCCACATGATCATGACCCAGCCCGTCCCTTACGGCAAGGATAGCCTCACCAACTCCCCGCTTGATGCTCAGGGTGGTGACTTCCCCTGCAAGCTTCGTGACGGTACCTACACTGTGTCCACAGAGAACATGATGACCATTGGTGAAGTCCAACAACTGCGGTTCCAGGGAGGCGCCACTCACGGCGGTGGTTCGTGCCAGATCAGCTTGACTGAAGATCGGGCCCCGACCAAATCGTCTACTTGGAAGGTCATCAAGTCCATTGAGGGAGGCTGCCCTGCGAACGTTGACGGCAATCTGGGATCTGATGCTAGTGCCGCAGATCCCTATCACTTCAACTTCACCATTCCCGACGGAATTGCTACCGGCAAATACACTCTCGCCTGGACCTGGTTCAACCGCATCGGAAACCGCGAGATGTACATGAACTGTGCTCCGGTTACGGTCACAAGTGGCTCATCCAAGCGTTCCGTGGAGGCCCCTGTTATCGAGCAACGCTCCTCCAGCTTCCCTCCTATGTTCGTTGCGAACATCAACGGCTGCACGACCAAGGAAGGCATCGACATTCGTTTCCCTCAGCCTGGCAGTGTTGTCGAATATGATGGTAACCCTATCAACCTGGCTCCCGCCGGTGAGGCCGCTTGTTCCGGCACTCCTACTTTCGGCGGCGCAGGTGACACTGGCTCTGGCACTTCAAGCTCGGGCTCGGGCTCTTCTGGCTCTGGCTCTGGCTCCAGTGCCTCATCCACTGTGGCGGGAGGCTCTCCTATCGAGACTTCAACTCAAGCCGGCGCCCCCGCTCCATCCTCCACGAGTGCCCCAGCTGAGACTAGTGCCCCAGCCGAGACCAGTGTTCCTAGTGCCCCTCAGCCTGTTGTTTCTTCCACTGCACCGGCCTCTCCCTCTGGCTCTTCGAGCTCCGGCACTCTAACTGGATCCTGCAGCCCGGAGGGTTCTTGGAACTGCATCGCTGGTACCTCCTTCCAGCGCTGTGCCAATGGGCAGTGGACTGTCTCTCAGCAGATGGCCGCTGGCACTCAGTGCACCGCCGGCATGAGCTCTGACCTCTCTGTTTCTGCCATCAAGGCTGCTCGCGAGATCTCCGCAATGCGCTTCCGCAAGCGTACCATCGGCGACTCGCACCATGTCTAAGCGTCCTCGGCTCCGTCATCGTACGTCCACACCTTCGATAACCGCTTGAGGCGGCTGTTGTACCCCGATCTTCAATTCTTGATTGCATTCTCACATCGATCTTCATTCACATTACTTTTCGTATTCGCTCCTGGATTATGGGCTCTGGGACGGACCCTTTTTTTCGCTGCATCATGTTTCTCGGTTCTTCCCGTCATGTACATTCTTAGGATGAGACTTGTTTAAGTCAGGATATCTCATGCATTTTTATGGGGCTTTAGTAGGTAAAGGAGTGCAAGTGTACGTAGTAGAATATCAACCGTAAATCAAGCCTGAGTTAGTCTAGCCTGTTAAGATTTCTCGGGCGTGAGCTTGGAGACTATGTATCCTGGATACATCCATTTATGGCCAATTGTACGTTATCATATACTCTTCGTATATAACGGTATAATGATAGCCAGCAATATCTTATCTTAGGCACTGTGTTGGCAAGCTGGTGAAGAGCATTAGGCTAAGGCGGGTAAGCTTTGAATAAATTGATCACCTATAAAACGCTAGCAGGGATTATCAGCCCTATGGAATAATCCAAAAGTCCGCAATTCAATTGCCGAGTTGTACTAATCCGAGAACATTGAAGCTTAACTGTTTCCATGGATGGTGTTTGGACTCAATGAATCTTTATTCCATTAGAGCTTGTGAAACAGCAACAATGAATAATGGATTACATTTTAACATGGAGTGACCTGCAACTTTTTTGGGAAATTGTAGTATCTAATTCGTTCAAGATCTCCTTTAATTGGAAGAAAATTATATTCTAAGTAAAAGTGAGTTTCAGCCCCATAGCAGATTCAACACAGGCTGTCATCGCTGATCCTTCTCGGTGGACGTATGATCGATTGTAAAGACTTTTCCAGGTTCTGTCCCATCCGAAGACCCGTTCTCCCACCAGCCAAGATAGAACCGACGTTTGGCGAAGATGTTCTCGAGTGACTTGTCGTTTGGGTCCCAAACTCCGTCAGCAAATTGATCCAGCAAATGGGAATCTGCCAAAAGGCTAGCAACCGCTGCAATGCTACATGGATTCTTTGGCAAAACAAGGTCTGTGTTCAGAAGCACGGAGCCAAGGATACCCAGAGCGAGCATTGTGCCCAAAAGCGCCTCCAAAATCCGCGTCGAAGTAGCATCTTGAACCAGCCTCAGACTACTTGAATTTGTGATGTTTCCTTGGAGTAGTGCGTGATGAATACTGTCATTCGCTGTTCCACGGGTGTAATTGTTGAGCTGTTGCGCGTTGATTATTTTGTGTTGACGTTTGATCGCGTCGATCACTGTTTGATTCTTTTCAGGGAGCGTGAGGTCTTCGGAAGGGATTGCGTATTTCCCAGTGACAAGGAGATAGAAAAATCCATCGAGAGTTGGATATTGACCACCCGTGTTCAAAGTCCACCACTCAGGTATCGGGGTGTAGAGGTTCTTGTCCAATCTCACAGACGATTCGACCGGCACTGGTGGATGGCTTTGGTCAATTTCCAGTTCCGGCAACTTGAATCTCGCGTCGACATCGATATTTTCGGCGTACTGCATACATGTCATTGACATAATATATTCAACAGTGGTGCCTTTCGCATGTCCCCAAACATAATTCTCGGTGTAAGTAGACGGAACGTAGTCCCTAGCATAGCAGGTAGATTGTATCGAGTACCCAAATGGTTCGTCCTTGAGATCCTTCACAGTGAATACCGTGGCATTGAAAGCATAGTCTGTATCATTTCCTGGGCAGGCGGGAGTTGTCAGAATACTGGTGAGCTGGTACTCCGTTGTGTTCTCTTGAACATAGCGACTGATCTTTGGCTTCAAGTCATCGGCAGTGAAAACATTGCAAACGAGTGTAGGTCTTAAAGCTGGAACTCGAATGTCCACAAAAGAGCCATTTCCCACGATCTTGGTCAACGAATCATTCATCGAGATCTCCGCGAAAGCAAGTTCTTCATATGTCCAACGAGGGTAGCTGAAATTATACTGAAGAATGTATTCTGCGGTCAGGACTCCTGCGACTTCGCCGGCTTCATCCAGATTCAGCTGGACCCCTTCGATGGTCCTTGGGTCCGGAAAACCACCAACCCGCGTGAAGTTGGCGACTTCACGGGACGGGACTTCAATTACCGAGTAGAGACCGCTGATTACAATAGTCAGAAAAAAACCTGCACCTGTAGCAAGTGTCGTTGCTAGTACGGCCAAATGCTTTGAACGAATGGACCGATAACTATTGGTGAAGCCTTGGGCATCCAAAAAGTTCAAGTTCATGGACTGGGAAAATGAAGCGCCCGTGCAGCGTTTGAGATGCGAGTAAGGCGCAAGGCATCTGGTGTTGAAGTCTATGCTGCCAAATGCAAGACTAAAGCCGGTCATGATGGCACCAGGAATGATGGTCCACACGTAATGCATGTACTCATCGACGTAAGAGACATTTCCGAGTCCCTCGTTGACCTGTGAAAGGTGTAAAAGCACCTCTAAGACCGCAATCGCCACTGCAACCAACATGAAAATAGTAATACGGGCAAAAAGACCAGGGAATGGTTTCCAGTTGCGATACTGGTGATCAGTATTCTGAGTGAAGTGAGGTTCCTTGGACACATTCTTGTGGATCTCAATCGATGTGCCCTTTGAGGTGCATTGTGAATAATATTGTTGTTCCCTCAGTTGCTCACGTAGTACCTTATTTGACACTGCCCCAAGTCCACGAAGGGATGACCGAAGTCCTTCACTGTTTGCTGCAATGGCTGCAATGGCCGAAATGCAAGCTGGATTCGAGCTAGTTGCCTTTTTGCGAGCAATATGCACAAGTATCAAGATTGCCAACAAAGTCACTATTGCTAGACATGCTTCGATACTGCGGAGAGGTAGCTCCATCATCATGACACGGTTTTCGTTCACGAGAGCAGAGCCCATTGTTCTCGACTGCTTCTCTTGAACGAGACCCATATGCATAAGCTGGGCGGTCATTGCACGATAATATGTGGATGCAGAGTCTTGGAGCACATCGCCCAGCCAGAAGTTCTCAATAGTAGCCTCTTCTTCCGCAAGGAGTAATCCAAGCCTCAGCGCCTCATCAATCTGTGCATCATCTGGGAACGGATTAAACAGTTCAATGCCTCTGAACCCCGTGGTAGTACTAGCATTTGTCATGATATAATCGGCAATATCTTCTGCGGTCAGACCTTGGAGCGTGGTCTCCTCAGAGGCAATGGTTTCAAGGCGAATGTCACTTGATAGATCGGTGGCATTTCCTTGGGCTTGTAGCTTCACGCGAGAAAGTGTAGGTTTGCAGATCATAATTTTGTGGCGCTTCAACTCGAGCTGTACGATTTCGTATTCAGGTGGTCCCTGATACGCCGAGGCTTTCGTGCGAGTTGCATTTTTGTCGCCGATCTCGATCAACAAGACCAGAACACGCATGTCGTCCACAGTCTTATTCCCACATTGTGTCCATTGAAAGTGCCCAAGTTGCGTATATTCTATGGCGCCTAGCCCAAATTGGTCGTAATTGGAAATGTTGCACGTTGGGGTGACTATCTGCAAATCGTACACCAAGTTGACTTGACTACCGTTGGTCTTGAGCCATTCAATGTAATATAAAGATTTGGTATGAACGTTGATTGCATCTTCGCAGCTCAAGTCCGCCTTGAGCCCTTCTATAGGAGCAGTGACGATAGCAGCAGAGGAGACGTTCAGAGCGGAGAATTCTTGAAAAGCTAAGTCGACATTCGTACCACCCGGATAAGCCAAGTTGTCGAAGACTATCCCGTTGATTATGTCGTATGGTTGTGAGCCGACAGCTTCTAATGTCGAATTCTCAGAGCTGAATATATTATGTAGCTGGATAGTGACGTTGTTCTGATGAACTGGGACCTCCTGGAGCGAGAACAGACCGGTTGAAAGAATTATCACCAGCTGCACGAGTAGAGTACAAGACACGCTCGAAAACACAATCACTTGCTTGTTCTTGAAGGCCTTCCACACGGTTACAGGCTGCATGTCGGATATATAGTCTAAGAGCACACTTTTCTCCGCTGGCTGAGGAGCTTCGAGCATCGACTGCCAAGGTGCATTTTGCTTCGACTGAAACTCAACCCGTGACCAAAAAGTTGCGACAATAGTGAGAATGGCGGTCGGTCCATAGGTCCAAAGATAATGACGACCTTCGGTTGAAGCGGCAATGCCGTCATGAGCTTCGGACGATTGGTATAGGGCCTCGAGTGCGGCAATGATTGCGGAGAAAGCGAACACAAAAAGAGCTAATATTCGCTTTCGTAGGTACGATGGCCGCCAGCCACTATTTTCTAAATCATCTGAAGCTCCAAAATGCTTTTCGATGAGGTCAAAAAGCATGCCGAAGGTGGAAGTTGAGGTGACTCGATATATAGCGCCCTCGGCACAGCAAGCTATGGCATCGACAAGAGAGAGGTATAGTGATGATTTCTGCGTGCCATATATCTATGGGATTGAGGATGAAATATAATGATCCAAAGATCGAGGAGCAAGACTCTTAATCCAGGAATATATCCCATCTGGAGCGGGAGTAAACGCGCAAACATTGCTCATTCAAGGCCCGTGCAGCACCTTAAGCGCCGGCCCCAGGTGGCAGCAGCAACTCAGCCTAAGGAGTTCCTGAAACACCGTAAACCCAAAAAAGCCCTCAAGGCGCGTAGGAATCAGCTTTCTTGCCAGTAACATGAGTATGCGATAATTGGAATATGGGAAGTTACTTAGCTATCTGTTCATAGCTGCTCACTACCTAAGACGATTAGAAGGGCCAAGACATTTAGCCGCATGAAGTGAAGCCCTGGAGGTTTCAGAAGCCTCGGACGATGGTAACTTGGATGTGATCTTACTGAGAAAAGTCGCTGCGTCGCCGATCTTGATTTTATATCATGGGTAGGAGAAAGAGACAGGGAATGCTTAAATTAGCAGGAGTATGCCTCGCGGCGGCAACTGGCTTAGCAAGATCATAATGTGAACAAGTACCACTTTGAAGGCGCCACATTGCGACAGCGACACCATATATTAATACGTTGACCTGATACATAGTGGACTATTTATACAGTAGACCCTTCTCGGAACTTAGCAGTCATCTCAACGTCAACTTATAAAAGAAAATTAGAAAACACCGACTGCGGTATACTTCCAGTAATGTCACGTGGTTGGTGGGGTACCCGATGACATAAAGAAGCACGGATCACTGGCAGGTGGCTCACACTAGCCCAAAGTAGGAATGAGGGCTTAGGGTTTTCACGACCCACGACCGGCCAAGCTCAGTAAGCGAAAAAATCCACAGGTGAGGCTTGACTGGGGAAACCTTTGGACTTCAACCTCACCATCGACATCGACCGACAACAATGGCCTCCCGCCCGACCGTCTCCATCGCCACGGCTGAGGGTAAGCCCTCCGGGGCTACCCAGCCCCTGCCCACCGTCTTCGGTGCTCCCATCCGCCCGGATATCGTCCAGTACGTCGAGCCCGCAAAATTCGAACATTGATGATTGAAGGTGGAAATGCTGATGGATTTCGCTTTACAGGCAGGTGCACACCGGCATGGCCAAGAACAAGAGACAGCCCTACGCTGTGAGCGAGAAGGCTGGCGAGCAGACCTCTGCTGAGTCCTGGGGTACCGGTACGTGGGATTGAAGTTTCAAGATCGAGCAGGGAATTTTTTGTCTGGAGAGGGGTGACGAAACAAATTTTTCTTTGCGGGGGAGGTCCAATTGGTATGCTACGGGATAGAAGCTGACGAGATGATTTCTTGATATCCAACAGGCCGTGCTGTCGCCCGTATTCCCCGTGTCTCTGGTGGTGGTACTCACCGTGCCGGTCAGGCTGCCTTCGGTAACCAGTGCCGTTCCGGTCGCATGTTCGCTCCCACCAAGGTCTGGCGCAAGTGGCACCAGAAGCTCAACCTGAACCAGAAGCGCTTCGCTACCGCCTCTGCTCTGGCTGCTTCCTCCGTCCCCGCCCTCCTCTTCGCCCGTGGCCACCGTGTCGCCAAGGTCCCCGAGGTTCCCCTCGTTGTCGAGTCCAAGACCTTCCAGGGTGCTGCCCTGACCAAGACCAAGGCCGCCATTGCCCTCCTCCAGGCCCTTGGTGCCGGTGAGGACCTCGTCAAGGTCCAGAAGTCCCGCAAGCTCCGCGCCGGTAAGGGTAAGCTGCGTAACCGCCGCTTCCGCCAGCGTCGTGGTCCTCTGGTTGTCTACAACCCCGAGGTCGATGGCAAGGAGCTCGTCCGTGCCTTCCGCAACGTTCCCGGTGTTGAGACTTCCTCCGTCTTCTCCCTGAACCTCCTCCAGCTCGCCCCCGGTGGTCACCTCGGCCGCTTCATCGTCTGGACCTCCTCCGCCTTCGAGGCCCTCGACCAGGTCTACGGCACCACCACCACCCCCTCGGCTCTCAAGAAGGACTTCCTCCTGCCCTCCGCCATGGTTGCCAACGCCGACCTGACCCGCCTGATCAACTCCTCTGAAATCCAGGCTGTTGTCCGTGCTCCCAAGGGTGAGGCCCGCACCAAGCGTGTCAACGTCCAGAAGAAGAACCCTCTGCGCAACAAGCAGGTTATGCTCCGTCTTAACCCCTACGCCGCTGCCTACTCCAAGCAGAAGCTTGGCCAGCAGAAGGTCGAGGCTGGCAAGCCCGAGCGTGCCTCCGCTGGTTTCGCCAAGGTTCTGTCTGAGGAGTAAATGTGCTCTCCCAACATTTCTTTGGATATGGTGAAAATTGGTAGTTTGCAGCAAAAAATGAATCAATGACTTTTTTTGCAATACCCATGGGTCTATCGGAGTAATAATATGATCGGTTTTGTTCTCTCAATTGTTCAGCTGTTCTGGCTTCCTAGTGGTAAGTTAACAGAAGGGGTTCGTAGTTTGTGGTCCTATCTTTGCCCTCGTCCACGTCTGTCATTATTGTTCAAGGTTCGATCTCTTCATCGACCACGCATATGGGTCGCCTGGGCTTTGTTAGGTCGTCAACTTTGGCTTGGTCTTGCGGCCACCGTAGCCCGAACCCAGCAATTCAGAGACAACCAGGGCTCTCCTTGCGCGCGCATGCTTGGTTGTATCCTCGGAAGCGAAACGAATACCCATCTCCAAGTATTCCGCGGAGATTAATGTCATTTGCCGTGGTTTGTATCCGACAATAAACTCTCACGGTTGAAGTTCCAGTTCCGAGACCGTTGCCCGGCCATGCAGAACATAACTATTCCTTGTTGTCTACGGCATAAAGCTCGAAGCTTGTTCAAGGATGTATAATTATATATATTATCGGCGGATTCCATGTCCAGGGTTCTATTGGCGAGAAGCCACAAGGGTCGGCCTACTTAATAGGTGTGAATTCACGAAGTCCCGTCGTGCATGAACAGGGATATCTGTCTCCATTAGTTAGGTTACTTGCCCTCCGCATAAGCGAGGAAGCATCCTTGACAAGTTGCAGACCAGTCCAAATTAGCGACGATCCTATCTGGAATCCATTAGTATAGAAATAGAATTTGCAACGTTGTGCACGTTTAAGAGCGAGGATCTCCGTACTATACTTGCTAGCGATTGATTCGCTTCCAACAAATATCGCAAGACCTTGGAAATGCCCGTCGAGCAACGTGTTCATGCGGTGTTTTCCCTCGCTAACCGGATGGCCTGGGGCTCACGGGCGCTGAGTTCAAAACTTGACGGAGGAGAATTGTTTTGGTATCACATGTGCTCTTAGGAGTCGGACCTAGGTAATAAATATGTCTTGAGTTCAATAGACTATACATGTGAAGTGTGTATAAGGGTTATTGCAAACAAGCAATAGAACCGACAGCCATGGCAGAGTTCAAGATATCAAGATGAAACAGCCAGCACGAGACGACGAACTAGTGGAAGTCCTAAAGCGCTCATGACAGGACCACGCTCTGCCCAAATAGGCAAGCCGTGACCTGTCAATCAGGTTGATCCCCGATTGATTCGGCGATCGTACCTCCAAACTGAGGCTGACAAGGGCAAGTTAAGCGTCCAAACATTGGAACCATACTCAACCTGAAACGCGGAGAGCGGACAAGGCAACCGTCTAACCAAACTAGCGAGTGATGTGACCGGGGATAGACATGTTTGCCATACGGAGCTCCTTCATGCCTCCACTCTTTTCGAGAGAAGCGCCTTGTTGCTTAGCTTCACATGCTAAATGCTTTTTTATTCTCTGTTTTCTAGAAAACTTCAATATATTTAACTTTCATCGGCAGCCGCCGGTTCCCAGGATCCTAGACCCTCATCTTGCGGATCGACCTAGCAGAAGTAGACAATGACATCTTGCATCCCGGGCGCTTGGGTTTTACGAAGTTACGAAGGCGACGCCTCCCTGACCCGTAGCTACAGGTCCAACAGCGACCAAAGCGAAACGGAGACACACGAAGGAAAGAGAAAGGGAAAACTTAGCAATAGTGGTCAGCACAGACGCGGACGAATCCTTGGTATCGGGAAAGTCGACCGACCAGCCGATGTCGAAGCGAGCTTACACGAAGTGGACAGGGTGAAGATCAGGAGCTGCGACTCGGGGCGCTGGGAACAACCGTCAGGGTCCACGGGTGATAGTCGGATATTTTTCAAAAGTACACTAAGAACGAAGTAGCAGTCATCAATTCGATCGGAGTGGGGTGGGGATGTACGTCAGACTTCAGTTTGTCTTCGGCGACGCGAAATTCCCGTTGTACTCCGGACTTACTGTACCCTCGCAGAGAGCGTAAAAGAAGGTTGCGGGCGGCTGGGTTCTAAGGTTTTTGAGATACTTAGGCGAGGTCGGAAGACCAAACCTTCGGTTGAATTGAGTTTGGGCGTTGATGTACGTACGATGACACACCGATCCCGCGCATTCTCGACGATGGGCCTATGCAGGTTAGTAGTCGTGCATTCGGCTAGAGCTCGGTACGACCTAGGAGAAAGTTCGAAAAGCTTCTTAGCCCAGCTTTTGAGCTTGTAGAGTTGCAACAGGGCCTGTTTGCCACACCCGCTACGTAAGCTAGCACAGCTATAGCGAGCCCACTATTAAGTTAATTGACAAGTTGACAAAGTATATGGGGATCAGGGAGAGGCAGATGCAACGTGAACCAGGGACTTCGAGTATAACCGAGATCCTTTTGTCTTGGTCCTCTTAGAAGCGAACATTCATTGGGACCGAAGAATGACGCCGTGCGAGGCCTGGCCACAAAAGGAGCGGGAAAGGGGGGCGCATCGGAGTAGGAAAATTCTCCGATCGAGCCGCTTTCCACGGCTTTTCGAGGGTAAGCATATATGTGGTCAGACCGCAAGGGATCTGATCGTAAAGAACAGCTGGCACGAGCCCACGATCGTGGGTAGGATGACTAGTGCTCATAAGTGCGCGGTGACAATGGTGATGTACATCCACGATGCAAAGCACTGAAGTAGTTTAACTAGAAGTGCGCTGTCAAGGGGATGCTCCTCGGTAGGATTGGCCGAAATGTGAAGAGAGCACGAGCAACTTGACGTGAAGAACCGTGATCCTCAATTTACCTAATAGCAACAAATTAGTTAAAGACTATCTAAAATAATAACATTAATATACCCCGTACAATACAATTACATCGGACTTGGCACGCGAGGGACGGAGTAATACAGATCCTTCATTGTGGGCCCCGTTAAGGAAAAGTATCCATTCGTAGATCACCCAGAATTGGTCAGGCCAGAGAGGGATTTACTTAGCTACATAGCAGTATTACAGTAGTTACATGTCCAGTCGGAGACTGTTTTCAGTACGAAGTATGGCCTACATACGGAGTACTGTACGTAGTATATAATATTAGACTTGGCAATGCCGGACCGGCGCCATCTTTCGGCGCATTTGTTATTATTGTCTCACCTGCCAACTCGAACCGACCTAGGGGGTGGACGGCGGAGGCTGGAGCACAGAAAGATGAACACGGCACAGAAGATTCTACGCTACCGGTAGTCAACCCGACGCTACTCCAGAATGTCGACCTGTGGAGGCACTGGAGGATTAAGCACGGGCGATGCAAAACATACCGAGACCTGTTCACCCGGCATGCAGTAGCAGAGTCACAGCACAGTAAGTCTCAGCAATGGCACGGTGGTCCGTCCAGGAACCGGGCGTTAGTGAGTATCTAGCGCTAGCCTGGTGCCATGCGTAGTTGATACGTTTTTTATTTTTTATTTTTCGAATTCATTAGACAAGCTGACTAGCTACATATCTGCTATCCAACAATACCTCTCCTTTGGGTCTTCTTGACTCAATCGTTGACGCATGAGTTTATGGTATGATATGAAGGATTCCGACTAGGCACTTGTCTAAATAGGATCCTCTATCTTAGCCGAATTAATTCCGCCATTGAGCGTTGTAAAGGATGCAAGCTAAACCCAGTTCATCATTTGCAATCGGTACCTGACGCGGGAGCAAAAGAAGCGACACGGAACAGAAACCTTAGTTCTCCTGAATGAAGTATCAATCGCCGCCCAAACCAAGTGGATCGGACGAATGGTAATTGGTGATCATTTTGGAGATTACTTCTTGACTACGTACGGAATATACTGGACGGAGTCTTAGAGTAGTATATGCGCACTCTGTTAATATTACTTTCTCAGTTGCAGTAGTTTATGTGGTGGTACGTCTGGCGTCTCGGCGGACATCATCTCGCATCGATCTATCCACCTATCGATTTTCATTACATACTGTATCCTCCACTGGACGCCTGCCTCTTGTATTTTTACTCTATCTTATGCGCACCCGAAGCCCGTGATCTCCATCAAAGTCATAATCCGTTCAATCAGCATCGCACTCGGTATTTGTTCGGAAAAAAATTGGGTCCCGATGATGAATTGACCAATGGCGTGATCATGTCTCTGACTGCGCTGAGCCACGCTTGCAAGTTTCTCGGGTGGAAATGCCAGATGGAGGGCTGCTGCGAGGGTTGGACCTGGTTTGGTTTTTGGGAAATGCCGGAATGAGAGGGCCCAGCGCACCTCCAACATTCGATAAATCCCGACGGGTTTCTGTCTCAGGAATCAGGATATCCTAGGAATCAAAATGAGAGAGTACGTAGTTTAAAATATACAAGCCAGATTATACTTTTATTCATGTCACCTTTTCGGCTACCCTCCTGCTTTTACACTTCCAGCGTTACCCGGAACAGAAAACGCACCGAGAACGCACCAAGGGGGGCTGAGGCCAAATACAGTAGGCGGCGATCCCGAATGACGGCTTGCAGATCTGATCGCCATGCTTTTGAGACACTATACGTGGTCAAATCCGGAGTGCATCGCCGTTGGCAACAGCAAGTTCAGTCGGCTCGGTGGAGTATCTCACACCGGGCCCATTGGACCGGAGCTTCGTATGGGAAGGCCAGGGTTCCCTGTAAGTGGCTTCGTTGGTCATCGGAGGTCCTACTCGATCGCGCTGAGCAGCATCTGCACGAGGCTCCTCTTTATACGATCTTGCGACGAGTCGAAAGGTGAGTAGTGAGAAGTTGCATCTTCTCGAGTGCTCCGTGGGCGCTTGGCTTGATGACCGCCCCTCGTCAACAATACAATTAACGTAGGTGTTGTTTTGTGACGGCATTGTAGTATTACATGTCTATTCTTTTGAAGACGACGATTATGATGACGCTGGTACTGTACGTATGAGGGTTAAGATGTCTAACATATATGATCACGATTATCGTTGAGACTTTGGATACGAAGAAGTTCCAGTAAACAGCATTTCTTTCTCTCCACTTTTTGCATGCGCAGAATCTGCACATGCCAGCCAACCTAGGCATTCCAATCCGAGCTTTGAAGGGGCCACAAGTAGCCAGCGTGGAGGACAACTTGTCCACCATTCACTAATAATAATAATATCGTCCTTGAACCAGATATTCAGCAAAATCTAATCCTTACGCCCGAGGTGTCTACCGTATCATTCATTCTTTGTGTGGCATTCAGGTTCAACCGAGGCCGACGGGAGTCTCGGCGTTGACGCCCCATCCAGTCAGCTTACAGCCATTCGGAGTCCGAGAAGCATTAAGTTCTCCATATGGAACTGAAGCTGGAGAATCGAGGTCAAAAACCGCAAACCAGATTCAAACGAGGGTCCTGCGCAAAAATTGGAACCCATCGGAGCCCACCCAGTCCACACCAACGCACCACTCGATCCAGTGATCTTCGCATTGAGTCTGTCCAAAAGAGAGATAAGCCCTGCGGCCCCAACACCGGAATCCAGGAGGATTTGCCCAACTAGGCACCTAGTCGCCCGCGCCACCGGCCGAAGGCGCCAACGACCCACTGTTGGAGGGGATTTACGGCCATCATTCCGGGTCCAAAACAAGCTCTTGTCTTATTTTCATCCACCGCGGTAGACATACGAACCTCGAGAAATCAAAGGAAAATTTTGAAATCAAGTGCTTTAGATGATCGTGTCGGAGGTTCCGGCCGATAGACTTGCCTTCAACCGATCAATCTGTTTTAAGCGCTTCAACAATCCGCAATCCCCCTATTTTTAAGAGAGACACATAGTGAGGGTGAGAAATATTAATTTTCATTATTATTACTATCGGAGATCTCAGGGCCAAATCCCGAGACGTTTCTCTGGTTCCTTGGGTTGCATGTGCCGGGTGTGGACAAACTGTAAAACGCGTCTAGTAAGTTTAGTGCCTCCGGTGGAGTTAACGAACTAGGCTGCCATTATTACCTAGCATGTTCATTGAGCAGTGATCATATGTATTAAAGAATGACTTGCAGTTGTTTCCAACGTTTGAAATCCGATTTTGGCTCGGGTAAAGAGAAGGACCGATCAGGAAGGACGAAAAGAGAGCGAAACCAATCTAATGCTCCAGTGGTACTGGTAGTGTCAATAGTTAGGCACGACGGCCGCCGAGGCTGGGCTGCACTTCGACCAGCATCACCAAGACGCTTACTGTACATCCTTGATCCTTGTGGAGGATTTGTGTTTAATATAAAGATGCAGAAGGCTGGAGCTAATATGGAGACTCGGATGAACTGGGGGTAATGATGCGCCGGTTGTAGTACAGCACTGGAATACAGTAGTGTGTGGCCGTTGCCCCTCTCTCGATCAAATGGACTCAATAACTAGCATCATAATTCAAGCTACGGAGATTGCAGAGAGATGAAGAAAAATAAATGTAATTTAATAAATTTTTTTTTTCAAAAAAATTAAAAAGCGAAAAAATATAGGATTAACCTCGGATACTAGATCCTCTCCACACCCGTGGAAAGGACTACGGCAGTGCGGTTCAAATGCCGTTTTGACAAGTTCGAGACGGATTACGCCAGCATCCCCCATAATTTGTGATCGGAAGCAGACCTAAGAAAGACTCGTTGTATGCCCGACTGCCGAATCTACTACTGATCGGACTGGAACGGCGCGTGAACGGGCGCATAGTTATACATACACTACGCCGTACTAAGAGCAAGGATCCACTCGGAATGTGGTCGATATGACCTCAAACTTTCGATGTCCTATGGAGACGGCCCGATGGAAGCGTAGCTGCCATCGGCTTCTTGGGACGGGGGAAAAGGGAACGGTCCTACATAGTCTAGATAGGAAACAGAAAAAAAAAAGGCGACGCTAAGGATGATTCTACATCTGATAATGGTGTTAGTCTAGCATTAATTTATTATCATGAATGGAGACAATCTATTTTATTTTTGATTTTATTTACTTTTTCTCGATTTGATTGCTTGGGAGCCTCCTGCAGGAAAAGGACACGGTAAAATGGGCGCACTCTCCTCGGTCGAGCAAACGGAGCAGAGACGGGGTTCAGCAAAAGTGTCTCATCTTCCGAATTTTCCATGTGTCTTGGTTCCAGTCCTTCGAGAATTTGCTGTCCAACTCTCCGCGGAGCGAACCCAGAAGAGTATAGATCGATCCCACCTCTTCGTCGATCGTATGGTTGCAAGCTTGTAGCGAATCATTAGTAGCTGGATACATTTTCCCTGTCTGTTTGGTCTTTGTGCTTTGGCTCTTGGTATTTATTATTCACATTACTACTACTACTGCAACTACTACGACCTTTGTTCCCAAGTACTTTTGCTCTGGTAATAATCAACGCCCGATAACCCCAGAAATACATCCTGCAATTCTGTCGGTTTTTGGGTCCTTTTGTGAAGCTTTGAGAGGCTGCGGGCCCTTCTTCTTCTCTTCTCTTCTTCCCTTCCTTTTTTTTACTATTTGATTTGGTCGCATCGGTCTGGGTTAGGGGATCTGTACTTCTGTTGCCCTGCTTCCCTTCGACTCGGTCTCGGCCCTATCTGTTACCGCATTGAACCATTTTCTTTGGCCCCTGTCCATTCAAGGGTATCATCGAGTGCTTTGCAAAAAGCAGAGAGGGAGGAAATTCAAAGAAGATCAAAGTCCGAATCCTGTCTGTTCGAGGCAGGCTCAGAGCGAGAAAGTAATCCGCGCAACCGCCCAAACGTGCTGGCCCAGCTCGCGGGGCAATCCGCTATTACTTTTCTCGAGCTGATTGGATTTACCGCGGGGCGCTACTTTTAGCTATTTTTCCCAGGATCCCTTGTTCCTACGGGCCAGTGACGGGTGACTCCTCCGACCAGGTTACCTTTTCCCTGTATAGTCAAGGCCGTGTGCCACCATCGGCTCCTGGATCGGTCGTTTCCGACCTCATTCTCGTCACCAACATTCAGCTGTCAGGACAGATCTATTTCTGTTCCTAACTTACCTGAAGTTCCGTGGGATTTGGCTATCTGCACATGCGGAAATCATCGTCTCGGCGCTCTTTTACCGTCCTAATCGAGCAGATCGTTGTCCATTTCGGCTTACCTGGTGGTCGGCGTGCTTTCATTCCCTGAACGCCCGATTCCTGCTTCTCTCTCTGCTGCTATCGCAGGGAGGCTGTTCCCTTCCTTTGTCGAACATTTCTTTCGGCCCGAATCCCGCGACATCTTGGGGAGTTCCATGGTTGTTTACGACTCGCTAGTCTCTCTCTCTTTTCCAGACCCAGCGTGAGCCGTCTTGAAGCTTATGCAAAACACTGGGATCCTGCAGCCACCCTGGTTATAGCAGAACATGCACGAATGACCGTGACGACTAGGGCCGTTTGCGACATGTTGGTCTTTTGAACCGAATTCATTGCTTCATAATTGTTAATCCTCTATTCAGTCCCACCATCTGGAAGTATATGCGACTTGGCCCAATCCGCGCACTTGGAATTCCCAGGACTCGTTCTTCTTCGCCACGAACATCAACGTCAACCAATTTGCATCGGCAACGTCTACATTTGTGTTGAATTACTTCTTTCTTCAGGTGCATTATAATCCGGAAATTCTCGTGACGACTTGATTGACTTGCTTTTCATACTACATTGGCAACGGAGGCTGTTTCATTGTGCAATTGGTCAGTAAACTGGATTCGAGCGATATCCCATGCAGGGACAGTTTGTTTTACTAATTTCCGTGTTGTTGACTAGATCATTCCCTTCATCAAAGCTCTTTGTTGCTCGAGGTTCGGCGGTTTGGCTTTTTGATAATCAGACACAACACCTTTCGATCCTTCCAGCAGTTCGCAAATACTCCACTCGGTGACACGAGAAGGATACCAAGGGCACTGTACAGGAGAAGAGAACTATTCTTGGATGCTCAGTGAAAGTGTCATGTAAATGTTATCCCTCGAGCGACGAATTCCCACCACCCCACGCTCGATTCCAACGCCGGCCATGTCAGGCTACTATGTTGGACCATTCGGTCGTATGTTACCCATCGCAGGTGGCTCATCGTCGGAGCAGCCCCCGGAGTCTCGCGCTAATCAATCAGAACCCGGGGATAACCCATACCAGCTTCCTCCCCCGCGCACTCCAGCAAACTTGCAATTTGGATCAGACCCTTTCCTACGACAGCGTCAGTCAAGCGACAAACCAGAATCAGCCAGAGGACCAGCGTCAGCAGAGGCTGTCTCCCAACGGCAAAGGACTGAACAGCTTCCGTCTGTCAGGTCGCTACTGACGCCGGCCTCTGGCCCCAGTTCACCACCACCATACCATCCACAAACTTATGGGACTCCCACACCAATTGATCCGCATCGCGAGCTATCATACCCCTTCCGCCATCATGAGTCGACACTACCTCCACCTCCAATTGGCGGGCAAGATAGGCGTCGCTCAGAGTCTCTTCCACATTCACAATCTGCCAGCCTTCCACCGCTATCTCACGTCGCCATGACCAGCCCTAGAGACATGAACCATCATCACGCAGCTACACGAAGCGACCCTTCAACTGCAACTATGCCACATGCTCAATTGCCCCCTCACGGTGCTTCATATCACGAATCAGCTACTGTAGGCGAGATTTCGTCGCCTGAAAGTGTAAGCCGGCCCAATCCACAGGCACTACTTCCACACGTGGTGGATGAACGATACATCGACGGCGAGCTTTGCTTCGTCTACGCTGATGGATCTCATCAGCCCAAAATTGTCGATGGGAAACCCGTCAACCCTAATTGGGGTGTCACAAAGGCAGGAAAGCCGCGAAAGCGACTCGCACAAGCATGTTTAACTTGCCGCGAAAAGAAGATCAAGTGTCAACCGAACCGTCCTAAATGCGACCAGTGCCAGAAATCTGGGCGAGAATGCAGGTTCGAGAACGCGTAAGTTACCCACGACTCTAAAATGAATAGTTGCGATATTACATTTGTCAATTTGGTAACCCTGCTAACACTTTCGAAAGACTCCGTGGAAACCGCTCGAGAGGTTCGCATTCCACCGGACCAACTGGAACTGCAAATTCGGACGTCTCCGGCTCGATGTATAACATCGCTCGTGCGTCTGATAGTGGGACATCTCTTCCAGGAAGTGGCCATTCACCAATGTCAGAAGCTCCGGTGGTGACACCCTCGGGCATGGAAATCACCCACGACCCCATGGTGGATGTGGATCGGGCATACCGACAGCGAGCTTACCGTATCCCCCGCCCTTATGCAGATGAGAGCCTCGTTCGACAGGTCGAATATACCGAGGCCAACCGGCTCCCTGAGTACTCAGAGATTCTACGTGAACTGAGAGATGCCAACCCTGAAGACCCCCTAGTGGGCTCTTGGAACGTCGATCCATATGATCACGACCCGGAAATGACTTTGCACTACGTTGAAACGTACTTCTCGAATGTCAACGACGGACTATATCACATTTTCCCCCATGCTCGCTTTATTCTTTGGCTGAAGTCATGCGACACGAAGTCCCCCGAGGACAAAATGATGCTTTACGCGATGATGGCGTTGGGATCTATCTTTTCGGACCGCCCTGACAGATTTACTGCTTTGAGGCGCTACTCTCGTATTGCCCGCTTTGCGATTCAAAGGAGCCAGCATAATCTATCTCTTCAGCTTGCTCAGAGTCATCTCATGATGAGTCTGTTGTACTACGCTGCTGGCTCGTTGGTAGCATCTTGGGACTCAATTGGCGCTGCCGGACGAGCTGTTAGTGGACTGCGATTTAATATCGAGTCTGGAGGTGTGATTGTGAGCCAGAACCAGGCATGTGAATATGGGTTACACCCACAGGCACTGATTGAGTGTCGTCGCCGGACATTCTGGGTCGCTTTCATCTTGGATGTAAGTTGAATGAATTTGTCGTTATACAGACTGCAGAAATCTGAGCAAGCTAATCTTATGACTTAGCGAGTTTCATTTTTCTTCTCCACCACGTCAACCTCTATCTCATCGGATTCGGCTTTAATTCGACTCCCATGCCGAGAAGACATCTACGAGGCCCAGCAATATGCCACGGCACCGTACTTCCAGACCGTCCTTAGCCAAGCTTCGATGTCTACCGACGATGATCGATCTTCCCTCAGTCCTATGGCCTTTGTGATCCAAATCCTTTCCATCTGGGGTGACGTCTCCTTCCAAGCTTTCCGTCTATCACACACGCCGTCCGAAGGCTGGGCACAACTTGCTGAAGAATTCCATACCAACATCATCCGACGAACAGATGATTGGATCAACCGACTGCCCGAACATCTCGCCTTCTCAGTTGCCAACATGGAGCGTGCTAGTCAAGTAAAGAAGGTGGATACCTTTGTTGCAATTCATTTGTTCTATCACGCCACCTTGATGAAGCTGTACCGACACGCGCGATATCAAAGTCTGCGGTCAGAGGTGCTCATCCAGTACATCCATCGCGCCCGGTATCACGCGGTTGAAACTCTGAGAATCGCTCTGGCCGTTGTTCAGTACGCGCATGACGTTCAAGCTTCCCGGTCTGCAGCTGATACCTCTTCGCCCAACGTGACGCTCCTCAGTCCATTCTTGGGATATGTGGTTCTATCTGCGGTAGACGTACTCAGCGCGGGAGGAATGGTGGCCGAATTACCAGACTGCATTTCATTCATCAATGGCGCGTATGGCATGGTCCAACTCCTGGGTCGCCATTGGGATAGCTCCATTAGCCTGGCAAATCTCATTAAGAAACGACTCGATTCGATGATCGACTGTGCGAATGGCCGATCGCGTACCCAGGACAAGACTTGCTTTGCGGTGGACGGCCCCTCGCTCGAGACCAAGGTGCCGACTGGTACTCCTCCTCAGCCACCGGGTACACTGGACGAAGATCTTTTCTATGGATCTCTGCCGCGAGATATCCTCCTGCGAGCTATGGGAGCTGACGACACTCCGTTGTCGGACAATAATATCGCATGGCTGAAGGATCGCTGAAAATCATTTGGCTTTTACCTAACCTGACCTGAATGACACGAATCCTTGGCCCATCAAAACCCCTCAACCCCGTGACTCTATTCCCATCTTACAACTTGAACATTCTTCCAACAAAATGGGTGGCAAACTTCATTCTGAACATAAATCTCATCCACGTCATGTCCATTGCGCAGTTCCTTTCTTTCCCTTCCCAGCCGTTTCCCCCCCTTCTTCCATATTCTCCCAGCAGGACAACACCTGCCGTTGATACAGACATGCAGTATCCTACCTCAATTTTCTTTTGATTCTTGATTGTCATTTTTACGATTTGATGGTATCAATGTCGATGATGGCGGTCTAACCGCTTCAAGCTCTTGCTATTTTCTACCCGTGTGATGTTCGGTCTCGTCTACCATGTACTATAATATTTGCTTCTCCTTCTCTATGCTGTCTATTATTCTGCATTCTTCATGTCGAGCGAGCCGTGTGAGCTCTTGTTGTCTGTATATTATCTACCGGAACAGAAAAGAACTTGATCGGGTTGGATTTTTGATACGAAGGTTTTTTTGCAATTTGAACATCGTTCTTTAGTATTTACAAGATCACTAAGCCCTTAGTCACTCGCATCTTCATTGACTTCTTCCCATTCGCTTGGGTCATATTGTCGTAGCCAAGCCACTTTCCCCTTGGAAGCGTCCATGATAGTCGCATAGTGTGTGGTTTCGTTCAAGACTGGGAATGTCGTGAGCCAAGAAATAACTTCCTTTTGAGTGACGGCCACATCTGCGCCGTCTAAAGAGTCCTGAATCGACACGCGTTGTCGTTCAGCGTCCTCGGCTTCTTCCTCTCGTTTCTTCCGCAAGCGTAGTGATGAGCGACTACCCTGCGGCTGATCGAAGTTTTCGATATGTTCTGTGGCCTTTTTCATAGCGGCCTTCTTAGTTGGTACAGCCTTCTGGACCTTTTGGTCCCATCGGGCTTGCATGCAATCGCGTCTTTCGTTGCTATCTTCAATCAAATCGGCCATGACTTGTGCGTCGGAGGATACAAGCGATAGACCAACGTGGTTCTTCCGCTTCTTGTCAGCAATAGCTTTCGGGGGCTTCGAGTCAGGTTGTTGGTCGTGGTTCGTGGCGATGATGAATGACGGAGAAGAACGAACTACAGCCGTTCGATGGTCTTTCTCCATAGTCACCGTTGTGACGCCGTCACTGAAGATCAAGTACACTGCCGTGGTGGGCATACCGGGGACTTGAGCGACGATCTTCTCCAGTGTTGATAATGAATCTTTTCTCTTCTTTGGCTTCGGTTCATCGGGAAACGAGAATAGACATTCTCGCAGCAACGATGAAATTGATTGCCGGACCCCAAGCAGAACGAGCAGATGATTGGTGTAAAAAGCCACGTTCCGGGATTCGTCATGCACAGGACGGAAATTGAGTGACATGCTGAGATCTTTTCTCACTCCCGTAAGCACGCCGATATAGCCAACGTACGTGATGCTCGTGGCTAGCACTTTCTCCGGATCATCGTCTCTCACAAACTCCAGCTGTACTATCAAATCGCGCAACGGGTCCATGCCCCAATCCAGAGTGCGGAAATGAATCATTTTGGTCTGCGATCCGCTCTTGGTACGTACACCACCACTAGTACACCCCATGAGAAGGTCGAGTACCGTATTCAAGCTGATGAGTAGGTACATGTCAATATCCGTTGTGTGACTGATTCCGCGAAGCTCATCCGTCTCCTCATCCGCATAGAGTCGACGCAAAGCAAGCCGGGCTAGCCAGTGGACTCCTTTTAAGGGGATTTTGGGCGAAATGCCTTGGACCAGTTCATCGAACATGCCGCGCAGGGCACGCATCCTGTCTCGGTAGATACGCGACAGCTCAACATAGCGTTCGGATGGTGGCAGCGAGAGATTGATTCTGAATATGGGCGGTGCTTTGCCCATGGCAGCAGGGCTTGTTGGACTCTCCATGGTGAGTAGTTGAGGAAGCAAAGTTGGGGGGTGGCTGCCTGGAAGGCTTGGGCGTGAATGCTTTCCCCCTAAACGGCTAACATGCGGCTCTGTTGATTCAGGGTTTCTCCGCAGGCCCGCTGCAGCTGAGACCCGCTTTGAATGGACACTGATTTGTGTCAATTGCTTATTTGATATTAAGCGCTATATTACGACTTCAATGGAATTCTCTCTAGAACTCCCACTTGTTCCAGCTGGTGTATCGAGTTGGTGGCCTGGCTCTCCCTCGTGCTAAGAAGTCCTACAACGGCCTTGTTGGGGGTGTGACTAGATTTATATGGACAAGGGTGATTGTGTCTATGCAAAACCGTGTGGAACTAGTTCAGGGACTAAGAACATGACTAACAATTGGCATTGTTTTAGTTACAGGCAAGGTCTTTGTTCCAAAGTACCGTGGAGATCGGCCTTTGTTGATGCCCCGCAGTCCTTCACGCTCCGAGGACTGGGCACTAGTTTGGCCATCCACGAGTATCTGCTTGATGGGAGTACATCAGAGCTCTTGCTCAACGCTAATAGCATGATGGGTGATATATTTCGACTTCCTGTATGAAGACATCCCTGTCTTATACGTTGGAGTCCCTGCAACCTCGAAATGCGTTAAAGTCATCCCTTCCGGCGGGGCCTGACTTGAGAGCGGAGCCAGCGGAGCTCCAGGAAAGTTTCTCCGACAACTCACCCCCAGCTTTGGCTTTGGATCCATTCTCCTGCCCGTCGCTGTTGGGCTCAAGGCCATGGGCTCTCCTCGTATCTAGATTGCCAGATCGAGCATACAGCTAGCCCTCATGTCAGAGTCTTCGGAGCCGACCGCCACTGCGACCGCAGCTCGGGCCTTCGGTGCGCATCTGGAAGATGACGATGGACTCGACGGCGAGTTTGGCACGGCCACCGAGTACTCCGACCAGCTCGATTACTACTCTCTACTCGGTCTTGCACAGAAACCTCCTCCGACCGATGCCGAAATTCGATCCGCATACCGCAACCTGACCTTGATGTTCCACCCCGACAAGCAGCCGTCGCATTTACGGGAATCCGCTGAACTGCATTTTAAGCGCATCCAAACCGCATATGATACCCTGATTGATCCCAAGAAGCGCGTTGTATATGATCTACTTGGAGCCGAAGGTGTTGCTAGAGAATGGGGCCATGGTGGTGCAATGGGTGCTGGAGGGGACGCGGAGAGGCAGCAAGTGGGTGTAAAGGCGATGACGCCGGAGGAATTTCGTCGCTGGTTCACCAAGACCATGAAGAAACGCGAACGGAAAGCTGTGCAGGAATTGGTCGAGAGTCGGGTAGGTGAACCAGGCAGCTGTGATTCGGTATAGCAAGCTAAGGTCATTGGCTGATCTGCTTCGTACAATTATAGGGCTCCATCACCCTTGGACTCAATGCAGATTCGACGATTCGCGTTGACGAGGATGATGACGTGACTGTTCAGATCCCTGAAAAGGTCGTTCCGATGTCTTACGCTGCCAAGTATTCATTTCAGACTCCTTTGAGCTTGCCCACCTTTTGGCAAAAAGTGAAGGAAGAGGAGGTACAGGATCAACAAAAGGAAACCCCCGATGCGGACATTGTGGATGAAGAAACAGAGGATCTTGTGCATGTGACCTTCAATGCAGGAATCGCCGGCAATATCGTTCATCGCAGGCAGCACGCAAAGGCTCAATTCGAGGATGGTACAGAGGAAGATATGGAAGTAAGTCTCACGCTCCCCTCATACCCTAGTCTCATTGCAGGCTAATTGCGTTCTAGATTCCTTTGCCTCCAGTTATGGTTGCCAGTAATATAAGCCTAGGCGCCACTTTGACACCTAATGTTAGGGAGTTAATCGGCACCAAGGGTATTTGGAATAACCGGCTGTTTTCAACATTGAGGGATTCAACCGTCCTGGTGGAAACCAACGTTTTGCCTGTTCCACTTTTGAGGACAACGGTTGCTCGAGCCTTCCAACCGATTCCTGGGATCAAGCCTTTCCAGGTCACTACGAAAACCACCTTTATGCGCTCCCTCTTGGAGTCTCCACCTTCGTTTGAAGTGCATGTCACAAAGGAAGTTGCCCCAAGAAAGCTTGCTTTCTGTGCTTGGTCAAGTGGTCTCTGGTATTATCCAGATTTCCTGCTTGACAATTTCTTTTTCCGTGGAATGACTTTGGAGGATATGTATGCCTCCGCTGGTGATCTCAGCAGCCTCCAAATTGGTCTGATCTCTCTACCAAAACAGCCATTGAATGCTATTTCAATGGACGAGGATGATGCAGAGTCTGAAGAGGCAGAATTGCGCCGACATCTCCTGAAGAAGCAGGTGACCGATCGTGCAGCCGAATCTTGGCAGACATTTGTTCAAGTTTCCCCAGGGGGAGGTGGTTTGGGTCTAACATATTCACGGAATCTGTTTTCAGGCACACCAGCCAATGATCCTGTGAAGTCAGAATGGAGTGATGAGGGCTATGCTCCGATGGCGAAGATGGAAGAGGCTCGAGCTGTACGTGTAGAGGTCTCCACTACAGTCAGCCCGGATCTCTCCTTTGTATGGAATATTAAAGGTACCCGTCGTGTTGGTGAATTCACTAAGATGGGCATTGGAATTGGCCTCGCTGATCACGGTATATTGATGACGATTGGCTGGTCACGACTTGGTCAGGGTCTCAACTTGCCTATCGTGATTTGCTCTAAGGATGAGGCCACACACGACGCTGCTATATTGGCAAGTATCTTCACTTGGGCTAGTTATCTTGCCATCGAATTTGGATATGTCCGACCACGTGATAGAAAGCGACGTCGCGAAGCAGCTGCTCGTCGTCACAACCAACTGAAAAAGCTGGTTCCGAAGAAGCGTGCGGAAAGTGAACAAGCGATCCAGCTCATGACAGACCAAGTTCGAAGACGGCAGATGCGCGAGTACGAACAGGATGGCTTAGTGATCGACCGGGCTGAGTATGGATACTGGCCACCGACCGATCGCAAACCCCGGCCTGGTTTTGAAGAACCTCGCACGACGGATGTTTTCTTCCCTGTAGCTAACCTCGTCGACCGGGGCCAGCTGGTAATTAGTGCGAAGACCGTCAAGGTACGAGTGATTTCCACCGTTCATATCTTGTAAACACTTACTAACTCGATCTTCCCTCAGCATCAAATAATTGGTTTCCATGACCCAGCACCGCTGCTGAAGAAGCGGCTGAAGATTTGGTACACTTTCCAGAACCGTTCTCACTTTGTGGACATTGCCGACAAGGAGGGTGTTATCTTGCCACAGCGCTCCCACGTGTGTCCCGAGTCTGAGCAGTTCAATCCGCTGGCTACTAACTAGCTGTGGAGCTTTGACTGATGACTATACCTCCCATCTCCCTCTTCCTGTAATATTATTGCATTTTGATCTTTATAGACCACTTGCGACGTGGCAGTCTCATGTTCTACTCTTATACCTGGTGTTGGAGAATATAAAGATCCATTTGAAGCTGCAAGCTTCCCGTGTCAATGTTCTATGTCCAGTCGTAGCTTCTATTCACCTCGACTTTGCAAGTAACCCTGATGTCACCATATACTATTTAGCGCCCGTTAATTTAACTACCCCTTACCCATCAAGATTTCTCTGAGGATTGTAATTCACGATGAAATGAAACAATAATATGGAAAGTTCGGCTCTCATAGATCTCAAGTCACATGACTTGCCTTGATAGAAAGTCTTGGCGTTAAGCGTTCCAAACACACCACTTGCGCAAATCCGCAAAAGCTAGGTGCATCTCAACAGCCACCTCACTTTCACCACTCTCGACTTGGTAACTCCCGTATTGAGAACAAGTCTCACCATGGCTTCTATTGCGTCGGGACTTTTCAAGTCTCTCCCCAAGCCCAAGTACACCGGTGAGGAGGAGGAGTTGCCACAGCATGCGCAACCTCGTGGTCCGCGAGTCGTCGGCGCCGACCAGCTGGATGAAACGCAGGTTGTTCTACGGGTGAGCTTTCTATTCATTTCTTCCTTGCTACTGGGACTTACTGATTTACTGTTATCGTTCTCTAACTAGAGAACCGGACCTCCTCCATATGGAAACCGGGCGGGATGGCGACCACGCGCCCCCGAAGATTTTGGTGACGGAGGCGCGTTCCCCGAGATTCTAGTCGCACAATACCCCCTCGATATGGGCCGGAAGGGAACTTCTTCGACGTCAAATGCGCTTGCTGTGCAGGTTGATGCGGAGGGCAAGGTCAAGTACGATGCAATCGCACGCCGCGGCCATGGCGATAACCGCATTGTTCATGCCTCGTTCAAAGATTTGATCCCGCTCCGACAGCGGGTGGATATGGGAGAGCTTTCTCTTGATAGGCCATCCGAGGAGGAGGTTCAGGCCCAGATGGAGAAGACCAAGAATGCCCTTGCCAGCCTAGTGGAGGGCGCCGTGCAAGCCCAGAAGCCGAAGAACGTCAGAGGTGGCCGACGAGCAGAGCCAACGTTCGTCCGATATACGCCAGCAAACCAGATGGGAGATAATGAGAAGAAGAGCGACCGCATTATGAAGATTGTCGAGCGGCAGCAAGATCCTATGGAGCCACCCAAGTTCAAACACAAGAAGATCCCCCGTGGACCGCCATCGCCTCCGCCCCCCGTTATGCACTCGCCGCCACGGAAGCTTACTGCCGAAGATCAAGAAGCTTGGAAGATTCCCCCACCTGTATCAAACTGGAAGAATCCCAAGGGTTATACTGTGCCCCTGGACAAGCGTTTGGCTGCGGATGGCCGTGGATTGCAGGATGTCTCTATCAACGATAAGTTTGCCCAGTTTGCCGAAGCATTGTTCACCGCCGATCGACACGCCCGCGAGGAAGTGCAGCTCCGAGCTCAGATGCAACAGAAGCTGGCCGAGAAGGAAAAGGCTCAGAAGGAGGAGCACCTCCGACAACTCGCTCAAAAGGCTCGCGAGGCACGTGCCGGTCCCAGTCGCCGCGACTCTGTGGCCCGTTCTCGCTCTCGCAGTGTCAGCCGCAGTGTGTCCCCATACTCCTCAAGATCCGGTAGCCCAAGCGAGGATGAAGAAGCGCGTGAGCGTGAGCGACAGCGTCGTGAGCGCCGACAAGAAAATGAGCGGCAGTTGCGCCAATCTCGCATGGGTACAGAGCGCCGCATCCAGGCCATGGCCCGTGAACAGAACCGTGATATTTCCGAGAAGGTTGCTTTGGGTCTGGCGAAGCCTACTCAGAGTTCCGAGTCTATGTGGGACTCACGACTGTTCAACCAGACCAGCGGTATGAATGCTGGTGTCAATGAGGATAACCCCTATGATAAGCCGCTGTTTGCTGCGCAGGACGCCATCAACAGCATCTACCGTCCCCGTGCTCAGCTTGACGCCGATGATGAGGAGGGTGGTGAGGCTGAGATGGGCAAGCTTCAAAAGACCAATCGCTTTGAGGTGCTTGGACGAGCCAAGGAGGGCTTCAAGGGTGCTGCTGATGCCGAGGTAAGTTGTATTCTGATAGAAGCTATGAAGTTGCTCTTGCTAATTCTTTCCCGCAGGAGCGACAAGGACCTGTCCAGTTTGAAAAGGACACCGCCGATCCCTTTGGTATTGACAGTATGATTGCCGACGTGACTTCTGGACAGAAGCGCTATGGTATTCAAGAGGTCGAGGGCGACGACCGAGGCTCGAAGCGCGCTCGCGTTGATGACGATTAAGCGAAATGGGTCTATCTTTGTGCAGTATAATATGTGGTTGGGGCATTCATTGGTATGCCTTTGGGTTAGGGTTTCTCTCTCTGCATTGCGGGCGTTCTGGCAGTGCAATCAATATCCACAATTACGTTTGCTCTTGCACCAAAACTTCGAGCGTTTCTTCAAGAGGATGATTTCGATAAAAAGTCAGGAATGTACTTTTGCATCTTTGAATGAAGTCGATTATATAGTAACTCATGTTGACAGGCTGATCTACTGGCATTGCGGTCACGCGGTAAGTCTTGAGCAGTGTAGAGGAAAAGTGTATTACAGTCTGGATTAACGACAAGCTATAGAACGAATATCAAAGACAGAGTGCACTTTAAGAACCCAAAGTCTCCCAACATCTAGTTCTTCACCTCCGTCTTGTTAGGAGACAGCACATCCTCCAGCCACTTGTACGCGACTGGCAGACTATGCGGGTATCCCATGTGCACCATGCCCTCGAAGAACCGACCTTCCTTGGGGCCGCCATGGTTGAACAGAATCAGCGAGTCCTCAATGGGCACAACGCCGTCATCAACGCCCTAAACATGAAATGTCAATACTTAAAACCCACAACTTCAGCTTCGAAGAAAGCACTTACATTCAGCAACAGGAGTCTGCAGTTAGGCTGGTCCATGACACCGGTCTCAATGAGAGAGAACTTCTTCTGAGCATTCTCCTCAAACTCCTTCGTGCTGGAGTATCCATACTTCTCAGCCCAGCAGTCGGTGATTCTACCACGCACATTAGCCCAATCCATTTTACCACATTCTTTCTCTCGTCTCAGAATCCGGGAAACACTCACGTAAACGGATACTCATGGTCGTTAACCCGACTCAACCACTCCTTCCCCAAGAAATGATGCGAACCAGGGCCATGAGCCACACATCCCACCAACCGCTGCCGATGCGTAGCAGCCGCACGAATAGCATAAAACCCACCCGCACTCAACCCCCAAACGGCAACATGGCTCATATCCAGCTCCGGCCGACTCGCCATATACTCCAACACACTATCCCACAACCGATCCGGCGACTCCGGATCCGCAGGGTCCGCCGGACAATCCGCCGTGCCCGGGATCTCAACGATAACAGTCGCCCAGCCGCGTGCGAGAATCTCATGCGTCCGCTGACTATTGTCCGGTCTGTACCCGTCCAGCCCGGTCATGATCAGCACGACGGGAACGCGGTTCGACGCAGACGCTTCCTCCGGTAAACGGATGTAGAGCGGGATGCTCGAGCCATCTTTGCCGGAGGCGTGCTTGTGCGGGATGACTTCTTCCTTGAGGGCCGGATTCCAGAGTGACGCTGCGGCTAGGTAGAACTCTTTCTGGCGGTTGAAGGCGAGACGTTTGAGGGATGTCTCTGGGTGACTTGCGTGGCTGACGTAGGGGAAGCGGGAGATGCGGAGGACTACGGCGGCGCGGCGGTAGAGGTCTGAGGCGCGGTCTGGGTGGCCGTAGTTTAGGGCTTCGGTGGCTTGTTTTGCGAGGGAGTCTGCTATCGGGAGGAAGGCGTTTGTGTAGGCGTCCGAGAAGGCGTCGTTGATGTTTTCCTAGATGTTGTTAGGGAGGGATGAGTGCTGGGTTTGGGGGGTGGGATGGAGCTTACGGCGATTAGCTTTTCAAAGATGGGTTCGAAGTCCTCGATGGAGCCGTCGTGGAATGGGTAGATTGATTTCTGGCACTATTATGTTGCGATTGAGGGTTGGTTAGTATTTTCTTCCAAGTAGATCTTCTATCGGATCTAGATATTTGGTGCCGATGTATCGTAGATGACCGAAACATACACAGAACTTCCACTTGGTCTCCCACAGAGCCTTGATGGACCCCTTGTGTGGGTAGACGGTGTTGAATTTGTCTCCAAGAATCCAGGGCGTCATTTTGAAGGAGAGATTAAGGTAGTATATGATTCTATACGTCTGTATGACAGGTGAATATTGCTCAAGTAAGAGGAAGAAAATCCGAAGTAAATGAACAATTTCGACGGGCGAACAGTCTTTTAATTAGATCTATTTTACAACTCTGATTAACACAGCCGAGAACAGAAAAGGACCGGATTAGGTCTACGTATAACGAGCGTGATGTAGATGTGTATGAAAACAGTAGGATGTGGGGGGCCGTCCGCACGAAGTTGGATGCAGGCGAACCAGAAGAGACATGCGGAGCGACATAGTCTATTGGGCAGACTGGGCGGTTAAAAGTACAGTTGTACGATCAAGGCACTGGTTAATAATTATGAATGTTACCTGCATTGGAGGTTTCCGAAACCGGGGGTGTTTCTGGAATTGCTGGAGGGATTTGGGCAATGCTGGGTGGGTACAGTATCCAGTCATTCAGGAATGCGACGGGTTTAACATGATTTGGTGAACTTGGCATTGGAAGGACGAAGGACAGTAGACTGAGAATTCGCGAAGGAAAATTGGGTTCTGCTAAAATTATTTCATACCTATTGTAGGGGCCTCGAGTATCAGGGAAGTGCGACATCAATGAGGGTTACATTCAATAACTTTGCAAATGCGCTTCCATCAACGCGTGTTGTGGAGGATATTTCCCGCGATATTGTATTCCCATCACCAATCACACTTTCGAACAGGTGCATACAATGAACGTATCCTAATTGAAGAGAAATTGGAAAGAATGGTTTCGTTTTTAAAAGGCCACAGACCTCTAAGTAGGTCGTATGATGGAACTCAAATGACTCAAAACATTTAAGGGCATGAAGCTTATATACAAGCCCTGGAGAAATGATTAGAAAAAGTAAAATGCAGATGCAGATGCAGATGCAGATGCAGTGGTCTACTGCTAATGCTCGTACTGCTGCCAGTACTCGTATCCCTGAGGAAGATCGTTGGGACTGGAGCGGAGTAAATTAGCGCGGTTTCTGAGGACAGAGTGAAGTGAATATGACATACCCATTGTCGTGAGTCTCGATAACATGGTCACCAGCCTTGACGTAGCCGTTGTTCTCGTAGGGATTAGGCCACAGGCCCCTGGATTAATAATTAGTATACAGCGATTGATATTTTGAGACACCGGGGCAACTTACTTGGTATCATCGTTGTGAGCGATGATAGGCTGTCCATCAGGACCGTCACCAATCTGTGCGTCGGACTTGTCGCTGTGCGGGTTGGGCCAGGCACCCCTGGACGAAAGAGTTAGTTTGGTATTTTTCCTGGATTGGAGAAGTATGCATACTTGGTATCCTCCGAGTGGGCGTAGTCAGCATCCGGCCCATCGCCAGCTTGGGCATGGCTCTCGTCTGTGTGAGGCCGAGGCCAAGGGCCGCTAATAAAATGATTAGCATGCATCTCAATAGTCTAATGGTAGATCAACTCACTTGCTATCGTGCTCGTGCACGTAGATTGGCTCGTCGGGCGGGGGTGGTGCCAGTGGCACGGGGTAGACGGGCACACCTTCCGCGGGCTCCGGTGTAGGATACTCAGGGTACTCGGGCATTCCTTGAGGAGCTGGCTCCTGGGGAGCTGGCACTTGAGGAACGGGAGGCTGCGGTGCGGGTGTCTCCTGCTGAGAAGCTGGCTCCTGGGGAGCTGGCACATGAGCAACGGGGCATTGCGGTGCGGGTGCCTCCTGCTGGAGAGCTGGGGCCTGTGGCGCGGGCCGCGAGGGAGCTTCCGGGGCCGGGGCCTCATGTGCCGGCTGCTGATGAGGCGGTGGACGAATATGATGAGTAGGCGTAGGTATCGGACCCTGCCCAGGAGGAGGCACCCAGGTATGCTCGGGTGCAATGGCAGCAGGAGGAGGTGCCTGGGTATACTCAGGAGCAGTAGCAGCAGGAGGTGGCGGCACCGAAGTAGTCTGAGGCTTCTCAGGAACAGGAGCAGGCGCAGAAGAAGCAGCCACAGCAGGGGCAGACGAAGCAGATGGAGCAGATGGAGCAGCCGCAACATCACCCGTGTGGTTATACATAGCACCATAGGTATCAGTCTCAACCTCAGTATTCGCACCAGACAAATCAAGACCCTTCTTGCCCGCAGCATTGCCATTAAAAGGGTCAGGATAGGCAGCACAAGAATCATAGTGGCTCTGGGGCGGAGCATGCTGCGACTCCGGGAATGTCTCAGGAGCCTCGATAATCGTAGCGACGAGACCAGCCTCGACGTGCCATTCGATGTGGCAGTGCAGCAACCAGACGCCGGGGTTATTCGCGCGGAAGCGCAGCACGGCATGGCCGTAGTTCTGGACCATGATCGTATCACGGCGGATGGGAGTTTGCGAGATGTTCGCGGAGTAGGCACCGGTAAAGTAACCGCCATCAACGCCTGTGCGCTCCAGGACCTGGAACTCGTGGCCGTGTAGATGCCACGGGTGCAAGTTGTCGTGGTGGTTGTTGATGACGATCTCGACGACGTCGCCGTAGTTGACCACGAAGGGGTTGACTTGACCGTAGACCTCTGGGTTAGACGCGAGGTCTTTGCCGATTGTGTTGGCAGTGTACAGGGTAGGGACCTCCTGGGGAATATAGGTCTTGTTGTTGATGGTGAAGCGCCGGATACCGTTGATCTCTGTGGAGGAGGTATCGATGATAATCTGCTTGTTCACAGGCTGGAGCAGAGGCTCCTTGTCGAGAGGAACGAAAGCGACGTCGTCCGCAAAGTCGAACTCGTACAGAACAGGGGGAGGGGGCAGGGGCTTCGCCTCGTCGTACACCAGCCAGGCAGTGACGTTGGGGTTGTAGTTTTCAGGAATGGTCCGGTTCTCGTAGATGAACATCATGTTGATATCCATGGTGTCCCAGATGGCAAAGTTCTCGCTGGCGTCAGGCTTCGTGTGGATCAAGACACTTGTGCGCTGGCCAGGAGCAACACGAAGCATCTTGCTGCCCACAGTATAGGGTTCAGTGTATACACCATCAACTTCGACAACAGTCATCTCGTGGCCGTCCAAAACCCAGGTATGACCGGGCCAGTTGCCAACACAGATAATGTGCACAAGATAGGTCTTGTTAGGCTCGACCTTGATCTTGGTGTTGGTAGAATCATTGATCAGAGCCGAGTTGGGGACAGGCTCGTTACCAGCAAAGGCTTGCAAGTTCTCCTCTGATAGATACTCGTGGAGCAGATCGGCCATTTCGCGGTGGTACCATTCGCTGAGAGTAATAGTGAACTCGTCATCATAGTGGAATGGCGGCTTGGGGTCGTGAACAATGAATGCGCCACGGAATCCATCCGGGTATTGTCCCATGTTGTGCGAGTGATACCAATAGGTTCCAGTTTGATTAGCCTTTTCTACCGAGTTAGCAGATGTGTCAATGTCTTTATCTTCCTGCAGGCTGTACTAACATAGAAGGAATATTGCATGTGCGAGCCGGGAGGAATAGGACATTGGGTCACGGAGCTGGAACCATCCATGACACCAGTGTGATATTGATGGAAACCGTGCCAGTGAACACCCGTCGACTGGTTACCCAGTCCGTTGTATACGTCCACAATGACCCGGTCACCAAATTCGACATCCACTTGTGGGCAGGGCCATTGGTTGTTGATACCAATCACAGGCCGTTCATATCCATCCGGCGAGGCGTTGACCCAAGTAACGTTCCATTCGAGATGGACGTCCTTGGCGGCGACCAGCTTGGCGGCGAGGCCAGCCAGAAGCAAGAAATTCAACTTGCCCATGACGGCTGTCGATGTAACGAGCGAGTGACAATCGACTTCTCTGATTCAGACAGATAGCTAAATCCTCCGAGTCGAGGTAGCCGATAACAAAAAATTAAGAATTATAGTACGAATAAACCCAAACCGATTGAGGTTTGTCGACAGAATAAAACGAAGGTCGGCGCAGGTCGTCCGCTGCGATGTTGTTCGAAAAATCGAAAGCTCCATGAGGGCAGGGGAATGCCGTATTTTATCCTAGGGCTGTGATATCGATCTGTGCCAGGGGCAATGTTTGGGGCGGTCCCTGATTATCCGAAGCCATCTCTCCCGCAATGCCAAATGCAGTACCGTCATTCAAGGGACAGGAAAACAAAGGTAACCTCAGTGACAGTGTATGCTCCTGGCGCTGCCTTTCCGAAGGCTTTGTTATGCGCCGAAGCATCCGGGGGGCCCCTGGCATGTCGATGATCGCCCGACTCGGCCATGATTCGGGGCTTTTAGGCAAGGGGGCACATGCCGGGCTGACCAGTTTGGTAAAATGTAAACAAAAGCGGACAGTCGAGAAGAGTACTGTACTGTAGCTATCACGCTGGGTATTCTTCATTATGAGCTGCGTGATTCGTTTCCGGTGGTAAGAAGAAACGTGGAATCTACGGGGTTCCATTCGAAGGAAACCAGGCTCTTGCAACCAGTCCATCCATATGGAGCCATTGATGTTGGCTAGATTCTGGGAGGCATAGTATTCAAAAGGCCTCACCAACTGGGATGCATTTTGTATGGATATTCTAGCAAGAATATCCCATGCTGTGGGTATAAAAGTAGTTGCGTCCTCCGGTTGTACTACTGTATTCGGCAAAGAACAACCAGTGCCAACCACCTTGATCCATCCAACTACGGCTCCACTCGACGGCAACTTACGAGGGTCCTTATCGGAGGACCACCATTTGACCAAGGGACCGTTAAGATTTGCGCGATGATCTGCCTCGTGGAAAAAAGACTTTCAAAGAGTATCCAAGTGGGGTGACCTGATGCGCGACACTCATTCGATGGAGACTTAATCTCCATGCGATAGGACGATAGGAGACAGTTACTGTAACCGCCGATAGAACCCTCTTGGGGAGTGCAGAGTGGAGGGAAAGAGCAGGATATATCTTCCCCCGCCAGCTGAATCCGGCCGTACCTGGGCCACGCTGATAGATAGTCTCAGGGGTCCATGATTGGTGCGATGAGACAGCTCTTGGCTCGGAAGGATTGATTCTCAGCAGCAGTTCTGCTGATGCAGATGCAGAAGTGCACCGTCACAGGGATTCCCCGCAAGCCCACAGAACCTCGAGTTGTTCAGGTGTTCTAGTGTTCAGGTACCAAATGCACGACATCCAAGTCCGTGCGGGCCCGGGAGCAGCGCCTAGCGCGGGGCCTGCGATAAGCACCGAAGCTGGTGGGGTTAGTTTTTTAGTCACCCAAGATAAACGGGTTGCACGAAGAGATTGGGTAAACGGGGGTCATGATAAAGCAGGAGAGGAGAGGAGAGCGAGGAATTAATGAGGGTATGTGTGTGTGTGTGGGGGGGGAAGTTAGTAGTCTTTGGGAAAGTAGAGAAGAGCGTGACTCGACCATTTTGGTCGTCCTTTTTTTCTTTCTTTGCTTCTTTTCTCCTCCTCTTTTTTCCACTGCCACCCCCGGATTTTAAGGACAGCCAAAAAAGAAAAGATCAAAAACAGTTTAGGCTCAGGAGGTTTATCTCTGGGCCCATCATTCCGGCTTTTGACTCATATTCATAGCTTTTTCACCACTTTTCCCATCGTCGTGCTCCCAATTCCCACTGACGCCATTCCACCACCAGCCAGCACTGCCGTACCACAGTACCACGTCCCGGCAATGGCGTAATAGAGCTGCATCACCACCAACCACTATGCTAGTTCGGTCACATCTGGCATCCAGGAGACAACATCACTAAATCATTAAAATTTATCGTGAAAACCCCCTGGAGGATCTGCATATGTTGGTCTTGCAGTCACGCAATTCCCCTATTCATCGTTACCATCATACAACTACCTCGCAAACCCCAGTTAAAGTCACCATCAATCCTTTTCTGAACAAACGTGGGCGTGGTGAATCGCACGTCTTCCAACAATAATGGATCAGTCCATGACCATGATCGATGCTCAGGTGCATTTCCTAGTGAGTCATTCATCTCCTCGGAATATATCCATCACCAGTCCTAACAAACACCGTCCATAATTCCAGGAGGAGCATCTAGTCTTAGTTCACATCCCTCTGGAACTGTATCCCTACTTTTTCAAACCAGTTCTAAGACTCATCTTTGACGAGATCGCTCCGTTGGAAGATACCAACGAGGACGAAGAGGACGTGCTAGATGACCTCGAGTCTACTTCTGATACGGGTGCCGAGGCCGAGTACTGCGAGCCAGCCTTCCTAAACGTCTCCATCACTCCCGTGGAAGTCTCGGTGATCTGCCCTAGACGTCTGGTCGAGAAGTACTTTGATCCTCTCATCAACCAACTCAACCAGATTGACGTTTCACTACGGTCTCGCGTGGATGTCAGTGAAAATGACTATATCGCCATGCAAGTGCTCGGCCAGGGCCTGGAAGCTGGCAAGCGAGTCCTAGAACTGACCAGTCCACTAGCCATGGCAGGAATGTGCGTATCCAAATCACCAACCAAACCCCAAACTATATATCCAGAAAAAAACCACAGAAACCAATCCGCTAACTCCTCTCCCAGCTCAATCTTCTTCATAACAACCTACTTCTCCGACTACATCCTAGTGCCCCTCCACAGCAAAGCCAGCGTAATCTCCGCCCTCGAAACACGAGGCTTCCAATTCGAAAACGCAACCACAGCATCCGTCAACCCCCTCAGCCCAACAGCAACCTCAAACCGAAAACTCAGCGACGCAACCCCATCAGCACCCCCGCAAACTCCACCCCCGTCAACAGTCGCAGAACTCCAAACGCGCACATTCGAAAACTTGCGCAAACGCCAGATTCTCCCCGCCGTCGACGACAGTCTCCGACTCGTCCAGTGCGCCGCGCACCACCAGTACCACCGGCAGGAAAGTTCCATGTCGATACTGCGCGATGCGCTGACGACAGTGCTTCTCGTTGACGAGCCACGGTTTTTATCGCTGACGCTCGCGGCGCTGGATCCGGCTGCTTCGTTGTTGTTGGAGAGGAGGTTGCTTCCGCGGTTTGAACGGCGGAGTGTGGACGAGGATGGGTCGGGGTTACTTCTAGGTGCGCAGGGGGACTATTTAGTTCCCATCATGCTGGATTTGCGTGATCTACCGCTGGAAGCATCGGGTATTGTCTGTGGTGTGGCGGGACGGCTTGCCGAAGCTACGCATAATGCGTCGCGGGATGGGACCGGCGAGGATACGATGTCCGTCGGCAGTCATGGGAGTAGTGTCATTGGCGCTGTTCCGAAACTCTTTGATACGTTCGGGACTAGATTGGGTATCAGTGAGAAGAAGTCGTCTAGTAGTCAGCATCAGCTGGCGCCGACGACGCATCGTCTCAAGCCGGATCTGGATGCGTCGGCGGATGCGGTTGAGATTAGTTTCTTGAGTACTGCGCGCGCGGGAACTATTATTGTGGGTGAAGATGAGCTGCGGAGGGCGATTGATGCCCTCGAGGCGGAGAAGGTGCAGGATTCACCGGCTGCTGAGGCTGAGGGAGTGTCTGATACTCCCGAGGTTCCTGAGGTTGGACTTGGTTTGGAGACGGATACCATTGAACCGACTTGAAGACGAGGATTGCTTCTCGTTCTTGCGAGTCCTCGGGATTTTAATGAAAAAAAGGGTCAAAAGGTCAAAAGCTGGACAAAAAAAGCGCTTTGATTTTCTTGGGCAATGTCTGTATGAGTACATGATTTTGATCTGATGTCTATTTACTCTGAGCCCTGGCGTTGAGGGTATTGTTGTTGCTATATGTTTATTTTATGATTGCTACTTGTTAATACGACAGATCTCCAGTACTGGAATGCCCATTGGAACACGTTCATATACTCTAAACTCGTACGTACTTCTATCTTTGCTTCGCACCTGTCCAAAAAATAAAAGTTTAAGCCGCCTCGTAGACATAGAGTGTAGAGTTATGCTGATCAGGGAGGCAGTAAATTCTCAGCTTTCCATCCACAACCGCAATGTCAATTGGGTTCTGCGTCACCGATACGCCGAGATCACTTGTCATCGCAATTGGAACTTCCCACAGCGGCAGCATGGTCTGGAGGTCGACCAGCGCAATGCCGCCCAGATTGAACGAGGGTCCAATGGTAGCGACTCCGCCACAGAACATGATGGGTCTGGGTATCTTGCATGACTGATCGTCGACACGGGCGGCCATGGCATCGGGAAGAGCGTGATGGCCGATGAACTTGCAGTCTTGATAATCAACGAAGAACGAGGGGTCTGCCATATCTGACTTGGGAGCCGTGAAACCGGACAAGGGTGCGAACCCATGGGGATAGTCTCTTAGCGACCAAGTAGTAGCATTACGGCCACCCCAGTTTAACGTGACAAGGTCATCGGCGACTGTATCATGGACAATTCCACCGTTGTGATCCTTGGCACGGAACATGTCCTTCTTCTGGAGCGTAAGCGGGTCGATCTGGACGATCGTCGCAGTGGTGTTTGGCCGGTACTGAGACAGCGTAGCCCAGAGATAGCGACCATCATAATCAATCCCACCAGTGTGATACTCGATATCTCCAGGCTTGGTCAGAGTGGCATTGGCAATGAGTCTGCCTTGACTGTCGTAGATGAGCGTGTGCGCGAAACCTGCGCCGGGAGTACGGTCGGTGCCATTGATCGGCTGAGGGTATTTCGTGGTCGGGACAGTCCATTGTCCGGCCGAAATGAAGTAGCGGTCGTCGCCGACACGGGCCATACCTTCTGGTTCGCCAGTATCGCCTTCGAACTTGGTCTTTGAGATGAGTTTCCAATTAGTGGAACGACCAAGATTTGGAAACAACTGAACGATGGACGCTCCGTCAGAAGTGGCGTGCGAGGGGGGCAGCCTGTTGTTTGGCAGGAAAGGCTCGTTGTGACGGGCCACGGAGACGTCAGTCGCCATGGCCGTCGCAATCGCGGACGCTGCAAGGGCAATTGATGAGGCTCTCATGTTGCTGTTTGGCAGTAGCAGCTAATCAAAATCTCGAGGGATGAATTAGGCTCCTGGCGGGGGTGGCGGGCTATAAAGATCCCCTGTAAACCAACACGGGACCCAGCATCGGGGATAAAGGGACAAAAATCAAGATTATGAGTAAGTCCGTGCCGTGTAACGTGCCGTTTAAGATGTGAGGTTATTTCTCAGGAAATAGGGTCGAGTGGAGACGTGGGCTGCCACGTTCTGCAGGAAGGATTGGCCGTTGGCTCAACCAAAGACCCGGACGGTACCTAAGAAGATGACTGTCAGCACTTGAGTCCAATACAGCCATGAAATTCATCTCTCAGTAAAATGAACCGCCACTTACTATCCGCACATCCGGCTGCCCAGTAGCCCTTCTCGTTCCATGCCACGCAGCTCACGGCCTTGACCGCCTCTCCCATTGACACCGTCGCAAGGGTCTCACCACTTAATACATCCCATGCGAAGACAGCTGCTCCAAGTGCAGCGTCATCGCCTTTGGGAGCGGCTTCACTGCCGCTGAGAACCACAGCATCGCCTTGTGCAAAGACAGAGCGAACTCGCAACTCGGTGTTGTGGTAAGTAGGGCGAGGCTTGGTGTTGAGTAAGTCCTGCACAGGTTGCTCGTCTTTCTTAGGAGGTCCGCCAAAAGCCGTGAGGAGCGTTCCATCCGTACGATCTATCATTCGGATGTAACTATCCAGCGTTGATGTCAACAACGCATTGCCATCTGCCGAGCACCGTACACTCGTCACAGGATGCGCCAGAACGTCGACCGTTGTCTTGCCCATGCGAACATCATAAACACGGACATGGCCGTCATAGCTACCGCTGGCAATTGAATACGTAGGCATATGCGCATGTAACGACGACACGGTGTCACTCGCTTCGGTGAGAGTTTGGATAGGCTTGTTGGCGTTGGACCGGGTATCCCATAGATTAATGGTTGTATCTGCACTGCCTGGATAGGAGGAAAGAAACTGGTCAGCAAGGTGAAGTTTAGCGCGACGAAAGCCGCGGCGTCTAAGGACCAAAGATCATACCAGAAACTACCACGGAATCACCCTCTCCCGCAAACTGCACGGCCTCGACTTTGCTATTATGTCCAGTCCATCGCCTCGTAGTCCCTCCCTGTTCAACATCCCACAAGAAAACCTGCCGATCGCCTCCCACACTAGCGAAGCGTGCATTGTCCGCGGCGACAGCTATGTCAAGTACCGAGTAACCGTGTGCTTCGTACCGCTGGATCGGGGTAGTTGTTTCTACCGGAGTCGCAGAGTTTTCTGCATTGCTGGGAACGGCACGAGAGAGGTGAATGGCACGGTCCGAGGAGCCTGTTAGGACGTACGTGCCAGGGTAGCTAGAAAAGGTGACCGCGTTAACGGGGCCTGGTGCAAGATGGAACGATTAGATTTTGATCACTCGGGGTTTCAGGGATACAAAGCGTACCATTGTGCGTTTTGAGAGTATGCAGATGTCGCTTTGCGAATTGTTTCGGGGGCATGACCGCTGCGAAGGGCTCGCGACAAGCGAAAGAGCGGATGGCGTGTGTTTTGAAGCTTGGTGGAACTCGGAGGATGTGCGGGCCTGAAGTTCGGCGAAATGGGCCCCGAGAACCCACTTTTAGCTACTAACGGGAGCTACAACTACGACGAACTACTGTTTGGAAACCATAGAAACATGATATAATCTGAAGAAAGCCAGTTCAAACAAAAACACCTAAATTTCAGACAAAGGATTAACTCTGTATTTTCCGCGCTACAGAATACAGGAGGGTTTATTATCAAGAATGTAGACACCATCGCTAGCTACCAGCGGTAAATGGATATAACAGAACAAAACGAACCAGCCCTTCGAAGCGAAGGTGCGCCCTCCCAAGCGCGTGAATTGCAAGACATTGGGTACTCAAGAGAAAGAAACGACGAGAGAACTGACACGAGTGTGCCCACTCCCTTTTTGAAAAACCATTCTAGCGACGACCGTGGCTGCGGGTGCCGGAGCCTTGCAGGCCTTCGATCTCTTGCTCGAGGGATTTGATGCTGCCAGAGGTCAGTACTTATGAAAGAAAGATTCAATAGAATGAGAGCATACGCAGCGTGAGTGGCCTCGAGATCCTTGTTGAGTCGGTCGCGCTCGGAGATGAGCTTCTGCTCCCACTGTCGGAAACGGCTCTCCTCGACCTTGACCTGCTCGGTGAACCGCTTGCGCAGGTTCTCCTCCTCTTCCTTGAACTTGGGGTTGTCCAGCTTGCGGGGCCGGGCCTCGCCAAACTTGCGGGTCTCCATCTGCTGGGCACGATAGGCCTCGTAGTGGGACTCCTCGGTGGTGTGGATGAGATCCAGCATGTGGGTGCGGATCAAGATCGAACGGAGCTTCTTGAAGTCACAGTGGTCCTCGTTCTCCACCTCGGCGACACCCCAGGCATACTGACGACCCTTGACGACACGGCCATCGTTGGCCTTGACGTCCTTCTCGGAACCAATGACGGCGAAAGGCATAGCAGCCATCAAGCTGCGGGCGTGGGTAGCGGCGTGCTCATCATCCTCCTCAACCGGTGGGGTGTAGATCTTAATGCCCTGGGCCTCGATAACGGCACGAATCTGGTTGTCTGTTAGTCCATAAAGCCCCCCAAGTTCATCCAAACTTCTCAGATAGTTTTCCAACTCACTCTCTCCTTGTACTTGGCCAGATCGGCGTGGCTGAGGGTATCGGCCTTGGCAACAACGGGGATCAGGTTGACACGGGAGCTCAGGCGCTTCATAACCTCGATGTCGAGAGGCTTGAGGGTGTGTCCAGTGGGGCGGATGAAGTACAAGCAGGCGTGCACACGCATGTCAATCTTGTCGCTACGGCGGGGCTGCTGCTCCTGGAGCATGTAGGACTCGTGCTGGTCGTCCAGGAACTCAATAATGGGCTGCCACGAGTCGCGGTTGTTGACGTAGTCACCGAAGCCGGGGGTATCAATAACGGTCAGGCGAACTGTGAGATGAAATCGAGCCGGGTCAATAATCCGCATATACAATCGGCACGATGTAAACAAAGCTCCCATCCATCCTCATCGACTAATCGGAGTCCGGAATATCGCACCTTTGAAGAACTTCTCCTCCAGCTCGGCCTTGGTGATCTCGATCTCGACGGTGCGGTCGACCTGCTTCTGGTGGCGGCGCTTGTGGTCGGCATAGTTTTTGATGGTGGTAGAGAAGAGGGTGTTGATGAAGGTAGTCTTTCCCAATCCCGACTCTCCGGCAACCTGCAGACAGGGTCATTAGTGTCGAGGCCCAAGTTGGGGGCATTCCAAGCTCAGACACACCATAATTGTGAAAGCCGCACCCGCTTCGCGACAATCTTGTGTCTGGATACCGTCAATTAGAAGCTGGCCTTGAGAGTCAATTCAGCATCGATTTTGTGTAGGTACACACCGCTGGTTGGGGAGCTAGAGCAAGTAAGCTGTGGTTAGCTCTCATGACACCAAAACGCGTTTTCGGAGATACGGGAAGGAACTGAGGTCTTACATTGGCAATGCCAATGGGGCTGGCGGTCTCCGTTGTGGACATGATGAGTGTGCTGGTCGGGTGGGGGGTGTTAAAGGTGGAAAGATGTGAAGAAAGCGACGAGAGACCCCTCAGGAATTGACCGGGCTGGAGTGGGAAGATTGGTCGGAGATCCTGGAGTGAAAAGGGGAGAGGCGATGAGCTACTCGTTGCTTGCTTCCCCCTGAATCTCCTTTCGTTTTCTGGAGTATACCTGGCCTTGCCTGTTTGGGATTAGCGTATCCACTATCCCCCTTTGGGTGCGGGACCGGACTATCGCTGATCCGAGGCTTATCTTTTTTGGATTTGGCGGTTGCGAGCAAAAAGACGAATTTTTGACCGGAGCGCTTCGAGCTGTCGCAAAGGGAAAATGAAGACAGACTTCAAGGTTGGTATGATTCCTCGGTGCTTCTCAGAAACTGCTGCCTAACTCTGTTTTTAGTTCTCCAATCTTTTGGGGACAGTCTACCGCAAGGGCAACCTGCTCTTTACTCCCGATGGCACCTGCTTGCTCTCGCCTGTAGGCAATCGTGTCTCGGTCTTTGATCTTGTACAGTAGGTTGTCCATACTTGAAAACTGCAATACCTTTTGACCGCAATTGCTTATACTCTGACTTTCTAGCAACACCTCCTATACCCTTCCCTTTGCCCACCGCAAGAACATCGTCCGCCTCGACCTCACGCCGCGAGGAAATCTCCTGCTCACGGTCGATGAGGACGGCCGAGCTATCCTGACCAATTTCCACCGTCGCATTGCGATCCACCACTTTACTTTCAAGGGTAAAGTGTCAGCCCTCAAGTTCTCTCCCTCGGGTCGGCACTTTGCAGTAGCCGTGGGCAGACGCCTTCAGCTTTGGCAGACTCCTTCGACGCCCGGTACCGAAACAAACGGGGAAATCGAATTTGCGCCCTTTGTTCTGCATCGCGACCTTGCGGGACACTTCGACGATATCCAAAACATTGAGTGGTCGAGTGACTCCCGGTTCCTGCTTACTGCCTCTAAGGACTTGACGGCGCGGGTATGGAGTCTGGATCCAGAGGAAGGGTTTGAGCCTACAACCCTGTCTGGACACAGATATGGAGTTGTATGCGCATGGTTTGATGCTAATCAAGAACTGGTAAGTTTTCCAATGAACTTGGTATCTATTTGTGGCATGAAACTAACCCCCCCTTAGATCTACACTGTCAGTCAGGATGGTGCTCTTTTCCGTTGGGAGTATCTCACGAAGAAGGACTTTGAGACGGGCGAGGACATTGCATCGGCTCGATGGAGAATTACTAAGAAGAACTTCTTCATGCAAAATGACGCTAAAGTCAACTGCGCCGCCTTCCATGCGAAATCCAATTTGTTGGTTGTCGGCTTCTCCAATGGCCTATTTGGGCTCTACGATTTGCCAGAATTCAACACGATTCATCTTCTTAGGTAGGCGTCACGTATCGACTTGCGTCTCAACTGTTTCTCTAACTCGTTTCTGTAACAGTGTTTCTCAGAGCAACATCGACGTTGTGACAATCAATCAATCCGGAGAGTGGCTTGCATTTGGATCGTCCAAGTTTGGCCAGCTGTTGGTGTGGGAGTGGCAGTCCGAGTCGTACATTCTAAAGCAGCAGGGTCATCTCGACTCCATGAACTCAATTGTCTATTCGCCCGATGGCCAGAAGATTGTTACAACTGCCGATGATGGTAAGATCAAGGTGTGGGATGTCAAATCAGGCTTTTGCATCGTGACTTTTACCGAGCATCAGAGCGGAGTGACCGCGTGTCAGTTTGCCAAGAAGGGTAATGTCTTGTTCACTGCCTCGTTGGACGGTTCGATTCGCGCGTGGGATTTGATACGGTACCGCAATTTCCGCACCTTTACTGCACCTTCCCGTCTCTCATTCTCTTCCCTGGCGGTGGACCCTAGTGGCGAAGTCGTGTGCGCCGGTTCGCTCGACGATTTCGACATTCACGTGTGGTCCGTTCAAACCGGACAATTGCTAGATCAGCTCTCTGGCCACGAGGCCCCCGTGTCCAGCCTTGCCTTTGCCGCCGATGGTAACCACCTGGTTAGTGGCAGCTGGGATCGCACAGTCCGCGTTTGGAGCATCTTCGGCCGAGCCCAGACCAGTGAGCCTCTCCAGCTTCAGTCAGACGTCCTCAGCGTCTCTTTCCGACCCGATGGCTTGCAGATTGCAGCCTCTACTCTCGATGGACAGCTATCCTTCTGGAACGTTTTTGAAGCGGTTCAAGAGGGTGGTCTTGACGGACGTCGTGATGTTTCCGGTGGTCGGAAACTATCTGACAGGCGCACTGCCGCTAACTCAGCCGGAACCAAATCCTTCAACCGTATTACCTACAGTGCCGATGGTAGCTGTATCCTTGCGGCTGGTAACAGCAAGTATATCTGTCTGTACGACGTAACGACCGGATCTCTTATCAAAAAGTTCACGGTTTCGGTCAACACGTCTCTGGATGGTACCCAGGAGTTCTTGAACAGCCGAGACCTTACCGAGGCCGGACCACGCGGTCTCCTCGACGAGTCTGGTGAGATGTCTGACAAGGAAGATCGCATCGACCGTTCCCTGCCTGGCGCGCATCGTGGTGATCCTGGCGTGCGCAGTGTCCGACCGGAGGTACGGGTGACCTCGGTTGATTTCGCCCCCAGCGGTCGCTCTTTCTGTGCAGCCTCCACCGAGGGTCTTCTCATCTACAGTCTGGACACGGACTTTGTCTTTGATCCTTTTGATCTGGACATCACCATCACTCCGTCGACCATCTTAGCCACTCTTGATGCCGCTAAGGCGGCCGCAGCATCTGACACCGTGGACGATGAGAACACATTCCTAAAGGCCCTTATCATGGCCTTCCGTCTAAACGAATCGAAGCTTCTACGCGCTGTGTACGAGGCAATCCCTCCCTCCGATATCCCGCACGTGGTGCGGTCCGTGCCTACTGTTTATCTGCCCCGCCTGCTTCGCTTTGTTGCACACGCAGCTGATGAGACCCCCCATCTGGAATTCAATTTGCTCTGGATTGAGTCTTTGTTCAGTTGCCACGGTCGCTACCTCAAAGACAACTCGGGGACGTTTGCGCCCGAGCTGCGTGCGGTCCAGCGTGCTGTCGACGAAATTCGAGAGAATCTCAAGCGACTCACTGAGAAGAATGTTTACGACCTGAACTACCTCCTGTCCAAGCCCGTCCTTGCCGATAAGAAGCCGTCCACGGTCTTACTTGCTCTGGATAACGGTGACGCCGACGAAGCCGATGACCAGATGGTCGAAGCTGACGACGATGACGAAGGTTCATGGATCGGTCTGGAATGAGTATCGTGAAAGATTCCCCTGTAATGTCTACTTTGCATGTGCGCCTGGCGTTTGTATATTAGGGATAAAAAAAGGCGAGCCTTTCAAAAGTGTGTATAGAAAAGGGTCCCTAACAGGGTCTTCATTGAACAATAGAAGCAGTTCAGCAAACAAGGATGCATTTCCGTTCCAAAAAGGGCTATTCTACAATGACTATTTAGTTTGTTCTTTGTTTTAGTTTGTTCTTTGTTTCAATATTTCAAATTTCTTTCACCACTCAAAAGCTCCCTCCAGCACCATAGGTTGACCCCCAATACTATCCGACGGTTTCTGTGCCACCTTCCATCCATTTATCCTGACACAGAGAGCCGTTTTTAATTTCCCAGGAAATCCTTGTGAGCTTTCCAATCTGTCTCTTGCTTTCCATTGTATCTCAGATGTCCGACTCTGCATTATGGCCCATGTTGGGGGTCTTACTGGTGGTGCTCTACCTATTGCGCCAGAAACCCGATGCACGCCTCAAGCAGATCCCCATTATCAGATACAGTGATTACCTACCGGACCTCTTCAACCGGTTCATCTTCTACCCAAAGGCGAAGTCGATGATATACGGGGGTTATGAGAAAGTCCTGTAACGCGAAGATAAGTATTCGCAATGTGCTGACTTGGATAATAGTTCAAGAATGATCCCTTTCGTATGCTCACCGGTGATGGAGAGATTGTTGTCTTGCCTATCAAGTATGTGGAGGAGTTGAAGCATCTTCCGCCATCGATCATTAGCTCTTTGGATGCGCAGTTTGAGGTATAGTCATTACTATCTCTTTTGCGGCCGGAGGGATATATTATGCTTACTAGGTGCAAAGCTGAGTATACATGAGCTAGAATGCGCTCGGGGAATACACCAACATCAAGGTCAACAGCTATCTGCCTTCGAACACTGTTCGTAAGCGTCTGACTCCCAGTATTGGTATGTGTTTTTGAACATATTCAACTCAGGACATATAATTTCTTCCACTAACGCTACGCAGCTCGGATCACACCGTGGATACTTGACGAATTGCGCTACGCCTTCGACTCTGTCCTCCCAGATTGTGAAGGTGAAATCACTCGATACTATTCAATGGACTTTCTAACACTATCGTTGATCCCGGGCAAAGGCCAATGGATCACCGTCAAGGCCCACGAAATGTTCGTCAGACTAATTTCGCGTGCAACCTCCCGAGTCCTCGCCCACTCCCTCCGGCGCAACGATCAATGGCTCGACATCGCAAGCAACTACTCAGTCAACGTGGGTATAACCATCCTCCTCCTACGTCCATTCCCAAACTTTATCAGGCCCTTTATTGCCCCCTTCCTCCCCTCAGTCCGACAAATGAAGAAACAGCTCCAATTCGCCAAGAACCTCTTCGTCCCAATGATTGAAGAGCGTCGCGCTGCCGAAGCGGCCAATGACCCGTCCTATGTCAAGCCGGACGACTTCCTGCAGTGGATGATGGATATGGCAGAGGACGAGCAGGATCTCGACCCCGAGGCGCTGGCACATCACAATCTGATTTTGATGAGCTTGGCTGTTGTGCACACGAGTTCTATCGCCCTGTGTCAGATTCTTTACGATTTGATTTCAATGCCGGAGTATATCGAGCCATTGCGTGAAGAAATCATGCAGACGCTGAGTAGTGGGTGGGATAATGCTACCAAGGCATCATTTGATGCCCAGAAACGCTTGGATAGTTTCCTACGTGAGTCGCAGCGTTGGGGTCCACCAGGCGAATGTGCGTGATCCTCTTTTATTGCTATTTTGTTTGGTATTTTCCTACACCTGCTAACCTGACCCAACTCAGTGTCAATGCACCGCATCGTGAAAATGCCCTTGACGCTATCAGACGGCCTACATCTCCCTCGGGGAGTACATATCTGCTTCCCATCGGGTCCCATCAGCAAAGATCCAAATTTCATCTCGAATCCAGCTATTTTTGACGGATTCCGATGGTGTCAGGATCCAGCAGATAGAAATGCACTAATATCATTGAGTACAACTTCAAATAGGAGTGCTGAAAAGCAGAAGAAAGAGCAGAATGGAACATCAACGGGTCCATCTCCCACTACCAACTTCATCAGTATCAGTCCGTCGAACATGCACTTTGGATTCGGTCGTCAAGCTTGCCCGGGTCGCTTTTTCGCCGCGAGCACGATCAAGGCGATCATGAGCCGGATTATCATGGAGTATGAATTCAAGTTTGAGGGTGATCGAGTTGGATGGAGACCGGCGAATATTGGTATTGGAGAACATATCTTCCCCAATACTAATACGAGGGTATTGTTTCGAAAGAGGCAAAGGTAAAATTGAGAGTCCTTGTTACTTCGTATCGCTGTGCAGGTGCAGGGGTTCTTGAGGCTTTCGTTCTCAATGAGATTGCCTTGCCGCGCCTTGAGCGAGTTCCTTTATTGGAGGACTAGAAGATATTCATCAAGGGAGAGCTTTTGAGTTATGGCATCATTTCATTTGCTATCTTGTTTTCTTGATTTATGTTGCTCATTTTCAAATACACAAAGGCAGGCATAAAGACCAGCCGTACGCAGTTCGCACGACCAGGCTATACCCACAAGACCCCCATTTGCACAATGGTTAGGACCGTAGTTTCAGCACTCTCTAACCTCGAGAGGAAAGAGTTCCATCAGGTTACTAGTTGGTCACGGGTGCAGCACCACCCCGACCACCTCGGCCGCGACCACGGTGTCCATTGCCACGTCCTCGTCCACGACCACGGCCCCGGTCCATCCCCTGGGGTGGAGGCATCTGAGACATGTTCCTGGGGTGGAAGTTCGGGTTATTCTGAATAATACCCTCACTAGGGTCGCTGTTATCGACTGAGGTATACCCACCTCTGTGTCCACCTCGGCCACGGTTTCCGTTACCGCGGGGGCCACGAGGGAGGCCGTTGTTGTTGGGATGAGGGCGGTGCGGAAGCACCATAGGCTGGCCATCGTTCATAGCAACACGGCCACCACGGTGAACATTCTGGCCAGACACCGCGCCCTTGAACGAACCTCTCAATGGTGGAGGAGCGGCCGCATTTCTCAGCTGGCCTTGTCCATTGGGGCCCAAGGGAGCACCATAGCCACCAACGGTGAGAGGGATTGGTGTTTGGCTGGGTTGCTGGTTGGTTGCAGCACGGGAGCTGACAACCAACTGTCGGAAGGAGAGGTTCAGAACAGATGATGCAAGCACTGTCTGTCCGCGGAAGGGGGAGCAACGGCCCCCAAGAGTAGTTCCACTCATGAAGCTCGTGTCGAACAGGACATCAAGCAGAAGAGCACGAGATGTTCTCGTGAGACCGACCACCGTACCACGGGACGCGATGGGCACTTTACCCGAATCCTGGCAATACACAACCCGATCTCCAAGCTTGAACGTCTGATTGCCCAGGCGATGTTCAACGTCGGCGGGACGAAGCAGAGCGCCACGAGGAATCTTGCGAAGCGTTTTGAAATCCACTTGAGGTACACCGAGTTCGTCGGCATCCTGTTCAATCAACTGGACGATGTCGGAATCCAGTTGCTCGGCATCGAGAGGTACTCTCTCGAAGTCCCGGCTCTCAATAGACTTCAGCCATTCTCGGATATCCTTCATCTTAGCGATGGCGATGTCCTCGGAATAGAAATCGGTGGGGGAATAGCGATCCTGTTGAGGATTACGCTGAATGCCAGCGATAAATTCGGGGAAATTGATCATGTACTGGTGCAACAGGTCAATTGTCTTTTGGCTGAACTCCCATCCAGATTGACCGCGGCGAGAGTACCCAAGAACCTTTTGCTTCCGGGCCTCAAATTTCAGGTTCAGGCCCAGATTCACTCGCGTGTTGTCGATATCAACGGAAAAGGAAGACGTGATCTTGGCCAGCACCAAAGGGTTGAGGTTGAGGTTGCGAGCAATAGCGTAGGAGGGCATATAAGGGCAGTATTGTTCAGACTGCCTGACTCGTGCCTTTCCGAACTCGGGTTCGCGATCTTTCAATGCTGCGACCAACCCGTTTACCTTGCCGTCGGTATGCCCTTTGATCTGGAGGGGCCGTCCGTAGTTGAAGTCACCGAGGAAAAATGCGCGAGACTCTAGGGGGAACTCTTCTTCGACAGGGAGAGCCTCCTTCTCAATGAATCGTTCATCGGGGTTAACAACATCATCGACAACAGTCTGGAGGGCGTAATCGGTCTCTTGGCCAGGAATATCGGCAAAGTCCTTGATCACGGCACCTGCGTCGGTCTTGATCATGCCCTTTAGAGGCTGAATATGAACCATAGACTCCACACTTCCAATGATCATACCAAGACGCTTGCTGTAGTGGCTTTCGATCCTGTGCGCTTTCTTCTTGAATTGCTCGATTTGCTGAGGAGTGTGAGGAATTTGCACAACGTGTTGCTCGCCTGGCGGAAGGATGTAGTCAAACAGCTCGTCCGAAACGCGAATGACGAGCGCCTCTTGTAAATATGGATAGCCAACATGAACTCGCTTTCCAAGTTTCTGCTTGGCCAACTCAACGCCGGATCGGCTTCCTGGGTCAAGAAGAGTGATGACTTGACTCTCATTGCGGCTTTCCTGCTGGAACACGGTAACTCCATGGAAACCCAACTGGCCGACATGGGGCAGTGTCTTGACACTAGGGAAGCCGGCCAGAGCCGCCTCGCCGAGATGTACACCTTCCATCAGGCCATTGTATGGCTCAAGTCCCTCCATGGTGGGAAGGTCGAAGAGATTTTCAATGCAGTGGCAGTAGGGAAGGTCAGGGAACACACCAGGCATCGAAGACGGGTACACAAAGTTCACATCAGGCGAATAAGTGAACTTCAAGCTAGCCCCGAAGGAGTTGCGAGCTTTTTCATCGGGAGTGAGGAATTTCTCCTTGCTTTTGAGGGCATTCAAAAGCCGTGTCTCGTCGATGAAAGGAATTTTGACCACGGCTTCCCACTCCATCTTTTTTCCATTCATGTCCAGATCGAAATCGCGAGGGTAGAAATCAATGATAGGAGAGTCGGGGGAGGTCATGAGATCCCAATAGGCAGTTGGAACGATCTTTTTACTGCGGTCCGGCAAGACACCCATCAGCTGATCGTACGGTCGGAAAGGCTGCCCAAGTCGGAAGTTCATGTCGGCACCAAGACCCTTTTTCACATCTGACATCCAACGTAAGTATAAACAACGGAAAAATCAAGACACCAAGAACAGTGTCCCAGCAAAGATTGACTGACCAGAAATCATAGGTGCATAATGATACCGGAAGAACCAGGGCCACGAAGCAATACCACGATAATAATAGAACAAGACCCACTGCAGACCTTGGACGTAGTTCTCTGTCAACTGCTTCATCTCCTCTTCGTTATCAAGTCCCCAGCCAAACTTGGAACGATAGTAACTGTCCTTCCATTCCTGGAACTTGGCGTCGTACTTCTTCTCAGCGGCTTCTTGCGCCTCCTCGGCTGTCATATCCTGGACCTTCGCCCGTTCGTACTTGCGAATAATGCGCTGGACGGCCATAGATGCTTCCTCATCTTCGTCATCTTCGTCATCTTCATCGTCGCCTTCCGGCTGTGGGAGCTGAATGCGCATGAATCGATCGCCAGTCTCGTTGTCCACGGTGGACCACTGCACGCGGAGCTCGTCCGCGAGTCTCTCAAGGAACGCCCGATCACGAGCCGGAAGAGTGGGAGGGAAATCCAGTGGCTTGGACTGGGATACCTTGCCAGGCCGATTTAGGACATAATTCTTCACTTTCTTGAGAAGGTCCTTTTGGGCCGAGGTAATGGTCAACTCTTTCGACTTCTGCTTCAGCTCCAGCGTTCCGTCATTGCCATTCTGCTTGGCCTTGATCCACTGTGCATCGGAGTTCTCGGCCTGGAAAAATCGGTGCTCAACCTCGCTCAGGGCCTCCACGAGAATTCCAAGTCGTCCCACATTGATCACACCTTCCTCATTGATGTATCCACCCATCTTTCGCAACACGTCCTTGTAGATCTTGAACATGAGTGCCAGCGCACCCTCGTTGATATGTAGGTTGGGCAAATTCGGCAAGAAATCATTTCCAACAAAGAATGCCATGAGAATGAAATCATCAATCACGCGCTCCATGTCAAATGGGAAATTGAGGGCGCCTTCTTGTTCTAGTTCCTGGAACTCCAGCTCCAGATATTCCCGAACCATACTGAGATGCAAAAGATAAAAGTTCTGGTGCTCGAGCTCCTTTGGTTTCTTGGATACTTGGCGGCCGAAAGTCACCTCCTCTCGGAGGAGACAGAAGTGAGGGTCATGACTGAGCAGACCCAGCATGATAAGATCAGCATCCAGACCATAAAGACAATGGCGGACGTTTGGATGGTAATCGGGTTGCGCTTTCGCGCGCCGAATGTATTCCATGATCTTGTGTTCACCCTCACCAGGCACCTCGTGGCCCGAGAGCACAATCTCAACCCCCTGCCAATCGGCATCTTCCGAGATCTTCTTGTTGATAAAATACTTCAGTTGTTGCGTCAATTTCGCCATGAACTCGGTACCAGGCGTAATGCAGTTGCTGTCGAATGCATCTTCCTTGGGCATCTCCAGGCCTTGTTGGATGGCTTTCTCCTTGGCCACCTCGGCGTCCAGCGCCGTCCTAAAGCGACGCGCGCGTTGTTGGTTCATCTTGGCGCGTGGGGCCACACCATCCACCGCCATAAAAAAGAGCTTCTTTGGTTTGATCTTGCCGAACAAGTGCTCGATGTAGTTGAAGATCGCGATGAACATCTGCTCCTCGGTCATTCGGAATGTCGGGGAGTCGCTGTCTTTATGCGTGCAGTTGTGAATAATACCGTTCATATCGAGGTACAGGCTATCGAACTCGGGGATGCGGCTCTCAGCGATCAGCATGGAGATCGCGGGATACCGCTCGCTCAGCCAGCGGAAGAACTTCGGAACACCCATGGTGGCGATGGGTTCGAGTCAAAGGATTCGTAAGATCGGGATAAGGAGAAAAAATGAAAAGACCAGCTACAGGATTTTGCTGGGGTGAGGGGAGATTGAAGGTGACGATCGGAGGAATCAGAGTGAACTGGTGATCGAAGAAAGCAAGCTCAACCGAGGATGGAGGAGTAACGTGAAGAGATGAGGGGATCTCAAAAGGGTAGATACCACAGGGTCAGGATATTCAAGAGTTGTGTAAAGTAAGAAAGGGAGCCCCAGCAGGGGGAAAGGAAAGGAGGGAGACGTCTAAAGTCGTGAGTCGTGGAGAAGGAAGCTTTCCAAGGTGTCGGGCTGTTCTTGGAGTCACCGCCAAGCCTCAGACGTCCCAATTAGGTCTAGCGGTCCCTTAGTCGTCGCCCATGAACAATTAACGATTAAACGCGGTCTGAGCTTGCCCGTCGCAAAGTCGCGTTCGTGTTCGTGAAATCGCAGTGCCTTTCCACACCATTACCCCAGTTCCAGCTACACATTTCCCGGCAGATAGATCTTTTACAGCTTGTTCGTGATCGCATTGGTTATTGTTGTCCTATAACAGCACTATGGAGCCCTATGAGGAGGAGCATGGTGAGTGGCTACAGCTCTCTGAAGTGGCAGGAAATCTCCAACTAACAGGTCGATAGCTGGAGTGGAAGATCAGGAGAAAGAGCAAGAGCACACTCAAGAGAAGATCATCAATGAAGGTAAATTGACTTCTCTCGTTATCATACTCCTCTACTTCAGCATCTCTATGCTGCACGCGATCTCGATCCCGCCTTCGATCATCATGGCTAACCCCAGACGCCTCTACGCAGAGTACAAGACATGGAAGAAAAATGCACCTTTCCTTTACGATATGATCCTCAGTACAGCTCTTGAGTGGCCGACTCTGACCACTCAGTGGTTGCCTGATGTGCAAGCGTCAGTAGCTCCAAGCTCCAAGCATCCGCAAGTCTCCCGGATTGGACATTCCCGACTGATCTTTCTCTCACAGTGTTCCCGACAAGCCCTACTCTACTCATCGCCTTCTCATCGGTACCCATACCGCTGGGGATGCTCAGAACTACCTCCAGATCGCCCATGTCCAACTTCCCAATGCTAATGCCCCCAACCCTGATGACTACGATGAGGACAAGGGCGAAATCGGTGGCTATGGGGGTGGCTCAAAGAAGCCGCCTATGGAAATCAAGTTCAACATTGTCCAGAAGATTGACCACCAGGGAGAGGTCAACAAGGCCCGCTATCAACCACAAAATCCCAACATCATTGCAACCATGTGCACGGATGGCCGGGTGATGATCTGGGATCGCTCAAAGCACCCGAGCATGCCTACGGGAACTGTGAACCCTCAGATGGAGCTTTTAGGTCATGAGGCAGAAGGTTTTGGTCTGAGCTGGAACCCTCATGATGCTGGCCACCTCGCAACAGGTAGTGAAGACAAGACAGTCAGACTTTGGTGAGAACTACCGGTTAACGAGGTGTCGAATTGGCATTCATGAGCTCTTTGCTAATATATATGCAGGGACATTACTACATACACCAAGGGCAACAAGGCTGTCAAGCCCACCCGTACCTACACCCACCACTCCTCCATCGTCAACGACGTCCAGCATCACCCTCTTCACTCATCCCTGATTGGTACGGTCTCCGACGATATCACACTCCAGATCATCGATGTCCGTAATGCGGACAGCACTCGAGCCGTTGCCTCCGTTGGCGGCGAGCACCGGGATGCCATCAACTCGATTGCCTTCAATCCCGCTTCAGAGACAATCCTGGCTACAGGATCTGCTGATAAGACCATTGGCATCTGGGACTTGCGCAACCTGAAGGCCAAGCTGCACTCTCTTGAGGGGCATACCGACTCTGTGCAATCTATTGCCTGGCATCCCTTCGAGGAGTCCGTGCTGGCTAGCTCTAGCTACGACCGGAAGATCATGTTCTGGGACCTCAGTCGAGCAGGCGAGGAACAGACACCCGAAGATGCCCAGGATGGACCGCCAGAACTGTAAGTCACCCGACGTCGCGTGCTTTGTCCTCTTGGTTTTCGGATGACTGACTTCTTTCTTTAGCCTTTTCATGCACGGTGGACACACTAACCGCATCTCCGACTTCAGCTGGAACCTCAATGATCCGTGGGTGCTTTGCTCAGCTGCCGAGGACAACTTGCTGCAGGTATGGAAGGTTGCAGACGCGATCGTGGGCAAGGATCTGGATGATGTGCCGACGGAGGAGCTAGAGGCATGATCTGACTTGCCCGGCTGACTCTCCTCCTTTCCCGCAATGACTCCCGTGGTTCTTCGCCATTTTGTTCTTTTCTGATATAGTTGCGGGCGAAATGCTTCATAATTGGGGGATAGTTCAAAAAACATATGAATACCAATGATTAATTCAATCAAGAAGCCGCCGCGATTACCTATCTGCTATCATATGTAGTTTTTCATACTTGCCTGGCTTAATTCCGGCAAGAAATACTCTTTCACTTCGTCCTTGAAATAGCCCTATGGATATTGCATTCCATAATGATCACACGCAGTTCTAACTTTTAGTGATGAGGTTGGAACGTTCGTCAATATGTGAGCAGACACGCCCGTAGGTGGGGTGTGAGACATATCTTATCACTGGGGCTGTAAGGTTATACTCGGGAAATTTTCGACCAAATTGGCATAAAAGTCCAATGGGTCGGTCCAGTTACGGGAGCCACCAATTAATACATTCCTATTACAGAGAAATAGCACACTTTCCTTCAACTTCTCGAGAGCGAAACCCCGAAATCCTTCGGATGCTCATAGTCCTCCGCGGACAACGTGATGGCACCACCGGAGCAGTACGGCTGGAAAAGGCAGGCGGTGCCGGGAAAAATGAGGGGAACTGATTCAAACGGGCTTAGCGTCCCGTGATTTCGGATTGCATTTGCGTCAAAAAAAAGTAGAGTCATCATGTCGCTGACAATGTTCTGCTAAGCCCATTGATTTTATTCTGCCTCCATATCAGGTTCATTATTGAGTCTACCAGCCCTTCCGAATACCCTCAGTTCATCAGTCATGGGTGCCGGCTCTCCTCCAGGCCCGGCTAAGCCGTCGGCCATACCGTCCCACATGCTGAACGGCAGCTCACCCCTCCAATCCTCCACGGCGGCCGGCAGCGGGACTCGTACTCGTGATATTCGGGAACGTGAGAGTCTCAATTCCTCCATTCGCTGCTCCTTCGCGCCTCGTGTTCCCGCTGAATTTGAGGGCCTTGACGCCAAGGCCCCCCCCGCGGGTGAGTCCACTGCCTCCACAGCTGCTACCGAAGCCGGAGCTTCCCAGACTGCCTTGAGCCTGCGGTATGTTCTCATTTGCATCTTTATACTCAACATTTTGTTTATATCTGACATAGTAGCAGCGGTAGACTTCTTCTGAACGAGCCTCCCCGCGACCCCCGGGATGAGGGCGGTCCATTGACCCCGCCGGCGACATCAAGCCGCCCCGAAAGCCCCTATACCATGTACCCTCCTATCGACTTTGACGGTCTTAGTTGGCCCTGTGAGTGAAATCGCTTCAACCGCGCTCCCGTTTTTATGATATTCATTCTAACCATTTTTTTTCTTTTCGCCACCAGGCCCCGGTACTCGGCAGCGGTTGGAGTCAACTCCAGAGGAGAACGAAGAGCGTATCAAGAAGCTTGCGGGAGCAGTGAGGACAATTCTGGAATGTGTTGGTGAAGATCCCGAGCGCGAGGGTCTCCGCGAGACCCCGGAGCGATATGCCAAGGCTATGCTCTACTTCACCAAGGGCTATGAGGAGAATGTGCGGGATTTGGTCAATGGCGCAGTATTCCACGAGGACCATGATGAGCTGGTCATCGTCAAGGACATTGACGTGTTTTCGCTGTGCGAGCACCACATGGTGCCTTTTACTGGCAAGGTAGGACAGACCCTGCATATGTTCCTCATCGAATCATGCTGACCAATGTGGGGCAGATGCATATCGGCTACATCCCGGCTCGTCGTGTCCTTGGCCTCTCTAAGCTAGCCCGCTTGGCTGAGATGTTCTCTCGCAGACTTCAAGTCCAGGAGCGGTTGACCAAACAGGTTGCTCTGGCAATCTCCGAAGTCCTCAAGCCCCGAGGTGTGGGAGTTGTCATGGAATCCTCCCACTGTGGGGGGGGGTGTGCGGGGTGTCCAAAGACTGGCAGCACCACGACCACCAGCTGCATGCTGGGATGCAAGCGGTGGAGTGCTAAGACTCGTGAGGAGTTCTTGACGCTGTTGCACCGGCGATAGAGCATTCTTGTCTTTATTACCTTCCCCTGCTACATTTGGCTGTTTTTTCCTTTCTCAGCCGGGGAGACAAGTTACGATTTTGGAGTTTTGGTGGTGACCTTTCAACAGGTTTAATTCAATGCTGGCTTTCTTCTCATGAGCATGTTGCTCTAGCACGGATCTGGGTGTCTATTTTCTCTATTTTGTCTATGTTTCTTGCCGTTCTTCCCAAATCTTGGTTCTTGCATATACCTTGGAATGATGCCGACGCCCTGCGATCTTTCAACCCGCCGTCTTCAGGGACTTTGAAAGCAAGCACCCCACATATTCTCACGCTTGCATTGTCCCGACTCAACGATGACACACTTTCATTTCACGATGTTTAGACTAACACACCCTCCACAGGGCCATTTCTGCTTTTGAGTTTAGTTGGAGTTTAGTTCTGGAGGCTGAACCCCTTCTGGCGGCACCGGCGAGGCTGTTTCAACACTTAACGTTTCATACTGTACCTTCTCAACACCTGATAGCAGGACCTGTCTCTACTTATTTATACATGTCCAATGTGCTATATTCAGAATAAGATATTGAAAATCCCTGCGAAAGCTTCGTCGCTCATAAAAAAGAGAATAACTAGTGTATTGTTCCTAGATGCTCCCCGTGGGTCACCATGGCCATCGCAAGGTAAATGATCCCTGGAGATGTCTTCACTACCAGGGTATTGGGTAGTGGATCACCAAACGCGAGAGAGCCTAGAGAATCTAAGGGTGAAAACGAGTCGTCAACTTTGGGATTAACCTGCTCGGGAGGAGCAAACAGTCAGCAATGGATCTTATTGAACTCCCAAAGAGGAAATCGGCACGATTGCTTCCAAGGCTACGATGATATCCCAATCGGGAATCTAGGCACTGTTGTTTTCTCCCCCAGAAACCTCACCATCATCAACGATGATAAATAGGTCCTTCATCTTCCTTCTTCTCCTTCTCTCTTCTCCTCTTCCCCGAAGTGTCAAAGGCGATTTCAATTTCGTGAGTACGTCCCGAGAAGGAGAAGATCGACTTGGTTATTTATTCTGCCTTTCACGCGAGTCTGACTGATATATGGCGGGCACATTTGTTGTTCATATATTGGAACAACCGCGTTCAAGCAGCATGCCAACGAGAGTTGCTGCTTTACCTATCTATCAGCTCGTTACCACTGACTGGAAGCTAACCTCTGGGCATATCTAGTCTGAAACCAACCACACATCAGCCAAGCAAATGCTCACAGCCTCATGGATTCCAACATGTCGAATGAGCCTACCGAGACGCGGTACAGCGAAACCAATACGCCACAGGACTCCAATGACCAGGCACTCATCAGCATGGAACTCTCTCAAACCGAACTACTGGGGGATATTGATCTAGACGAGATCGAGCAGATACTTGCGGAATATGACCCCACATTCAATCAGGCCGCAATGGACGAATTCCTCGCAAACTTCAATGTTCCAACACCACCTCCCGAATCTTCCCCGATGCCCTCACGCCCCCCACCACAACTGGTTAATAGTCAAGAGGCCATGCAGGCGTACTTGATTCAAATGCAGGTGTACGCTGGCATTCCTGAGGAGAATATCCAGCCGATGCACTCATCCGGTACCGCGGGACGATATCGCGGTCCGGTGCTCTTTCGGTACACCAACAACGACCTCAGAATTCCCCTCATCCCTCCGGCGACCTTTACCGGTCGCCTAGCCCCTCTGCCCTCTCATGATAATATTTCATGGAATCTGCAGACATTGGAATACGTCACTGGCCTTACTCAGAACAACTGCCCACCTAACAATGTGAGTATTCACCTCCTTTGTTGAGAAACGAGGAGGAGCTTCTGCGAGTCCTTCCGAAGCGGTCCTCCAAGTTCAATGTGCTCGAATTCCAAACATGTCGTATAGGTTGAATACTAATCACATTCTTTGAATAGCAAATTTTTGTCCTGAATCGGAACATTGGAGCCGCTGGGCTTCTGCCAATGGCTTCCAACGACGATGATTTGGATGTTGATGTTTCCGAAACGGATGATTCGAGCCAAATTTATGTAGCCGAAGATTTTGATGACATTGAGATTCAAGAGGATGGCGATACGGATGAGAGTGAAAGCATGCAAAGTTGAGCCTGGATATGGCTCCACCATCTGTACTGCCAACAATCTAACGGATCTGATACATAGCTGCGATGTGGTATGGCGATAATAATGAATTTGGTGAAGGATGGGAGCACGCCGATTGTCTAATAATGGAAACCAAGGAAAATGAGAGTGTATAGTATCTGCATATGATAATACTAAGCGACCTACCTACTGTAAACACAACCTTAAAATATAACGTAATATCTTATAGGTCGGCTTGGCACCCCGCAGTATCATGTGACCTTCATCACATGATCTGCACCTTCCAGCTCCGCCGCAACCTCAGCCTGATGTGACATTCTCACCACCTTCTCCGAGTCACGGTACAGCTTCCATGTGGCGTACTATTCCTTAGTGGATCATCTCCAGATCTGATCATCACTCTAGCACATACCCGTATATTCCCCCTTTCCCATCTGTGGCTCTCTCTTTACCGATGAGGGACGTCAGTACTTCAGACCCCCATGCCAGCTCATCCCACCCAACCTCCTGCCGGGTATCAGCTCGCCCAGGGCGTCCCTTTCACAATAATCCATGCGACATGCGCGACATGGAGTTTCTGCTGGGTGACCAGAAGCTGCTTGTTGTGGACTGATGTTTCTTAAAATGGAGAGCGATTGCGATCATGGAGTGATCGGGGGGGACTGCCATTTTTGAATTACACTGCTAGACATGTCTCGGCTTGACTTGGACAAACTAACAGGAGGGCCTTTGTCCCCCTTCCCATGATGGACGCTATCGTGTCGCTACTTTCATGCGACCTTTACCAACATCGCTTCTTGTTCCTTAAACCCACTTTGAACGACTTTCGCCTGGCACGACATCCTGGCGATTTCAGATCTCGAAACTGTGATACCTACAGTGAGATTTCCTGAGCTTCTTTCCCTTCCACAGCTTCTGCGCCAAACAACATGCTGCACCTAGGCCCGTTAGCCTATGATGGTCCTTGTTACCTTCAGATGGACGTGATCCTACGTCCAACTGTTGTAAAACGCCAGCAGTCACTGCCCAGGCAGTAGATCCTCACTTTCGCTCCAGCAACTCCCAGCAATACTAACGACGTTTCCGAGTTGGGCTCATCACCCCACGCTACCCGACATATACCAACCCGAGAACGGACACTGTCGACAATGATGCAGCATGTTGCGTGAATGCTGATATCTTCGCACTGGCGAGACTGAAAGTGAACATCAAGGCAGATGAGCTTGCTGGCCACCACATGAGCCTCCTGCGGAGTGTGGCCTGGCTGTGCATCATTGGGCCTAGGCCATGGTCATTGTGACTTTATGCAGAACGTAGATAGATGCAGATCTATGGGGACACAAATCCCCGTGATCTTTTCTTTCAGAATCCGCTATGCGGCACGGAGAGAGAATCAGAACGCCACCGAAGCAGAGTGTTGGGGCTGTGCTTCATGCAAGACTCACGGCACGGGATGTTCCTCCCGCCCTGCGAGGACTGTCCAGTTCGTCTCTTTGCCTCGGAAGATCGGTCGGCCAAAGGCTGCCTCAGACGCGAGTGAAAAGCGACAACTGGCTATTGCTGAATCCTGCCATCCCGTGGATTTACCCTGGCGGCTGCATATCGCAACCACTCAATTGACTTCAGCTGTAGAGCCTCGCAGGTCGACCATCACCGGCACACCACCTCATAGTGGCCTGCATGACGGTCTCGCACTGGTCAATTATACAACTCGGCATCTAGTAGACCTTCAATTTCTATGCACTAGAGTGACTTCCGAGTCCAAGTAACGGGTGCGTATAAATTTCCCCCACGTTTAGTGGTCCCTTGGCTCATCGGCTTTACAGTACACCGGAAAAACAGATTATCCGGACCCTCTCCCAATCCGAAAGACTTCCGCCTGAGAACGCGGTCACGATCCAGTGTCGGCTCCACCTACTTCGCTTCCTCCGACATCTAGGAGACTCCTGCATCCACTTCTGGATTGTCCATCCTTACATCTTCATTGTTTGGCACTGCCAGATGCCGCTGGCGAAAACTTCATGGCTGGGTCTCGTAGGAGTCCGGTGCTGAGAGACCCGAGGAGCGGCGATCCAGACCGTGACCCCCGGGACAGGGACCGTCGCAGAGGTCGAGGATCGAATCGAGACCGGGGCAGAAGTCGCTATCGTGATCGAGGAGGCCGTCAGTCGCGGGCAAATGACCGCCATTTCGACTATCCCAACAGGTCGCCACCACCACGCGCGTCCCGCTTCGGCCCTGACCCATCTCACCCATCGAATGACTTCCCTCTGGACGGATTTCCTCCTCGAGGTTCTCCCGGTCCTTCGTCCGGGTTCCGCGACTCTCGACGGTCAGACCATGATAACCCTCGACCTTCGTCATCCAGTGACTTGAGGAACATCCATACATCTAAGCCCGCGAGCAAGGATACTCAAGGATTCCGGCACGACGACTCACCATTCGGGCCACCATCTAAACGCAAAAGAACCCGCAGTCCATCCCCTAGGGGTCAACGCCCTCCATTCCCCCAACGTCGTTCATCATTTGCCAAAAATGGAGACAAACGCGACTGGAGCCCCCATCCAGGAGCCGGGCGCGCTTCCCAGGACGTGGTGCCCCTAGAGGGCGTTCTCCCAATCGGGGTCGAGATCGCCGGGGTAAAGACCGTCGTCGACCTGATGTCCCACGATCCGGCCACTCGAGATCACCTGTCCGGGATAGGGAATCTCGTCTCTCACCTGATCGACGACCTCGATCACCTACCGATGACTACAGCGACAGAGATTCTCGATACCGGTCCGTATCTCGGCACTCTGCACGATCGGCAGCATCGAAGGCTTCCGCCTATTCATCCTACTCCAGAGGAGACGAGGGAATGCACTCAAATCGACCTATCAAGGCTGTTGTCGACGATCGTGGTCGTTCTCCTTCGCCTCCTGGACGGGTTTCGAGTCTCAATGGCAGCAGCAGAGCTGTCCCTGGCGAGCGCCGAGCCAGCTTGCGAGACGCTTTTCCAATGCTTGAAATGCGTGCACCTGATATCCATGACAAGCAGCAGCGGCGCCGGCCCGCACGGCCGAATCTAGAAACTGGGTCCTATACAACCTCACCGCAATTGAAGACGCCCACGAGATCTCATCATGGCTCCCCTCAACCAGAGTCTCCTCATTCTGGAGGCCGAGGCGGCTGGAAAGGCCCGGCTGCACAGTCTGCGTCTGAGTAAGTCATCCGTTGTCCCAGTCTCACTTTCACGTCTCTTGTGCCTTGGCTAATCTTCCTGCTTGGTTTCGTTGTCATAGCCATTCCCCCAATCATCGACGTGAGGGGCACTATTCACAGAACGCCTCTGCTGAGCACTACCGCCAGAATCACCATGGGCCGTTCAATGGCTCGTCTGATAACCATCCTCAACCCTCTCACAGTGGCCCACCCCGCCGAGGCGGACCTTCTGACCACCGAGGAGATCAACCTAGTCATGGGCCAGTTCGCCGATTTTCTGGCTCCGGTCCGAGTGGCCCTATGAATCGTGGTAAGAATGGCCATTTCAATAACTCGCAATGGACTGCCTCCGGCTCTCATGGTCGTGCTGGCCCGCCTAGCCTTCACGGCTCACAAACCCCTTCCACTCGGCCGCCGTCAGCAAATGACCCGCAGTCTCCCCGTGTGGTTGAGCCTGAGAACCGGCCCAAGTCTGGTGGCAGGACCTTCCAAAGAGATGATGATACTCGCGCTCCACCCGCATCGGAAGAGTCTATAAAACAAAATATGCCTCCTCCGAATCGCGAACCACAGGTTACAACCCCCGCAGACAAGAGCGGAAAATTCAGCTTTACCTTCAAGGCAAAAACCACGCCTACGCCTGCCCCAAAGCCTGTTCCAGATCTTGCGCAACGAATGCAAGTACGTGAGCCACCACCCCGCGTACCTGCAGCAGATCCGCCGACCCCCCGTAATCGGCTCACCAATGGCCCAATGCCTAGTTACAAACCCGAGCCTCGGTTTGACCGCCGGGATCGGGGTCGGGACAGGGGTCGTGATCGAGGTCGCGATGCGCGAGACCGTCGGGACTTCCGGGATCAGCGAGAACCGCGAGACTTTCATGGTGATAACCGGGATCGAAGAGAGGACCGCCGGCCAGACAATCGTCGAGACCGACGGAAGAACGACCGTCCCCCCGACGTCCGAGAGAGCCGTCGTAAAGAGCCATCTCCGCAGCCTCCGCGAGATGTACCGCCGAAGCAGAAAAAGATCCTTACTCGTCTCAAACCCCGGCCGACCATACCTGAGGAATATGCAAATGCCGATTCGGTTTACTACCGCAAGCCAGGCAATGAGTCTGTCATTGGCGCTGGTACATACGGCAAGGTGTTCAAAGGCATTCATGTCTACACTCAACGCATGGTCGCGCTCAAGAAGATTCGAATGGAAGGCGAAAAAGATGGCTTCCCCGTGACTGCCGTGCGAGAGATCAAACTACTCCAGCATCTTCGCAACCACAACGTGGTCAGTCTGCTGGAGGTCATGGTTGAGAGGAATGAGTGTTTCATGGTCTTTGAGTACCTCTCACACGATCTGACGGGGTTGATCAATCATCCCACGTTTTCTCTCACTCTCCCGCACAAGAAAGATCTAGCCAAGCAGATGTTCGAAGGACTAAGCTACCTTCACCACCGTGGCGTTCTTCACCGAGATATCAAAGCTGCCAACATTCTGATCAGCAACACTGGCCAGCTGAAATATGCAGACTTTGGTCTAGCGCGATTCTTTTCCAAGAGCCGGCCGCTTGACTATACAAACCGAGTCATTACCATCTGGTATCGACCCCCGGAACTTCTACTGGGTGAGACTCGATACGGTCCCAGCGTGGACGTGTGGAGTGCGGCATGCGTGTGCATGGAGATGTTCACCAAGAAGGCTGTCTTCCCCGGCGAAGGTAGCGAACTTAGTCAGCTTGACAAGATCTACAACACTCTGGGTACTCCAACACGGGCTGAATGGCCCGACATTGTGGAAATGCCGTGGTTCCAGCTGATGCAACCTGCCGAACGCAAGAAGCGAGTCTTTGAAGATCATTACCGCGATATCCTAACACCCGCCGCACTGGATATGATCACGCAAGTCTTCCGGTATGACCCTAGCAAGCGACCAAGCGCCGACGAAGTACTGCAGCACCCATTCTTTGTGTCAGAGGAACCCGCCCCTCATCAAGCTATCGAGTAAGATACTGTCCCCATCGTTTTACCTGTCCCTTCCTGACTAAATATTTACTACAGATTGGAGCATGTTGAAGGGGACTGGCACGAGTTCGAGTCCAAAGCTCTGCGCAAGGAGGCCAGGCGAGCCGAGCAGCAGAGCCAGAAGGACCGGGAGAAGCGCAAGGCCGAGACATCTGTTCCGACGAGTGATCGGGACCCTAAGAGGGTTCGTGCCGAAGGGACTGACCAGACATCTAGTCAAGCATGAGCGGGAATGGATGGTGCTACTTGATATCTAATCTTATTTTTTGGCATTCGGTGGTTTATTATGGCATCGGGCATGGCTGGAGGAATGGCTTGCATCTGCGACTCGATTTTTTCTTCCACGGGGCATCATTTTCAGGGGATATCCTGGGCTTGTTTCTGTCACATATTGCCCACCAGCATAAAAATGCTTGTTTATTCTGAAATCGGTTCTCTGCATGTAGAATGCAGGCGCTAAGCTATTTAAAGCATACAGTATTTATGGATCTAGACGGAAGGGGTAGGAGGGCACGAGGGTGTAGAAGGCTTTAGGACGGTCGGACAGACGTTGGGAGTCCACATCTTTCAACGGCCTAAGAAGAAAGATTGAAAGAAAGCGAACAGAATGAAAAGCTACTGAATGTCTTTGTTAGCATCAAGCCGGTGCAAGTTCTAAACAAGTAGTTCGTGCTATCAGAGGGTGTGTTTTGCAGTATCAGACTTTGCCTGTTGACCTCACGCCCAACCAGCCTCGTAGGATGAAGGCGGTTGAGGCCTCGGATTACCAGAGAGCTCATAGAGATTTCGTCATAGAAGAAACAAATTGATTGACATTTGATATGATTGCTTGATGAATAGGGCAAATAGCTATCAGGGAACGTACCCTACCAGGATCGAGGTCCATCATCATGAACCGACCATGCACCGAACACGTCGGGCAAAAGCCAAAGGAATGTCTCGTCTGTCAGGTCATCAACGCATCCTGGGAAGCTCGGAAGAGCCCTCGTGATGATGGTTTTAGAAGCGACATTTTATTCTCGACACACACGGCGGAAACGCCAGGGTATTGGAAAGGACAGACCCTGGCGGTGATTTGAGTAGGTGGTCTTGCGTGAAGAAGAAAAGAAGAAAAGAAACAGAAACAGAAAAGCAGAAGAAAATAAAAAGCCCGGAAAAAAAGACGGTGCGGGCGGCAGGCGAGGCGGGCGATGATTGGTTCGTTGGTCCCTGTGGATGGAGCTGCTGGGCAGGTATCCAAATCCATTTGCATTTGGTATTTGCGTCTGCTTCACTTTCTGTCTTCACTGACTCCCACCTTCGACCCTGTTTCTTCCCTTCTCCCCCCCCCCACCTTTCTAACCTGCCACCTTCTACAACCCACTTGTCCTCTACCGTCTTCCTCCATTCTCTTCTTGACCATCCAGTTTTCCACTACCAACCTTCCATCCGCCCTTGCTTGACGACATCACTCGGCTTCCGAACTTATACCCCCGCCACCTCACCCGCTTCCTCCGCCTCCATCCACCACTCTTCAATTCTACTCGCCCATTTTTGAACTTTCGGTCGCTGCGACCCGTTATCCTATTCTCTGATTGAACAGTGCCAGTCCTGTTTTTGCGCTGTCCGGTCGCCTTCCCGTGCTCTTTGTCCCTCCCGCATGACCGCTCGTGTCTCGGGCAGTCACACCCGCCGTCATGGATAATGCCAACCTGTGGACTCGTCGGGCAAAGTAAGTATCCGTGGAGTGCGCGGATCATTTTGAATGAGATAGCATAGCTAATTTCGTACCCTCCCCTTCTCTCCAGCTCCTCCAAATTGTCCCTGTCCATGTCCGGGACGGACGGCAAGGACGGTGCCCGCGTTGACCTGCCCCGCCCATCCAAACGCTTCGGTCCCGACAGCTCCCACGGCCGCTCAAATCCTTTTAACGCAATCTCCCCACTATCTGCCGGCGTCTCCTCGCCCTCCACCAATGCCTCGTCTGCATTCGGCCTCGGCTCCGGCGCTTTCGCTTCGTTCGGCGCACCCAAGACCCCGGGTGGCTCTTCAGAAGTGAAGACCCCCGGGGACAAGCGCGATATCTCGACAGAGCAGGAAGATCTGATGAGGTCCAAGTCGCACGCCAACGGTCCCGCTGGTCTCGGAGAGCATGCGTTGAAGTCTACCTGGATCGTCTGGTACCGACCACCCACACCCAAGTACTCCGACTATGAGAAGTCGACAGTGCCACTTGCCTCGATAGCATCGGTAGAGAGCTTCTGGGCGGTTTATTCGCATCTCAAGCGGCCTTCGCTGCTCCCGACAGTGTCGGACTACCACATTTTCAAGAAGGGTATCCGCCCTGTGTGGGAGGATGAGGCCAACAAGCGAGGTGGCAAGTGGATTGTTCGGTTGAAGAAGGGTGTCGCTGATCGGTACTGGGAGGATCTGCTGCTCGCCCTGGTGGGTGACCAGTTTGCCGAGGCTGGTGACGAAGTCTGTGGTGCCGTCTTGAGCGTGCGGGGTGGCGAGGATGTTTTGAGTGTGTGGACCAAGAACGATGGCGGGCGGAACATTAAGATCAGGTATGGCCTTTTTTGTTGCCGAGAAATGCATGATTCTACGACGGTACATGAAAACTAACACGACTTACTACAGAGAAACGATCAAGCGCATGCTCGCCTTCCCCGCAGACACCAACATCGTCTGGAAGAGCCACGATGACAGCATTGCCCAGCGCTCCGCCATTGACCAGGCGCGCCATGAAAAGTCTCAAACCTCGGTCTCTAACCCTACGGGCCACCTAGGATCCGAGCGGCGACGCACCGGCCACGACGACTCGGACAAAGGCAAGGGAACCGCCGCCCTGTGAATGCCTGGTCTCGACATTCTCGGTCTTGAGCCCTGTATAGTAAAGTCAACCAAAAAAAAAAGATATCATGCACAATTTACTACTCATTGGGACGCGTTTGGGTCTGGGGGGGACGGTGGGGCATCGAGGCGAACTCAGCGGTTTTGATTTGATTTTTATGTCTTGGGTGAACCGATTATGTCTATTCTGTCTTTTTTTTTTGCCCCGAGCTTATGTGCGATGCTTCTGTTGTCTCTTCCTTTTTCTTGGCCTCTCTGCTAGTTCTGCGCAACAAAACCGCTGCAGCTTTGATTGCAGCCGGCGTACTTTGCCTGATGTCCAAATAGCCCTCTCTTGCAGATTACCGTTGTGGGTGGCTCCTGATCAACCACCTATGACTGATAGCTCTCTGATGCATTCAATGAATCTCTAAGACTCAACCCGTTTTACCCTCTGTTCTTTGTAGTCTCATCGACCGCCTGTTTCCGTGTTCTACGCCGCCCGTTCAAGAGACATCAAGTTTGTTGCCTGAGAATTAAGGCCTGAATACCTGACCGCCCGCGATAGGACGATACCGCAAAAGGAACCGCATACTTGCGACGAAACAGACCTTAAAAAAAAACAAAAAAACTCTCCACTACAAGATGAGACGCCTGCTGAGCATGGCCCTGCTATAGTCCCCGACCCTGTCTGGATGTCTTCATTCTTCCAAAGTCTGAGCGCGGCTTTTGCCTCCTTCAACTCCTCGCCGCGTCGTCCCCGAAGTGACGATCCTCAACGGCCGCTAGACCAACACCGCCGCAGTTCGCTCTCCCAGCAGCGCGCCCATTCTCCCTCCCCACGCCGTCGTGCCCCGCCATCACCGACTGCTGGATCGTGCCGGCGTATAAAGCGAGCGAAGAACGAGTTCTCTTTGGGCTTGGACGAGGACGACGAGCACCGGTTTGATCTCAGTTTCGATTCACCGCGCGATATCGCTGCTCCGCAGGTATGTCCTAGCTTGTTTGAGCTACTTATACACCCTTTGTGCCTCGATTCGGACTCTCCTCAGTTTCAAGCTGCTGCTTCGACATTCTGGGCTCGGGGATAAATATAGATCAGTGAAGAATCGGACTTCCCGCTCGTTGTCTTCCGTCTTGATATTTTTCGTCTGTCGTCCTTTTCGATACGAAACTGATCGTACCTGCTAGACCACTCAGAGTTATGCCAACGAACTTTCCTTTACGCCTGGATCTGCACCCTCCCGTGGACAATTGCGGTCTTTGCCCACGCTCTCTGTCGTAGGCTCCAGTGCCTGGTAGATATGCCTTCGCAATACCGCCCCGCCAGCAGACCGTCGCTGATAAACCCTGCGCACAGGCTGGGCGACCATTCGCAGATGTTGAACAAGGATGAGGAAGATGAGGCTCGCCTGTTTGGTGGCGCGACTTACCGGTATGAGCCCGGAGCCCTGAGCTCTCGTCGACCTGGGTTCGTGGAAAGAGAGCAATTGCGCTAATGGGAGCTCTCTGATGGTTATAGGCCCAAAGGTGCACTCGAAATCAAACCTGGATCTATTCGGGCAATGAGGAAAAAACCGGGTGTACGTGTTACATGCGCTCTTTGGTTTAGATTGGGACTTGAAGGCTGATTTCTGCATATTCAGGCTTCCGCGGCGTTTCAGCCCACCGACAGGATATCTCATGCGCGTGAGAGTGGACCAGTCCGCTCATCAGGGAAGCCCAAGAATGATGATGCGTCCGTCAACAGGAATTATCGGCAATTGGAGGATCATGAATTCCAGGACTCGGGCCGGCCTAACAAGCGGCGACGCCAAGAGGGCCAAAGACCAACTGACCTTACGCACAACGATGCAGCTGGTTCAGTGACATCTGAGGTCTCGGCTTCTGGACATCGGTCGTCCCGACTTTCCCCAGGCTCAAACCTTTCCACATCAAACATCAGAAGCAGGGGCCGTCCTCCCTTCGTTTCCGAATATCGGGGCGTGGAAGCCATCCTCGAACGGACACCCCACCCTCACGCGAGACATCGTTTGCCATCGAATGCTAGCTCTGTGGACGAAATTTTTACCTGGGAAGCTGCTGCTCAGCGGCGCTCCTCTGGCTCTGCTGTCGGCTACGGTGACAGACATCACAAGCAAACCTCTCTTAACTCGCCCAAGTCAAAACGCGCTCCACTAGGGACTATCGAGATACTTGATCCCGCAGAGAAGCATCCTGAGGATATTCACCCCCACACTGAGAGAAAGCCCTTGACTCCGTCAAAAAAACGGCTGGTTGCTTCTGACTCTGGCGATAGCCCGGATGAACTGCAAGGTGAGGTGACGACTCGCCCGCCTCCGAAGCATCTTGCAGAGAAACATATCCAGAAACCCCGCCAAAGACCAGAAGAGCCCATTGTTCTGTCTCCTTCACGGAAACGTTCGCCGTCTGACATTGAGCCCACACCGTTCTTGCCATCTCGCAAGAAGAAAATGGTCAAGCGCGGGCAGCAGGACCCGGAATTTCGCGCTCTTTCCATTCAGTCTATTCGTTTTGGCCCTATTCATAACTCTGTTGAGGAAGGAGAAGCAGTCATCTATATGTGCCCTGATAAGATCATGCTTGGGAAAGACATCACCAGTGACAGGCAAGAAGAGGTCCTTTTCCGTCATGTGAGCGCCACTCTTCAGGCAGACAACAGCAGGAAAGTGCGTTTGCAGTTGAATCATTACCAAGGAGCCCCAGGTTCCAATGTCGACATTCAGTTCTCCCTGAGGAGCAACAAAGACGCGTTCGTGGATCAAATGAGGGAAGGCGGTGGCAAAGTCCATGATAAAGAGCCGTGAGTGTCTTTGTTGATTTATTTGGGGTGGAGAAACTAGACTAACAGTCGAAACTAGGAAATGGCTGGACGACGCTTTCTCTAGATATGATCATGAAATGCGTCAGCGTCTCAACCCCGTCAGGTCCCCTTTACAGGAAATTACCGAACCCGAGCCAGCACCGCCGACGTCCACCCCTGTCCAACACACTACTAAAGGCAAAAAGCTTTCTTCATTGTTGGAAGGCTCTGCCAGCGAGTCTGATAGACAACTCCAGGATCGAAACAAGGTTGAACATCAAGAGGGTTCCAAGTCCACGAGTACCGTCGAACCGGGGCAAGGGACAAAGGAAACGCCGAAAGCAATGGAAGTGGGAGTCGAAATTCCAGTGAAAAGGTTCAATCCGAAAGATTCTGGCGAACCCGAGACGCGACGGTCAACAAGAAACACGACGCGATGGAAAGAAAGACTGGATGACGACGCCCCTCCTGCGAACAAATCCGACCCCGCCCTGGCAAACGACCCATTCCGAAAGAACTGGAAAACCCCCTTGGTTTACCCCAAGATCGGCAAGAAGAAAGAGGAAGTCAACGTCGATGACCGTGATCGACTCCGCGAGAATGAGTTCCTGAATGACAACCTGATCGCCTTTTACATACGCTTCTTGCAAGATCACCTCGAACGTACCAACCCGGACGTCGCGAAACGGGTCTACTTTTTCAACACTTACTTCTTCGCGACGCTTACGAATAAGGGCTCTCGAGTGATCAATTATGAAGGGGTTAAAAAGTGGACGAGGTACACTGATCTCTTCAGCTACGATTATATCGTCGTTCCTATCAATCAGAATGCGCATTGGTACGTTGCTATCATTTGTAACCTACCTAGTCTGGCGCTGGGTCCTGCAAAGAGCTCGGAGGCTTCCTCTGCACCGGCCAGTGACAAGGAGTCTCCTCGTCAACCAGCAAAGGAAGTGCAAGAGATTCCCGAGTCCCCCGAACCTGAACCAGTCACTTCCTCAGCCAGAATTTCCGACGAAGAGTCAGTGAAGGAACAAAAACCGGCATCCGTGTCTCCACCGTCGGAACAGGCTCGGCAGTCTTTTGCATCTATGACTCTTGTAGAAAAGAAGAACGCGCCGGCCAAGGCAGAGCATCGGGAGAGACTCTCTTCAACGGCCAAAGAAGTAGCGGGTCATGAAGAAGCTGATGTCTCGCTTGCCGCCAGCCAGGGCCCCGTGAAACAGCCTGGCAAGGCCAAGGCAAAGTCTCAGAAGAAGAAAGGTGGACTTAAGTTGGACCCTGGCCAGACAGCCATTATCACTTTTGACTCGCTCGATGCCAACCGTTCACCCACGGTAAGGCTCCTACGCGAGTACATCTGCAAAGAGGCGGCAGAAAAGCGAAATGTGAAGATCAGCAATCCCTTATCGGAGATTAAGGGCATGCGTGCGCAGAATATTCCTTTACAGCCCAACTACTCGGACTGCGGGCTGTATCTACTGGCATACATGGAGAACTTTGTGCGCAGCCCTGATGTGTTTATCACCAAGGTTCTTCAAAGAGAGATGAATGTGGAGGTGGACTGGCCCCCGCTCGGGTCTGGGCTTCTTCGATTACGCATGCGGGATTTCCTTGATCAGTTGTATCAGGAACAGGCGAGTGATCAAAAGGAAGGGTTCATGGTGGATCGGCAGCCTATCTCGTTCTTGCTGGGACCGCCGAGGCTGTTTCAGGAGAACGTCGAGGAAGAGTCGAAGAAGACTGAGAAGGCTGAACCCATTTCATCCTCGAGGGTTGAGCAGGATGCTGGAGAAGGACGAGAGGACGAGCAGCCTTTACACGCAACAGACGATGCAAGCGATATCGAGGCTACAGACATGCCTGTCCTGGTGCCCACGACTGCAGAGTCCGCCCAAAAACCCATTAAGCGGACGCTCAAGCCAACTTCACCCGAACCTGCCCAATTTCGTTCTCCGCTCTGTGAGCGAGAAGTCCAGGAGATTCCTGACAGCCAGGAGATCGCTGCTCCTCCCGTCCCAGAACCCAAGGCCGGCCGAGCGGAGAAAAAGAAGTTAAGGCAGGCTAGATTGGAACTGGCAAGCAGCAAACGCGAGCTCCAGAGGCTCACCACCCCTGACAACACTGGTGCGCAAAGCCATCTAGAACCATCGACCCGGTTACCCAGAGTTGAGATCCAAATTCAACCACCAACAGTCCAAGTCCCGGAAACACCACCACGAAAAGAACCGAAGCGTGTACGGCAAAGCCCGCGAGGCTTGGCTCGAAAGGATTGACCAAGTCCAATCCTATCTTTTTCCCCTTTACTCTCAAATAGTTTCTGGTGTTATCAACTTATCAGCATTGTGGCCGGTGCGGAGTTCATTCGAAGCATAGTCGGGCTGCTCCGTGTTCGTCCCGTCATTATTCTCACGTCTTTGCTTTCTTGTTCATTCTCTGCCGTTTGATTTCGATTTAGCATGTCAAATAGTTTCTTACTGTGGGATAGAGGCGTCAAACGAGTCTAGAAGACTTCACATTGATCTGAATGCATGAGATATAACCGCATCTGCTGCAGCACTGACTCTCCCACTCTACCTATTATTTCTTGAACACAACAATTGCTCACTCGGGCACTTCTATAGCTATGTACAAGGTGTCTCCATCATTCCGTCCTACCACTCACTCTCCCTCGCCTTAACCCACCACGCCAACTTATCCCGTCGAAACGTCTCAAAATCCCACTCCATCTCCTCTAGTCTGTCCTTCCCTGCAACCCACACATAAGTAGCAGCAACCACCTCTTCCCCCTCGTCAGCGACATTCGACCCAGTTGCAACAAGCATATCCCTTAGCTGCATTTCCGAAGTAACGTCCCCCTCCACAGCCCCCTCTTGCGATTGCGCACGCAGCGCACCCACGTTAACCGTTTCCTTGACATATTCGCTGCCCTCGTACTTGTCCAATCGATGTATATCCCCATCCGTGAGACCGTATACAAGGACACCCAGCACTGCTGTTTCTGGCGCTGATCCTGGGGGCTTTCCTCGGACTTGGAGTCAGACTCGGGCTCGTTTTCGGCCACGATGCCTGGATAGTCTGCGCCCCGCACTCGATGGCGGCGATAGCCGTGGAGTAGGGCGGGCTGGAAGCGGATGAGTGCTTTTTGCCAGGGTTCTGGATCGGGACTGCCGTGGATTACACGGTGGAGCATTTGTGGTGCCATTAAGGTTCCTGGAAGTACTGTTAGTTTGTCTGGATGGTGATAGGGGGCGTAGTAACGAAGTCTACTGTAGCGTGATAGCATGACGGGGGGTCAAATACCGTAGCAGAAGAGGATGTGGTCGCCCATGGTGAAATGGTGCTCAGCAGTGCAGCTTGTAAGATAACTGGAGGAACTGTAGCTAGTATTCAACGAATTGAGAATGAGTGTGAAATCGAATTCGAATATTCAAAGTGGAAGAGAGTCGAGATCATTCCGAGGTCAACAGTCAACCCGCGACTAAACTCGGAAAGTATACAACGCCCGCTTATCGCCAGCCGCCGATAAGCCCCAAACACGCCCAGCTGGCTTCATCTCCACCCTTGTTCTTGTTCTTGTTCATCCACATCGGCGGACCCTGTGTGGACTACATCGACACTCCCCGGCCGCAATGCATTCTTGCCTTAATCGTTTGCAAGCCGTCTTCGGCTTCTTCACCACCGTCGCTCTGGTGGTGGCCGGGTTCGCCGCGCTCTCTGTCCTCCTGTTCCCGACAGACACGACGACAGCTTCGGTGCAGCTAAAGAATGTCCAGGTGTGAGTCTCTCCAACCAACAATTACATAGCTTTCTCCTCCGCAGCATACACATGTATTCTACAATTTCATGAACACCACTGGGATAGGACAATCAGCAAAAAGCAAAGCTAATTCCTTTCTCGAAAAAAACAGCACCAAAGGCCGACCACACTACTACTCGACCAAACGCGAAGAATACGCTCAAATCCGCTTCGACCTCGACGCAGACCTCTCCCCACTCTTCAACTGGAACACAAAACAACTCTTCGTCTACGTCTACGCCACCTACTCCTCCTCCGACAATGCCAACACGCAAACCCGCGCCTCCGAAGCTATAATCTGGGACTCGATCATCCCCGCCTCGCCATCCCCGTATTCCTGGGAGGCTCTCAAGGAAAAAGCCACCGCCTTGCTCCCCGCCTCGCTCACCTCTTCTTCGTCTGCGAAGTCTGCCGGAAAGCGCGGCGCAAAGCGCAATTCCAAGACTAGCGCTAGCTCGAAGAAGAAGAAGGCCGCTGCTGAACCTGCTTCCCCGGGTGTGTTGCGTCTGCGGGGCCAGAAGGCCAAGTATCAGATTAGTGATATTACGGGGCAATTGGCGGAGCGGCAGAATGTGACGTTGTCTGTGGGTTGGAATGTGCAGCCGTGGGTTGGGGCGTTGTGGTGGGCACCCGGGACCGGGGCGGTTCCCAGGACGGAAGGGCAGATTGTGAGCAGTGATGGGTTCGATTTCCCGGCTTTGAAGGGGAAGAAGGTTGAGGGGCAGACGGGGCAGACGGGGCAGGCGAGTGCGCAGTGAGATGTGGAATATGTGTATTGTATGTCGCATATTTTGGACTTCGGATTTGGGAAATGGATTTTTCTAAGGTATATGAATACAAAACCGTGGGTTGGTTCCTGGTTTACTTGACGGGCTTTTTGCTTTCATGGATTGAAATGTTGAATGTGGTTCATTCAACTATAGGCTGGTATTCGCTATTGGGGAAATCGAGGAACTCAACGAGGTATAGAACGGTGGTTGAGACAAAGGTACTCAGGGTACAATAACCTGCACATCTAAACGAGCAGAACAGCAGGTTAAGTCCACAGGGAGTAACCAAACGCTTCAGATCCAAAAGGACAGAAACAAGTAGACACATTGCATCGCTCAAAAACTGTCTTCAGAACGAGCCGGTCAGACTGTGCCGTAGTTGCGGGCGTTGGAGTGACCACCGCTCTGAATGCGATCCGAGTACACGCCCGGCGCAGGTCGCTGGGTCGCGCGAGTCAAAGGATCCCGATTGCGTCGGTCGTAATATATATATTCCAAGTAGAAGGCATGAATGTGCCCGGGAAAGTACCTATGAAAGACAGAATTAGCTCAAAGTCTAAAAAGAAGATTGTAGGTAGTAGAGCCAAAGGAGTTTGTGGGTGGACCCAAGCCACGGCTAAATTGTAGACTCACCCGAGGATGGTTAGGAGGACGTTGATCCAGAAATCAACGCCACAGCCGGAAATGAGGAAGACTCCGAGCGGAGGAACTTGGAGGCAAGGTTAGCCAGCCAATACTTTGGTGTTGGGCTGGGTAGGGTACTTGGCGCGTAGGCAGCAGAGAATTAACTCCCTTGTCCCATCCGCAGCCAAGCTGTGCAGGAGAAACTGGGAATCGCGTCGACAAAAAGCAATCGCTATGGAGCAGCATAGTACTTACTGAAGAGAGTGATGATAATCAAACATAGCGTCGAACAGGTACCCGCCATGATGAAGTCGAGGATAGAAGGTTTGTAAGGTTAGGTGGGTGGTAGTCGCAGTTAAGTTGAGTCTGGTTTGGGGGCGTGTTTAAAATCGGCAGTGGCTAGAAAACTGAGGAGGAAAATGGTGAAAAGGAGAAGAAAGATATAAATAGGGATGTTTTCGTCGTTGGAGGAATCGAGGCGTTTGATGATCGAATGATCGGCGAAGACGTCAGAGGTGGTGCCAGGCTCCTGCGCCCTGTTGGTGGTAAAGCGGGGGATAAAACGGATCCACATAATGAGCTTGGCAATCAAATGCAAGTCGGGTAACCGATTTAGTCTCGCCTCAGTAGTACTTGTCGTAGTACTAGCTCAGGACATTTAGTAGTAAGTGCAAAAGTCCTTGTCCAGTACTTTCGTAGGGCTGAGGAGCTCATCGCGGGGGCTGCCCGCCGATTGGCTGGTTGATCTGGTTTGACCCACTGACGTCATATTCGCTCTCTGACCAAGTCCACTGTAGACTGGGCAGGGCAGAAGATACTATACTTGTTGGAGGTCACACAAGGTAAATGGTTCAATTCCCTTGCAAGCCTCATGAAAGTACCCGAAATACCCGAAACTAGGGGAACACAACAGGCGAACGACAAAAACTAGGACCTGACTAGAGAGAAACACCCCTCACAGCGCGTCAATGGCCGCCCGCGTCGTCACCTGCTCGTTCTTGTTCCCCAGTTTCGAGATCTGCAAAAAGGCGTCGACCCCATACCCTTCAAGACTGTGCAGCTCCAGACTGCCTGCCCAGTACTCGGCATACACCCGACTCATGGGGAGTCCCATGCCCAGCCGTAGATTCGGTGGTCGCGAGGTCAGCGAGTCGAGCGACCCTTCATACCAGGCCTCACGATCATACTTGCGTTCCGACACTTTCAGCTCCTGCATGGTTGCCGCCATCGCGGGGACTTGACCCAGATTCTCCAGCCGACTCTGCGTACGCGGTCCCTTGCTGAAAGACCACAGATACGGGAGGATCTCCCGCGGGATGCCGCCGCCCTGATCGGAGATGCGCATGATCACGTGCTGCGGCGTTTCGCAGATCAGCACTTCGATGGGCGGCGGGGGCTGCGGTGAGTCGTGGTATTTCTCGACCACGGCCTGCACCGAGTTGCGCAGCAGCTCCCCGACAATGTACTCCAGATGACTCAGGATGTACGGGAAGGTGGCATCCAGATGACCCTGGACGTTGATCTCGGGGAGCTGCGCGGTTTTCAAGGTTTGTCGCATAAGATCCTGCGCAACTCGTCCGCAGCGCTCTACGACCTGTTTGGCCTTGCATTTGAGGAAGACTTCGCCGACAAAGTCTGCGTTCATGTCCATTCGTTCATGAGAGTCTGGGAAATGCCATGGCGAGTTGAAGGTCTCCGTGAGGGCGAGGTGTTGCTCTGCGATTACCCGCCGAGAGATTCTCTATGAAAGGTTAGTTGCACAGCCTAGGTATGTGGATGTTCGGGTTATGAAACATACCGCTCGCAGAAGGGTGTTCATAAACTTGTCCATCTCGTTGGGCGGCACGAGATCACGACACTCCAGGACTCCCATTGCCAGGTTGGGGATCACCACCAGGTGCTCTCTCAGCATCTCTCGAAGGACATCACAGAATCGATCATTGTCGTCAAGACTACAGATCTCGGGGATCACACGGAATCGTTCAAATGCCTTATAATATAGCTCATAGACGAGGGACAAGTGTGGATTGGCGACGACCACGTAGGGCAGCTGCTGGATATCCCGCAGACGGTGTGCAAGACTGTATCAATGACCAATGTCAGCTCTTTGATAGTCCTCATATTGTTCCAGGTCCCATCCCATCGCATCACTGGACATACCGAGTCGGTAGCTCGGTCCGCACATAGTTCGCCGAGCTAATAAGTCGAGGTTCCGTCAAGGTACGACCGAAAAAGTCAACTGGCGCAGACTAATAGGGCGAGCTTGACGTTCCACCCATCTATATCACAAAAGTGGGCGAGTTAGTCTGAAAAATCCGCACCAGGAAAGCTTGTGAATCATACTCATCCAAAGCGGAGACGGGCCGCCACGGCGGCGGTTGCTGCTGCTGCACGCTCGAGTAGAAGCGAGGGTTGGGAGCACGCCGGAAGCTATTCCAGCATCTGGCGGGACGACTCGACCGCATTGTACTCCATGCAGTCCCAGTCAGTCTGGGGGGAGCCAAGGAGCCATGCGATGGGCGATCGGAAATGAGGAGAACGAGCTGCTTTGGACATGTGCCCGCTTCGGAGGGCGGTGAGGCATGTGACATGGAGAATGCATTCCTTGGGCCGAGTTGGAGATATACTCCAGGACTGGGCTTCAACTATGTGATTCGGTATTAAGAAGTGGTTATTACAATTGAATGGGCTTGGTTAGTAAGATCTATACAATTCTCGATTTTTGGTTCGTCTAGTGCTGGGCTAAGCTGACCGTTGATGATCCGGGTAGCGTAGTGGCTGCTGCTAGGGTCTGAAGATATACCAGATCAGATAAAATACATTATAATATAGTATTGAATTGTAGATATTGAGATAGATATTTTTACACCTTCCTAATATACACGAATAGTTCAGAATTAATATAGTCGTCGTGGTCTGCTGTGCCCACCTGCGGCACCCGAGCGACCATCCTGTCTGGAGTCGCAAGTATGTGCTGCAGATCGATCACCACACCAGCTTTCACAGCCAACTCTCTCATATCCTTGACCCGCGACACAACTTTCCTTGTACAAACACCTCCTGTGACTTCAATATCTTATCATTATTCTCACATCATCATCTCTCCCTTTCTAATCTCTCTTTCTCTCTTTTTCCCCTTCCTCTCTGACCCGTCATTGCCAGAAGGGACACTTCAGTAATCACTGCCGAGTCTCCACGGGCTCCGCCACCGCTAGCTTTCGGACCCTCTCTCATTCTGCTGGTTCAGAAGAATTCCTCCCGGCAACACGACGACTCCGCTTCTTTCACACTCGTCACTTTTGCCCTTCCCATTAACCCTCTCGCCCCCCTCATTCCAACAGGCGCCTTCCGGCTGGACGGGAAGGCCCCTTTCGCCATGGAAAACGTGAGTTGCCGTGGCCCTTCTTGCCCGGGCCGACCGTGCCCCTCGCGTGTGTCGTCATTGCAGATCTAACCGTGCTTTTCAACCCCCCAGCTCGCGGAGAACGAGATGCTTGTCGACGAGTATGAGCAATATCCCAATGAGAAGACTGATGTCGTCGTCGTCTCCCGCTCGGGCTCCGACGAGCCCGAGCCTGCGCCGTCCGCCGCTGACCGTACGTTTCTTTCATGCCTTCTTTCCATGTCCACATTTCTCTCTGTCTCTGCCTATCTGGCTGCCCTCAGCGGCCGGCTTCGAGTGAGAACAAAGCTGGCGTGAGAAACCGAGAAAGAAACAATTTCACACGACCGGAAGAAGCTTTATGATCGCTGCCCTGGGAGAGTTGTGGACAAATTATATTCTATGTTTTGTGGAGATGACTGACCTAGGTCTGCAATCTTGTCTTAGATGCGGCCATGATGGCACGAATCCTCCCCAAGAACCCCGACCTCGAGACCCTAGAAGAGGTGCACAACACATGGCACATCGAGAATTGGAGGAAGATGGATAGAAAGTCTCACGGCCCAATCTTCAACTGCGGCGGGTCGCCTTGGTGGGTAGCAGTTTTGTCCTTGGATCTTTTCAGAAGAAGAATGAGAGGAAACAAAAAAAGGACAAATTTCTGATACGATCATAGGCGCATTCTATTCTTCCCCTACGGAAATAACTCGGAGCACGCCTCGCTCTACCTTGAGCATGGAAGGGAAAGCGATATACCGGAGAACTGGTATGCCTGCGTACAATTCGCATTGGTATTGTCGAATGTGAAGGATCCTTCAATCTACCACACTCATGGTAATGATACATTATTCCCTGGTGCATTGAGCCGAATACCGAGACTGACCACTAAATCTAGTTGCAACCCATCGCTTCACTGCTGACGAGGGCGACTGGGGGTTCACTCGATTCTACGATCTCCGGAGCCTGTTCAATGATGCGTGGGAAGGCAAGAACGTTCCTCTCGTTCAGGATGACGAGGCCAACATTACCGCCTATGTCCGCGTGGTCAAGGATCCTACTGGTGTCCTCTGGCATAGCTTCCGGGAGTCAGTCCTGCACGAAACCAGTTCAAAGAAACTTGTAGAGCTAACAGTGCCTCCAGCTACGACTCCAAGAAAGAGACCGGCATGGTGGGCCTTCGCAACCAGGGTGCTACTTGCTACCTTAACTCCCTCCTGCAATCTCTATACTTCACCAATGCTTTCCGCAAGGTATGCTTCTAGTGTATTCATCTTTCTTGTCCTGTCATATCTGATTATCTTCCTTTAAGGCCGTATATGATATCCCCACCGAGGAGGATGCTTCTCGCCAGAACAGTGCTTGGACACTCCAGAGACTGTTTCTCAATCTACAGACCATGGAAAAGGCAGTGTCGACAACCGAGCTGACAACCTCCTTTGGTTGGGACACGAGACAGGCGTTCGAGCAGCAAGATGTTCAAGAGCTGTCGCGGAAGCTTATGGAGCGCTTGGAGGAGAAGATGAAGGGCACTGTTGCTGAAAAGGCTCTGCCCGAATTGTTCGTCGGGAAGACCAAAACTTATATCTCCTGCATTAATGTCGATTACGAGTCTTCTCGTATCGAAGATTTCTGGGACATTCAGTTGAATGTCCGGGGGAACAAGACCCTAGAAGACAGTTTCCGGGATTACATCCAGGTTGAGACGCTTGAGGGTGAGAACAAATACGACGCGGGCCCTCCATACGGTCTTCAGGATGCCAAGAAAGGTGTTATCTTTGAGAGCTTCCCGCCAGTCCTGCATCTTCACTTGAAACGATTTGAATACGACCTTAATGCCCTGACGATGATGAAGGTCAACGACCGCCATGTCTTCCCGATGGAGTTTGATGCTGCCCCTTATCTCTCCGCTAACGCTGATATGTCAGAGTCCTGGGTGTATGAGCTGCATGGTGTGCTTGTCCACAGCGGTAGCCTGGATGCTGGCCACTACTATGCATTCTTGAAGCCTACCAAGGATGGATACTGGTACCGCTTTGATGATGACAAGGTCAACCGTGCCACCGAGAAGGAGGTTCTGGAGGAAAACTATGGAGGAGAGTACGAATTCGCCAACGGGACTACTGGTGTTCGTCAGCCATACACGCAAAAGTACTCAACCAAGCGCTCCATGAATGCCTACATGTTGGTTTACATTCGGAAGACTCGATCGGATGACGTTCTTCTTCCCATCACCAAGGACGATGTCCCCTCTCACATTGGTAAGACCGAATGATCTTCAAGATTCCGACCTGGGTGGCTAACTTTTTACTTTAGAAAAGCGCCTCGCCGCAGACCGGGCGGAGATGTTGCAGAAGCAGAAGGAGAGAGAGGAGGCCCCTCTGTACATGAATGTTGGTGTTCTGACCGAGGAGACATACCGGAATCACCACGGCTTTGATATGACTGGCGGGGATCTTCCAGCCGAAGACCCTGCTCTTCCAGTTCAGTACCGTGTTCGCCGTTCTAAGAAAGTGGGTGAGTTTGCAGAGGAGATCGCCGAAGAGTACGGTCTCAATATAAACTCTTTCCGATTCTGGAGTATGGTCACCCGCCAAAACAAGTCGAGCCGACCTGACCTGCCCATCACCGACTATGAGATGACGCTTGAGGAGCTTAGCAAGCAAACTACCACCTCCAAAGGTAACCCTTTCCGACTTTGGATGGAGGTCTCGCCTGTAGGCTCTGATGTTCAACCTCAAGAATGGTCTGACAATGACTTCGTCTTGGTCTTCCTGAAGAACTTCGACGTTACCACGCAAACCTTGTCTGGTGTTGGCTCCGTCTATATGCGCAAGAACCAGAAGGTGCAAGACTTGGCTCCCATCATTCTTTCAAAAATGAATTGGCCTACTGGCACGGACTTTATGTTGTTCGAGGAGGTCAAGTTCGATATGATCGACCCGGTGAAACCCAAACAGACCATTCTGCAGGCGGAGCTTGGGAGCGGTGATATCATCACTTTCCAGCGGATTGTGACAGACTCGGAGATTCCGTCGACGGCGCTTTACACCGATGCCAGACAATATTACGATCACCTCCTCAACCGCATCAGTGTCACCTTTGCGCCTATCAAGGCGGGTGATGGTGACGAGTACACACTGGCGCTTAGCGGCAAGATGACCTACGATCAGTGGTCCAAGAAGGTGGCCGAACATCTGAATGTGGAGCCCACCCACCTCCGATTTGCTCCTGTCATGGCCAGCACCGGCAAGGCCAAGGCTTTCCTAAAGCGGACCACCACACATACCCTGGCTCAGATTCTCACTGGCCAATACGGTGCGTATGGGTATACCATGCACCGGCCTGATGCTTTGTATTACGAGGTTTTGGAAATGAGTTTGAGTGACTACGAGAGCAAGAAGTCTTTCAAGGTGACCTTGCTGCCAGAAGGCATCACGAAAGAGGTAAGTCGTCCTTTTGTGCACGGACTTTTATGATTTCACTCACTGACAGCCTTATAGGAAGTGGTAGAGGTCCTGGTGTCTCGTAATGGAACCGTCGCCGAGCTTCTGAGTGCCTTGCAAAAGAAGGCCAGTCTCGATGACCAGGTCATCTCAGAGATAAGGCTCTTCGAGGCACACAGCGGCAAGCTTTATAAGGAACTCAAGGAAGACACTAATGTATCTGCTATCAACGAGTACTCCACGCTCTATGCTGCGAGGGCACCAGCCGAGGAGCTCAACATGGAGGGCGAGGACCGATTGGTTAGCGCCTTCAACTTTGACAGGGAGCCTAATCGTACCCATGGAGTGCCGTTCAAGTTTGTTGTGAAGCCGGTGAGTGCTACTTGGGGGAAGTCTTGGGTGCTTGGCGACGAGATAACTGACGATTCCGCAGGGTGAGGTTTTCAAGGAGACCAAGGAACGTCTGTCCAAGCGGACGGGCATCAAGGGCAAGCCATTTGAGAAGATCAAGTTTGCCGTCGTCCCCCGTGCTTCCTTCTCCAACCCCAAGTATCTTGAAGATGGTAAGGCCCGTCCGGAACTCGTTTAGAAGTCATCGCAAATGCAGCCGCTGACCATAACCCTAGATGATATTCTCTCTGATGTGATCGGCCCCGATGACTACCTGGGCCTTGATCATCCCGGTAAGAGCCGTGGATTCTGGGGCAAGAGCGAGAGCTTCTTCATTCGATAAAGTGATTTCCCGGGGCGCTGTGGGGTTTTGCGGGCGGGCTCGATGCTGCGATCTGGTACATGAGCAGTTGACAGCTTGATGCGATGATCATGTTTTTCTTTTCCTCTTCTTTTCTCCCTATCTCAAATACTTTGCCTTTATTTTTATTCTTCTCTTATTTCTTGCGAGACTGCGTATTTTCAATAGTTCCATAGTAGGAGTAGAGAGAGTGAGGCTATACACATGAACTGAGCATGAATCTCAATCAATTGAGTTTGTGAGGCTGCCAAGATTGTTTGGGTGCAAACGGAACAAACACCGACCCTCCAAGCTGGCCAGAACTCCTGACACGCGATCCACGAGACCCTTGCGATCTTCCCCGTCAACCATCAATATCCCCTCTTCCAGGCACAATGCGGTTCGCTCTTTTCGCCGGCCTGGCCTCCTTGGTCTACTCCGTCAGTGCTACGGCTCTGACTTACCGGCTTGAGGCCAACGAGAAGGCATGCTTCTACACCAATGTTGAGCAGGCCAATGCCAAGGTGGCATTCTACTTTGCGGTTAGTATACCTTTTCCGATTGTATCTTTCCTCATGGCTTGGATATTTGTCCATGCTGCATAATTAGTTTCATCAGCGGTAACTGACATTGTGTGTGCGTGTAGGTCCAATCCGGTGGTTCCTTCGATGTTGACTACTCCGTCACCGCACCAGGCGGCAAGGTCGTGTTGGATGGTACAAAGGAACGTCAGGGCGACTTTGTTTTCACGGCGCAGAGCATTGGCGAGTACTCGTTCTGCTTCAACAATGAGATGTCCACGTTTGCCGAGAAGATGGTCGATTTCGAGATTGCCGTACGTTGTTTACACTCCGCAAATGCCCACCCGAGCATCACTATAAAACCTACACCTCTCAATTCCATCCTTGTCATACCAAAATGGCTTGGGATTATGCTAATATCCATATTTTCAGGTCGAAAATGAGCAGCGCGCCCAACTCCCCTCCCGCCAGGGTGCCAGCCCCGAACAAACCACCAACCTCGAGGAATCCATCTACAAGCTATCCGCGCAGCTATCCACCATCTCCCGTAACCAGAAGTACTTCCGCACTCGCGAGAACCGCAACTTCAGCACTGTGCGCAGCACCGAGCGCCGCATTTTCAATTTCAGTGTAATCGAGAGCTTGATGATGGTGTCCATGGCTGCTCTGCAGGTCTTTGTGGTGCGCTTCTTCTTCCAGGGCGCGCGGAAGGGTAGGTTTATCCCTTTTGCATTGCGTGGACTTGCGGATTTGGGGCGATGGCTCCGGCTCCAGTACAACGCATTTGCTTTTTCTTTTCTTGATTGATTGGGATGGGATATGAGACTAACGTTTCTGCTAGGTTACGTGTGATGAGAATGAAGTCGATAATATGATGCATTTTACTTTTCTCTTTTGGAGCAAAATCCCCCCGGCGTGTCGTTTGTTCTAGTGTATCCACCTCTCATGCTATAATAGGTTACCTACTAGAATCATCTACCTTTCAATTGAACCGAAAACAGGTTTTTTGCAACGCATGACATTGATCTTCGCTCCCATCTCCCTGATACTCCTTGTGGCACCAGTCTTGTGTTGTCGACTCGAGCTGGCGTATGTAGGTTGTGCCGTGTCGTGCTAGAATGAGAAGGGAATGCTAGACGCGTAGCCTCCATGCCCGTGACATCGAATTGAAGGATGGCTTACCCACTTCCTGGATCCGAGTCCTTGTGGCCCAGATGGTGGCGATCGATGTCTAGGGAGGAAAGTACCTCATTCAGATGTTGCTACGGCCCGAATTCTAAAAGCCAGATCTGCGGATTATCCGCCGTCGAACTTTCATCCCTGAGTCGGTATCATCTCGGAAGCATTACTCGGTCTCACTGAAAAGCGGAGAGTCCCATCGACTCGACTCCTCGATTATGGTGCGCGTTTCGGTCATAGGTCACCGACAGGTCCCGACAATAGGCAGGAAGCAGGGATAGGGCCGTTGGTTCGGTACGTAGATTGGGCTTTGAAAGTGTGTTTCGAATCTGTTTGAGCTGGCGTCCAACGGTTGCTCATCAAGGCAGGTGGAAATCTGTTCAAGTCATCATGGTAGTAGGTCCAGACCAGACGGCTATACACAGCCTAGCCCCTGGCGAGGGTCATACCTGTTTTCCATAGGCAAATCCGACGCCGTGGCCATCATCATGGCGATATCGGCATCGATGTACATAGCGAGGTATGAGCAAGTCAATAGGTTACACAAGGAAGCTAGCTCTGGACCAGTATAAAAGGAAGATAATAAGGAATTAAGTTAAATACAGAAGAGAAATTAGTTATATTATATATACAATCTCCTACTTCGTTGTCTATATATCTTCTAACTAGATTATGAAGGGGTTTTTATATTAGATTATAAGATAGATAGATTAGATGAAAACGGAGATTTTTATCTACTATCTTCTTATCAATATTCATGTGATAATCTCGTGACCTAGAATAGATTTCCATTACAATAGCCTATTAGTTAGGTAGCTAGATCTAGGTATTGGATGAAAATATTAAAATAAGCCGATCAAAAAATATTAATATTTCGGGTACTTAGGGGGCGGGGCAAGAAAATCATGTACCCCCCCGGCCCAAGACTTTCTTAACTATGAGTCCCCCCACCGTTAGGCCGGAATACCTTTAGGAATCAGTGCGAATTAGTGGCATGGTAGGTGGTTGAATTTAGGTAGGGTGGCTGGAAGACGGGACTTTGGGTTAGGTGGCCAGGACGGCCGGGTGGCCAGATCAGCCGGGAATTACGTAAATGCCATTTAACAAAGGTACAAGACTTAAGAAGAAGAAGAAGGAAAAAAAAAGAAACAAAGGCAGACAGAGAAAAGAGACACTCAAATACACTTAAATACAGAGCTGCATGCAAACTCTCCCAATTTCCTGGACAAACAAGCAGATGGACACTTAAGGCCAGAATGCAGACATGAAGTAATAAGCAGTCCCGAGACGTCACAATTGTCCTTCTTGATTCCTACTTGACGTCTAGGAAGAATGTCTTCATTGCCCTAGGCTCAACCTGGGCTGTGAATCTGCCATCCTTGAATGTGAACTCATTATCCACTGTAACGTTATGCTCATTATCTGTCAAGTACGCGACCGCATGCGAGACCTTCGAGCCGGACAGTTGCACGTCCAGTGTATATGTATAGTGCGCTGCATTGACAACAGGGATGGCAATGGTACCATTAGTGTTCATCCAAGCAGTGATATACAGGTCCTCGACGTTTGTCTCAGCATCGATGCGCACCGCGCCAGGGCGTGCAAAGCGGAAATAACCAGAGAAGGCCCAGAGTCGGGCAGCGACTTGGTACGAGTCGCCGTTCACATTGACAAGGGCACCATCGCCGCCACTCCAGGAACACCACCAGTGGGACCAGCCGGCGACGTTGTTGCGGAACGCGTTGTGCATGTAGATGGCCCATTGCAAGCCTTCGAAGTTGTTACCAGAGACGTCCCACGTCGGAGTCCAAGTTGAGCCTCCGTCACTCCATTCCGTCTCGATGGTGGGTTGGTTGTGCAGGAGATCTTCAAAAGACTCCTTGATGTCGGACTGGTAGTTGTGGTAGGTGTTTATATCGAACAGATTGAGCCCACCTAGGCGACCGAGTTCGTACAGGAGATCGCGCTGCTGACGGGCACCAGTAGAGTCACAGCAGGACACGGCAAGGTGAGGAAACGCCTTCTTTACCATAGGGTAGAGGACAGAGAGGAAGTCGTAGGCTTGGTAACCATCGGACAGCATGGCAGAGTAAGTGAAAGGGTTGAAGTCAGGCCTGCAAAATCATGAGCTTCTTCGGCACAATTTTTCAAAGGAGTGTACTACACATACTCGTTGTATGCGCCTAGCATAGACACCTTGACACCACGCTGCTCGTAAAGCTTGACATACTCGATTAAGTAGTTCGCATACGCCTCACGCCAGTCTTCGGTGCAATTGGAACCTCGAACACCGCAAATGTACCCTCCGCCGGCCTCTTGACCAGTAGTCTTGAAACAGCCGGGGGCAGACCAGGCGTCCGCATACAGGAAAAGGTCTGGGTTGTATTTAAGTGCATTTTGAGCTAGAGTCAATTGGCAACTATCGTTGCTGGAGGTGGGAAAGGAGTAGTTGAAGGGCCCAGCAGGGGTCGCAGGGCACTCAGGAAGGATGGTGGTTCCAGCGGAGGATCCGATTAGGTTACGAAGGATAGAGAGAGCACCAAGATTCTCATCGAAAAGCGTCTTGACCACCATCTCTTGGTCGGCCGTCGAGAGGGAGTTGGTCTGGCAGGCAGCACCAAAAGCACCAGAGCATCCTCCACCAATCATCGTCTGGTACCGCTTGGCTGTGTTGACAGTGAGGGTCGTATGAAAAGAAAGAGGCTTCGCAGAGACGGACTGGCTTGCCTGGACCAATCCTGCGGTGGCTGCACCAGCGAACATCAGAGAGTACTTCATCTTGAATATTTGTCCTGCAAGTAGCCGAAGGCCTGAAGCCCGAGTGAATGGCCTGAGATCTAGGCAAGTCACCTCGAACTATTTATACCTCTCTATAGCAAGGTGAGCGACTCCCAGTCCCCGCTACTACGGATGAATTGAACAAACCAAAATGTTGGTCTGAGCGGAAAGTAAAGCGGCAAACAGCCGTGAGTACGGACGAATATGTCCTATATGGAGAGTAGATCAAGCTATGCAAGTACCAATTGAAGAAGCTCAACAGTGTTTCCTATTATTTCATTTACCCGAGCTTTTAACTCCGGCGCTTCTCAGGGACCGCCCTAAAGCTTAGTACAGTGCCATCGTCAAATCAGAGGACTCCGTTTCAGTGGGGCTTTGCTTACCAGTGCCATGTGTCTACCTTGTAATTGGTCCTTTGTAGAATGATACCCACAGTACGCTACAGAGTACAGTACATACTAATCACATACGTGGGTATGGAAAACCTGAAAACTCACCACCTTATTTCAGTTCTTCATAAAGTAC